CCTAGCGTTAGATCGATCCGCACGCTTATTCACTGTGAGCTGTGCCCATCAGTGGCCAAATCCTTCGCCGCGAAATATCACTCCCCCACCATCATCACTATTTCATTGTGTTTCATTACGTTTCTTGCTGTGTTACGATCCCAATTATGTCCTGCGATTTCTTTAGGCAGTGCTTCGGCACATCTGTCTGCTTTTTTTCCGTGAATTCTTCTCTCTCAGCATAGCCTGGATGGAGCATGAAAGAACGATCTCATCCATTTCTCATTTTTCATCGCCTCGTAACTGTTTCAATCAATTCGGATTTTCTTGGGGATGCTGATGTATTTGTGTTTCCTTCTTTTTGCCGAGGTAAGTTTTTCGGTCGTATGTCATGGCATATCATTTCTTTGAGGGGGTTATTGGTGTTGTTTTTCATGCTCAGTAAATAGTAGAATTGATAGTCGAATGATGAATGCAACGATAATTACGAGTTGATGAGTGCAGCTTTCTTTAGAAATTTCTTTGCCCGCGGGTGCCTGATCGGTCAGGCCTTTATTCCCTGTGTAAACTAGATGAGGGGAGAATTCCTGGATTTCGAAGCATTAAGTCATCTGAACTTCTCTTTTCAGATATCCTCATACTCTTTTTGAAGTGAACCAATCGTCAAGAACAATCGAATCAAGTTCGTCGAAACAGGTAGAAGCAAAATAAGAGAAGTATAAAAAAAGTAGTATGTATTTCTTTGTTCTACGCTATGCCTAATCGGGGTTAGTTCCGCCCCTCGCTTAAATTTCGTGTGTGGCTCTCAACTGCGGGAAGTTCGACTTTGTATCGCCGACGACCTGATTTTTCAGCTTTAGGATCGCCATTTCCTTTTAACGAAATAAACCGCAAACATGGCGACGACGTCACGTTTCTTCTACGGCAGCGGCAGCGATAGCGACAGCTCGTCCGACGAGGAGGAGGAGGTCTACCATTCCGGCTCCGGCAGCGAGGAAGATTCTGACCAGGATGATGACTCCGACTCCGGCTCTAGCGACGACAGCGACGAGGAGGAGGGCGGCCGCACCGGTGCCTCCAAGTTCTTGCACGATGATTCCGACAGCGAGGAAAGTGAGGAGGAGGAGAAGGTGACGGTGGTCAAGTCCGCCAAGGACAAGCGTCTCGAGGGCATCGAGAGCACCATCCGCCTGATTGATAACGCCGAGAAGATCAACGACTGGGCTGTTATCGCCACTGGTGAGTCTACATACTGCCCTGGACAACTGGAGAGCCAGCAAAATTTGAGGGCCCAAGGAACGACATGAACTGACATGATTGCTACACATAGAGTTCGACAACCTGAACCGCCAAATGCTGAAGGTTACCGGCCCTACCCCCAAGGTCTACATCCAGGCCGTTGCCGAACTCGAAGACTTCACCAACGAGACCGCTTCCAAGCTGAAGGCCTCGAACAAGAAGATGAACGCTAGCAACAGCAAGGGCTTCAACGCAGTCAAGCAGAAGATTAAGAAGAACAACAAGGAGTACGCCACCCTGGTCGAGAAGTACCGCACCGATAAGGATGCCTTCATGACCGACGAGGTCGAGGAGAAGCCCGCCCCTCCTCCTGCCCCCAAGCCCACCAAGGTCGAGAGGATCGAGAACTTTGCTGCGGCTGTCGCCGCTGGTGTTGAAGATGATGGATTCGCTACCGTTGGCCGCGGTGGTAAGACCCTTCAGTACACCCCTGAGAGCATTCTCAAGCACCTTCGTGTCATCGTTGAGTCCCGAGGAAAGAAGAACACCGACCGCGCCGACCAGATCCGCACCATGCAGAAGCTCCTCGAGGTCGCCACTACTCCTTACCAACGCATCCGCACCTACATGACCCTGATCTCCACCCGCTTCGATCTGACTGCCACATCCAACGCCACCTACATGTCCAGTGAGCAATGGCAGGCTGCAAACGAGGAATACTCCGCTCTCCTTTCCGTTTTGGAAGAGAACCGCCAATTCCTTGTCAGTGAAACCGCCGACGAGTGGGAGGATGACGAGAAACAACCTACTGTTGCCGAGGGCGAGACCTTCTTCATTCCCGGTTCCGTCGTATCGCTTGTGGAGCACCTCGACGACAGCCTCACAAAGGGTCTCCGCGAGATTGACCCCCACACCTCAGAGTACATCGAGCGTCTGACGGATGAGCAGGCACTTTACTCCTCACTTGTTCGCTCGCAGCTTTACATTGAGAGTCTCCAGGGTGCCGATAAGAATGGCCAGGATAGCATGAACAGACTGGTCATCAGACGGTTGGAGCACATTTACTTCAAGCCCGCTAATGTCATTGCCATTGTTGAGCAGGCCAAGGACAAGGTCGTTCCCACAAATATCAAGTCAGCCGTTACTGCTACCTACAAGTCTGGGGATATCCAGAGCCTTGTGGGTTCTATCTGCAATTACATGTTTGAACACAGCGATGGCATCCCCCGTGCTCGCGCCATGCTCTGCCAAATCTACTTCCTTGCTCTGCACGACCAATACTATAAGTCTCGCGACTTGATGCTTATGTCTCATCTGACTGAAAACATCGGCACTTTCGACGTCAGTACCCAGATCCTCTTCAACCGCACCCTTGTTCAGATTGGTCTTTGTGCCTTCCGTGCTGGCCTCATCTACGAGGCTCAGAACACCCTTGGTGAGATCTGTGGCAGCGGCCGCCAGAAGGAGCTTCTCGCACAAGGTATTATCATGCAGCGTTACTCCACTGTCTCGCCCGAGCAGGAGCGTCTGGAACGCCAGCGCCAGCTGCCCTTCCACATGCACATCAACCTCGAGTTGCTCGAGTGCGTTTACCTCACAAGCAGCGCTTTGCTTGAGGTGCCTTTGATGGCCCAGACCTCCTCCACCCCCGAGCTGCGCCGCCGCATGATTTCCAAGACCTTCCGCCGCATGTTGGACTACAATGAGCGCCAGGTCTTCACTGGCCCCCCCGAGAACACCCGCGATGGTGTTATTGCTGGAGCCAAGGCTCTTGCTGCGGGTGACTGGAAGCTTTCTGCCGCTACATTCGCCGCGATCAAGATCTGGGACCTCATGCCCCAGCCTGATTTGATCAAGGCCATGCTGTCCCGCCAGACCCAAGAGGAGGGTCTGCGCACTTACCTCTTCACCTACGCCCCATACTATGACAGCCTTTCAATTTCTTCCCTGGCCAGCATGTTCGAACTGGAGCCTAAGAAGATTATCTCTATCATCTCCCGCATGATCTCACATGAAGAGCTCGCCGCCGCTCTTGACCAGGTCAACGATGCCATCCTCTTCCGCAAGGGCGTTGAGCTCTCCCGTCTCCAGTCCCAGATTGTCACCCTGGCCGACAAGTCCACCAGCCTCCTCGAGTCCAACGAGAAGACCCTCGAGCAGCGCACCCAGGGTATGGCCAATGCCTTCCAGCGCGAACACGGTCCCGGTGCCCGTGGAGGCCGCGGTCGTGGCGGTCGTGGCGGTGGTCGTGGCGGTGCCCGCATTCCCCAGGGCGATCGCCGACCTGGTGGCCAGCAGTTCGGTGGTGGTGCATTGGGCGCAGCGATCAAGGCTTAGATTCTGATGTAATGGCATGTTCTTTCTCTTTTATTTTTCCCCCTTTCTTCATGGTTTCTTTTTTACTCCTGTCATCCCCTTCGTGTTAGTACGACCGTTCCTTGTTTTTTAGGTCGGAAAAATTGCCCCGTTTCTGCGCTTTTTTTGTGATTGATCTACATGATATTCACGTATGGAAATGATCGAGAAAGAATCGCGGTGCATACTGGTTAGAAATTGACGGCTTATGGATTAGTTCTTGGTGTGCGAGGTGCTTGTAGAGTTTTGTATAATGTCGGAAGTATCTATTAGATACATGGATACATGTACTTAATGGCAGTCCATTGTAGGATCCTATTGTGATGCCGTCTTCTCCAAATGTCCATCTCCCTGATGACATGAGAGATTGAAAATGAAAATATCGCCTGATAGTTCAGACATGAATAATTCAAATCAGGTCGAGAATCATGCAGGCAAGTAGGGTGACTACGCCTCGGGGGAATGGCCAAATCCCTCAAGTCAATTCACAGTATCATCGCCCCTCCAGCATGAAAGGAACCACCGACCACGCTTCCTATCTTGGGATCCATCGTCTTTCTTTCTACGTCGGAATTACCCTATTGAATCTTGCTGGCCAATCTCAGAGATTTATTGTCCCTTTCAAGGTACGAGTAGGCTTCTAATTGACATGAAACAGGGCTCAAGTTCTTTGTCGTCAGTTTCTTCAGACCACTAGCATCTCAAATGATGCTTTGGATCGGAATAAAGAAGTGGTGCATTCGACATTCTGTTGCGAATAATGAACACTCTAGACTGCAGAACCTGTCGCTCTTGGCCGCGTGCTTGTAAGTCTCTGGCGAGTTTGCACGATTTCGCTTTCCTCCAGCACTGCACAGATTGTCGAGCACCACTCAGAAATCTACGTACGGTATGCCGCGTTACATCTACACCCCTGGTGATCTGTTGCGCTTTGTTCATTTGCCCTGGCGTGCTTTGGCAACCACACCCAGTCCTTTTGTATCTTCTTTGATTTGAGCCTTCCATCTTGGATGGTACTTATGGAGATATCAAGAAGAGACAAAGAACCGTTGAAGCGACAGTAGAGGCTGGATCTCCGAAATAGTATATTTCAACCTCGAGTCATTTCCATTGATGAGCTGCACTTCTGAGATCCCAGAGTTGCTCTCAACTTCTTTGTTATCGAGCACACGAGCTTTTTGGAAATCCAAAAATAGCAACTTCGGAAATTTCTCCATCCATTGGTTTTGCTTCTATGTACACAGACATGGAGAGATCTTCTTCCCATAGATCGTTTCAATCCGTCGTGTCTCTTTGTCTCAGTCTAATTGAATCCCCAAGGATGTTTACTACAAATATCTTCATCTATACCCCCATCTCAATACTTCTTCATCCCATGCCACACTTTCTCCTGCCGTGCCGCAAAGTCCCTCTCATTTTTCTTCAAGATGCCTCCTAGTCGTAGCACGAAGCGGACATACTCGGGGTCCCCGGTGGACCCTGAGGAATCTGGGAAGAAGCGCAAGGCGAACACCAATGGTAAAACGACTACCAAGGAAGGTTCTCCCTCTCCTTCCTCTTCCTCTGATTTTTTATCAGACGAAGCTGAAGGTCACCCTTCCGTTCTGCCAGAGAACTATGTTGACTACAGTATGATGTCCCAAGGTGGCCATAATGAGGGGCATACTCGTCCCCCGAGACAACAGCGATGGAGACACAATGGGAATGAGCCTATTACCGATCCAGTGTTTGTTCCAGAAGGTTGGAATGCCGACGAATTAGACCTCGATATCAACGATCTTGACGGCCAAATTGAGAGATGTATGGAGAGGATCAGCGATGGAATCCTACCCGATTTCTTCAAGTTCAGACTGTCTCAGTATGAGAAAAGAAAGGCTTCTCGCGATGAAATGATCCATTCTGAACCGGCCGGACTCAGCTGGGACATCGTTCGACGCTTGGGTCATTTGAAAACTATCGAGACGCATCTGAGAACAAATGGGGACCCGGATGATCAGCTTCCCAATGTCAAAGCTATCACTAAAGCTTACAGAGAAGGCACATTGGGTTGGTCTAGAGGATGGGTCAGCTACTGGTCGAAGGGCGTGCAAGTGAATACGCCCCAGAAGTTCGACGCAGAGTATCATAAAAAGCTGGCTGAGGAGTACGATACCACCAGAGCGTGGTAGGTGGAAGTGTAAGTTTATCAGTTTATCACCAGCACATGCAAACACTATCCTTGTCCTAACTCGAAATGTCATATCTAGCTTCAACCTCCAGGCGGTGCCACTCTGGGAGAGTTTCACTCGTATCCGCCGTATAACGCAGTTCACACAATACAGGTACAGTGTCTATTTTGCTCTCTCATCTTATTTATTCTTTCTGACTCTTATTTCTCGCCTCCTATATAGTTCCCAGTTCAGCTATCGCCTGGTAGTCAAGCTTCTGGTTATAGTGCTCTCACCATCTTGGTGTGTCATGACACTGGCGCCGATATCATGGGAATACCTAAATGCTATCTAGACCAGCTGGAGGCGTTGGGTAACCGCGTCCCAGTTCAAGGCTATAATATCATGGACATTCCTGGCTCACGGGCATGTCACAAAGTTGTGGAGCTTGACGTCCGTCTGGCTACCTACGGCAACCATCCTGTGTCCCATTGGATGAAAGTACAGGCCTGTGTCATCGAAACTATGTCGGGGGAACAATTTGGAATGCTTCTTTCGGGACCTTTCCTGCGGTTTGCGGTCTACACTGCAACAGCTCCAGATGGACAGGGAAATCTCTATGTTTGCAATCATAAGAAGGAACTAAGGCAGCTACCAGCTGTGCCCCAGGACCTTTTCCCAAGGGGACCGCCATATGTGCCTACCGCTGCTCCAGCACCAGGCGGTGGACCACCACCCCAATTTCTACTAGAAAAGCAGATATTTACAACGACAGGACCCTTAGTGCACCCACTACAAGTACCACCACCGCAGTCAGCGAGGACAGCAAGAAAAAAAGGGAAAGAAGTGAGAGATGTGGTATCTATACATCGAATGGGCTGTTTGTTTGCTACTTCCTTTCTCTATCTCTCTCTGCTTGTCTTGTTCGTTGGATTTTGTTTTGATTTTTGATTTTTGATTTGATTTTGCCTTTCGTTATATCGTTATATATCTGCTTCGAATGACATATAAAATCTCACACGCATTTCCAGAATTCTATCAAATTCCCCCTCCCCCCGCCTTGAATTTTGTCGAGATCCGCCAGGCTTTGTCGATGACAAGTCTGTTGCAATGCATTCTCTCGAAAAGATGCACTCGCTTCCTCAAACTAACAAATCACACAGCCTTGTAGTCAGCCGGCCTTCGCCGCCTTGGGAGGGTACTTCTTCCCATCCTTCTCAACTTGAGGTGTGCAGGCACACCATTCAGCTTCGGGAACTGAGTCCATCACCGAAGGGATATGGCTTCCGCAACCCCACCAGGTGACCTTGTCTGCAATAATTAGCTGCTATTTTGTGGATAGAGAGATAGTAGAAACTCACTGCAGGTCGAGCAGGTAGCCTTCATACACATGATGAGGTTTGATTTGTATATTTGTTTTAGAATGGGGATCACTAAAGTGAAAGTGTCGGAAGATTTTGGTTTTATAGGTTCTTTTCCCTCCGGTATTAGTCATAACCGTCATGGGCCCGGGGCCCCGGGGGAAGCCCTGAAGTCGCCGATGTCTGAATCCCGAATCCCCGATGATGCGGTTTTTAGAGAGATTTGATTGGAGTTTTGCAGTATGCAGATAGGAGTGCATACATAATGCTTGGGTTATTATACATCGTAGACTCAGTATAGGTGGTAAATGTGTGAAAACTCGCCAAAATATCCTTAGTGGGGTTATCGCGGGGAGATCTTCCGTGGCAACTTCGACTGATCTCTTTCAACTATTCGATACATCTCAAACCATGACGGTCATTGCTGTAGCTGGTGGAACTGGTGGAGTGGGAAAAACTATTGTTGAAAAATTGGTCGACTCCAAATTTGAGATTGTCATTTTGTCTCGCAGTGTACGTAAGTAAAGAAACATTCTCGAAACACTACTGACCTCCCTCCTTAGGTAAAACAAGAATCTGCTTCGCAGAATATTCAAAATGTGCAGATCAACTACAATGATGTTCCCTCAATGGCACACGAGCTTGAGCGACATAACATCCACACCATTATATCCGCCATTGGACTCATCTCTGATGAGACAAGTCAGTCTCAGTTGAACTTGATCGAAGCTGCAGAGAAGTCAGCATCGACGAAAAGATTCATCCCCAGTGAATACTCATTCGTCCAAACCACTGAGTAGGTCGGCCAGCTTCAGCTGTGTGCCATCCCACGCTAATATTCAACCCTTCAAGGCTACTCCCCATTGACCCTAGCATCCAATACTGGCTTGATGCAGCAGATCGTCTCAAGGCTAGTGGCTTACAATATACAAGGGTAATCCCTGGTTTTTTTATGGACTATTGGGGAATGCCACATGTCAAAACTCACTTGCAGCCCTTCACCTTTGGTATTGATATATCCAGCGGTACGGCTGCGATCCCAGGAGACGGGAACAATGTGATCTGTATGACATATACGTACGACATGGCTACTTACCTGGTCAAGGCACTTGATCTTGAGGAATGGCCTGAATTCAGTGTAATCGTTGGAGATGAAGTTACCTACAACCAGGTTCTCGGTATGGCGGAAGAATTCATCGGTAAGCATATCACACGCCCTTATTTGAGATACACCCGCAAGTTAATAATAATTTCCGAAACAGGCAAGAAATTCAAGGTGATTTACGATGGTCTGGAGAAAATCAAGACTGGTGATGTCACCGTCCCTCCCCAGCCAGCGGGAGTGGAATACTCATCGGATGAACTCAAAGAGGTGACTGCGTTAGTGAGCAGACTCACAGTAAACAATGTCTTCAAATTGCCGGATGATCGTCTCAATACTCGATTCCCAGAGGTAAAACCGATTATGATGAAACAATTCCTACAAAATGCCTGGAGCAGAAACAGTGCATAAATTTATCAATACCAGCAAATTTCGCAACTTTGAATTAAGGAATGACCATCTGTAATAACAGCGCAAAAGAACTCAGGGCTCAAAAACCATTCTCTCATTACTTCCAAACAATCTGAAGAATCAAAGGCGTCGACGACGTCAGGTATTTCGGTTTTTCTTGGAATTATAATTCCAGAAATCCAGCCGTCGACATGATTATCTAGCAGACAGGCCCAGGACGCTGGACTCCAACACAGACCTGTCGACCTGGAATCAAATTCGAGCACCACGGGTTGATATCGTTGTTCCAGCACAGAAGCTGGCTCATAGTGAACCTATTCTGGTTCCGCGCGATGATGTCCCAGCAGGTGTCACCATTACTGATAGTATAGTACTCGTTACCTGGCTTTGCATTAGCTTAGTCTTATATGGTGGAGCTTTATTTTAGCTCAACTCACAATATTGACTCAGCTGCCACTCCTGGACAGTATCAACTTTCTCAATGGCGGCAGTTGTGCCAAGGGAAGCAATCCCAAGGATGCAGAGGAAAGATCGGATACCGATGACAGCCATTGTAAGCTTTAGGGGCACGCTTGGACTTGTTGATTGTATTGCTGAAGATCAGCAAGGGAGCTAAATAGTGTTGTAGATGGAAAGAACAATGCTTGAAAGGTATGGTTTGCTGCTTTTATATGTGGGAGATACTGAGCCCTGAAGTATTTATATTTCGAGTGATCTTTTGCCTTGTCTGACAAGTTCATACGACTTGAGAAGCACCGTTCCTGCAAAATGCCTAGTGAGGACATACTTCAGCCACAGGTTGCACTCATGGGCTGTTATTGCAACCATATTTGCTCCTTGACAATGAGGCGTTTGAAGCAATGTGAACGGCAACATCGCGACAAGCCTGGAATCAGCCAATAGATTCATTAACCTTGTTCTCGCCATGGCTTCATTTCTCCTTATTGATCGATATATGTCTCGGTGTGGTCGATAAAAGACCCTTCTATTTTACGGTTACATTGCCTCTGGATATATTTCCTAGAGAGAGAGTAACCTTGGTCAGGGAGACCTAGTCCGTGATGCAGACTATAGTGTGACAATAACCTGAACCACAACCATTCACTGGAGGTAGATCAAAGGTAGCGCAAACAAATACCCAAGACATAGCTGAATCGTGCCACAGGATACCAATATTCAAGGCGGTCAGTGAGCCACAATGGCTCTATAAGCGATGCATTTAGCCTTGATTATGGTTTGCGGCTATTTGCTGTGACTAGATTGGGTTGTTATACAGAGTAACATCCGGCGTTGCATCGCCATGGCTTGTAGTAAATAATTCTTTGGGATAACTGATTCTATGAGAGAATTCGGCGAAGAGATTCGAATTCTGGAAATATTTCGCGAGCTCGAAGTATTGCTGATATACAAAGTCAAAGTACATTGACACAATATCAAGGGAGTACAAGAATCAGCCAATTGGAACCAAATACTTCATATTATGATATTTGTGGTCTGATTAGTAGTAAGAGGTTATTATCACTCTGATCTGATTGAACACAGTGATATCATGACTTTTGCTCTAGTTCTATGGTTTACCTACAGTATAGCACGGGTTTCATTCGGGATTGCTATTGAAAATCTACGAATAAGATCGGACAAGAGTTGACCAGAATAGTGAGGTTTGGATTCAGAACTCAAAAAATATATTTCGCCATGCAGGCTGATCGAGAAAGTTCGAAAGTGTACGTCTTCCAGAATGCCAAGATGAAGGTCCTAGGCCACTTCTTAGGTCCTAGGCCACTTCTTCGGCAGTCCGCCGACTCTCCCCGAAGGATATCCCAGATGAGTACAAATAATGAGAAGTATCAATCACGCAATCTATGGGAATCACAGGCTGCGATTCGAAGCTAACCACCCAGGGGAAGCGTTTCATCTGATTTACTATACACATCGTGTTGGCCTGAGGCAGTAAAGATTACTCAGCACTGACGTCTCCCGAGGTCAACGCCTGAACGCCTGAATCTCTGGGAAACCCGAGGCTATCTTCGGCTTGCAATTCTTAATCATGATCATTGGAGCCGCGTAGGGATTCTAATTCTGAAGGAACCGCTCTGGTGTTACTATACAATCATTTTGTAACATGGACGGGCACACCAGTAATGCTGTACGCCTTGCCAAGGTATCGATTAGCCCCCATATGGCCCCCATACAGCGAGGGAGCGATTGTAATTGGATGCTAACCTACCTACTATACAAAGGCATGCTGTACGTGTAGACGAAAGAAGGTCAAATGTGATGGGACTCGACCGGTCTGTGTCCCTTGCAGAACATTCGACTTACCCTGCAAGTACGAGGACGGCGTGCGACGCAAGAAAAAGCCAAACCGGTATGTTCTAATTGATTTCTTAAGTCTCTAAAATTAACGCATATTCACTCACTCATAGCGAGGGAAATGTCCATGAGCTGGAACAGCGCATTCAGTCTCTACAGGACGAATTAAATGAAGCACGTGGTTCCAAGAGACGGCGACTACCGAGTGATGAGGACACAGGCCCAGAGCATGTCCAACTCTCGGAAGCATCCGATTCAGAGTTACCATCTCCGAGAAACGACACCGTTCAAGCACCTTTTGAGGCCGAGGCCGATCGAGGTGATGGCGACGGAGGGTCATATACCCTTAAAACTCCGAAAGGCGCAATGCGATTTTTTGGTGCGTATTGGCTTACTGACTATGGTTCCCCAACGGTCGCACGAATGGCTTAGCTGATTCTACCGACTATTCCCAGGTGCATCCTCTCATTTTTCGATTGTTTCCCCTGAGGGTGTGGGTTGGCTTGAAAGCAAGACGGGTAATAACGTATGGCGCCATGCCGCTCAGAGAAACGGCAGTCGATGGAGGCTAGCCGACTGGTATCCTCGAACTCTTCAAGATGATCTCCAAAGCAGATGCTCGCAGCCCTTACCATCCAAGGCGGTCGTCCTCGAGCTTGTCCAAGAATATTTTGACACGTTCAACAAGGCTCTACCGCTCTTTGGCCCCGAAAGTTTCATGGGAATGGTCAGCAGACATTTCTCATGGAATCCTAACGAAAGTCCCTCATGGTGGGCCGCATTCAATATTGTCCTTGCCTTTGCATACATGCAAAGGGCAGAAAGCCCCGGCGCCAGCGGCGACGACTGGCAAAAGTGCCTGGGTCATGTCAAGAACGCAATGAATGTGGTCACAGAGCTATTCATGCGAACCTGCGATCTCCTTGCGGTTCAGGCGCTTCTTGGACTGGCAATCTTCTTCCAAGGCACGCCAAATCCCCAGCCTCTGTTCATGTTTGCCGCTGCAGCCGTACGTATGTCACAATCTATTGGGTTGCACAGGTCCAACTCCTTTGGTCTCCCGATGTCCCAGGTGGAAGAGCGGAGGAGAGTCTTCTGGATAGCGTTTATTTTGGACGCCGACATCTCTCAGCGAACCGGCCGCCCTGCTGTCCAGGATATCCGTGATTACAATACTTTACTGCCTCAAGAGAATCCAGCTGATGGCTTGGGTGTGATGGAGATCGAGAATACCAATATGAACTTCTTCTCGGCGCTAGCCCGATTTTCTTTGGTCCAACGGAAGGTTTGCGCCGAGTTGTATAGCACTGATGCATTCAATAAAACCAAAGAACAGTTGATGAAAGATGTGAAGGGTTGCCTTGATGATCTCGAGGCATGGAAACGAAGTATCCCACCGATCCTCCGGCCCCGAAGAAGCTTTTCTATCGGCCATCATGCCTTCCTTCCGAACATCCTCAGACTTCACTTTGCATACCATTGCTGCTACCTCAATATCCACCGAGTCTGTCTACTTCCTCGGCGCTGGGCGGCTAGCCCACAGAATGAGGGGCTCAGTCCCCCAGGTCTTTCGAATGACCGAGATAGATCATTGCAACAATCAATAGAAGCAGCACGAGCGGCGATTGAGCTTATCAGCCAAGTCCGAGGCCACTACGGCCAATCCTTTGAATGGTAAGCTCATCTAGTTGGTCGAACTTTTGCTGGTCTCTAACATATCACACAGGAGTATTGTTTACTTCCCCGGAGCAGCTTTGGTTGCATTGTTCTCCCTCATTCTCATTGATCCTTCGCGGGCTGACACCGAATCGGACATTTCTATGATTCGTGGGGTTATCAGTTTTATATCAAAGGTCGCATCTCAAGAGCAAGATACATACCTGGACTATGTATTGTCGTTGTGCTCTGACTTCGAAAGTGCAGCCAGGAAAGAGTTGCATCGGGTCAGAAATCCCGAGCCAGACTCCACGAGTGATCAGCCAGTTACTGTCCGTCCGCAAGGGCAAACGTGGACACAGAATGACTACTTGGGCCCGAACTCTTTCCCGGCTTTTTTCAATCCTTCGCATGGTGCTGGGAATGATGGAAGTAACATTCAATCTTCAAGCACAATGCCTACGGATCAAGCTTTTTACGCCACAGGACCACTATCATTGCCAGCTCCTCTTTCTTGGAACTGGCAGGACATGCTAGCAGGTGTCCCTCCGGCGTATGATTTTGGTGCTTACGATTTAGCTGGAAGCACTGGAGAGTTATGAATTTGAACATTATTGTCATAAATTTCTTATCGTATATACTAATATGACAACCCAGAAGGTCTTGCGACATGATCAAGCCAGGTGATGCTTTGATCATGATGGCAATTTGGAACAGGGGCATTCTTCCAAATAGGACTTGCGTCCTTGTCGTCTAGTTTGGCCACAGGCCTCAGCATATCCATCCGTCCCCATGGGCTATCTTCAAAGCTCATCATAAATGGAGAATTTTGTGCAAGATATTCTGGGAAAACCCGTTTCCACCCATCAATAACCTGGATCATAATTTCCGACACGAACTGGTCCGGAGACGAGCGCGCGAATTTGAACGTATCCACAGTTTTTTGTACCACTTCAACGGGATAGAGGCCAACTTCAGGGTCCACCAGAATTGCATCTCCCGCCACAAGCGAGCTTACGACGTGATATGAGCCTCCTTTCTGAGCCCTGTCCCGGATAGCCAACATTGTGGCAAGAGCACCGACAACGCCAGTAGTCATATCAGAGATTGGCAGCGGTGGAAGAACACTTGTTCCTTCATCGAATCCCAATGACCGGCCCATCACATATGACGCACCCGATGCGGCATCCCCGATCTGCTGCCAGCCGGGTCTCTCGGCAAATGGTCCAGATGGACCGTAGCAGTTTTCATCGACGTAAACAATGCCCTTGTTTCTTCTGGCTGCCATATCCAGCATGCTTTGCAGACCAAGCCCCTTCCGGTCTAGTGACCCGTAACGGAAGCCCTGGACAAACACGTCTGCATCGCCGACAAGCTCCTTGAGTCGGGCCATATCCTCCTCTTTTCCAATATCAAGATCGATTGTGCGTTTTCCGGCGTTGAGCGTTAATTGGAGGACCTGTTAGGGATCGCATAGTCAGTATTTTGATTCAAGACAAAAAGGGGAGTTGGTTTCACTCACATTCAAATCTGCCAGTCTACTACAGTTGACACGGATGACATCCGCACCAAATGATGCCAGAATCACCCCAACGGTGGGACCAGCGATAATCCGAACCATTTCCACAACCTTGATCCCAGCCAGAGGGCGACGATCAGGAAGTTGACTCAAGGGAACCGACGGCGTCGGTTGCGCATATGACTCGCGCTTATAATTCACGAGAGGGTATTCCGCAAGCCTCTTTCCCATTTCAGTCTTCCTCCAGCCTTCGGGTGAGTAGCAGATACTCCCACATAATCCATTTCTAACATTATGCATTTCAAGTTCATCAGGACTCCATTTCTGGACATGTTCCCGAATATATTCATATCCCTCCTGGAAGGATTTCAATGGCACATCCATGTTGATTCCCATCGAGCAGAGTGTCTTTCTCGCATCCAGCGATCCGTGGAGTTGATACCATACCCCAGAATCCTTGGTGGGATACAGTGCAGTGGCTCGGCCAGCCAATGGACCGACACCGAAGCCCTTCTCAAAGTCCCTGTCGAAGATCTTGGAGAGTTCGCGGGCCCGTGCAAGAGCCGAGATGTCTTTGCCATTCACGAATGCTGTAAAGGTCGATGCAAGCCAGATTCCAGCATGATCTGTGTTGACAGTCACGCTGGCTTCTTTAGCGGGCTTGCCATCTCGTAGCTCAAGAAGTTCGTTGCCAACTAGCCCGCACATAGCATGCAGAGCAGCTGTTACGACGGGGGACTTCATCGGACCAGGGACCATAGGGTCCGGCCGGCCTTCAAAGCTGACAGTATCCCATAATGCACTATCTTTTGTGAAACCGGGTGTTCGTGATGCCAGCAGTTCAAAGATTCGACGGGCATCTTCCGGTACGGGGAGGACGGACTTGTCGATGAAGGTACCAGGTCCGTATACCTCGTTTCCAGGGATAGTCTCATACATTTTGGCTCAAAGACAAAGGGCTCAAAGATAATGGTAAAGAAGAAGAAAAAGAAGAAGAAAAAAAATGAAACAATATAAACAAAGAAAAGGACAATTGCGATTGTTCGAATCAAGAATCTCGAAATACACCGACACTACCTAGGTACCTTTTTATACTTAGGCATACCAAACTCGCAATCCAAGTTACAACGTCAACTCGTATTATTCGGATCCTATCTAAATCTTACCAACATACAAAGAATTCATACTACTGGTCCGTAAATCGTGAATTTTTCCCCATCCGGCATAGAGCGATGTGATCTCCCCCGCATGCGGCGTTAGAAAACGCCACGGCAATAAAGCAAATAAGCCACGGAACAATCTCAAGTGGTTGGAGCTCAGCCTCATTAAAAAGCAAGGCTTATATTAACTCGGATCAGGATCATCACTTTCATATAATTGGCTTGATTAATGGGAGTTGCTTACCATCACTTCCACGGCCCGTGGGGGTTAGAGATGGGATCTCTTCCGTGGTCCCCCGGGGTTCTCGTCCTTTTTTTTTTGCCTCGGTGCTCTTCAGCCGAAGGGGGGGGGGCCATGAACTTGAACTTGGAATAACCCTTGCATATAATATTAGAATACGGAGTACAATTCTAGTATTCAGCGATACTCTCTGCAAGGATTTGAAAGAAAAAAATCCTATAATTATCCCAACAATTATCTCCATATCTTATGAGAAAAGAAAAAAAAAATTAACTACAATACACGATGTCTACTATGTCTGCCAATCCAAGTGAAAATAGCCGACCTGTCAGAATCGCCAACTGCTCTGGTTATCATGGTATGGAGAACATTTTAGATTAAACCAACACCACTAATGTACAAAAGGTGATCCTGCGTACGAAATGTATCGCCAAGCGACGTTAGGAGATGTGGACTTTATCACGGGGGATTACCTGGCGGGTATGTTTCTTGGCAATATGTGAAAACCCCCGGGATGTACAAAGTACTAACTAAACTAAGAGGTTAACCTGGCAAATAATTCCCAAGCATTCCAACGTGGGGAACATCCTGGATACGAAGAGACAGCCTGGGAAGGTATACAACAAAGTATCGATGTGATCGCTGAAAAGGGCATCAAAGTCGTACTAAATGGAGGAGCACTCAATCCTAAAGGGTTGGCTCTCAAAGTTCACAAACTGGTCAGTACAAAAGCCCCCACCCAACTGCATAAATCTACATATACTAAATCCTTACCAACAGATCCACCAAAAAGGTCTCGCTTTGCGAGTGGCGTACCTATCAGGAGATGATCTCTATGCCAAATTCGGCCCGAACATGCCACAATCTGCAGAACAACTCCAACACCTCGACGCAACAAATGATTCGGTCAAACCTGGCCCCCTCACCTATGCATTCACCAACACCACCAAGCCCGTCCCTATGGTCTCAGCTCATGCATACCTCGGCGCTCGGGGTATAGTAGACGGACTTCGTCGTGGGGCCGATATCATTATCTGCGGCCGGGTTGCAGACGCAAGCCCTGTAATTGCGGCGGCATGGTACTGGCACTCTTGGTCGGAGTTGGATTATGACCGCCTGGCTGGGGCCCTGGTCGCGGGTCATCTCATTGAGTGCTCGGCCTATGTGACTGGCGGAAATTTCTCTGGCTTTGACCGACACCCCGTTGATACTTTTGTTGAGCCAGGGTTTCCCATTGCGGAGATTGATGCAGATGGATCATGTGTGGTTGCGAAACATCCGGGGACCGGCGGTATAATTGATGTTGATACTGTCCGGTGTCAACTTTTGTATGAGCTCCAGGGAAATATTTACTTGAATAGTGATGTCAGTGGTATTTTGGATGATGTTGTTGTTGAACAAGCCGGAAAGGATCGGTAAGTGTACTTTTTTTCGTTTCTCATTGTGTTGATATACTGAAATCATGTTTAGGGTTCGCGTTCATGGCATCCGAGGCTATGCGCCTCCTCCAACAACCAAGCTAGCCGTGTTCTATACCGGTGGTTTCGAGGCTCAGATTTTACTGAACGCTACTGGATATGCGTCTGATAAGAAGTGGGATCTGATCGAAAAACAACTCCGCCATTTCATTGCGAAGGAGTCTATTGATCGAATTGACACACTTGAATTCCAAAGGTGACTTAATTTCATCTTTTCAGGTTGAACCAATATTGACGAGTTAATCTCTAGGATCGGTGTCCCTGCTCTGAACCCCAGTTCACAGCGACAAAGTACCACATACCTACGGATCTTTGTTGCTGCAGTCGAGGCCGACGCTGTTCTCGCTGTCGCAAGAGCAATGAAAGACATTTCTCTTAAGCATTTCTCAGGTGCGAACAAATATCTATTGAACTAATAGCTATTTCCATATTTTGAGCTGACTAGAATTAATCAGGATTCCACTCCGCTCTCGACATGCGCACAGCAGTCCCGCGCCCATTCCTAGCCTACTACCCCGCTATAGTCAAACAGGATGATCTGAACGAGGAGATCAACTTCATCGATTCCCCTGATACTATCATCTCATCCCCAACAGGTCACCCTCCAGCGTACAAGGCTCTACAGCCACGCGCAAGCTATAATCATAGTCCATCGAGCGATGAAGTCGCGCTCCTCCAATCCCCAACTCGGTCTATCCGACTGGGAGACATTGCCCTTGCCCGATCTGGTGACAAAGGATCTAACCTCAACTTTGGTGTCTTTGTCCCTGACGCTGCTCACTGGCCTTGGTTGCGATCTTATATGAGCATTGAAAAAATGCGAGAGATGCTTGCCGATGATGATGACTGGGATGAGTCGTTCTTGGTTGAGAGGGTTGAATTCCCGCACATTCATGCCGTGCACTTTGTGATCTATGGGATTCTTGGTCGGGGTGTTAGCAGCTCGAGCCGACTGGATGGGTTTGGTAAGGGCTTTGCGGATTATGTTCGCGACAAGGTTGTAGAGGTTCCGGTGGAGATTTTGGATTGAATTTGTATTTATATCACAGGACAAATTATGAAATGCGCATATCATATGAAACATCAATTGCTGGAACATGTACAATCATCTCGTTCATGAAACTGCCAAAACAGCAACAGCCCAAGGAGCCATGTTTATTGAGTACTTCCCTTGCGCGTTGAAAACACTGGTGGTGACAGTTTGGATTTGCACGTTGGAAGGTGTGTCGCCTTGGTACTGGGGACCTGCAAGAATCTCCAGTTTACCAGTTTTGGTTTCTGGTATATGCACTTTGATGCTCTGGTGTTCGGGGCCATAGTTAGCCAGTTTCAAGTAGTAGTGTGAACCTGTCTTCGAAGCCACCCAGTAAACAGGTCCAAATCCTGTTGATGATTCAACTGGAACAATGGTATCACCCTTGTTGGATGCGAACATCTTTTGAACAAAGTATGAAACCGAAGGCGTGACAGAGTCGGGAGCAGAATTGAAACCGTATAGTGTGGGCTGTAAGTAAAAGCAGTGTGGTCAGCTATAATCCTAACGTTATTTGAACATTTTTTGAATAGATATTCTTACCGACCAAGAGACGAAATCAAAGTGTTGCAGCAAGGGTGCATAAGCCACCATCTTGACAACATCACTGTTGCGCTCCATTCCCATCATGTATACGGCCTCGCTGCAGCTTCCCTGCATGTATGGCCAGTATGTCCCTGTCTCTTCTGAAGTATTGCGACATCCAAACTCACCAATCATCACTGACTGGTTCCGCGGCTGGTTGTCAAACTGATCGAACAATTTGACAAAGTCGTCTGGTGCTCGGTACAGATGCAGATCAATGATGACATCTTTAGGAAGTGGGGATGGCAGACACGAATAGTTCCCGTGAGAAGCAACAAGCGTGATGTTCGGGTACTTGTCGTGGATGGCCTTATAGATTTGATTGAAACGATCTGGATAGGTATCACAGCCGAGAGTGAGGTCATCTTCGTTGCCAATTTCAATCATGTCAACCTTCCATGGATCTTTGCGGCCGTTCTGGGCTCGCAGTTTGCCATAATATGTCGAGGTATTGCCAAAGAGGTATTCCATCTCATTCATGATATCGTGAACGAAAGGGTGAAGGTCCGGACCGGAGAGAATGTCTCCATAGGACTTTCCTGACCAGACAGCCAGAAGTGGTGCCATATTCATATCTTCACACCACCACAGGTACTCATCCAGGCCGAGGGCATCTGTATTGGGGTAAAACCAGTCACTGTCTCTTCCTGGGCGGTCGACAACGGGCCCAATAGTGGTGTTCCACTTCCAGCGAGTCTCAACTTCCAAGCCTTCGAGGTTATTCCCGCCCGGGAACCGGAGAAACGCTGGATGAACCTCGTCCAGAAAAGATGCAAGGTTATCTCGCAATCCATTTTCTCTCCCCTTGAAGGTAGGAGGAAACAGCTGGATTAAGCCAAAGTTCAGCGAGCTACCAGCAACCTTCGATCCATCGAATGTCAAATGCCACTCATTATCCCCTTGCGGTGCATAGGTAGTGTTGAACCTGGTTTTGAATTCCCTGAATTTTGAATCTGTACTCTCGACGGTCAAGTTGTGATCGGCATGTACTGAACCACTATGCGACCCAACAAGCTGCAGATTGATGGTTCCCGAATAGTTACCCATCATCCAGAATGAACAGTTGTATGTGGCACCCGTGACTGGGATTCCGTTGTAACCAGTATTGGCAAAGCCAACGTAGTCTTTTACCCCATGGGGTACGGCAACATTGAGCGAAGACGTAATTGCCTTACTGACGGGCTTTGAGGTATCCTGGGAGATTATCACATCTCCCACTGGAGCGTATGCAGTCAAGCCAAGAGTGGTTCCTTGAAATCCATTGTTCTGCAGCAATTGTCCGTGAATTCCACCATCGCCTTGAGATAGTTAGTGGTGCTCATGATCAGAAAATTCCAGCTTCCTACCAGAATGGTCCATTTCCTAGGAATATCGAAGGTTAGCGACAAAGATATTTACGCATAGAGCTAGTCTGCCGCTCACCTCGAACATAACTCCATAGAGAATCGGACTCGACTTATTACCACCGTGCCTTGAGACTGTCAGGCTGATTGGAACAGATGAAGTGTTCCCTTTAGCCAACACGCCTGTTAGACATGTAGCCAAAGCAATAGATGTCGCGATGCCGGCGCATGTCACAGATTCAGACTTCATGGCGAGTCAGAATCTATAGACAAGGTGATAGGAAAGACTTGTAGAGGAGCGAAGTGAGTCGGGAAAACGCCATGCGGGGGAAAGTCAAGCCTCCCGAAAAAGCACTGCCCCTGTCTTGTACAGAGTGATTTGCATGACTATAAGTGTGATTCGTTCGTGCTGGACCTGGCCTGACAGATGTTCTCCACAGAGGCATCATGGACCCTGAGATGGAGGCCGTCATCGTATCTGAGATGGGTCATAAAAGCTTGGATCTAAGAGATAGGCGTCCAATCACAGCAGGCATTTTTTTAACAATTCCGTTAGATCTTACTCTCAAATTTCTTGAACAAATAATTCCGTTTATTCCCATACCATACATTGTGTACAGTGTGTATGTGGGAGGAGTCATGACGTCGGATACTCCCGAGGTCGGGTTTTCATTCGGATCTGGATGGATATCAAGACTCGTAACTGAGCACATCTTAGCCGATCCCCTGAAAATCCGTGACTTTGCATCTATATTAAAGAGGAATCCTAGCATCAGAATCCAGCCGATGCTATATAACGTGGTACGATGTACGATAGTGTGTTGCAAGTGTACCGTACAAGCGTTCATCTGAATTCCACCTTAAAACTCAGGCGAACAACAAGTCTTCTCATAAATATGGGCACATTCAGCAGATTGACTACTCCTGCTTCTCGGTTCTCTCACTTCTGATCATAAACAAAAACGATGGTCAAAGAACAGGCTGAAAGAAGGGGTTGTCCAAAAATGAAGGCGGTGTCTGATCTGCCACCCCATGTCGTACTTCCAAATCGGGATTAGCTTTCTTCTCTCTCTATCTTGCTCTTGATCTTCATCAATATTATTACTTGGCTTTTAGCTTCTAAGTGCGAAGATGAAGTACATCGTAGTATCTGGAGGTGAGTTTTAACAGTGATCTGCCAGAAGTGGCTCCACCATCAGTCTGTGGGGAAAAGCGGGGCACTCTCCATATTTCACCTTTAGCGCTTCGAGGTATACAAGACTGACATTACTAGGTGTCATATCTGGGGCAGGGAAAGGCATAGTCGCTTCTAGCGCAGGCCTATTGCTGCAAAGTAAAGGGTTTATCGTCACCACCATCAAGATAGATCCCTATATCAACATCGATTCGGGGACTATGAGTCCACTCCAGTAAGTTGCGCTGATCCGATGCAGCTTCTGAGCGCCCGTGGACTGATTGATCTAGCCATGGGGAAATATATGTGACAGACGATGGGGGTGAGATGAATCTTGACCTCGGCAACTTCGAGCGCTACCTTTCAACCACTCTCCAGCGTGATCATAACATCACAACTGGGAAAATCTATCAAGACATCATCTCTAAGGAGCGAGTCGGTGATTACCTGGGCAAGACAGTTCAGGTGGTGCCTCATGTCACCAACTCCATTCAGGAATACATCGAGCAGACAGCGAAGATACCTGTGGACGAGTCCCAAGCCGAGCCTGATGTGTGTATTATTGAGCTGGGCGGTACTGTGGGCGATATCGAGAGTTCGCCCTTTATCTACGCTCTTTCCCAGCTTCGAAAGAGGGTTGGAAGAGAAAACCTCGTTCAAATTCACGTAGCTTATGTCCCTGTCGTGCCGTAAGCTCTTCTTGTTTCAGGCGAAGAAGCACTGCTGTAAACTAACATCGGGTTAGGCCAGGAGCTTCTGGTGAGCAAAAGACGAAACCAACTCAAAGATCCATTTCCGACGTTCGGAGCGCTGGATTGAGTCCACTTTTAGTATGTTTTCGCTCTGCATCTAAATGTATCACATCACGCGCTCAGGGCTAATCAAGATAAGGTTGCCTGCCGCTGCGAGACGGCATTGGATCCAGGGACCATCCAAAAAATCGCCAATATGTGCTCAATGGAGTCGGAACAGGTCATTTCCGTACATGACGGGCCAACCACATATCACGTACCTCTTCTCCTTGAGAAACAGAATCTTCTCGGCATCCTCTGCGAGCACCTCGAACTCCCACTTGATCGAACACCCACCCCGCGTATAGAGCAAGGCAGGCGCATGTGGAAAGACTGGGTTCATCTTGTTCGAAATCATGATACGATCACCGACACGGTTTCAATCGCGCTCGTGGGACAATACACCTCCAATAAAGATGCTTATCGCAGTGTTTCCAAGTCAATTGAACACGCAGCCATGTACTGTCACAAGAAAGTCAAGATCGTTTGGATTGACGCCGCACATCTCGAGGACGAGACCTATCAGAACTCTCCAGTCAAGTACCACAAAGCCTGGCATGATATTCATAGCGTTCAAGGCATTATCGTGCCTGGTGGCTTTGGTACTCGCGCCACCGGTGGGATGATCGAGGCAATCAAATGCGCAAGGAGTAATAAAAAGCCATTCCTAGGCGTATGCCTTGGCATGCAGCTTGCAGTGGTTGAATACGCCCGCCACGTCATGGGTATCACGGATGCTGGGAGCCAAGAGCTCCACCCAGAATCCAATAACCATGTCATTATTTGCATGCCTGAACACAACCAGGAATATGGCAGTAGCACTATGCGTCTGGGAAAGCATCCATGCATCTTTAAGGAGGACACTGATTGGTCGAAGCTGCGATCGTTGTATGGCCCCACTATTACCCAGATTGAGGAACGTCACCGGAATCAGTACGAAATCAACCCGGCAATGGTTGAGAAGCTTGAGAAGGCTGGGCTTACTGTTGTTGGCAAAGATACCACCGGTAAGCGTATCGGAATTGTTGAGATCCGTGACCACCCCTTTTTTGTCGGTGTGCAATTCCACCCTGAGTACTTGAGCCGTGTGTTGCGGCCAAGTAAGGTCTTCCTCGGTTTCTTTGCTGCTGCGGCTGGGTGTTTGGAGAAGATCCCCACGGCATTGGAACAGGGCAAGCGAAGCCTAGTGGAAGAATATTAGGAGGCTAAGCTTTCAAACACCTAGTGTCATCTCATTGGTTAGTCTCGTTTAATTGATCACTTAGCGTCAGCTACCTAGGGCTGCATTGTCAGCTTAGAAATCGTTCAATTGCAATTAGAAATCAAATCATCCATCACTCTAATTCTTCAATAAAAATTTGTAATAGCTCTTGGAATATTACAAATCTAAATACTCGTCCACGCGTGCAAATCCAATGATCTCTTTTCTGATAACTATAAAGCAATTTAGATGTATACAAAGACTTATGCTTCACCAGTCCACAAAATCTAATCACATCTCTGTCTCCTTATAGAATCCCAAGAATGGCCAAATTTCCAAACGAAGCAGCTTGGATTACTGCAGCAAAAGCAAGACCTTTCAAAATCGGACCAGGCCCGGACCCAACGCCTTCGGAAAATGAGGTCGTTATCAAAGTCGCTTACGCCGCCGTAAACCCTGTTGATTGGAAGGTAAGCAAATTTCCTACGTATTTAGAATTTCTTCTAACCATACTTCAGTTGCAAGACAATCCAAAAATCGAACTACCATATCCATACATATTTGGAACCGATGTCGCTGGAACAATAGTTGAACTTGGATCCAATGTTACACGCTTCGAAATTGGTCAAAGAGTGATAGGGCATGTTGACTCCCATAAAGGGAACAAGACTTCTCTTGCCCTTTACTAACATCTTCATCCAGTCACTGTGATAGTCTTCTCACACGGAAAGTCACCAATTCCGGATTCCAGCACTACACAACCTGCCAGGAGATCGTGGTATCTGCAATCCCAGACTCCCTCCCGCTAGAAAATGCTGCTGTACTCCCCCTATCGGTATCCACAGCTGGCAGTGCGCTCTTTCACTATCTCCAGCTTCCCTACCCAACCTTGAACCCCAAGCCCACCGGAAAGACGATCCTGATCTGGGGCGGGAGTTCTTCGGTGGGTAGCTCGGCCATTCAACTTGCCCTAGCAGCGGGTCTTGATGTTATCGCTACGGCTGGAAGCTCTAATATTGAGTATGTCAAGAGTCTGGGTGCTTCACGGGGCTTTGATCACCAGGATCCAGATGTCGTTGAGCAGATCTTAGGGGTTTTGAGCCCGGGAGATTTTGTGTTCGATGCTATTAGTACTCAAAGTACGCAGAGTAGTTGTGGAAGAATTCTCGGAGCGATTGGAGGCGGCAAACTTCCTCTGACGGGGTGGCCCGTGGAAGGTTTGCCTGGCAATGTTGAGGCGGTTTCCGGTATGTTCTTTTCTCTGAAGAAGTTCAGTGTTAGTGCTAATATAAAGACAGTAAATGGATTAGCTCTGCGTCTGGTAAACTTGGATGCTGGTGATGCTGTGTGGCGCAAATACCTTCCAGAGGCTTTGGCAAACGGAAAGTTCCTGGCTAAACCAGATCCTTTGATCATCAAGGGCGGCCTGGAAAAGGTTCAGGAAGGTTTAGATCTCCAAAAGAAGGGGGTATCGGCAAAGAAGATTGTTATCGAGGTAGTGAGGGGGTAATTACTGCTACTACTGCTACTACTGCTACTACTGCTACTACTGCTACTACTGCTACTACTGCTACTACTGCTACTACTGCTACTACCACCACTACCGCTACGTTCTCAAGAGAACTTCTTTATTTATAAATTATTTCATATACGAGTGGTCTACACAAGCGACTGGTCCATCCCAAAACACATAGTAAATGCGATAAATTACAATTTTATATCTAAACAACAGTAGTCCCTAAAGAGGTTTTCTAATAGTTCAATACTTTTTAGGGGATGTTTTGGAAAATATTTATGACTTTGCGGTTGCGATATATATATTCCCAGCTTTTTAGAAGGTAATACAAGGTACTTTTTAATACTATCACGATGCAGCTTTTAGATTTTCTCAAAATTGATATATATTGCAATAGAAAGCCTTATCAATAGTGTTCGTCTTATACGATATTAATTTCAATCAGAAATCCATAAATGACGCTAGCTCAAACACAAAGTTCCTCTAGAGGTCGTTGGCCTTGACGCACCCTAGTAAATCGACACATTTTATATACGTCTATGGATTGATTCCGACCCTCCTATAGACCTTTGTAACAGAGCAGACCACGTCTTCTGCAAGTCTCCCCGTCCAGTGAGAGCCGGATCAACCCAAGCACCATCCGGTGTTTCAAGGAGCAATTCAAAGTTGCAACCGTACGGTGCCCGAGGGTCATCTCCCGATTTCATACTTATAAGACGCAACGAGTACATCCGCCAGTTATCCCATATAAAGACACCTGTCCGATAAAATGGCCGCAAATCATCCAATCCGGTTACGTAGACCCCGGGTTGAAAAGGAAAGTCTCTCTGAATGGCCTTATAAAATACCCCTTGTTTCGAGATTCGGCAGCTGCGTGTAGATCTTCCCCATATCTTATCCACCCCCGTGTCCTCGGGTAGCGCTGGTGGACACCATATAGGTTTCTTGTCGGGGGTAGATATTTGCAAAGATTCGATCAGTGGCATCGGATATTGGAAATCAGGACTCATATCGTCCCTAAGTGATGGGCCCAACACTTCCTGTTCATGCGAGAATAGCGCACCTAATTCTCGAAGAATATCTGCGACCCCATGCGTCTGCTGCGCTTGCATATGTGACATGTCAAAGTAGGTTGCGAGTTTTTGGATTTCAGTAGACGGCCAGCCCCATCCACCCCAGTCTTCCCCGCTTTTATCCTGGGCGGCAGCTGCAAGCTGAAGATCCGATCGGATTTGGAGGCGCCATAAGATTCGATAGACGCGAAACTCTTCAATCCATGAAAAGGGGTCGGTACCATTTGTTTCCCACAATTTTGGGAATACCGGGTCATATTGGGCATCGCGAAAGCTTTGCAACATCTTTGATAAGCAGACACAGGCAAGATGTTGAATCCGAGCAGCGATTTTGATCATCTCATAGGCACTCGCCTCCGACAGACTCTGCAGACCCGTCAGTGCGGAGGCATGTGAGGCGAGTGCGAATTCATCAAAGTTCAAAGGCTTAAATGAAGGCGTGCGAATCAATACCGCTATGCGGACTAGCTGGTGCAGCTCATATGAAGTGCTTGGACAAGTTGTCAGGAGATCTTCGAGGAGTCGCGAATGATTGGCTTCAAACACTGATCGCATACATGGAGATACCTGGAGCAAACTGTAGACTCCGAAAAAGTCTGCCGTGTGATGTACTATAGAAAGGACAATCTCTACAGGCAGCTTTTGAAACGCGTCCATGGCGTTAAAGGGAACTTTAGTGAGTTGTAATAACACGGATGAAAAAAAGGCCGTCTTCGGAAACCTTGGAGGCCGAACCTACTAGCTAAACCAGATGGGTTAGTAAGTGAGGTGCATATACAGGTGCATTCAGAGATTCAGGGATGCTTTCTTCAACTCCTAAAGGGTTTAGATCAACGGCCTAGCCCCCAACGGGGTTTAGGCTATACAATATGTACCTTTATATAGGATACACATACAAAAGGTACTTTATAATCGGTGCCTAACGGCTAGTATGTTGTACAAGCGATCTCTCGATCGATGCATATACAATCAATATGTAGGCATTTGTATTTCATAAGTATTCATGCCGTCTTTTAATCCGCTAAATTTGTATGGCCGTCCAGTCCCACTTGGTCGCATTGAGAATAACTCTTCTACCATATAAAGCCAACCAAAAGTTATTCCTCCAATAAGAGCACCGGTAGCTCAGTTGGTAGAGCGTGCGATTGCAATAAAAAGCATCCATCGCAAGGTAGCGTGTTCGATCCACGCCCGGAGCTTTTAATCTTTTTGACATTGTTTTTTTGATCGTAGCGGATTCAGAGGGTGGAGACTAGAATCTAACCAGCCAGGATGGATGGTGGGCGAAGTGGTATGTGATCCGAGTATGAAATCCTTCAGTGTAACTTGACAACTTTGCGTACAATTTCGAAAGGAATTATAACACTTAATATCCAAATACCTGCTTTTTTTTCCTTGGTTCTATGGCGTGTATAGATGTCGATGGACTCACTCTGTGGGTGAACGAATAGATACGCAATATGATTGATTGGCTCTGTTCGCATGGGAACCTTAAAGAAGTAAATTTTACCAAGTAGAGCAATATACTATTATGTGATTGATGTATTTGAGAACTCGAACCCATCTAGGAAGCAGTTCTTCCCCAGCCTGTCGTCAATTTATTTCATGCAAAAGGAAAGCCCGGAACGACGAAAATCAAGAAGCGAAGAAAAGGGCAAGGTAACAAACAGAATCAACCAAAATCCGAACAGGAATGGAGACTAACGTGATGACATCCACGACAAAACCCAACAAGGTAGACGATCAGTATTGACACCGAGAATGAAGACGAACAAGAAAGAAGTGGGTGTATAATGCATATGGTGGATAAAGATAATGTGTACAGAGAATGGGAAATGAATGAGTAAAAGGAAGGTCCCCAAAAGCGGGCAAGGGTAAGCTTAAGGTCAGACGAAAGCCTTGGCCTGAATGCTTTGCCAAATTGGGCCGGAGAAGGTAGTAAGCCGGGGTAGAAGAAAAGGCGAGATGTGTGTCAAATGCTTGTCGGGGCTGGCGTAAGCGGTTTAATTCGTAGCTCTCTTCCAGAACTTCCAACCCTCTCTCCTCTCCTCCAATCCGACACCAACAAGGCGTTCAATGCCTTCGGGGCCTTCAGCATTTTCAAACTTCTGTTGATCGATCTCCTCGCCACCCTCTTCATCCGAGCCATTGCGTAGGACGGCTGGGTAGAGAACACCAACACCGTCACCGCCAAGGATAACCTCGTACGTACTGAAACCCTCCTCCTCGAACTTCCGTTCGAGGTCGTGCTTGACTTCCGCCTTAGCATTAGGCCGGAGGAGGGTAATCGCACATCCGCCACCGCCTGCGCCGGTCAGCTTTGTCCAGCCGATATCAGCGTAATCAACAAGTTCACGGATACGTTCAAGACGGGGGTGAGAGACGCCTAGGGAGACGAGGAAGCCATGGTTGATACGGATTAGAGTTCCGAAATGGGCTAGGGCGGTCTCGTCCCCGAAATCGAAATTAGGATCGTCGATTAAACGTTGCGCTGAGCGTGTCACTTGGTCAATGCCATTAAGAATTGACTCCGTCACGATAGGATGGGCATCTCTTAGGGCTGCAACTTTAGCGACCTCTGTGCTTGTGGAACGCGCTTGTTGGGTGTTGACAAGTAGGAGCGGGAGTTCGGGGAAAGTGGGCACGGAAACGACTGTTGGAGGCTTCAGGTAATCTTCGCGCCGGAAGATCACAGCCTTACCACCTGCAGACACCGTGTTATCCACCCCACTAGGATTGCCATGAATGCAGAGCTCTCCAACGAATGCCCAGCGGTTGATACGCTCGATCTGTGTCTCTGCCTCCTCCGGTGGCTGATCTGGATGGGGCCCAGCTAGGGTACGGATTTGAAGAAGTAGCGCAGAACTAAGACAGACGCAGACACTAGCACTACTTCCTAGACCAGCTCCCGTGGGAATGGTGGATCGAAGGGTGTAAATGGCGCCTGGGCTTTGCGGGGAGCCTAGGGAGAGGAAGAGGTAGAGGAATGAGGATGCGGAGCGGATGTGGATGTTGCGCTGCTCCTCTGGGAGACCTAAGCCCTTGGAAACGTCCCGGAGATGTGGTTCGATTGCTTCGACGAGTTCTGGGTCGAGTTCGGTAACAAGGCTGTAATAAAACTTCTTTTTTGAAGGCTCGTGGAACTTATCCCAGGGCAGAGCATCAATGTTCCAAGTGTGACTAAGACCTAAGTCCCGGAAGTTCAACGTTATCGTGCGCTGTGATTTAGAGAGGGTAGTAACAAGAAGGTAGGAGCGAAGAGAAATTGCTGCGGCCATGGCAGCCTTTCCGTGGACCACAGCATGCTCGCCAAAAACGATAACTTTGCCCGGCGCGGACACCATAAACGTAGGCGCCATAGGTGAAGAAGCCTTGCGGGCCATTATCGGCCGCTTTACTTGTTCTCCCGTGGCAATCACTTCGTGTGTTTCTGACGTGGAAGAGAGGGAGGCGCTGTCGGAGTCGTCCAGGACAGAGTTTCCGCTCACACCCTTGGGGTGTATAGGGAGGATTTTGACTGTATTTTCAGGATGAAAGTCGACCGTGCGACGTGAAACGGGATTGGTGACACCCATACCGTTCAATGGGCGTGTAGGATTCTCGGTCATGACTTGGAATTCGAGGGGCAATAAAGGGGCAAAAGAATTAGGAATTAAAAAGGGGATAGCAATAGAAGGCAAGTCAACATTGAAGGAAGTAAAGAATGAGTATCAGCCAAGATATGTCCCCCCTCCTCGAGTGTATGGGGGAATAAGCAAGTTGAAGTGGAAAGATGGGGGATCAACAAGTGCTCGAGGCTACTGGGTATACCAAGGCACGCTCTCATATGACCCAATCACAGCCACACTAATACCAATTGTCATTAATTTCAATCTTTACTATATTTCAACCTCTATGCCTTGGTACTTTTGTCTTAATAGCAGTCTCCTATGATTACACTATTGGAAATATAATTTTCTTCAATTGTCAAGTTTTTTTTGGCCTGTTATATAATATGTATCCCAGGTGCAGAGATTTTGTGGCGTGCAGTAGCGCCGGGATCGTCTCTATGCCTTTGTGTCTGAGAGCTACATCTAGTTACTATGTACTCCTCCGTAGTTACACGTACATATATGTAGCATCTTGGAAATTTAATAGCTATATTGACATATATCCATGTAATTATGCGCATAAATAACATTGCTATGAAATACATCCAACCAATACTCTAAAACAATAGTCTAGCGTGCGCTATCTACATCTGTATAGTTCGCAGTCATCAATTCATCACAAATTCATCGTCACAGTCATGCTGTTACTGTGCACCAGCAGACAAGGGGGTAGACCATTCCATAGGACATCTAGATCGCTCAAGTAAGACTCACTGTCCTCCGCGCTAAGCGAAGTCCCTTCCACGGGAGACGGCAGAGTCGTGAAGATAACGGCGGTATCACCACTTTGCTGGATCATCAACTCATTCAGAATCAAATGCTGTGCTCGACTCGGGAGATCATTGAAAGACAATGGGACCGACGCTACACCAGGGTACCCTGTTGCATGTGTATGGGGACTGCCGTGGGCACCGGGGGAGGTGGGAGACACAGAAGATGGGCGACGAGCATAGATAGAATCTAGCTTGTTTGCAAATCGTGGAGGTGAGTTTTGCGCCGCAAACATGATAGACGGTCCATTACCCTCCTCAGCTTCAGTGTTCACTTTAGCTTCAGGAATGGGAGAGGAACTGAATCGATTGCTGGAAGCAGTACGACTGATGGGCGGCGGTCGACCTAGAGATTTGCTTTTCGGGGAGCCATCTTCGCCAGTCTCAATTATGGACGGGATTAGTAGGGAAGGTGGTGCTCCTTCTACTTGAGAGCCTGCACGCACTGGTGTTCTCGGGGAATCATTGGTCTTGGGCGGACCAAGGAGCCTCGAAGAACCGGAAACAGGTGCTGCCTCATTTCGAGCGCTGAATATGTCCTCTCCGCTGACCTCTGGTTCTGGGTCGCTGGCATACGCCTCCAGGTCGCTGTCTTCGCTCTCGCTCATGCTATCGGAGCTCTCGTAGTCGACGAATGCATCAAGCAAGCGATGTGTTTGCATGCCGAGGTTCACCCCTCCTAGAGCCCGGAAGCTAGAGACAGATCGTCTGCGACGAGTGGACTGGATCAGTTTCCTCAACCCAGTCATTCGCTGGCGTGAAGGCCTGGCTCCATTGTCTTGGCTCGATGGCCCTTGCCAGGTATATGACCTATCGAGATGGAGACTGTCACTAGTTCTATCCGAATCCTGCGTGTCTTGATGGATGGCACGAGCTCTTAAGACCCCTTGCCACCATTCTTCCCCCTGTAGAGTGGAATTAACCCTCTCTCGGGCATCAACTGCGACTGAAGTATCACCATTTACGATGATTTGATAAGCTTGAAGATCACCGCAAGCAAGGCAAAATACCAACACTTCGGCCTCAATTCGTAATTTGTCAAGGAGAGCCTCAACCCGCCCTCTTTCATCTTCCACATCGGTCTCGTACTCGACAAACACCGCAATTCGGATTTTGTATGTCTTCTTCCACGAGGGAACAGTGTTGAGAATACAACCCAATTGCAGGATTAAAGTATAAGTGTCGAAATTAGTGGTCAGCAGATTTTGCTTGCTTTCATTATCAGCTCCAAGCTCGGCAGACATTTGAATCGGCCACAGATCAATATACTTCTTAGTGTGGCGACCGTTGGGGTCTGGTAGCTCCAGATCCTCGAATCCCTTGGCTACGGCAACATTGATCCGAAGCTTGAACAAAAGATCTTCAAGAATCGTTACATAACTCTTTCCACTCATAGGTGTGATTGCCGGCCTAGACTCGCTGGACTCTTCGCTTCCTATACTCGAGTAGACCGAATGGCGCCTAGCCCTCGAGTCTCTATGGCCACTATTCAAAGATAAGGTTTCAACAAGCGACTGGCCCGATCTGAATTGGTCGATCACAACGATGTTGGGCCTCATCCCACCCAGCCCAGAATTCAAGACAATGTTTCGCATACCCCATTCCGCAGCGGGCGAAACGGCGATGTTGACGAAGGCTTTGATCTTGGAATTTTCGATAAATTTTGTCCATGCTGTCTGTTGGCGACGTGCTTCCGGGACAGCTGCTGAAAAGTCATCGGTCACAAGAACATGAGCTAATACAAACAAAGATCCCTTCTTCAATGAGTTGCAGAAGGACACCATTTTGTACTGCCTTTCGAGGTCGCTGACAAAGAGCAGGATCTGAGGGCGCCAGAACTTGACGTGCTCCTGACGCAGTCGAAGCAAGTATTTTCGCACTTGATGGTAGATCAGGCTTTGACTGACATCACCCCAAGGCTTGGGTGGCGAGGTATAATGGATCAGCAGGAAAAGAACCACCAGAATTCCTACACATCCCGTAGCGTAAATACCATCTACAAAAAACATGCTGATTCCACTGACAAGCGTTCCAGCTGCTGCGGTCTGCCAGTTGAAGTAGCGGAACGACGGACGAAAATTGGGTGCAGAGCCGATTTTCAAGAGGAAACACGCAAGATTCGTCACAAGGAAGGTCATCAAGTAGGTCATGGTAACAAAAGATGCGATGCGATTGATGTCGAAGAGCATTGTGACCTGAGCGAACACAAAGGTCACAATGATGGCATATATGGGATCGTCAGTTTTTTGCGAGCCTTGGGCAAAAATTCCTATGCCAGGCAAGAGGCTATCTCTTGCAATAGCCTGAAGAAGCTTAGCAGATCCGATCACACCCATCAGGGCGGAAAAGAAACTGGTTGCGAATTCTCCGAGAAGAATCACACTATCAGAGGCATTGACCTAAACTCAATTAGGGCATGCTTCTAGTTTCCCTCTTAAATAAGAACTTACGACTTGTATGACATTCACGTTGTTATAAAAAGACTCCCGGGTCACCGAGGCCGCCATCGCAAGGATGACAAGCCCGTAGGCGACAAATGTCAAAGCCAAACCCGAGAGTGTGCCCTTAGGAATAGCCTTACTCGGGTTCTTCAAGTCACCCGACATACTTGCCCCTCTAATAGCCAATTAGTGAAATGAGGTTGAAAGTCCGCTGCCAACAACTTACGCAAAAATACCTCCTGTGGCAGGAAACAGAATGCCAAAAAGGTCTTGAAAGTTCTCTCGTCCTTTTATTTGACTTCCTGCAGCTCCCTTGGTTAGATGAGGTTTGAGATTTCCCATCAACGTTTTCAAACGAATTCCCGTGAACTCCACCCCCTGGCGAGGGATTGGGAAAGGCTTCATGAAAACTGCAGAGAGCGGTATGCTAAATGTTGCCACAAGTAGTATGACCAAAAGCCCATTACTTGCCCTCGCGAATATGGAACTTCCTGCCAAGCAAATTCCTGTGCAAAATACCAGTATAATAGTTCCCCACAGATACTGCCACCAAAAGCCTTCCTCGAGGAAGTTGGCCCAGTCCCCAGACTGCGTCCCAAAGTTCTGAGTAAAACAATCAACTAAACCAACAGCATTCATGCCGGTGTTGAACACATAGCCAAGATAGAATACAATGCCGATGGAGCCACCAAATTCGGGACCTAGAGATCTAGAAATCAGGTAGTAGGCACCACCACCTCGGACCGTCCCGTTTGTTGCAATTGCGGATAAAGACATGGTAGTCACGAGGTTGATTGTGTATGATACAAGTAGCAGCCCTTTTATGTATCAGACTTAGGATCCTGACGTTGTGAAGAGGTATGCTCACCTAATATGCCCAATACACCAGCTTGTCCCAGGATGAATCCGAATCGAAGGAACATAAGAATGCTTAGGACATTCAACGTTGTTGGAACAAAAACACCGGAGAATGTACCAAGCTTCTTCGGCTCATCCACTGATCGGGATCGATGTCCCCTCTTATCAGCGCGGGAGTCGCGGAGAGGACCCGCAGACAGGTACACATTTTGTGAAGTGATGTCTCCACTGGCCTCCTGTTCTTGATCCTGGTCTACTCGATTATGCCACCAGCGAGAAATGGCCCGCAAGTAATGCATGGGTGAGGAATAGCATTGGTCCTTGGTTGGTTCAGACGAGTTCACAGGCTCATACGGACGGGTCGATCGAGTCGGTGGCCAGGGTAGCAGGCGAGTACGTTCGTCGGAGGTAGCATGAGCCGAGTCCCCTGGGTCGAGACGTGAGACATCCTCTTGAGCAGTTCGAGTCGCGAAAGCTGGGCGTCGCCGAGATAAGGAGTCGGAGGATTCTCCGACTCGTTCGGTCGCCATATCAGTTGCAAAATTTATGCTATGAACATGAGGGCAAAAACACTAAAGCAATTTAGATAACAGAAGCCAATAGTCCCAGTAAGACTATTGAATCTGCAAAAAGACAGCGATAATGAACCGAAAAAGAAACACAAGCCGATATCAACAGATGACGTTGATAGGGTGCAACTTGTTTGCAACCTGTTTGCACTCCCTATCAACCGCATTTGGAGCTGATCAGCCATGGGATCCTTGGCGTTATTGTTAATGTCTCAATCCCTCCTCAAGTTACATCTTGGACTTTTTACCCGAATCTTCCCTCCGAGGAGCTGACCTGCACTGTAATTTAAGCGTCCGGTCTTCTTTCCATGCCCATTCCTCGAGTCTAAACACGCCATCCTGTCAGGAGCTAACTTGACCCTACGGCCACCTTCAAAATGGCGGATAACGGAGAGGGCTCGTCCCTAAATCCAGCTCGATCTGTGCCGATAACCTCATCCTCAGTGCGCTCGAGATCCCCCGCACCTGAGTTCGGTAGCAGACAGGCTTCCATGGCACGCCTCGCATCACCGGTGCCCTCCCCTTCATTAGGAACATCCTTGTCGTCTCGACAGGGTATTCCAGCCAGCCGACCTGTCACAAACACCACCACCGAGCAGGAGTTTTCCAGATCGATTGGAAATCCAGCCTCAGTTCCCGGTCCTGGTCATTCTATCATTGCATCCCAACTCCAAGAAAGCCTTGGTCGCTCGCCGCCGAGATTTGGAACTCCGTCACGGCACAACGGATCTCCTGCTATGCATTCGACTCTAGATAACCGGCCATTAGCCTCTCAATATGGCTCTTTTGATACCAAAAATGGATCCGATTCCCCGGGCGTGGCTCCGTACGAAGATCCTGAAGTTATCAAACGGCATCTAGTCACGGAACATACAGATAATCAGTCGGAGATTGCGACCAGCCTTGGTGGGGAGGATAACTTCTCAAGTCTACAGCTTCAGGGCGGTGATATCACACGACAAGTTTACCGTTGGGCGGAGGATGCTGAGGCGGAAGCAGCAGGGCGATTCTTGCGCAGTAAGAGTTTCAGCGTCAGCCGACCAAGGCCCGAGGCTGATACGGAAGACATTGACACCATTCGGGTTCCGGGAGGGTTCCGCAGAGATTATCTACGAAGAGCAGCTGGAAGTCCACACCGTGGAAGTGCCCACGGGTCAAATACAGGGACACCCCATGGATATGGCGCACCTCAACTGCCGACTACTAGCTTCCTAGAGTTCTTGACTCTCTATGGTCACTTTGCCGGAGAAGAATTAGAGGAAGATGACGAAGTATTAGGGCCGGATGAGTACTTCTCATCTGATGCCTGGGACGAGCCAGAGGGCAGAGAATCTGGAGAAGACGCAGCGCTATTGCAACCTGAAACACCGGGTCTGAAGAAGAGAAAGCACAAGCAGCGCTCACCGGCAGGGACAACTACTGCAACAGGTGCTGTACTCTTACTGCTCAAATCTTTTGTGGGTACTGGTATTTTGTTCCTGCCTCGGGCCTTCTTGAATGGTGGTATGCTCTTCAGTAGCATGGTGCTACTGGGAGTGTCCATTCTAAGCTATTATGCCTTCATTCTTTTGGTCAATACCCGCGTGAAGATCGAAGGATCCTTCGGTGACATCGGTGGCATTCTATATGGCAAGCACATGCGACGTATCATTTTGGGATCAATTGTCCTGAGTCAGATGGGCTTCGTGGCAGCATACATTGTCTTTGTCTCGCAAAATTTGCAGGCATTCGTGCTAGCTGTGAGCAAGTGTGTGACATTCATTGACATCAAGTACATGGTTTTGTTGCAGCTGATCATCTTCCTGCCTCTGTCTTTGATTCGGGACATCAGCAAACTTGGGTTTACAGCCTTGATTGCTGATGTCTTCATTCTTTTGGGTCTACTATATATCTACTACTACGATATCAGCACCCTGGTTGACCAGGGCGGCATTTCAGACGTCGTTTCCTTCAACCCGGCCACTTGGTCTATGTTTATCGGTACCGCCATCTTCACCTACGAAGGTATCGGTCTCATCATCCCGATTCAAGAATCGATGAAGCAGCCAAACCGGTTCCCTGGTGTCCTGGCCGGTGTCATGGTTGTAATCACCTTTATCTTCCTGTCCGCCGGTGCATTGAGTTACGCGGCTTACGGGTCGGCTACAAAGACTGTCATCCTTCTCAACCTCCCCCAGGATGATAAGTTTGTCAACGTGGTTCAGTTCCTATACTCGCTTGCCATCCTACTGAGCACTCCGTTGCAGCTCTTCCCCGCTATCCGCATTATGGAGAATGAGCTTTTCACTCGCAGTGGCAAGTACAACCCATATATCAAGTGGAAGAAGAACGGCTTCCGTTTCTTCCTCGTTATGGTCTGTGCCCTTATCGCCTGGTGTGGTGCAAATGATCTAGACAAGTTCGTTTCCCTGGTCGGAAGCTTTGCTTGTGTTCCATTGATCTACGTATACCCGGTATGTCTTTCTCTTGTATCCTAATTATCACAGAACGGCTTGACTGACTCATTATCGCTGTAGCCCCTCCTGCACCTGCGTGCTTGTGCTCGCTCCAAACGCCAGGCAATTGCGGACGTAACTCTTGCTGTCTTCGGCGTCATTTGCTGCGTCTATACGACATACCTGACCCTCATGAGCTGGATGGGCCCTGAAATCCCTCAAAGCCCAGGATATTGTGACTCTCACTGAAGATTTTTTTTGGTTACTGTAGAGCGTGCCAAGTTAAGTTTTGTTGCATTTCTTGGTTCTATTTCAACCCTAGACTGGCATATCTATCATTGGGTTTTCATATGCTACTTCAACACATGAACGGGGGGCATACTTGTGGTGTTAATTCACAATCTCGGTCAAACTGTCAGTATAGGCGGCGAATCTTGGGGTCAGACTACACTTTTTGTATGTATACATATTTTCTTGGCTTGGGAGATTATCTACTCGATCATATATTCATAGGGCTTTTATAGAGGTTTATCGGATCATGAATAAATCAAGAATAACAGACCCAGCCTATCACGGAATCTCGAAGTTGTCACGATCAAAACCAGGTCATCCCATGAAATGAATAACTCGAGCGCAATAATATAGAGCCTATGTACAGTGACTATCAGCACACCGGAACTAGATGGCAGCCAGCGCCGATAGCTAAGCATCTTCCTCAAAACCGCAAGTCTCCCTCTATGTGCCCCCTCTTTTATCATTGTCCGATACTCATCTGGCCTCGAGGCAAAAGCCAGCAGAGCATATGTGTATGGGGGTGGAATGCTGCGAAACGAGATAGCTGCTTATTAAACCCAATGAAAACCGAAAAAAAGCACAAACAATATCTGCTCCGAGAGCGATTAAGCACCGGCCTCAGCAGCAGCACCGCCCTTAGCAGCCGCCTTCTCAGCGAGCTGCTTTTCGCGGCCTCCCCACCTACAAAGTAGAATCAGGTTAGTAAGCACAATTATATGACGATTGTAGAAAAGACAAAGATCAAACAAGGTCTTAAGGGGATGAAACGTACTTCCAGTAGTTCATATAACGGAATGCCTGAGTAGTCTGGGCGCCGAAGTTGGTCAAGTGGCATGCGAAGAGGAGGTAGTTCTTGGGAGTGATAGCGAGGGAGTAGCGCATGAAGGTGGCAGCGTAGACAACGAGGGCACCGGTCATGGGGCCGGAGATACTGTGAAGATGGAGCTATCAGTACGGTTGCTGAGACTACTACAGCCAAGGGAAACGCAGAATACGAAAGCCGAAGCTTCCATCATTCATCAGATAAGAACGTACATCTCAGCATCCTTCTGTGTGTCCATCACAGCAGCAATGGGGATACCAAAGTTGGAGACGGGGCCCCAGAAGTCTAGGAAGCGCCATTAATTGTCAGCAATCTGTGCAGCCCTGGAGTCCATTTGCGCTTGATTGCTTTGCGGAAGTGCAAGGCCGATAGAAAAATCGTATTTGTCTCATCCTCGACGTCGCTTTCAATGCTTATTCTTCTTCGGTCTCATTCGCCGTTGGCCGATTTCGGGACGGGAGGGCTCGGGAAACTGGTGTTGATACATACGGGTTGAGCAGACATAGTCCAGCACCGAGTTGGAGCGGATCTTGGCGTTGATTGCCTTGAAAACAGCCGCCATTGTGAAGTTGCCGGGAATTATCACACGGGTAGGTTCGGGGAAAGTGAGGTCGGTATCTGGAGGATGCGGAAGTGCTCGACTCACCGGCGTCAGCCACGTCACGTGAAGTACATTATTGACCATATCACATTGATTAAAACTGATGTTTTATGGATCAATTACCATTTTATCGTATTGAATTGGTTGACAATGCTAGTACCATTGGTGTTTATGTATGATATGATGGTTTTTTGGTTGTATTCTTCATATATTGTGATCCTCAGGTGAAATCTGAGACGAGCAATACAAATAATATATAATGGATCGACCTCCACACTGAGCACCCCACATCTACCTCTGTGCAATGATCTAATGATACAGTGAGGTAGGAAAACACCAACTACTAGTTGTTGTAAGATACGAACATCAGGCTATGACATATCGGTCCACTATATAGTATGCACTGGGAACGTGGAAACAGGGCCCAGTATATAGTAGGCTAGAGATGCGCATGCAATATAGAAGACACAACATAATTCAACGGGAAGTGAAAATAAAGAACTGGGATATTAAACGATTTTGAATGAAAAGGCTGCGTTTAAAAAAGCTAGCATATTTTTTTTTGACTTCATGCGTAATTCAAAAGGATTTTGGTCTTTTTTGTCCCGTTCCTCGACATGACCTCCATCCATGCGCCGCAACGCCTTGCCCAGGATAACTTGGGGGTAATCTAGCCTGTCCACACACCGTTATCTCTCGCTAGAAGATTTGAGAATGGCTCTTATTCTGCGCTGAGCCACCATCGTTCCTTTCGGGGTGAAATCAGATCACCGATAATTTAAAGCATAAAATGATGCTCTGTGCACATTTCCAATTACCTGCCGCCGAATCCAGGAGGAGGGTATCCGCGTCCCTGACCGGGAGGCTGGAAGCCAGGAGGAGGCTGGAAACCGGTTGCTATGAGAATGGAATATCAGTATATGAAACAGGATTGGAGAAATATTTGGGCGCAAACTTACGGGGACCGCCCTGAGGAGCAAACCCAGGAGGAGGTGCGAAACCAGCTAGAAAGGAACAAGTCAGTTTCAGATTCAGTCAATCTAGGCAAATGGGAGTACTTACGAGGTCCACCAGGAGGGCCTCCACGTCCAGCGAAGCCTGGAGGAGGGGCACCCGGGAAACCGCCAGGGGGGAATCCAAAGCCGCCTGGGGGTGGGGGTCCACCAACACCGGCTGCAGGGCCTCCGAGTCCGATAGGCAGGCCGCGGCCAGCGGGCTTGCTGATACCAGGGCCCGCGGCAAGAGTGGCAGCTGGGCCGGGTCCAGCGGTGCCGAGTCGGGCAGAGGGGTCGGCAGGAGGAGGACCTTCAACAGAGCAAGAGACGACTTGAGTACCGCGCACGATAGTTAGACCAAGGCTTCGCTTCTCTTCCGCTTCGACCATCGGGGCATTTGTGGGACCGGCGGTGGGCTTGGATTTCCGCTTGATGCGACGGAATTCTTCTGTATCTGCAAGAACTAGGTTCATGTGCTAGAGATCACGAAGGTCAGTCGAGCGCTAGGTCTCCAAAGAAGTGAGAAATACCTTATCGAATGCAAGCATGGAACCAGTCATTTGACGTCCATCGTTCAATGTTACGCGCATCCGGTAGTTAATCTGAAGAAGAAGTTAGATACTCCAATCAATGACTTGAAGCAATTTGAGCTAGACTCACAAGGTTTTGCTAAATGAAATAAGTTAGCGACAGCCATTGACCACACGAGTATCGGGGGTGCAAATGGGACCAGAAACTCACCATCTTGTGGGAAGCCATGTTGGCTAGAGAGCGCGCACGAATGCGACTTGAGAGATCAAAAAATAGTTATCAGTAGATAGAACAAGTCTTTCTACTGCGGGGGATGAAGCAAAGGTGCGAGATCCTGTCAAAGATGTGAAGCTCAAGCTTGTCAGGTGCTGCCAGTTCTTGATACTGGGTTACCTAAGATATGAGTCAGCATCGGGTCCCCAAGTGTATTGCCTTAGGCATTAAGCAGCTCAAATCACCAATGACTAAGCGCTTGAATTAAACTCATTACCTAAGCAACGATCAGGGCTTCCAAGTCACGTGTAGAAGCCCACAGTCCACACTTTCTCTTTTTCCGCGATCAATCTTGTCTCCTCAGTCGACAACCACTTCACGCCCAACCGCCGTCATGGTATGTTCAGCTCCTTGCAATCCAAACTACACATCCCCGATCCGCTGTATCGCTTCCTTTCATTCCATGTAATCTGGGACACAACCTGGAGGTCCTCATCTTGCGCGCACTCAATCTTCAATTTCACCCAAAATATCTATCCGTCGACTAGATCAACAGCATCGACAATTTGAGACTAACATGATGCAGTCTGCCCAAGTCGCTAAGGCCGAGAACCCCTGCCGTAACCTTCGCTTGTCGAAGTTGGTCCTGAACATCTCCGTCGGAGAGTCCGGTGATAGACTCACTCGTGCCGCCAAGGTTCTCGAGCAGCTGTCCGGTCAGACCCCCGTCTACAGCAAGGCCCGTTACACCGTCCGTACCTTCGGTATCCGCCGTAACGAAAAGATCTCCGTCCACGTCACCATCCGTGGCGCCAAGGCCGAGGAGATTCTCGAGCGTGGCCTCAAGGTCAAGGAGTACGAGCTCCGCAAGCGCAACTTCTCTGAGACCGGTAACTTCGGATTCGGTATCAGCGAGCACATCGATCTCGGTATCAAGTACGATCCCGGCATTGGTATCTACGGCATGGACTTCTTCGTCTGCATGTGAGTTTTTCTTTGAACATTGAATTATGTGAATTCACCCTGGATATTAACAAATAATTTTAGGGACCGCCCCGGTGCCCGTGTTGCCAAGCGCCGCCGCTGCCAGTCCAAGATCGGTGTCAACCACCGCATCACCACCACTGAGACCATGAAGTGGTACAAGACCAAGTACGATGGAATTATCCGTTAAGTCTGAAGAATCAGACATAATGGCTGGGTAGGGCCTGGGAAGTACGAGTTACTCGACAAGAACCAAAAAATTATCCCGAGTACTCGAGGAAACAAAATTTGTGGACGGGCACCCTACTGCCAGTCAGTGGGCCCCTTTGATCTCTGCATCCAACATGGTCTTGATTTTGTACTCCGGCAACCAGGATAGGCGTGGGAGAGACATGAATTGATTATTACCCTTTTACTGCTGCTTTTCCCTTTTCACAATGAGGCTTCACGAGAGGTGATGTTTTCCGCATAACCATTGTTGAAAAGGATGGTGGACACTAGGTTTCGACCTAGTGTCTAGCCAATACTCGCTTGAGAATGCCTTATGGGCTTCATCAAAGAGTCGGTCTCTTTCCCAGCGAGAATATTCTCGTGATGGATTGTGTACCTTGTTCTGGCCTATCTTGTCTATCCTTATCCTATCCTCCTAGGTGCCATTTGCCTGGCGTAGAAGTAAATCGTCGTAGCTTGTAGAGTGATGATATAGCCTTATGATCTGACGACAATGCCGATATTGGGACTGCTCACGCTTGTACACAATATAACGGGTGGCCGGCCCCCTGGACAGCAACATGTCCTGCGTGTGGAATAGCCCGTCCACCTGAGGTGGAGTCGTAATGATGCAAAAATTGAAATATGGGGCCAAGAAGACTTGAGTGTTTCTACTCCGGAGTCTGATCTATCAATATACTAATAATACTGGAGGGTAAATTACTGGTGAGTACTTGACACTTTCAAATGACCTGAGTTTTGAGAAGAATGAACTATTTTGATACCTAATGGTCTACAATTTAAATAGATTTATTTCCAATTATCTCAGTAGTATACAGAAATATATATCTACTAAAAAGACGAAACCTTCCTATATAATAAATCTAACTAACCATCCATAATAGTTTCTTTATATTAGAATAATAGCAAACCAAAGCGCTTGGGAGATATAGAAGTCCGTACCTGGAGACTCCAGTAAAGTAATAAGAGGGATAGAACAGGCTTGGTCCAAGATTAGTCGGAAAATTCTAAAAAAAACCATCACTGCTGTTCGTTTTCTCATTGTTCTTCTGTTGTCCGTGACGCAAATAATAATGCACAGTACCTAGGTAAGATAAGAGGACTGAGTATGAGCCTCTGGTTATACTATATTACACTCTGTAGAATGGCGAAAAGACCAGAAATTACTCCAATTCCAAAATCAACAACCATTAAACCGTAGTTTCCTTCTTCTGATCCGCCATCTCAATATTCTCGTTACTTGGCTTATAATCATCCGCACCTGTTTCCAAATCCATGGTTTTGGCATTGGCAGCTTCATCAACTCCAGCCACAACACTTTCGAACCGGCGACCACGTTTCTCAGGGCCAACTGCTGTAGTGACCACGATACCGAGAGCAATGATGGCCGTGGCAACTCCCATAACAGGTCCATAGGCCTCAACACGATGGCCGGCTGCACTAGTGATAAATGTGGATTCAGCAATGGCATTCACAATCTGTGACGATGGCGAGGAAATCATATTTCCAATCTGGTACGTCAGACCCGTGAATGAAGAGCGGAACGCCGGGGGAGACAGTTCGTTCAGATGAACGGGGATCACACCCCACGCTCCCTGAACAAAGAATTGCATGAAGAATCCGGTGACGCTCAGAGATCTCTCGCCTTCTGGCAGGATCCATGCTGGGATGAGGACTCCAGATACAAAGGCTGCGACGATGATTGCTCGGCGACGACCGAAGAACTGGGACAGGTAGCCGATGATGGTTCCGCCCACACAGGCTCCTGTCTTCATCAGAATCGAAGCTCGCGAGGCGCTCTCATTATCAAGTTCCTTTGCAGTGAGCATGAATGTGGTGTATGAGTCTTGGGATGTGTGGGAATAGAAATTGAACTATCACGGGACAAATTAGATATATGTTGGTAGAAGCTGGAATATTGGTCATAACATACCCAGGTCATAAGAATGACACAGTAAATGCACATGCGCCACTCCTTGCCCAACATGCTTATTGTTTCACGCCAAAACTCGCCTGCTTTCATTGTTCGCTTGCCGGCTTTCTTGGCTTCGATGAAGGACTGCGACTCGGGGAAGCAGATGCGTACGAGACCAACTGCAATTGAGATACCGGCTGCACAAGACAAATTGTTAGTAACAGGCAAATACTATTCGATGGGAATAGTAGACTCACCTGCAATCCAGAATACGGTCTTCCAACTATCTGTTGCACCGCCAACACCAAGGTTGGCGCATGCCGCAAACACATATCCCAGTGAGTACCCTTGTTGAAGGATTCCAGACATAAGACCTCTCGCGTTGACACTGGTTTGCAAAAAGGTTAACAAAAGTCACTCAGCCCTGGAGGATAATACTCACGGGCAATGTTCCAAAGCCATCGAAATGGCATTTCCATAAACGCCGCCCATGAAAAGACCAAAGAGACTTCGCACAGCCAAGAACTGCTGGAAGGTCTTACTATAAATGGTGGCAATTTGCAAGATTCCCAGAATGATCATATTCAGCACCATGGGCCATTTACGACCATATTTGTCACCAGCAAGTCCAAAGAAGGCAGCTCCCACACTCCTCAGCAGCAGAGTCAGAGTAATGGCAGTTGTAATATCTGTCTTGGATCTGTCGTAGTAAGTTGCCAGCTTTACTGTCTGAATGGAGAGGGCATGGAAGTCAAATGCATCAGCAGTCCAGGCAATGAGTCCCACTATAAAGAACACCCAGTCTCGAGCTGAAAGCTGCGCCATCAGACTAAGAGGGTTCTGAATGCGTTCTGGGTCTTGCCATTCTGCATATGTCTCTCCGTGTTCATTGGTCACCTCGACACGTTGCTTCCAGATGAAGAGATCTCCGATGGACTGACGTGCCGTGGCGAACATACCATTCGGAATGGGATCTGCCCTTTCATTGGGAGACGCCATTCTGGCGATCTATCAAGAGAGAGGGAAGAAAAAGCCGACAAAAAGGGAGGGAAAAAAAGGCAAGAAGATAGATAGAGGAAGTAGGTAAGACAAGCTAACCAAAAGAATAAGCAGATTACTCTGAACAAAATGGCCCAGAGAATTTGATAGCAGACTGGGATTCTTCCAAGGAAATCTTTGGTATATTCCTTTCAATTTCTACGCCTACGCTCGCCATTTTATAGGCACATACTACGATCCACCCCGCATCTCTATCCCGCATTTTTCTCGTGATAGTAACAGTAAATGCCGCTGCACCCCAGAATACCAGGATACCCCGAGTTTCGGACGGGATAGAATACCACTCCGCTCATGGGCCAAGCGAATGCCAAGGACTTAGATGGTCGTCCCTCCAATGTGAGGACAGGGTATAAGCAACATCCCGCATCACACACTTTTAAGGCTGGCTTGGCATGGGATGACCTTGCCCAGAGATCCTTCCGGGCTTGGCTCAAAAGGAGATAGACAGGCGTCTGCAAGCCGGATGGGACTGTGCGCGTGGTCATTGATCCGTTACGCCGAGAACCCATAGTTAAAAATGGGCCGATATGCACTCTAGTGGTTCCGATTCGGGATTTAACATGAGTTTACGGCCTAGACTCGTGGGAATAACTTCCTTTGGCGCTCTAGTGGACTGTTAGCAATCGGCTATATTGTCTTAAGGTGGGGGTTGCATGAGTTGGGATTGATAGTACTGAAACAACTTTATATTAAGAAAATACCAAAGGGTCATGGGCACTGCTCATCGGATGACGTCCGAACACTTGAGGCAAAATTGTGAAATGGTTGGATGAAGAGGCTCCGCTAGAGTGGATCGGCTTAAGGGGCCAATTCCCCAATTCCCCAATTCCCCAATCTTGGAATCTCCTGTTTGAAAATCTTGACTTTAGCCGCGAGAAGCTATGTTATACAAAGTATGTACACACCTTTGTATGTACAGTAAAAATCCAGTTATAACGATATATTTCAGATACAGCGAAAATATCGTTACAACTAGGCAATTGTTAAAGGTGCCATATATTAAGTATATATTTCTGGTTTACATACAAGTTTATACTCCAAAACTCCAAAACAAAGGCTCCTAATATCGCTCTGCTTCTCTATCCCCAATTTCCTCGCTTGTACTAACCTCTCATGTCTATTAAGCGCACTAGTTAATTATCTAGGTACTCTCGTAGAGCCACTTTCTAGGAGGTTAGGATCCATAGATCGATGGAACATTTTAATTGGTTGAGATTAATTAAACACACGTGACAAAAACCTCAATACAACTAATTTTGTATAGGAGGGAATGATGAATCAATGAAGTTCGTAGTAAAGAGGTTTTATCGATTTTTGTATGATCAACTCAAGTACCGGATCCTGATCGTTATAACAGTATCGTTATAAAACAGGGTTTACTGTACTATGTACCTGTAGAGGTTGGAATAAGCTGAGCCTGCACATTCCCTTCAGGGTCTACGGGCTGAGGGTCAGCTTATATTCTTATGTAGGCGTTAATAGCTTGCATTTAGAGAAATCGGGATATCCTTCAAAGAGCAGACTGATATATATATTTCCAGAATAGTAGAATCATGACCCAAAAAGAAGTCACAATGAGATAAAGAAATACTATGAGAGAACGTGCCAGTGGTCAGGTGGGAGAGAGAGCCACCTACGTGTACTTAGGAAATATTGGGGCATTTGTGAAGGCGGTCAGTTACCTAAGAACATAGGTAGAAGAGGTATGAAATTGGGTTGACAGCATTTCTCTGGGGCTCTCCCAGGTTAATTTGCCAAGCGACATAACAGCAAGTTTGCTATCTACATTTCACTTTACTCTCTCAATTTCTTTATCTTCTCTACTCACAAACACTGCATCTGAAAGAGAGGATCTTGGAAGCCCCTGTGTCACGTGATCTTCCATAAGCGACACCTCAGCAACGACAGCAGCGGCCTCCTGAGGTCACTTCCGCATCTACCAGATCTCTACCCTCCCCCTCTCTCCATACGTCTTCTTCTTTTCTTTTTTTCTTCCTCGTGGAATTCGCACTTCATCCCACTTTTTTCATCATACTTCAATTCTTCTGCCTTCTTTGCGTGGCGTTTCATTCAGCGGACAAGGTCGTACTCCGGCCTACGTAAATATGGCACCTCTTCCCATCAAGTTCACAGAGCTGGTCAATGTACGTGGCTACCCCTCATCTCTATCCAATAATCATTGAAGCTTTGAAACTAACCTGCGCATGGATTCTACAGTTGACCTCTGTCGGCATTTTGGTATGTACAGCCAACCATGATTACCGGCGATGCTTCGTGACTAGCTTAAGCTTCAAGACGGATGCACCGGCCGCGCATCGCAATACCCCTGGATACCTTGGGATTTTTTACTAACGTTTATGTCTACAGCCGGCATCAATTGGCTTCACTTCATGTGTAAGTTCTTTACTGTCGCCTTGCGACTGCCCCTCAAAATATGGATGACAAGGCCTGGCTAACATAGAACTCTCTTGCATTTTAGACACTAGAATCCGATCACTACGTCTGTGTTCGTCAAAAGCTGGACGATGAGAGCAAACCAGAAGTCATCATTATCGACCTCAAGAACAACAATGAAGTTCTACGACGCCCGATCAACGCCGACAGTGCGATTATGCATTGGAACAAGAACATTATCGCTTTGAAGGCCCAGGGACGCACCATTCAGATCTTTGACCTTGGCGCGCGGCAAAAGCTCAAGTCGGCGAATATGAATGAAGATATTGTCTACTGGAAGTGGTTCAGCGAAAGGTCCCTGGGTCTGGTCACCGACTCAGCGGTCTACCACTGGGATGTCTACGATGCGACACAGCAGAACCCCGTCAAGGTGTTCGACCGACTTCCCAACCTTGCAGTATGTTTTTGCGACGTGAATACAACAATCTAAGCCTAGTATACTAACATGGGCGTGCTCTTTAGGGATGCCAAATTATCAACTACCGCGTCAACGCCGAGGAGAAGTGGATGGTTGTGGTTGGTATTAGCCAGCAGCAGGGCCGTGTCGTTGGATCGATGCAGCTTTACTCAAAGGAGCGCGGGATCTCTCAGTTTATCGAAGGCCATGCCGCCTCTTTCGCCAACATTACTGTTGAGGGTTCCCCCCTACCCCACAGTCTCTTTACCTTCGCCGTTCGTACCCAAACGGGCGCCAAGCTGCAAATTGCCGAAATTGACCACCAAGAACCCAACCCTCGCTTCCAGAAGAAGGCAGTCGAGGTGTACTTCCCACAAGAGGCAGTCAATGATTTCCCCGTCGCAATGCAGGTTTCCAGCAAGTACGACGTGGTCTACCTCGTTACGAAATATGGCTTCATCCACCTTTATGATCTCGAGACTGGCACTTGTATCTTCATGAACCGCATCTCCAGCGAGACGATCTTCACCACGACTGCGGATTCCGAGGGAGCCGGTCTAGTCGGTGTGAACCGCAAGGGCCAGGTCCTGGCCGTCAGTGTTGACGAAAACAATATTATCCAGTACCTTATGGAGAACCCCGCCATGTCCGGTCTTGCTATCAAACTTGCCTCGAAGGCTGGCCTTCCAGGAGCAGACCACCTGTATCAGCAGCAGTTCGACTCTCTCATGGCCTCGCAGGATTACGCCGAAGCCGCCAAAATTGCTGCCAACTCCCCCGGGGTTTCCTCCGCACTCTGGACACCATCAACCGTTTCAAGAGCGCTCCTCAGACTGGACAGATGTCAGTGATCTTGCAGTACTTTGGTATGCTGTTGGATAAGGGTTCGCTCAATAGGTACGAAAGTGTTGAGCTTGTCCGACCCGTTTTGCAGCAGAACCGCAAGCACTTGCTTGAGAAGTGGATGCAGGAGAAGAAGCTGGAGAGCTCGGAGGAGCTTGGTGACATTATCCGGCCATATGATATGTCCCTTGCCCTGACCGTTTATCTTCAAGCCAATGTTCCTAACAAGGTTGTTGCCGGATTCGCGGAGACCGGTCAGTTCGACAAGATTCTTGCATACTCCAAGCAAGTTGGATACCAGCCGGACTACACCCAGCTGCTTCAGCACATCGTTCGCGTAAACCCCGAGAAGGGCGCTGAATTCGCTACTCAGCTCGCGAACGAAGAAAGCGGCGCATTGGTTGATCTTGACCGCGTTGTCGACGTGTTCCTGTCACAGAACATGATCCAACAGGCTACTTCGTTCCTCCTGGACGCCCTTAAGGACAACAAGCCCGAGCACGGTAACCTGCAAACTCGCCTTCTCGAGATGAACCTCGTCAACGCCCCCCAAGTCGCAGATGCCATCCTCGGCAACGAAATCTTCACACACTTCGACCGTCCTCGTATCGCCCAGCTTTGCGAGAACGCCGGTCTTATCCAGCGTGCCTTGGAGAACACGGATGACCCAGTTGTAATCAAGCGCAACATTGTTCGCACCGACAAGCTGAGCCCCGAGTGGCTGATCAGCTACTTCGGTCGTTTGTCTGTGGAGCAGACTCTTGACTGCATGGACACCATGCTGGAGTCGAACATTCGCCAGAACCTGCAGTCTGTGGTCCAGATTGCCACCAAGTTCTCCGACCTTCTTGGTGCTAACCGTCTGATCGATCTTCTGGAGAAATACCGCACTGCCGAGGGTCTTTACTATTATTTGGGAAGCATTGTCAACCTCAGCGAGGACCCTGAGGTACACTTCAAGTACATCGAGGCTGCCACGGCCATGAACCAGCTCACCGAGGTTGAGCGTATTTGCCGTGAGAGCAACTACTACAACCCTGAGAAGGTAAAGAACTTCCTGAAGGAAGCCCGCCTGACCGAGCAGCTCCCTCTGATCATCGTTTGTGATCGTTTCAACTTTATCCATGATTTGGTCCTGTACCTCTACCAGAGTCAACAGTTCAAGTCGATCGAGGTTTATGTCCAGCGTGTCAACCCTGGTCGTGCCCCTGCTGTTGTTGGCGGCTTGCTTGATGTTGACTGCGATGAGGCTATCATCAAGAATCTCCTCTCGAGCGTCGACCCATCCGTCATCCCCATCGACGAGCTTGTTTCTGAGGTCGAGAGCCGAAACCGCCTCAAGCTGCTCCTGCCTTTCCTCGAGGCCACTCTTGCCACTGGCAACCAGCAGCAGGCCGTCTACAATGCTCTTGCAAAGATCTACATTGACAGCAACAACGACCCAGAGAAGTTCCTTAAGGAGAACGACCAGTACGACACTCTCGTTGTTGGAAAGTACTGTGAGAAGCGTGACCCCAATCTGGCGTACATTGCCTACAGCAAGGGCCAGAACGACTTGGAGCTCATTAGCATCACCAACGAGAACTCCATGTTCCGTGCTCAGGCTCGTTACCTCGTTGAGCGTGCCGATTCCGAGATCTGGGCCTTTGTCCTCAGCGAAAACAATGAGGGCCGGCGTTCCCTTGTGGACCAGGTCATCGCCACCGCAGTTCCCGAGTCTACCGAACCCGAAAAGGTGTCTGTCGCCGTCAAGTCGTTCCTTGAGGCTGATCTTCCCGCCGAGCTGATTGAGCTGCTCGAGAAGATCATTCTGGAGCCCTCTCCATTCAGTGATAACACCAGCTTGCAAAACCTCTTGATGTTGACTGCTGCCAAGGCTGATAAGGGTCGCCTGATGGACTATATTCACCAGCTCAACGAGTTCTCCGCTGATGAAATTGCCGAGATGTGTACCAGTGTTGGTCTGTACGAGGAGGCCTTTGAGGTCTACAAGAAGGTTAACAACAACCTGGCTGCCGTCAATGTGCTTGTGGAGAACATTGTCAGCATCGACCGAGCTCAAGAATTTGCTGAGCGTGTTGAGCTGCCTGAGGTTTGGAGCAAGGTCGCTAAGGCCCAACTCGATGGCCTTCGTGTGACTGACTCAATTGAGTCCTACATCCGTGCCGAGGACCCGTCCAACTACCACGAGGTGATTGAGACTGCAACTCATGCAGGCAAGGATGAGGATCTCGTCAAGTTCCTTCGCATGGCGCGCAAGACGCTGCGTGAGCCAGTTATTGATACCGGTCTTGCTTTCTGCTTTGCCCGCCTGGATCAGCTTGCCGAGCTGGAGGACTTCCTTCGCACTACCAATGTTGCGGACATTGAAGCTTCCGGCGACAAGGCTTATGCTGAAGGCTTCCACAATGCTGCTAAGATCTTCTACACCAACATCTCTAACTGGGCTAAGTTGGCGACTACCTTGGTGCACTTGGAGGACTACCAGGCTGCAGTGGAGTGTGCCCGCAAGGCTAACAGCGTCAAGGTCTGGAAGCAAGTCAACGAGGCCTGTGTTGAGAAGAAGGAGTTCCGCCTGGCCCAGATTTGCGGTCTCAACCTGATTGTTCACGCCGAAGAGCTGCAGAGTCTCGTTCGCCAGTACGAGCGCAATGGTTACTTCGACGAACTGATCGCTGTCTTGGAGGCAGGTCTTGGTCTCGAGCGGGCTCACATGGGCATGTTCACCGAGCTTGGCATTGCTCTGTCCAAGTACCACCCAGACCGTGTCATGGAGCACCTGAAGCTCTTCTGGTCTCGTATCAACATTCCCAAGATGATCCGGGCCTGCGAGGAAGCCAATCTCTGGCCGGAGCTTGTGTTCTTGTACTGCCACTACGATGAGTGGGACAACGCCGCTCTTGCTATGATGGAGCGTGCAGCCGATGCCTGGGAGCACCACTCGTTCAAGGATATTATCGTCAAGGTTGCCAACTTGGAGATTTACTACCGGGCGCTGAACTTCTACCTTCAGGAGCAGCCTCTTCTGCTCACTGACCTGCTTCAGGTTCTGACCGCTCGTATCGACGTCAACCGTGTCGTTCGCATCTTCCAGACCTCTGACAACATCCCTCTGATCAAGCCCTTCCTGCTCAATGTGCAATCCCAGAACAAGCGGGCCGTCAACGACGCCATTAACGAGATTCTGATTGAGGAGGAGGACCACAAGCTGCTCAAGGACTCTGTTGACCAGAATGACAACTTTGATGCCGTCGCTCTTGCCCAGCGTCTTGAGAAGCACGACCTCATTTTCTTCCGCCAGATTGCGGCCAACATTTACCGCAACAACAAGCGCTGGGAAAAGTCGATTGCGCTCTCCAAGCAAGACAAGCTCTACAAGGATGCTATCGAGACCGCCGCTATCTCTGCCAAGCCCGATGTTGTGGAGGATCTTCTCCGCTACGTAAGTTTTCTATCCCTGTTATTGCTGGAGATTTTACTAATTTTAATAACTAGTTCGTCGATATTGGTAGCCGCGAGTGCTATGTTGGCATGCTTTATGCCTGCTACGACCTCATCCGCCCCGACGTCATTATGGAGATCTCATGGCGCAAGGGTCTCCACGACTTCACTATGCCCTTCATGATCAACTTCCTCTGCGAGCAGACCCGATCAATTGAGATGCTTAAGAAGGACAACGAGGAGCGTAAGAACCGTGAGAAGACAACCCGTACAGAGGAGGACAATACTCCCATCTTGCAGGGCTCGCGGCTCATGCTGACTCAGGGCTCTCACTCCAACGGGGCCGGTCTCACACCTCAGGCAACTGGGTACCGTGGATTCTAGAACCGTGCACTGTTTTTGCTTTTGATTTTCCGTTTCTCTTGCATTTGTAACATACAGCGGAAGTGATGGTTTGAGGTTGCAAAAGAAACGATTTCATATGGGGAATGATTACGCCAAGAGCGCAACATAGGAGGAACTCATGACAGCCCATTAATCTTGCTTTCTGATATTTTTTTCTTTCGCCGCATGTATTTGATAAGCTTGCGATTTTTTTTCTAGTGCTTTTAACCGGCTGGGCCAAGGCCCGATATTCAGTAATAGCATTGCGATTTCTCTAGTTTTTTTCTATTCTCACCGCAGTAGCCTCCGTAATTTCCTGTTTTTCCACAATTCCGAGGCTGCCAAGGGTCCGCCCAGGCGGATCCAATTCGAGTATTCGAGCATCGAGGTCTTCGGTGAAGAATGTAGCATCGCCAAGATGCCAAGGTAAATCATCTGCAACTATTTCTTTGTCCTTATGCGATATTGAAGGTAAGTCTTCTTGCAGATCACTCCCTTATCAAATTTCAGGCCCATGAGGCGTGATAATAGGTTGGCATTGAACCGTGTCTTGGCCTGTATGTTGTACTCCGTACTCCGTAAGCTACATATGGATAGATGCTAGTGTGGATAATCGTGGATAATCCCCTTCCCCACTCTCCCTTCAGGGTTACTTTGTACATCTTGGTTCGAACAAGTAAGCATAATTCCCGTTTATTTTTTTAGCCCTAGTGCTTCCTACGAGACTCCTGAGGTATACAATGTACAATATAGGGTTTCGCAATTCCGACGAGAGCTCAGTCTGCCGAATCCTTACTCGGCCCGGTTAGAGGGAAAATGTCCAATTCCCCCGCGAGCTCGCGGGAGAAGCATCATGTAAGGGCTAGTGGCGGAAAGAAGGGTGTGGATTTTTCCGTCGGGGGTTGTGAGTTTATGCAGAAGCGTGAACAAAAGAACTCCCACGGATTGCATTGATATCACTCGGGGAAATTTCCAAGGCTGGATTTTGGTAGATAAGCGCTTCGAGTGATGATTACACACCCCTTTCACATCTTTCAGTGCATAAACCCAAAGCGGCAGCTTATCAGCCAAGAGTAGGAGTGTTGTAGGATTCTCTGGGCACTGTAAAAAGGAGTAGATAATGGGACTCCGTAGATCAGGTTACATTCTCGGGCTTATGGAAGGTGCTCACAGTGGAATAGCTCGGGGTGTATAGAACACCTTGGCATCTTGAGAACCCCCAATGGCCTGGGAATGCCGCTCTCTTGGCATGCATGCTTAAGGTCTATGACCAGATTGGTAGTACCTGTCATATAAGCGGGAGATCCCCCCGGAGTGCCAAGAGGAGATATGTTGTAAGGTTGAATTCGGGAGGGGGATGGGCTGGATCATGTCTCGATCATGGGAAGGGAATAATAGTGGAGATCTATAGGCCATTGTACTGACACGAATCAAATAGCGTCATGGATTGCGCCTATCGGCCGGGTAGCCAATCCTTTGATTGTAAAAGACGCATGACCGGTCGAAGATTTTTATTTAAATAGCCAGTGAATAAAATGAGTCAGATAGTCAGATCGGATCTTACCTACCTTATACGGAGTATGTACATATAGTCAATTAATGTATATTCCGCACATATGTATATGTAGATAATGTGTATGTTGTACTCCGTACTACGGAGTAGAGATATCGGCTCGGTGACATCTTCCCCGAACTTTTGAGCGAGCTTTTGAGCCAAGGAGGACTGGAAAGAAACTTGTTATTGGCCCGATCCACTTCGATCCCTGCACATGTGTTTGTCGAGTGTTCTCCGAGACTCCCCCGGATTTTTCCCTTCTTCTCTCAGTTCCCCCGTGAATATCCGCGCAGTTGCGAATCAAAGTTGAAAATTGTTGTATGTTAATGTCCCGACAGCCCGAGGTACCTAGGTATATGGGCGGAATGAGTTACCTAAATTACCCGAAATTATCGTGATTATAGCGAGTTATCGTGAAAAGAGCATGGGGGAGTTATCGTGAACGAACAGGGGAAGTTCTCGTCCGGGGTAGGGAATAATAGGAATATAGTATGTAGCTAGGGTTAGGGGAGTATACTAAGGTACAAGGGTCAGCACAAAAGGACCCCCGCATGGGATTTGGTTATGGCTTTAGCAAATTATTTCTCTATTTGGCCAAAATCATTTTAAATCAAATCAAATCAGATAATCCAATTATTTCTATTCCGCGTATTATTATATTATTATTCTATTCGATTTGATCATTCCCAATTTCTAGGCATTGGTCCCGGTGTACCGGTGAACCTGTAGGTACCTGTTACCTCATTCCTGGAGTCAATTTACTCGCCCCGGAAAGTATCTGTGACATGTAGATCACGCTTGTGATTCCCCTCTTTATCTAACCCCTCCCTCCCCCCCCAAAAAAACCGCCGACTCTTTTTTTCTTTCTGTCTTTCTATTCATCTTCCTACAACCCCAATTCCAATTCTATTCAACTTCAATTATACAGCTTCTGTTGCTTATAGTGAGACACAGTGCAAGCGATTGCGCCAGTGATCCGCCGAAACCGGCCTGAAGTTGGATCCGGATAGCTACCCCCCAAGCTTCTTATAGTGAGTCACGGGTCACCGCCTCTGCTTTCCACACCGGAAGAAGCTCAGGAACCTCGGGAACCTCGACTAATTCAGTTTTCTCTAGTAAACACTCCCTTGTAACCTTTCTCCCCCACCTCACATCTACATTCATCATGGCTGCTGTCCCGCACCGCCAACCGGAGAATGCCATTGATGAGTCCGACTTCATCGAGGACCACAATGAGCACCATCAGGACTCCGTCCACCGTCGTCTGCGGGCCAACTCGACCATCATGCACTTCCAAAAGATTCTAGTCGCCAACCGTGGTGAAATCCCCATCCGTATCTTCCGTACCGCACACGAACTGTCCCTCCAGACGGTCGCAGTCTTCTCGCACGAAGATCGTCTCTCCATGCATCGTCAGAAGGCTGATGAGGCCTATATGATCGGCCACCGGGGCCAATATACCCCTGTCGGTGCTTATCTGGCTGGTGATGAGATCATCAAGATCGCCCTCGAGCACGGTGTCCACCTGATCCACCCCGGCTACGGTTTCCTTTCGGAGAATGCTGAGTTTGCCCGCAATGTTGAGAAGGCTGGCATTGTGTTCGTGGGTCCTACCGCTGAGACCATCGATGCCCTTGGTGATAAGGTTTCTGCCCGTACTGCCGCTATCAAGTGCAATGTCCCCGTTGTCCCCGGTACTCCCGGCCCCGTCGAGCGCTTTGAAGATGTCAAGGCCTTCACTGATGAATTTGGCTTCCCTATCATTATTAAGGCTGCCTTTGGTGGTGGTGGCCGTGGTATGCGTGTCGTCCGTGCCCAGTCTGACCTGCGTGACGCTTTCGAGCGTGCTACCTCCGAGGCCAAGACCGCCTTCGGTAATGGTACCGTCTTCGTTGAGCGTTTCCTTGACCAGCCTAAGCACATTGAGGTTCAGCTTCTCGGTGATAACCAGGGCAATGTTGTCCACCTCTTCGAGCGTGACTGCTCTGTCCAGCGTCGCCACCAGAAGGTCGTTGAGATTGCTCCTGCCAAGGACCTTCCCACCGATGTTCGTGATAAGATCTTGTCTGATGCCGTGAAGCTTGCTAAGTCAGTTCGGTACCGTAACGCTGGTACTGCTGAGTTCCTTGTTTGTGGCAATGAGCACTACTTCGTGAGTTCTTTTCCTTGAAAATTAGCGTGGACCATTTCTGGTCCTTCTCTAAGCTCATTTTGCTAACTGAAACAGATCGAGATCAACCCCAGAATTCAAGTCGAGCACGTTAGTTAACCCATCCTTCAAGATCTACCTGACCTAAGCCTAACCCTTCAACAGACTATTACCGAAGAAATCACCGGTATCGACATTGTGGCCGCCCAGATCCAGATTGCTGCTGGTGCAACCCTCGAACAACTTGGCCTTACCCAGGACCGCATCTCGACCCGCGGTTTCGCCATTCAGTGCCGTATCACTACTGAGGATCCCGCTAAGGGCTTCTCCCCGGACACTGGTAAGATCGAGGTCTACCGCTCTGCTGGTGGCAATGGAGTCCGTCTGGACGGTGGTAACGGCTTCGCTGGTGCCATTATCACTCCCCACTACGACTCTATGCTGGTCAAGTGTACTTGCCGTGGCTCTACCTACGAGATTGTCCGCCGCAAGATGCTGCGTGCTCTGGTTGAGTTCCGTATCCGCGGTGTCAAGACCAACATTCCTTTCCTTGCTTCGCTTCTGAGCCACCCCACATTCATCGATGGTACTTGCTGGACTACATTCATTGATGACACCCCCGAGCTGTTTACCCTCGTTGGCAGTCAGAACCGTGCCCAGAAGCTGCTTGCTTACCTGGGTGACGTTGCTGTCAACGGCAGCAGCATCAAGGGCCAGATCGGTGAGCCCAAGTTCAAGGGCGATATCATCAGACCTATTCTCAACAATGCTGAGGGCAAGCCCATTAGCCTCTCCACACCCTGCACTCAGGGCTGGAAGCAGATCCTGGATAGCCAAGGCCCTGAGGGCTTCGCTCGCGCTGTGCGCGCTAACAAGGGCTGCTTGATCATGGACACCACCTGGCGTGATGCCCACCAGTCTTTGCTTGCCACCCGTGTGCGAACAATTGATATGCTGAACATCGCTACTGAGACCAGCTACGCATTGAGCAACGCTTACGCGCTCGAGTGCTGGGGTGGAGCCACCTTCGATGTGGCTATGCGCTTCCTCTATGAGGATCCTTGGGACAGACTCCGCAAGATGCGCAAGGCCGTCCCCAACATTCCCTTCCAGATGCTGCTGCGTGGTGCCAATGGTGTTGCCTACTCTTCCCTTCCCGATAACGCCATCTACCACTTCTGTAAGCAGGCCAAGAAGTACGGTGTCGATATCTTCCGTGTCTTCGATGCCCTGAACGATCTTGATCAGCTCGAGGTCGGTGTTAAGGCTGTCCACGAAGCCGGTGGTGTTGTTGAGGCCACCATGTGCTACAGTGGTGACATGCTGAACCCCAAGAAGAAGTACAGCTTGGAGTACTACTTGGACCTGGTCGACAAGATCGTCAAGATGGGCCCCCACGTTCTTGGAATTAAGGATATGGCTGGTGTGCTTAAGCCCCAGGCTGCCCGCCTGCTGGTCGGTGCCATCCGCAAGCGCTACCCCGATCTCCCCATCCACGTTCACACTCACGACTCCGCTGGAACTGGTGTCGCCTCCATGATTGCCTGTGCTGAGGCCGGCGCTGATGCCGTGGATGCCGCTACCGACAGTATGTCTGGTATGACCTCGCAGCCCAGCATTGGTGCTCTCCTTGCTTCGCTCCAGGGTACCGAGTACGACCCCAAGCTGGATCTGTCCCACATCCGCGCTATCGACAGCTACTGGGCCCAGCTCCGTCTGCTTTACTCTCCCTTCGAGGCTGGTCTGACCGGCCCCGACCCCGAGGTCTATGAGCACGAGATCCCCGGTGGCCAATTGACCAACCTGATCTTCCAGGCCAGTCAGCTGGGTCTTGGACAGCAGTGGGCTGAGACCAAGAAGGCGTACGAGGTGGCCAACGAGTTGCTGGGCGACATCGTCAAGGTCACTCCCTCCTCCAAGGTCTGTGGTGATTTCGCCTCCTGGATCGTCAGCAACAAGCTGTCTGCCCAGGACGTGCTTGACCGTGCCGATCAGCTCGACTTCCCTGGATCAGTCTTAGAATTCTTCGAGGGTATGATGGGCCAGCCCTACGGCGGCTTCCCCGAGCCTCTGCGTACCAAGGCCCTCCGCGGCCGTCGCAAGCTCGACAAGCGCCCCGGTCTGTACATGGAGCCCCTGGACCTCATCAAGATCAAGAGTGAGATCCGTGAGAAGTTCGGCACCGCCACCGAGTGCGACGTCGCCAGTTACGCCATGTACCCCAAGGTGTTCGACGAATACCGCAAGTTCGTGCAGAAGTTCGGTGATCTCTCCGTTCTGCCCACACGCTACTTCCTTGCCCGCCCCGAGATCGGCGAGGAGTTCCACGTCGAGCTGGAGAAGGGTAAGGTCCTGATCCTGAAGTTGCTCGCCATCGGTCCTCTCTCCGAGCAGACCGGCCAGCGTGAGGTCTTCTACGAGGTCAACGGTGAAGTCCGCCAGGTCAGCGTCGATGACCAGAAGGCTTCAGTCGAGAACCTCTCCCGCCCCAAGGCCGAGCCCACAGATAGCAGCCAGGTCGGCGCTCCCATGAGCGGTGTCGTGGTTGAGATCCGCATCCACGATGGCCACGAGGTCCTCAAGGGTGATCCTATTGCGGTGCTGAGCGCCATGAAGATGGTATGTTATTCTGTCTTGTTTTCTATTATATACGAATCTGTCGCTAATTTTTCATCTAGGAAATGGTTATCTCTGCCCCGCACAGCGGAAAGGTGTCCGGCCTCCAGGTCAAGGAGGGCGACTCCGTCGATGGCCAGGACCTGATCTGCAGGATCAGCAAGGCTTAAAAGCATAGTGACTCTGTAATACTGAACCATGCACGATTTGGGATGCGTGATGTGATTGAATGATTTCTCAGCGATTTTTAGTTTTATGTTTATCGGGTTCGTCTCTGGATTTTGATAATTTGCTGCTCCAGCTTATTCGGATTCAAACAAGGTTTCTTCCGTTGCAGTGATTTTGGACATCTCTAGTGTTCAGAAAATTTCCAAGTCATATGTATATGTAGAACTCCGTACATTTACTCAAATTCCCCCTAGAAGTCGGTAATCCCGGGGCCAAATCTACCCCCGAACGGACTTCTGCCGATATCCCCCCACCAAGCACTTCTCCTTCTCCAACTGCCAATGGCCAATGACGAATGGTGAATAGCCGATCTTCTTGCCTCTCACCAATGAAATTGGATCCCCTCTTTATCTCGGCTACTAAGCGTCCGAAAACTGTGGAATGAAGCACCGAAAGATAACGTCTTAAAGGGCGTGGTGCCCGGTCTCGGACAGCTCAATATACTTGAATACCTCAGAATAGAGACGTGCGTATTTACATCTGTGTCAATTGGGATCTATACCCCGCTACCCCAAATCAACCATCAACAGACTAGAAACCAAGAAAAATGGAAACAGCTCGCCGCGCTTACCTCAAATCCCTCGCCCATCGCGGTACAATCCAAGGCGTAACGATCTCAACATCGCCTTCTCCCACCAGTCAACTCAAAGACCTCTGCCACTACTTCGGCGGCGTCCGCTACGGCCTTGCCCCTGCTGAGCGCTGGCGCCGAGCCCAGCCCCTACCTGCATCTTTCACCTACGGCAGCGAAGAAGCACCAGGCCATTGTGATGAGGGTGCGGGGCTTTGTCCTCAACCGGGTTTCCGACATACGCCCGAGAACCCAGATGCATGGAACGAGGATTGCTTCCAGTGTAATGTTTGGACGCCTATTGGGAAGGTGCCTGAGGGGGGATGGCCTGTTTTTGTTTTTATTCGTAAGTATTGTCTGATTAAATTTGGGATATATGGGATTCGGACCTGGAATGGGGTAGGATTGTTCTATATAAACCGTACTAACAGGTATTGTTCGATGCAGATGGCGGATGGCTCCAATTCGGCACGCCCAATTCATTTAATGCAGCTGCATTGATCGGCGAGGCTGATTTCAATTGTGTGGTTGTGATGCCTGCATACCGAGTCAACCTATTTGGATTCCTCTACTCTGAAGAACTGGAGGAAGACGCAGCCACTGTCGGAGAGACAGTTGGGAATCACGGATTCTGGGACCAGAGACTAGCACTCAAGTGGACGAAGGAGAACATCCATCTATTCGGCGGGAACCCGGAGACCATCACGATCTCAGGATATTCTGCAGGTGCAAACTCCGTCTTCCACCAACTAGCTTACGACTTGCGCCAACCAGACGAGGACTCTATCATCCGGCAAGCATGTATCTGGTCCAACAGTCCAGCCGTACAGCCCAAACAGCCAACCGAAACACAAACCCAATTCAATCAACTCCTGACAGTCCTGGAAATCCCCCTCACCCTGTCAAATAGCGAGAAACTCACCCGTCTACGCTCAATCCCCGCAAAAACCCTCCTCGACAAAGCAAGAACAATCTCCCTCCACCAATTCCGCCCAACAACAGATAAATCCTTCATCTCCCCATCCCTCTTCCAAACCCTAGACAGCGGCGCCTTCGCCCGCAGCCTCCTATCCCGCAACATCCGCCTCATAATAGGCGAATGCAGCGACGAGCGCTTCCTCTACAGCGCATGGTTCCCACCGACAGAGAATACCTTCTCAGCACTACGCACCCGTCTCGTGGCAGATTACCCAGAACACATCGTCGACGCCGTAACAGCACTGTATTACCCGGACAACCATCTACCGGCACACTGCAAGAACTGGGACGAGGACGCGTGGGGCCGAATCTACGCTGATATGCAGGTGCATCAGATGCAGCGTGGGTTTGCGTATGCGCTTACGGAGAACGAGAACGGAGTCGATGCTTCCGCGTTGCTGTTTCGGTATCGGATCGAGTGGAGGGCGAAGTGTGTGGAGGTTAGTTTACCGGTTGAGTGGGGGGTTACGCATTCGTCGGATTATCCTATTTGGTTCTTTGGGAATGGGTTTTTGTTGGAAGAGGGTGAGAAGGGGGTTGTTAAGGAGGGGCTTGTTGGGCCTTTAGGGAGGTTTGTTTGTGGGGAGGGGGAGTTTGGGTGGGGGACTTCTGGGGCTAAGTTTGTTAGGACTTTGAGGGGGGATGGGAGTGTTGAGATTGTGGAGGATGGGGGTTGGGAGGAGGGTGTTAGGGTTTGGAGGGCGTTGAGGGAGGCTGATACGAGGATGGGATGAAGATGAGATGTACTAAATATGTATATATGTATGAGCATATTCAGACTTCTACTCGATCACTTGATCTTACATTCCCTTGCTTTGATACTAGCCCTAATCTCACTTAGAGCAGCACTTGCTATATACAGCAGTGTAGTTCGTCATATAGGCTGTTAGTATTGCTGGTATTCTGGGGTGCTTAGGTATGGAGTATATTATTTCGAAAAAAATGCTTTTGATATAGGATAGATGCATGTAAGCGGCCTGAATAGTCCTAGTTTACGGACTGCCCCGGATTAGTATTTCACCATCCCTGTCGTGATGGGGTCACAGCATGGTCCGAGCTGTATGGTGTGCATGAGTCTGCGAGTACTACTGGTGTAGGGAGGCTGCATGTGTATGCAGTTATCTCACAAACTGTATACTTGAGGATTCGTAATCTTAAGATATGTACATGGATCCCAACCTGTATATCTATACAAAAGCCTAAGCATGATTTTGTTTCATGGGGGAACCACGATCAAGCATGCGTTAACATCAACTGTCGCACACACGCAAGATGCACATCAATGCATATGCAGAGATCTGTGGCTCGTTGAACTAGGTAATACACCAGGCGACGTAATGTCTAAGCCAGGTTATGAGGCCTGCTGCGAGCCTCTTCCTTTCACTAAATGCATGCGCCGTTGCACGGTTTGTGAAGAATTCATTCCCACTACAACAGCCAAAGTGTATATACTCTTACACTCCTCAATGTTTGCTTCAATATTGATTGGAGAATTCCTTTGTATTGAGCTTCCTGTCATAGTAAAACAAAATGACGTATTGGTTGCATGAAATACCAGAACGTTTCAACTGTGCATGGGTTGGAATTATCTATGTTTAAAAGACTCTTGTTCGGTCGATAAATTCTACCCAAGAGTTCATCCAATTTGGATGTTTCACCTCAATAACCACATCTAAAACATCCATTCTTACTGTCTCCAAGTTTATCCAGCATGGAGCAGATACTCCGGCGCCATGTATATCAAACTCCCGACAAAGAAGCAATAATCGAGGGGTCGACTCATCTTACATATTCAGAACTTCTCAAGACCGCCTCTCGCTTCATTCATACCATATCCTTGCTGGGGTCTGTAGAAGATGATGAGCCTATTGGAATTCTTCTTCCAGCTGGGTTGAAGCAAGTCGTGGCTCAAGTGGCAGTACATCTTGCCGGTGCCACCTGTGTCCCACTGGACATCTCCCAGCCCCCTAAAAGGATCAAGAGCATGTTGTCAGAAATTGGTGCCAAGAGGCTCTTGCTTGATACTGATCTTGTTGATGCTTTTCCTGAGTTCTCCTGTGTCACAATGGGAGATTTAGAGGCGGATAGCTGCGATGGAAATTCCTCCAAATCTTTGAATATCGCAAACGGTGATAGTGTTGACCACAAGTATCGGCGAAGCCATATTCTCTTCACCTCAGGTTCAACTGGCCGACCCAAGGCAGTTCAGATTAGCGAAAAGAGCATCATCCACCTGTCTTCCAAGTCCGATGTGACCCCATTACTCGGAGACGACCGTGTTGGGGAATTGAATAGTCCTGGCTTTGATCTTAGTTTATTTGAAATTTGGGTCACTCTGCTGTCAGGCGCTACGATTGTGGTGATTCCCAAGGATATTGTTGTCGATTCGGATACCTTATCAGTATTCCTGGCAGAGAATCAGATCACTGTAGTGATTTTCCCAACTGCACTCTTCAATATCACTGTTTCGGTTCTGCCAAGTTCCTTTCAGGGTCTTCGTCATGTCCTAGTAGCTGGAGAAGCAGCGAGCGTCCGGGCCATGCGATCTGTCTTGAACAGCCAGCCTCCCCAGCACCTATGGAATGCCTACGGGCCAACTGAGGGCACCACTATGGTGACCATGTTTGAGGTTACATCTACTGAAGCACAACGAGATCACATAAGTATTGGATATCCTATTGGTGAAACAGAAATATATTTGATCGACGACAACGCGCAACTAATCTGGGAATGTGGCCTCAGTGGGGAGATCTGCATCGCAGGTCCAGCAAAGTCTGCCGGATACCTCAACAACCACAGTGACAATGCCGAGCGCTTCATTAAAATCTCGACCAAATCAGATGGCAATGGCCAGGTTGATGCCTATCGAACCGGTGACATAGGTCAATGGAGGAGCGATCTGCCTGGCTGTCTTGACTATATCGGTCGGAAAGACACACAAGTAAAACACCAGAGCTTCCGTGTTGAATTGGAAGAGATCGAACGTGTTCTTCAAAGGGATAATAGGATTGCATATGCTGTGGTCACAAAGCTGAATCACCCGCAATCTCCTGGATCTTCCGTCTTGGTGGCCCATATTATTCCTAGCAAGGGAAATGAGAAGATCGCGCCAGATCTCCTGCTTGAATCAGCACGAGAGACACTGCCTTACTATATGGTTCCTAGAAGAATTGAAATCGTCTTTAACTTTCCGTTAACACCAAACGGGAAAGTTGACCGGAGGACATTAACAGACCGTCCTAGTTCAGCCCAGTCGTTAGGATGTACCAGTCGACAAAAAAATCCCAAGAACCTTGCCAATGGAGAAAATAAGAGCTCCACTGTGACCAAGCTCTGGAAAGATCTCCTTGGCGTGCCCCATATCGAGGAAGATGATGATTTCTTTCTCCTGGGAGGAACTTCGTTGCAATCAGCAGCATTGATCGCATTGATCCTAGGCCGAACCGGGCGTCGTATTACCATGAAAGAGCTTCATTGTCACTCTCGGCTAACACAACTATTACAATTTCTTGAACTAGATGGGGCGGGTCAGGAAATAGCCCCAGATGATACCATGATCTGGAAGGGTGATGTCGATATTGTCGATGACATCTCTTTAGTTCCAGACTGGGAGTCTGAGAGAGAAGGAAGAGTGTTTCTCACAGGTGCGACAGGATTTATTGGTGTGCATCTATTACAATACCTCTTGCAGCGACCTGGGGTCAAGCAAGTTGCCTGTCTTGTACGTCGAAAAGATAACAAGAGCGCTGCTGCTCGACTACAACAGGCGATGGAAAAGTACGAATTGTACTCCCCTTCACTAAAGCTGGTGCAGAAACTTCTTGTATTAGAAGGTGATCTGGGAGAAAGAGACCTGGGACTTGGGAAACAGCGATTTGACTGGCTTACCAACTGGGCGAGCGTCATTTTCCACTTGGGCGCGAAAGTCAATTACAATGAAACCTATGAGGAGCACTACAGGGATAACATTCTGGGCACCCGGAATATCCTCCAGTTAGCGGCTCAAGGGCGTCGCAAAGGGGTTCATTACATGTCCAGTATCGACGTCTTCGGTCCAACTGGATACATCCTTGGAACCCGAGTGATTCTGGAAGATGCGCCAACTTTAGCCCATTTACAAGCATTGCGGTTTGATATAGGCTATGCACAGAGCCAATGGACAGCAGAAAGCATGGTTCGTCGCATGCGAGATCGAGGACTCCCTATCAGTATCTACCGACCAGGCTTCGTCATCGGTCACAGCAAGACTGGAGCCAGCAACCTGGATGATTTTGTGAGTAGGCTGTTTGTAAGCTGCATCCAGATGGGTCTCTTCCCTCATGTTGCACACATGCGCTTTGAATATATTACGATTGATTACTTGCTTGATGCAATGATTCACATCGCCTCATCGAACAAGAACATGGGTCGGAGTTACCATCTGGTCGCTTCAGATCAAACCAAGTCTTGGACGATGGATGAAACATTTGACATTTTCAATAACAGCAATTACCCAATGAAAATGATCGATTATGACCTATGGGTTGATCGAGTTATCAAAGTGCAACAGACTGATGGTCCTCTTGTCCCTCTAATCCCAGTCTTGCAAGAGCCGGTTCTTGGACGTTTAACCCGATGGCAGACTAATGCACATGGGCCGCGTTATGACACGACAAATACTGATAATGCACTGGCAGACCGTTCAGATATCCAATACATTCCGTTAAACCCGGAAATCTTGCAGCGATATGTGGATTTCTGGGATCGCAAAGGGTTTTATCATGTTTGAAGGCTGTAACAGAAGCGATCTTCTTGATTTCTCGGGTACGTCATGAAAAATTTAACATTTGACAATTGAATTCTCGATGAATTCCAGTCAGGCTCAAGTGTAGATATAGTAAATATGGCATGCTAGTAATTATATATATGTAGCTTCTATTTGATACCTTTATAGCCTTCTATGTATAACTCCTCCGTGGCCAACAAGGGAAGTTATATAAGCCAAGCTTTCCCCGCATTCCAATTACGTCAAGGCTGTACACGATACATTGGAGTACATGTGCTGGACAAGTATAATGAGTACATATTTAAGTACCAATGAAGTACTATAGTCCTGATTATTTGGTAGGAACTAGACCTCCAGTGATTCACCACCGTGTTCCAAGTAACATAGTAACCTATTAGTAACCCTATAGCAGTGTTCTTATAACGCAGTTCCCCCCTCTTTGTCTTTACTTTTTATTAGTTTCTTTCCTATTAACCCGGCCTTGGAGAATAATAAGGTATGTTCCATTCCAATTCCCACCTATCCTATTCCATTCCCGAAGGGCAACCCGAACAAGAATGACGTCGTTGACTCCCAACCCTTATAAAGATATCTCATAACTATTACCTCTTTTTTCTCTTTACAATTCCATTCTTGGTCTCATTCTTACTAAATCCTTTTCAAAAGAAATACAAAGTCCTCCTTCACCACGGATTTCTCCAACTGCCTAGAAATCTCTAATATGTCTGACGACAATACTCGCCGCCACTGGCACGGAAGCCCCGGCGATCGTCACGAGCATCTCAATGTCTGGATGCAAGGTGGAGCAAAGAGCCCTAGTGGTCGTGCTGCGTGGGCAATGCCTAACACGGGAGATAGGAGAGTATGTCATTTGCCTCTTTCTTACCTTTCTCATCTATCATTCCCTTGACACTACATCACTACATCAATACCCTCCATACATCTATCCATCTAAACCACACCTCCAACGAAATCAATCTAACACTCAACATGAAGGACTCCGACACCTCTACCTCTACCTCCTCAACTGGAACCAAACAAAGCGAAGGCACCTCGTCTAATCCTCCAAGCCTAGGTGAGCGTCGTCGCTCTAGCGGCGGCTCTTCCGCTGGCCTTTTCTCGAACCTGCACACACAGAAGCGTGACTCTACAAACCCGGATATGGCAAGCCGCCGTGCAAGCTGGAATGAGCAGGCTGCTAAGGGGGGCATGTTCTCCCAGTGGTGGGATGGATACACCCGGGGCAGTGGCAGCAAGTAGTTTGTTTCCAGGATGTCTTTTTTTTGTGCTTGGGCATTTGTATACTCGATACTTGGGGTTGGTTCTGAGATTGAAATTGTGAAACTTGAAAAAAAGAAGGAACAGTGGGACTTGCAGGTTGGTGCTTCCAGGCTTTGATGAATTTTATGATCATTTCTATTTTGTTTCTTTGATGAAGAGCTCGCCCGTGTCTCTTTATCTACATTTCATCCAACAACTACTATGTACTCTGTAAATGTGAAAACAATACCATTGTATTGAACTGGCACTATCTCACCCCATAGTTGTCTCCCAACCTTTCTCAATCATAACATCAACCCAATAAGCATCATCATCACCAGAATCCAACCGCCTCCAGACCTCATTAACCAATTTCAAGCATACATGAATCGGTTTTGGAGGCAGAACATGCAAAAAGGACGTTAGACGGCCGAGGATGAACTTGCGTGTGCGTGAGACTTCAATGGCCTCCATTGAGATGGTAGGTGTTTGGTTTGAGTTGTTATTATCGTGAGCCCTGCGCTCTGAATAATCCTCGCCATTCCGGGGTTGAGTGCCTGTTGTGGCCAGACGCGGGAGACGGAGCTCGGAGCAGGATGCTACGAGGAGGAATGGTTGGAGGCAGCGGGTGCGTGATTCCAGGGGTATGGTTTTTAGCCGAGATAGGGTTGTTACGGCGAACTCGGTGAGCCAGTTGCCGTACAGGGTTTCTGGGGTGGGGGTTTGTTGAGTGTCTGGTGATGGTGGGGATGGTAGATGGTGAGGGGAATGGCGGTAGAGATTGTGGGGGGAAGATCCAGATGGCGAAGGGGCGTTTTGTTGAGAATTGGTATTTTGTGCCCTTGCTGGACTGGGGTCGCCGAATCCAGCTGACAGGTTCATGCTGTCGAGGTCGACTGGGAAGAATGGGTCACGAGATGCTGGGTCGGCGTTGCTAGGGTATTGGGGTGGTGCGGATGTTGAAGCAGGCAGGCGGTTGTGCAGTAGGTCTGGGAAGACACGGTATAGCTGCATGAGGCCGATGCATCGATACGCTTCCGCCATTGTGAGGAGGTGCCATACTGGGGTATCGTCGTCACCAGGACTGACGATCTCGGACTCGGAGGGATGGGCGAGACCCAAGAGACGTTCTTCTAGTTCACGGGCTTTCTCGATTGCTAACTGTGCACGGGTGATATCACTTTGGGAGGTGAACCGCCTTGAGTGGATGCGTTTTCGCTCACGGCGAATGAGTTGCCCAACCTCGTGCACGGTGAACTGGGTGTCGCGCGCGATGCCGGTCCACGGGTGTGGGACTCGTTGTAAAACGAAGGACTCGCCGGTAGATGAAGCGTTTCGGGAATTGTCAGATAGTACTATGGTGTCATTATCTGTGACGAAAGAAAGCAGCATCTCCCAGTAGATGAGGGCTTCTTCAAAGAACCGGTAGTTATTGCTGTCGTTCTTAGGGAAGCCGAAGCCAGGGCCATGCGATGATGAAGCAATAGTATTGAGCTGCTTGCGGAGCAGGTTAAAAAATGATATACCCAAGTCATTTGGGTCGTGCCAGCTAGCCGTCTGTCCAAGCATTAGCAGCGCCAGCAAAGACTTGTCGTCTATTACTTCTTCACGCGTGATTATATCGATAGCTTCATCACGCATCCTTCGGCCCATGGGACCAAACTGGGGAAATTCGGTGACCAACGTTGCAGCAGCCATGCTTTGCATTGTTCGACACATCGCTAGTGAAGATCCCCAAAGACGGGATACCGTAGTTCGGAACGGGTTCATCTGACTATCGTAACTAGAGAACAATGCCGCCACTTCTTTAAAATAATACTCAATCAAGGTCCATGATGGATTATTCAGGGAACGAGACATTGACATAAAGTTATGTGGCGCAGAGCGATGCGATGCAGGAGGATAACTGCGCACAATGACCGAAGGTGAGAAGTCTTGGTAAACATCGTCAACCTGTTCCTCAATTGATGTTGGCCCAATAAGTGATAGAAAATGTGACAGATCCACACCATTATCTTCTGACTGTTCAAAATCACGAAAAGGCTCTCTTTGGTGTGTGAAAGAGGACGATGCTGCCGCCATCGGGGACGGTGTGCATAGATCCGTCAGTTCGGGTAAAGACCCATGGCCTGGATGGTCCCATAGATTGTCACATAGCGGAGTTCGTCCATCTAAGACAAAATTTGAATCATCCAGGGGCAAAGCATCATCGATTTGGTTTGCCGGCTGGCTAGGAGCAGTTGAAGCAGAAGCCGCAGGACTCGGGCTTGTCACCTCCGAGATTGATGCAGGCACGGCGGGACTAGACTGCTCATACTTGGTAACCCAGCGGAGAGATTGTGAATAGCCAGGGCATCCGACGCCTAAGCGTGTACAGCGAGTGCAGTGAGGTTTCTCTTCACCGCATTTGACCTGTGCATGTTAGTGGCCGATTTTCCGGGCGGGAAACGGGAAACACAAACCCGTTTACTCTTGCATCTTGCACAGCCATTTCTAGATTTCTTAACGCGGCGCATTATAACGCATAGAGATAATGAATCTGAGAAGATCCGACAATATTCAAGATGCGGAGTATAGGCTGGGGGGGAAATCGTGCGGGGATTGAGGAATCGATCTTATCGAGATAACCCGGGATACTTTTGCCTCTTTTGGCAGGTGAAATGAGACATGGCGGTCTCTAGCTTAAAAGACTATAGAATATATGGTGGACTATGTTAATTATCTAGAAATTATATACTCCGTACTACAATAAAAATAGCCCTTCTATTATTGCTGTGACCTTCTAAGCTGGGAAAATATCCACGATGACTCAGCCACAGCCTCCCCCGTGGGGCCCCCCGGTTGTGGACGGATTGTGCTTGGTAATTGATATGTCTACACTTAAGCAGGGCTCGGTCATGACATAATGACATATCTAGTGTGCAGCAAGGCAAGTAAATGTCCAAATAAGCATTCCTATAACTCTAACAGAAAGATAGTTAATTCCAAAGGCACTTTTTCAGACGAGACTTGCGACCTTCAAGCCAGTGGGGATCCCTGTCAACGGCCTGATATCAATCCTAAGTCTCCGAAAAAATCTTATCGGAAGGCGTCAATTAAAGAATAATTTGGGCAGAAGCACCCTTGCTCGCGGATTTCACTCAACTCCCATCACAATGGCAAACTCCTCCGAACCCAAGCAGACTTTGACACCAGCCCTCCTTGATGACGTGCACAAGTTGTGGTTCGATCACCTGAGCTGTGAAGAGGCACTAATCCTACCCGGATGGAGCGAGATGGGGAAGTGGTTTTCTCGCGACGAGGCTTTTGACAAGGCCTGCACGTAAGTGGCCATTAGACCCCTTATTTCGACGCCAAAATAGAAGACTAACGAGCTCAAAAAGCACCCAATTCCGCTCTGCCCTGGAAAAGATCGTCGGATCCGGAGCATCAGCTTCGGAGATTCTATCTGCATTTAGCCCATCCTCGCCAATGGATTGGCTCAGCATCATCATTCTACTTGACCAGATTCCCCGTAATTGCTACCGGGGAGCTGAGTCGAAGATAGTTTTTGGGTACTTTGACCCATTAGCTGAAGAAATCGCCCTTCGAGCAATCCAAGACGGGATCCCAACTCAGTCGCCATATTTCAAGTATCGAATGGCTTATCGTACTTGGTTCCATATGCCCCTTATGCATTCGGAAAACTTGGCTGTGCATGAGCAAGCTGTCAAAGTGCACGAGGATACAGCTAGGGATGTGAATGAGCTTCTGGCTAGAGAAGCATCAACTCTTACGGAAGAGGAAAGAAAATGCCATGATGTTCTATCCGAGAAGGCAGAGGCGCTCCAAGCATTCTTGAGCAATACATTTGACTTTGAGAAGAGACACAAAGTGATCATTGAGAAATTCGGACGATACCCACATCGAAACCAGGCTCTGGGGAGAGTGCCAACCCCGGAGGAAGTTGAATATCTGAACAATGGCGGGGAGACATTTGGATAAGGCCATCGTTATTGTACATATCCATGAGTATACACATAATCATAGTGTACAATATTGATCTATGAGAAGAGGCAGTCTCAGCGGACAAAAGCAGTATGTATTGAATTATTATCTGGCAATGAAAACTACCCTACAGAGTACATTCCGATGAACGGTCTGAAATTCCACCCCAAAGCAGTAGCTGAGCACATGCCACTTCACCCCTTCACCCCTTGATAGCTCGCCTGACCTATTTCCTGTTTAGACGGAGGCCACATACCTTGGTCTCAGATTCGACGGGGATGACAGACCCTTCTAATACCATCCGATAGAGTAGAACTCTCAGAGCCGACAGAATGGAATTCGCGTTTTTCAAAATCTGGTAGCATTGACCAGGTTGCATGCCAATTGTAGCTCAGGCTAATATCTATCTAGCTGAGATTGAGATGTACAGGAAGAAATAAATTAAGCCTCAGGCCGGTTTCAGATATGTAGAGCAATGAGGATTCCACCGCATCTGTATTTTGCTACATATAATTCGATTGCTAAGATGAGGGATACATTTTCCATCTTCTTGATCAACAACAGGTCTCCCTAAACACGAGAAGCACAATTCAAAATCGCATTTGAAGTCTTGTTACCCTAACTGTTATCTGCTAAAATAAAGCATTTTGATTAGAGAGGTGTGACGAAGGCAACAATGTACATTTTGCTCTTCCCAGCTCTCTTTCATTCATTATGATCATCCCACGCCAATCCTTTGCCAGACCATTCATTGTCTCGCTACTGGTTGTGTCAGTTACATCGTCCAAATTGCTCCATCTCCTCCAACATGCCTCCTCTCTCCCCTCCGGACAATTTGCGCTCTACTTTCCGACATTCTTCATCCTTGAAACTATTCAATGTGTAATCGCGTGGGCATTGTTATTCAAATTTACGGGCGTGAAGTCATTTTTGGGCACTGCAGTGACGGTGGCTATCACGTAAGTATTTCAGTCTGCCTTTAGTAGGCAGAGTCAATGAGATCGACCGGGATTTTAACAGGTTACAGATCTCTGAGCTTCATCTTAAGCTCATCTCAAATTGGGTTCTATTTTGTGACTGGTAGTGAGATACGCTGGGATGCAGCCACAACCGTGGGAAATGACCCGGAAGGGAGAAAGTTGATGCTCAGCGGGTTGAGATCATTTTTGGGAGCTGCGGGTGCCCTTCTTGGGATTTCATGGCTACTCAAACATTTGACATATGTTTTCATAGAGCATTGGATGTCTGCGTTATTTAGCGCACAAACTCAAAAGGCAGACGAAGAAGGCATCATGACTAGTCCCCAAAGAAAGTCTCGAGAAGCACGACTCACTCGATTTTGGACAGTATGCGCCGCATTAGTCATTGGAGTCTTGCGCTTGACTCGGCCTCAGATACCTTATAACCATATGTCTGAAACTATCCCATTTAGCTTCTTCCAAGCTTTGGGGTCAAGACCTGCTGAGCTGCATCAGACTGGAGATCAATCATTTCCACTCGCAGACCTGATTGATGAGCCATACTGGGAAGGGTCACACGATCACTTCAAGGGTTGGGCCCCGGGAAAGCCAGATTCCAACGCCAAAAAGAATCAGCCCGCATGGGCGTCTGAGGATTTACCACCAGGGTTCGAGCGATGGATCGAACGAGAGACCAAGAGAGAGAAAGAAGACAATGTTGCTCTGGATGAAAACGGGATTTCTCCGAATAACATTTATAGCCCCATGGATGACCCTCTTCGAATCACCAACCTCGACCGTGAAATGCTTGAGCCTGTAGCTAGGGCTCTCAAGAACCACAAAGTTCCCATTACACATGTCATGCTTGTGATGATGGAAAGTGCTCGGAAAGACATATTCCCCCTCAAGGCAGACTCACATTTGCACAAGGAGATTCTATCGTCCTACAATACCCAAGATCCCGAAGTACTCCAAAAAGTCAATGACAAGTTATCAAATTTGACACCAAACGCAGAGAAATTGACCGGGGAGGCGAGTGGACTTTCAAAAAATGACAAAATTTCCAGCCCTAGTGGTGGATGGAATGACACAACAGAACCAGGAATGGGTGGCATCAATGTCAATGGTATTCTTACTGGTAGCAGTTTATCGTTCAAAAGCGCAGTCATGAACTACTGCGGTGCGGGCCCACTGCCAGTGAACTTCATGGATGAGGTCAACTCCCAGAATTATCAGCCGTGTATCATGCAGATCTTTGAATTGTTCAACCAACTCAAGGAGAAGTCCGCTAAGAAGGGTACAGTGAATCATACGCCTGGGATTGGGCTTGAGCATATCCATGATCGAAACTGGAGCTCCGTGTTCTTGCAGTCCATTACAGGACTGTACGATGAGCAAGATAAGCTCAACGAGCAGATGGGGTTTCAAAAATCTATCTATCGCGAAGACATTGACCATCATGGTGCCAAACATTACCACAAGGACATGGAAAAGATCAATTACTTTGGGTAAGCATGTCATTCTCCCAATGGCTGAGGATTATCCCAGACCATCCGCACACTCATTCCTAACACATTACATAGATACCCGGAGTACGAGATATATCCATACCTGCGGGATGTGGTGCACAGTACAATTAAGAACAACGAGCGGCTTTTCTTGTCCCATTTCACAAGCACAACACATCACCCATGGGGCACGCCTGCAGAATACCATGAAGAGCAATACTTTGCCGAAGACGGCCTGATGGCGAAGCACGAGGACATCAATAAATATCTGAACACGGTCCGATACGTGGACACATGGCTTGGTGATATGATGAAGGTCCTGGACGAAACTGGGATTGCAAACGAGACATTAGTCGTGTTCGTGGGAGATCAGTATGTTGCACCTGCTTCAGCAACCTCGTACAACCAAAGAACCATGTACTAATCCAAAATAGTGGCCAGGCGTTTCCCGAAGACTCGCCAGTATCCGGTACATACGAGAATGGACATATCAGCAATTTCCGCATTCCCCTCGTTTTCCGACACCCGCTATTGCCCGCACTACAAATCACAGCAAATGCAACCTCGATGTCTGTCGTCCCGACCATTCTCGATCTACTCGTGAATTCGGGCTCATTGAACGAGATGGATTCTAGTGCAGCTCTAGACCTGATGAATGAATACGAGGGACAGTCACTGGTGCGCCCGTACCAAGCTACCCATAATGGCCGACAGGCATGGAACTTCGGCATCATCAACCCCGGTGGTACAATGTTCAGTGTTGGATCTGCGGCAGTCCCATATCGACTCATATTGCCCCTCACTGAGGACTTTGAATACGTTTTCTCTAATCTAGACACTGACCCGGATGAGCAGAGTCCATTACGTGGGTGGTCCCTCGAGGAGTTGATCGGCCGTGTGGAAAGGCAACATGGAGACAAAGCCGGGAAGTGGCTGGTAGACGCGGAGAAAGTGGGAAAATGGTGGATTAAGGAACAGAAGAGACTCTGGAATTACCAATAATAATCCAAATAAATCTCGTTTTCAAATATTCACTGCATCAAAAAAAAGAAGAATAGGAAGAGACGCGTGTTGCCTTGATATTGTTCGGTTTCTTTGTGTGCGCCTGAGGCAGACACACCCGCCCCACCTCCACCTCATGTTTTATATTCGTCGCATTTCGCATGAGTTTGGTCTTTTATTTGAACAATTCTCTTCTCAACGGGAGTTTGATTGAACGGGATTGCATACTTTGATCTCGACAGCGCAGAACCTTAGTCGTGAGACCCAACCCAGACTCGACCTGTGCATCTGACCCCTGTACCCCACCATTTGATTGCATCCCGGCAATTATTCTTCCACTCTTAAGCTTCTCACTGCAATATCTACCGACAAATCATGGAGGGAACATATTCCACCGATCCTGAGTGGGCGTCTGTCACCCCGATCGACTTGGATGATGGCTCGAGCTCGGGCGCCATGCCACTGGCGTCCATCGCCTACCCAACCGAGTATCTTGAGGCGACCTCGTATTTGCGTGCCGTGATGGCCGCGAACGAGATGTCAGATCGAGCATTGGAGTTGACTAAAGATGTGATCTCGATGAATCCAGCGCATTACACTGTATGGTAAGTTAGCTATTAAATAGCTTGATCCTGACATGGCATATCGATATCTGACATTTTCTATAGGATCTACCGAGCAAAGATTCTATTTGCTTTGAAGAAAGATTTGAATGAAGAATTGAGCTGGCTGAACGATGTTTCATTGAAGTACCTCAAAAATTATCAAATTTGGTATGTCAACCAACTATCACCCGGCAACCACCAACACTGGAAGGCCATGAAAGGAAAAAAACGATAAGAAGACATGACCATTAAGAACAAAACTAACAACCCAAACAAGGCACCACCGCCAAGTCCTGTTATCATCAAAAGAGCACTTCCCGACCTTCCCACCCAAAGAAGCAGACTTCCTAATGGAGATGTTCGCCCAAGACTCCAAAAACTACCATGTATGGACCTACCGCCACTGGCTTGTGAGGCATTTCAAACTATGGGATCAACCACGCGAAATCGAAGACGTGGAATTCCTCCTGAAAGCCGACGTCCGCAACAACTCCGCCTGGAACCACCGGTACATGCTCCGTTTCGGACCACGGGACACATCAGTCCCAGACGCAGGGATGGTGAATGCGGGCGATCCTTCCACGGCGCCGTCCGATAAGGGCAGACTGTCTGTTGTCGATGAGGACATGGTTGATGCCGAACTGAAGTTTTCGCAGGAGGCTATCCTGCGCGCGCCGGAGAACCGGAGCCCATGGTGGTATGCGCGCGGTGTGCTGAGAGCTGCTGGGCGTGGGTTGGAGGAGTGGGAAGAGTTTGTTAGTGGGTTTGTTTCGGAGGGGGCCGTTAAGAGTTCGCATGCTGTTGAGTGGTTGGCGGATATTTTTGCTGAGGGGGTTGGCAAGGAATTGGAGGCTATTCGGATGTTGACAATGCTGAAGGAGGAGTTCGATCCTATTCGGAAGAGTTATTGGGATTATCGTATTCGCAAGCTAGATCAGGCTATGGCTTGATTTGGGGAAGCGCATTGCAGCTGTCGCCGCCGTATGGAGGGTTGAACATGTGTGGCACTGAATAACTTATCGGGATAATTTACATTTGTTCTAGGATCTTGGGCTTCTCATTGAAAAAGTATTGCGTCCAAATGGGATTATATTTTAAAGTAAAAGACCGCTGTATACATTGTATGATTGCATATATGAACTGATCCGAAAGTCCAAGTCTCTATCTAGGTGATAGTAATTAGAAAAAAGATCCAAGTGCAATGTCGCAAATCAAACGCCAAAATTGAAGCCAGAAAAAGGTATCAAAAAAAGAAACATCTATCATCATCAATATTCATGCCCATCCCTCATCCAACATCTTGCGCCATTCACAGGCCATATCAATGTTGACATAGCTACCGCCACATACAATGATAACAACTCTACTCTGCGAGTTGAGATCAGGAACAAGCTGCTTAAGCTTTGAGTTGAGCTTCTCGACCTCCGGCTCAAGCTCCTGGTCCGTCTCATTATCTGTCGAGGTCGACCGGTCATCCCCATAGCCTTCATCGCGGTAAGTAACATCAGTCTCACTCAAGTCTCTCTTGCGCTTTTTAATGCTCTGGGCACCTGCGCCAGCAGTCACCGATGCAGGGACGGCAGTGGCAGCATCGCCGATGGCTGCCTCTATGCAGACACCGCACGCAAGCTCGACGAGGAGTCGTTCGTCGTTGGCGAGGCGGAGCACGCCACGGGCGGCATCTGCATCTGAAAGGACGGTGCTGTGCACCTTGATGCCTGGAGGAGGGGACACGGCGTAGTTGAAGGTTGTTTCCGAGACGCGGACAGCACCGAGAGAAGTAGCCTGTGATGTGATCTTTGGGAGGGAGATGAGGGATTTATTTGCGATGGCTGCTGCCAGGGAATCGGTACCAGCCGTTTCAATAGCGAGGAGGTGAATGGGGTTTGGTTTGGAGGAAGAGGTAATTTTCTTCTGCTGTCGTCGTTTCTCGATACCCATGACGAGGCCATTGAGGAGACCGCCGCCGCCAACGCTGCAAAGAATGGCATCCAGGGGAAGGGCGCGGTCATTGTAGGCTTTTTTGTCTTCGGGGCTGGCGGCAGGAGGAAGTTGGGTCTCAAGCTCGTCGATTATGGTGCCATTTCCTTCCCAGATAGGCTGGTTGTCGAATGGGTGGAGGGCAATCTTGATCACATCCTGATCATCTTCGCTGCTGGCCTTCATGATAGTTTCCCGCATGTATTCTCCTGCTTCCAAGAATGTCTCGCCATGGCGGATGACATCTGCTGCACCTGCCGCCCGGATCTTGTCAAGCATCAAGGGCTTAGTGCCTATGGGCACCACGACGGTGCATGGGTATCCAAGGCTCCGGGCTGCACAGACGGCTGCCAGTCCGGCGTTTCCTCCGGACGAGGCAAAGAAGTGTACTCTGCGGCCCATGTTTGCTGGGTTGCGAAGGTGAGAGAGGATTTGGTTGCCCATAGCACGAGACTTGAAGGAGCCGCTGGGCTGCACGTTCTCCAGTTTCAGGAATATCCTACATCCAGCTGCTCGAGAAAGGCATGCAGACTCGACCAGTGGTGTCTCGATCCATGGCGTTTTAAACTGCAGTTGATCGCAGGTGGAAATATCGATACTCCCCATTTTGATGTGTTGAACAAATGGAGAAAACTTTTCTGTAGTTCACCGGAGGAGTTTCAAGATCAGAAGTATAGAAATATTGTTCCTAAGATAGTATGTAGATTGTTGAGCCGAGTGGTTACACGACAGTTGGGTGTAAATCCACCAAAATAGAGAGATAGGGAGATATCGGAAAGAAAAAGAAAGGTGATAAATACTAAAACATCCAAACTCCAGTATGCAAATATTATGACATGTTTTGATATACAAAGTGAGCCTCCAAGGCTAGGGCAAAAGTTCTCCGACGGGAAACTGGAGTTTCCCGTCTGATAAGACTAACCGCAGTGTCCACGGTTCTGGCCCAGCCTTTCCCGTCAACAACCTTGAGGGAAACCCCAATCACAGTGGGTCGGCAATGACGGGCATGACATACTGTTTGAATTAGAGTGACCAGGGGTGTGGAAACTTGACGTCTCAGCTTTCGAGCTGTGGAGGACCCGGGAAAAAAACTTCATCAGTCTGGCGCATCTAAGCGGAGAAGATGCATATCTTTATTCAGACGGACCTCCCGGCCACCCATGATTGGCCGCCGATCGATTCCTCTTATCAAATCGAAAGCTCAAAAACAGGCGCATTACTCTTCAGTGAGCAAAGGAGGGAAAAGAACACCTTTCTTAACGCCCTCACCGTAATCTGGATCCGAACCGTACGCCGTGGCCGCGAATGCCCGCTTGGAGGGGTCCGTGGTGTTTACACGGAGCAATTCTAGAAGATCATGAGACTTGCCGGGCATGAACGGCTGCAATAAAATGCCAGCGATCCGTAGCGATTCCGCCACGTTGTAGATGATTCGTTGAGAGTTGGGAGTTTTCCACGGCTCCGCCGCATGGAAGTACTTGTTAGTCTAGTAAAAACAGGTCAATACTTGCCGAACCCGTGCGGGGATGAGCATCTCTTACCTTTTCGATAATGCTCATAGTTTCTTGCAGCGCGGCGCGCGGGTTCAGATTCTCCATAAACTCGGCAACCTGGCGAGGCGTCTGCTCCAACATTTTTTGGTGTTCCAAGTCCTCAGGGGTAGCATCTGGGAGCTTATCCGATCCGGCATCCATAATGTACGACCGCAAATTGCCACGCGCACATCCAATTGTGCGCAGAGCAAGGTTTCCGAGGCCCCCCTGAAGCATTTTCTTGTAATCTCGGATGATAAAGGAATTGTCAAAGTCCGCATCATCTGCAAGACCACCCCGATACGCTAGGAAAAATCGCATGCCATCGACTCCGAACCGCTCAATGGCGAAAAACGGGTTCACAACATTGCCTGTGGACTTCGACATTTTTTCACGATTCATTGTCCAATGTCCATGCACCAGGACGTTCCGAGGTAGGGGAATATCAAGTGCCATGAGGAAAGCAGGCCAATAAACACAATGGAATCTGGCAAATGATTAGCTTTGCACACAGTCATTCGGAAAAACTCGTGGACTCACCGAACAATATCTTTGCCAACTACGTGCAAGTCTGCAGGCCATATAGATTTATTTTCTTGTCCGGGTGGGAAAGGATATCCAGCTTTGGTCAAGTAGTTGACCAGCGCATCTAGCCACACGTAGATTGTCTGCGTGTCATCGCCGGGAACAGGGATACCCCAAGTCAGACGTTCCACAGGCCGAGAGATCGAGAGATCCTGAAGTCCTGACTCAACTCCGTTGATCACAGCAGCTGTGTAGGAGGTAGGTGTGATAAATGGATCTTCTCTTTTGTACAATTCAAGTAGACGGTCCTTGAAGGCCGAGAGACGGAAGTGGTAGTTGGTTTCTGAGGACCACTCTACCTCTTTACCCGTTTCTATTGAGACCTATTTGTGGTTAGTTTTCGGACTCGTTGGAGAACTAATAGATTACACACCATGCGTTTCCTCCCTGTTGATGGATCTAGGGAGTTCTGCACTTGCGTCTGTGGGTAGAATGTCTCATCGCTGACTGAGTACCAACCTTCGTGCTTCGAGGTATAGATATAACCCCGGTGTTGCAACATTTCCTACATATGATCAGCCATGTCCTAATATGAACAGAACATCCCCGCCTACCCAGAAATATTGGACGGCATCTCGATGCGCCGGGTCGGTGGTCCTGATGAAATGATCGTTGTCGATGTTTGCAGCCTTCGCTAGGGCCTATATCAAATAAATTGAGTTAGAGATGCCATTAGATATGGCAAGGGGGACTCGCACCTCAAACGTTCGGCAGTTCATATCGCAAAATGCCTGGGTATCCATGCCCGCTTGAATGGCAGCTTGTTGGATCTGTGGTTGGTGTCAACACCTATTATCGGCCTGCAACCAAATCCATATATAGTACCTTCATTCCATGCTCATCGGTTCCAGTGAGTAGTTGAGCATCCGCGTTCCCAAGCAAGACCTGCCACCGTTTCATGATATCGGCAATCACCATTGTGTATAAATGGCCGACATGAGGGGCTAGAAGGCAAATGTATCATTAGCAATTCACTTTGCACATTATATTCATTGTAATCCTCACCGGCATTGACGTAGAAAATTGGCGTTGTCACATAGTAAGGCTTAGACCTTTGCGGCGTACTTGCAACTCCGCGCCGGGAAATCGTTGCCCATCCATGCTTGCGGGATGTACAGTTCCATAGATGCCTCGATCTCAGAATCTGAGAAGCTCTAAATAACGAGCGAAGTGGTATCCTTGCTGTAGCCATTGGGATTGTGATAACGGTAAGAAGAGCGTCGCATGTTATTCCGCCCATCTCGGGTGGTCCAAGCTTCTCCGCAGGTCTCGGCCATTTTTTTGCGCTTATGTACATCGTCGCGATTACATCGTCATCGAGAACACCACCCCGATATTGTCTTCAATAATTATACATTTTTACCTCAGTTAAAACATATTGCCATTTCTTCTTGTATCCACGCTCAAATCTTCCCCTATCTTTACCAACTTGAAATACCGATCACGATGACTGCAGCAAGCGAGGATACACTGACCAAAGTGTCAACTGAGGGTAAGTCTCAAAATATAAGTCCTTCTATCCCTTGTTGGGAGTCAACTGATCTTGTGTTTATTCCTATGATCAGCTGCGACTGAGTTCGTTAAGACCTTTTACCCAGCTTTGGGATTGAACCGTGGATCTCTCAGCTCCTACTACTCCCTCGAGCCCACAACCATCCTCTTCAATGGAAATCGCGTTGCAGACGGTGCCGCAGTGCAAGAAATCTTCACCAATCAAATGTCGCCAACATATTACGAAGTCCAATCATACGACTGCCAGATCATCAACAAAGCATACCCTACCGTTTTGCCAGGTGGCGGACTGAAGCCACTATCAGAGAGGGGAGTCAAAGACATGTCGATTCTCATTATAGTCAGTGGATTTGTACGCTATGGTGAGGGTCGCGATCAGCCGCAACGTGGGTTCAGTGAGACCTTTGTGCTGGTCCCCAATCCATCCGCAGAAAGGGCAAGGGGCCGCAAGGATTGGCTCATCGAAAGCCAGAACTTCCGCCTTGTTGTTTGAGCAACTACACAATAGCTTGATCCAACGAATTATGAATAAAGTCACACAAGTGAACAGTCTATGCCATGTGGCACGGACGTGAAACATATCTGAGTTATGCCAACCATAAAGGATATTGCTGGGATATATGGTGCTAACAATGGTCCATTACTTGAAAAAAAAAATTGCTTCAAAAGAGAGCTCCAGACGCCAGAAGGGAGGAAGAATGATGATGTCTTCCCCATGATTATGGGGATTATGGGCCAGCCGATGTTTTGCGCGGTATACGGAGATTTGCTTTGACTCTTTCAAGCAGCTCCTCACGTGTCGCATTCTCATTCGGTAAAAGTCCTCTCTGAGATATTGGTCAGTGTACCATTCTCAAGAAAGTGTATGATTATCTGCACTCAGTCAAGTCTGAATAAATCACTAAACATACCGCTTGGAGCCATCTTCTTATCTCATCCATTGTCCAGTTTTCAGGGTCTAGCTTTTATTAGCCTGTGTTTGATACTTGTAATATCTACACTCACTACCAGTGGGGTCTGCTTGCGCAGGGAGAATATCGCCGCCCAAGATGGAATAGGCTGCCACCGCAGTGACCATTCCTGCAAAACCTATATCGGAAGATTGTGATCAGAAATGTTGGCGACTGCCGTAACTTAGGGTCATGTACCAAGGAATAGGTTCTATCGAGTCTATCATTAGATAAAAGTATAGACAGATATGTTAGTAGTAGTACCTTGGAATTCAATGCTCGGTCCAAAGGAGTCGGCATTTTCAAAAATTATGCAATGATCGTTTGGATTTCTTGGATTGATGCAAAATACTTGTTCTTGAAGAGTTGAAAGAGAGTAAATAGAAGAAAAAAAGTCTCAAAGGACACGTGCAAAAGACAAGTATTCAAAACGAATAGATGTTACTAGAGAGCAGTAAGACAGGTTGCACCGCCATACCACCACACCGCCACACCACGTCACCCGCTACTGCTGCCTTCGAAGTATACAAAGCCCTACAATCGCAACTACTTTAACTTCATATTTCAATAACTCCCGTGATCGGTTGATGGCACTTTCCTTTGAATTATTGTATACGTAAACATCAAGTTATCCATAGATACATGGTCATTACCTAGGTAGAAAATGCACTGCCAACTTCGTACTCACCAGCCATTGCATCGCATATCTATATCCACAAGTCTATCATTATTGCCCTCATTCATTTCGAACCGTTCCAAAAGGCCTGCGCTAGCAGAAGATATGGAAGCAGTTATTTTCCTGACTTCGGTTACATTTGTTATTGCGGTGGGAGCTACCATTGCACAGGGGTACGGTTGATTTCCATTGAAGTATCAAGCCAGACGTTAACACCATGTATAGCATAACCTTTTACAGACGATACCGAGTCCACCTGCATGTCGAATCAAAAGGCATGACCCCTCCGCAGAGTGTGGACCTGGAGAGATTAAATCATGAAGAAAGCACACAAAGCACACCCCTTCAGCCGCCGCCGAAACTGTATAACCATTCACGATTTGGGAGCAGAAATTCGAGATTTTCATCCCGAGCTATGGTGGACTCTCAATTTGTGCCATATCGTATCCCCGAGGAAACAGATACAGGGACCATCCAGCATTTTCCGTATTCGCAGCACCCAAATCTCCCAGCCACATTTCTGGCCCCAGTTACACCAGCCACATCACCGCTACCAGCCACTTCAGCTATTCAGCCTGAGGCACCAGCTGTCAATCATATGTGACTAAGCAAGGGCTTTTGCAGCTTCAAACCCTAACGTGATCCGCACACATTCACCTTAGAGGCTAGTGTCGACAGTGAGCTTTCTCTTTTGCACCTTGCTTCAAAACACCCGCAACCGTCATTATGCCTGCCGAAGTCTCCGATATCAAGCAGTTCATTGAGATCTGCCGCCGGAAGGATGCCTCCTGTACGTTGCGCCGCATTGATGAACTTCTAAGATGAGACTTGGAGATGATCATTGATGCTGACTGTTTACGCCTTTAGCCGCCCGCATCAAGAAGAACGGCAAGAACCAGCAGACCAAGTTCAAGGTCCGCTGCCACCGCAACCTTTACACCCTTGTCCTGAAGGACTCCGACAAGGCCGACAAGCTCAAGCAGAGCCTGCCCCCTGGTACGTTTCGATCGCATTGTTCCGCCGTCCGAGTTGTTGGGGATTTTGGAGGTTATACAACTTGGAACATGGATTTTGCATGCGGGTCTGAACTTATTGCTAACAATTTCTTTCTGCACAGCCCTCAAGGTCGTCGATGTCACCAAGGGCACCAAGAAGACCAACTAAATTCGGTAACAATGGAATGAATGGAGATCGGAGTGCGGCGTGATTGGTTGTCGATGCATGCAAGACCAACTGTTGGAGGGATACATGACACGGGCTTGGTCCCTCTGTGAGCCGACACGGGGAAAACTCCGTGGCGTGGAACATGAATTTTACGTCGGGGGAGTTTCTTTGCGCCTTTAAAACCGGCTGCTGTTATTCACCGGTCAGGCGACTCGCATTTTCTGGACGCACTCGAGGAAGGCCTTTGTCGGGGGTTTCCAGTCCCTACAACCCAATGAAAAAAACAGTTGAAATATCATTACTACATGGGTTTCTCGTCCTCAGTCGAGATTCCTACCCCCGTTATCCTCATTATGGATGTTCCCCGTGATTTTGTCTTACAAGGCAAGAAGTAGACGTAGACCGGGTAAATACTGGTTGCGTAGATCGACGATCCTCAAACCATCCAGTTCGCAACCATTACAGTCACTTACTTGCGGCCTTTTTCCCGACTCTTAACTTGGATCGAGAGAAGCCTGTTATGATGTCTAGTCAACTAAGCTCAGACTGACACTGTGACTACGGGGGGTTTTTTTTTCTTTCCCTTGACAGTTCGACTGGTAGCAATGACAGTGCCTATTTTTACGCGGCATTAGGTTGTTTGATATCGAGTGCTTGTTCCAGTCTTTGTTCAAGTCTAGTTCGCACTTTTGGTCGCAACAATACCATTGTTGGGGATGGTTACTGTTAAGAAAAGATGTTTAGAAAGGCCTTTGTGGTTCTTTTCTTCTCGTAAAAGTCATGTTTCCTCGAGCATATCTATATAAACAAGTCGGAACTCGTGAAAACTGAGGCCACCAGAATCCCCTTTTCCAACAGGGCTTCGCTGACAACTCAACTAAGGTAGAATCGGAAGTATGTGCCACCAAAAGCCACTGGTCCCTGTTATGGGCAATCTTAGCGTGTTTCCACCGGAGATTATATTCAATATCCTGGATGAACTTTTGGGGAGCTCTCCTAGATTGGAACATGAAGACTTTCATCCCATTACCCAGCTGATAAAAACTAACAAGACACTAGAACAATACATCAGAATCGGATGGATGGGTAGCAATGCGTCGAGCAGTTTCAAGCAGCGTGTCAATGCCGTCCAGTGGTTCCCAAACATCGAGATTGCGAATGCAAGCCTAATCCTCCAGGGCGTAGACCCCGAAAGCATCATGCCGATCGAAGGTCCCCACGACCTAGGCCCCGATCTCATCACTGGTATCATTTTCGACGACTGCACCGATTGCTTTGATTTGTTCTCTGAGGTGCTGCCTCCCACTTATATGAGCTGTTGCAACGAGGGCGGCTGGTCATTCCTTTCTCTTGCACTGCATGCTAAAGCGGAGAAGCTACTTGACCGTTTCTTCCTCTCTAGCTTCCCTCCCGAATCAAAGGATTTTATCGCCGGTAGCGCTAATGCTATGGGGGTAGGACCGACAAACCTTGGAGTTTCTGCCTCTTCCAGGAATCATCAGTCTTTCTCCAAGCTCTTCAAGAGACTCAGGGAAGACTTGAACGGGAACGGCTTCCAGAGGACTGTTAGAGAGAAACTCACGCCTAAGGAGCGAGCGGCTATTCGAAGTGTTGCTCCTCAGTATCTCCAGAAGATGTTATATGAAGCTGGCCTGTCCCCTATGCATACGAGTCTTCGTTATAGTCCATACTACTCTGGTAAGCGCACCGAGATGTATTAGTCTTCTCGATCCATGGGGTTATATCTCCGTGATTACGCTTAGGACAACATTACTGACATTCGCAGAATGTTTCTTCATCTGTTTCCTATTGGCTATCTGATAGTGTTCACATCATTGGTCTTGTTTCCCTTTGCTAACCTAACCACGGTCTTGATATTATACTACGTGACTTATGTTTTTTTAGGTGTTATCATCCAGCGTTTTATAACCAATAAAAAGTCGAAAGCTTTCTTGCCTCGCGTATGGTATTTGCATATTCTCAGCTGTGTTAACCAAATAGAGATCAATATTTTCAATCTTTAGCTAACTTAGTATCTAGTTATTTCCGTAGATCATTACTCTTCAGGCCACGGCACTTAATTTCTATACATCTTACCCTCCACATTGCTTGGCACGTCACAGTTTCGCTTGGCATCAATCATCCCATCCGGTAGATTGCTGGATAATAGGGATATATAGCGGATTCTATATCCCCGTCGGCCCGCTACCCCGGATCAGCAGCCTTCATTGCCATTGTTGGCTGCAAAAATCAGCCATGGGACCTGGCACTCGTGCCGCTGGCTTCTGCACCCCGCAAAATATATACATATTAATTTAGGGTTCCAAGCCTTGGGCTTCTGGTTCTCTTCATTGTAATAGGATGGCTGACCCCATGACTCGTAGTAATATATATCTTTGGTGTCTCAAATGCTGAAGCTTTTCTATTCAGACCAATAAAGTAACGGAAACGCTAAACTCCGACTTCGATCTATGATTTTCCACCAACAAGCTCTTACAATAAGCCTCCTAGTTCATACTTGATGTTACATTACTGTGTTCCAGTCATGCCAATTGACGTAGTTATGTTTGACACTATTCCACGATCAGAACGGACCTCCTTCAGGAATATAACACTCGACTAAATCAGTAGTCACATAGAGGACCAGACTAAGATGTATTTTGGGGGTATTGTATATATAAACTGTAGCCCTCGACGTCAAAAATACATCTTGCACAGACAGAAACATCCACTGAATTCTTTACCAGAAAGCCAGGGGAAAATGACACTTCTAAAGCTATCCACGCTCTTGGCCTCCGCCTCTCTTGTTGCAGGCCATGCCTACGTCTCCAGCATCGTAGCGGATGGGAAAAAGTAAGTCAATCTAAGACTAAATATCCCTATATCCAGTACCAACTAACCATATCGTCAGCTATACTGGCTACATTGTTGACAAATACGCCTACATGGAAGACCCTCCCGCCAGTGTCGGCTGGGCAACAACAGCAACCGACCTCGGGTTTGAAGACGGCACCGAATACCAAGACCCGAACATAATCTGCCATCGAGACGGAGTCAACGCAGCTTTGAGTGCCACTGTCACTGCTGGCTCCAGCATTGACATCCAGTGGACGCCCTGGCCAGACTCGCACCACGGCCCGTTGATCACATACCTCGCCTCGTGCAACGGTGACTGCAGCACAGTCGACAAGGCCACCCTGGAATTCTTCAAGATTGAACAAGAGGGTCTCATCGATGGCACAAATCCTCCTGGCACATGGGCTAGCGATGATCTGATTGCTGCTGGAAACAGGTGGACTGTGAGAATCCCTACTACTATTGCTGCCGGCAACTACGTCATGCGCCATGAGATTATCGCTCTGCACTCTGCTGGACAGGAGAATGGCGCTCAGAACTACCCCCAGTGTTTCAATTTGGAGGTCACTGGTGGTGGAAGTGATGTGCCTGATGGCACGCTTGGTGTGGAGTTGTATACCAGCACTGATCCCGGAATCTTGTTCGATATTTATTCTACGTTGACTGATTATCCTATCCCGGGACCGGCTTTGTATGCTTGATTCAGGTATAAGGATATCTCAGGTGGAGGATACTTCGGAGGGAGGTGATTGTGGATGCTTTGATCTAGTGCTATTTCAGTATTATGGAATGCTATGTGCGCTGCTTATTTGATCAATACTACTCCAAATGACCGTAAACCACCGAAAAACCAACTTTATTCTGTTCTCTCATAAGGCAAATTAATAAACCCTCGCACCTCCGCCCCCTCAAGTGCTGCATCAACACCACCTAGACTCAAATCCGTCTTGCGCAGCTCAAACTCGCCAAAGAAATTCGGCTCAGCAGATACCTTCTCAAACCCAAGTCCCTCAAATAAGGCCAAACTCCTCAAATTCGACTGTCCAATCTTAACGCTGAGATACTCAAACATAAACCCCGCTAATGATCCCGTCGTTTCAACACCAGTCCGCAATTTCTGTACAGTCTCAACATCAACATCGCCACCACTAACAAACTCATCCAGAATAGGCCCTTGGTTTTGAACAATATACCGCATGAACATAAGTAGCGCAGCACGCCCAAACCCACGTCGCTGGTTGACTTTCTCGGCGATCATGAGCTCGACCTCGCCGACTATCTGCGGTGGGCTGTCGCCTTCCTCGCCATCATCGATGCGTAAAAAGAGGTTGATGTCGCCGACCATAGTAGACGGTGAATCACTTTCTGCTTGCAGCTCTGTCTGGCTGGGGATATCATCTTCGGCACCTGTTGTGATCGGCCGGCAGACGATAAAGGTTAGTTTGTCGGCATCTTGGCGCCAGCTGCGTTGCATCGAGTATTCTTCTTCTAGACTTAAGGGCTCCGAGGCTGTTGCTTCTTGGATTTCCTGGGGGTTGTAAGAAGATTGGTCGACTATAGGATCAATAAGATCTCGTTTGCTCACTGGGTCTTTCATCCATTCGTGGTATCGGGGTACGTGCCACGATGAGTACGGGACTAAAAGGGCCTTTGAAGAGCAGAGGGCTATCTCTCAAAAGTTGAAATTAGTTTTTGCTGGTTTGTTATAGTCTTGAACTCTGGGGGAAAGTATATATGTGGGTATGGGCGTAGCGTACCGATGTTGGCATTGAGTAACATTGTGATAAAAAATCCAAAAATAATTATTTTCAGTATATATGATTGAAAATCGCTCAATTGATATGTACTCTTGCGAAGAAAGGCCCATTCAACGTCTATTAGGGCCTGTGGATGGATATAAAGCAGAGGAAGTTAGTGGGATGGATTCTTCCAATTGTGGGTCTTGGCGCGTGGAGCCACTCGGTATACGATTTGTCTGAGCGGCCATGGGGTTATATAAATGTATCAATATATGGGATTTGGCAAGATGTTTATGCATTTCATTAGTACCTTTGATTGATTGATATCTCTATCAGTTCATTTTTGTTCTTCCTGACCCTTGAAAACTCCAAAACGGACCACCTCGACCTCTAGTGTCTCGGTATCAACCAGAATTAACTCCCCAGTCTCGTTGAATTTGGGAAGTGCCAACAGCCGAACACGGGCTATATCAGAGCTATCGGCGGCACCCACCATTTCAGTGTCGCCATCTAGGCGGAGAGGGACGTCACCCTGAATTGTGGCAGTCTTGAACTGTGGCTGATTGCCAACGAAAAATATATGCGGACAGGACTCGATAACATATGGATCATCAGATTGGAATGGATATGACCCTGGAGAGTATTGTCAGTAAAAATTCTTTGAGGGATTCGGGCATCCAAACATACAAATTGTGTCCGGCGCAGTGGGAACGCCGCAGCGCCAACGAAGCATGGCTTCCATGATTCGCATCCGAGTGTCGGAATCTGTATCCTGGTCTGGGCTGTTATCGCCGCCCTCAATACTGATATACCGCAGAACATCGTCAACATTCTGACCACTGCATCCCCATAATCGCCAGCCTTCCACATCGCCGTCCCAAGGGTTCGTGACACTGTCGAACCATCCTGCTTCGGGCTTTTCATCTCCTCTGCAGGGAGGTGCAGAATATGCCCTAGATTGAGGGAACATAGTACGGTGGATTCCCTGTTGAGGGAGGGAGAAGTTTGCGGGATCCTTTTCGCCCGGCATGAGTGTGACAGGAATACTGGGCAAGATTTCCGCTAGGAAGTTATCGAGTTCTGTGATAGGTGCGGCATTGTATGCAGAGGCATCATAGCCATACTTTTTCGGCTGGGAGTCGCCAGAGATTGTTGGCGCAACTTCGCTCATTACGCTGGCTCCAAGTGAGTTACCTGCGATAACCAAGCGGGTGATTATAGAGGAACCCAAGGAAGGGCTGTTGTCGTTGTTTCCCGAGAATCCAGTGTAGCCCAGAAGATAATCTGTTAATAGCTCCAAAGCAAGCGTGTCACTTGATGTTCCTGTGATTCCTAGACCACTGACAAAGGCGATTTTGCCATGTTCCTTTCCAGAAATTTCGACTCCATTTTCAGAAGCCTTGCCCTCCCATCGTTGAGGCTGCGGAGCCAAATCCGGAAGCTTGATATCAATCACCTCGAAATCTCCATTCGCATTTTCAGTTCCCAAAGCTGCAATGATGGCACCTGTTGCCAGCTGTGTAGATCGCAAAAAGTTTCCAGTGAGCCGTAAGCGGCCGGATTCATCTTCCATCATAATTTGGGTCAGAGAAGGATTGGAGGGATCGGTGTAGGTGCGGCGGGGAGGGGGCGCAGAAGTGAAATTCTATGGGTTGTCAGTGGAAGAAGAAACAGTGGGACGCCCTGTAACAAACCTCTTTGCTGAGATCCTCCAAAATATTTGGCTTCATTGGCAAATGCATGTATACAGTGCCGGCCACCCAGCACAGCTCGCCTTGTCGAACATCGAGGACTCGATCGACACGTCGCACCTTCTCTCCGGCAATCTAGTTTAACAAGCAGAAGTTAGAAAAGTCCATAGCTGAGAGTGGAAAATATTTCCTAGGGCAGAGTGCCCTTACAATAAGTCCATCCCACGCAGCCGTCGCAACTTTTTCGACAGTGGGCTTTAACTTCGCAAGTCGCAAAAAGTACAGGTCGTCATATTGCTGCTGGTAGTGCCGTCCTGCGCCGGTTGGTAGATGGAAGGTGGAGCGAGGATTGTAATGAGAGGGCGCGCGGTAAACTGGTTCCTGTTCTTGTTCCTCCTTGCTATGGAAACAGAATGCATTTAATGGTCAGCCAAAGCTGCCCGGTACGTAGCAGCCTGTAGGGAGGTAGAGTGGATGAGGAGGTATTACCTGGGAGGACATAAGAAAGTGTAATTCTCAGCATCCGGTGCCATATTTTCCGGAATAATGCTGAAAGCTTGTGCTTCGGAGATTGGTTGAAGTGGTGATGCAGCGAGGTGTGTTTGACGCGCCCACGCGTCAGTTAGCGCGTTCAATTACATTCCGCTTCGGGATCTCGTGTGTTGGCAACTGGTTAAGGGGATTTTTATATTGGAATAATTGAATAAGCTCCAGGAATCTCCTTTTTGTTTTTTTTTTATCAATGTCGCCAATTATCAATGTCGCCAATTATCAATGTCGCCAATTATTACTTTCTTTTCGTCTTTTCGTCTTAGTGAAGCCAAAGTCAGAAGCAAAGTAGACGTCCAAGTGTACTCCATACAGCGATCTAGTTCGATCTCAACATTATAGATCACATTAAGCAGACTTCGGGACTCGTCTATGCTCTATGATGCTTGAAAAGGCTGTATAACCGAGATATGCAATTCATAAAGCACCGTTGCTCTACAACGTAGATCGGCTATCAGCTGCCTCGGTCCATCGCCTACCTAACTAACTATATAGTGCTTCCCCGCATTGTGTATTCCTCCCTAGATTCTCGTAAATTCTCCAGATATACAAGAGACTCTGTCAATTTCAGCTCAATTCCACTTCTGACAACCTACTATCACCATCTCCACAACCCGACAACTATGTCTCTCCAAACACCACTATGCTATCTGCTTAAGATTGAACACCCAGTGCTGCTAGCTGGAATGGCCCGCGCCTCTGGAGCTCCACTAGCAGCAGCAGTCTCTAATGCCGGCGGTTTGGGTACAATCGGCGGACTGGGCTATACACCAGCGCAACTATCAGAGATGCTCACAGAGCTTAAGTCACTCCTCCGGGATCCATCGCTTCCCTTTGGCGTGGATCTCGCCCTTCCCCAAGTCGGGGGCTCCGCGCGCGCAACAAACCATGACTACACACACGGCCAGCTGGACGAGTTGATTGAGGTGACCATCTCGCACGGTGCTAAGCTCTTCGTCTCTGCCGTCGGCGTCCCGCCAGCGAAGACCATCAAGCGGCTCCACGAGGCCGGCATCCTAATTATGAATATGGTCGGCGCGCCGAAGCACGCCCATAAGGCGTTCAAGGCGGGTGTCGATATTGTCTGTGCTCAGGGCGGCGAGGGTGGTGGTCACACAGGCGAAGTGCCATTCTCTGTTCTTGTACCTGCTATTGTGGATGTTGCGCGGCAGTATAAGAGTCCACTGACTGGCCAGCCAGCACTTGTTGTTGCAGCTGGTGGTGTCAATGATGGCCGCAGTCTGGCAGCGTCGTTGATGTATGGTGCTGCGGGTGTTTGGGTGGGCACGCGGTTTGTGGCCTCAGACGAGAGCGGTGCTAGCCGCTTGCACAAGGAAGCGGTTGTTGGAGCGCAGTTTGGTGAGACCAAGCGCACTCTTGTTGTCTCTGGTCGGCCTTTGCGCATACTGCCTAATGATTATATTAAGGAGTGGGAAGCGCGGCCTGCTGATATTGCGGCGCTGACATCTAAGGGCGTTGTGCCCATGATGGATGATTTGGAGAATGAGAAGGACGTCGATATGCCGTTCCTCATGGGCGATGTCTCGGCTAGTGTTAAGGAGATTAAACCAGCCGGAATTATTGTGAAGGAAATGGTTCAGCAGGCTGTCGAGGTGCTCAAAGTCGGAGGCTCATATATCTCTTCCACAGGGCCAGTGAGTAAGTTATAACTAGCGCAAAGTTTCAATGTGGGCAATCAACTGGTGGTTCTGACGATACAGTGCAATAATGTTTGACGTGATTTTTTTTTTTTTTTGTTGATGATACTATAACATGTACTTGTACAAAAACACGTGGAAACCAATAAGTCCTGAAGAAACCAATGAGGAAGATGGTGTATACCTTCCAAAATTGGAAATCACCGAGGAATATCGTGAGACAGGCAAAGATAGATGGCATAGAGCTTCTACATTTTCGAATTCGAAACGAATCTTCGGATCTCTGTAAGCCACAAGGTAAAATAGAGCATTTGCCTTGGGAAAGAGCTACAAAGTCCAAGATAGAATCTTCATCGAAGGTGACCAAGTGGTTTCAACCAAAATCGACATCGAATAAATTGGAATAATCTTAAAAAACCAAACCATTGACTCCCGTAGCGTTGCCATTCGCTCGAGCCTCCAAAAGATTTGGGGGTGGGGTTGGTCCGAAGACAGGCTTCTCTGAGGGTTGGTCGACCTGGGTTGGGGGTGGGTCGAGATCTTCCTCATCACTGATATCCTCCTCGTCATCTTCGTAGTCATCGTCGTACTCGCTTTCAGTGCCTTCATCATCACCCTCTAAATGATCATCACCTTCGGCAAGAGTAAGTCCTTCGCCTCGGCCCTGGGCCTGCATACGCCGGCAAAGGGCTTCTAGATGGTGGCACTTCCGTCGCCATCTTTCAAGTTCTTCATGGTTACGGGTCCGTTCTTCTGCCATTTCCAGGATGTTGCGGTTGGTTTGCTCGTGCTTCCGGTTGAGGGTATGATTCTCCTTCTCCAGGCGCTTGGTTTTCTTGGACATTTCTTCCATCTCCTTGCGGAAGGTAAGGAAAAGATCGTTGCTGTTGTTCAAAGTGTCCTCGACCTGAGGGTCCTCGTCAGCGACCGGGGAATGCGAGGGGTTATGGGAACCCTTCTGTACCTGTTTGAACTTCTCGACGTAGATGTTGAGTTGGCTGCGCAATTCGGCCTCGGTATGAGAGAAAGTGGAAACCTGTGAGGTCAAAGCTCGGCTTCGGTTCGCTTCAGCCTCACCAGCGCGGCGCTGCTCCTCAAACTTAGAAGCGAGACTTTGGATCTCGGAGTCCTTGCCACGTAGGAGGCCCCTGTAATGAAGGTCGCGCGTGTCGAATTGCTCGCTGATTGTCTTAAGCTTGGCGCGGAGTCTGGACCTCTCCAATTAGCAAACCCAAAACCCAAAGAATAAAAGAAAATCGAAACCGTACGCTTCATCCAAATCAACATCCACCTTTTCGCTACGAGGGTTCCCCTTGGCAGCCATGACGTCTTGGATATCATAGAGAAGAGAGTCGAGACGTTCGTTCACAATCAAGCGCGCTTTCTTCTCCGTGTCCTCCAGCTTCTTATTCTCATCCTACCAAATCGTTTAGCTGGCAATTCCTCCGCGATGTTTGGCGCAATCGTCTCGAGGCGCATGCTGATGGACCCACCTTGACCTTCTTGTTCTCCTTCGTAAGTTCTCGGCACAGCTTCTCCAGCTTGTCTTTCATTGTAATGGTCTTGTTGAGATCAGACTTGCCCTTGTCCTGGTCTTTTTGCAGTTGATCGGCGCGCTTCTTGCTTTTAGAATAATCACGATCTAACTTCTTCATATCTGCCAAGAGTTCGGTGTACTTCTTATGGACGGTTTCGAGTCTGGTCATAGGGGACTCAATGTTGCTCAAAAGCTGGTTGAGATCACGAGTTGCCTTCTTGACCTCACGCTCTGTATATCAAAATTGTGTAAGTCAGTGACCCTACGTTCCAGACTAACGTAGTGGCCCGGCGAGCAGTAATCATAGGGGAGAAATGATGCCGCACAATATAAAGGGAGTCACGCACCAATTTCCGCCTCTTGGTCTTTCTCGCCGGCGGCATCTTGTTCTAGCTGGGAGATCTTGGCGGCCAAAAGCTTAGACGTCTCGTTTGGGTCGGCCGTTTTCTTCCCCTTGTTCTTCTTCGCCATGGAGGTGGACGACATGCCGGGGTGTCTGCGTGGGGTATTGCAGAAACAACGTATTTGGCGATTCGATTTACGGGAGGTTGGTATGAATGCCGGAAGCCGAAAATTTGCGCCAAATAGGTGGGATACAGGGCAGGATGTAGATGGATCAATCACACGGATGGGAGATCCCAGAGACAAGGCTCGTGAGCGAGATCACTGGCTCTGGGATGTAGGAGTTGTTCGTTTGTCGTAGCGTTCGGGAAAGAGCAAATGTTGGTCTTCGGAGCAGAACTTCGACAAGCGGGCGCCCGGCCAGTGAGGCTTACGCTAGCATAGATGATGTAAGCCCGGGCGGTCGGGCGGTCGGGAGGGCTGGACATTTTCAACTCCGGGGTTGCGAGCTTGTTCTTTACGATCGTCAACTCCCCATAATCATGTTGCGCTCATCGATGCGCCTCGGTACGGCGCGAGTGCCGAATTCTAAACCACTTATCGCTCGCTCATTAAAGCCGACAACAATTCTTCAGCACAATACTTGGAGAGCTGCATCAACAGTGACCAACTTGGATAATTTCCCCAAGGTCGGCGAGAAGCTCCACGGATTCACCCTACAGGAGAAGAAGCATGTTCCAGAGCTTCATCTAACCGCAGTATGGCTGAAGCATGACCAGACCGATGCGGACTACATGCATGTCGCCAGAGATGATAAGAACAATGTGTTTGGAATCGGGTTCAAGACAAACCCGCCAGATGCCACTGGTGTGCCTCATATCCTGGAGCATACCACACTATGTGGTAGTGAAAAGTGAATAATATCCTATTAAATACCTCAATATCTTTGCTGACATTGTGTTTGCTCAAGATTTCCGATCCGAGACCCGTTCTTTAAGATGCTTCCGCGCTCCCTCTCAAATTTCATGAATGCTTTCACAGCCTCCGACCACACCACATACCCATTTGCCACGACCAACCAACAAGATTTCCAAAATCTTCTTTCTGTTTATCTCGATGCTACTCTGCACCCTCTTCTCAAGGAATCGGATTTCCGCCAAGAAGGATGGCGCTTGGGGCCCGAGGATCCGCGTGCTGGAGAGTCGGTTCCCGGGCAAACCGAAAAACAGCTTTCATTGGAGGACATCGTGTTCAAGGGTGTCGTCTACAACGAGATGAAGGGCCAGATCTCCGATGCAAATTATCTCTACTATATCCGTTTCAAAGAGAGCATTTTCCCTTCGTTGAACAACTCGGGTGGAGACCCGGAGTACATTACAGATCTCACTCATAAGCAGCTGTCGGAGTTTTCGAAACGCAACTACCACCCCAGCAACTCCAAGATCCTTACATATGGTGATATACCTTTAGCTGATCACCTGAAGCAGATCGGCGCAGTCCTGGATGGCTTCCAGAAAGGACAAGCAGATACTGATATCAAGCTACCTCTCGATCTCACCAAGGGACCTCTTAATGTGACCGTTCCTGGCCCCGTCGATACATTTGCGAGTGAAGACAAGCAGCACAAGACATCCACATCCTGGTACATGGGTGACACCACCGATATTGTGGAAACTTTCTCTGTAGGAATCGTTTCTTCGCTTCTCCTCGATGGCTACGGCTCACCTATGTACCGAGCTCTCGTTGAGAGTGGACTCGGCTCTTCTTTCACACCAAACACGGGTCTCGACTCATCTAGCCGGACTCCCATCTTCTCAGTTGGACTCAACGGTGTGACTGAAGCCGAAGCCCCAAATATCAAAAATGTGATCCAAAACGTTTTCCGGGAATCGGTTGCTGCTGGGTTTAGCGAGGAGAAAGTTCGTGGATTCCTTCACCAGCTGGAGCTCTCGCTGCGCCACAAGACCGCAAATTTCGGAATTGGTGTTATGGAGAAGACCATTTCGACTTGGCTCAACGGTTCAGACCCTATGAAAGAGCTGGCTTGGAATGATGTCATCGACGAGTTTAAGAATAGATATGCGAAACCTGGTTATCTCGAATCTTTGGTGGAGAAATATCTCATCAACGACCATTGCATGACCTTTACGATGGTCGGTACTCCCACTTTTAACAAAGAGTTGGACGAGAAGGAAGTGGTGCGAAAGGACAAGAAACTTGCCCAACTCATCGAAGAGCATGGATCAGTTGAGAAGGCTGTCACCAAGCTTGGAGAGGAGGAATTGGAACTTCTCAAGATCCAAGAAGACGCCCATAATGCTGACCTGAGCTGCCTCCCAACGTTAAGAGTCAAGGACATCTCGCGAGAGAAGGAGCGCAAGCCTGTCCGTGAGTCTAAAGTCGAGGGTGTTGACGTTGTCTGGCGTGAAGCTCCCACCAATGGCCTGACCTACTTCCAGGCCTTGAATGACTTCGTTGATCTACCCGATGAACTTCGATTGCTCATGCCCTTGTTTAACGACTGTGTTATGCGTTTGGGAACCGCCAACCGGTCGATGGAACAGTGGGAAGATTTGATTAAATTGAAGACCGGAGGGATTTCGACCTCGTCGTTCCTTGTTTCATCCCCAACTCAATTGGATCAGTTCAAGGAGGGCATGCAGTTCTCTGGATTTGCTATCGACAAGAACATCCCCGAGATGCTGGAAATGCTCTCGGTTTTGGTTACTGAGACAGACTTCACTAGCCCTGCTGCCCCTGCGATGATTCAAGAACTCCTGCGAATGACTACTAATGGAGCTTTGGATGCCATTGCGGGGACTGGTCACCGATTCGCTGTCAATGCTGCGGCTGCCAGTCTTTCTCGGAGCTTCTGGGTTCAAGAGCAGCAGTCTGGTCTCGAGCAACTACAAGCTACGGCTAACCTGCTCCGGGATGCAGAGTCCTCTCCCGAGCGTCTCCAGGAGCTTATTAAGAAGCTTCGCCTGATCCAATCATTCGCTATCTCTTCGTCTAATCTTCGCGTCCGCATGGTGTGTGAAAAGGAGAGTGCTGGTAGCAATGAGTCGATTTTGCAGAAGTGGATTTCCGGACTGCCCCAAACACAGTCCCCACGCGCTAATCTCACTACCTCTTCCTTCAAGTCAGCCGATAAGGCCTTCTATGACATGCCATATAAGGTTTATTACTCTGGCCAGGCCACACAGACTGTACCATTCGTTGATCCATCAAGCGCTCCTCTCAGCGTGTTGTCTCAGCTTCTCACCCACAACTATCTCCACCCCGAGATTCGGGAGAAGGGAGGTGCCTACGGAGCAGGTGCTAGCAACGGGCCCATCAAGGGCATCTTCACTTTTATGAGTTACCGGGACCCGAACCCTCTCAACTCACTCAAGGTCTTCAAAAACAGTGGTATCTTTGCTAGAGATCGTGCTTGGTCTGAGCGTGAGATTGAAGAAGCTAAGCTTGGTATCTTCCAAGGTCTTGATGCCCCTACGAGCGTCAACGACGAAGGCGCCCGCTACTTCATGAGCGGCGTAACCCATGAAATGGACCAACGCTGGAGAGAACAGGTGTTGGATGTTACAGCCAAGGATGTTAACGCGGCCGCTGAAAAGTTCTTGGTGAATGGCTCGCGGCAAGCGACTTGCGTTCTGGGAGAGAAGAAGGACTGGGCTAATTCAGAATGGGAGCTGCGCAAGCTTTCCATGGATGCCGCCTCGTAAGCGATATCAACAAATGATTGCCATTTAGCGGTCGTTTCCTCTCTTGTTTTGCTCATCTTCCTCTGAAGGCGTGGTCCTTGTTTAGGGGATTGTCTCACCATTTCACCTTCCCCGTGTATTTCTATCTACTTTCACGCCCCTGCATCACCTCATACCTTGTACATATATCCGTGTATATCCCATTTGTATACATCTCCATTCTTATCTTGGTTTTTTTTTGTTTTGTTTTTTTCATGTCTTCGCCTGCTTTGGCCCCCAACCGCGCTGAAGATATTCACGTGCTTCGGCACCGAGCTAATCACATCTACAACCAGTCACTACCTTTGGTTGAAGATGTCGCATTCATTTCCATCGGAATGCTCGCGCAAGAACAAAGGGAATGTGAACCGTCAGGTACACTTCTCTTCTCCGTTTTTCAGACCCGTCCTGGACCTATAAGTCTACACAGGACGGACTAAAAACGAGAGAACATGAATATTACCATAGAATCTGTACTCCGTAAAATTCGTAGAAATATCAAAAGGAATCATTCCACACCTGACTCTAATCTGACTCCAATCTGACTCTATCTCACTCTTCACTCTACACTCTATGTTGTACAAGCAATAATTTGGAATAATTGGGGCGCCACATGTTTGGGAAAAGCGGAGAAACCCGGTGATCAAATCCCCCTGATAAGCCGATGTAACAGTATCTGCTTACCCTCTTCTTTAGTTATTTTGATCAATTACCACCAAGAGTGATGGGGATTTACTCTGAGTAGCCATGAAGAGATCGGGCGCCATGGTCGGCCCTAAGCCGACCAAGGCCTGTGGTGAGTCGGAGATGAGCATTGATTCGCATTAGCATTGTGGAGAGAAGCTAACCAGTCCTAGTAAATTGCCGACGACTGAAGGTATAAACATATCTATGTACTTTCCAATATGCCAAAAACCAGGAATTGACTCCAATCACTCAGATGAAATGCGAAGTATCCGGACCTCCTCCGTGTCGTCGTTGCCGTCATACTCGAACAGCCTGTGTCTTCAAGCCCCGGGCCAATGTGAGCAAATAACCACGTTGGAAATATATTTAACGACACCAGGCTAATATTTCATCCAGGCATCTGCGATGCATGAGTTAATGGAAGTACAACAAGATCAAACTTTTGCTTCTTCGCCAGTGATCCCAGATCACCAGTCAATTCTGAACCGGCTCGCCAGAATCGAGGCTGCGCTAGGTCTCACCCAGGACTCCGAGGACCCCGAAGACGAAATCAGCTCGTCTCGTGAGGTGAGCCTCGAAGAAGACGTGGACGCCGTACCACTACATGGTGTATGGACGGCGCTTGCGCATTTACGACTCATTACTCGTCCGCCTCCAGATGAAAGTGTCTGGTCGCGATCCGTCGTTCAACAGCTATGGAGCTCGTATGTATTGTTCGAATCACAATTTGAAGGTCGACAACTGACAATATCATAGCTTCTTGAAGAATCTCCCACTTCTCCATTTCCTAACAGACCACAGCGCGTTCGCTTCTCCAACCCCTGTCCTGCTTGCTTCTGTGCTTTACATATCTGCTCTGCACCATCCATTTGCTGGATTGACATCATTGGAGTCGGGATATTTTGCCGCTATTCATAGCACTATCGCGGAGCTTGTGACTCCCTGTCTGCACCGAAGTTCCCTGCAGGTATTAGCGCAGAAGGAGGAAGAGCAAAATGTATTCCCACAATCCAAAAGGGAGAAAGCATTTCATGACATCCTTGGGTTGATCATGGCTAGCCTGAGCTGCGAGGCATATGTTGATGCCACAGGCTCGTGGATTGCAATGGCATATCGCATCTGGCTTGATCATTGTCCCGCAGAGATGAATTCCAATACACAAGACTGGCGGGGCTTATTCTCTGGTCTTCAGGTAGGCACATAAATCCCCGCAATTCGGATAATTTGTTTACATTTGTTTGCTGTAGGTCATTGATATCGAACATGCCTCGATGCACATGTCCTATCCACTCCTCCCACGACATGCTCCAAATCCAAATATACAACGACTAGATAACCATCAAGGAAATGCTTTTCAGGGTCTTGCAGAAATGATGCACTTTGGACTCAGTCATTTTGTTGGCCGTGGATTACCGAGCATATGGTCTTCTATCAACACAGACGAGACCGACATCGTGCCTACCGCTCGGTCACCCTTTACCGAGAATGATTTGCAGGTCATCCGGCATTGGGCACGGAAACTTGATGACTGGCTAGTACGATATAATGGCTCATCCCGTGAGTACCCATGAGTCAAAATCCAATTTCCGGAGCTGATTCTTGTTAGAGCCTACTCCGTCTGATCGACAAGGCATTCTCATTCTGCTCCAGTATCACTTGCACAAACTATATGTGCTTTCGATCTATCATCCTGCTCGAGGATTTGATCTTAGCCCTGCGAATATTAGTTCCTTTGAGCGACATGAATTGCTCGTTTCGGCTCGGGCAGTCTTGAGGCTGAGGCAAGATGATGCGAGCATATGGTCCAACTGGGACCTAGTTGTAAGTTTAACCCCAAAGCCACTGATGCTCCTTTTAACAAAATAGATGATTACATGGGCGGCCGTTTTACTCCTTCAAGGTGTCGAAGATGGCATGACTCACCAAGATGGTATGGCATATCTAAACCCTCAAAAGCAGAACCATCAACTTTTTCTAATACTCTATCCCAGATTTACATCTCATCCAAGCACACCTCCAAAGCCTAGAACGAAGAAATCAGTCTGCGCCAAGCATTCATACCGTTCTATTCCAGCAACTTGAGTCTAGCATGCAAGCCATGCATACGCCCCCAGATACAAGCGTGGCATTAGCGTTCCCAGGCCCCAGCGCAGACGACTCATGGACCATATTCGACCAAGAGATAATGTCTCTTGCAAACCCGCCATGGTTATTCGATGAATCGACACAGCTACCGCATATTCAGAAAACCTCCACAGTGCACCAATTACACTCTGGACTTCCGCCTTTCCAATACGATGCTGCCATTTTAGGTACTGCATCCCAACAATTTGCACCAAATTCTTAGCAGGGCTACACAAAGGCAAGTTGCGGCCGTCCAAGCATATCCCCGGTGTATTATCATCAACCCCGAAGAGGATCTAGTGGGGCACGAAGAACCACTACTTGATGTAATCCATGCAGAAGCATGCTGTACAGATTTCAAATCAAATTTTATCAAAGGATTACCCTACAGCCTCCGAACACTAAACCTCAGCTTGAAAGTGTCCATCCCCTCATGGTAGTCCTTCATCGTCTTATCTGGCCCAGCCCACTTCTCCATTCTAGCCTCAACCTCCCATTTCGTCCCAGTTTCAGCACCAACCTGCTCCCAGAGCTTCTTCCACGTAGCAGAGTCATGGCGATAGTGCTTCCCAGCGGCTTCCTCATCTTCCGGAGGCGGAGGATTCACCAGACCGATCTGCCGCCCGATTAGAAGGGAGTCAGGTCTATCCTGGAGTAACCCGACGAGCCGCTTCGCAACTAGGACCTGCTGGTTCCAGTTGAAAAGATGGAAGAAGGAAGCTGCGTTCACAATATCGATCTTGTGGGTCAGGTTCTTGACTAGGTCGGAATTGTCGTCGAATATATCTGCCACAATGAACTGGGCTTTGAGATGATCACGGTCGTTGAAAAGGTCGTACCCAATGTCATAGAAGTCTTGGCGCAAATCCGAGGCATAGAGGCTCTCAGGTGGAACGCCGTCGAAGACCTGATTTGGTATGTTAAATTTGCTTTCATTGTTCTAGGCCTGGATGGACTGTCTCACCAGTTGACGCAGCTCTTGCCCCACTGCACATCCGACATCGAGCAGTTTCTGGCCGGACTTCAGTCTATCAAGGACCTCTGGGTATAGTGGTGATTGTGGAATGCTCAAATCGAGAAATCGGAATGATCCGATACAAGGGTATGGGAACTAGGGATGTTGATTAGCATCTTTGGTCAATATCAATATGCCAGGAATATGAAGATTCCGTGGTTGCGAATTGGCTCTGATGGGCATCAAACACGCGAAAATCCCAAGCTACATCGCTTCTTGGATAGATTGTCGGTAAAATAAGATCTACTTACCACAGCGAATGCTCGATCTCTCTAGGTCATTCGATCGTTATTAGCATAGACACTCCCGTCATGAGATTCGGAGGACTCACCACTTTCTTCACATGGTCGACCACTTGCTCAGACGGGATTTTGCTGTATTTCTCGAGAAGAGTCTTTGCAGGCTCAGGAGCCTCGGTCAGCTCAGGCTCATACCAGGGGAACCGGTGAGGATCGAAGCCGCCATCGAGCATGGATCTGAGATCGGACTCAGCTTTGGCCATGTTGGGTGAAGGGATGGTAGAGATTCGTCTGCGGTCCAAAGTTTGCAGTTCAATTGGGCAATCCTGTAGTATCTGGATATTTTAGAGCTTTGTTATGTATTTGAATTTCGCATCACAGATCAGAAGGATGATTCGGGTTTGCGTGAGGATGCCCCGCGTGGGGCATGTAGTGTGGATGTCTCGGCGTCGGCCCCGGCTCGTCCACGTTTGGTAAGACTTATTTAAATCATAGGTGAAGCTTCTGATAGTTGAAAGTGAAGCATATCTTAGCAGAGGCTCAACCTCATCTTAATCGGAGTCGGTCAAAGACGTCGAGATTGTATGGAGTCATCTTAATAGCCCTATTTGTCAGGCCACTAACTAGCAATTAACTACTCCGTAGATCCTCCAGAATAATAACAGCTTCAATTCTTTGTTTATATAGGCGGATACACATAGCATCTGCATGTGAAGGAGAAGTAAGAAGTGATGGATAACCAACGATAGAGAACTCTTCCCTAAAAACTTACATATATTCCCAGTCTCATAGGGACAAAAAGCATAAACTACCTATACAGGCCAAAAACTAACACATGACACTTAGTGCACCAACACTTGGTGCAATATGTTTGAAAGTATTGAATTCACAGAGTTCTTATCGTAATCATTAATAGCATTGAGATGATCGGAATGATAGAGAGCAGCTTCGACGCGACTGTGGAGCACGATAGCGACAAACGCGACAAAATCCAGCTCGGGTAGACTTGTAAAAAGGTCCGAGAGACTCGTAAATATGAGTTAGCCAATCAGCAAGACATCTGTTGTATATCTATCACATCTATCTGTATTCTCTATTAGGACCCTTAATTTTCAGATATCTATATGACTACCGTATTAGGATTAAGGAATTTGGGAAATTTATGGCTTCTAGTTTCTATTTGATGTTTGAATTTCGGGTCTCTCTGAGCTCTTTACAAGTCTCTCCGAGCTTTTTCGAGTCTCTCCGAGCTGCAACGCGCCAACCAAATATATTTTATCGGTATTATAATGCTCCGTAGATAAAATCCTAAAATTCTTCTCCACATTCTCCTATTCTTCGTGCTTTTTCCCAATCAGCTCATGGAAAATATAATTCCCAAGCAGCTTGCTGGGTACAAGCGACCTAGGACCTCATCCTCATCACAGGGTCCGATTGCAGAAAAGTCGAATGCGTGCCAGAATTGTCGCTCTCGCAAGACTGGGTGTGACAAAGCTAGGCCAGCATGTGGATTATGCGTGCGACGTGAGACTCAATGCACATACAACGATACAACCCGCCATCAAGTGACCCATCCAACAGCCAATCAAGCATCGTATGTCGAGCCCTTGTATTCCCCCCCCTAACTTGTTCTTTCTTCTGAGGGCACACTTTTGCTAACAGATCACCACACAGTTCTGATCCCGTGAGCTTGCAATCTATTCAACATGTCTTGAATCATGTCGTCTCTATGCTGGAGGATCAATCTACGAGATTAGCAGAGCGCCAAGAGTCTGAAATCCAAAGACACCCTTTGCAAGATCAGGGGATGTCCTCGTCATTTAATGAGCGTGTACAGCCAATCACTCCCACCCTCACCGAGGACTTGTACATCCAAACTCCCAATTTTCCTGCCTCGGTCAACAGCTATGAATCAGTTTTGAAGTGGCCGGTGATAGAAGACCTCATCAAATTGCCTGATCATCATTCATTTGTGGTGGATGATCACCGTGATGACTTCACAGTGCCTGGTCAGCAACTCATGTGGGGTGAAGAGCAAAGACTCCGAATCCTGCACGACGCAGAGAAGATAATCTGTCTCGAGATTCAATGACATTGTGAAAGATATCATCGAAGAGGATTTCAGTTGGGATGGGGAATCCTGCCTTGTGGTGAGCTCTCCATACTACATAAAACTTCTTGTTTCTGCTAGGGAAAAGTAGGCGAGTAGCTAACAGTCTGGCAGTACATCGCTGCCGCCCTAGGTGGTAAATCGATGCCATTTTCTTATGATACTAGGCAAAAAACCTTCAAGCATGGAGTTGTACACTACAAGGTCGCCGAGATATACTATTCCGAGGCAAAAAAGCGCCTAGGTCTAATTCGGCCCTCAGTGCTTAGATCACAATGTCTATTCCTGTGCGGAGTTATGGAGATGTATTTATTCGACGTACTCAAAGCTTGGCACTATTTCCGTGAAGGCCGTACACAATTGGAAGATGTGCTCCGGAGGCCAGGACGCATTCGACCCATCAACGAGACCCAAGGTCTACCTAAAGACCAAGCTATCGAAAAAGTCCTGTATTGGTCATTTGTCAAATTCGAGTGGTAAGTATCATTCCGGGCCTCTGTTTATGCTGCTTTTATTGACATAGAAGAAATTCTAGCGATCTACAGAGTGAGATAGCTCTTCCAGGTAACAGCATAAGTCACCTTGATTTTCAGGCAGATGCACTGTCTGCACCTTTGGATATTAGTGCCCACAGGGAGTGGAAGCCGCGAGAGAAACGGAGCTTGCTATACTTTCAAGCCGAAATCGACCTTCGAAGAATAATGAATCAAGCTTTCACAGCGATGGGGGCAGAAGGAAGCTCAGGTTGGATCCAAAATTTCAAGCAAATCCTGTCATCCTATCATATTTTAAACGAACGGTTGAATTCTTGGTATGTGACTTCGAGTATATGATTTATAGTCTCGCAGTTCGGCTAACAAACTACAACAGGTACGCTGCGCTGCCATCCCAAGTGAAACGAGACCTGGAGATGAGCCGAGACCCTACTATTAAGCTATTTAATAAGATCGAACCCATAGACGAGTTAGCCCATCAGCTTCACATGCGCTTCTTGAATTTCCAGGAATGGATTCATCGTCCATTTCTTTACTACGTGATTCACCAACCCACCCATGATCCATATATACGGCAAGCTGCGCCCCTAGCTAGGAAATGCCTCGAATTTGGCATGGACATTCAACTGAAGGGTCAACCCAATTGGGGCAGCATTCATATTCACGAAAGACTCTGGTTAGAGCTTCGTGGTGCACTCACACAGGGGGTCTTATTGATCGGGGCAATCTGCAGCAAGAAACTTGATATACCGGAGGGACGGAATGTGACTATGTCTAGGACAGGATCACTCTGGGCAAGACGGTGTGCAGACCTAAATGCGGCTGTTGATGTCTACGACGTCTTGATGGAAACAGCTGGGCGTGATCTGTATGCGGAATGAAGCAGTCTGTCTTAGCAATCGTTTTCAACAAGAGGGAAAGAGCATGTTGGTCTTGGTCTATTACTTGAGCGCTAAATTAATTCAACCTTGGCTACTCACAAGTCTGCTTCAATCCTCGCCATGAACTATAGTTTTCCACCTGTAGCGTAAATCATTCAGTCCCTCTAACCGCAATCACGGATCCAAAGGCAAGGCCATGAGGATTATAATTATTTCTTGTCCCCCGAATAACAAAACAATATTGACAAAATACCTCAAGTTTCAAGTCCGAGGAGGTGTCCCAAAATTACTAGTATCTCACTAGACGAGTGAACCTTAGTGTGAAAATTACCAGACTTCACGATAATTGGCTGCTTGTTTGGCTTTAGATTCTAGTATGCTCTTTATGTTTCTAATGATGCAAATGGTTGTCAAGAAACAAACAAAATTGTCGTAGCAAACAAATCAAATGTGACGATATATATACCCGGCCTGTGGTATAGTTCCGTGAGTATGTTGTAAAGAGTTTTTTTCCTTTTCTTTCCACCTCCCTACTATATATTAAGCATCTATTTATATGTAAGTATATTATTCAACCCCATAAATTGGGCTTGCAGTGTATAGAGTCAGCGAACTCAAGCAAGATTCTCATGTCCACACCATAAGGATCTCAGTTGTGACGAAGCGTCTATCTGGAGAAGAAATGCGAATAAACATGCTAAAGAAGTGCATGCCAAATTTGAATGTAATGACCCTGTCCGTTGACGAAATAAGAGGGATACATGGAAGAGTTTTGTACTAATCAGAGCTGTATAGCATGGCCTGCAAATAGACCCTCGGGGACGTTAGTTGCAATCCAACAAATTCATGACCAATATCATCAACCTCCGAGCTGACTCGCCTTATGCATAGGTCACATGTCGTCGAGGGGTCAGCCTCTGAAATGCCAATGAGATGGTTCTACTGGATGTGACATGGCCTGCAAATAGGGTCTCGGGGATGTTAGTTGCAACCCAACAAATTCATGGCCAATATCATCAACCTCCGAGCTCACTCGCCTTATGCATAGGTCACATGTCGTCGAGAGGTAGATTTCTGAAATGCCAGTGAGATGGTTCTACTAGATGTGGCACGCCAAGTCCGCTTCGCAGTGTAGAAGAAGGTCCAACCAAGACATACACCACTTCAATTGGATGGATGTGGAGTGCGGAATCCACCCAAACTCCTTGTTCAAGCGAAATTAAAAGAAGAGATTTTGGATCTTCATGTCTTTTCTAAGAATTGTGCTAGAGTTCTATTAGCCCATTTGCCAACCTACCTATATAAATTGGACACCGATTTTATCTCTGTTCTCAAGCCACCTTGCACCTGTATGGATCTGTGTTAGACCTTGATACTGACAGTGATCGTAGGTTGGATTCTGATCTAGAAAGTAATATTATCCGTACTTTACTTGGGCCTCTGTATACTCTCTTTTCAATATAATACAATATGCTGAAGCTGCGTTCTATTTGACTCAATATTGTTACTCCTCACTTTCTAATCTGCCTATGTAGTCATGGATCACCAATACCATAGTACTAGATGTATACTTAAATGGACAACAATAGTTAGGTAAAAATCTTATAAATTACACAGGGGAGAAAGCAAAATTATCTTAAAGAGCTTCATTCTGCCGAGCAGTTACGCCCTTTCCTGTTTGATCTTCAAGCACAATACTACATAAAAGTAGTATACCAGCAATAGACCCTAGTACCAGGAGCCATGTCCAACAACGTCAGTGAGCTATGATATCTACCTCCGTGCCCTCCCAATCTAACACAGTTCCTATATTGCAGTACACCTGCGTTCCCGCCATCAAATGGCTAGTTAGAACCCTCCGCAACGACAACGCCGAGGCCGACGGCATCGCCACCTGGATTGCAATCCTGAATCTGCGATTCCCATCTACACAAGGCTTCTTCGTTCGCTCATACATCCACTGCGCGTTGCGTGGATGTCCAGGCTGGGTCGAGCTTCAACTATCCCATTTGAAAGACGGCCACCAGAATCCAGTTCTTGTGGTGTACTACCAACGTGCTGATAGACAGAACGATGATCAGTGGGAAACAGGACAGAGAGAACTACAGCTGTATCTTGCGTTTCGGTATCGTAACTTTCCGGATGATACGTCGCCTATCTATGGCATCCTTGCAATTGGTGCCAAGTTGAAGATCTTCCAGTACGATAATCCCTCCCGCAGCATCGACCGGTTTGTTCCGCCTTGGGATTTGGAGCGTCACGATGAGCAGGTTTGGAACATGCTCAGAAAAATCAGCAGGTACCACACTGATGGTGGTGTCTGTACAACGAGAGGGCTGAAAACCGAGTCGGGTGTACGGGGGAATGAGGGAAATTCGGTGGTTTGATGCCTTCACTTCTACAGTGACTTACGATTCTAGAGGTGGGGAGGTATGAATAGCATGATGGTGCTGTGTTTATGGGTGTTGGGGCGCTATGCAGCAGAACATGGGTTCAAAAGACTGAAGAGTCAAGGTCAATTAGGGTTTATCATATTTTTATTATGCTTCCAATTTGAAACGCTCGAGAAGTCCTGGCACTCTCAAGACTCTTGAATTCATGGGGGTATAGTGTAACAAAGTCGCTAATATCATACAAAATAGGGGAATGGATGGCAGATATCCATAATAATAACGCAAAGCAAATTGCAGTAATGCGTGTGGAGATCCATTAGCCTGATCAATCGAGAGAAGTCGTATTTTCACCAACCTCGCGGGGAGACATAGCTCTTGGCGAGGGTTTGAATAAGCCTGGAGAATCCATGGCCATAGATGAAGGCGACATAGATAGAGGCGGGAAGGGCTCGGTTTGGCTATCGGACATCCGGCGGCTTGATGACTCGCTGAAGGCCCTTCTCGGGGTATTAGGTTGCTCTTGCGATTGGAGACTTGGACTAATGGATGTTGCGGCAGGCTAAACAAGTAATCTAATTAGTTTCTTCTTCATTCAGGCCAGAAGATGCAAAGATCTCGTACCTTGTCACCACCTCTTGTATCGAGGCCTCGACTCAAAGCCAGCTCGTGCGCAGCAAGCCGTCGCCTCTCAATATCGGCTTCTTCTTCCAATGCCGCGCGGTGCTCTTCTGTTTTCAGGTCTGCTATTGATGGTGTATCAATGTCATGAACAATCGAGGCCTCATTGTGACTAGGCGATCGCTTTGGGCACCGCTTCTTCTTCCGCCTTGTCTTTTTCGACGATGCGCCACCGAGGCTGGACGCGGATGCAGACTGTATAATTTCAGACTTCGCCCCGGACTGATCATCTGATTCCAAGCCTGTCCCCCGGCGCCCGAAAGCAAGGGCAAACTCATCGTCAAGGGGCACTGCATCTTCCTCATCACTAGGGAATAGATCCCCACGCGAGCTAAGTGAGTTGTCCGTTCCGCGGGACGATTGCGTGGCACTGCGATTCCTTCCATGAAGGGTAAGCGAATATTCATCTCTGTCATCATCATCCATTGCTTCCATTAGCGGCTCGTCTTCGTGCGCATAGCGTCGCGTGCCGGGGTGTTCTTGGAGGTCAGCAGCCGAAGGCCGATACTTGACTCCCCTAGCACCGAATCTCCATGGAAAACGTTCGAGGAAGCCAATGAATGAAGAGCTGGGGATAACAGTCGGGTCATCGCGATCGTCCGAGTTGTGTGCTGTACTCCGTCGCCTAGTGTTGCGTGTCCCGTAGCTCATCCTCCGGGGCCGACGCGGTTGGTCAGCAGGTCCGCGCGCCAGCCCGCTGCCAGCAAGGAGGCGATCGAGTTCGCCTGTACCCCATCCAATCAAACCGTCATCTTCTTCTTCGTTGGCCCAATCGTCATAGAAATCAAAGTTGGCTTCGGTTTGGCCGCGTCGTCGCCGCCGTAGGTGGTCTTCGCGGCTCGGGAGGCACGGTGCTGTACATGCAGCCACACAGTTTCCAATGGATTCGAAACATGGGGATATGTAGTTGTGGGAAAAAGCATAAAGTCCCTCTTGGGCGGTTTCGTTGGCAGTCTCAAGGTTATGAGAGATCTGATTAATCCTTTGTCGGATGCGGGGGTCGCGCGGTCGCATCATCTTGGGCAACGGTGTCGACACTAGACACAACTAATGATAGATCTTGTGTGATTCGCTTCACCAGCTGTCGCCGGCGACATTGGAAGAGTTACAGGGGTAAAACAGAGGCAAGTGAGGTCGCAAGATGAATGTGATGATGACACTCCTCGCTGAGTCAGCGCGGGTAATTTCCTGGGGTGAAATTTAGTGTTGAGGAAGACGCGTTGAAGAGGGAGAGAGGAATTGAGGCAATTGAAAGAAAAGATTGTATTCTATATCTCCAGGATGGTTTATTATGTTCGATTCCTGAAGACACCCAGGATCCAGCAGCAGAAAGGGTCTATCTTCATCTCCGCTCTTATTTGCATCACCACTGATCTGGGAGACTCTTTTCTCGCTGAAGATGTTGATTTGATGGTGACAGCCCGTGATAATTCCTCTCGGGTTATCTTTCAGAAAAAGACAGAATGGAGCGCCAGTAATCGCGAACTTGCAATTACCCTGGGTCCTCTCCCATCCAATTTGGCCAAGCAGTCCATGGTGTTGACGGTTGAAGCACCGGAATCACCAGAATACGTTATACCCCAGTATCCCTCCATACCTTTAGTGGTTGCTGCAACAAGTGCTCCATTTGGACCTCAGTCCACGCCAGCAGAGAAGCTGGTCCAACGGCGCATTCAATACAGCAGCTCCGAACCACTCCCAATAAAAATCTGGGAAGAGACAGGAAATAGCATTGCTAGACATATATGGTGAGCCACTCTTTCACCCAATTTCCAGATTTCCCCCCGAGATTCTAAACAGGGATGTTCCCAGGGATGCGGGCCTTGCAACAGTTACATATCTTCACATGATCTGTGATAATATAAAGAAAACAGCCAACAACAAGACAAAAGGCACTGAACCTAAAATACCAGCTTTGAAACAAATTCTATCGATCAATCGCAACCAACCTCTTCAGGTAGTTGAGCTAGGGGCAGGATGTGGGATAGTAGGAATTGCATTGGCAACAATGCTTCCCAACTGTTCGGTCATACTCACGGACCTCCCCGAGGTTGAAGACATAATAACACGCAATATTAATGCTGCCCAACTCGCAACCATGTCCAGTCTCCAGTATCAAAACCTCGACTGGGATGACCCGCTGGACGAGCTCTGCCCGCAGCCTATTGAACTCATTCTTGTCTCTGATTGTACCTACAATGCAGACAGCTTGCCAGCGCTAGTCTCCACGCTCGATCGATTGATTCGGACATCTCCGGAGGCAATCATCTTGGTGGCTTTGAAGAGACGACATGACAGCGAAACGGTGTTCTTCGACTTGATGCGGTCGGCGGGATTCTCGGCGGTGCAGGACAGCGTTGAGATCCCCTCGCAACACGATGGGGTTGATGAGATTGAATTTTACTGCTACAGTCGACCAATTGGGGGAAGATAGCATATAGAATATTGACTCTCGGGATAAACCTCTTTTCTACGAAGGACAATCTGCTTGATCGAAAGAAACATAAAGCTCCAGAGCTAGCAGTAAAAGAACAACGATGAAGCATAGAAAACAGGAAGCTAGAGAAAAAAACATCAACAGCCTTTCTCGCAGATGCTCCAGTTACGAGAATGTGGTTGTTAGAAGATTAGTCCTATAATTCATACAATTTATGATGTACAATCTGAATCTGGCCATTGAAGGGGTCTAGACTATCAATTACAGGGGATATGGTGGAATCGCACACCAAGATTAAGCTAGAATATAAACCTTAAGCAAACATCTATATAAATCTGACAAGACATAAATAATCACTTGTCCTCCCATAGCCTTAATATATTCCTAAGGCATACATCTATCTTTTCCTGCATAGAATTGTCATTGGAAAAAAAAACCCACCTATGGTGGAGCAGAACCACGATCTGCAGTACCAGTTATGAACCAGCAAAAATTCAGCATGTGGAGAGCTCCATTTTAGGGTTAATTAAACCGAGGTCGAATAAATGGTCAACACGTAGATTGTTAGCTTTAAACAGGTTAGAAACCACTGTATTAGTTATATATAACAATCTGCTCCTGCAAGTTTGTGAACCGTTTAATAAAGCTTCACCGTTTATATAGGTCGTCCGGTGTACAATTCCGGGTTTAGATAAAGTTTCTAAAGAGAGTGCTGAGCCATGGACAGAATTCTTTTTTATATCAACTTCTTGGAAGAGGAATCTAGCCTTACAAAGGCCCTATTGATTACGACCAGGGAAAATTGGATCTCGCCAAGGAAACATGCGGAATTTTCTAAACCATTACGTATATACAGGTGTTACTCGAACTGTATAACTATTAAAAGTAGTATCTGAAATGTCTCTAGAAATTAGAAATTAGAGGAAAAACAGTGGTTGATATTTTAGTGGTCCGTGCATGAAAGTGGAATCAACCAAGATGCGTCATGGGTTCCCGGAGCTTCATCCCACTTCTGCCACTTCTGCCAGCTCTGGAGCATATTTTTCGGCATTGTGCATACTGTAGAATATACCACATAGCTGTGGACGGGGTAGGTGCACTAAAAATATAAACATCCCGGTTGTACGCACAATGTATGGAGTACTGCACTGCCACGTATGTACATTGTATGTAGGTACTGGGGATGAAGTACAGAGTGCCTGGATTCAAGTTCAAATATTTGATCGTTCAGGGATATACTCTGGCCAAAGCCAAATCATAGATACCTATACACACCGCTGCCATTGAATCCAGCAATTCCGATAATTTCATGGGATTCGACTCCTGCGTCATGCAGTCACACACTAGGAGGGCACACACACTAGGAGGGAATGCCTATATGTTGTACTCCGTAGAACTGGCAAGATAATAATGGATGCCTAACCCCAAAAATAATCGCGCATGTTTATCCGAAATAGTATTAGAAACAAAAAAAAAAAAAAAAAAAAAAAACGAGAGAGAGAGAGGAAGTTAGTACTCCGTAACCCTCCTAGAGGGCTAAGTAGATAGGTAAACCTTGGGGCTGAGTAAGCACCGCTCTTTTTTTTTTCCCCACGAATGCCCAAAAGGCTCCGTCATCTCTCTTGCAGGGCTTTGGTTTCAACTCACCTAACTATTTGGGTTACCAACTTATTTTACAAGGTGAGTCTTTTTATTTCCAAGTTAACTTGATTCGGATTTTCATGTGTGACCCCGTGCGGCGTTTTATTTCCCCCAATAGTCGTGTGCCCTAAGCTCGCTCACTGCCCCCCCCAAGAAAAATTTCTCAAATTCAAAACCCTCGACCCCCTTCCTCTCATCCGTCCTTTTTACTCTCTCATAGCTATCTTAGCAGCTGGAATAAACCCAGACTCGCTAATCATCCCTTAGATCTCGGTCCTTCAGGTCCACTTCTCAGACCCTGCCTTTGGAATCCCCAAAGGCGATTCGGTCACCACGGCTCCAGTAGCCTTCCCTCTGGTTCTTAGCCACATTGTCTCCACTCAACGTCTCCGCGACACTCTTAACAACATTCCACCTCCTGGTCTTCTCTGAATTCTCGTCCGGTGCGCCTTTTTTCGTCCCGTTGACGACCCCGGAGATTATTCCCTCGTTCTCTGAGCTGCCGCATAGGACTTCTTTCAAGGTTCTTCCTCTTCAGGGGGAAGGGTCTAGGAGGCTTGGTCCAGTCAACTACGGTTGTGACACTTTTCGTCCTCCCTAACGCGCAGTCGCCTGCCAGTTTTAAATACTTTCTATTATCTCTCTGTTTTCTATTATTGTGCTGAGTCGCAGCGGCATGGTTATGGCACCGACTGCGTGTGTATCGACTGCTGAAGTATGCACCTTCAGAAAAGACTATACCAATAGTCTGGACCATCTTGGTCTTGTCAGCAGTCATGGGGACAACAATCTGTTGCAATCATCGTTGACTGCCAAGGAGCTTGTGTTGGATGTGTTGAAGAAGCGAGCGGCGGAAGTGGATGTGGACCACTGTGGTCCTGGTGAGGAGGATGCCTTCTACGTGGCGGATATGGGTGAAGTCTACCGCCAGCATATGCGCTGGAAGATGAATTTGGGCCGTGTCAAGCCCTTTTATGGTAGGCCTCTTCTCTCTGCCACTGGATCACCCACCATGGACCCCCTTGCTAACGAACACTAAACAGCTGTTAAATGTAACCCAGACCCGGAAGTACTCCGGCTCATGGCTCAACTTGGAAACGGTTTCGACTGTGCTTCCAAGTCTGAGATTGATATGGCCCTTCAGACGGGCATTGACCCTAGCCGCATTATTTATGCGCAGCCTTGCAAGACTAAGTCTTACTTGCGTTATGCCGCCGAGGTCGGCGTCAAGCAGATGACCTTCGACAATGCCGATGAGCTGTACAAGATCAAGTCCACCTTCCCGGAGGCAGAACTGTACCTCCGCATCTTGACTGATGACTCGACCAGCCTGTGCCGGCTGAGTATGAAGTTTGGTGCTTCCATGGACCAAGCTCGTCCGTTGCTCGAATTGGCTTATAAATTGGACCTTAAGGTCGTCGGTGTGAGCTTCCATGTCGGATCTGGCGCCGAGGATCCGCGGGCTTTCCTCAAGGCCGTGCAAGATGCACGCATGGTCTTCGATCAGGCAGGAGAGATCGGCCACGAACTCCACACTCTGGATGTTGGCGGCGGCTTCTGCCAGGACACCTTTGAGAAGTTCGCTGCCATTCTGAGCGAAGCTGTGGACACTTACTTCCCGCCCAACATTCGCGTGATCGCCGAGCCAGGTCGCTACTATGTAGCCACTGCCTACACTCTGGCTGCCAACGTCATTGCGCGGCGTGACATTCCGGATCCTGATGATCCCACTCGCGACGCTTTCATGCTGTACCTGAACGACGGTGTCTATGGCAACTTTTCGAACATTATCTTCGATCACCAGCATCCTGTTGCCCAGATCCTCACCTGTGCCTCGGACGGCTCCCAGCCTGGTTCCCCGAACTCTGCGACTTCGGAGGATATCACTTACTCTATCTGGGGCCCTACCTGTGACGGCATCGATGTTATCACTCAGCGTATTGGCTTGCCTGGCCTGCTGAACACCGGTGACTGGCTTTACTTTGAGGAGATGGGAGCTTATACCAAGTGCAGTGCTACCCGTTTCAACGGTTTCTCCGACAACCACGAGGTGATCTACATTTCTAGCGAGCCTGGTGCCTCGGCTTTGCTGAACTACTAGTTTGAAATTTGATGTGCTTCACAATCTTTTGCAATTGTGTCTTTTTGTTTGGAATTACTTTTTGTTGTTTGGTGACCTCTACCCCTAGGGGACATCTAATATAGTATCTATTGTGCGTTCTCACTGCATATGCGCAGGTTTTTTTTTTTCTTTCTCCCACTAGATTTTAAATTAGAACAGCGCCCATCCTGTTTGTTTGTATTAATACTCCTTGACTAGAGATCGCTTGGTATCTCATGGGGTCCATAGTTTGCTCTATGACTATCATTAATGCTTCTGAACATAAAATATAAAACGTCTTGATGTTTGATTACATGCTCTATCATCACATTTACAAGGTATCATGAGAAATTAACCACGCACAGTATCTATAAACAGGACCTGGCCCCATCAAAAATCTAGACCAAGCGCTCCACACTCAACTCCACACCCTCTCCCTCGCCCGCCTGGACCAGCTCACCAGCTTCAAGCTTCTTTTTCCACTTGGCTGACTCGTACCGAGCCAGAATCAATGTAATGCGGGCGATGACAGCTGGGTCTGCAGATTCCGCAACCATGGTAGAAGGAGTGCAAGTCCAGCGTCCAAACGCCCAGTTGAGAATGTAATACTGCACTCCAGACGTCTCGAGTGTCTTTCTCACAATCGAATTATCCGATGATTCGACCGGAAGATCCTGGTTCGAGCAGCGAACAATTCCCTTGATGCGATACACCTCCTCACGAGACGCCGAAGAGAGGAACCGCTCCAGAGCAGCAACATCGACCGTCTTCCCCTCAACATCGGACTTCAAAACAACAGAAAGAACCTCCACCTCAGACTGATGATCATGCTGATGCTTATGGTCATGTCCATGGTCATGTCCATGTCCAGCCGCAGCCCCATCCTCCGCCTCCTTAAACAAAGCCCCATCAATACCCAGCAGCACATCCATATCAACCCTCCCCTTGTTCGACTTCACCCAAGGAGTCTCGACCTCCAAATCACCCACCCGATCCAAACAAACATCAAACCGCTGAGGTGAATCCTCCCACTTATTGAAAACAATCAAATCGGTATACTTCGCTTGAATCTTCGCCGTGTACGAGGTATCCTCATATCCCTCCCAGTTCTCGACATCAATAACGCTGATCACACCATCGAGAACGTAATTTCCACCCTGTTCGCGCGCAAGGCGGTTTACTTCCATTGCAAGCGTTGCAGGGAATGCGCTGCCGCTAGTCTCGATCACGATGCGGTCGGGTTGCACTTCAGTGCGGAGCTGATCAAGTGCATCGCTGAGCTGCCCAACAAGGTTGCAGCAGATACAGCCATTGAGCAGCTCGCGCACGCCGCTGATGGATTGTGTTGAGGCGAGTTGAGAGTCAACGGCTACGTCGCCGAATTCGTTCTTGAGGAGGGCGAGCTTGTATGTCTTTGGGAGTTGCGGGATTAGGTTGAGGAGGAGGGTTGTTTTGCCCGAGCCGAGGAAGCCCGTCACGATCGTTATGGGGATTGGCGCCATTTTTGGGGTTCTTGACGACTGTCTTGGAGGTGAGATCGTTGCTTTCTGAGGTTGACGGCGGGATGCTATCGCTGATTGCTGATGGAGGGGCTAGCCCTAGAGTAGGAGCCCTAATTGCCATTTTGGGGTTGTTGATATATTGGTTTCCATTTCTACTATAAAAAGGGGGTTTGTTCCATCAGAAGAAAGAAAATACATGTTTGTCCATGGCCTCGTTCTGCGATTGAACCATGTCGGCGAATATGACGCGAATGACAAGCAGGTACGGTGGATCCTAGAAGCGCATGCCTAGGTATAAATGGCAAGGGGCGCTGAACAAACCACCTAAAATCAACCAGAATTTGAGCAGTCATCTCAATTGATTCTATGCTAGGTCAGGCTAGCATATTTTAAAATCGGTGCTGTTGCAATAACCCCTACAGCATCATACCAGGAAACAGTAACGGCGCCCCTAGGCAGATGGTTACTCGAAGCTCTGGTCTTTACTGAAACATTAGCAGAAACCACCACAAATATAGAGCATATCCAATTCTTTTCCATCTCTCCATTCATATGTCTTACGCAGCATTTGATAAAATTGTCCAAATTTGCACTGACGTAGTATCCAAATAACCTCGTCTTCCGGTTGAAATTTGGCAGTCATGATTTAGAGACTAAGGTATGCTTTATGTACATCGTCGACTTTGCAGGCTGAACAAGCCCTACAATAATTCAGATCAGCATGATCTTAATGCAATCCACCCACCCGCACACAAGATCTCCCAGGAAATAGCAGTTCCCCAAAGTCCAATCTCATAATTTAGATATCATAACAAGTGTCAATGTCTCGAGGTTGACCGATTCTTCGACCCTGTTGTTCCCGTAGTCGGTCTGTCGCTCGCCCTATTCCATGATCGATACTCGGACCGCTCGCGGCGGGATCGCCGTGCCGGTGCACCGCGGGTGGTAACGACCGAGTGGTCTGTGTAATTGACGCCATCCTGATCGTGTTCTTGATCGGATTCGGCACCGCTGGAACGATTCATGCTTTCAGATCGGGAGCTCATTGTGTATGATAGATTTTAAGAAAATGAAAATGAGGGTTCAGATTAATTATTGTCAAGTTGAGCGGTAAGCGGTAATAGGTGAAGTAGAGGTATAGCGCTTTCTTATACAGAGTGGCGGCGGTGGCACACTTCACACAAACATGGAGATTTACTTCATTGTGAACACATTTTGATGCAATATACAGAGGGCAACACGAGAAATTTTTTTATTAGCTTATTAGTACTAGTTAATAGGTTGTTGAATAACAACGGATTTTATATATATTTTCGTACTTCTACCAACATATGTACCATGACTATTCCGTACGTAGGAACCAATCGGAAAAAAATAGATTAGTCGTGCCGGTCAAAATGTGCAAGGGGAGCTCTATCCCATTTTATGAATTACTCCTCACATTAGGAGTCAGATGACAAGATGTGAAGCTCGGACAAAGAGAGGTGAATAAAGTTCCCCCTGGACCTCGGCCCAGAGGTGAATTAAAACTGCGGGGAGAGACTTCGGACCTCTTCAAGATGTGGATTATATTTCTGATATATCCTCGTCACCTTTCGCCTGTTTTATAGTTCTAGTCCCTTGTCACCCTCAGTCATATTGGGCTAGCTGCATACCTTAACTTCCACCATAGAGCTTCTACCATGGCCGGCTCCAAGATTACCTGTTACGTCGACATCGTCAGCCCCTTCGCATATATTGCGTTTCATGTGCTGCAGGTATAGAGTCTGTGAATCCCGAGGATGATTTGATCTATCTGACACAGTTCTAGAATTCACCCGCCTTTGCGAAATGCGAAGTCACATATGTGCCGATGCTACTCGGAGGTTTGATGAATGCATGTGGCAATAGCCCTCCAATCAATATTACAAGTGAGCGAATATTCTGACTCTGGGTGGGAACATTGCAACAATGAAAACTTACAAATGTATTTGCAAATTCAGATAAGAAAGACTACTTGGGTCGCCAGCGACTGCGATGGGCGAAATACTTCTCAGTCCCGATTATTGAGGGATTCCCTAAAGGCTTCCCCTTCCGCACACTATCTGTGCAACGTGTGCTATGCGCAATCTCCCAGAAAGCACCAGAAAATCTCGCTCCGGTCATTGGGGCGCTATTCCATGCGATCTGGGTTGAAGGCAGCACAACCATCGCGGAACCCGAAGGCTTTACTCCCGTGATCGAGAGTGTACTTGGCAAGCAAGAGGCGCATGAGATGATTTCTGCTGTAAGTCTATTACAATACCCAAGATTCCAACTACATGTAGTTCCATAGAAATGCGACCGCAAGGATCAAACTAACTTGGCCCGTAGATGAACAATCCAGACGTCAAGGCCCTTCTAATCGCAAATACCGACCGGTCCTTTGCTTCGGGAGCGTTCGGGTTGCCGTGGCTCGAGTGCACGAATTCTAAGGGTGAGACTGAGGGTTTCTTCGGCGTCGATCATTTGGGCCAAGTGGCTGATTTCCTGGGTTTGGATCGCGCTCTCGACAAAGGATTCAGGGCCGCTCTTTAGGATCTGACTAGCATGAACTTGGATCATGCCTTGTGTATTGTGAAAAGGAGCCATAAAATAAATGAAGTCTCCTCAGAAAATTCTTCACTGAACAACAGAAAGCTATTTCTGTAATATTGGTTCGAAGGAGATGAGAGTAGAGCCCCTTCTAAGGCTGATTCAGCGCCCCCGGCGAACACCTACGGTGCCCAGACGTACAGGATAATCCGCAGATGTCATCGCAAAGGCAGCCAGTTGGGAGCCTGCATAGACATGCCTGGTGCACTCGCAGTTTAGCCTGAGCTTCCATAGGAGACGCCAGAGTCCTCAGGACAACCTTTCATCGGACTGTAGATATATGTTGAATATATCTTGGAGCTGATCAACCGGTCAAAAAAATTCAAAGGATACTCAACAGGAACCACATAGTGGACCTGGAGTGGTTGAAGAAAGCAGAGAGAAGAAGAGAGAGAAATGGGAGGGGCCAGGTATTTATATTTACCTTCTGGTTGAGGGTGATGGGGGTGGGTGACGAATGTCCCAAAAAGGAAGGAACCGGCATAAGGCGATTGGGAAACTGCATAGGTGGGCTATGGGTCCAAAAGGGAAGGCACATGATTGCGAAGGTAGGACTCGTGAACTATGTATTCTGGCTATAACTCTCCAGGGCTTTTCGCAATTATTTCTCTCGGAGTTGTACTGTTTTTCTGGTTTTCTTGGTAACTCAAAGAATAACAACACCTCTACTACTAGCCGCTAACTAGTTAATCAAGGCAAGACAAGAAGGAAGAAGAAAAGATTAGAATAGAAAACCTGTAGGGAAACACTAGTCGATCGAGCTAGCGTCAAGTATCTACCCCATAAGTGCGTTGTGAAACTTGCCACCCAAATAGTTTCATTCTCCGTGACATCTAATTATACATCAGTAATAAGTGAGGATCCTGTCCCCTCAGAAAATCAGAGAAGAGATGCAATCAGTGACATCCAGACTATCCAACAAGCTGCAAAAAACATAGATGACTATAAATCTCCAGTCAATGGAGACCAGACCCCAAAACTCCAAGGATATGCTGCAAGTTGTCTACTTCGTAGACACTGGGGGGTGTACGTGCTTATTGCTCATATGCTTCTCTCGCAGGAAGTCGCAAATCTGATCGTTGCTCATTTTATCAATGCATTCTTGCTCCTCCCGGGAAACTTCGAAATCTTAACAACTTCATCAACAATCAAGTCACATATGCTGGGAAACTAGTGGAGGCAATAACACACCTTGAGGTATCGTCTCCTCAACTTCCCTGGATCCACCTGAAATGCTGCGAATGTGGCCCCGAACGGTACGTAAAGCTCCCTGCGCAGCAGGTAACGTGTCCTCCATTAGAGTATGCCTCACGGCGAGAATCTTCTCTTGAGCGACGGAGGTAACGAAATTCCCAAACTCGGAAAGCGAGCCGCCAGGAGCCATAGTATCCAATTGGTGTTTCATGCCCGCGAGAATACCTTCCCCTTCTTGCCCCTCGGCTTTATTGAAAGCAGCCGCATTCGCCTTCATCTCATCCACGGACTGCTTGCGTTGTCCGAGTGCAACATTGGAATCCAAGTACAATGAGTCGCTGGAGGTGTTTGGGAGCATAGTAAATTGTTTTACTTGCTTGGGGGGATATATTGGGGATTCGGAGATTTTCGCCTCCACATCGTCCTTGGCCTGTCTCCGTTGTTCGAGCGCAACCTTGGTGTCCAAATACAACTTGTCGCCGGAGGTGTTTGAGACCATGGTGTTTGGGAGCATGGTGAGGTGTTTCGCTTGCCTCCAAAAGATGGGAGTATTTTTTTGGGATTTCGGGAATAAAATGCGGAGTATAACGAAATAGAATTTTAAGCAGTAAGGATACTAGTAAGGCGTAGGGCTGAGACTGACGTAGGGCTGATTTCGGGTTGATCTGTTCGGATCGAGTATTTGGGGGAAGATATGACACTAGAGAGTAGTTATATTGATAATTCTTGATTCTTAGCAGGCACCAGGGATTTCTTTTAAGTAATTGGCCTTGTTTTACTGGAAATTTCCACGTCGACCAAAAAGATGTTTTGGGGGAGTCTGCCCGTCGATCGTTCCTAGCAATGACGTCATTGAGTTCCACTTCTGAAGCTGCGTTCATCGATGCCAAGCATAACTACAAGGATGACTGTACGGACGACTTTTTTAATTTCCCATTTCGGAGTTGAATCCTTGTCTAGGGAGTATATTGCAAGTATTCTAATTTGCCTCTGAAGTGAAGTTGCTTTCGTGCATCATTCTTGATGGTTTTGATGACTCGATTAACTGTTCACGTGAATTGAAATACTGCATGCTTTAATTTCTTAATGAACTTTGCATGTTGTACGCATGCGATCATATTCAAGGCTGACTAGTTGTAGATTGCAGCCTGAAGGCCAGGAATGATCTCGAGATCCTTCGGCTTATAGGTATACTTCCCCTCAGAGGAAACCTTGACATCCTGATTTCTGCGCTGCTGTTGTGTTTGTCGAACCGTAACCCACTGCTCAGTCGTAAGATGCTGCCCAAGTTCTGTAAACACGTTGGTAGTCAAGCCGAGTCTCTGGAGGAGTGGGCTGTTCTGAATGGGGTCAAGGACAACGTGGTTGTTGGGACTATATTCATTAGGTTCCAAAGTCTCCGCATGCGGCATAACCAAAACAACTTACCGAGCAAAGTATAGAACACCCAATCGGTCGAGATGCGCCTGGTCAGCAGGTGGCGCATGCACCCGATGAATACTCGACTTAATCAAACCACCAGTGAGTGCTGTCAAAGCATCGCATGTGTTGATAGTGATAGTCCCATCCTGGGGTTTGACCCACTTCCATTGGCCCTCTGCATTGAGGATCTGAAGGGCGGCTACCGGTTGCCGGAACAGAAGAGTAACTGTCCCCAAGTCTGTGTGGCCGGGAGTGTAGAGTTCACCGACCTTCTTGTTATCCGCAGCGCTGCGGGCTGCATAATGCATATAGCGCAGATGATCCTCGCCCTTGACGTCGTATTGATGGTCGCGGACTAGTTGTTCCTCATCCGGCAACTCAAGAAGAATTGCAAAGAGGCGAAGAAGCTTCTCAACAACTTCGGTGTGGCATTTCTATAGTTCTGATCAGTTGAAGGAACAGACGACAGTGGTAAAAGGGAAAATACCCGACTGAAAGCTTCAATCTCCTTAATATTTTCGGTAAGGATAGCAGGTTGGGGCCGCTCGTGGTGCCCATCGAACTTTGGGAGATTGTACACCTGGACATTATCCTTGACGCCGTTTCCTAGGCTGAGTTAGGTGATATTAGTATTAGTCCAAATTGTCGCTGGAAGCGATCTATTTCTTACATTCGGTGTCCCGCAGGACGGTAAGAGTTGTATTCCCCTCTCTCAAGATCACTGGCGCTGTGGAATTTGAGTTTCTCTTCGAGTGGCAGAGCGTAGAACTCCCGCCCTAGAGCGAATTGGTTGTCGACCTCTTCTTGACTGATGTTATAGTTCTTCACGTAGAAAAATCCTGTTTCCAAATTTAGTTTATCAATGAAACTCAAGAACATGGCCAATGAAAATACACCTTAGGAACATGGGAATGCTCTCATATAGATCCATTCTCTTAGCACGGAGCGCAAGGGGCCATTGACTCACCAACATTTCTGACAGCGTGATCGAGCTGCCTGACAAGATCTTCCTTTCCTCCAGGCTGTTCGTATTGGCTCAGGTCCAGTGTGATAAGTTCGGCCCAGTCAACTAATCCCCGGGTGGCTGTTAGCAATACGAAAGCAGCACGAAGTCAAGATCACGCACGGTCTTCCTTGGTCACAGGCACCTGGTCATATTTTTCAATATATTTTCCCGGCATATTGAATGGTTTATGAATTTCCAAGACGTGATAACTGAATGTGTTCAGCGACTTCAAGTCGTTCTTTCCCACAACATGTTCAGAAGCATATGTATATAAGTCCATTCGCACTTTATTCCGATCATGTACCCCGCATCAGATCTCCGGAGGGATTCAGAAAGAGCACGCAATAAATCCATCCGATGAGGCCTGAGGTAACAATTTTTGGCTTTCGTGTGGTGAGACCGGGGTGCGCGCACGCCATCATGCATAAACATGTCGCCTCCACTAGCGCATCAAACTGAAAAGATAAATGTGATAGCTTCAGCTCCAGACGTCTTTTGGGTTTTTGGATGGCCGGTTATTGAGGATTGGGATTTGCCGAAGGAGAGCGATGGTGACAGCGAGTGCGGGAATTGGTTGCCGGCCTCTTTTTACATGCCGCGATGCTATCGCAAGGCAAGATCCTATAAGAACAAAGGGCGATGGCCAAAAATCATATGTGCTTCGTATACTGTATCTTTGGGAATAGCAACAGATCTCTGCTAAGCCTTTCTCATGTCTGACCCGAAGCGCAAGACCGGGAGATTGTCCCTACTTGGACTTGTCAAAGAGGTGTTTAATTGGTATCCATCATCTTATCCTGCAGAGGAGAGAAAGTCAGTAGATCAAGATTCAAGAATATATCTGTGGGGATGTGCTCACGTTCTAGATTGCTGTTTAAATTGGACTTGTCAATTCTGATCTTTGCCTGTCTCTGCTGTAAGTGCGCGAGTCCAATTGAGCAGTTGAGAAAGGAGGATTAACGAACCTCAATTTTAGTTTTTGTCAAGTTCCTAGGTAACCCTATTTCCACGTTCATTGCCCCTTGAGCCGACACTAATATATTATAGACCAGACAAACATTAGCAATGCGTATGCTAGTGGTCTAAAAGAGGACTTTGGTCTATACGGAAATGAGCTCAACTACTTCAACATCTGCTACTTCGTATCCTATGTGTTATTCCAAATCCCTGGGCTACTGCTCATATCGCGCCCAAAGTTGTGAGTCTCAGTGAATGAAATGTCCTCCCGCCTATCACAGGCCACTCACCATTTCCACAGGGCTCGCTAGTTGCTACCTACCCTCGAAGTTCTGTGAGGTATCTACACATTTGCTCAAAGTCGTGTTACAAACGTACATCAGCTTTATGCCATTCGTTTCTTGGTTAGCATGCTAGAAGCGCCTATTTTTGCTGGAACCCATTTCATTCTCGGTAAGTCAACTAATACGGATGATTGCCTAGATCTATGGGCTAATTGAATTTAGGATCATGGTACACCGGCCCGGAACTATTCAAACGAGCTGGAACATGGTTTATTTGTAACCCTCTTGGCAATATGTTCAGTGGATACCTACAGGCAGCCGCTTATACGAATCTCTCTGGTGTTGGGGGTATGCCAGGATGGAGGTGGCTGTTCATCATTGACGGCATATTTACCATCCCCGTGGCGTTGATCGGATTCTTTATCTTTCCCGGTATCCCTGGCTCGCCAAAACCATTCTTTATGACGGACCGTGACATTGTATTGGCCAAGGAGAGAACGGACAGAGCCAAAATTCGCCAACCTGGCAAAATGAGCCTAGATGTCTTCAAGAGAACTCTTAAGAGATGGCATATCTGGGTCTTTGTTACTTGCTACGCGTAAGTTTTGCAGAATTTACTCTTAGTCAATATGCTAACAGGCTGTAGATGTATGATCATCTCCACTTATCCTACCAGCTATATGAATTTATGGCTCAAAGCAGAGGGATACTCCGTGACTCAAATTAACCAGCTTCCAACTGTCACTTACGCGGTTACCATCGTGGCCTCCTGGCTAGGGTCGACATTAGCTGCAATTTACCCCGAATGGATCATTTTTACCATTGCATGTGCATGCTGTACATTCTCTTCATTGTGCATGATAATTTGGAACATTCCTACAGCACTAAAGTAAGATGCATTCTTGATTAGTCCATGCAAACTCAGTGTCTGTTACTAACAAGGCTCTTTCAAAGATTCGTTGCCTGGTACGCCTTCGGAGCATTTGGATGCTTGAGTCCAATTCTATACTCCGCCGTTAATTTAATAGTGAGGGATGATGCTGAGGAGCGCGCGCTCATTCTGGTACACATATTCCCTTTCTTTAGCGGGTCAAACGGTTCATACTGACGACCATTTGTGTTGAATTATAGGGTGCTATGATGTCACTTGGGTATTCTTTCAACGTTTGGGTTCCTTTGCTAGCATACCCAACTGCTGGCCCCGACGGTGCGCCAAGATGGCGAAAAGGATGGCCAATATCATTCGTATCTTTCTTCCTCCTATGGGCTAGCTTCGTGGCCTCTGTTTTCTTATGGCGAAGGTAGAACCCCTGTTGTTAGATACCGGTGGACATCGAACTGACATATATTAGGGAGCAAATGAGTGAAGCTTCGGTGTCACCCCATGAAAGTAGCGACGAAGAAACCGACACTGTGGTAGTTGATGAGGCTCTGGCATTGAAGGACTGAAATCAATGTATTGGATGGCTTGCGATTGATTTAAATCTTGCATAAAGGCACCGGATAGTCTATCTACGGCATCAACAGATATCCCTGTTTAACTCACAGCTTTAAATAGTTTACTCCACCTGAAAATTATCATACTAAAACCTAACTGTGATGCACAGATGATTGTTGCACTGAAGGGAACCGGAAGAAAGGATGATTGTACTGGGTAGGCTAGCTGCAGGCATACTAGGGAGCTGCTGGTCACATCACTGGTGCGGGATGGCTGGCTACTATGGATAACGTAGTTGACGAGATATTTTCACTTGTTAGATCGGTGAAGTTGGCGGTTAATGCTTTTATGGTCGTTTCTTCTGCTGTAGCCGTTTTTGCTGTTATATCTTTGACTAGGTAGCCCTGTACATTTGACTGGCCACTAGCATTAGTGTCTGGAATTATACGGTTTCCATTCCGAAGCCGCACCTCCGCCTATTGCCGTTCCACATCAGGCTCGACTGACAATGTCCCGCCACATAAATCAACCACCAGTACTCGCGAATACTAGTGACCAGGTCCAAATTTGCATTTTATAACACATCATTTGCTGTTATTACATATGCTATATGAATGAATTATTTCCAAGTTATACTATTTTCCAGCAGCCAATACATGAGAAAGATGATAGAAATCATTTCGCGTATACAATTGAGAACTTGCGTATATGTTTAAAGAAAAGAACATATAAGATCTGTTTGTCATATTTAATGAAGGACATCAATCGTGAGGAACAATCTGACATGTGGAGCGCCAAGCTAATACACTATCTACGCCAGCTTTATCGCCTTGGATCAGAATTAGAAGAAATTCAATTGAGTGGTTTCAGCCTAAACGAATGGGAGAAACTAAGATTTAATTCCCCTTGTTGCCTGACAACTCAAGGTACTGGCCGGCAACGTCAACAACCATGTCCTCATAGGTCTTGAAAGTGAACTCGAGATCAATCTCGGTCTGATGAGCATTCCAATTAACGGGCACAGTTGGCTGATTTCCCTGCGTGAATGTCCCGTCAGCAACAGCTTCGGAAAAGTGCTTCTCAACGGCTTTCCAGGCATCATTGAAGTTGTGGACCGTCGTGATGCCGAAGCTGCCAGCAATGCCTTCTTTCAATCCTGCTAGATGTACCTTGGCGGCATCATCCACATGGGTGGCACCTGCTGGCATAGGGCTAGCAGCAGACTGCCCAGTGATGGCTCCCAGAAGGATGCGATTGGTTCCAGCATAGAGATCCTTGACATCTAGAGCTCTGTCATCCCGGCCGAAGACGAAACCAGGGAGGACGGTGACAACGGCGAAGGAGGGCTCCTTCTCCTTGATGAAGTTCTCGGTGAAGTTCAGCGCTGCGGCCTTGCCGGCACTGTATGCGGGGAGCATTGAGTCAAACGGTCTCGGCAGGTTAGGCAATCTGCTCCTAGTCGTGATTTCCTGGCTTGGGTCGGGAGGGAAGGGGATGTTTGCAAAGACCGAAGACGTGATGACAATCTTCTTCACCGATGGCTCCTTGGATGCGGATACAAGTAGGGTGCTCACACTCTTGATATTTGGCTTGTAGATGCCCGTCTGTGGGTCCAGGAACGGCGAAGGGAGAGGTAAGGCGAGGTGAATGACGTAGGTAACGCCTTTGATAGCCTCATCGTAGCTCTCGTGAAGTAAGCCTGGACACACTCCCCTATTCTGTATTCCTGACAAAAATACAAAATCCTCCAAATTCTGCTTCTATTTGGGGGCTCCACAATGCTTGCGCCCGGTTTTACGAAATCTTGATTCTGAGATTATAGAAAAGACCCAAGAATTGGGCTCTCAGTGGAGGTGGCAGCGGCACGTACGGTGTTGTCAGTTTGATGACTGTGAAAGCTTTCAAGGACGGCATCATGGAGGGGGGTGCATTTTTTCGAAATCAACAAGGCCGACACGACGAACGAGAAGTTCTGGGCGGGGGTCGAAGAGTTCTTTACTTGGGTCCCCGATATGGTGGACTCTGGAAGCACAACTCTCTTCTCTATGTCCAATACAAGCTTTGTGCTTATTCCTCTGACTGCACCAGGCAAGAGTGAAGATGAGGTGAAGGATCTGCTACAGCTGTTTCTTTCCAAGATCAACGACCTCGGCGTACCTATAACGACCTCAATGGCTTTATTTCCCACATATCTAGAGTATTTCGACCACTATCTAGGCCCCTTGCCCTATGGTCTTCCACTTATCAACAATCCTTCTTGATAGTATATGCTATCTCTATATGTGTCCTCAAGAGTTCCCAGACCGCCTCTTCAGATAAGGGAGAACCAAAACTATAGGCTCACTCCCTTGGTTGCCTATTCGCTATTCCCTTATCATTGGTCCACGCGACTCGGCTTCATTCACTTCGGTTTGCTCCCAACCGTAGGGTATACCCCAAAGAAGCAACATCAGCGAGGGTCTTGTGGCGTTGGATTATGAACTAAGTACTCCGTAAGAGTGTTACGTATGCCCTCTGGAATTATAAATTTAAAAAACAGATATTGTGCCGCCTAACTAGGCGCCAGCTTATTGTATTGTATTGTACACAGCCCGCTTTATTACGTATTCAGCATAATCTTTCAGTTCTGTATTGTTATGTTTTACCGCTAATCGGTATGCTAACAGACACTTGGCGTTGGCATCGGGAATGTTGAGGCTTAACCCCAACGGTTGTAAATCTCCATTCAGTGCTTACGCGTTGTAAGCTCCCGGGTCCATGGGTTGACAACCCGCCTACCTGGCCCCCGGGCCCATTTGGCTATTTAATCCAGATATCTTTTATTTATTAGTTATACATCGGGTATTATATACATTTCGGGCATGGGCTAACGATGGGCGAGCAATGGGCCAGTCCTGGAACCCAGGGGCTGATAGGATAAGATCTTGACCTCACTGCACTGTTCGCGTCGCAAACGAAGTCGTTAAAATGCCATGTATATTTTGATCAGTAGGTATACAGCTCTACCCACAGCAAAAGCTACCGTGATCCCACTCCAACTAAAGACCAAAAATCAACCCGATCACTTTAGTGAATTATGACACCATAAATAAGATAGATGCAAATATTTAAAGAGCAGTGTTATATAGAGAATTACTTGAAGGTATTACTTTATCAAATTAATCAAAAAAAATTTTATACAAAGCGATCTATAAATTAGAAAATAGATAAGGCGCTATAAAAATGTATAAATTCATGCTCTTTTTTTAAAGCTACTCGCATGGAACAGAGAAAGGAGCGTGGAATGGTCGTAGTCACAAGAAATAGAGATTGTGGGATAACTTATAGAGATCTTAGAAATCAAATATATGCCCAATATTAATCGGGGTAGTTTTTTTTCTCTAAATGAACACGACAGAGGCGGGCAACAAGCTAGGATCAATGACATCCAACAATCAGGTCATACTGCAAGCCGGAAGAAATCTTGGCAACTCACATGTTCTATGAACGACAATCATATGTAAAACAATAAGGCAAACTAAGAGCAATCGCAGATCTTGCAGGGTAAGAAGATATATTTTCCCTCATCTCAAGGGCTAATTCACGGGGTATTTGCAATTGTGGCAAAAAAGGAAAAGTAACAATCCCACCCAGGGCTTTTCTATGCATATACAATCGATTTGTTGGCCACATTACTGGTCAAAGGCCCTCATAACAGCGATACCAGCTACTGAGCCCGATGCAACGCGATTATGACCTGAAAGTTTGATAGTCAGTCTTTCGAATTCAGAGCTGAAGGGCGTTGCTGTAACATACCACCATATCGAATCCGTTCCCATCTGACTGTCTTCACAATCTTAGTACCATCTTCATTGCTGATTTCATTCTTCCAGATCTTGACCTCGCTGGGGTTGCCATCCTCGGCTTTGTGATACGTCATGGCGCCGGGAGCACCTTTGATGTGTCCACCCGTGGCAGCCACCCAAACGCGACGTCCTTCGTACCAGGGAATTTCCGCATCATCAAAAGCATGGACTATCGTCAGATCAAGGCTTTTATCGGTGTAGCCCATATCGACAGTGTTCAAGGAAGTAGTATTGACGCCAGTAAGACGGCCCAGTCTCCCGGCCGTGTCCCAATGGTCCACAATATGGCTCAGCAACCACTTTTGAGCCCGAGGATATCCCACAATGGGGGACAGCATAGGCGGCGTGAGGCCTTTGAAACTATAGGATTCGATGAGATTCGCTAGGCTGCTGAAGGACGCCAATAGGACCACGCCGGCAAATGGCTCAGCATTCTTGATAGCTGGCTGGATAGCTGCTGGGTCAGGTGATCCAAATGCAAAACGATCTGCCACTGCGGCTGTTACGGCAGTTCCAAGACTCTGGCCCACGATGACGATGCGAGAAGTGGGGACCTTTAATGATCCTGCAGCAAGGAAGTTAATGAGGGACACGCCATCCGTGATAAGACCTTCTTCTGTGGGAGTTCCAGTGCTAACTCCGAAGCCACGATAGTCAATTGCGAAGACATGGACTGGGTTTGATGGGGTAGATAAGCTCAACATCGTGTTGTAAGTGGCAGGGCGTTGAGCAGAACCTAGGTGGGCCGCATTTCCGTGAACTTGATTGCGCACATGTCAGCTTGTCACAGTGGGAAGTCAGGCTGTCTATCACCTACAGCTTACGACGACTCGTGCATTGGGATCATTGGCGAGAAGCTTGTGGGCAATTGTCTTCGTATAATCCTCCGCTGGGCCTGTAGAGGGATTATCCATTAATTCCTTCTCGTGTTCTAGGCAAAGATGCAAGGGCATCAAGTGCCACCCGTAAATGGTTTCATTGTCGGGCGTCACCAAATGAAACGGTTGGACTTGGGTTCCTTTGGGATCAGTTAGCAACTATCTTTCCGTTGGTGTTCACCTAGGAAGAGAGGCCATACTTAAGAATCCAAATTGCTCAACTTGATTGACATCCTGCCATAGGCTTGGGTTGATTTTGTTGGCATAGAGCACACTGTGTTATCTATGTTAGTTCGTTCACTCTCGGCGTAGGCTCGGGGGACTAGATACATACAAACGTTGAACCTCTGGAAAGATCAAAGAGAGGAGACACAGCACATAGAGCAGCCCACCGAGCGCAAGAGACCAGTAGGCCTTCTTGAAAATGGGTTTAAGCTCAACCATTATCCATTCAGGGGTTGAGGTGATGTCTGTTGATAACCACAGGCCCCGAGGGACGGAGGTGAGCGGAGAAGCGACGGGGCTGATAAGCGGCGCGTTATCGCGTCTCTCTCATTTCTCCCTTCGAAGGTTCCACCCTCTCTCCATCCCCCTCCAATATTTCCTTATATGATGTTTCTCATAATTCCATTGTGGATATCGTGATTATCTCATTGAATCCACCATGGCCGAAAAGCGCAAGCTTCCACCGCGTGAACGGCGCGAATCCACAGCCAAAAGACGTGTCTCCGAAGCCACGCCGCAGTCTCACAAGAAAAAGGCGCCAACTCCTCGCGCTCCATCGCCGGAACTAGTTGACGCCCCTCTACCAACAAAAGTCAAGGATGGAGATGGCTTGCCTATTCTTCGCACGCGACAGCCACTTTCCTTGTCGGACAATGAGTACCAGTCAATCGCGGAAAGGTTTTGTTGGCATCACAGCTCCCATTGGTGTTCCATGACTGACATTTTCTATCTTATTCCAACAGTGCAGTTCTCCTCGCTTCACTCGAACGGTCGAAGAAAAAGTGGCTGAGTGATGGAATCCTTGTTCGATACTACACCAAGCCGAAGAAGACGAAGCGCGAGCAGACCGAGAAGAACAACCCATCAAAGGATACTATGACAAAAATTGGGCCCTGCGATGTCACCATCGGTCCCCATTTCTTTGATGCCATGATTTATATTGTCAAAGACCCCAGTGCACCGGCGGCACTCCAATACGCACCCCCGCAACGACCGATGGTTCACTACGGCCATCCTAATAACTTCCAACAATACCGACCGTATCCCACTCCATCCAACCAACAACGACCTGCGCAATATTCTCCCGCTCTTCCGGGTCGCCCTGGGTATGCAGGCAGCCATCCTACTTCTCAACAAGCTCGTGGCCCAAATCAAGGAAATGCGCCCTCTCCTCAAGGAGGACAAAAGCCACCACAAGGGCAAAAGGGCCAGCCTGCCAAGCCTAGTCCAGATCCCGTGATTCAAATGCTAGCTACAAGGGCAGCTGCGGACCCCGAACTAAAGGCTTTGATGCGTGTTGTTGCCTCAAGCCAAGCATCCCAGGAGCAGCTTCGGGCTTTCCAGGCCCACATCGATGAACTCAACGCAATCATCAAAGCAAGAGAGCAACAAGAACAACGGCAGCAAACTTCAATACCACCACCAATTACGCAACAGTCAACTCCTACGCCACAGGCTCAACCGCCGAAACAACAAGACAAGCCAGGATCACTGGACCAATCCCCACAAAAGTCGCAGACCCCATCTAAAGGTTCAAAGCAGCCACCTGGAAAGACCGGGGCGCAGCCACAGACCCCTTCTCAAGCCCCACCAAGTCAGGGCTCTAAACCTGCCCACAGCACCACGGGGCCGAGCGCCGTCAAAGAAGAGCAATCAGCCACAGGGCATAATGGCTCCCAGCCCGTGTCGTCCGAAGCAGGACGCCCAGCAGTACCGACCCAATCAGCGACTCCTAGCGCTGCAAGCACCTCAACGCCTGCTTCTACTTCTCAGCCACAGACTCCTGTGGTAAACCCGTTACCATCAGCCAGCGCTCAACAGCAAGCAGCCCGACCACCATATGCCCCTCACCAACAACCTTCTTACGGATCACAACTTCCACTTCAGTCTCGACCACCCCAGTTCACTACTCCTATCCCGTTCTCCCGGCCGACTCCAATTCCCTACGTTTCCCCACTTGGATCTGCACCCGTAAACTATAAGTCGGTGGTGTTTGAGTTCACATCCCCTTTGACTCCATATGGAAGCAGTACTTCAGGTCATGCCGGTTCGGGTGACCGCTATCTTTTCCCTGAGTACACCATTTTGGAATGGCTCCCAGCTGAGAACACGGTCATCGCCTCGTTTTTGATAGTCCGAAAGGTTGCTCCAAACACACCATTCCCTCTTGAAACCCCCACAGAAGCTGGCAACTCCAAAAGCAAAGCTAAGGGGGCATCCAAAGCTAAGAAGGGAGAAACAAAAGCCAAAACAGACAAGGGCAAAGTACCAACCGATAGCCCAGCTCCCAGTCCCCAGCCGGCCCCGCCTACGACTGGGACGCCACAAAAGCAGGAACCGGCCGACCAAACCGGTCTTCAAACCCCTGGCCTCCCAGGGACTCCTGCCAGCGAGGTGAATTTTAAGGAATACTGGCAACCAGTCACTTTCCGCATCCATGCCCCCAATGCCAAAATTCTTGAGCCTCTAGCCCGCGTTGTCAAGCCAGCCGACGAGGTGCGCAAATATATGAACGATATCATGGACCGTGCCGAACGTGCCCCAGACGGCTACCTGGCCATGCGTCTGCCTCGCGAGGCAGCCTTAGAGTCGTTCGAAAAGGATGGAACACCTGCTTCTTCGAGTAATGTCGGCTCCGGAACCCGCAGTCGTCTTTCCCGTGTTCAGCTCGCTAGTGAGTCCGAAGCGGAGAATTCTGGGTTCGAATTCGAAGAGGACGAAGAAGACCTCAAGGATTTCTATGATGCACCGAGCGGTCTACCGCCATTGAAGGCATGATTATAGTTCTGTATACTGCTGGAGGCGTCTGAGGGTTCATAGGCCACTATGTTCACTGGTTATTTGACACCACACATGGCCTGCCAGAAAGATCCAATTTCTATGTGACATCGATCGCTGACACCTAACCCCGTTTGGAAATAAAAAGGACCCAGCGGCAACAGTAGTCTCTGCAAAACAGATCGGAGTAACATGGAATTCTGAAGCTCAAGGATATTTCCAGGTTTATATTTGTGCGGTATATACAGCTCTATTTGTCCCAATTTTTAGATGTTCTATAATGAATTACTCAAGCCCCTCCGTTTATATATATCTGCACTAGTTCCAAGGTTGTTCTCGCCAAGTTTTACATTCTGTGGGAGTCAGTCACATCATGCCTCTAGGTTTCAAAGACTGAAATCAAAACGTATACGAAAATGCTGCTGAACAAATAAACTACGAGCTTCGGAGGCCCAGAAGAATTAGGCCTGTAAGGCAAGTAATTGTTCGGATAACCTCGCTCCGAACTCAACCCCAATGACATCAAGTTGCAAAAGATATACCACAGCCTCGTCCCACAAGACATTCCACTAAAATTCTCTGGTATCCAGGCGACAAATTAACCCTAAACTCTTCCACCAGCATATCTCGCCTCATTCCCAATGATTCCAGCCGCCTCCAAAAGCCACCTTGCACTCTCGGTCGCCGGATCTCCAGCCCCGGCCTTGATATTGATGTTACGACGGCGCTCGGCCTCCCGTGCCTCGAATTCCCACTTTGCACGTTGGATCTCCACCGGACTCAGGTTCGGGTCGGCAGAGAAAGACGCTTCCGGATCTGGGACAATACCCCAAATTTCCAGGGTATATAGATCGAGCTTGAACTTTGTCGGCCGGTCTTCTGGGGATGCATTGGCAGCAGGTAAGAAGGTGCCGTCGTGCCCGAAGGGTGCGACATGGAACTCGGCTGTTTCTAAATTCGCGTCGATGATCAGACTGCCTGCTCCATGCGGGCTCGGGTAGGTTTGGTGCGTGCGGGACGGGGCGGGAATTTTGCAGCCGATTGCGATACCAGTGTTAGGTGAGAAATAGGCGGTTGGGGTGTTGGGCTTCGTTGCGGATGTAGATGGGTTGCCTGGGAGAAGCATGTGTTTTGGGGATAGTTGGAAGAGGCAGGAGAGGAGGTCGGATGTTTTTGAAGATGAGCCTGATGTCGATATGGAGGTTTTCCACGTTTCGGGAATGTAGGCGCCTAGTGTTATTAAATCTTCATTGGGTGAGTCTGCTAAAGATCCTTGTAGGATGAGCAGCGTGGGAGATTGCCAGGTAAGGACGTGGTGGGAGAAATATGTTAAGGAAGACCCGTGGGCGTTTGTGGAGAAGACGGGGTGTAGGCTGATGCTACTTCGGAGGATATTGATATCGGGTGATGTGGAAGGGAGGAAGAACGAAAGATGCGACGTAAGTGTTGGGGTTAATATGGCCGACTCAAAACTTCCCGGAAGAGTGAGTGTAGCTGTTGGTGATGGGTGTTCTTCGTTCTCCTCGCTCTCCTCCTGTTTAGTCTCTGAGGCTAGATCCTTTTGCCGGCGTTGAGATAGGTTCAAATTTTTGCTGAAAAGCATGTGCTCAAACAGAGCAGTTAGCGGATCGAACAGATATGGCAAAGATAGTGATATCGTTCGGGCAAATGTCTTATAAGATATCCCACCATCGCTCTCTTCCGGTGAAAAGGCTACAATAATACTGTCTGCTTCGTTCTTGACCAATTCCATTCGCCGAACATCCAGTCCAGATGTATATCCCTTCAAAGACTCCGATGGATTTAGTGGCGCAATAACGAGCAGTAGCATAACCAAGCGTCGAAAGGTGTCGATGGAAATCCGGGTCTCGTAAACGGTCTTGTCAACACGGTGATCATGTTTGAATACTTCAATCGCATCAAGAGACTCCAATGCTGCAAGTGCAAGATCATCATCCTCATCTTCATCGTACTCATCGTTGGCCGGTTCATCTATGGAGAAACCCTGCGTGTGGGAATGCGCAGCCGAAGTTTCGGAATCCTTGAACGTAAATTCTCCATTAAACCCCGCGGGGGGCTTCTTCCTCCCAACATCAGCCAGACTACCAAAGAGCAACTTGGTTCGATCCTTGTGTCCTCGTTTCAGCGCTTTTCCATAGCGCTCAGTCAAGAGCACAACCACCTTGACCATAGCCTCAAACGTCAACACACTTGGCGCGAGGGTGTTTTGGAATGGGAAGGCTCCCAGATAAGAAACCATGCGAAAAATCACCGGTCCTGCATCTAAAGATTGTTCATGGGAAGATGTATAGATACCATCTGGTATACCCAAGAAGTCCGAGAGGATTTTCTCATTCCAGTACCGCAGGCCTCCTTGCTCCAAGGCCCGGGAGAAGAAGTTGTCTTTGAAATGAGTGAGCTCTAATGGGGTGAAGCATTTTGTAGCGAAACGCTCAGCGAGCACGGAGCTTAGCTCCTCTATATACGCATGTGGTCAGACACAACTGGTATCGACAAGATGGGGAGCTTTCCATGTCAAAGTTAAGACTATGTCGTTGATAATTACAGTTGTTCAAGAGAGAAGGATATTCGTATGTCATGTCTCCTGAACCCAACATCAAATATAATGGATAAAACTCACCTGGGGATGATGCACACTCATTCGATTGTGCTGCACCCATTGTTGATGCGGACACGACCCCACTGTTACTGTTGGTGGTTGGTCTGCAGCTGCGTTCAGTCGCAATGCTCAAGAGCTAAGATCAAGCGAGAAATTGGACGAAGAGGAAAAGTTAGGAAATACAAGAGTTCAAAGTAGTCGAGACACCATAAAAAACAGCATCAACAAGCAGTAGTAAGTGAATGTGTAGAGCTCCCTTGGTCCATCCATGAGACGACGTCAGGTAATTGCCTGAGGCATAAAGGTCTAGACTTCCAGTTTATGCCTGAGGATTAAATTTGTCAGCGAAGGTGGCATGGATCCATGTGACCATTATTGTGCCAAGTCCTCTCATCCCCAGTTCACCACCTACTCTTAAAATCACATGTCATTTGCTTAAACTACATCCCTTCCGACATTTTCTTTCCAATCCCATTATGAGCTACTTACTTAACCAATTAAGCAACCCAACAGTACCTAATATGGTTGCGAGAGAGATAATATGTTGCCATCATAAAGGAATACCAAACACAATGTCTAAAGCCCATTAGCATCAGTAGCAAAGATGCCTTTCCTCAGGAATCATACCTCAGATACAGTTAGCACAGCTATGATCTGAACTACTATACCAGATAGTGGAAGCCATATTCATAGGACAGCCTTCTGTCATATGTATGATTGCCAATCATGATCCTGCGATGACTAGTGAGCTATTCTGGCGTCCTCTTCAAAGGAATGATGAATGTAAGGATTGTTATCAACTATGATCTACGCCGGATTTGGGCAGGGAACAAAATCACAATGCAACCACCGACATAGCGTCGCTGACAGGTACTCTGGTTCCTATCAGGAGCAGGCATTCATGTATGGGATTAAAATGCTCGTATTCTTTTGACAAGCAAAGGAGTCTGCTTGTTGATTATGAGTGGCAATGCATACTGTTGCGCTGGCGTCTGGGTCGAAGTAGCTCAATATACACTAGAACCTTGAATAGATTGGCCCGTATACTGAATTAGGAATTGTGTCTTAGCTGTAGACACACTGTTGAGCGCCTAGAATGCCAATGAGCAGCTAATTTGTCCCGAGGAAAATTTAATCCCTGTAGTTCTTCGCTTTCGCTATGTATCCGAACTCGGGTAAGATGAGACATATACTCTGTAACACCGGAGATGCCTACATAATACATGTACTGTATGGCCACGAGTACATAGTATTCTGTATGTATGTACCGAGATGAATGTGCGTATGTCAGTATTGTGTACATTGATTGGTACGGTCTCTACGGCTGTACATACGCCTGTATATTTGTATTTCTATATGTCTGTATCGATGTATTGCCGTATCGTCGTATTTTGGTAATTTCGTGGCCTCCGTATTGTAATAATCTATGCAGTTCGATACCATCTTATCCAGGTATATCTGTATTGGCATCCCTGCAATACAGGGCAATCATAAGGCAGAACACAAATTATAGCGTAGATTTCCATGCAGGGATGTGAATCCCGACTCGTTCCTCGCTAGACTTGTTTAGGAAATTGCTTGACAAATCCAACATGCAAACCGGCTAAAGTGCTAAAACGTCCTAAACTAACTATGTTGTACCTACAGTGACTACGCATAAGTCTTAACACCCTTTTGAGACCCACCTATCACACCGCCCAAACGTCACTCTACCGCCTACCAAACGCTTATACAAGTTATGCTCTAAGGCACCCAATTTATCTGAAGCACCCTTTAGGAATTGCCTTGAGAATTTTGACGTTAATTTCTATCTAGGAAGGTAACTTTGTGTATGACAAGGCGGCTTCGATAGCTACCTAGTGAATCTTAGGCGGAAAATTATGCCGGCAGAACATTACGTAACTACTCTATGTGGGGCCAAGGGTGTTAAGACTTATGCGTAGTCACTGTAGCTAGTTAGCGCTGACATCTTGGTGAGCATTTGAGTCATTTCTATCTCCAACACTAACTATGTACTAGTTGTATCGCACATTCCTTTCGCAAACACACTCTGACGAGCTGAGTCGTTTCATGCAGACCCACGCGATACGATGGAAATAGCCCAATACAACACGACAGTCTCAGGAGAGTCACCACTCATTCTGAGGGAAAATCGACAAAAGTACGTACTGGATAGTTGTAACTATGACTTATTGGGATATTGTCTTTGTTTAGCTGAACCGCCACCCAGTATCAACGCACGGCAAATCACCCTGTGCTTCTTAAACTAAATATTGGCCGCATGAGGCTAATTTGCGGCATTGCCAATATGATCCGGACTCGAGAAAGAAGTCGTATGCGGTCTTGTCCATATCTAGTCAATTCACCGAGGTCAAATGGAAGTAGGCTATTCCTTCTATTGGATAACGTGTATCCAACACTTTCCGCTTACTGACTATGCGAGTAATTGCTATTATTATTCCATACATAAGCTAGAATGAAGGGGGGATTGATGTATATGCCAAGAGATGAAGCCCGACAGCTATGCTTCCTTAAATCGCCTGTCCTTTTCCATGGTGCTTTGAATTGATTGAAGCAATTTTGTATCAATTTTTGTTCAGAATACATTGTATCATACTGTGTACCTCGGTTCTTAACGCAAGCCGTGGAAAGATTGGTAGTATCTTTGATATGTCTCTTTCAATGGTTGAATCCGACAGTCAGCAGTTTTCAACCGGCGGTGAAGCTCCGGTGTCTATGACAGTATCGACTGGTAATTGAATGTCTAGCATTATTTGTTGTTCGTAAACTAATTTTCTTCTAGATGATGGCGGTTCAACATGCAAAGGCACAACAGAGTCAGACGCTCATATCGCAATTGGCTCCCCCGATAGTCATGCGACCCCACCATCTCAGGAGGAGAGGGCATTGAGACCTAGGCTTATTGTGCTGAGTGCCGATAGTCAAGATAATTGCCGGAAACTGATTGTGAGGGTTGCACGTTATGCCATAGGGCAAATCAATTCGCTGCATCACGATATTCTGCTCGATCAACTGTCATGGCAGTTGAGCCAGAAGCCGGTATGTGAGTATCGGGTTGCGTTTCTGGCGTACGGACTGGATGATATGGTGGGACAGCTTCAGACACTGGAGCAGGAACCCATCAGTCGGCAAGAAAAAAACAGCTCAACTCGAATGGCATTTGTTTTCAGCGGCCAAGGCAGCCAATATCCCCAAATGGGACATGAGTTACTTGATATCTGTCCTGTATACGTACAGTCAATCGCTCGTGCGTCTCAACATCTGGCTGCAATCGGTTGTCCATGGGACCTGGTGACTGAACTCACCAATCATCCCGAGAACTCACGTATCGACGAGCCGGAAATTTCCTATCCGTTGACGATAGCTGTCCAGCTTGCCATTGCCGACACTTTCGCTGAGCTTGGAGTAATTCCATCGTTCGTCTTGGGACATTCTAGTGGTGAGCTCGCGGCCGCTTACTGCGCAAAGGCAATCTCATTTGAAGAGGCAGTGACGGTTTCATACCATACTGGCCGCCTTATCAGTGCTCTAAAAAGAAAAAGTAGGGGGGTTCCTGGTAGTATGCTAACGGTTGGAGCATCTTACAATACGATCACTACTTTGATCAAGACTGCACCAGACACAGTCGTCACCGGCAGAATGAATGTAGCTTGTACCAACAGTCCCTTGAATGTCACGGTCTCTGGTGACGACAGTGCAATCGGTCGCCTGAAGCAGATGTTAGAGGCAAGGGGAATATTCAATCAGAAGCTTCATACCGGCGCTGCTGCGTATCATTCACATCAAATGGCTGAGATTGCAACCAAGCTCTCACAGGAATTGGATAATCTCAAGGGCGCTCGTGCTGACCCTTCCGTCACCATGATTTCCTCGTCAACAGGAGGTGACATTGGAGAAACAAAGCTTGGGGTTGATTACTGGGTTAAAAACCTGGTTTCACCAGTTCTATTCATGGAAGCAACCAAGGCGCTTTGCCAAGCAAGCCCCAGTTCAAAACAAGTGGGTTTTATCTTGGAGGTTGGGCCACATTCTCAACTCCGCAAACCAATCAAGGAGACCCTTCATGCGGTTCTCGGGGATGACACTGGAATAATTTACACCGGAACCTTGAGGCGAGGATTCGACGCTCAAGCTTGTTTGCTTGATACACTCAAAGTACTATTCCTGGGAGGACTTTCTGTGAAGCCACAGCTAGTAATCCCTCCAGTTGACTCGGATGTCTGTGCAGCTCTGCCTGACTGGTTATTTGATTTTTCAACATCTTCCGATGAGGAACTCGACACGTTGAACGTAGGCGAGGGGCGATTTACAGTACCCAAAATCCTTTCAACAGCATTGCGTTTGCAACCTGGGCAAACATGGGGCGGATCCAATCGGTCTCAAATTGGCAGCCTCCAGAACCAAGGACCGCAAACAAAGAATGAAAGGATTCTGCACCACATAATGTGCAAGGCACTAGATGTTCAAAATAACATGATACGTACAGAAGATAGCTTCTTTCAACTCGGAGGCGACTCTGTTCTCGCGGTGCATATCTCGTCTGAAGCAAGGCGTGCCGGGTTGCTCCTCTCAGTATCCACAATCCTTGGTCATCCGAGATTGGTTGACATGGCACAGGCAGCTAAGCCGCTCAATAATCAAGATGAAGTCATAATCAAACCATTCTCGCTGCTGAAGATTGAACCCTCAGATCTGTTGGCTGAAATAGCCCGCGACTGGGCTGTTAATGCTTCAGATATCGAGGACATCTACCCATGTACACCACTGCAAGAAGGGCTGATGGTGATCACGCAAAGCGAACCGCATACTTACATCCATCAGACAGTTTACATTCTATCGCGAGAGATTGACGTGGCAAGATTTTGTAATGCTTGGGAACAAACCGTGAGGAGCACCCCAATTCTCCGTACAACGGTTGTTCCAACACGATCTGCGGGGACCTGTCAAATTGTAACCACACGGGATATCAAATGGCAATTTCCGTCCAATCTGCAGGAATACTTAAAATCAGATTTGGCGAAGGGAGTTGCATATGGCGGTGCGCTTGCGCGATATGCCCTGTCAGAAACCCACGATGGATCAACAAAATTCATCTGGACTGCCCACCATGCCCTCTATGACGGATGGTCTCTACCTATGATTTGGAAACGAGTTGAAGCAATATACCATTCCAGTGATGAAATTGCCACCAGTCGCCTGCTGGCAGTTCCGTTCAACCGCTTCATTCGTCACATACAGACAGTAGACCATGCATCGGCGGATGATTTCTGGCGAACACAGTTGGCAGGCTCCGTGCTTTCCAAATTTCCTCAGCTACCCTCTGTGGGCTACCGGCCTCAGGTAAACGAGGTTCTGGCACATGATTGCCACGTCTCAAGTCTAGATGGGACGGGAGTTACTCATTCCACACTCATCCGGGCGGCATGGGCGCTTTTGATAAACGAATACCATGAGTCGCGCAATGATGTCGTTTATGGGTTGACAACAAGTGGAAGAAACGCCGATGTGCCCGGGATCGGGGAGATGGTGGCTCCCACTATCACTACTGTGCCGTTCCGTGTGCGGATAGATGTCGATGAACGAGTAGACGCCTTCCTTCACAGACTGCAGGTTCAGGGAATCGACATGACCCCATTCGAACAGGCTGGACTGCAGAATATTGCAAATCTCAACTCGGATTGCCGCCAAGCATGTGGTTTTCAACATATCCTTGTTATCCAGCCAGAGCAGGACACTACCGAAATATTTCCTGGAATCACATCCATCCAGACGACTGAGCTTCATGGCTACGCATTCACTGTGCAATGCAGACTGCATGTTGACAGAATCACCATTCAAATCGAATTTGACAATTCTTTGATTAGTACATTCCAGGTTGAACACATCTGCTATCAGTTCGAAAATATCCTAAGTCAGCTCACGCTCGGCGGTGCACGACCGGTGGGAGAGATCCAAGCAATTAGCGAACTCGACATGAAACAGGTCTTGAAGTGGAATACCAAATTCCCTCAAGTGGAGACACGATCTGTGACTGCACTCATCGAGGCCCAAATGCATGCACAACCACACGCTCCGGCAATCTGTTCCTGGGATGGCGATCTTACATATCAGCAACTTGATAAACTATCCAATCGTCTTGCCCATCATCTAATTGATTTCAATGTTGGGCCGGAAGTCTTTGTCCTGTACTGCTTCCCCAAATCAGCTATGGCTATTATTGCTATGGTGGCTATTATCAAGGCCGGTGGTGCCGGTGTGCCATTAGACCCCGAATACCCTCCTCAGAGAGTAAAAGAGATTTCTGCGGATGCACGTGCAGCAGTTGTCATCACCACCCCAGAGCTGAGTAAGAAGTTTGAAGGGATTGTATCTACGATCGTGTGCTTGAGCCAGGACTTTCTTGACCATACAACCTGCGAAGATCCAGTTACGCCTCATCGAGCCCACCCTTGGAATGCCCTTTATATTCCCTTCACCTCGGGTAGTACTGGAAAGCCGAAGGGAATTGTCATTGAACATAGCATGTTCGCTTCCAGCGCACTGGCTCATGGCGAACTTCTCGGAATCGGCTCGCAGTCGAGAGTATTCCAATTTGCTGCATATACATTCGATGTGAACTTCGCTGATATCTTTACATCATTGATCCGAGGAGCTTGCATTTGCATTCCATCTGACATGGAAAGAATGAACGACATCGTAGGAGCAATCAACCGAACAAGGGCAAATTCCGCTGTGTTAACTCCAACTGTGGCCGCCATGTTTACTCCGGAACAGGTTCCAACTTTGAAGACGCTTATACTTGGTGGGGAACCATTGACTCAGGAGAATGTCCGATCATGGGCAGCTCATCTTAGTCTATGGAACACCTACGGACCAGCCGAATGTTGCGTATACTGTACAGCATATCCTCTTCGCACCTCAGACAGCGATCCCGCCATATTGGGTCATGCTATTGGATCTGTGAACTGGGTAGTCAACCCAATAGATCACAACAGGCTTAGCCCTATTGGTTGTGTAGGGGAGCTAGTGGTTCAAGGTCCAATGGTCGCTCGTGGCTATCTCAATGACCCGCAGAAGACAAACGCTGCATTCGTCGAAAGCCCGCCGTGGCTACCAATCGATTTCCCAAAGAAGCAACGGCGAATCTATAAGACCGGGGATCTTGTGAGATACAATGCGGATGGAACACTAAGCTTTATTGGACGCAAAGATACGCAAGTGAAGGTCCATGGTCAAAGGGTCGAGCTTGGAGAAATTGAGGCCCATCTATCCCACAACTCCCAGATCAAGCATGCACTCGTCGTTGTCCCTAGCACAGGCCTCTACAGCGGAAGGCTCGTTTGTGTTCTCTCACTTGACGAGCCATTGGACCTCGTAGCAAGCAGAGGCTGGAAGGATATTGAACTGATTGACAGTTCCCAGAAGGACAACGCCGCCAAGATAGTTACAACAACTCGTGATGATCTAGGGGAGAAGCTGCCTCGATACATGGTTCCTTCCGCTTGGATAGTCTTGAAACAAATTCCTCTGAATGCGTCCCTGAAGATGGACCGAAATCTTCTGAAGAATTGGGTCGAGGCAGTTGACGAACCCACATATCGCTCCATCGCCGATGTGTCCAATCCAAAAGCGAAAAGCCAACCCACCACGGAGCTACAGAAACAAATACGTGATACAATCAGTATAGTGCTCGCGCTGCCAAAAGATTCGATCGGATTGGAACATTCCTTCTTGGGTCTCGGTGGAGATTCCATTTCTGCAATGCAACTCATGTCGCGGCTTCGCACTATGAATATTCGCCTCAGCGTACAGGATATTTTGCGATATCGCACTGTCAAGGCTATAGCAGCGCATGCACGAGTGGCGGAGGAGTTAAGTGGCCAAGTGCCGACTGTTGAAGAATCTGACGACTGGTTTGATCTCGCTCCGATCCAAAAGATGTTCTTCGAAAAACAGCCCAGTGGGCAGAACCATTTCAACCAAAGCTTTGCACTCAAAGTCACCAGAAATATTCCGGATAATGAGATCGAACAGGCAATACGGATACTGATTGACCGACATTCCATGCTTCGCTGTTGTTACCGGAAAGATAAACCCGATGGCATCTGGCAACAGAAGGTCAAATTTGATCCATCTGAATCATTTGTTCTATTGCCTTCACAGAAATTAACTTACGATAAAATGGCATCCATTTTCCGCGATATCCAGACCCAGCTGGATGTGGAGAAAGGGCCAACTCTCGCTGGGATAACCTGTTATGTCGAAGAGGCTCAATACCTTTTTTTGACAATACACCATCTGGTAGTTGACTTAGTCTCGTGGCGTGTTCTACTAGAGGAGCTGGAGGAATTGCTGGTTTCTGGGATACTTCAATCGGGGCCTAGTATAGAATTTAGCAACTGGGTCAGATTACAGGCTCAATACGCTCACCACAGTTTGTCATCAGAGGATGTACTTATGGCTGATGCTCCGCGCGCTGATTTTGACTACTGGGGAATGTCGGAGCAGCCTAACATTGTGGGAGATACTATTGAAACATCATTTCTTCTCGACAAGGAACGAACTACCCTTCTGCTGGGAGATAGCCAGGAGATTTTGGGCACCCAACCAGTGGAGGTGATGGTGGCAGCCCTGGTTCATTCATTCCGTGAAGTCTTTCCCGATCGGCAGATACCAGCGGTGTTCATGGAAGGCCACGGTCGCGAGTCCTGGGACCCAGCTATTGATATCACCCGTACAGTAGGATGGTTCACTACAATCTACCCGGTCAGTGTTGAGCTTGGGAGGGGCGACGAATGGTTTAACACGGTCAAGAAGACGAGGGATGCTCGTCGACGACTGCGTCATAACGGCTGGTCATACTTCACAGCCAGACAGCTCAACCCTGGAGCAGCGCAGGCAGTTGACACAACTGAAATGGAAATCCTATTCAACTATCTTGGCTTATATCAACAGTTCCAGAGGCCAGACTCGTTGTTTCAACCATCTGGCATTTTTGGAAAAGAGCTCCAGGATTTCAGCTTGACTATGGAGCGCTATGCCTTGTTCGATATCTCAGCCGCTGGTGAGAATGGCTGTCTGCGCTTCACCTTCGCAGTTAACAAGTATATGCAACATCAGTCCGATATCCAGGAATGGGTGAGGGTGTGCCACCGAGTGTTAGCTGAAGGCATTGATCAACTCATGGAACAACCGAACGTCGCAATTTTAGGGGATTTCAGCAGCCTGATGGACACGCCTTCAGGCATCCGCAGGTTGACCGAGCAAATCCTACCTACAATCAATGTTTCAGATATTGATGACGTTGAATGTATCTCACCTTGTTCCCCGATGCAGGTCGGAATCTTGTTGAGCCAAATGAAGTCGCGTGGTGCATACGAGCTTTATACTATTCGGGAGGTCATTGGTGATGAAAAGGGTGATGGTTTTGCCGAGAGAATTATGGCGGCCTGGCAACAGGTTGTAGACTATCATGCGGCTTTGAGGACCGTTTTCATTCGGAGCACTGAATCCGACACGGTATGGGGCCAACTGGTGTTGAGGCACATGCAAGTATCCGTTCGGAAGATAGCCAGCGAGGATCCGACCACGGCTCTCAAAACGATTGAGCCGATGGGGACCACCGATGGGGTCGCTGCACACATGTTTACCTTGTGCCAAGGACCGAACAGTTTATTCTTCAAGCTTGAACTCAGCCATGCTCTAGTTGATGGGGCTTCCGTGCAGATTATCCTACGGGATATCAAACGCGCATTCAGTGGGCAACTTGGTAAAATTTCGACGGCTTTGCCTTATAGCGACTATGTGGCTTTCCTTCAGCAGCAACGGAAGCGAACATCGCTGCGTTATTGGAAAGACTATCTCCAGGGAGTCCAGCCATGCCTTTTCCCCCTCCTTGATGATGGCCGTCCCCAGACCCACGAGTGGAAGACTGTCCAAGTCGAACTAGCGGAGGTAACCCAGTCTGTCATACGTCAATTCTCAGACACTCACGGCATGACCCTAGCGAATGTCGTGCAAACTGCTTGGGCATTAGTTCTCCGGACCTTTACAAACAGTAACAGTGTCTGTTATGGTTATCTAACGTCTGGTCGTGATGCGCCACTCGCCAACATCGAGAACGCAGTAGGGCCTTTTATAAACATGTTGGTTTCACGGGTGCAATTCGACAACTCGGCATCAACCCTGGATATTATCCAGACCATTCAAGATGATTACTTGCAAGGCATGGCCCAGCAATACGTATCTTTGGGTGAAATGCAACACGCTATTGGGATGTCAGGTCAACCTCTCTTCAATACGGCCATTTCCTTCCAACGGCGATCCCCACCCAGTGATTCGAGCGAGATTTCCCTAATTTCCATCCAAGAATATGACCCGTCTGAGTTTGATATTGCAGTCAATGTATTCACAGGCCCTGATGGAACAGAGGTCCATCTCACTTACCAGACTTCCAGGATCTCAAGTGGCCAGGCCACTAATGTCGCAAGTGTATACAGAACCATTATTTCCTCGCTTTTGGCAAGGCCAGAGATACCAGTATCAGATTTGAATCCGATGAGTAGTCACTGCAAAGCTCAGCTGCAGCAGTGGACTGCTAATATACCGTCTACAATCAATTTCTGCATGCATCATGTGATATCAGAGCAAGCGCGCAACACACCAGATGCCCCTGCACTTCACTCCTGGGAAGCTGATTACACTTATGCTGAACTGGACACTGCCTCAACCCGACTGGCACAAAATTGGTCTACATATGGTATCAAACCGGATGAATGCATTCCGTTATGTTTTGAGAAGTCCCTATATACCGCCATTGCATTGCTAGCAGTACTCAAAACGGGCGGTGCGTTTGTGTTGCTTGATCCCAACCACCCACCTGACCGCCTCAAAGGGCTTCTCAATGATCTCAATGCGAGGTTCATCATCGCTTCGCCGAAGACTCGTGAATACTGTGAAACTTTAATTGAGAAGGTGCTTGTTGTGTCGCCATCAATGCTCAATTCCTTGCCGGAGGGTGATGACACCATGATATCAACAAACGTCACACCCGCAAACATCATGTATGTCCAGTTTACTTCTGGATCTACTGGTAAACCCAAGGGTGTGGTTATTGAGCACTCTGCTGCGTGTTCCTCCGTTCAATACCATGGGAAGGTGATGGGATTTGGCCCTAGTTCCCGTACATTCCAGTTCTCCTCGTACACATTCGACGCCGTGATTCTGGAGATTTTCACGACACTGTATCATGGCGGCTGCGTTTGCATACCTTCAGATGATGACAGAATGAGCCACATGGTGGAAGCAATGCGACAGATGCAAGTCAATATCATGTTTATGACACCAACCCTCGCTCAGCTGTTTGAACCAGAGGATGTGCCGACTTTGAAAACCCTGATGGTTGGAGGTGAGCTTATCGGCACTAATACTACCGATACCTGGGCGAAGAAATTGAATCTGGTCGGTGGATATGGCCCCGCTGAGTGCACTGTATTTGCAGCCTACAATCCACTAAGTACCAACGACTTCCGGCCAGAAGTAATTGGATACCCTGTTGGCTCGGTGGCTTGGCTAGTGGATCCATCAAATGATAACAGATTGGTCCCGGTTGGAGCTGTGGGAGAACTCATTATTCAAGGCCCCATCGTTGGACGAGGCTACATCCATGACTCACAGCGTACAGAGGCGAGCTTCTTATTAAATCCCATCTGGTTGTCGGAATACAATGGCAGTCAGCGACACCGACTATACAAGACAGGCGATCTTGCTCGCTACAATTCTGATGGAACACTTACGATTCTTGGACGAAAGGATACACAGTTCAAGCTCAACGGACAACGCATCGAAGTCACTGAGATTGAACATCACATAAAAGCTCATTTTCCACAAGTGCTGCAAGTTGCCGCAGATGCCGTAACCCCATTCCATGTTGGTGGCCGGCCGCTGCTTTCCGTATTCATCAATCTCCAGGGCATGGCCACCCAGGCCCAGGATGAAGCTGATATTCTTTTACCGATGACTGACAGCTACCGGGCGACAATTTTTGAGCTTGAAAATCTTCTGGTGAAGACTATGCCGCCGTACATGATCCCACGGTTGTGGTTTCCCATTTCCCGGATGCCATTATCCACATCTGGAAAGACAGAACGCAAAGTTTTGAGAGCGTTGGGTGCTTCACTCTCAGAGACACAGGTAGAACAGTACGCTTTGGGTAGCGGAGCCAAGCGAGAACCCTCAACTGAGACAGAAATCAAACTAGCTAAGCTCTGGCAGCGTGTACTCAATGTTTCTAGAGTCGGCCTGGAAGACAGCTTCTTCCGACTCGGTGGTGATTCCATTACAGCCATGCAACTCGCCTCTGCGGCTCACAGAGCAGGATTCCAACTTCCAGTGGCTGATATCTTCCATAATCCCCACCTTCTCGACATGGCTGCAAAAATATTCAACTCGCAGGCGAGAAAGGAAATTGTCGGGGCAGATGTTGTGGCGCCATTCAGTCTTTTGAACCCTGGAATCAGTGTGGATGAATTCGTCAAGTCTGCTGCAGAAAAGGCCAACATCAAATCCGACTGGGTGCAAGACCTCTACACTTGCACTCCGTTGCAAGAGGGTATGATGGCGTTGACTACCCGGGATACAGGCTCCTATGGTTGGCAAGATGTTCTTGCACTTCCTCCCTCGATCGATTTAGATCGCTTTCGTTCAGCGTGGCAAGTACTGGTTGATGAACTAGCAATAATGCGAACACGGCTGGTTCAAATGGACCATCATGGCACCTATCAGCTTGTCATTCAGCCAAAACACAGTCCTATTACCTGGCAATACAGCGAGTCGGTGGAAGAATATCTCTGCCAGGACAAAAAGACTCAGTTTGGCTACGGGACGCCGTTGTTCCGGCTTGGTATCGTGCAACAAGGGTCCAAAACATATTCTGTTTCCAGCGCGCACCACAGCATATTGGATCGCTGGTCAATCTCTTTGATGATGGACCGCCTGTCATATCACTATTTGTCACAAAAGGCACCCCCCACCCCGCCGTTCAACAGGTTCATCAAATGGATGTGCTCTCTTGATCCAGAAGTCTCCGATCGGTACTGGAAGTCACGATTTGCTGGTTTGGCTTCCGTGGATTTCCCTCGCTCTGTTCCAGGCCATCGCTCGCGAGCAACAGCAGTGGCAAAGTATTCTGTCCCTACATCAGCTATGAATAATTCAGCCAATATCACTGTTTCGACGCTTCTCAGAGCAGCATGGGCAGTCACTATCAGCCAACACACCGGGTCGGAAGATGTGGTGTTTGGGATGACGCAGACTGGTCGCAATGCCTCCGTAACAGACATCACGGATATTGTCGCTCCGCTCATCACGGTTGTACCTTTTAATGCTGTGGTTGGGAAGCAGCTTTCAGTCGCCGAGTTTCTTCAAGGAATCCACCAAGACACAGTTTCTATGATTCCCCATGAACACGCGGGTCTCCAACATATTGCGCAACTTGACGCGGACTCCCAGGCTGCATGTAATTTCCAGAATCTACTCGTTATCCAGTCACAGCAACATCAGCAGCAGGCACAGCTCCCTCTGGGCCTTGAGCGCCTCGACATTGTGGAGAACGATATTTTGGCTTACGGAATTGTCTTGGTGTGCGACCTCACTGAGAGCGCAGTGGTCCTTCAAGCTGCGTTTGACCCAAGAGTGATCTCGCTAACAAAGATGCACACCCTATTAGCGCAGTTCGGCCACTTCTTCCAGCAGCTCAACAATCCCCAGTCGGCTCAATTGCTTCTAAAAGATCTCCCGCTTGTTGGAGATCATGATCTGCAGCAGTTAAAGGTCTGGAGTCGACCACGTAACGCTGAGCGAGTCAACAGATGTGCACACGAGTTGATTCACGAACGTGCATTAGTTCAGCCTCGGTCATTAGCTATTGATGCTGCTGAGGGGCTATTCACATATGATCAGCTAGATGATATATCCACCAGACTCGCCCACTACCTTCGAGACAGTTGTGGCGTCGGTCCTGAAACAATTATTCCTCTTTTCTTCCACAAGTCAGCCTGGGCTGTGATTTCAATGCTCGCCATGATTAAGTCCGGTGGCGCTTTTGTCTTCCTAGATCCTGCTCATCCCATGGACCGCTTGATGTTTATCACACAGCAAATCAAGGCAACATCCATTATCACCACTCCGGGCCTATCATCCACATGGAGCTCAACATCCCTGAAACCGCTGGTGATCACAGAGAGTTTCTTGAATAGTCTTCCTGTTCAACAGCAGCCACCTGTGACGGGTGTGAAGCCACACAATGTGCTCTATATCATATTCACGTCTGGCAGTACTGGAAAACCAAAGGGTTGTGTAGTTGAACATGCGTCTTTCTTGAGCGGTGCTGTCCAGCACGCGCAACGAAGCAGGTTAACCCCTGACACTCGGGTTCTCCAGATGGCACCATATACCTTTGACGTGAGTATTCTCGAGACACTAACGGGTTTACTGTCCGGTGCTTGTATCTGCCTACCCAGGGGAGAACGTCAGAACGTTCCTGTTTCCCAGATTATTCGGGAGTTGAAAATCACTTGGAGTTTCCTTACCCCTTCCGTCGCTCGAACGATCAGCCCTCAAGATTGCCCTAGTCTCAAAACTCTCATTCTCGGTGGAGAGTCACTTTCGCCAGTGGATATCGAAACCTGGGCAGATCAGGTCCATTTATGTAATGGTTATGGTCCCAGTGAATGTTCTGTCGCTGCTACTGCCAACACCAGCATCACCGTGAAGACCGATCCAGCCAATATCGGGACCACCATGTGTTGTAATGCTTGGATAGTGGATTCTGAAAATCCTAACACTCTATTGCCGATTGGTGCAGTGGGTGAACTCCTGATTCAAGGCCCAATCGTCGCACGAGGATATCTAAATGAGCCGAAGAAAAGCAAGGCCGTCTTCATCGATGCGCCTGCATGGCTGGCTCAGTTGGGACCAAATATGATGGCGGATCAACGTCTGTATCTCACAGGAGACTTATGTCGCTACAATGATGATGGTACAGTGCATTTTGTTGGCCGAAAAGACACACAGGTCAAGCTTCGTGGGCAGCGGATTGAGCTGGGCGACATTGAACATCACACCTCTGCCCATCCATCTGTCAGACATGCCGCAGTTGAACTCCCAAAGGCCGGCAGGTATCGAGACAGTTTAGTGGCCGTACTGTCACTACGCGACATAGTCCCAGACTCCTCTAATGTCCTGGTTGACGGAGAAGAACTCGTGCCAGTATTTGGAGAGCAGCTGGATGTAGTCCGTAAGCACATCTCAGATATACAGACATATCTGGTGGAAAGGTTGCCTCCATATATGGTACCGAGCTCTTTCATTGTCCTCAGCAATATTCCACTGTTGGAATCAGGCAAGATCAATCGCCCCAAGGTAAAGGCCTGGCTGGGTAGCATGAGCACGCAGATGCAGGAGCTGGTCGCTGCGCAAGCCTCCGTGTCAGCAACCCATTCCGCATCTTTGATTGCTCATGATCAGACGACTGCTCTCAGCATCAGTGACCGGATTACGCAACTTCTCGCGAAGGACGACGAGGAATATGCGATTGCAATTCGCAACCGCGACATCACGCTGGCAACTGCCGGCCTAAACTCCATTTCTGCAGTTTCTCTTGCGGCCTATATTAAGGATAGATTCAGCGTCCAGCTTTCAATCGATAGCTTGCTAGAGGCATCAATGACCGTCTGTGGTGTCGCATGCATGATTGACAATGCTAGGGCCAACCCTGCCGCTATCAATAGCTCGTCTTCGTTAAATTTGTCTTTGAAGATTGTAAAGGCAATTGCAGACTTCGATCAAAAGACCACATCTGCGGCACTGACAATCCCTCAGTCACCTAGGGCACAACACCCTGAGACTATTCTATTAACCGGTGCCACTGGGTTCCTGGGGAGTCAGATCCTCAGACAACTGCTAGAGATATCGCGAATTAAGCGTGTGATTACTCTAGTCCGTGCTGCGAACCACCACCAAGCGACAGTCAGAGTGATTGAATCCGCTCGGAAAGGCAAATGGTGGAACGATAGCTATTCTAGTCGCCTTTTGGTCTGGCTTGGCGACTTGTCGCAGCCAGACCTAGGACTCGATGCTGCCCAATGGCGCTGCATTGAGGCTCGGCCAGACTCCCCTTCTCCGATCGACGCGATCATTCACAACGGAGCAATTGTTCACTGGGGGTTCGACTATCAAGGCCTTGAGGCTGTCAACGTCACTAGCACAAGTTCTCTGCTGGCTTCTCTCACCCGGTCGCCGAGACCACCGCGTTTCACGTTCATCTCGGGTGGTCAGCTATTCTTCGGAGACGATGACAACCACGAGGAAGTCGAGGCATTCGCTCAGATGATGAGGAACGCCGGTGGATATGCGCAAACCAAGTACGTATCCGAACAGTTAGTGAAGGAGTTCGCCCGGAGATACACCACATCCATTGCGACTATTGTGAAACCGGGATTGATCGTCGGAACCGTTGATTCTGGAGTGTCAAATACGGACGACTTTTTGTGGCGAGTTGTGGCCAGTGTGATCGATATTGGGGCATTCAACAGCACGGGGTTGGACGGCCTCATCCTCGTTTCTGGCGCCCACCAGGTTGCTTCTGCCATTCTGAGAGATGTTCTCCATCCTGAACCTCATTCCCATACTGTGGAAACTACCATTCGGCATGGTATCCACGTTGGGGAGTTATGGGATATGCTCCGCGATGAATTCGGTTACCAACTGGAAGGTATCGGCGCTACAGAATGGTTGGACCGGTTGAGAGCGCAATTAAAAGCGTGCGGTGAGAAGCATCATTTGTGGCCAGTGTTCCATATACTAGAAGCCACCGGCGGACGCTTGGGTGTCCCTATGCCGGCCCATCTTCGGCAGGACAAGCACAAGGATGAGGTCCAGGCATCTCTCCGGAAGAGCATTTCCTATTTGAGGGAAATCGGGTACTTGTCGGGAGCGGAAACTGCCGATGGAGGGACCTCCTTGCCGAAGGGGCCTGTCTTCGCACGCACAGGTGGAAGAGTCCGGATGTGATGGAGTATTTCCATGTATTTTGGACGGCACCATTTATATTTCTCTGCATTTCTCTGCAAAATGACATAATCTTTATTCTATCTAGTATAATATGTATGAGAGACTTTCTGTTTTTCTGGCAGGTTAACCCCTTATTCCTACATCTCTCAGTCGCCTTTTGTAATGCCAATCTATTTATCATAATTCTGAGCTTCCACAACTTGTATATTGTAGCTAATGTGTGATGTGTTGAAGGGTAATATATTCAGAAAAGGTTGGACGCACTCCAGAAACATATAATTGACTCTAGAAATTAGGGTTAGATATGTAGTTTCCAAAATCTATATACACAACAACCACATTCCAAAGTTGATATTATTGATCCCAAATATTCATACTCGACTAGTCTTGTTTATTAAATAAGGTCTGATGGACAGGTGCTCAACGACGATGACCCATTAACATTGCCAAGGAAGGGGTTAGCACCCTACAGGATCTAACTACATTGAGAAATAGAGTCAGGTGACTTACCCGTTTTAGAGTGGCGTTTGTAGAGAGTCACATGACTATTCCCCTTTTGGTAAAGGTTGGCGTTGAGATCCCAATTCGGTTTAGTGGAAACTGGGCAGCCTACCAACAGACTCTCCATTCAACCAACCTCCATCATCCATGAATCAATATATGAAACTGCATGTACATACAACCTATGATTGATCGAGTGAAATATATGAATATTACCTCAAATCTCTACTACAGATGAATATCGACTTTCAAAACGGGCTAACCATTGCTTTTTGAAACACTGCGTTATGAGAGAGATAACATGTGAGTATATAACAAGGTTGACGAGACAAAAGAGACAAGCAGACAGAAGATATGGGAAGATGGGGGGAAAAAACAGAAGTAATGGGGCCAGAAAAACAAAACCAAATCATGACGAAAAGCGAGCAGACGCATTAAGGTATGTTTCATTCTCCTGAGAAGCCGGGAATGGAGGCGCTGTTTTGGCTCGGAACAAAGAGTTAGAGCTCATCCCCTCGTAGAAATATGAGTCGGTACTCCGTTGACGTGCCATACGACGAACTAAATACGCCTCATACTCATCTCGTGTCAAGGTAGCAAAGACATGCCGGGGATGCACGCAAATTGCCTGCGCGCCTTTCTGCCCAAAACCGAATGAGGTGATCGACACAGCCTTGAGGTCAGCCACGTGCATTGGCCGGGAAAGATAGGCAATTAGATCGAATTGCTGCAGAGCCGAGTCAATATTATCGGCATTGCGATTGCCTGGCACCAGGCCGGAATCCAGCATCTGTAACGCCCCATTGACCATCCACGCACCCGCAGCCCCCTTGGAATGACCGGTCAAATATTTCTGGAAGACACCCAGAAGCAGATTACCCTTGCGTCGGCCTAGTGCTGTCAGCTGCTGTTGGAGAACGCTGGATTCATTCTTATCGTTCATCATGGTTGACGTGCCATGGAAGGAAGCTACCCGCAGGTCGTCGATGGTCAAACCCCAGGTTGCGAGGGCTCCGGTCAACGGCGCGATAGATGAGTCATGGCGCCAGAAATCATTACCTAGCGAATACCGAGCATCTCGCTCTTCTTGAAGGAAGTCCACGAGAATCTGCTCAAGGCGTTCCTGACGATACGTGGCTACATCAAGTCCCGGGTCTTGTCCTAGTACGACATCCACTTCGAAATCTAGCTGCTCGAGCGCGACTGCCCGGGCCTCGGAGATCTGCTTTCGTCGGAAGTCCAGGCGACGTCGGCGATTGCTCATCTTGAGCAAAGGAGAAGGAATGTTTGACGCCAGCGTTGTACGTCTCGCGTTGACAAGCACGCCCTGCCCAGGTGCTGGGACAGAGCGGCCAGCCTTATCACTGGAGGTGCTCACAAAAGCAACAATGCCGCGAATCGGGAGCCCCATCTTCAACGCCAAATCGGCAGTAGTCAAGACCTGCAGACCGCAGCCTTGGGATTCCATAAAGCCATTACGTGTAGTGGTGGTTGGTCGCGACATTTCACTAGGTGCTCTCCCTTGCGCCGTCTCCTCAAGGGAATTTGTGGTCGCTTTCATGTTGGCAAACTCATATGATGTCTCCGATGTAAAGTCATCGCATCCTCCAACTAAGCAGAACTTGGATTTTCCTGTCACGATGGTGTCATAGCCAAGTTCTAAGGATTCCACGGCGGTTGCACAGGCTCCAACAGGGGTTCTGATAGGACCACTGGCCGATAGCAGGAGCATATTAACCCAGGCACTGATAGTATTGACAAACGTCTCCTGGAGAATGTCACTCTGGATTTCCTGCCCGGTATATCGGCCGGTGAACATCTTTCCTAGAGAGGTACTACCTCCCATACCGGAGCCGATACAATTGCCGACCTCTGATACGTGGATATACTGGTAGAGCTCATACGGGTCGGTGATTCCAGACGATAGCAACGCTTCTACCGTACAAACTAGCGTGTACAACGTTAGCCGGTCGACGTCGGAGATGATTTGCTCGGAAAGCCCGTAGATACGGGGATCCCAGCCGGTGGGGACTAGGCCGGCCACGGTACGGTCAAACTGCATAGCTCGGGGAACGAATAGTCGGGCTCCCTTACGTAGCTGCACTCGGTATAGGTCCGGAGTTGACGACTTTTGCACTGTCACGAAGAGGCCATGCTCTCGACGCATCTGCTCGGCGAGTGATTCAGGCACGTAGAGTGGTGCGAGATCCGTCTGCAGGACGATCTCATGGAGGAACTGCTTTTTGTTAGGGTCATACCCATCACAAAGTTCAGGTTCAATGAAACGAATTCCGGAATGCGCTAGGATCCTCTCTTCGTACACTGGCTTGATCGCCGTGTCGGCCACTGGCTGTTTGGTTTTAGTATCGACCCAGCCGGAGTACGGTCGGCCTTCAATGATACCGGAGAAGTGACGGATGAAACCCATCATCCACGCCATTTCAATAGCGCCCTCTATAGAAAACCGGCCATGGGCTTCCATTTCCCATCGCGTACGGGAATTGCCGTGCGGTCCTAGCTCGGCAAATCCCGTGATCACGACCGTTCGGTGCAAGTCCACCATTCCCTGCAGCTCCGCACTGAGAGGTGCGATGTCGCGATCGTACTGCAGGACCTTAGGGAAGTCCTGTCGGACGTGGGCCCTCTCTTCTAGCTCGGACACAGCCGCTGCATGCTCTCCCGGATTCGACCACTCCGCCTCGATCGCCTGCTCCTGGAATAGCGCGGATTGAATTTCGCTGTTCTCCTTGAGCTCGCGTCGCAGATGGCCTAGAGATTCTGGTAGGTTTGGAACTTGGGCCATACCGCCAGTCAGATCTGCATAGACCGGAGCTTCCTGGCACAGCTCGTACATTGCACCGACACATAAGCAAACCAGCGCATAAGCCATCTCTTCTTGAGAAAATGTGCGCATACCGGCTTTTTCGATTCCCTCGGCCACGAGATCATTTTGATTCATCAGTCCCGTGCCACGAGTCCAACCGATAACGGCGCCGCAAATGGAGAGGTAGTCTTGCCAGTTCTCTGAATGCCAGCGGTTGAAGAGCGTTTCTAGGGCCAGCTTTGATTCACTATAAAGACCATCTCCTCCAAAAGTGCCGTGATTGGGGGAGAGTGGCAACACCACCTGGGTAGGATGCGATCGATGGCCGTGGATCTCTTTGCATGTCTTCACGGTCCCCAGCAATCGCAACAGGTTCGTCAACATAATGCGATGCGCCAGCTCAGATTTGGAGTCGATCGTGTCTAGGGTCCGTCCAGCCTCACTGATAGCTGCGAAGGGGATGAGGTAGTCTAAATCCCATCCGAGCCCGTTTTTCTCATCATACACGTATTCCACTAAGGCAGCAACGTCCTGGGCACTCCCTTGGTTGAAGGGTACAACTACCAGCTCTGAGCCTCGCGATCCATGCTCCATGTACAAGGCTTGATACTTTCGCGCTACCTCCGGAGACATGGACGAGGTCGTAACAAGCACTCGTGCTCCGCCTTGGAGGAAATGCACAATCATGGCGGCTCCGATGGAGCCGATTCCAGCCCCTGTGATCAACACCGTTTGGGCACTCAGGGAGTCGCCTTGTGTTTCCACTTCGTGAAAGACCTGATAAAGATGACGGGTCAGGTCTGCGGAATATTCCCATCCAGATGCTGATCGCTTTTTTAGATGCAGGTACGGTTCAGTTGTGACTAGGGGGTTTTTGGCCGGTCCTGATCTTGGCAGGGCGAGATCAGCAAATCGTGATGACTCTTTCCGAGGTTGTTCCTGATACTGCAGGTTCCCTTGGTTATCCATTGTTGTAACTGGCGCTAATTGTCGGGGAGCGCCTCTGAATACCGGTCCCGACATCAAGCTATCCGTACAATTGTCTCTCAGCGTAAGAAAGATTGGTCGCAAGTCCGTACGATCTTGCAATTGGGAAATCATCTCATCCAATACAGGCAAGATGGTCTTGTCCGCTGCGTTGGCGATGTGATAGCAGCGCTTCACTACCGAATCCGGATCTAGTATGCTGGGGTCTGCAACGGTTGATGTAAGATCAAACAGCTCCAGCAGACTTTGCCGTGCCCAATTCCACGCTGAATCATAGCTCCGGATCTTTTTCATATCAAACCGTGGCCGAATACCCTGGGCATAGTCTGCGCCGTGCTCTGCATGCCAGAGATCAAGGTCAGCTTGGAGTCCAGTCGCTAGCTCGTCTCGGAGGCTGTCCAATGCCTGTCGGTCCGCCTCCATATCCACACCTAAATGAGCAGCGTAGATCTCGAGCAAGCGCTTCGACAAGGCATCTTGTGATTCGGTCAGGGCCCGGACCGCTTCCGGATCCATGGTGACTCCAGTGGCGGCGCCACCAACATCAGATGCGCCAGGTGGGAGAAGCGTGAGCCCTTCACGTTTCGCATATATCTCGACGGCGTGAGAAATAAAGTCATGGGCGTCCGATTCAGTGGTGATCCGACTGGTGGGTTGCATGGTGACAGCGCAAAGCAAGCAGGCGTCTTGTCGACCAGACTGAAGTCCCCAATGGGTGCGCAGCTGCTCTCGAGCAGTGGCAGCGGTGAAGCTGCTGGGCATTTTGGATGTGAACAAAGTGTTGATCATGGCTGTGGTTACTTTGCCCAGGGCGCCTTTATGGCTAGGCTGGATCTCTGGCCCGACTTGACCGAGTGCTAAGTCCTCAGCGCGATCCGGCAACGAGCCGAACTCGCTATGTAGATCACCGATGATTTCATTCTCCAATGTTGATCTGCCTGGGAGATGGAACTCGATTGATTAGCAAGCATGATCGTTACATTAGAATATTTAGCTACATACCTTCGGCCAGAGCCTTGATAGACTTGCTCCCGTCAATTTCAGCTGCCGCTCGCTTCAGTGCCCTAGCAACAATGGCGAACACAATATCCTGTGCCTGGATACTTTGATCCTCGATGCTAGTAACTTCGACGTGCACCATTGGAGAAGGCTGGGCCGCCGTTGTTAGCTCCACGGTGACTGTGGGAGTCGGTACGGCTGGCCCGAGGTTTGGTGGTGATATCTCTGTTTCTGCCTGCATCTGCGTCTTTATCTCCACTGGGTTGAGTTGATCTGGCTCTCCGGTGTAGTAGATGTCGTCCAAGTCTTTTTCGGAATGGAGCAGCTGGCGTGGAGCTGGCAAAGTGCATTCTTTCGTTGGATAGATGGTGTCGATGGTTTTGCGCAACATGCCTAGCAGCGTTGCACTAGGACCGACCTCAATGATGCGCTCGCTTTCTGTACGAGACAGAATCACATCTTGGGTTTCGATCCATCGCACAGGGGAGGCGAACTGGTACCTAACGAGGCGGTTCACTGCTTAGTTGACGATCTTGTCTTCTGGAGATATGATATTTACTCACACCATCAACTCCATCAGCAGCGTTCGTGCGAGCTTACGCTCTGTATCACTGTCTATCGCCATTGTGGGTGTCGTTTTGATTTTTGTTTCCTTTTGCAGCTGGCCTGCCCTGGATCAGTGGACCGTGAAGGGAGTCAGTCTGTCAGCGTAGGTCCTCGGAAGAGCCTCGTCCTTTTCCTACTTGTAGGCTATCTGTCGGACTTACACACGGATATTTGGCTAAGCTATTGTTAGGACTAGATCTTACATACTATGTAGTCTGTGATCTGTGCGTGTAGGTATTCGATCTATATGGTCACACTTGCCTGTCTAGTATGTAATTATGTATGGCGTATCAATTGGTTTGTATGTAAGGACGTAAGTTACACATGCATGTATCCATACATACTTACGATACTCTATTAGTTACACAAGTATGTAATATTGAATATTGAAGTATCATGGTCCGTATTGGTATTGTGGTGTATTTTATACATTACATAGTACATAACGAACCGCCTACAGGGGGTGAGGTCAGCTCTTGCAGAGCGGCAAAGCATATGTACATTTAATATAGTTATGGCATTGCCCCTTTGACTAATAGCCAAGAATATTACTAAGTAAATCGTAATTAAGGGACAAGAATTTGATGCCAAGGGGGAAAATCTGCTTAATGTTCTTAGCTTACGCACGGATGGGTTGATAGAGTGGATTCTGCAATTTCTAGCCGAGCAAGATTGATCAATAGGAGGAGGCAATGGCTGGTCATGCGGTCTTAGCTACAGACTAATGCAGCTCGTAGATTAATTTACAGGGTCTCAATATTTGGCCAATTCAATAAAAATATAATAAATAAATAAGACGCGATCTGACTAGTGAGAGAAATAGGTACCTACGTAGCCGAGGTGTAGCCGAGATGATCTTACTCATCTGCCCTCACGGGCCAGAGCCAGTCCGCATCATGAGTAGCTATGCCCTTCTGCGCCGCCAACAATGCTTTTGACAGACGCTCGCAAGCCTCACCAGGACCATCAGTCGCAAAAGTGAAAACATCATCTGTAGACCGCCGGGTGATCGACCGGATTGGGACGACCATTGCTGCCGTTCCCGCTGCCAGAATTTCTGTGAAGTGGGGCAGTTCCAGATATGGGATCTATGGGAGATAATTAGCGAGAAGAGCCAACAGAGAGAGATCAAATGTATCATACAGGTCGCATTTCCACCGCCCATCCAAACGATTGTGCCAATTCGACACAAGAAGTGCTGGTGACACTACGCAGAATTGACGGACTACTGGGCACCACCAATGTGAATGAGTCCCCAGTCTTCTTCAGCCCCAAGAACCCTGAGGTACTGAACTCGTCAATCTGCGACTGTGTTCGACTGTCGAGGTGCAGAGTGATATGGAATCCCTCTGCACGAGCTTGATCGCTCCACTTCAGTACGGGAGCATAATTGCCACCAACCTTGACGTGGCCTACGCCCCGAGGAGCAGCACGGTCCAATTCTTCCAACACTAGGGCAGGCAGGGGGTGGACTCCATGGTATGCCTTGTAGGGTTGCACATACACGCAGAACCGGTACCCAGTGCCCGCAGAGACAGCGAAGAAAGCGTCCGACCCGAACACCAGAGGTCGAATATACAACGCGGCCTCGGAATCATGGGGAGGGACATACTCGGCATTACGGACAACTGCCAGCTTGATGCTGTTCAGGAAGACACTTTCTGGGACAGGAGGAATGGCAATAGTAGAACAAGAAAGGGCGAGACGAGCTGCATGATCTTTGGGTCTGAATATTTGGATCTGACCTTGAGGGTCACGGTAAGCTGGAGAGAGAAAAAATCAGTCAAGTCCAAGGAAGTAGAAAACAGTGAAGAATATCGAACCTTTCATGCCCTCAAAAGCCTGTTGACCTGCAATAGGGCATTAGCACAAAAACAAACAGTCATAATAGTGTTGTGACAAGGACACACCATAGTTAAGCCCAGGAGCTAGGCCATGAACACGCAACAAGGGATCTTCCACGAAATGGGGGGTAGACCACTCTCCAGTAGTAATTGAGTACTCTGATTCAATATGACCATTCACTATGTAAAGCCCAGCATCAGTAAGGCGCCCAGTGAGGGAGGGGAATTTGAGTATGTGACAAACCTTCCATAGGAGCAACGCCCAGTTTGTCCCATTCTGCAATATAAGAGATATTAGTACATGGATCATGTAAAACTGGGATGAGCTCAGGGGAAAGTTTACCTATGGAAGCCAGAGGAGGAGGAGGGAAAGCAGCCATTGCAAATAATGTACTTCTAGAGGAGAATAGAAATGAAGAGGACCACGAAGGTTGGAAGGAGGAAGAAGAACTCTGTGTATATCTGTTCGCTTTTAGTCCTCATTCCTATTTTGGAATCGGTTGGAAAGTTTGTACATTCTTTCTCCGCGCGTATATTCTTGCTCGGCGATACATCGGGTTCAGAAGTGAGGTGGATATGCAGGCCGCACATCAACGGCGCTCTCAATGATACCATGTAGGCCATTGGCCGCGTTACATCGAGCAGCATTGGCACGGGAATCGTGACAAGGATTCAAGAATTCATGGTAGCTATTCCTGTTCAGTAAATGACTACGGGACTACGGTTACATGGCGTCCACCTGTATAGAGTGTGCAGAGATTTCGTCGATAGTGGTAGACCTGAATGACTGGGATCAATCTCACTAGCTTAGGTTCTTCGGGATTTGCATTTGGAGACTGAAAGCCCATTTAACATTATCCCGCTCTCTGCTCGTCAGCCCTAACGGTTTTAGTATAATGCGTCATATGAAACACGAAGGCATAATTAATTCCACATGTACCACTAGTACATATGTAAGTTTGTGGAAATATACGGCTGTATTTTGTTGTATTTCATTTTAAATTAAATTTACCACACCTAGATACATTACTTACCAAACATACCTTGATTACAGGCGTACGCATTTACAAAAACGCATTTACAAAAACGCATATACATGGCATACACGACATACAGTATGCCTAGTGGACAACAGGAAGAGCGACATCAGACCAGAGACAAGAATGGGGTCGGGCAAAAATGGCTCTAGTGTTTCCAGCCATGTGCCAGCGTGCATGGTGGACCAAAAAAAAAGGCCGGGAGAGCTGGGGATCCATGCACAGTGAGACATATTCATTCCATCTTCATTTTGACCTGCTGTCGTAGCAAGTTGCACACCGGACGGCACTCAATCTCCCATCAATAGCACTGCTCTGGGTCATTTCGATTGCAAAATTTTTAGCTCCGTTTATACCTCCAATGGATGTATCACAGCTTCAATCCATGCAGTGCCCATGGCCTGCATCAGCCTCAGTCTCGCAGGCATCAACCCCGCCAACCCCATGGGAAGAGATTGAGCTTTGCTCTTCAGAAGCCGAGATCGTTCTCCAGGTGGGTAGAATCCACTGCACTATCAGGGTTCCCCGAGGAATGGATCGCAGGGGTCGGGAGCTTATAGAGCAGTTCATTCCAACGGCGTCCACACTGGAGCTCTCGTCTGCCCTGGAACTGTGCTGCCTGTTTATGCAATATATCATGCATGATATCATCCACGATGGAGAAGAAGATCTGGACATGGTGGTTCTCCACCAGGTGTTGAACACAGTGCATGTCGATCTCCTCCAGAATGAGAGTATCCACACAGTACTGGCAACCATGAGCCACGACAAGAGCCGACATAAATCCATCCTAAGAGCATATTTCCAAGCATGCAAAACGACGAGGTCTCCAGGCTCTGTTGGGACTAGTAGCCTGCTGTCCGACGTGGAGAAAGGCCATGCGCGGATCTTTGCCCTCTTCAATGGACAAGGCGTGGAGTCGTACTTTGACGAGCTTTTAACAGCCTATGACATCTACCATCCCCAAGTAGCTTCCATCATTAGCGCTGTGTCCGAGTCTCTCTCACATCTCGCGCGTGATGATCAATTTGAAGCTCTATTCCCACATGGACTGGATGTGGACCAATGGCTCCGCATGCCGGAGTCTCGCCCAAATGCCCCCTACCTCACCAGTGCCCCCGTAAGCCTCCCGCTTGTCGGTCTGTCACAATTCGTCCAGTATGCCATTGCATGCATCAACCTAGGTCTCTCCCCAGGAGATTTACAGCATGTGTTCGCTGGCGCAATTGGTCATTCCCAGGGCATTGTGGTAGCTGCCTTCGTCGCTGCTGCCGATTCCTGGGTTTCTCTCTGCAATGCAGCCCAGCAGGCGGTTGAATTACTCTTCTGGATCGGCTGTCGATGCCAGCAGCAGTTGCAAGATGTTCGTCCGGCGTCCATTTCGTCGAGTTGCATGCTCAGTGTCAAGGGTCTCTCTCAGACTGACCTCCAGCGACACTTGGACGAACTCAACGTCCACCTACCAGCTGAAGAGGCAGTGTACCTAGCCTTGGTAAACGGGCCGCAGCAGCTTGTCGTCGCCGGACTATCGCTTTCATTGCAGGCACTGGACCAGAAAATCGTTCACGCTCAGAATCAAGTCGATTCCTTGAAGGCTTCTGCAGGACGTATACCCTTCAGCCAACGCAGTGCTGCCATTCACACTCGGTTTCTGGCAATCACGGCACCATTTCACTCGCCCTATCTTCAGGATGCGGAGACTCGCCTTCTGGAAGACCTTGCTGACGTTTCCCTCTCCGGCTCGAAGTTGGCGTTCCCCGTGTTTCACACTGAAACTAGCCAAAATCTACAAGAGTGTGGAAATATTGTTCCGCACTTAGTAAAAATGATCTGTACTAGACGTGTACAGTTTGAAAAGGTAGTGAGCGCTACCCTAGCCGGAGTGACGCATGTCCTCGATTTCGGTCCAGGTGGCGAAGTTGGAATGGGAAGCCTGGTCAATCATCAGCGAGAGGGCACAGGACTGCGCACATTGATCCTTAGCACTGCTCGCGGAGTTACCAGTAGCTACAGCACTACACTAGGGTTTGAGAGTGAGCTGTACACCCACAAAAGGCCGGTTGTCTGTAACCCCGCCTGGGACACTGAGTTCGCACCACACCTCGTGCAGTCCCCTTGTGGGTCCAGACACCTGGTTGACACCAAGTTCAGCCGGATTTTAGGCGTTCCCCCAGTGATGGTTGCTGGTATGACGCCGACCACCACCGCGTCAGAATTTGTAGCTGCAACCATGAATGCTGGGTACCATGTTGAGCTGGCCTGTGGAGGATTCCCAGATCGTAACAGCATGCGCCAGGGTATCCTGGCTACTGCGGCTGCAATTGCCCCTGGCCGTGGCATTACGTGCAACGTCATATACGCCAATCCTCGAGCTATGGCCTGGCAAATTCCGTTACTCGTCGAGCTAAGGCAGTCCGGTATTCCAATTACGGGGTTAACCATTGGCGCGGGTATTCCATCGCAGGAGATTGTACAGGGCTACCTGACTGACTTGTCACTCACCCATCTGGCTCTCAAACCAGGTTCCAAAGATGCCATCGATGGGGTTTTGGAAATTGCCCGGGCAAACCCCACATATCCTATCATCTTACAGTGGACAGGTGGTCGGGGTGGTGGACATCACTCCTCTGAAGACTTCCATGAGCCGCTTCTAGACCGATACGCACAAATCCGATCGCATCAAAATGTGATTCTAGTTGTCGGCAGTGGCTTCGGTAACGCCGAGCAAACCTATCCCTACTTAACAGGATCTTGGTCTCACCAGTTCGGGCGTGCATCAATGCCGGTGGATGGCATCCTCTTGGGTAGCCGTGTAATGGCGGCTAAAGAAGCTCACACCAGTGACGATGTAAAACGGGCAATCTGCAACACTCCGGGTGTTGGCAACGAAGATTGGGAGCAGACGTACGAGCGTCCAGCCGGTGGAATTATCAGCGTGCGATCTGAGATGGGCGAGCCGATTCACAAGCTGGCCACTCGCGGCGTCATGTTATGGGCTGAGTTGGACAAATTAGTTTTCTCCCTACCCCGTGGTGAACAAAAGGCTGCTCTCCTCAACCGAAAGTCGTATTTCCTCAAACGTCTCAATGAGGATTTCCAGAAAGTCTGGTTCGGGCGAGATGTGGATGGCGCAACAGTCGATCTGCACGAGATGACCTACGCTGAAGTCTGGGACCGCATGATCGACTTGTTGTATCTGAAAACATCCCAGGATTGGATTGATCCCTCGTGGCGAACATTGGTGTGGGATTACACTCACAGGTTAGAAGAGAGACTAGGGAAGAAGCAGCAACCCCTCCTTCAACGCACAGACCAACTCAACCAGCCTGGGCAGTTCCGCAACCTACTGTTCTCCGAATATCCTCAGGCACATGTCGATGTATTGACAGCTGCGGACGTGGAATATATCCATTTAATTTCGCGCCGTCGGGGGCAGAAGCCAGTTCCCTTCCTCACGGCCCTTGATGAAGATTTCGAATACTGGTTCAAGAAGGACTCATTGTGGCAGTCAGAGCGCTTGGAGGCTGTCGTTGGACAGGATGTCGGCCGCGTGTGCATTTTGCATGGGCCAGTGGCCGCTCAGTACACAAACATTGTTAATGAGCCAGTCCAAAGCATTTTGGATGGAATTCACAACGCATATGTCGCGTGGATTCTCCGCGATCAGTATGTAGGGGATCTAGCACAGATCCCCTCAACAACAAGAGAGCACAACAACCAATTAACTTGGCCTATTACGGGAGTTCATCTGGCTCGAGATCAAGATGGAAACACAGTCAAGTATACTGTTTCCGAAAACCCGGCAGAGTTGCCATTACCGGATGTCTGGCTGGGGCTACTGGCTGATACCACTACTGCACCCTGGTGCCGTGCTGTCCTCACTGAAAAAAATATTGTTCAGGATAGAATCGTCACTAGCAATCATGTCTTGCGACTCTTTGCTGCTAAACCAGGTCTTGTCGCGGAAATTGTGAATCAAGCTTCAAATGAGACCGAGGTTATCCTCAAGGAGATCGAAAAAGATGGGAGAGGTGGAGAGCAGGTGTTGGCAGTCGCCTCACTCTGTTGTAACCCTGAGGGCCAGATCACTCTCACTTTATGGGATCAGACGGTAGTTGGTCGAGCACCAGTTGACTTAGTCTTTCGATTTCAATTCCAGCCGCGCGACGGAGCTCCCAGTATCCACGAGGTGATGTCCGATCGCAACCAGGGAATTAAACAATTCTATCGTTCAATCTGGATTGGGGAGCACAATCTACCATCCACCCCCGACTTTGTGTTTCGGGGTGAAGATATTGTTTTGGGTCGAGAGGCGATTCGCCGATTTGCGAGGAGCGTATCTAACCGGAACCCACTCTATTACAACTCTCGCTCCCAGGGTTTGCTGGTGGCACCGCTGGATCTGGCAATTGCAGTAGCTTGGAAACCCATCATGAGTTGCTTATTCCCGGATATGGTCTCAGGGGATATGCTCCGACTACTTCATCTAAGCAACGAATTCCAACTGTGCGACGGAGCCGCGCCATTGCAGGAACGAGATCATCTTTCGTCTGAGGGCCGCCTCACAGCAGTGACCATCAAGCAAGGATCTGGTAAGATCGTGGAGGCGGAGGGAACAATCTACCGCCAAGGCATGCCCGTAGTACGCTTGAAGAGCAAGTTCATGATGCTTGGATCCTACACTGATTATCAATCAACGTTCGAAACCAAGGAAGAGAAGTGGTGCCTACCGCTAGCCATGAGAAAAGATGTCGCTCTCCTTCGTTCAAGAACATGGTTCCGTGCAGAGGAGAATATCGACCTACTAGACCATCTCCATCGCACGGTGGAGGTCCAAACCACGAGCCGTACCTGGTTTATGGATGCCGACTCCACTCCCAAGCTAAAAGTTGAGGGACTTATTGTCTGGCGGTCTAATTCAGGGTCAGAGTCGGTGGTTCTCGGGTCGATCTTCTTCTCCGATGCTGTCCCCTCTACCCGAAACCCCGTGACAGACTACTTGCAAAGACATGGGTCCTTGAGCACCGAGGACAACCATATATTCGATGCCCCTCGGTCTCTCGTGCAAGATCTCACTGTCACTGTTCCTGATGCTGGCAGCGAATATGCCCGTGAATCCGGTGACTGCAACCCCATCCATTTGTCCGGTTTCTTTGCTCGCTACGCGGGCCATGACACGCGAGTGACACACGGTATGTTTACCAGTGGATATGTCCGTGGTCTGGTCGCATTCTATTTGACGCGTAGCGATGAAACCCGTGTTCGATCATGGTCGTGCACCTTCGACGACAAGGTCTGCACCGGGGATCAACTAAAAATCCAGATAAACCACGTTGGAATGTCTGGAGGCAAGATGTTAGTAGCTGTCCAGGTGCACAATGTTCTCACTGGAGTCAAAGTCCTTTCCGGGAAGGCATGCATCGCTCAACCAACAACAGCATATGTCTTTACAGGACAAGGTAGCCAGCAACTGGGTATGGGGATGGCCTTGTATGAAAGCAGTCCGGCAGCGCAGCAAATTTGGAACGCAGCCGATGAGTTCTTTGAAAACACCTATGGTAAGAGCCGAGCCCGCACATGATTATTTTTCGTTCGATGACTGACAAATACCAGGCTTTTCCATCACAAACATTATTCGGCACAATCCAAAGGAGCTGACGGTGCATTTCGGCGGATCTCGTGGTCGTGCCATTCGTAAAAACTACATCTCACTCACTTTTGATGCGGTGGACGAAAATGGTACGACTAACTGTAAGCCCGTCTTCCCCGACATCAACCGGACTAGCCGCTCCCACAGCTTCCGATCAGTTGATGGTCTGCTCCATGAAACTCAATTTACACAGCCAGCACTCGCGTTGATGGAAATCGCGCGATTTGAGGACATGCGGAGTCGAGGAGTAGTCGAGGACGCGAGTCTCTTTGCCGGGCATTCTCTCGGCGAGTATGTGGCCCTCACGGCCATGGGGCGCATTTTCTCGGTCCAAAAAGTGGCTGGGTTGGTGTTTTACCGCGGTCTCAGCATGCAGAATGCGGTTCAACAGGATTCGCATGGGGCCACCCAGTACTCAATGTGTGCTGTCAACCCCACTCGAGTTTCCAAAAGCTTTAGTGAGGATGACTTGAGCTGGTGTGTAACAGAGATTGCGCAAAAAGCTAAGGGGTTGTTGGAGATTGTGAACTACAATGTCCTCAGCCTGCAGTATGTGTGTGCTGGTGATGTAAGTGCTTCGTCATTGTTCTTCTTTCACATTTTCTCGTTCTGTCTGTTTTTTATATCTGCTAACTATTCAATAGCTCCGAGGATTAGCAACTCTAACGGAACTTATGAACGCCCTGGCTTGCCGATCCTTAGCGCAGTCCAAGCCCGACATGCAGCGCTTCATCCAAGACTCTCTAGTAACAATAGATGGTTGCACCGGGCCAGTGGTTCTTAAACGTGGTCGAGCTACTATCCCTCTTAAGGTCAACGTGCCTTTCCACAGCAGTCTTCTCCGACCTGGCGTCCAGTCCTTCCGACAGTTCTTGAGTCGCAATCTAGCTGAGTCTTCAATCCAGCCGGAACAACTGGTTGGCAAATACATTCCCAATCTCACTGCAAAGCCGTTCGAACTTTCCAAGACGTACGTGGAAAGTGTGCTGGCGCTGACTGAGAGTCCTGTCTTGGAGCATCTCCTCTGCAATGTAAGTTTTTTTTATCTGTGATGCAGACGACGCTATTACTAACAACGTTGGCTTCTAGTGGGAATCTATGGAGAATGGAGAATATGAGGAACGAGATTTGTTTCCTTGGTAAGGATGAGGTTATGCTGTCCTGTTCCTCTTGTAAACTGCACCCATATATATATAAAGAATTGAATCAATGTCTAATGAGTACTGACCAATGACTATCTATGTAATTCAGGGATTTTTCCCTGACCAACAGGTAGCGATTATTCCTATATTACTTTCATTCTTCTCATAGTCCCATACAAATCTCCGTGACATATCCTGCGATATATTCCCCTGCTACAATACGTTCATGACCACAATCTTTCAAAAAATATATTCCTATGTTTTCGAACTCCAATGTCAAATAATGGGTCGAAATATATAACTACATCAACATATATATGTAAGATGGCATGTGGCAATGGTTGTTTAGCAATGCATATTCACTGAATTAAACCCTTGGTATCTATTTGATATCGAGGCTGAGATTATACTTCAACCATCCACCTCTGACTAGGCCTCACTCTACTGAATGTGGTAAATAATCTACTCGTCTGTCAGCTATCTTCTCATGGGCCAGCATCGACCCCAGCCTCAGGGCACTACGCCGTATAGCTACCAAAATCAGGATCAGACAGGTGGCGAGTTCTAGTCAGCCGCAATCCTTCTTGACGGTTTCTACTTAGGTCTTACATTGATATCGTATTCTGGACGGACTGTCGCCGAGACATCAGCAACGTGGGATCAGACAGGTTAGCCAGAGGTGGAGATGAGCGAAATAACGAGAAATTTGCGCAACTGTCATGAGGATTGAAGAATTTTCACTTCTAGCTCGCAACTAGGAACTCCTTCAGAACGAAAATAGTGCCGCGAGGCCTCCAGCTTCTAGTCATAGTAAGCCGCCACCAACTGTGCTAGATGGCCCAGTCTTTCTAGAAATGGTCTACTTCCCAATCAAGATGGCCGTTTTCATCGGCTTCTTTAGCTGAGAGCACTGTCTTGTTTCATAACCTCGTTCAAGGTAACCTCAGCCGGGATGATGCTAATTTTCTACCGCGTGGCGACAAGTGTTAATTTGATTAGATGCGGCATATTCAATATACATGGCGTGACCAATTCTAGAAAGTGGATAGAATCCAGGCTGGACACGGGTTGAGATGAATAATTCTCCGACAATATGCAGCTAATCGTACGCAGGTACAAGAAGAGCATTCATTTTTATAATCTATTTGGCACGGAAGCGGCGCGGCCAAGCACTATTGGGCGCGAGCAGGGTGTGCGGGTGCTTAGCGCTGACTTTATATATCCGTGCGCACTTAAATTGGATTCCAAGTATGCATGTTGGTCTCACATTGACAGCCGCCCAGTATTACCTGCCTTGCAAGCTCGGATACGGCCTTAGTACTACTATGTACGTACACGAGTACATACATACATACTAGTAGTATGTCTGTACAGATATAAATACAATTATTTTTGAAATACGGAATCACAAATTATGTACGTATTTTTAATTTAAATACTTTACAGTGGTATATTACGCAAGTATATAGCGCGATTTTGCGTATTGTGGTATTTCCATACCATATGTACATAGATATACACTGCTTCAAAATCGACAATACACCTGTGACATATGATACCGAGAGATATCCATGCTTTCTTCCCCATGTAGGTATACCCAGACATCAGACATCCTTGCCAGCTGATGGTCAGACTGTTGCATGTGGAGAAAAAAAGAACGTGGTTGAATGCACCTCAAATTGCCCCGCATGCTGTGTGCGTGAACTAAGTCGAAGCCCGGATGCATCCATCTTTCCTGTTTATTTTTTCAATAAGTCATTGATGAGCAACGGGATTACTCCCTCAATAGTGCTTCACTACCTGTCCTCACAATGATACTTCCTCAATGGGCATTTCCGCTCGCCATCCGGGCGTTAGGTTTAGGGTTGGTGGGATTGATAGTTCATGTACGACACCCTCAATTCATACCTGTGCGGTCTCGGCTGGGATATTGCTAATATGTAGTATAGGTGGTGGTGCTGCTCACCTATCGAATTTTCTTTCATCCTCTCGCGAAGTATCCTGGGCCATGGCTGGGAAAGATCAGCAATCTTTACGCTGGATATCATTCTTGGAGAGGTGACCTCCACGTGGATATGTGGAGGTGTCATGAGAAATATGGTGATTTTGTGCGATATGGGCCTAATAGCCTGTTGGCCAACACGAACAAAGGACTCCATGGTATGCCTTTGCCCTTTGAATTGACGCGAGAGTGGCTTGCTAATGAATGTGTGTTGTGTAGATATCTACAGCCATGGCAAGAACTTTCAAAAGTCACAGAGATACGCTGCGATGGTCCATCGGGCTCCCAACACGTTGACAGTCATTGATAAGAAAAAGCATGGCAAAAAAGAGAAGGGTCATCAGCCAGGCCTTCTCGGATAATACACTCAAGTCTTACGAGGGGGTCATTCTTGAGCAGGTTCAGCACCTGTGCAACGCTTTGCGAAAGGGTACTGATGGCAAACCAGTTCCTGTTGGATCTTGGTCACCCCCAAAGGATACTGCCCATCTCAGTATGTCTCCTGGTCCTGGCTTTGCTCTTATTTTGGTTCAATGACTAACCGGAATCTTACAGGCGATTACTTCACTTTCGATGTAATGAGCAACGTTATCTTTGGAGTGCCATGGTCCACTCAGCGTGATCCAAAATACCGCTTTGTTCCGGACGTCATCGAGAGATCCAATGTGCGCGTTGGTGCATTGGCTCAGGCTCCTGAGCTGGCTTTCTTACGACTCGACAAGTACCTGTTTCCAGACGCTATCCAGGCTCGTGACAAATTCATCCATTTTGTGGAAGAAATGTTACGCCAGGGAATTCAAGCATCGACTAAGACAGGAAAAGGAGCATTTTCAATCTTGAGCAAAGCGATTGACCCAGAAACAGGTCTCCCTCTTCGCATGAAAGAGCTGGCAGGCGAGAGTGCCACTCTGATCGTTGCCGGTAAGAATAAAATGAATAAGCCGTGCAAAAATTTTGGGTTACTAACTGGATGATTTCAAAACAGGCACTGATACAACTTCGACTGCTTTGGCGGCTTGTTTGTTTTATCTGTCCCACCATCCCAGTGCACTAGAAAGAGCCACTTGTGAAGTCCGCAGCGTATTTGAGTCCCCAGATTTGATCGGCATGGGCACACAGATGCACCAGTGTGTCTTCCTGCGTGCCTGTATTGAAGAAAGTATGCGCTTGTCCCCATCTGCGGCTAGTTCGCTGTGGCGAGAGGTGACGGACACAGGTGCAGATGTTGACGGTCAATACCTTCCACCTGGGGTAGACGTGGGAACCTGCATCTACAGCATCCATCATAACCCTGCCTACTATCCGCAGCCTTTCTCTTTCCGCCCCGAGCGATGGATCGCGAATGAAGCTCACCTTGTCCAGAGCGACGTCGAGCTAGCCCGATCTGCCTTCAACCCCTTCTCAATCGGCCCCCGTAGCTGCATTGGAAAAGGCCTAGCATATGTTGAACTCCATCTTGTTTTGTCGCATGTGCTTTGGGCCTTTGATCTGCATCTAGCACCGGGGGAGCTCGGTCACATTGGTGAAGGCAAGGAGGATGCTCCTTTTGGACGGCATCGGGTGAATGAATTCCAGCTATGGGATCATTTGACTTGTGCTAAACATGGACCGTTTGTGGAATTCAAACCGCGGATCTAGGGGTTGATAAAGGGAGGAGAAATTATACAGATTTGGGGTAAGGTGTAGAATGAGGGATGAAGGAGCAGAAAATAAATTGTAATTTGAGTGAATATTCATATATAACACAAAGGACAAGTTAATTGATAAATATACTGTTATCTTGAAGTCATGTTCTCCATTAATAAAATTGTTGGAATCCATCTCGTTCAGATGTTATGCATGCCAATTCCTTGAGGTCAGGGTTTCCCAAAGACTTCGGGACGCGAGGTCTCGGAAACTAGAGGGGATTAGGTAATGAATTCGGGCTTGATTCGGGTAGTTAGAAGCCGCTGGGCGTCATTGCGTTTGATGCAAGCCGGTTAGGGCACGGGCTTAACTCCTAACCGCGCATGAGCCTGGCCCATATAGAACATACCGCAGTACGAATTATACGACTAACGTGTGTTATAGTGGCTGTATGGGAGGCTGTGTATGTATTAACGTATGTATGTATAGTTCTCGTACCCGTCTCCATACCCGTTTACATACCAGGTTCGGTACATAAATACACAGTACCACCCTTAGTTACAAGTAATACAATGGCAGTTACCGTGACCCTGTTCCTCCATCCCGTGATGGGAAGGTTATAGAGAACCTTTTCATTTCGGTAATAGCTAATCTAACCCCGCTAATGCAAGGCGGTTGCAACTAAAAAAAAAAAAAAAAAAAGTATGGCGGTCCGAGCGCTCAAGGATGGTAGCTTGGATGGTCAAGCGACGAGGTAGGAGAGATACGAGTAGAGAGGACCACAGAGCTCATTCGACGCTTATTATATACGTCTTTTGCCTTGGATCAGTGTGGCGCTAGGTGAAGCACAAAAGATTTTGCGCACTCTGAATCTCAAGCTACGTCGCAAAATCGCCCATCATGAGCAACGAAAATGCATTGCTAGGCATTGTCTGCAAGTTTCCTGCCCTACGATCAGAAGAAAACGAAGTAGAGTCGAAAATCGAGCAGGCGCAAGTCTCGATTGAGTTGCCAACGACGGAATTCCAATCATGGCTACGCGACTTCAGTCGCGAACAGAACATCCCTGTGTCTAGCATCTTCATTGCTCTATGGGGCCTAATTTTGAATACCTTCACGGGAAATGGAGAAATCTGCATGGCATCTGTGCTAGGCAATGCACAGCTTGAGCTGGTTACCACCGTGGTAGACGAGCAAGCCACTATCATAGACTTGCTTCAGTCAGTTGCAGATGGAGCGCGACACACTGGAGACTACACATCGGAGCTGCCGTGCAACACGGCTGTGTACTTCGACCGCAAAATAGAAGAAATTGACAGGGACCTAAAACAAGTAAGTTAGACATGTGTGTTCTGAGAAGCAAATCTGAAAATTGACCATGTTTGGGTATTAGTTCGAAGTATCCCTGGTAGTAGTGGATGCAGATGCACAAACCGAGATCGATATTACTCTGATGTATCAAACCAACCATCTTGCACCATCACAGGCAAAATACGTCGCACAAACGGTCAGTCAGTTGCTGAAGGAACTCGAGCTTGATGCAAAACGACAAATCTCGCAAATCAACCTTCTACACCCTGAAACCGAGAGGCAGCTACAGACTTGGGGCAGTCACCCTCCAGCAGTGGTTGAATTTTGCGTGGGACAACTATTTGAGGAGACGGTGCGACAAAGGCCACAAAATGAGGCAGTGTGTACGGCCGACGAGGTTCTCACATACCAGGAGCTGGATCACCTTAGTGGACGATTGGCCCTTCATCTGCAGGATCTTGGAGTAGGACCAGAAGCTGTGGTAATTCTGTGTTTCCCCAAATCAGCGTGGGCCGTGGTGGCCATGATGGCTGTCATTCGTGCGGGTGGTGCTATCCTGTTTCTGGATCCATCACATCCCACAGCCCGACACCGTGAAATTGCGGATCAAGTCACAACACAATGGCTCCTCACTGCACCGGAGCATGCTGCCCAGATGGAATGGCTCGATGGTGCAGTATTGTCTATCGATCGTGCCTTTGTGGACTCCTTAGGGCCGACTCCCGAGGGAATGGTTCTAGAATCAACCGCCATCTCCTCCAACACATTGTACATTATCTTCACCTCGGGCAGCACTGGCAAGCCCAAAGGATGTGTCATTGAACATCGACAGTTCTTGACTGGGTCTCGTGCACAGCAGAAAGCGTCTGGGATGGATTCCAACGATCGAGTGTTGCAACTGGCCTCGTTCACCTTTGACGTGAGTATCCTTGAGATTTTAACCTCACTTATATCGGGAGCCTGTGTCTGTATCCCAGACGACCGACAGCGGTCGCAGGGGCCAGCCTCCTGCATCCAGCAGTTTGGTATCACCTGGGCCTTCCTCACACCATCCCTGGTAAAGTCTATGCGTCCAGAGCAGGTACCCACTCTGAAGTTCCTGGTGTTGGGAGGCGAAGCAGTTTTGGAGGAAAATATTCAGGTCTGGGCACCGCATGTGCGATTGGCGAACGGATATGGACCAACTGAATGCTCCATCGCTGCAACAGCAAATGTTGTACTTTCCATCCACACCAATCCCATGAACATCGGATACCCCTTGGGTGGCTGTTGTTGGATTGTAAAGCCGGATGACCATGATAGCCTCGTTCCCATTGGAGCTCCTGGAGAGCTGCTCATCCAAGGTCCCATCGTCGCGCGTGGATACTTCAATGAGCCCGAAAAGACCCAAGCTGTCTTCCTGGACTCAGCCAAGTGGGTTCATGCGGATCCTACATCATCTTCACGCATCTACAAGACTGGCGATTTGGCTCGTTTCAACGCGGACGGTACAATCCACTTCATAGGCCGGAAGGATAACCAAGTGAAGTTACGCGGCCTACGAATCGAGCTGGGTGAAATTGAACACCGCATAGCCGCCCACCCACTAGTTCGACAAGTATCTGTTGTACTCGCAAAAGATGGCCCTTGTCAGGCTAAACTGACGGCCGTGGTCTCCTTGAATGAGCTTCAGCAGCCATCGTCGAACCTCGAGTTGCTCACCGGAGAGCAATATACCGCTGCCACAGACCAACTGGGGGCCGTTGCCATGTCAGTCTCAGAGCAACTGCCCAGTTATATGCTGCCAACGGTATGGGCGCCAGTCTGGTCTATCCCGTTGACAGTCTCCGGGAAACAAAACGGAGTGGCAGTTCGCCAGTGGGTGCAGCAAATGTCTATCGAAACATATAATGGACTCATCGGAAAAGGTGGCGACCTTGAGCGGGTTAGCCCATCAAATGAGCTAGAGCGCGAAGTGGAAGCGCTGTGCTGCGAAATTCTGGGCTTCCTACAGCCAGAAGAGGTGTGGCTAAACAAGTCCTTCATCCAGAACGGGGGTGACTCCATCAAGGCAACACAGCTCCTCGATAGATTGCGCCGCCAGGGAGTTGCCGTTTCATTTGAGGATGTGATGCAAAGTGTGAGCTTGATTGAGCTTGTTCAACGCATTGAGACTCAAGCTCCAGTTAATCCTCCTGCCCATCAGGCGGTCCGTGAATATTCACCCTCCTTGGATGAGAAGCGACTTGCACGAGTTGGCCTCGACATCAACTCGGTGGAGGATGTGTATCCGCTGTCCCCTGTCCAGCGAGGCATTCTCCTAAGCCAACAGCAGGAACCAGCGAGCTACCAGTTGCGTATCACCTGCGAGGTATTGCCCTCACCAGGAGGTAAGATTAACCAACTTCGCTTGCTGGATGCGTGGCAACAAGTTACTGCCCGGCACCCTGCGCTGCGGACCATCATGGTTGAGACTGAGACCGAGGACGGCCTGTTCGACCAGCTAGTTCTGCAAAACAGCAACGCAAGAATTCTGGAATGGAAACAAGAAAGTGAAAACGCCTTTTGGAAAGCCCAGGCAGAGTTCTCTAGGACAGATACGGCGCTGCAACCGCCAGTGGTGTTCATAGTCTCCGTCACAGATGATGGGAAGAACTTCGTCACAATCGACATCAGCCACGCCCTTGTCGATGGAGTCTCCATCTTGATATTGTTACGGGACGTCTGTCTTGCATATGATGGCAAACTGCCAACGGGTCGTACAATAAAATACTCTTCTTATATTGACTATATCCAACGGCTGTCTGTCGAGTCCTCCTTACAATATTGGACTAAGCACCTGGAAGACGCCATCCCCTGTCACATTCCCACTCTGAACGATGACATCCTCATTGAGGGCCAACCAGGCGAACTGAAAATGGATATCGAGGGCATAGACGCGCTTTATGAGCTTTGCGCTGCCATGAACTTCACGCCGGCCACTGTTTTCCAAGCTGCATGGGCTCTGGTCTTGCAGGCCTATACAGGCCAGGATGATGTCTCCTTTGGCTATCTCACTGCAGGCCGCGAGATGCCTGTGGCTGAGATTAGTGAGGCAGTCGGTGTGTTTATCAATATGATGGTCTATCACATGCAGCTCTCTCCGCAGACCACCATCGCTTCGCTTGCGAAGGAAACCCAGAAGAGCTTTTTGGGAGGCCTTCCCCATCAGCACTGTTCGGTTGCTGAAATACAGCACGCCTTAGGGCGTTCCAAACCGTTATTCAACACCATCATGTCTCTACAGAGCGCCCTAGGGGAGGATATATTGAGCGGAGAGCCTGATGGGAAGCTAGGCTTCAGGGTTGTGGCTGAATTTGACCCAACGGAGGTGATTCCAGAGAGAGATTGTCCCCATTTCCTGACCTACAGATGTGCTAACCATGCGTAGTATGATGTCTCGGTCAATATTTTCGTATCTAAAGAACGGGTGTCCCTGACCCTTCGTTACTACAGGGCAGCTCTCAGCGATGCCATGGCCGAGAACGTCCTAGCAACGTTTTGTCGTGCTATCTACACCGTTGTTCACAGACACACATCCATTTTAAGCGATTTGGACATGATGAGTGACCGAGATCATGCTCAAATTGCACGTTGGAATAACCATCAATGGGTTGATGTCGACGCCTGTGTTCATGATTTGATTTCCGACCAAGCACTCGCTCGCCCTCAGGCCATCGCCATCGACGCCTGGGATGGCAGCTTTACTTACCAAGAGCTGGATTCCATAACCAGTGCTCTGGCTAAACTGCTCGTGCAAAAGGGTGTCGAACCAGAGACTTTTGTGCCCATTGGCTTTTCTAAATCCCGCTGGACAGTTGTTGCCCAGTTAGCGACGTTGAAAGCAGGAGGAGCATGTGTTGCCTTTGATCCCGAGCACCCCAGAAGCCGACGGGAAGGAATAGTCCAGCAATGCGATGCTACTATTGCCATTGTCGCAGAAGGAAACGAGTCGTTATTCGAGGAACTAGTGCCACTCGTAATCGTCCTGGGGGCGAATACTATCAGTAACCTGCTCCAGAATCAGCAAGCTTCCACCCTTGCTCCAATTGTGCACGCAGTCTCCTCCTCCAATCCTGCTTTTGTCGTTTTTACATCTGGCAGTACTGGCAAGCCGAAGGGAATTGTCCTCGAGCACCACGCGATCTGTAGCAGTGCGAAGGCACATGGTCCTGCCATGAACTATGGCCCGGATGCCCGAGTCCTGCAGTTTGCCTCCTACACGTTCGATGTCAGCATCGGTGAGACTTTCACATGTTTGATGAGTGGTGGCACACTTTGCATTCCCAGTGAGGATGAAAGGATGAATGATTTAGCTGGTGTCATCAACAGGATGAACGCTAAAGTTGTATATCTCACGCCGTCAGTTGTGAGTCTGCTACACCCATCGCAGGTCCCCGGAGTCCACACCTTGGCGCTTGGAGGTGAAGCCGTTCGAGAGAACAACATCACAACCTGGGCGGAACGCACCAATCTAGTGAACATCTATGGCCCAGCTGAATGTTCTGTGTGGTCGACAGGCCTTCAAGGAGTGCCAAAATCCGCATCTCCGCGAAACATCGGCTATGGTCTTGGTGCCAGGATGTGGATCACCAGTGTGGAAGATCCAGGTATGCTGTGTTCTGTCGGTGCTGTGGGTGAGCTATTGATCGAGGGACCAATTGTTGCCCGAGGATACCTGAAAGACGATGCTAAGACACGTGCTGTGTTTATCTCACCTCCTGCATGGTGGTCAAAGTACCAAGCCCAGGAGTACGGCCATGATATCAAGATCTATCGAACTGGTGATCTTGCCAGGTACAACTCTGACGGCTCCATTCATTTCATCGGTCGCCGGGACCATCAAGTGAAGCTACATGGACAACGTGTGGAAATGGGTGAAATCGATCGGACATTGCTGATGCACGAAAAGGTTCAGAATGCCCTAGCTATAGTGCCCACAAAAGGCCGGCTGGCAGGTAAGCTGGTGGCGGTGCTAAGTTGGAATGACGAGGTTCATACTCTCAGCAAGGCTGGTATCGAGTTGCGCGGGGTTTCTAATGTCGACACATCACCCGTAAGAGACTGGCTTGCCACGAGGCTACCTGCCTACATGATCCCTGCCACCTGGCTCATCGTCCAGTCCATACCAGTGACAAAAAATGGAAAGTCCGATCGTCCGTCCGTGGTTGCCTGGGTGGAGGATTTGCAGCAGCTTGATGATATCATGGCACCAAGTGATAGCGCCAATGATCCCGAGAGTAGTCCGAGAAACCAGATGGAAACGGATATCAGGGAGGTGATCAGCTCTGTACTCAATCTTCCCCTATCGGATGTTTCTATGAATCGCAGTTTCATGGCCTTGGGAGGAGATTCAATTACTGCAATGCAGACCTCCTCCCGATGTCGAGGCCGTGGCATCCAGTGTGCAGTCAAAAGCATCCTGAAGAGCAAATCCCTTCGTCAAATAGCTGCTGAATCGACGATTCTCACCAACACTGGGGAATCGACGAGGACTGATAGTCCGGCTTTCCGTCTCCTGCCAAGTATACATTCATCCGACCTCGACGAATGGGTCAGACGCTTGGGATACACAGGACTCTCCGACATCGAAGATGCCTATCCCTGCTGTCCCATGCAGGAAGGAATCTTGATCAGCCAAGCGCAGACTCCGGAGACTTACAAGTTCTCAGCTGTATGTGCTATCCGAGCAGTAGACACAAGGAAGCCATTGGAGATGAATCGGCTCCACATGGCATGGCAGCGTGTTGTCGCGAGCCATCCTGTTTTGCGCACGTTTTTTGTTGAAGGACTATCAGGAGACGCCTTGTACAGTCAAATTGTACTACGAGAACACACTCCACGAGTTGAGACTGCCAAGACCCTAGAGAGTCTGTTGCGCTATGATCAGGAAAACCCCGTCGACTATAACGAGTCGGTCCCACCGCACCGTATGACTGTTTTTGAGGATGAAGACGCCCTGTACTTCAACTTGGAGATCAGCCATACTTTGATTGATGGCGCATCGATGCCCCTGTTACTAGGTGATATCAGGGCGGCCTACGACAATGAGATCCCTTCTGGGCCTCTCTTTAGTGACTATATCGCATTTTGGCAGCGACAGTCTCGCGAGGCTACCACCACATTTTGGACCAAATACCTGGAAAGTATGCAGCCGGCCGTGTTCCCATCTCTGCTGGATAACATTGTTCCCGAAAAGGCGCTCCGCGTGGTCAAAATGCCAGTGACAAACAGCATGCTCTCCGAGCTCCACGCTTTCTGCAGAGACAACGAGTTGACTATTGCCAATGTATTCCAAGCCGCCTGGGCTCTGGTTCTGCGGGCCTACACCAGAAATGTGGACGTGGTATTTGGCTATCTGTCATCAGGGCGTGATGCTGACGGTCTCGATTTGGATCACGCTGTGGGTCCATTTATCAACATGTTGCCCTGTCGGATCCAAGTCGACGATTCCTCCAGATTGGTCGATATTGTGAGAAAAATCAACAGTGACTTTTTAGACTCTCTCCCGCATCAACACACGTCATTAGCAGAGGTGCAGCATCATTTGCGACTCTCTGGAGAGCGTCTGTTCAACACCACCCTTTCACTGCAACGATCCATGGTCGAATCCGATGAGAGGAGCAGTAGCATTGCGGTCGAGTACATCGGTGGTTCCGATCCAACGGAGTATGACCTAGGTGTCAGCATTACGGTTGGAGACACTGTCATTGATGTTGATATCAATTACTGGACAACTTTCATGTCCGATGAGAAAGCTAGCATGCTGGCTTCAACTTTCAGCACAATTCTCACTAATATGTTGGCCTCGCCGACTAAAGAAATCCGAGCCCTCGACTTCATCAGCGAACAGCAACATGAATACCTAATGGCACTCAATGGAAATGGCAAAATTCCCGCGACCACCGCAGGGTGCATTCACGATGAGGTCCACCGACAAGCGTTGGCCCATCCATCCGCACCCGCCATTGAATCTTGGGATGCTTCATTCACATACTCTCAGTTGGATCAATGGTCTAACAAGCTAGCGACAAAGCTTGTCTCTATTGGGGTCGGCGCTGAGCATGTGGTAGCCCTCTGCTTCGACAAGTCTGCATGGACCGTAGTGGCAATGCTGGCAGTCCTCAAGGCCGGTGGTGCCTATACTTCAATGGGCCCATCCCATCCTAGATCACATCTAGCGCGAGTTATCCTGGCTACCAAAAGTCTCGTAATTTTGGCAGGATCAAAAGAATATGGAAGCTTAGTAGGGGATCTTGTGGATCATGTCATCGTTGTTGAATCTTCTCTATTCCCATCACTCCCCGATCATGATTTGGGGATTCTTCCAACTGCATCTCCGAACAGTGCGGCAATGATCAACTTCACCTCGGGGAGTTCTGGAAAACCCAAGGGGATTGTCGTCCGCCACAGTGGTCTACGCTCAATGATAGCGCACAACGCAGATATGGGGATTGATCGATCCACTCGTGTCCTACAATTCTCCGCGTACACCTTCGACACCAGTAATGCGGAGATTTTCTTCACCCTGTGTGTTGGAGCATGTATTTGTGTCCCATCAGAGGATGAACGGCTCACTGACCTGGCTGGGGCAATGACGAGATTGAGGGTGGACTATGCATTTCTGACTCCCTCGCTAGTCATATCCCTCTTACCAGAGATGCTCCCCACATTGAAGACACTGGTGCTTATTGGAGAAGCTGTTCCCACTGATCTTCCACCGAAATGGCAGAACCATGTTCGTTTACTTAACAGTTATGGCCCGGCTGAATGCTCGGTGATGTCCTCTTTTGAGGTGTTGGAGGATGGCGTGCCATCGACCAGTATCGGACGAGGGCACGGATGCCTGTTCTGGGTCACCGATCCCGAAGACAGCCAAAGACTTATGCCGGTCGGATGCTCCGGGGAACTGCTCATTGAAGGTCCCATTGTCACTCGCGGGTATCTGGATCCGAAGCTTACCGCAAAATCGTTCATTCCCCCTCCAGTATGGCGTGGAGAGACGCGTAGTGGATCGAGGTTGTATAGAACGGGTGATCTCGTCAGAATCCTTCCGGATGGAAACATGCTGTTCCTAGGCAGAGCTGATGGACAGATCAAACTGAACGGGCAGCGTATTGCCACATGGGCCATCGAGGAGGATATCACTCGTCACTCTCTGATCCATCAGACGGCCCTTGTCGTACCCACCGAAGGACCCTGCAAAAAGAAACTGGTTGCCATAGTGGTATTTGAGAATGAAGTGTCTACACAGGATGTTGCTATAGATGGGGTCGTACCCTTCAGTCAGGATGCCGACAAGGGCAAAGCCATTGACCAGGTCACCGCCATCCGGGGTCATCTCGCAGAAAATTTCCCCAGTTATATGATGCCCTCTGTCTGGTTGTTGTGCTCCCGTCTTCCTCTAACCGCATCACGAAAGCTGGACCGGCTCACGGTCAAGAGCTGGGTGGAAAGTATGGATCAGCAGACATATTTCGATGCGCTTGCTGAGAGGGAGCAACAAATTGATCCCACCGAGAGCGATATTCCCACGTCCAATGCTGCGGAGCGTTTGCAGCGGATTATCGGTCGCGTTCTGAATTTGCCGTTGAGTCAAGTGTCTCTGCAGCGATCCTTTTTCAACCTTGGCGGTGACTCGATTACCGCCATGCAGCTGGTGGTGACATGCCGAAATGAGGGCATAAAACTGCTCTTCAAAGACGTGATGCGCAGTGCCAGCATTAGCGCCCTAGCCGACGGTGTGCAGATGGTCGACCATATCAATGTGCACCAGCACAGAGACCAGTTAGACACGCCATTTGACCTGACCCCCATCCAGCAACTCTATTTCCAGAGCATATCTCAAGGAAGCCATGACGCGTCAGCAAATCAATTCAATCAAAGTTTCCTTTTCCGCCTGACCTCCGATGTGCCCGTGGAGCAGTTGAGGGCAGCGGTTGACAAGGTTGTTCAGCGTCACTCAATGTTGCGAGCACGATTCCGTCAGTCACACAACGGACAATGGAAGCAAATATTGATTGGCCACAGCGCCATGGCATATCGATTCAGGCACCATGCTGTAGGCAACGAACAAGAGGCACTTGATGTTGCACAACAGGCGCAGGAAGAACTTGATATTCAAAACGGACCTGTCTTCGGCGTCGAGCTCTTTTCAATTACAGACCAGAGTCCGATGTTATTCCTAGTAGCTCACCATCTAGTCATTGATTTGGTGTCGTGGCGCATCATCTTCCAGGAACTCCAAGATTCGATCGATGGGCAAGTGTCTCAAGCCCCTACTCCTCCATTTTCGTTCCAGCAATGGCAGCAACTGCAGACCGAATACGCTGCTGAGCATCTTCCGCCCAGTCAGGCTTTACCCTACACGATCCCCCCAGCAGACTATGTTTACTGGGGCATGGAAGACGTTCCCAATTTTGCCGGCGACACCATCCAAATATCTGCTGTATTGGAACCACGGGAGAGTGAAGCCTTGTTGACCGGTTGTCACCAGGCAATGAGAACAGAACCACTCGATATTCTTGTCGCAGCTCTATTCGCCTCATTTGCGGAGACCTTTCAACGAACCCCACCTGCCATCTTCAATGAAGGCCATGGCCGTCAGCCGTGGACCAGTGATATCGACCTCTCCGACTCGGTGGGCTGGTTTACCACTGTTTTCCCGTTCTTCCTATCCGGCCTAGAGCCGAACACACCCTCTAAGGAGATTGCTCGTGGTGTGAAGGATCAGAGGCGTACGCTTCCTGCCAATGGATGGTCCTACTTTACCTCAAGGTACTTGAACGAGAGTAGTGTGAAAGCCTTTGCCGACCACATGCCCGTGGAAATTCTGTTCAATTATCTCGGGTTATACCAGGGGTTGGAACGTGCAGAAGGCATTTTCCAGCTAGTGCCGTTTAACAAGGGCGATGTAGGGTCTGCGGTGCGGCGTTACGCTCTGTTCGAGATCAATGTATACGTGATCAATGGATCTACACATATCTCTTTCACGTTCAATCGTCATATGAAGCATGTGGACCGTATAGAGAAGTGGTTGGAGAACTTCACGACTTCTTTGAAGGATATGTCCCAGAGCCTGGCTGTGGCAGACTTCACTCTCACCCGGAGTGACTATCCGCTCCTCAACATCTCATACCCTGATTTGGATAGGCTGCAAAACTCTCGGATCCCTCAGCTTGGCCTGACATTGGATGATATCGAGGATCTATATCCGTGCTCTCCGCTGCAAACAGGCATCTTGCTCAGTCAGATTCGTCTCGAGGATGCATATCTCTACCACGCCATCATGCGGATGGACTCCTGCGCTGGTGTGTCTCTGAATGCGAAGCAACTGGCTGCAGCCTGGCAGCAAGTAGTCGATCGTCACACAATTCTGCGCACTGTTTTCCTCAAAGGAATTACACAGCAACCGTTTGACCAAATGGTTCTTCGCAGCCACCGCGCTGTATCTCCGATCCTGACTGCGGAGTCAAATAGCCAGGCGCTAGACCTTCTCAAGCGCTATGAGCCGCTAGTCCCATCAATAATTGAACCGCCTCATCGCTTGGTCGTGGTGCAATGTGCAGAAGGCCCCGTTTTCTTCCGACTCGACATGAGTCATGCTCTTCTGGATGGAACTGCAATGTCGGTACTGATCAACGACCTTGCATCTGCGTACGGCAATCAGATATCTGCCTCGCCGGCTATCCCATATAGTGACTATATTGCATATATCCAATCACAGCCGGCGGCGGATGGCCTAGAGTTCTGGTCGGATCACCTGGCTGATGTCAAGCCCTGCCATTTCCCTTCTCTGTTGCTGTCTAGCGAACCGGAACCGGAGATGAAAACTATCGATGTGACGGTGCCTGATCACTGGGAAGTTCGTTCATTCTGCCAGGAGAACAATATCACATTGGCCAATGTGATCCGATTGGCATGGTCCCTGGTTCTTGCCGCGTATACCGGCGAAGAGCACGTATGCTTTGGCTACCTCACAGCTGGCAGAGAGGTTCCTTTACCGGGTGTCGAAAATGCCGTCGGGCCTTTTATCAACATGCTGGTTTGTGCAACAAATCTTGGCCAAATTAGCCAGAAGCCGGTCGTTACTGAGTTGCAAGACCTTCACGATGAATATCTCAAGATGCTTCCATATCAACATGTCGGTTTGGCTGAGATCCAGCACGCGCTGGGTGTGACTGGCCAGTCATTATTCAATACAGTAGTGAGCTTCCAGCGTCGTGATGTTGGAATGCTAGTGCTGGACGACCTTCAGCTCACGTATCTGGATGGATGCGATCCTACTGAGGTAAGCTCAAGAATATTTCCCATATGGAGCTATGAATGAGTGGATAACTAACGCTATATATATATATATCTTCAGTACGATATCAGTGTCAATGTTGCCGATACCGATCACGGTTTCACGGTTGATCTGGGATATTTGACTTCACGACTTTCCCCGGAATATGCAGTCCATGTCGCAGGAGCTCTTTCAGCCGCACTTACATCTATTGTTTCTCGCACTTCATCTACAGTAGGATCGGTTGATATTTTTGACTCCGCGGCCCAGAAGCAAATCTTGGACTGGAATTCCTCCATGCCTCCAGTTGTGAATGAGACTCTGCAGTCACTCTTCCAGCGACATGTAAGTGCATGTCCAGATGCACCAGCCATTGCTTCCTGGGATGGACACATGACCTATGCGCAGCTCGACGAGAAATCATCCCAGCTCGCCCATCTACTTGTCAACATGGGCATTGGCTCGGATAATCTCGTTCCAATTTGCTTTGAGAAGTCAGCTTGGGCAATAGTTTCCATGCTTGCTGTTCTGAAGGCAGGCGCGGGCTTTGTCCCGTTGGATCCTTCTAGCCCATGCAACAGACTGGAACTTATCATACAACAGACAGCTTCGAGTTTGGTGTTGGCTTCCGAGGAGAAGATGGCGTTGGTAGTTGATCTCGTGCCCAAGGTGCTGGTGGTTTCTGCAAGTGCTAGCATCTGGGATGAGGATGCCCACGTGTTGAATGGCTCGGTTTCTCCCCTGAGTGTCGCATATGTGCTGTTCACCTCGGGCAGCACTGGAACTCCTAAAGGCGTTGTCATGGAACACGCAGGAGTCAGTACCAGCGTAATCCACCATGGAAAGGAAATTGGCTGCAGCGCTGCCACCAGAATGTTCCAGTTCGCAGCATTCACCTTCGATGCGTGCATCCTGGAGATTTTCACGACTCTAGCCTATGGTGGGTGTATCTGTCTCCCATCTGATGCCGAGCGGATGAGTGATATTTCCGGTTCCATGACCAGATTGGATGCTAATACCTCCTTCCTCACCCCTTCCGTGGTGCGTCTGCTTCGACCGGAGCAAGTGCCCACTCTGAAAACTCTTATCCTTGGAGGAGAGGCGTTGCATGAAGATAACATCCAAACTTGGTCAGAGAGTCTGCGTCTCATGAACGGCTACGGGCCAACCGAAACCTGTGTTTTCTGTGTCATGAAGACTTTTGCAGGCAAGAATGACCGGTGCGACGTTCTCGGTCGTGCTGTGAGTTCTGTTGCCTGGATCACTCGCCCGAACAATCATGAGCAGTTGGCTCCCGTTGGAGCCATTGGCGAGCTTTTGGTGCAAGGAAGTACATTGGCTCGAGGCTACCTCCACGACCAAACGAAAACTGATCAAGTCTTCGTTTCGAATCCGGCCTTCTATTCGACGCCGGAGAATTCTATTGAGCGATTCTACAAGACCGGAGATTTAGTCCGCTATAATATCGATGGGACTATCACGTACTTAGGCCGCAGAGACACACAAATCAAGCTCCGTGGTCAACGAATTGAGCTCTCCGAGATTGAACATCAGATTAACCGTCATTTGCCATCGAACACACAAATCGCGGTCGAGGTCGTGCTCCCTCACGGAGACCAGGAGCAAGCCCTTCTCGCTGTCTTCGTCTTCAAGCCTGTTAGATTAGCAGGCAGCGAGCTCCTTGGAGAAGTCACCGCAGACACAAGAGCGTTGGCATTGGATCTCAAGGCTCATCTCGCTCGGGTTCTTCCGCCATATATGCAACCATCTCTCTATGTTCCCACCAACTGGACGCCAACAACATCAGCACAGAAGCTAGACCGAAAGTCACTTCGCGATGCGGTGACCAAGCTGAGCGATGGTCAGCTGAAGGGTTATTCTCTTCGCGAAGATGGTCGGCGGGTGCCTCATACTGTATCCGAGAAGAAGGTCCAGGAACTATGGCATCGCATACTGAAGATTTCCTTAGACGAAATCCGATCAGAGGATAACTTTTTCCAGATGGGCGGAGATTCCATCGCAGCCATGAAAATGGCCGCTACTACTGGGGAAGATTTCCCCATCACCGTCATGGACATCTTCCAGTACCCCGTGCTATCCGAGTTAGCTGCTGTGATGGCCAACAAAGGTTTCGCTAACGACAACGATCCTATCTCCTTGGAGCCATTTGGACTACTTGATAACATTCCAGAGATTTCTAGTCTCGTGGATACCATCAGCCATGAATATTCCATCCCATCCGAGTCAATCGAAGACGTGTACCCATCTAGCCCTCTTCAGGAAGGTATGATGGCTCTTTCAATGCTCAATCCCAAGTCGTACATCCTGCGACGAGTTCTCCGCCTGGGTCCGGCTCTGGATATTGCTCGATTCCAATCTGCCTGGGAACTAGCCGCCCAGAAGAACCCGATCATGCGCACGCGCTTTGTACCAACTCCAAATGCCGGGCTTGTGCAGGTCGTGGTGAAAGACACTATTGACTGGAGGAGGGCGGCAGATCTGGAGCAGTACCTGGAACGTGACATGGCCGAGGCAATGGTCTATGGAGCTCCACCAGTACGGTATGGTCTCACAGAGGATGGCTATTTCATCTGGACCGCGCACCACGCCGTGTACGATGGCTGGTCGCTGCCCTTGATCCTCAATCAGGTCCAGTCTGCTTATGAGTACGATCATTGCCCCGAATCCACCTCATTCAACACCTTCATCAAGTATCTGCAAACCACCGATGCCCAGTTGACTCGGTCTTTCTGGGAAGAGCGATTGTCCGGGCCCCGTGCCTCAACATTCCCGGAGCTGCCCTCGCCGTCATACAGAGCTTCTGTTAGGGGCAGAGTGCAGCACGAAATCCATGTCCGACACCTTGCAGACTCCACCATTCTTAGAACTACCATATTGCGAGCTGCCTGGGGCCTACTTCTTTCCCGCTATGCAGATAGCGAAAATATCGTATTCGGTATGACCCTCTCTGGCCGCAATGGTCCAGTGTCTGGTATCGATGCCATGATCGGTCCCACAATTACAACAGTACCTGTGCGGATGAACATCGCTCCAGCACTCACCATCAATGAGTTCCTTGCCCAGGTTCAGCAACAATCGACGGAGATGATCCCTCATGAACATTTTGGCTTGCAAAATATTGCCGGCATCAGCTCAGACTGTGCCCGGGGAATCGAATTCCAGAATCTATTCGTCATCCAACCAGTGTCAGATGCCACTGCAACTGGGGATCTCTTGCCTGGTGTAGAAGAGATTGAGCTGCCTCTGGAGGACTTTGACAGTTACCCCCTGATAGTTGAATGCTTTGTTGCCGACGACAAAATCACCATTGAGATCCGCCATGATGATGACGTTCTCTCGGCCTGGCAGGTGCAGACTATGATGTACCATTTCGAACATCTCCTGGAGCAACTTACGGAAACGAAGAATCAAGAAGCTCAAGTCGCCTCTGTTGACCTCTTCGGTCCTCATGATCTCCAGCAGATCATCCAGTGGAATGAGCAGTATCCGGAAGTCGTCGAGTCAACTGTACCAGTTATCTTCGCCGGGCAAGTGTCAGGTCAGCCAGACGCCTTGGCTGTCGATGCTTGGGACGGCCGTTTGACATATAGTGAACTTGACTCTGTTTCGACGACCCTTGCTCGCCATCTCGTCTCCCTAGGAGTCGTCCCAGAAGCTCTCGTGCCTATGTGCTTCGACAAGTCGCGATGGGCTGTTGTCGCACAGTTGGCTGTCATGAAAGCCGGCGGTGCTTGTGTCAATCTCGATCCTGCCCACCCCCAATCGCGTCTCGAAACTATTGTCAAAGATGCCCAGGCTACAGTCCTTCTGACAAACCCTCGCCATGCCGATGTCCTCGGTACTTCCACCGGATTGCAGACGGTGCTGGTGACAGAGGACTTCATTTCGACTCTGAAAGACCTGACGCAACAGCTACCAACTATCAGCCCTCGAAATGCCGCATATGTGCTTTTCACCTCGGGAAGCACTGGTAAGCCCAAGGGTATCGTGATTGAGCACCGCTCGCTCTGCTCAAGCTCCAAGGCCCATGGAACACGCTGGGGGATTGGCCCCGGGACTCGACTCTTGCAATTCGCTGCGTATACATTCGATGTGAGCTGTGCGGATATCTTCACCACGTTGCAAAGGGGTGGCTGTATCTGTGTACCCTCAGAGGAGCAGCGCCTGAATGATCTATCGGGCGCAATCAACACCTTCCAGTGCAACTGGGCCTTCTTGACTCCCACAATCGCTGCTCTACTACCTGCAGACAATCTCCCGTCATTGAGAACTCTGGTTCTCGGCGGCGAGGCTTCCACACGCGACACCATCGCAAAGTGGCACAATGTTCTCGATCTCATTGTCTGCTATGGTCCCGCAGAATGCTCAGTATACTGCTCTGGCGCTCCTCCAGCCATCGCGACCAGTGATCCAGCAAACCTAGGTGCATCTATTGGATCCATTTATTGGATCGCTCACCCCCAGGATTCTAACCGACTGACGCCCCTGGGATGTGTTGGAGAACTGCTTCTGCAAGGCCCAACGGTGGCCCGAGGCTATCTTCATGATGCCGAAAAGACCGCCCAGGCATTCGTCTCGAACCCTGTCTGGGCACCAGTTCCAGGATCTCGATTCTATCGTACCGGTGATCTGGTGCGTTACAATGAAGATGGCACAATCCGGTTCGTGGGTCGCAAAGATAACCAAGTCAAAGTCCGAGGGCAGCGCGTGGAACTCGGTGAAATCGAGCATGCTATCCGTCTTGCAATGCCTACTCTCGCTCATGCGACCGTAGATGCGATGCAAGATCCCAATCATCCCCGGCAGATTGTGGTCGCTTTCTTGCATTATAGCAATCGCAGTGGCCCTGCGAAGCTCGTGGATATGTCTGTCAAACTGCAAGAAGAACTTGTGACCCTGCAACAGACCCTCGGTCAGCACCTTCCGTCGTACATGATTCCATCCATGTTCATCCCCCTCTCCCGTGTGCCTTTGACCATGAATGGCAAAGCCGATCGTCGACAATTACGTGAACTGGCAACATCCCTCTCTCAGGAGGATAGCTTAGCCTTTTCGCTGGCCAACAGCGTGAAGCAGGAGCCAACCACACCAATGGAAGTCCAGCTCCGTGAATTATGGGCTAAGGTATTGCAAGCTGAAAAGCATACCTTGGGCAAGAATGATCACTTCCTCCGGTGTGGTGGAGATTCCATCATCGCAATGAAGCTCGCGAGTCATGCGCGATCTGCAGGCTTCAACTTGACTGTTCAAGATATCTTCCAAACTCCGGTTCTCGAGGAGATGGCGGCTCTGATCTCCCAAAAATCACTGCAAATCCTTGCACCACAGTCAGATGTACCTTATACTCCTTTCTCTCTCATTGGTGACATTTCCCTATCCGATTTGCTTCCCAGCACGGCGCTTTCCACCAGTACACACCTGGAAAATATTGCAGACGTTCTCCCCGCGTCGGATTTCCAGGCCTCCGCGATTTCTCATTCTATGATGAAGTCCCATGGTTTGGTCAATTACCTCTTCCTTGATGGTGAAGGCCAGGTCCCATGGGACCTGGCGTTTATTCAGGAAGCATGGACTGTCTTCCTCCAAGCTCATCAAATCCTCCGGACTGTATTTGCCGCTCATGGAGACTGCTTCTACCAGGTAGTACTCAAAGACGTATCGCAACCTATCGGGTGGTACAAGGTGGAAGAAGAGATCGAACCGTTCTCCCACCTTCTTTGCAAAGAAGATGTCAACAAGGACTTGCCCCTGGGCAGTCTATTGACCCAGCTAGCTGTGGTTAGTAACCAAAAGCAACATCGACTCATTCTCCGAGTTTCTCATGCCCAATATGACGGTGTCTGTCTGCCCCGCGTCTGGCAGAGTTTCCAAGAAGTCCTCTCCGGTCGCACTCCTGCTCCGGAAGTTCCATTCTCCCACTTCATCGCCAATATCCATCCTCCTGGCCCAGACTCCCAAACATACTGGCGGGATTTCTTGTCAAATTCCTCGATGACCACCATCATTGCGCAATCCAAACCACAATACCAGAATGTATACGACCTACATCTGACCCGAACAATCTCAGTTACCTCCCAGTCCAGCTCTGGAATTACCTTCGCAACCATTTTGAAGACTGCCTGGGCTCTGGTCCTCTCTTCTTTGTCTGACAGTGCCGACGTTGTCTTTGGCCATGTCGTTTCAGGTCGCAATATCCCTCAACTCAATATCGAGCAAGTGATTGGTCCCTGTCTCAACATCCTCCCTACCCGTGTCAAGATTGACCCGACCGGGAGCATCAATGATCTTCTGGACTCTGTGCAGGCTCAGCATACCGCTCATATGGCCCATGAATCCCTAGGCACCCGCAATATTGTGCGAAGCTGTAGCCCATGGCAACCTTCTACTCGCATGAGCAGCATTGTGCAGCATCAAAACATTGACCAAGATGCGACGGTGACACTCGACAATCAGAAATATTTGGTTGGTGATTTCTGTCCCGCGGCAGATGAGGCGGACATTGCCATTAAGACGACCCCCCTTGACAACAACCAGATGGAGGTTCTTCTCATCACCTCGTCGCGCTCGGTTGGGGAATCCATGGCAGCTACCCTTCTGGATCGTCTTTGTATCACAATTCAGGCTATTTGCGACTCCACAGACCCCCAAGTCGCGGTCTCACAATTGATCCATTCTGAGGCCGTCCTCCCCTTGCCAAGTCCAGGGGTCCTGCATGAGGACTCTGCAGTCGGTCGCATCGATGACATTCCATCATTGGATGCGGATAAGCTCTCTGCCATCTATGCCAGCTGGCGAGAGGTTCTAGCTCAGCCTGAATTGCCGTTGGACTTGGAATCCGACTTCTTCGCCGTTGGTGGTGATCTGGTCTCGATCGCGTTGTTGACCGCCTTCTGGCAGCGCCAGGGATATCAGGTTGCTGTCGAGGATCTCTGGGATCATTCACAAGTCCGTGGGATGTTGGATATCTTGACTCGGGCGTCTGTCTAATTTTTGCTTTCTGGGAGATTTTGGTAGCGTCTGTTACTGTTTTGTTCTTCCTGTATACGGCGTTCACATGGCGTTAAACGGCCATCCCTACTATGTATTTCTGTCGCAAAATATTTGTAGTATCTTGTTGCCTCATTTATTCCTAAGTTCATTAGATGTTCTATTTTTTTCCACTTGTTTTGTGCTTTCTCTAATTAATTAGTGTGATGAGAAGATATATGGATGTGTACATGTAGAAATATATAGCAGAAGACTACGTCAAAAAATATCACCACAACCCGTTCAAACATTTTACTCATTTGAACACTTGCGATCGAGCAAAGATCGAAACCAACATTCCTAAAACAGAAAATACGAGATTTTGCGCCACGAGAGCTAAGGTTGCTTCGAAACGCGGGTACCTAAGTCTCATCTCGATCAAAGTAGCGTGCAATAGCGCCAAAATCCGACTGCCTAAACAGCTGTTTACTAGTAGGATTTTGTAGTTGCTATTCCATATGACTATATATAGTTTGAGCAAGAATGAAATGACCCAAATGTCGCACGTTAATCCTTAGTCTCTCCGCTTCCACTGTATGTTGCGACAAGATGCACCTCCCCGTCGATCCTCAATTGACACTTCCGGATCTACTGGTGATGAAGGAGCTGCTTGGTCAGAATGCACAAGAAGATGAGAGCGACACCCGCAAGAGCACCAGCAAAGACACTATCCAGAAACTGAAAGCTCTCAATGACACCTCCAATCCAGACTTCGACCCCACGGTCTTCCAATTCTGGGAGACGCATATGCTGCGCGAAAAGCTTCCTCGACCAATACAAGAATACCTATTGGAGCCATATATTCGCTGGGCACAGGAGATCGCACGCTTCCCAACCGACGTGGTGATGGTCACTCATCTCCTGCTCTACCTCACCACATCTATCCCAAGCGCGATATGCCTCTACTGCTACCACTTTAGCTGGATCCATGGCCTTCTCCACTGGATTGTGCATGTATGGTACGCAGGAAGCTACACGCTCATGAAGCATCAGTACGTGCATATGAGAGGCGTATTGGCACCTCGATATCACCTGATTGATGTCCTCTTCCCATACATTGTCGATCCCTTCGTGGGCCACACATGGAATTCATACTACTACCACCATGTGAAGATGCATCATGTCGAAGGGAACGGACCGCGAGACCTCAACTCGACTATGTGGTACGATCGGGACTCAATTGCCGATTTCGCTCGCTATGTTGGTCGCTTCTTTTTTCTCATCTCGCTGGAGCTGCCGCTTTACTTTTTCCGCAAGGGCCAGTACTCCACTTCTTTTAAGACTGCTTTTTGGGAGCTTAGTAACTACCTGGCCATCGCTCTGTTATTTCGCTACGGTCATGCACAGGCCACATTGTGTGTTTTCCTTTTGCCCCTTTGCACGCTTCGTGCGGGATTGATGGCAGGTAATTGGGGCCAGCACGCCTTTGTGGATCCTACGGATCCTTCGTCGGATTTCCGGTCTAGTATCACTTTGATCGATGTTGCCGTAAGTGATCATCGGATTTGATCTATTCTATTTGCATGAATCGCCTGGGCTGACATTTTTTTCTCCAGAGTAATAGATTCTGCTTCAACGACGGTTACCACACATCACACCATCTGCATCCTCTGCGCCACTGGAGGGAGCATCCGGTGGCGCTCCTTCGTGATCAGGAACGCTACTCAGATGAGCAGGCACTGGTGTTTCAAAATATAGATTATCTCATGCTGACGGTGAACCTGCTGAGAAAGGATTATGCGCACCTGGCTCGATGTATGGTTCCAATTGGTGCTGAACAGAGAGCGATGAGTCTAGAACAGCGGGCGGACCTGTTGCGCAGTCGTACTCGGCGATTCTCCGACCTATATTTGGAACGGAACAGCACATCTAAGCAGCAATGAAGCCAAACCAGCAAGAGGGACGGACCGGGGACCAGTTGGAGAGATTTCTCCGTCGCATAGTGGCTTTGCCAGCCATCAGGAGGCGAAGTCTGAGAGAGTGACCGCGTAAAAAAGAATGGCACATTTAAGCGAGCGGACCAGGATTATTGAAATGTGCTCTGTCGCGGGGAATTAGTGCGCCTATAGTGTTTTTAGAACAGGTGTTGTTCAAATAGGACTAATCGGAGATCATACACGGAAATGGCTTCTTCGGCTTTTCAATTACCATACTCAATACGATTGAAATTGACAGACGTACAAATAATACAGCAAATAGAGAATAATATACGTCTGTATGTAATGTAATAGACAGGGAGGTCCATACATACATACACAGAGTCGCTGATACGTTAGTATACCTTACAAAACACAAAACACATGACAATACATACCCAACGCCGAGAAATACAAATTACAGGGGCTCATCGCCGAGACATCGTGCCGTTCCTTAGGGCTAATTTATTTGTCTTAGTGCTGACGTTCATTAACCAAGCTCGACTAAGGGCTGACATGCATTCAACTAGTTTCCTCAAGGTTGCAACATATTATGTAATCTATTTTGCGTGATTAATCTAGAGATATTTTTATGGTTCCAATACTCTACTCAGTACGGAGTGTTCATTGTTGTAATACAGAGTCCGTATCCCACTACCATGCAGCTGACATGCACGGAGACCTAGAATCCACAATAGTAAGACCTAACTCACCTCCTGCATGGTCTCGGAAGGTCGGTTAGATGTGGTTGTCGCCTCATAGAGGCCTCGGAACCGACTGGGGGGTCTCGGGCTAGGAGTTCGCTTGGAGGGCCCAGTTCGACAATGGCCCCGTCTGACACCACCGCAACGCGGTCCGCATCTAGAATGGTGGAGATGCGATGTGCAATCGTAATCACAGTTCGGGAGGCGAAGTGATGGCGAATAATATCTTGCATCGCTCGGTCTGTCTCCCGATCCACACTGGCTGTCACCTCGTCCAGAACTACCACTGAGCCTGGACGGATCATGGCCCGAGCTAGACACAACAGTTGTTGCTGCCCAACACTGAATAGACCTTCCGTAAGTTGGGCGTCGATCCCACCTCGTGAGATCACTGTATCCAAGAGATGAACCTCCTTGAGTGCTAGTTCAATCGCCTGGTCATCAGCTGTTGTGCCGAAGGGGTCAACATTTTCACGGATCGTGCCAGCAATGAGATGAGGGGACTGTGTGACGCAGATGAGTCGGTTATATAGTGTGTCACGAGCCACTGTTGAGATATCCACGTCATCAATGGTGATAGTCCCTTCAGATGGGGTGAGAAGACGAAAGAGGCTGGTAGCAAGAGACGATTTACCGCTGTAGCACGGGCGATGAGTTAGTCCATGAGTATTTTTGAAGAAATGTAGACCATGAATCTTACCTTCCAGTTGCCCCACACAGGGCGATCTTCTCCCCCGGCGGAATCGATAGAGTGAGGTTTCGAATCACCGGGTGAGGAGAGCCTTCGTATTGTGCTGTCACATTTTGGAATCCAATCCGTCCCTTCTCAGGCCACCCTGTAGGAAGCACACTCTCGCTACTATCGATATCAGGCAACGGCGCATCTAGAGCAAATGCCCGAATTCGAGATACTGCGCCGATGGAGATTTCCAGCTGGGTCCAGTTGGAGAGGAAGGCCTTGATACTGATACTCAACTGCACAATGTTCACCAGGGCGATACCCATGAATCCAGCGTCAACCTGTCCCTGAGTGCGCACACCGATGGCCACGACCATGATAGCGATCGCCGCTACTACCAGATCCAGCACAAGATTCAGCCAACGTTGCACACAGTAGAGCAGATAGAATGGCTTTTGGGAGCGATCAAAGACTTCGCGATTGCGATGGTCAAAATCTGCCTGCCACCCAAATGCCCGGATAGTGGTCAGTCCGGAGAGGAGCTCGAGGAATGTGGAAAATAAGGGTGCTTTGGCTTCAATATCAAGCAGTCGAAGTTGTCGGGCAGTCCGCAAGTAGAACTTCTGAATCAGGTAGAAGACCACTAGCAACGCTGGTAGGGCAATGCCAATCCATTTGGAGGTGACAGCAATGATGATCAGGCGGGCTGTACAGAGCAGTAATTCCACCGTGGTGTTAAAGAGTGATAGCGGCAGTTCCATATCCGACAATTGCAGATCCTGAGCGAAGCGGTTCAGAGTCGTGCCTACATCGGTAGTCGAGAAGAATTGCAACGGCGCTTGAAGGACAGTTGTTAGAAGAGAGGCATGGAATCGCATCGAGGCCCGTGGCAACATGCGTTCGGTGAGGTGCCTAGCAATTGAAATTAGGATCCATAATTATTACACACACAGAGCAAGAAGATGGGATGAGAATCATCATACCAGACTGCGACAGGGAGCGAGATAATGGCCAATGCGGATAGACCAGCATATGCGCCGAGATACGTGGCCATATGGGTGACGGTATACTCATCATCCCGCTGCAGCCACCATTTAACCATAAATTCTGCAGCGAGATTCGTTAGCCGGAGATCGATATTCAAATCCACGGAACTTACGGGGTATGGTAAGTCCCACGACAAAGAGGGAGCAGGCAGCAAAAAATACTGAGGCGCTGAAAGGATGAACCGTCTGGATGTAGTATTTGTATACTGCTGTATCACCAGTCCGTCGATCCTCCCCTGTCGGCGGTTCCTCCGCCGAAAGAATCCTGGAGATATCCAGGTCAGTGTTGGGAGATGGTTCGGCATTTTGATCCTTCTCTGAGGGCTTAAATGTCATTTCCTTGGCGATTGCAATAACCTCGTCAGAAGAGCCTTCGTCCGCAATCCGACCTTCTGAGTCCAAGATGATAATCTGATCCGCATACGCGAGACGTTGCACTATTTTTGTTAGGTTTTTTTCTGGATCCAAGAAGAACGCAACGAGATTACTGACCGGCATGAGTAGCCAATATGACGGTGGTATCTCCTTCCTTCAGAAGCCCGTCTGGCCCGAAGAGGTTATGAAACAGGTGTTCTTCGGTCTTTCCGTCCAGCCCACTGAAAACATCATCAAGCAGAAGGAGTCTTTCCCGGGCATAGACTGCGCGTGCAATTGCCTGCGAATGAGGTTAGTATATAGTGTTGACTCACTTCAGTTTTTCCACCTACCAGTCGAGCCTTTTGACCACCACTCAGAGTCATACCGCTGTTTCCAACCCATTCTTGATCTGCGTTAGGAAACCCAGCAATATCATCTTGAATCAGACACATCTCCACCACTTTGTCATACCACGGCTGGTTATAGGGACTGGTTCCCAGGATGTTGTGTCGAATGGTGGCATTGGTAATCCACGGTGTCTGACTGCAATAACCTATGCGAGGGGCTGAAACATTCAGTTCGCCCTCATGAAGACTCACTTCCCCGAGGATGGCTAACAAGAACGTGGTCTTACCACAGGCCACTGGGCCAACCACAAAGTTGATACTAGACGGCCGAACCTCAAAGTTGAGATCTTTCACAACCATAGGTCTTTTGGCATCCCAGCCAGCACTAAATCCCTGCGCCCTCACCATAGTCGGCTGTGGTTTTTCATCTAGGAGTCCGGATGGAACGGCTAGTGGATGAGATAGTCGGCTATCATCACCAGAGGTGCCAGTAGGCTTCGACAAGTACTCGCCAATGCGAGCTACAGCACCCAAGGCGCTGACTAACCCTGCAATGGCATCCAGAATAAGGGCCATAGGTGCTTGCAACAGCGCAAAGAGGGATAACGCGGTATAGGCCTTGTCGTAGTTCAGCATGGCAAAGCCATTTGTTTTTGCCAGCAAGCTGTACATAGTAAATGCTAGGAGCGGGCCGGCAGAGGTTGTGGTATATGCTACCAATTGTTTAGCAGTCCGCGCAGTGGAGAATTCCTACATTTTGTTTGAGGGGACTCACAGAAAGTGACAATCAGAGTCAATGCTCGCTTGAATGGGGTCGACTCGGACACCTCCTTTGCCCGCAGACCTCGGAGCTTCTCGGCCATCAACTGTTGCAAGCCACCTAGTCTCACCTCCTTCATGTTCTTCAACATTTCCGAAGTAGCCTGTACCCTATTTTGGATGGCCTGGAGCCAGCGCTGCTGCCGTTGCCCCATAGTGCTCGCCACCCCTAGACCAAGGAGAGTACATACTAGAAGCATTCAACATTAGCAAAATTCGTCTCAGACACATAATATTATGCAATGACGGCACTTACCGACGAAGATGGAGGCAAATGCAATGACAGACAGACCCAGTTCTCGCTCTAACAACCACAGGGCAAGACCGATATCAATGGGGCTGGCCCAGACTTCATGGACATGCTGAAGGCCGGAACTGATGCGCTCAATATCCACACTCATCAAAGTTAATGCAGCCGAGTCCCGTGCGATGCTGACATCCAAGCGCATCGTATGTCGGTAGACCAGGGGCACGAGACTACCACGGATCATCGTAACCAAACGATATGTTTTGTGCTGGCTACCGGCGGTAGTAATGGCCAGGCCCAGGTAAATAATCATGGTGGCTACAATCAGGCCGCATCCGTAACTCTGGCTAAGGGGTCCATTGGCCTCGGAAACAAAAGCTACGACGCGTGTGAGGAGGAATGGTTGGGCGAAGGTAAATCCTGTCAAACAAAGTCGAGGCAAAACGGCTGAGGCAATAGCCCATCGATGGTGGACCATCAGCAGCATTGTCAGGGCGGAGGAAGTCTTGGATTGCACTGTATCATGCGAGAAGAGAAGTAGTCAGTGTTTGCCCACAATCAGATTTAACAACGAAGAGAGAAGTCCGGGCATACCAGCATCCCATTTCCGCATAAATTGGTCTCCGCCCTCTGGATCATTGACACGGGCATCAATGGTCAGGAGTTTGTCGACCTCGAGGATGTCTCGGAACCCTTGTATCAACAGTGGATTTAACCACCAGAACATACTACGATTGAAGACATTTGCAATCGTCTCTCGCGACGATTTTGTGGCTTCGTCACTCAAAGATTGGTTCTGTTCAACTGACTCTAATAGGAGCTTGATGAGGTCCAACCCGATGTTGGCGATGAAGGCGGCACAGAAGGAATGGGTCTGTACCGCCCATATTGTTCGGGCCCGGATTGCATTGAGCGGCAACGACAGGCTCAGGAAAAGTAGTAGCAGTGTTGACGGTCGAGGAGAACGATAATGCTGACTGTATGACACACTGATCATGAACAGCGCCGTGACAGCATCGAGAGCCACCGCCGCAACTGTGGTCCGTGTCTTGGGGATCTGTAGGCGTGGGAGAAGCACCAACACCAATAGCGTAATTTTCACGCAGATCGATAGTACATGAGCGATCTAGAGGCTTAGGGTTAGTTTTGTGTGATCGAAAAGTGGGCGGAGGCTGGTATACCAGTTTCCCGGGGAATAGTAGCCGCCCCCGACTCAATGAGGGGCTGCAACTCCGGCGGTAAAGATGCAGGGGAAGATAGAGAAGAAACAGCCCACATGGCAGGATAGTAAAAAAAGTCTCTTCGAATAATAGAGTGAAGTCAAAGCCATTGTGACAGGCGGCACCAATAGTAGGACCAAAGACGTCCTGAGCAGCAATGTCACACATGGTTGCCTATTTTTCTCTTCCCTTCCTGAAATAAAGAAAGTGGCAGGGAAGCGGGTTTTAGCTCGTCTGTAATAGCAGTAGACCAGGAGAGATGGAAGGCTGACATGTGGTATTTTTTAATATGCGTATGTTTTAGGAGCGAACTGTAAATTATCCAAAATGTCTCCTGATGTCTTTGTACGTATAGAATGCGTATTAACCATACCAAATACGGAATAACCCCGTAAGGCTATAACCGCCCATGCCCCCCCAAACCCTCAGATGTCGCCAGGGCTATTTTTAACTGGCTTCTGGACCGTCTCTACACGTTTCATCACATCTCGTCTATTTCAAGGCAACCATAATAGCAGGGGTGTTGTTATTTCTCCAGGCATCAGACATTGATATAAACTAAGTGCTTGGGCGCTACACTTTGAAATGTTTTCAACTGTGTCTTTCTCTTCTGCATTTTCATATCCATTCCTCTTAGGCATTAGAGCCTGATACATTCATTTCCTTTTTCAATTTTGCTATACTTTTTTTTTATAATCATGCGACTTTCGATCTCGGGGTTATTCTTTTTGATGGTGTCGGCCACGGTGGCCCAGGCATCCCCCGTCCAAACTGCTGTTCCCCAGCCTGGAGGAGTGTTACCGCGGGATGCCGCCACCACTACGGCAACCAGCCCGGAGACCACCACAGCTCCCACCACAACAACCAATGACTTTGAATTCCATTTGTCATTGAGCCTGGATTTGCCCTCCAACACATGTACGCCCACCATAGCTCCTGATAAGTATGGTTGGGTACCGGCATCGGAGTGCGACGCCTTGTACCTCTACTACCCGTCTTTTGGAGCTGCGGTCGCTGTCGCCCTAATTTTCGGGATCCTGACGATGGCCCACTTTATACAGGCGACTATGTACAAGGCAGGCTTTGCTTGGGTCATCCTCATGGGTGTCTCGTGGGAGACTGTAGCTTATGCGACCCGCGCCTTCAGCACTCGCAATCAACAAAATGACACTATTGTGACCGTCGCCCAGATGTTTATCCTTTTGGCTCCATTATGTACGAGAACTTCTTATCCACAACAACCTTATTTTATCTTACTGACTTTTCATATAGGGGTCAATGCATTCGACTATATGGTCCTAGCTCGAATGATCCATTTCTTCGTCCCCGAGCGTCGCATCGGCATGTTCAAGCCCTCATCACTAGCGAAGATTTTTGTCTGCCTCGACTTTGTCTCCTTTATTATCCAGATGATCGGTGGCTTTATGGCCACTGGTACCGATCAGCAGCAAATGAACGGTATCCATCTCTACATGGGTGGCATCGGCATCCAAGAGTTCTTCATCGTATGCTTTTTGGTGCTGGCCGTGCAGTTCCAGCGATTGATGCTGAAGCTGGAGCGGGCCGGCCGACTGCCCGTCGAGAAGCAGAACTGGCGTCGACTGCTCTATGCTCTATATGGCAGTCTACTCGCCATTACGGTACGCATCATTTACCGCTTAGTTGAATTTTCCGCCGGCTACGGAGATTCCAATCCCATTCCATACCATGAATGGTATATGTATGTGTTTGATGGTATTCCCATGGCCTTGGCCATTGTCGTCTGGAACTTTGCGCCGCCGGGTGCCGTGCTACAGGGACCGGATGCCAAAATGCCCTCCAGTGGCATCGGCAAGTGGCTCTTCTGCAACGGCTGCATCTGCTGTGGTGGCTGTTGCTGTCGAAGCTGCCGGAAGCCCGGCAAAAGCAAGAGAGATATGCAGCGACTACCCGATCACGACGCATATGAAGAAGATGTCCCGCTCCACAACCGAGAACCATCCCCTTACCGTGATACATACAGTGTTCGTCGCTGAGTGGGTGCTTTTTTTTCGGTTTTCATCTGGCTATTCTTCATGTACATGTACATGTACATTTCAAGAACCGGCTGCTACATTCATATTTACCTTCTTCATCTTCTCCGCCTTTTTGCTCCTCATTTCATTCTCTTTTGCATTCTCTTTTCCTTTACTCGATCATACATGGATTTGAAAACTATCATATGGACCAGGTGTTCAATTAAAGCGGCTCTCGGACTTGTTATAGAGGTCTTACATATACCCCATTGACTTGGAAATCATTCAGGCTCATACATTTTGTACTTGAAAAATAAATATATAGTCATCAAGAAAATCTATGAATTCAGACCAATAAACACATCTTTTAGAAATCACTGAAGCTTCCAAGAATAGATGAAGTCGCATCACTAAAATGCGATGGCAGCGAATCCAATGAACCGAAGAAACCCAGCACATCTGACCCGGGCTTTCTCAAGCTGGCGTAAATATCCTGCTCGTCTGTCTTTGCAGGGGTGGATGGATACAGACCCACGCATTGGAGAACCTCCTCGGGTGGGGCCGTTCGGCGTCCATCTTTAAACACATATCGAGTCACTGCCACAGCAAGAATGGCTTTTTGTGCATCTGATCCCTCTTTGGTCTGCTCCCCCTTTTGCAAGCCTCGCATCACACTTTTGTGCGTTCCCGCCTTGACGAAATAGCTCACCATCACCAGCCACTTCTCGTCCCAGGACAGTACGCGCGACCAGACCTCGTATCGCTGCAAGGGCTTGATCTCGCGCTTGAAAATACATGATGTGCCACCAAGCGCGATACTAACGGTCTTCTCGCGCTTTTTTGACTTTTGTGCATCCTTCCCGTGACCCTCGGTAGCTGACTCGGGCGTAGGCGCCCAGCGTGGCAGGCGTGGGAAAAGATTCAACAGCAATTGTGCTCGATTGATGTCCAGATCCGAGAAGAAGGTGCTGTTTGACTTGTGCATATTGTAGTCACACTCCATCAAGGCATTCTGATGTGTGGTCACCAGATATGAGAAGAGGAGGGGAATCCCTCCAGACTGATCGTCGACGAGAACTCCATTGGTATCGATCTGACGAGGCGACAATCGAGCTCCAAGGAATTGGGTAAAAAGGCCTTTCAATACTCGCATCTAGAAGCGCAGAAAAATACTAAGTCAGCAATGATTCAAACAAAGAAGATCTGCGGGCCGCGTTTGTTCATTCCACCTACATGCCATACACCTGGAAATGTTTTCAGGTTGATAAAAACTACACCTGCGATAGCGGCGAGGAGCGCATACTGCATATACGAGTAATCTGCCCCTCCGAGAGTGCTTAGAACCGACATTTGGATCTTGCCACGAGCACTGGAACGGAAACTGCAACAAATGCGAAGATCACCAAAAAGAAAAAAAAAAAAGACCAAACGCTGTGACCGAGAGGATTGGCTTAGTTAGGCGCTTTTCCTTTACTTAAGACAGGGCGAATCTCCGGCGCCTGCAAAATCCTGGAGGTAATTTATTTGCACTACTTCCTAGTACTACTGTAGTAGTTCGGGTTCGGGATACCGGTATGGCTCCAGGGTACATTATGTATGCAATACATATGTATATTATACCAAGTTTCACTTTATTATATTACGTATGAAATGGGATGTGTGTATTGTATTCAAAAATTGTATGGCTGGTATGAAAGGTATTGTACTATATATCGGGTATGGATGGCAGTACATAGTACATACTATGTAGTGCTTGGTATGTATATGGATGTATTCATGCAACCCCGCCGTTGGACGTCTATCAAATGGTCTACATCATGGATGGATGGGGACAGACGAACGAAAATTCAACCAAGTCTGACAAACTGCAAACTTGAAATCCCTTCACGACTTAGGCTGACTTCCTGCGTTGCATCTGGTAACCATCATGCTCTGGAGTCCACTTGACGAAAAATGCCGCCAAGATGGTGAGTACTAATTCCGGCCCTATCTGATCTTATCATTCAAAATCTAATGAATTGGTAGTCACTAATGCCACAGCTATCGATCCCTTCAGCCGCCCTGGCAATGTCGTCACGGCCGCCTACTATCACCGCTCTGCGGCTATCCCACTCGAATCACTGCAGCCGTTGATCTATAATGCACTGTCGAGGGTGGTACTGCAAATTCCATCGATGGGAGTCATCATCCACAACATGGTGGATTTTATTCAGCTGCTTGATGACCGGGACGAAGAGGTGGACGCGCTGGTTGAGAAACAACAGAACACAAGGTTTTCGCAACTGTCTGAGCAGGTTCCATGCTGGCGTCTGGTTATTGCATACGCGCCCCGACAAAATGCCATATCTGATATGGTAGCTTGCTTGGTAGTAGGTGCATCCGCCAAGGATCAGTTCTACGCGGTGGACTTCCATCGATCATTCTTAGCCGCATTGTTGCTGGTCAATGAGGCAAAGCCATCGAGACAGCCATCGGAATACCCAATTCCTTCAGTTTCAAAACCACTGTCCGAAATTTCTACATCGCAGCAAAGAGGGCAATCCAGCCATTCTCAATCCCAATCTCGGTTCAAAACGGTAACACTTGGAACTACGGACACCGCCCGTCTCCTAGGAGATTGCTTTGCCAATATGACGACTCTCACTAGTGTCATTCAGGCAGTCTTCGCGGCCTCGCTGTTTACCAACCTAACCTCAGAATTCTCCACCATGCGGAGTGCAGGCCAGATATCGCCTAGTGGAATCACGGGGAAACAGAACGCCAAACCCCGCTCTAAATATATTGCAACACATAACAGAGAAGATGGATGCAATATTACTTCCGTCTGGAATGAAGCTCGGCGCATCCACACAGCTTCCAAAGCTGAACTAAACAGAAAGTTGAGAAGCAACAGTCTAGTGGAATTTTTTCGACGCAACGGAGGCCCTAGCTTGCTTGATACGAAAGACATCGGAGAGTCCAGGGGAATCAGCGTTGGAGTATCGAGCATGGGAAGTTTCCATGATTCAAAAACTTCGGAATCTCAAGAGCAGCAAGTATGGCAAACAGGTAGAACTATATGCAACGATTATAATAATGAAATCAGTGCTGCTCTTTGGATCACATTGGTAGTTGGAGGAGACGGGTGTTTGACAATTGGGGTCTCTTGGTTACAAAATATCATTGGGGAGGATTGGCTTGAGCAGGTTATCTTCACCATGAGAAGGCTGATTGCAGAGATTTTGCACACCAATGATGCCATAAAAAGGAAAGCAATGATATCAGAGCCAGTCCCCTGGGGAGGTTCGGTGTCTCGGCTTGTTTATATGGTCAGGGACCTCATGTTAGATTAAGTTCCCGCGCAATCGAATATCCTACCTTCTCCGTTAGCTTCTTGATTAAATCATATATAGGGACAGTTAAGGATTCGCAATAGGTAGTATATTGTTCCCTATTAGGGCTAGTACACACTAAATTCCATAATAGCAGACGAAAGTCTAGCCAAATGATCTTCATATATAAAAAGGTTGATTTTTAGATTCTTCTCATCGCTAGCACACTACAAAGCAAAGAGATTCGTTTTCGGGGTATCCGACGTTAGATTTACTAGCCAAAGCGTCAAGTTTACAGCATGACGATACCGACGCCTCCCATCTTGGACTCGTCGGGCAAGTTTTTCTCGTTAATTCCACCACCAATAGGTGCAGCACGGTAGTTGTATAGGTAGAAGTGGAGCTGGCCATCACCCGCACCAAACTTGAGGTCTTCGAGGAAGAGGGGGTTGTCATGCGAGGTGAGAGCATTGAAGACATCGAAATGGGCCTAGAAAAAATAATAAAAAAAGCCGGGATTAGCATGTATACCCAGATATAGCACATTGAAACATACCTGCTTTGCGCAAATCAGGGCATCGTTGATCAAGAGCTGCAAGCGCTCCTTGAAAGCCTTCTTGTCATCGGAGAACGCGCTCTCGGTCGCATAGTAGTACAGATATGCAGCATGGACGGCCTCGTGCTTGGGGTTGTCAATTACGGTGGACTCGAGATTGTAGAACGATACAAAGTCGGTGATCTTGTGGGTTTCCGGGTCTTCGGCAACGTATGACCAGACAACCTGGTCCTTGCCGGGCTGCTTCTTGTACACCAACCAGTGGTCGATTTCTTCCCGTGTAAAGGCCTGGTTTAAATCGAAGCGACGCATGTATCGCTCTAGCAGGTCATAGACGGCATCAATGTCTTTGATTTCCATGGGCCGCAGGCCGGGGGTAGCTGTCTCGCTAGGGAGGTGATTCTTAGTAACCTGGCGGGCCTTAGTCGAGCCGTGGGGCAGAGGCGAGAAGCCAACATCATAGAGCTTCAACCAATCCAAAGAACGGTGGTAGTATCGGCAAGAGCTGACGGGTGTGGGCAGAATTATACCGCCGGTGTAGATGGCCTGATAAATGCCCCTGAGGTAGCAGCGGCGGGTGATCTCTTTGATCAGAACGGGGGTCAGGCGCTTGGAGCGGAGCTTCTTGTGGATACACAGGAAGTTGATCTCTGTGACCTTGATACGCTCGCCGCGGACGCGGAGTTCAGTCGGGACACCGCAAATGGATGCAACAAGCTTGCGCGACTTGGTAGCGCGCACACCAACATGCCATTCCTTTTTCCATCCGGGAGACATAAGGGCCCTACGGATGTAGCATTAGCGTTCTGGAACAGGTACACAAGTACAAGACTCAACCGTACCAATGAAGGAAGGACTGCGAGTAATTGAAACGGAACATGGCGTTATCATCCTCAACGTAATGCTTGTTGAGAAGTTCGTAGAGCTCTTTCAGCTCCTCCTCGTTCGTCAAGTCAAGAGTGCACCATTCGAATCCCTCAATGAGCGCATCGGGAGTTTTGGACACCTTCTCTGGGTCGATGATCTTGATAGGTCCCTGGGTTATCTCCTTCTTTCCAGCCTCTTCAAAAGCAGGCACTGGCTGAGTCTGCCAGAACTTATACGAGGCCATATCCTTCTGGTTCTTACCCCCCACTGCCAATCCGGTCAGCATCTGCGAGAGGTCCATATTGTGCAGGATGGCGGCAGCCTGGTCCTTATCCATCGCCGCTAGCTCGTTTCTCAGGGCAGGGTTTTGTTCGAGGAGTAAGGAAGCAAGCTTCGCGGGAAGTTGCTTTGTAGCTTTTTGAATTCGAATATCAGTCACTGCGAATATGCGTGCCTAGGGAGGCTGTATGGAGAGATCTATCATTACCAGAGTCGGATGGAGACCCAGACGCATCTTCATTGCGCTTGGGAGCCTTGCCCTTCTTATCGCTGGAATCAGACATGATCTGTGTTGGATTGTTGAGGAAGAAGGAATTGGATTGGGCCCCACGTTTCAAACACCGCGGATCTCTAGTGGGGTACGGGAATTTGACTTAATAATACTAGGCTCTACGAAGTACTCGCCATGCATGATATTTATGGGGAAAATAGGAAAATGGATATTTTTTTATTTATGGACACGTTTCACCTTGTACTTGTGTTCCACTATGAAAACTGTCAAAACTGTCGACGGGGTGAAGACTGCATACCCCTGCAATGACACACTTGGTGGCTTGTATGAGGAACCTCGGCATTCACCCTTGCAAAGCCCATGTAGATCAAAAGCACACCGTACAGGGATTAGAATATGTATGATTCAAATGTATTTTAAATTGAAAAACTATATTGAGAATCGAAGAATTGTTGAAATCTAAGCCCAAACACCTCTATGTCCATTCTGTGCCAAGGCGATGCATATCCCAAGTGTTGATACCAGGATGAAACGGTTATTGGAGCTCCAGGCTACCAAAATATCGGGGAATCACGTATCGGTAGGTGGCTTTGTCTCGATAACGTCGAGGAATCCTCCGACCAAATGCATACTGCCAGTGACAAAAGTCATGACCGGAGCTTCATCCTTCTGAAGGACCTTGCGTTCCTGACCCGCAACTTCACGTGCAAAATCAGCAGCCTCCTCGATTGTACCAAAAACATGTGTTTGAGCGTGAGGATCAATAGCATTCCACTCCAGTGCAAGAGATTTTTGGACTCGAAGGAGCTCGAGGTCATCGGAGTTGGTGTTCATACTGACCAAGTCGGGTCGGAAACCCGCTTTTTTGTAGGTGATGTTTGTGCAGAATAGGGCATGAGTGAACGGGGAATCGTTTCCAAGGGCAGATGCGAGGGTCTCATGGAGAGCACGAGCAAGAGCTGTGCTGTTACGAGTTTGTTGGTTGAAAATTAAAATTCGCGTCTTCTTGGCGGCTATATCCTCGGAGGATGAATCGGCCTTGATCCGCGACGCAAACCACTGGCCAGCCAGCCGGATGCTTTCCAAAGTATGCCCACCATCGATATACCAAGAGACATTCTTCTCAAATCGGGTCTCGCACCTGCCACCTAGGCGAGTTTCCTCGAGGCCAGTCTTGAATTTCGCTGGTAGTTGTGCTTCCATGATATTATCCGGAACATCGATGCCAACCTGGCGCAAGAAGTCTGCGGCAGCTGCCACTGCGACCGAAGCGTTGGTGTACTGGAAATCTCCAGCCAACCCAAGGGTGACCTTGCTACTATCAGGACAAAGCTCATAATGATTAGGCACGATGTCCAGCCGAGCGCCAGCGTCCTCAGCGCGTTTAGCCAAGACTTGTTCAGCGCTCAAAGGTTGCGGTGCTGCGAACCCATTTACGTCACGCTTGAGAATGCCTCCCTTGTGCCACGCAATTTCCTCAATGGTATGTCCAAGCAAATCAACATGATCAATACCAAGACTACTGATCGCTGTGACCTTGGGCTTTGGAATCACATTAGTGCAGTCATATTGACCACCGATTCCACATTCGATCACTGCGACGTCCACACCCTCGCTCAAGTAGGTATGGAATGCCATCACTGTCAAGTATCGGAAATATTGTGGTTTCATCCCAGGCCCGGTGGGATCCTGGCCCGCCAGTTTAGCAGAGTGCTCAAGACGATCCCATACTTCGAAGAAATAGTGCGCAAACTGCTCTTCAGACAACGGGGTATTGTTGATCTTTATGCGCTCACGTGCGAATCGAAGGTGCGGGGAGGTGTAGAGACCGATTTTAAGGTTGGATCCAGGTTGATCCGCATCTTTTCGGGTGTATTGGGAGAGGATCGTGGAGATAAATGCGGAGGTCGAGCCCTTGCCTTTCGTGCCGGCGACATGAATTGCGTTCAGCCGATTTAGGTCGTTAGGCTAGAGAACGTAAAGATCTCACATCAGCTTCATTCATAACAAATCAATATCCTTTCCGTCAGCGCACCTGGTATCCAATGCGCTCCAACCACTCCACTGTTTCCGGGAGGGATAACTCGTTGATCTCCTGCCTCGTTTTGGACTTCTTGAACTCCTCTACAAGCGCATAGTTGGATTGCAATGAGTTTAGAGATGAAATCGCAGCCTATGCATTCGAAAGTCAGTATATGGTAAATTCTGCTTGAACGGGTCTCTTTTCGCAAAGTTGAGTAGCATACCTCATATGTTCGAGTCATGGTGGGCGAACGAGTCGAAACTCGCCGTGTGCAAAATTGCCAACGAATAGAGTTCCAGATCCCTCTCATGAACAATTACAGCCCGTGCCTGAGGTTCTCAAATGAGCAGGGGTGGTTGAAGAAACCCCGGTAGCTCTAACAGTTTATGATTCTCTGGTTCATCCTACTCGGTTTCCCGAGGAGAGCCATTTGGCTCTGATCGGGAAGATCACGTGCTTGTTAACAAACTACATAGGACTAGACTGAAGTCAAGTTGACCTGCACACGGTTGATTTTGATTCATAAACTGTGAATAAATACATTCAAAGTATCCTTTTATAGTATGAGCTCACATATTGGCAGTTTTTGGTATTTTGCATACGAAGTTAGAAGCAAGAAAAGGTGATCAATAAATTATCCAAGATGGATACCACTGTCGCTACGAGAAGCCATCTAGATGGCTCTATAAGCACACAGATAGGAGGTAACGAGAGATCTAAAATTTCCTAAGTAAGCAACAACAGACTTAGTGTAATAAACCCGAACAATTAGAAAAGACCCAGGTCTACTCCGTAGTAACATAACAAAGATATCCACCTGAGCATCACGAGAATAAAACCAGATAGGCTTGCCTTTTGCAAATCCGGATAAAAAGCGAAGAAAAAATATAAAAATAAAGATATATTTAGTTAGTTCATCGTGGAATTTTACCTGACTGGCTTGAATCATCCGATAGTGGGTCAATGCCATTCGCAAGCTCTATAGATGTTCAAAGGATGTATATGTAATATAGTATCATCTAGAATGAACCTTTACTTGTATATTCTTCAATTTTTACAAAAAAAAAAATAGACAGTCATTTGGCTTATCACAAACCATCAATATGAGCGAAATTGAACTGGTTGGATTTGAGGGCCGGCCAGTTCGCAGTATGTGTATCCCACGCTCTCCAATCATAACTTTACGGTTTATCGCCAGCCACTAAATACCTAGCTTCTTGATAGTCAACACGGGCCTTTTCATCAATAATGAGTTTCAGCTAGCGACGGGAGGATCACAACTCGAGGTCGAGAATCCGACCACAGGCAGCCTCCTTACATCCGTATCAGCCGCACAGCGAGAAGACGTCGATGCCGCTGTGAGTGCAGCCCAATCAGCATTGCGGGGTGAGTGGGCAACCATGAACCCAGCCCGCAGGGGCCAGTTGCTGAACCGGCTTGCCGACCTAATCGAGCGGGATGCGGACGATCTTGCCAGCCTCGAGGCTCTGGACGCGGGAGTCTTGTTCGGAGAGTCCAAGAGCCTCCACATTCCCCAGGCTACAGAGACACTCCGATATTTTGCCGGTTGGACAGACAAGATCACCGGCCAGCTGTTGAGTATTCCACAGTGATATGCGTATACCCGGAGAGAGCCACTAGGCGTGTGCGCTGCCGTTGTGCCTTGGAATGCGCCCTTGTGAGTTTTCCTTGCATACCCGAAATCGATATGGTTGCTTATCTGAAAATCAAGAATGATTACTATCTGGAAGCTTGCCCCCGCCCTCACAGCAGGTAACGCATTGATCATCAAGACACCAGAGCTCGCGCCTTTGTATGCGCAGAAACTTGCCGGACTCGTGAAAGAGGCAGGGTTCCCACCTGGCGTACTCGCTACCCTTTGCGGGTACGGCTCAGTTGCCGGCCAGGCGCTGGCCGAGCACAGTGGTGTCAAGAAAATTGCATTCACTGGCAGTGCACCCGTCGGCCGGGAGATAATGCGAGCTGCAGCAGGTTCAAACCTCAAGAAGGCGACCTTGGAACTAGGCGGCAAGAGCCCATCTATCATGTTTTCTGATGCTGATCTGAACAATGCTCTTTTCTGGACGACACTAGGCTTCACAGCCAACAATGGACAAGTTTGTGCAGCGGGATCACGCATCTACGTCCATGCAGGTATCTATGATAAGTTCCTCCTCACTTTCGCCGAGAAGTTGGCCCACACTACCCCCGGAGACCCTCTGTCAAAAGAGACAACCAAGGGTCCTGTTATCAGTCAGAGACAGAGGGAAAAAATTCTCAAGTTTATCCGCCATGCAAAGGAATCCGGTATTCGCCTGTTGGCTGGAGGAGAGGAGATTCCGGGAGAGGGTCACTTTGTTCCCAATGCTGCCTTCGCCGATGTCCCCGATGATGCGCGCATCATGCAAGAGGAGATCTTCGGTCCTGTCGCTGTAAGTTTTTGATTCAAATGCAGTGGTATGCCGCACTTGCTAACCTTGAATTCTAGTCAATTGCAAAGTTTACTACCGAAGCTGAGGTCATTGAAAAGGCCAATTCCACCGAATTCGGACTCAGTGCCGCCGTTTTCACTAATGATGTTAACCGGGCACCGCGTGTTTCGGCGGCTCTGGAATCTGGTCTGGTCACAATTAACTGCTGGGGTATGCTGCATGCCAACACTCCATTCGGAGGAGTTAAGCAGTCTGGTTTTGGCCGTGATATGGGCGAAGAGGCATTGGATGCGTGGATGTCAACGAAGACTGTCAAGTACTTCACCCTACCCACAGCTGATGATAAATAGTTGTTTATAGAAGCCAAAAATTATAACGTTGCATCATTAAACTACACAATATAGAACTCCGGGCTCCCCTTGTTTCGAGTGATTGAGGTATACTTCCATGTTTTATAACGCCTGTATAGAGACTGTAACAGTTCAATTGAACTTCGATTGATTAATTCCATGTTGTATATAAAAATCACGAACTTACTATCACTACTCCGTACAAAAGACGCCAATCAAACTTATCTGTTATATATTCTAATGTCGCTTTATGCATTTCCAAACTCTAAACATGGTCTGGTATCTTATCAGATGTTAGATATCGAAAAGGTGTTTCATAGGGTTCACCTGACGTGCACCACATTATGTGGAAATTACCTTCTATCCTTCTAGCTTCCTTCTGCCTATCACACTGAGAGGCGTGAAGCATCCAAAAGTATATACAAAAAGGAAATTGCAGCGTTATCTTACGTACAACGTACCCAATAACATCTTAAGTCGAATGGATCGGATTTCTAAAGTCATACGGTGTTAATAGCACAGGCCGCATACAACATAAGCTGCTAGCCATTCCTGGTAGTGATAAGGTCTGGAATTGATATATCTAAACCTTGAAACTCCAGTCTCGTGCTCAGATACAGCATGATTCGTCTAAGATACTAACCTCGCATGGGGCAATATACGCGAACATTATAATTTTACATACAGGCGACTTCAAAATCCATAGATGTAGAGTAAAAATTCAGGGGCATATATTCATCAATTTTCTATGTCTATCTCACTAATCATGTCCGAGCTTGTTTTTTCTCAACTTTGTGGAGATAGCTCGTAAACCTCTCCATGTGATCTCGCCTTAGTGCATCTTGGGGCGAGCGCCGACTTTGTAGGCCACAGCGTAACGGGGAGTAGAAAAGATGATGCTGCTTCCACGGTGGATAAAGAAGGTGTCTCCAGGGAACAGCTTGGCAGTGTTGCCTTTCTCGTCCTCGAGGTGCAGCTCGCCTAAAAACAACCAAGTAGGTAAATTGTCAGGATGCTCTGTGCTTGGGTATGGCAATTTGTATCAAGTGATAGGGGTTGTCTCACCTTTCAGCACTACTCCTGTCTCTTCATAGTCGTACAAGGGGGCCGGCTCGGGGTTATCAATCTGCTCAAGGAGGAACATAGATCCAGCCAGGAGGCTCAGGCCATCTTGGGAAGCGGAGGAGAAAACATCGCCTGCCATAACCAATAGGGTTTGGTAAGTATCTGCCAGTGCACGGGGTCATGAGATCGTCGATGTTCTTACCAAAGTAGACGTTAGGGGGACCAGGCTCCAGCTTAGGAACGCGGTGGAACTTGCCCTCGTCTAGCCACTCGATAACCATGATGAGAAGAGTGTACGGATGTCGTAGAGGAATATTATTTAATTGAAATAATTTGAACCCCAAGAGGCGTTTAGAGCTATGAATATCTCAGCAGCATTAGAGCCGGCCGATGTTTTTATATTGCGTTCCTAGATAGTCCAAGGAACAACTGCCTAGTGCATTAGAGGAACCAATCGTTTATTGATCCTTGAGGCAGCCATTTAACGCCCATTCCATTCTAAACTGTGGGGGTCACAGGATACTATAGCCGTAAGAATATGACAATAATATCGGGACTTCGCCACATTTGAAATTTGACTTATCGGGATATCATTCATTCTTGCTCCTAAATGTGAAATGCATTATCTAGCGCCGACGTCTACGGAGTAGAGAGATGTTGATATAGATGTTGAAATAGATTAGCGCGCGTTAGGGCTGACAACCTCGGATCTATTCCGTACAGATAGCCACAAAGTTGTTCTCTATCAATCAAACATCGGGCTGTTCTCTGATTCTACATTTTCTATATCGGTCTTTCTATGTTTGAAGTTACCTTCAGGCCTCATTTCAAATGTCTATGATTTCCTTGGTACCCTCACACTCCGTACCCGTAATCCATAACCCATAGTTGTGCAAATTCTGCACATTTAACTGCTGGAGTTATTGCATAATTCTCTAGACCTGTTAAGATTAGATCCACTGCTAGCCAAGGCTTAGACAATCGCATATTAATCCGGTCCAATCCTTACTATCCTAGAATCCACTTCCCCAGGGTTCCCCGCATATATGCTATCTTTTAGCGCAAATCCTCACTACTGAATATTCTTCTGATTGGGCTTGGTGATAGATGTGGCGGCGAAACTCTTGTAATAGCCACCAAGTCAAACCCTAAGTGCATACTAAAGATCTCCATTGATAACGCCCTAGCTACTAACCCCTAGTGCATTATGGATATGTAATCCTTCGATTTGTTCTTTTATGTGATGTCCTTCCCACTATTGCCTCTCTCACCTCAATCTTCAAGCACATACTTTGTTGCTTCTTTTACTTTGTCTCCGACAAGACTAGATCATCCATTTAGTCACCATGAACGAGACATCCCTCAAAGTAGAGAGGCCGCAAAGCGATGATGAGGCCCGCCTAGCAGCTCTTGGCCAGGAGCAGGTTATGGGACGCCACTTCAACGTCTGGTCCCTGATATTTCTCGCCTTTTGCACCAGTGTAACCTGGGAAGCGCTCACTTCGATTATGGCCCAGTCTCTTGTGGCCGGTGGCAGCTCCAGTCTCGTGTAGGGGTTCGCCGCTTCGGCTATCGGAGCCTTGGCTATCGCCCTCGCTCTTGCCGAGTTCTCCAGCATGGTTCCAACAGCAGGTGGACAATACCACTATGCTGCCGCCCTATCTCCACTCAAATACAGACGCTTGTTTTCGTGGATCGCAGGCTGGGCCACCATCTGGAGTTGGCTTTTGTCAGCGCTGACGGGTATCTTCTCCAATGCCATGCAGCTTCAGGCGTACATCATTTTATTTGCTCCAGATTACAACTATCAGCGATGGTACACAAGCTTCATTGTCATCGCTATGAACACCTGCTTTCTCGGGATTAACATCCTCGGCACTCGCTGGCTGCATAGGTTGACATTTTTTGGTATCGTGCTGCACATTGCCGGATACATCACTATCATCGTTTGCCTGTTGGCGAAGGTGCACCCCAAGAATACGGCAGAATATGTCTTCTCTGACCTGACTAACCTGAGCGTGTGGAAAAGCGACGGGGTCTCGTGGTCAATCGGCCTAATGAGCTCTGGCGTGGCTTTTATTAACTGGGACTCAGCCACGCATATGGCGGAGGAGATGCAGAATGCCTCAAGGGATCTTCCACGAGTCCGTAAGTTCAATTTATTCTGATACAGTATTTAATTTCCCATTAACTCTCTGTTAGTTTATGGCTGCGTTGCTCTCTCTGGTCTCCTCACCTTCCCTTGGGTGATCGCCCTAGCCTTCTGTATCACGGACATCCAGGGCCTCGTTAGTCGGCCAGTGGGAAGAATCTGCCCGTTGGTGCAGCTCGTGTACAACATTTCAGGTGGCAGTCAGACCATGACACTCGGAATCACCTGGTACTTCCTTTTCCTAGGCTTCTTCATCGGTGGTCCAGGATGCATGGCCGCGTCATCCCGTGTCATCTGGTCGTTCGCCCGCGAAGGCGGTCTTCCCGAGTGCTTTTCACGTGTTCACGGCAGTCTTGAGGTGCCCGTCAATGCATTGTTGATCTCATGGGTAGGTATCTCTGCTCTAGCCTTGATTTACATCGGCAACGAGACCGCCCTTTATGGAATCGCCTCCGGTGTGATGGTGATCATGATTTTCTCATACGCACTGCCCATCTTCCTCCGAATTTCCTACGGCTTTGAGCACACAAGCTTGCAGCCCGGTCCATTCACGCTCGGTGTCCGGAGCATGCCAATTAACATCTTTGCCGCATGCTGGTGTGTTTACCTCATCATCTTCCTGTGCTTCCCCTCTGTCATCCCTGTCACGCCGCAAAATATGAACTACGCTCCGCTTATCTTCGGCGCAAGTATGTTGGTCGCTACTGGAACATGGTGGATATATGGTGGTCGGCTTTATCTCGGGGTTTTATCTGCATTGGAGCCGGTTATGCTGGTTTGGTCGCCTCTCGAGACCTGGCTACTCAAGGTATGCTTTTTTATATGGGCAACTTCCTTCTTTGCCCAAGCCCTAGATGGCCTTGACTAACAATATCTTGCAGGAAAGTCTACACTACTCCTGGAAGCCCGAGACAGACTTGGAGGCCACACATGGCACGCAACCGTCGATGGCTTCAATTATGAGATGGGTGGGACTTTGATCCATTGGCACATGCCCCATATCTACCATGAGGTCTCTCTGTACGGCCTGCACAACGACTGGATCTTCACTCAGAACCTAGGTGGAAAGGAAGACTACTTCACTACGATCACGGGAACTAAGCGAAATAAAATGTCGCACAAAGAGGAGGTGTGTACTCAAACGCGATATGCCCAGCCCCATGAGAAGAAAGTCCCAAAGCTCACCTAGATGTAATACAGGCCGACATCTGCGGTAGAGTCTTCCGCATCTTCAGCAATGTCGATGGAAACGATCTCCAACAGACATGGAAGTACGCGTTCGGTACCGACCAGTCACCTGAACTCGTGGCCGAGTGAGACAAACTCTCGTGCCAGGACCGTCTAGACCAGACCCACGACCAGCTATCGGACGAGGAGGTGAGCGTGTTGACGGCCCAGCTCATGCAGATGGGCGGCAATACCCTAGACAAGATGGGTCTCGTTGGCGCACTCCGCTGGTGGGCTCTAGGTGGCCACACCCCAACTAGTCTGAATGACATTGCCCTCCACACCCGACTTCGTAGTGGAAACACCGAGCTACACCGCCGCATCTTCGAGCACGCCCTGTCTACCGACAACCTGTCCTACGGGTTCAGCTCCCCTGTTCAGCGTATCGAGGATGCTGGAGACATTGTCACCGTGACGACTAGAGATGGAAAGAAATGGAAGGCCAAGTCCGTCATCTGCACGGTGCCGTTCAACGTCCTGTCCTCTGTCGACTTCAGTCCCCGACTCCCTGAGGACAAGGTCACAGCTCTGCAGCTGCAGTCTGTCAACAAGTGCAACAAGGTCCACGTGGATATGAAGGGACCCGACTACCTGTCGTGGGGTTCGATGGCCACCCCCGGCAATGGATTGATCTCGGCATTTGGAGATCATCTCACCCTCGCAAACGACACTCATCTGGTATGCGTCGGTCTTGACCCGGAATGTTCTACCGGAATCACGCTCGACAATCTCGATACTTTGAAGGATGCTGTTGTCCAACTCCTGCCCGAGAACAAGCAAGGCGAGGCTGTCATTAACCGTATTGTAAGTGAATATCCCGGGCAGCCAGACCCAACCACACCCTCCGAAGCATTGCTCTATTTCTTTTCTCTTTCGCTTTTCAACTGGTCCCAATAAACTAACTTTATTTACCCAGGTGTCTCATGATTGGAACAAGGACGAGTTTGAAAATGGTACTTTGTTCTTCCCTCCCCCCAACGCCACAGCAAAGTATCTCCCCGTCCTACAAAGGCCACATGGCAACGTCTTCTTTGCCAGCGCAGATTGGTCGGATGGTTGGTGTGGTTGGACTGATGGCGCTGTCCAGAGCGGTATGCAGACAGCGCACCAGTTCATTCTGGAGCAAAAGAAGGCTCCAGTTGTAAAAAAGAAGGCTCTGCTTAAGGGTCAGTCTATTGACCTTTCCATTGACCTCTCCAAAGGTATTGTGCGATGCGTCATCTAAGGATTGTTAGATACATATGTAAATACTTGTTGTGATAGCCTTGGAGGTGAAGATGAGGTAGGGGCGAAGTGAAAGTACAGAAAATTGTCTATATAGGAACATGCATTTTGATCACATCATATATGAGTCGCGAGATGAGCTGTTGTAGAAACATGATAGATTTACGACGTAGGAGGAATTGGCAAAGCATATATAAAGCTAACAGCCCTCTATGTTTATAATCTTTCTAGCCTAAATATTCCCGTTCATTCCACCTTTAATGTTGAAATATGCATAAGAACTCACATTCCATAAATAACTAAATTTGAAGATTAATGTAGGTCTTCGAAAGTGTTCATGTATTGGCTAAGCTCTTCGGAAACTTCGAGGGAAAATCCGAGTAGGAGGAACAATGGGGACGGTTCAAAAATCTCAACAAAAGATACAACTAAAAAAGGACTCGTGACTCCGACCAAGAAACAGTGCATCGAACAAAGATGAAATATGATTAAAATTGAAGGGGAAAAGAACAGAAAGGAAAATGCCGGCGGGGCTGTGGTGGTGAAAAGAATGGTAATAAAACATACAGCCATGAAGTATGCAAAATATGAGATCAAAGGGTAGAAAGAAATAGCCAAAGAACGCCGGAGTGAGTGAAACAATTACTCAATTCTAGTCTTGCCTAGTCTTGCCCTCTTCCAAAAAGACGAGACGGGCATTGCTAATACCACGCTGGTGTCTTCTGGCAGGAAGCCACTTGCCGATGACGGGATCAGAGCGTGCTTTGATGAGAGCGTCCTGATACCCCTCAGCGCCAGCGACTGGTGTGTTTAGCTTGGGCCAATTGACCTGATAAAAAGAAGCCAAGGTCAGTAGGACAATACTTCAACGTGGTCAAGATAGGAATGGACTTACATAGAGCATACCGTGTCCATGCATGAAGCGGAAACAGTAGACCGCCACAAGCAGCCAGAAAATTATAAACAGGCGAAGCGGCCAGACAGCGGCATCGGGCATTCGTCTTGTGCAAAGCGCTACCAAAATCATGAACACACTAGCAGCGAGGACATATGGAACTGACTGGATGACAAGTGGTCGCTGGTCCAGGAATAGCTGGATGTTGGCAAATGTTGAGTCCGATGGGAGATAGATGCCCAAAAATACGTCGAACCCATCTTGTCGAGGGCCGTCCATAAAATTGTTGCGCACATATCGCGTGATGGAATTGTTCAAATCTTGCAGCATGCCGGCCCGCGTACGTTTGCCAGTCCGAGTGAAATCAGTCTTCAGGGCACCAGTACCGGAATAAGACTTGGAGACAACATCTGCGTTGTCTGCCCAAATATTTCGGAACAAGTCCTCAAACTCCCGGTCATCGTTGGCAGTCTCCCCGGGACGGAGGACGCCTGCATCCATAAGTTGTCGTGTAACCGCCCAGCGGCCAAGCATGCTCTGCACTACATTGGTGCGGTCCAGACAATCCATACAGTTTGTTCGGACAACACTCGTTTGTATAGAACGAGTGTCCAACTGCCCACCAGGGGCACCAGGACTCTCCACACCACGGAAATAACCGCCCTGGGTCAGCCCGTCATTCAGACGGCCCATGAGCAGCTCTGCACGATGCCACCTGAGGCCCTTAGTCTCGTTGTGGAAATCAAAGTACACATAGTGCAGGCGGTCCATCTCTTTGTGCTTGAACCCTGGTTCCAAAACATGCATCTTTTCAGGAGTGCGTTCATCAGCCTCAGTGCTTTCAGATGTGGGAGAGACTAGTGTGCGAACCAGCTGCTCGTAGGCGCGTTTAACATTCTCTTCCCTACCCTTTTGGTTGACGAGATTGACCATGTAATTTTCTCCATAGATGCGGATCTGTTCAGCGAAATGCTTCCGGGCAGCTTCGACAGCAGTGTCGACCCCACGAACCTGAAGTTTCGGTGTGTATTTGAGATCGTTAATTTCGGCCCAAAACACGGGGACACTGCCTCGAGTTTGCACAAAGGAGTAGACTTGAAGGTCTTGTCCAGCTTTGCCACTAGTCATTGATTGACCTCCGCCAAACCCAGACAGTCCACCCGTCGAGTCATTCAAAATCACAATCTGCTCGGTCTCGTTGTAGTTTGAAACATTGCCTTGTTCATCGATTCCGCGAGTGAAGTATCTCGTTCCGGCTCGGTGCCTGGATCGCCGAGTGATAAGCGCGAAAGTGAACGATGTTGATTTCACTCGAGCAGGAGTAATGCGCATCATGCCGAACATCACTGGCAAGATGTAGGGGTCAGCTCCTGGTTGGGGACCGTAGCGAATTCCACTTGTATCATTTGCCCCGAGGCTGAAATTGATCAAATCGGATTGAATAAAGCGATTCCAGAAGAAGCGATCATCTGCGCCCTTCCACATTGGAACATTAGGGGCAGTTTGCGACTGTCGCTGGAAATTATTGGTGATATCCAGCGAGTAGGAGAAGTACATGGGTCCTGTTCGGAGCAAGTCTTTCACCACTGTAAGATAGGCATCTTCGTCGGTGTCGTGAAGCGGCCGTTCTCGCATGGGGAGGAATTCCGTTCCGGCGACTTTGTATACCATATGGCCGCGCAAGCGTCCCATGGCCTGCGCTTTGGTGATAACAATGATGTATTTATCTGCAAAGGTCAGCGCAACCTCCTGAGTTTCTATTTACGAGCGTAATTACCAAGCTTTAACTTGAGGATTCCGAGAATTCCAGCAATACTTGAAATGCGCTTAGCACCTGGAAGGGGGCCATCGTTCAAGCGCAAATCACCAGTTGGTCGGTCAACTACCAGAGTGGGTGCCTGGCGTGATGATGGCGAAGTAAAAGCATAGTGGGAGGGAGATGCATGTAGGTTGATATCCCGAAACGGGAGAATAGAAGCCATATTTGAAACTGGACCTCCTGAAATAAGGATTACAAGAGAATGTGAAGAGGAACAGGCATCAAAGGAAAGTAACTTTCAAGTCTCCCGAGTCTCAAATAACCAAAAAACACCGGGAAGGTACAGAAGGTACAGCGGCCACTCTGGTCAGTTACGCAGCCACACCGCCCCGCTGCTGTTGTGGCTGGGCCTTCCGTCATCTATTCCTGTCTGCCTTAAACTACGAGGGTCTTTGAGTGAATCTTTAAATCTTTGTACTCTGTACACTTTGGATCTTCCATTTGTCTCGCTTGTCCCCGGTCTTGAGACTTTGAATCCTATATCTCAGTTCCGTGACTGTTTCATCTTCATTCCCCCCCCTCTCCACCCCCCAAGACCTTCCAACCTCTCCTGATCATGGCTTCCAGGCAAGCAGCAGGAGCCCGCCCGGGCGCAAGATTTGCTCAGTTCAAGCTCGTCCTTCTTGGTATGTTCTGATGTTGATTTGCTTCATTTTTTTTAACTTTGGTTCCATAGCTGACACGTTGTGTTTATAGGAGAGTCCGCTGTCGGAAAGGTTTGGGTTAACACTTGCGATCTTCTTTATCAGCCGCTGACTTGACCGCTATCTTCCAGAGTTCACTAGTCCTCAGATTCGTTAAAGTGAGTCTTTACCGATCGTCATAATACTTCCCGCGGCGAGCCGAACTTACATGGAGTAATAAAATGCTAATCGATCGGTTCAGGACCAATTCGATGATTATCGCGAGTCGACGATCGGAGCCGCCTTCCTGACACAGACCATCTCCCTCGATGATACCACCACAGTCAAGTTCGAAATCTGGGATACCGCTGGCCAGGAGCGATATAAGTCATTGGCTCCGATGTACTATCGCAATGCCAATTGCGCTGTGGTTGTCTATGACATCACTCAAGCTGTATGGTCCAATCCTGCATCATGCCTTTGATTTCGTTTTCGGTGTAGAGGCTAACATTCATAAATCTACCATATAGTCGTCGCTTGATAAAGCTAAGTCATGGGTGAAGGAGCTCCAGCGCCAAGCAAATGAGAACATTGTGATCGCCCTGGCAGGCAACAAGCTTGATCTTGTCACAGAGAGCCCTGATAAGCGAGCAATCCAAGAGGCCGATGCCGAAGCCTATGCACGTGAAGCGGGTCTCCTTTTCTTCGAAACCTCCGCCAAGTCCTCGACGAATGTCAAAGAACTATTCACCGCCATCGCCAAGAAACTACCTCTTGATCAGGCCGGTCCTCGGAACATGCGGACGACCCCTCGACCAGGTGTTGACTTGCGACCAGAGGCCCCTGGAACTCAGGGTGCCGGCGCGTGCAACTGCTAAACAATTATCCACTCATATTCTCCCTTAGCCAGTGCGCCCTCGCCTCACCCACCGTTTGAGAGAAGGCGGCAGCTACACATCCCAGCATTGTTCAACGGTGGTATAACTCTGTGACTTTCTATGATTTCGCCAATGTCATTTGATCGAACTCTGGCACCATTCCCTGCCCACTACGGATCCGAGAGATAGACTCTCGGTTCATGATCAATCTAACTTTCTCGGATTTTTCTTTGCTTCTTTTGTCCTTGCTCAGCCTGCTCAACAGAGGCCTCACAAGTCTTCCTGTTGACAGAAAGATTTAGCTTACCATGATCCCACGTGGACTTTGGCTTTAGAAATGCTGCAGCTGGATCTGTCGGTGCTTTGATGGTGCTGTTACTTCTCACCTGGCGTCTGCATCTGCTCTTCTTTCTTTCGTCCTATGACTTGGGCTGAATTCCTGCTATTCCCGTTACCCTTGTGCCTCTCAGAATTCTTAGTATGTTATGCTCAAATAATACATTTTCCTCGCCTGTATGTACAGTGAAAGACCTACAATATATTAGTGGTGTAGGCAGAGAAATAGACAAATGAGGTCTATATACCTCCGTACTTCTTAGTATACATAATCACATGGGTGAATATAAAGTTTGGTACTTGATTTTGGAATTGATATATACATATGTTGCTCATGACGATATATATTTCTTGGTCCACCACGGGTGTTTATAACTGACCTCCCCGAGGACGTAATCAGAGGCCAATATCCGGAAAGAGAGGTTACCATATTTGTATGTCAACTTCTATTGTATCGTTCATTACATCAAATCCTAACCCCAGCTATACTTCTCCGACGTCACAGTACTGTGTATGGAAGTGGGCACGAAATGGTGCGCAAAGCCCCTCTGACCGCCCGCAGGATTATCGGGGCGGATCGCAACTGAGCAACCAGTTCCCGTTTTCCTACTCATCCACCTTTTTGATCACCCTTTAGCCACTCATTTTGGCGATTGTGCGGCTCGTCATGCTGCGCTCCTCGATTGCTCCGGGTCGGCAATTGCTGTCGAACCCTGTCCGCCAACGGATCCCGTCGCAATGGCTGTCCAGAGCCGGTGCAAGCAACCGGCTGGCAGGTCAGGTAAAGAGAGCCATACCCATAAGCTTTCCTATCTCTTGATACTCACAATCATCATGCGCAGCGATTCTTCGCCGATGCTAAGCCCCCCTACCACCGGTGGTCCCACACCAGTCTCCCCTTCCTCCGAATCCAGTATTCCTCCCGAGACTATCTTGAAGGCCGCTGAACAAGGTATGACGACCTTCTCCTTCATCAATTACCATTGAAGCCCGCCCCCCATGTCCTAATGTGATATTTTTATAGAGTCTAAGCTTCCTCCCTCGCCTCCGGCAGCTGCTCCCCGCAAATCCGGTCGTTTCCGTCGGTTCTTGATTTATCTAATCCTCACCTCCGGCCTTGCCTATGGTGGCAGTATTTTCCTGGCCCTGAAGTCTGACAACTTCCACGATTTCTTTACCGAGTACATTCCCTACGGTGAAGAATGCGTTCTTTACTTTGAGGAGCGCGATTTCTACCGTCGCTTCCCCAATGCATTGAGACACCAAAACCGTCTCCCGGTTGCACCCCGAGAAGAGGGAAAGTCCGTCACAATTCCTAGCAAGAGCGGTCTGTCTTGGAAGCTTGCTGAAGAAGAGAAGGCCGACACCGAATCTAAGAAGGCGGCTCAGATGAACGCTGCTGCCCAGGAGGGCCAAACTAAGCCCGCGGCCGCCAAGCCCGAGGATCGGAATGCCGCAGTCATGAAGGCTAAGGAAGACACGGCCTCAAAGCATAGCTCTAAGGAAACTAAGTCTGAGCCCGAAGCGAAGAACGTCGTATCACTGGATGAGCCTAGACAACCTGCTGTTTCTGCGAGCACCATTGAATTGATCAAGTTGCAAGATGGTGATGACGCTGTTGTTCAGGATCTGGTTAAGACCTTCAACGATATCGTTACCGTCATCAGCGCCGATGAAAACTCTAGCAAATACTCTGCGCCTGTCGCCAAGGCCAAGGGTGAGCTGGAGAATATTGCCGGAAAGATCGCTGCTATTCGCAGCGAGGCTCGCAACAACACTCAGGAGGAGCTCAACAAGCTACATGCCACCTTTGATGAGTCGGCACGTGAATTGATGCGCCAATTCGAGGAAGTGCGCTCCACTGATCTTGCTTCATTCCGTGAAGAGTTCGAGGCCGAGCGCGAGAAGCTCGCCCTTGCATACCAGCAGAAGGTCAACTCCGAGCTTCGCCACGCTCAGGAGCTTGCTGAACAGCGTCTTCAGAATGAGCTTGTTGAACAGGCTATCGAGCTGAACCGCAAGTATGTCCACCAGGTCCAGAGCCTGGTCGAACGCGAGCGTGAGGGCCGTCTGAGCAAGTTAAATGAGCTCACAGCCGACATTAAAGAGCTTGAGAAGCTGACGGCTGGATGGAGCGACGTTATTGATACCAACCTCAAGACCCAGCAGTTGCAGGTTGCTTTGGACGCTGTTCGCACCGTGGTCGAGCGTGCTGAGACCCCCCGGCCGTTCGTTCGTGAGCTTGTAGCTGTGAAAGAGCTTGCCGCTGGTGATGCTGTCGTTGAGGCTGCCATCGCATCTATTAACCCCACCGCCTACCAGCGTGGTATCCCCTCCACTACTCAGATCTTCGAGCGGTTCCGCCGAGTTGCAAGTGAAGTCCGTAAGGCCAGCCTGCTCCCCGAGGATGCTGGTGTGGCCAGCCACGCTGCTAGCCTTGTACTGAGCAAGGTCATGTTCAAGAAGGATGCTTTGTCTGAGGGTGATGACGTGGAGAGCATTCTGGTGCGCACTGAGAGCTTGTTGCAGCAGGGCGATATTGACGCCGCCGCTCGGGAAATGAACACTCTCCAGGGCTGGGCTAAGATTCTCAGCAAGGACTGGCTGGGCGATGTTCGCAAGGTTCTTGAAGTCAGACAGGCTCTCGAAGTAAGTTCTTGTTCCACCTTTCGGTTTGACAACACATCCACTAACTGCTTTTCACAGGTCATCGAGGCCGAGGCCCGCCTCCAGTGCTTGCGGGTTGAATAAGCGCATACTTTGAGCGAAGCTGAATTCATTTTTACCCTGTATATCCTCGTCTTTTACAGGAATTGTACCTCTAGTTGTACTTGTGCTTTAGATCCAAATGCTAGAACTTTCCCATGTCTCTTGACTCGTACAACCTGCGCAGTATGTAGTCTTTATAATCTGCATAGGTATATTTGACTACATCTTTTGATCCTCTATCAAATCCCGAATATAACTTTGATGCTCCAGTCGTCCAGGGTTTCGTGCCCAGGCGGGTCCACCCGTGCGAATAAAGCGATTACATAATAATGGCTGACGCGCATTCTGATCTACACTGGAGGTGTTACGTCTTGTAGGCTGGTCATGCAACATTGTTTTTAATTTTATTAGTATTTGAACCCTTGGCATTTTGGCTGACTGCACTTATGCTTACGTCTGGCCAAACTATGCCCGCCTCTTTCTCGAACGTTGCCATCTAGCATTGTTGCCCTTCCTGCAGCAATGTCGCAACGACCAAACGAGGCCCCTGTACGGTCTTCAATATCTCCAGCGAATATACGACCCCGAGACCGATCTGCAGGAACAGCGTCGCCTTTACTCCGATCCGATGGGGGCTCATTTCGCCAGACCTCGCCCCGAAAGAACGATAGTCAAGCGAGCGGGGAGTTGGAAGGTAGTACATTGGGCAGCGGTTCCCGTGATGGAGACAGAAGGATACCGGGGCAGCGGAGGACCCAGAGCTCAGGTGGCTTTTTGCTTGACTCGTTGCCTCGCCCGCGAAGCACAAGAGTTAGCCTGAACCGCCCTCGCCCCTCGGATCCTCCCCAAGAGAAGCGCAGCGTTCCCGAACCGGATATTGTGGTTCCCAAGAAACGCTCACGATTTCCATGGAGCCGGCATAAGCACCATGTACCTGAAGTGGTGCCAGAGGATGAAACTTCAAGCCTGACCAGTGCTCGGCAAGCTTCTACGCCTCCCGAGAGACAACCATCTGGAAGCTCCACGCAGCCTGAGGTACGGGAAGACAATGTGGAACATTCAACTCCTGGCCTTGATCGCGACTCGATCCAGATTGTGAATCTAGCCCTGAATCTCAATGAATCTCGGAGGAGGACAGCTTCTGGAATACTCCCAGGCCCAGAGAGCCGAAGAACGATATCTGTCTCTCAACCTGCTGTTCCGTCAGTAGACAACTATGCGTATTCCTCGCGAGCGAGGAATTTCCAGCGCGACTCGTATCGCAATTTCACTCAGCCCTCTAGTATTTTTTTGTCACAAGGGGCACTGCCGAGCTTAGAGCAATCATCCGTTGTGAATTTGTTGCCCGCATCCGCGATTGAGGACCGCAGGGCATACGAATTCTCCGAAAGTAGCCTAGCTCGTGCTGAGAAGGCGCGCAATCATTTTGATTTATTTCATGAATATATGCGACTACTGCCTTCATTGCCACCTCTCCGAGATACAGTCAACGATGACGTTGAGTCTAAACCACAGAGGCCCCATCGTGGCTATAACCCGCTTCAGATGATTCGCAACCGAAAAGTGAGATATCGTGAGAGATGCTCCATCGATACAGACGCAGAAGGATGGCATGACGTTGAAAGAGTCCACGAATGGATTAATAAAGTTGAACAAAAATATAGCCAAAGAGAGTACGGCCAACTAGATTGCTTACAGCTGCCATCTTTCCAACAAGGTCGCCGTCATATATCCACAATGGAACACGAGGATATAGAGACAATGCCTGCCTCTCCGGAATCCAGCTTGCGGCGAGTCAGCCGAACCAGCAGCACGAAGGCCCCCCGGCCACGTATCGATTGGAAGATCTCGCCGGCAGAGCTTCTGGCCGATGCTGCCTGGCTGGAAAACACCAGCAACAAGACGAAGGTGGTCGACAGGGATGGCCATAAACTCTATCCTGACCCCAACGAATTAGTTATCATGGACACAAGTGATGACCTCAGGACACCTCATAAGCAGCAGCGCCTTTCGGCTGAAGTAGGAGATCATAGAGAGACACATCCGTCACCGCACACTTCTCTCTCTAGTTCCCACCCTGCATTGGCGCACGAATTCAAGAGCGTGAGTCGTGGGCGGCACAGGCACCGATTTCGGAGTCATTCGCATAGCTTACACAGCCGTAGTGCTTCGAGCAAGCGAAAGCCGTCACGGTGGGATAATGCCAGAATGCGTTCGCGCAGTGTTTCAAGTTCTTCAAGCTCAGATACCCGCCCTTCTGTCGATGAAATGCCTCGCAGGTCTCGTGAGCATATCCACGACCGCGTCCAAAGATTCGTTGACCATGCACACTCAGGATCTTGGACATCCCGCGCCAGATCTCCGGCTGCTCATAACGCTGAAATTGACAGGGGAAGGACACCACAGCCAACCGAGCTGTTGTCGGCCAATACGGAGCAAGCCCGCAAGCGCAGAAAAGGCTCTTTTTCGTCTACAGGCAGTCTTGATGACCGGCAGGACCCTCGGATTTCCCAGGAAGGCATGGATAGCAGTGCACCTAACTCTCCTGCTCGCGTTGGTTACTTCCCGAGCATAGCAGTAAATCTGTCCCCCCCCCTCGAGCCGATCTCCCTCGCCCACAAAGAAGGGTCTCCGCCATAAGATCGTTTCACGCCACGAGCGCAGCAAGAGCAAACAAGCAGATCGAGAGCGAGAGCGAGAGCGGGAAGGTGAATTACTGGAACCCGAGACTTCACGTCAGCGAAATCTGACCACGCCTGAGCGGACAGAAGGTGCCTCCAAACTTGAGCCGAGCCCTCTTCCTGACGTTGTGTCGTCGTCCTATCCCGATGATCAAGGCACGCCCGAAGGCAATCGTGTAGATGGAAACCGATCCCGTAAAGGGCCCCATCTTCCCGAATCAAAGCTACGAGGAATATTTAAGGGACCAGGTAGGATAGCAGAGATCGTGGGGAATGAAGTCTCCAAAGTCGGAGATCTCATCTTAAAGAAAGATGCGGATCCCGAATCTCGGAAATCATCGTCCGCCACTACTGTCGTGTCAGATGATAGTGATTCTGATGAAGAATCCAGAGGGGACAAAAAGTCTGGATCTAAAGGCCTTTTACGGCGCCTGCCAACATTTACAGACGAGCCTGGACGATTGACTCGCGGAAATTCCGATAAGAACTCATCCCGAAGCTTCATTTCCTCTCTACCGACCTTCACATCACCCTTGCGGCAAGATGAACGAGGTGAAGCGGCAAAAGTATTCGGCGGTCCTAGCGAAAAAGTTTCGTCTCAACCAAATGATGATTCCCGTGATTCTCGTGATTCTCCCAAGAAATTCTCGCTGCCACGCAGCAAAACGCTTGATTTCAACGCTTCTTTACATGCGGAACGGACAAAGCGCAACGATATCAAGGACCCTTCCGTTCCTTTCAGTTTAACACGGCCTCCTGTCACTGGGCTTGCCAACGCTCGAGCATCACCAGGGCTTTCCCCGGAGGAAAGACGCACAGGGCTTTCAGATACCAGTCGCGCTTGGAGTATATCTGGGCGCAGTATCCACACCTTGATTGACACCGGTGTACCTGGTAAACCGGAAGTCGAGCGCACACGGGCTCTTCTGTTGTCATCGGGGATTAAGGCTCGGGAGATTACTCGCCGAGCCCACACTCCTCGCGAGCCTGTTCCTCACTGGCTTCAAACCACCGTGGGCCCTGGCACATCTGTCCCACGAGTGACACGAATCGGCGAGTTCGACCTCGCTGCTCAATCCCTCCTCCGGCGTTTTGAGCACACCCAACAGTCATTCCAACAATCCATGCACCATTTCTCCACCTCCACTTCGTCCCCTCTCCGATCCCAGCTGAGTAAGTTGGAAAACCTAGTCAATAATTCCCTGGCCCCCCGCGTCCGAAGCACAGCAAATGACGCCGAGGACCTGTGTGTCCATCTCAACACCACCAGCACACTGGCCGTTAAGCAGCTGAGTGATGCCCTTGACAGAGGTCTCCGTAAGCGTCGCCGTCGATTGCGGTGGCTTCGCCGCACTGGGTTTATGGTTTTGGAATGGGCGCTTGTTGCTATGCTTTGGTGGGTGTGGCTGATTGTCATGGCTTTCAAGGTTGTGCGTGGTGTCTTCCGGGGTGTCTTCACTGGTATCCGATGGGTCTTGTGGCTTTAATTACAGACTGCATTTGGCCATTTCTTTATTCTTTTTATGTGCCTACTACCCCTTTGGGCGCTTTTCTTTTTACATTACTGGTTTTAACTCCATCGCCTGTGTTGGCGTGCATATACCCTTTCAGTGAGCTTTTTTATGCCCACTGTCTTCTTTTCTAATCGACCATATATGATTTAATGGAGCATTGCATCTTTTCAAATGACTCCCATAATATTTTGTCTTCACCTTTTGTACATAATTCAGCCGTCCTGTCTCTGTTCCAATATATTTGGATTTGAATAAAGCTCATCCGCCTCTTTTTATGGTGGAACTTGTCCACCGGTTGTCCGTCAGCCCTCGGATAGTGATATGAGCATAATGCGAGATGATATTCCCCTGCAAGCAACCGGGGTCGACAATGAGTGACTCGGAATTTTTGGAACAAAGCTCTTCGCTCTTCTTTGTTCGTTGTCACTCTGGGGTATTTCACAACAATATCTTCTTTGATCAAAAGGCTTGAAAATGTACAAGCACTCATCTTTGTTTTGTGCTCTCTCTTGTCTGTGCTGAACAATGGGAACAAACTTTCACTATATAAAAAGGACCAAGAGGCATAAATACCTGGAGATGTCCGTTGGATTCAATCTCAAATTTTGGATACAGCATTTCTGCTCAGAAACAACGCGATCCCCCCACGGGGATATTCCCGTTCACAATATATCGCTCATCTTATGCACCAAAAAATGCCTCTAACATGTAACGCGATTCCCACTAACTCCAGCCCAGCCAAGTCCCATCTAGGCCGTTCCTACAAGGAAGCCAGCACCAGCCGGTGGCAACTACAAACACTTTTCAAGTCATTCTTGGAGGATAGGCCGGCCGATACCATGCTTGCAGTTCAAGAACGACGCCTTCTCATTTCCTGGGACCTCAAGGCCATCCATTACTTGAGGAGATGTTTGAGGATGTGGATTCTGGATCAGGTCCCAGGCGACGCGATCGGTGCATTCCTCGTGACGGTCTTGTACGAACAAGACTTCCATCTGGATTACCGGCTGACCATGATGGTGAGGGATGGACAAAGCCAGTTGCATATTGCTCGTCGTTTGTTAGCGTTCTATCAAATCCGAGACGAAACAGGCGCTCCGATCTGGGATAATGTGACCATCTATGCCGAAGACGCTTACCAGAAACCACCAGGCCAGGGCAAGGGTGCTTCTGGGAGGTCTGCTGCTGCAAAAAAGCTTCAACATCGCCCCCTTACACGGCCGCCTGCTGATCCGAGATGGCCCTTCTTCATGGGTGCGCTTAGCGACCTGGAGCTTGAAGACCTCATGCAAAAGTTAGGAGAGCACGATCAGCATGCAGAGGAAGATCTACCTCTTTTATTCACTGGTGTACGTGATGAAGATATTCCTATCATCCAGGCGTTCCGGAGATTCAATCTCCACAAGAATGATTCATCCGGGGACCTTCCTCTGCCCGAGTCTGGGACCGATCAGATTGGGCCTACCTCTAAGCAGACTAACAGATCACAGGATAAGCCCCTTCCTCCCATTCCCACGAAGAAGCCTCTCCCAACCCTACCCATTCACAAGGTTCTTCCCCATACATCTCTCCTCCCCCTCCCAACTCTTTCACGCCCCTCAAGCCCAAATCCCTCATCTGTGCGTGTGTCAACATTCATATCAGAAAAGAAGCCTAAAATTCAACAGGCAGACTATGTACCAAGCAAACATGCTAACATTGAACAGATAAATTGTAAGGCCGACCATTCGTCCATATCTCGCCCAAAGCCAAAGCCTCCCGTTAACGTCAACCAGCACGCTCCTCATCCCTCAGACATCACTATTGTTCCCTGTCATATATATCATAATGCTCCCCCATCCACTCCTAAGCTTCAAAAGAAAGGGGGTATCGGAGAATTGCACAAGGCTCAAGAGCGTGGCGGTTGAACAGAGATGTTGAGTTGATGCATTAGGGTTAGCTAGAATTCTGTATTTATACTCCGCAGGGATCATTAATGATCCAAAGGAAGAGGAATATAATAAAACAATAATCTATTTGTTCAGACAGGAGAGTAGAAAGTAGTATCTTGATCTTGAAATACAGGTCCCAGAAAGTCACAATGTGATATAGTGCCATGCGTAAATAGTACAGGGGTGGTTTTAATGTAAGAAGCAGCAGGGATTGAAACCAAGATATGCTGCTTCTTAGTTCCAACAAGAGCCAATGCCAGGCGCTGCCTGGCTTGGGTTGCCAGAGTAGTCGGAGTGGGTGGGGGTTATTACATATTTTATCGTTTATTTCTTGTGTCTGTCGGCCTGGGCCTTCAGGTACTTGGCAATGAGTTCCTTCCTGCAAGATAATACGGTTAGTAATGGACAATGTATTCAGAATAGTAAATAAAACATACTGCATGTGAGGAGGAGCCTTCTCGTAGTGGCTGAACTCCATGGTGTATTCACCCTTGCCTTGAGTAGCGGCGCGCAGGTTGCTGCTGAAGCCGAACATGCCGTTCAGACTGCAGTCAGCATAGACAGTGAACTCGTCAACACCGGTCTCAGTGTCGTTGATGGTGGCACCGCGCTTGTTCAACAGGCCGATGACATCACCCTGGAACTCAGTCGGGGCGGTCACGACCGTCTTCATGAGAGGCTCAAGAACAGAGGGCTGACTTTCCGCGAAAGCCTTGCGGAACGCCTGCTGGGTGGCGTTCTTGAAGGACATTTCGGAAGAATCAGTCATGTGGGTGGCACCGTCGTTGATGACCATGCGAGTGCCGAGAACCTTGTGGCCGATCAGAGGACCTTTCTCACAAGAGAGGTTGAAACCCTTCTCGCAAGCGTACAGGAACTTCTCTGAAATGCTGCCTCCAATAACCTGTTGCTCGAACTTGTTCTCCTCAAGGACACCGGTGGGCTCCATGTATCCCATAACACGGGCGAATTCACCAGGTCCACCGGACTGCTTCTTGAGCAGGTGATCGAACTCAACACGGTTGCCGATGGTCTCACGGTAGGCAACCTGGGGCTGGCCAGTCTCGCAATCGACCCGGTACTCACGACGCATACGCTCCACGTAGATATCAAGGTGCAGTTCACCCATTCCGGAGATAATGGTCTGGTCGCTCTCGCTATCGTAGGACACTCGGAAGGTCGGGTCCTCTCTCTGGAAACGGGCCATGGCCTTGGAGAAGTTGGCGCCATCCTTGCTCTGCTTGGGCTTGATAGAGAGCGAGATAACGGGCTCGGGAACGAACATGGATGACATGCTGTAGCCGAGAGTTCCATCCGTGAAAGTGTCACCAGAGGCACACTCAATACCGAACACGGCACAGATCTCACCAGAGCCGATCTCGGTGACTTCCTCCATGTCGTTGGAGTGCATGCGGACAATACGGGGAACCTTAACCTTCTTGTTGTTGCGAGCGTTGAAGACGTTGGAGCCCTTGCGGAGAGTACCCTGGTAGACGCGGATGTAGGTCAATTGACCGAAGTTGCTCTCTTCTAGCTTGAAGGCCAGACCAACAAAAGGAAGGGAGTTATAGGGAACAAGCTTGACAGGCGCTTCCTCACGCTTCTGGTCAAGGGCGAGGTTCTCAACCTCAGCAGGGTTGGGAAGGAAGTCAATAACACCGTCCAGCATGGGCTGAACTGACTTGTTAGCCAGAGCAGATCCCATGAAGACAGGGGTGAACTTTAAGCCAATAGTAGCTCGGCGGATGGCGGCTCGGATCTGATCCTCGCTGGGCGTGATCTCCTCCAAGAACATCTCCGCGATCTCATCGTCGACATCGGCAAGAGTCTCGATGAGCATGGTGCGGCGCTCCTCGGCAATGGCCTTGACCTTCTCGGGAATTTCATCCTTTTCCATGATCTCCTCACCGCTTGGGCCAGCGTTGTATAGAGCCTTCATGCGGATCAAATCAACGACACCCTCGAACTCGTCCTCGGCACCGATAGGGACCTGAACAGCAGCGGCAGGGATCTTCAGCTTAGTGTTAATCTGGTCAACAGCCTTGAAGGGGTTAGCACCCATACGATCCATCTTGTTTACAAACGAGATACGAGGAACGTTGTAGCGGCGCATTTGGCGATCGACGGTAATAGTTTGGGACTGGACACCCGAGACAGCACACAGAATCATAACAGCGCCATCCAGAACGCGCAGCGCTCTCTCGACCTCAATGGTGAAATCAATGTGACCGGGGGTATCAATCAAGTTGAGGTGGTACTTTTGGTCAACGCCATCCTTATCCTTCTTAACCCAGTCACAGAATGTGGCCGCGGACTGGATGGTAATACCCTTCTCACGTTCCAAGTCCATGGAGTCCATCTTGGCACCGACGCTGTCACGCCCGCGGACCTCGTGGATAGCCTTGATACGACCAGTGTAGAAAAGAACTCGCTCGGTACAGGTGGTTTTACCGCTGTCGATATGGGCCTGTGAGGGAGAACTTGATTAGACAAGAACAAAAAGCAGGTGTAGAGCAATTGGGATGTTATATACCGCAATACCAATGTTACGACACTTGTCAAGACGAGCGGCCTCGACCGGATCGAGACTGTCGATAATGGCGGCTTGGGAGAGAGTGTCCGGGTTGGCCTTAGCAGCCTCGAGACTAATAACAACATTAGAAAGAGTAAAAGAAATCAGCTCAACGAATATACTTACACTGCAGAAGCAACCTCAGAGGCATTTCGGCGCTGGTCCCATTGTCCCAACTTCGACTGATAAGCCGGCGCAACAGCGGCGGACCGGAACGCGGCTGTAGAAGCGCATCGCTGGCGCAGAAGAGTCTGGGGTTGGAAACGGGCTGATCTCGTCAAACCAGACACCGCGCGTAGTTGTAACCGTGCAAGAGAAGGGGACCGCATCGTGATGATCCAACCACACCAGAATTGATATGATCAACGCGAATTGAATGTTTAGTTGGCTCCCCGAAAAAAAGTTCGGGGAAGCCAGGAACGCATCACGTGATTATTTACATCGGCCCATCAGAGCCGGTAGATTACCATTCGGTGGCCGTAAAGCCATAAAATGAGATATTGGCATTGAAAACATCGATGCCTTTGTTATTTGGAGGCTTGAGTATGATAAGAATTGGCTGGTTGGAGTAAACTGCGCATATATCCATAAATATTAGCCATCCAATGAAGACAAGTCTGGAGATCATATGAGTTGAATTGAAACATGAAGACCCAATGAACTTTATTGCAACACTAATATACAAGAAAAAGACACAAGCGCCGTGGTATCAAACCACTGTCTGGTTTTGAAACAAGAATGCAAAAGTATGCCGCTGATCCGAGTTCCTCGACGATAAGTCGTATATCCGATGGATTTAAGGACGACCTGGTTATCAAGAGCATATTTGTATGCTTGGAAATATTGCCGATATCTCAGATTATTCGAGCAAAGGCTGCCGCGGAAGGACAAAGCGATACACGCTATCGGAGGAAATGATGGGAAGCGACGACTCTATTTCCCCTGCCGTTGCTTGTGCTTGGGGTTTTTCGAGCTAAAAGACCAAGAAAACAGAATATTAAAACCGAGCGACTTGCAAGTATAGCCTTCAATGGCACAGGGTAATCACAACTCACCAGATGATGTAGACACGGCCTTTTCGGTGAACGGGCTGTTCAGCAGTCAGCACCAGACAAAACACGATTTCCCAATCCTTCCAACAAGATCGTATTCAACATCTTAAATCATACCTTGCAGCCATCACACAGTCTCTTAACTGAAGACCGAGTCTTCATTCCCCGAACCTGCTCCACCTGTCTAGCAGACGCATTCGCCACGGCAACAGCATTGCCGGACTTTACTTGCCCACGAAGCCTCGTCAAGCTGTTGCGAATCATGTGCGAGAAAGGACGTAATGAGACGCTCCGGGAGGTCACAGAGGGGAGGAACTGGCGGAGGGCTCCAGAGGAGGCACCGATGACGGTGCGGAGGGAGAACATGGCGGCGAGTTTCGATTTTTGTCTTTCTCCACGGAAGGTGATCAATTGGAGGCTGCGCCTCAGGTATCACCTTATGAAGAAAAAGAGGTGTCGAGGCGCGGAGCGAGGTTGATGTTTGTCTTCGAAGGTTCTCTCGTGCTGCGATCGCAAATGTTGGCCGGAGCTTCTGTATCGCCGGTCGGCCGAGGGGATTGGCCGCTGCGATTGGTCGGTTTCGCACTACAAGTATATGGACGGTAGGGAAAACAGAAAGACAGCGCGAAAATGAGGATTAATTACTGATTTGAGAGAAATTCGGGGTTATTTATTGAAATTACTCAGGGAAGCTGACCGGGAATTATCTGCTGGGGTGGAATCAAGACCTGATCTGTAAGACAATGTATGCATGAATGCTCAACAGTGAGAAAAAGAGCGTTTGAGGAAATTTGTACTTATGTAAGTAGGTAAGTAGTATGTAGTTAACAAGAAACCCTAACAGTAGAGTATATGACCTATGATACAGAGGGTCTATCGAAATGAACCAGACGCCAAACAAGAGACAAAACAGGCCTGGGCCTTAAACCGCTTAAACCATAACAAGCTATGAACAATGCATCTTCTCGTTACCCACCTTCTTTTCTCTTGCGATTTTAGAACAAAATGCTTATTCTTAACGCAAGAAGGTCTTGTAAGTGGGAGAGTCAGTGTGTTCACTGAATGGATACCCCAGATCCTGAAGGAAGGACTCCAAGTGCTCCTTCTCGGGCGACGGGCACTGGATTCCAGCCAGAACCTTGCCCACATCACCGCCGTAGTTACGGTAGTGGAAAAGAGATATATTCTGTTCAGGACGGAGGGTGGTGAGGAACTTGGCGAGAGCACCTGGACGCTCGGGGAACTCGAACATGAAGATGCGCTCATCGGCGACCTCGCAGCGGCCACCGACGAGGAAGCGCAGATGACGCTTGGCAAGCTCATCATCACTCAAGTCTCGGCAGCTCATGCCGCCTTGCTCTAGCTCAGCCATGATCTTGGCCAGGTCTTCGCGGCCAGTAGAGGTAGACAGTGAAATACCCATCAGCACATCGGCCGACTCTTCACGGGCATAGCGGTAGTTGAACGCGGTAACGGCATGGGGCAGGACAATCTCAACGAGCTTGGCGAACGCACCAGGCTTCTCGGGAATCTTCACGCTAAGGAGCGCCTCCTTCTTCTCACCAAGAGCAGCGCGCTCAGCAACAAATCGCAGACGGTCGAAGTCCATATTGGCACCGGAGGTGATGGCAATGAGCTCGCGGTTGGGGTCAGGGCTGGGGTTCTTGGCAATGTACTTCTTGAGACCGGCAAGAGCAAGAGCTCCAGCGGGCTCGACGATGGAGCGGGTATCCTCGAAGGCGTCCTTGATGGCTGCGCAGGTCTCGTCGGTGGACACCTGGATGACATCGTCGATGACCTCGCGGCTAAGACGCCAAGTTTCCTCACCAACAGACTTGACTGCTGCACCATCCGCAAAGAGGCCAACCTCCTTGAGGAAGACTCGGTTACCCGCACTGAGGGACTGGGTCATAGCATTGGCATCGTAAGCCTCGACACCAATGACCTTCACCTGGGGCGCGATGCGCTTGAGATAAACTCCAATGCCGGCAATAAGGCCACCTCCGCCAACTGCGCAGAAGACCGCCTCGAGCTTGTCCAAGTTTGCCTGGCGCAGGAGCTCCATACCGATGGTACCTTGGCCAGCGATAACGTAAGGATCGTCGAAGGGTGGGATGTTTGTCAGATCATGCTGCTTCTCCAATCGGTGAGCTTCATCCTTGGCAGCATCAAAGTCCATTCCGTGGAGAACCACGCTTCCTCCCAAGCGAGCAACATTCAGATGTTTAATGGCGGGGGTGCCCGAAGGCATGACAATGGTAGCAGGGATCTTCAGCTTGCGGGCAGAATAGGCCACACCTTGCGCATGGTTCCCTATGTTTGAGTTAGTAAGAAGGACTTCTAGTTTGTCTTGCCCATTAGCTATAGACTCACCAGCAGAGCAAGCAATAACGCCCTTCCAGCGCTGCTCGTTGCTCAGATGAGCCATCTTGTTGTATGCGCCACGGAGCTTGAAGCTAAACACCGGAAGCAGATCCTCACGCTTGAGAAGCACTCGGCTTTCCAGCCGGTTACTCAGGTTGACAGCATGGGTAAGAGGGCTTTCGTCAATAACATCGTAGACTCGTGACGTCAAAATCAATCGGAGATACTAGAATTGCGGGGCAATGTTAGAATTGGAAGATTCAGTGTGAATTTCAAAGCTTGAATTACATCTGGGTAGCCATTGGGAAGCAGGAAAGCTTCAGGGACACCCCAATTAGGGGGCAAGCCGAGGGTCCTTTCCTCGCGTTCAGAGGGCGGCGTCGGAGCGGCCGTATACTCGGTCAATGCAAGCCCGCTCATCTTAGGAGTAACAGGCGACGCGCGGCCGGTGGAAGTCTCGTCAGACATAATAAAGTTCGAGATGATTCCTGCCAAACAATGGAGACAATCAATCTCAATGCTGATTAGAACAACTTTGATCGGGAAATTCTGAACTGTGACTCTTTTTTCTTGCAAAGGCGGGACCGGTGATCGGAGGCCCTTATGTCATCAACCCCGAGTGCTAGCCCTAAATAAAGTGTCGAAGGGATGAAATAAAATGGAAGAGATCAAAACAGTTGGGAATCTTCCAGACAAAGACGAAATTGTATATCCTGTATCCTTTTGGTAGACTTGATGTTTGAATGTTGGGAGGGGCAATGGATAAGTATGTTGTACAGGTACGGTGTACAAGTAGAAGATAGCGGTCAACGATGAGGTAGGTGCTAATTGTACAAGAACAATTTATTTATCTTTGCATTTTATGTATTTTAGACCAGTCACAGATAAGAGATTTATCATTAGCAGCCTTCCAGCAAAACAGAAAGCCTAAGTCCTCATTGGTTTACACATATAGTAGATGTAGCTCCAACCCTGGAGGGCGGGCCAGGCCAAATAGTTACATAACCCGATAGTAATGGATGTTTGAAAACTTGGCGTCATACCACAGCTCGACCCTGCCAGTATCCCGAGGAGTTTATTGCAACCTCGAAACCTCCAACTCTTGGTGCCTCTCGATTTAACCTTTGCTACTAAATCCCCCATTTATAAGGGTCAACCGAATATCACCACCTCGAAAACTCCGCATCCCGGAGACGCAATTTGACTCCGCACGACCATCAAGATATCCGACCCCGATCAACTTCACGATGAATAGGGATCCTGTGCCTTCGTCTTTTGACGAGAACCCGTATGTGTCGCAAATTATCCGCGCTCCCCGCAAGCGATACCAAACAATGCCGCAGAGAACGCGAAGGAAAGGATCGTCTACTAACACTCGGCCTCCGACAGTCAATTTACAGAAGAGACCGGCGTGCAAAAATTCACACGACGTCTCAAGGAAGAGCCGCTCGTTCCACTTGGTACGAAATTCCTTTAGCACACGCCCTGACCTATTCCCTCAGCATCTCCTTCCCAACATCAAAAACTAAACCATGCTACCACAGGATGCGCCGCAACATGCTATGCCCTCTACCGCGCCTACCGGTCGATGAAATCCGGCGACTCAGTTGAAATGAACCGAATGTTCCGAGCCCGTATCTACGCACAAGCCTTCACACTAGTCGCCCTAGTCGCTGGCGGAATGTACTTCAAGACGGAGCGACAGCAGCGCCGGGAATTCGAGCAGGCCGTGGAACTTCGGAAGAAGCAAGAAAAGCGTGACGCGTGGTTGCGCGAGCTGGAGGTTCGTGATAAGGAGGATCGCGAGTGGAGGGAACGTCACGCTGCCATTGAGGCTGCGGCTAAGGAGGTCGGAAATAAACCAGCGCCCCGCAAGGAGTCTGAAGCGGCTCGGTCGTCTATTGAGCCCGCTGATGAGAAGTCTATTGGAATCATGGATGCTGTGAGGGCTCTTATGTCACGGGATTGATTGTGTGCGCTCTGTAAGATAGGAGGGGTTCTTTTTCTTTCTTGTATATATGCATCGAAATTCTCCAGTCGTATGTGGATCTTCAACTCATGAACCGTGCTATTGTTCTAGAATGCATAGTCATAAGTTACAGAGTACAATGAGCTCATCCGGTTGTCGCATCTGGGTTTCCCTGTGTACGGGGAGTCCGACGATCGACGTGCCGAGGTTGAAATATCCCAATTGATCCGCGCCAAACAACCTTGAACAAAGGCAAAGTAAACCACCGTCTTAGCAACATCCTGGAAATATTTCCGAACAAGCAGCACGTTGGTTTTAGATCAGCATGGCCGAGTTAGTTTGCTTGGCCGAGGCTTTCATGTGAGATCGACAAGGCTAGCGCCGTGCGGGCAACCTAACATATGATACTCTTATTCGGAAGGTGGGTGCCGTTAAGTGAGTGTATTCCTGGAATGGCATTGTTGAATCTTTAAGAGTACAGGACGAACGTTACTTTTCATCTTGAAAACTCATATGGCCAGGCGCATGGTCAAAAGAGATGATCCCAAGGCGGGGAAGTTGAACTGTCAAACACCAAACCCTAACTTGGAAAGCCTCAGGGTCTATCAGAAAGATCCTACGTCAAATTTTTCAATCCCTGCTCAAGACTCCACCCATCCCCCGACTTAACTCTTGCTAATCTTCCCCAATACATATTCTTTTCCGAGTAATAATGCCATGACGTGGGAAACACGAGCTAGTCGCCTCGTAACCCGTCTCTCACGAGAGTATAAAGGCCGATGACATTCTCATATGACTGTAGATCTTCTCATTTTCCAAATCTTTCCTGCAACCCCCTGCTAGAAGGTCACAATATCACCCTGTATACGTTAGACCCGACAAAAAGCACTATTTCCACATCTAAAATGCTTTCCTGGATCAACCCATTGCGAATCGCACAAGCCATCCTATCCCTAACTACGATTGGTCTTACTGCCTATGGTCTGTTCCACTATGCACAAGGTTTCCCAGAACAAAACTGACAGCATCAGAAATCGCCTCTCTATACGACGAATGGTCCTACTCAAATGTCATCTACTACATGCTCTTCAACGGCTGCTGGACAACAGCCATTGCAGTCCCCTACTTAGGCCTTGCACCCGTGGCCTTCCCTCGCTTCTCACATGAAGTCGCCATTCCTGCCATTGAACTGCTCACCGGCGGCCTCTGGCTCAGTGGCTGGATCGCCTTGGCTGCCATGATTCCCTCATCTGGTGCATGCCACTATTCCAGCTGTCATGCCCTCCAGGCTTTGATTGTTGTCGGGGCTATCCAATGGTAAGCATAGATGTCTAAGAATTTATACGCACATGCATTATCTAACATATTGTTCGGAACAGGGCTACTTTTGCTGTCACGAACACCTTTGCCCTCATGGACCTGAAGAACTCTCGCCGCAACGCGAACAATCATCACGACGATGCTTCCCCGGAGATGGCTGTTGCTGATGGTAATGCCAATGGCATTACGACCACTGCTGCGGCCGATACCGCTGTGTAGATGAGTGTGTCCACACCCAAAGATATGTTTATATACCAGCGACACTTGCAACGACAACTTGCAAGCTATGATAGGCACGCGGTTAAATTTCCTAGATGAAAGTGATACCCCACTTGGTTGATTTAATGAACACATGTCCCCCCCCCTGCTTAATGCAAGGATATCTTGGTAATGCCGGAACCGGTCTGGTCATGTATCGACCTAATGTTAATACGATAATCCGTTCTTACTCTTCTTCCATCCCATCTCGACGCTCAACTCAATTTATAGCACTTAAAAAGCAAAGATATCAAATTATAAATGGAATCTTCAATGAGGATAATCTAGCATTAAAATGGCACCGGCCGTCTAATTAACAAAAAGGCTTCAAAAAACATAAAATACCCGAAATACCCGAAATACCCGAGCTATAGATTTTCGCTCAACCGATGTCCATTCCATCTACCTGGTTTATTGATTTCATCGGCCCACTTTGGCCAGTACGATTCACTTCTGCATGGAATGCTAGCACCTCATTGTACCTAGTAGAAATAGTCAGAAGAATGTCCGGAGATACTTTCGACATATACTGGATTTAGGACTGACATAATAGTTTTCCAGATATCTGCTGGGAGTTCTGCTTCGAGGAAGGCCCAGTCGAATGCTTCTGCTGCGACTGGTTCGTCGTTGGGATCGTGGTACGGCGCAAGATATGGGGATTGGAGGGCTTCCGTTGCAGATATCCGTACTTGAGGGTCGAATTCGAGCAGTTTGTCAATCAATATCACCGCTGATTTGATTATTATTTTCTGGAATTTTTAAGGAATGGATTGGAACGTACCATCTGCGTTGGCCTTGGGGATGAGCTGTGATATTGGCGTGCGCTCTCGCTTTGGGAGTGAGTTGATAAAGTTCAAGGTCTGTAAGGAACAAAAGGAAAAGTAATCAGCAACGTCATTTCCTTTAAATTATATGAAATACTCACATTTTCACTTGTGATATTGTTAATCACTTCCTCAGGTGGATTACCAAGTATATCGGTAATAACACAAAACTGGTTGATATGGTTCTTTCCAGGGAACAAAGGCTCTCCCAGAAGTAATTCCGCGAAGATGCACCCGGCACTCCATATATCGACTTTTTCGGTATACTTCCGCCATGTAAGCATGATCTCCGGGGCACGGTAGTATCTCGTCGAGACATAGCCTGTCATATGTGATTCCTGGATCCGGGCCAGGCCAAAGTCGCATATTTTCAGATCGCAGTTCTCGTTGACTAGAATGTTGCTGGGCTTTAGATCTCGGTGGATGACACCGGCTGAGTGGAGATATTTCAGGCCACGCTGGAATTGGAATTCGTCAGAAAATGGTGCTTGCTGAGGGGTTGGTGATGGATGGCACCAACCATTATTTGGTACATGAAGTATTGGGCGAATTGATCTTCCACCCTTTTCGACTTGAGGATTGTATTAAGGTCGGTTGCCATGAGTTCGGTCACGATGTATCTAACGTTATTAGTACTTTATATGTAAGAATTAGAATTGTTGAGTCTCTTCGTACATATCCTCAGAGGGAGAGATGAAGAGGTCTGTCAGGTTGATGATCTGACGGCCTGTTAGATAGTTGCTTCATACTAGCTCTGGGGATGCCCACGTTCTCATGTCGCAACTGTCTTAGTAACTTCATTTCTCGGAACATGTGTCTTGCAATAGCGGGTGTTTTGAAAGGTTCTGCGAGTTTCTTCACGGCAACAGTCCGATGGGCAAGCTGATCTCTTGCGGAGCTATAAATGAAGTCCAAGTTAGTTCGTGCTGATCGTGGGTCTGCTCCACAGGAAATAATACCAAACAAGCCCCGATACTCCAAGGCCAAGAGGCTTCCATTCTGTATAGCTGTTTTGTATAACCTTAGCATATAAAATAAGGGTATTACTTTTTTTTAGTTTCTAACCGTTCAGTTGTCTCAAATATTGTACCCATTACTGTTTTCTGGGAGAAAGTTGCCATTTGTTCCCCGTAGGGTGGCGGGGGTAAGACCGAGGACATCATCTGAAATAGAATTGAAGTAAATATCTATAATAATCGGTACATCTGCAACCAAATCATAATATTGAATAGTAATAATCCTTGGAGAAGAAGAAATACATATATACCAATAGTTCAGTGATGACATCAGAGGCTTTGTGGATCCCCTTGGTCTCCCCACATACTAAAAAGCACTGACCAACACTGACCAGCACTGACTAGAAAGACTCTTCCACGTTCCACTTCTTCTAGTCCAACCCGTTCGATCCGATTATGAAAATAGTCTCCAGATTTGAAGGTTTCAAAGACTTTCGGAGATTCCAGGGATATCCGGAGTATTAAAGCTTTTAGCTCCTTCAAGACTATCGACTTCTTCCGAGGCTTCTGTGGCATTCTGTGGCTATGCACTTATCACAATGTGGCATAAGCCTCATCGTCATCCTATTCTTGGGAATGTGCAGTTATGCAGTGGAATCCATGTCATGGGTAGATTCGTATATTCGTTGATTTCGTGACTATTGACTTTTGTTTTAGTCCGCGCTTGCGGTCCTGAGATTAATATACACCACTTTATAAAACGCCCATCGCTAATAGAACAGCCTTCCGATCCATCCATAGATGGAAGGGGCAGTCCCTAGGTAAACACATTGTCCGCATCGATAAAGTTTTCAAACATCGAATCGGTAAAACCGCTCGGTTCGTAAGGGGTAAAATCGTTCGCGATCGTAGGTAACACCGTCCAATCGTTGCGATCGTATGTGTTGTGATCGTATGCGCTCGGTCCAATGTGGTTAGCATCATCTGCGACCGACTCATCCGACCACGTCCCTGTCGAAAATGTGGGGGATGAGCTGGTTTGCATGTTGGGATTGTTGTCCTGGTTGGGTTGGGCATGTAGGACGGTCTCGGTCATTCTGGCGAGTTGGTGGTTGATTTGGTGGTCTTGGCACTCGGCGTGTTGGAAGATGAGGTTTTTTAAATCCCAGACTTCTTCTCGTAGACAGTTCAACTGTGCTAGGAGGAGATCCTTTTTTTCGGTTTCGTCGCTGAGACGACGCTCGATTTGCTTGTGTTCTCTCTTTTTCCTCTCGCGGCATTTGTTGGCGGCGACGCGGTTTCGTTCGAGGTGCTTTGCCCGCCCGGGGCTAACGGATTGGGAGGTGGTAGGTGATACAGATTTCATGGTTGGTCACGCTACCTGAAGTATTGAAGTTATTGAAGGTATTGAAGGTATTGAAGGTATAGATGATAAAGAGGTTATAGAAAATATTTTGGAATACAGATAGAAGTATTATTGTTTTTTGTAGTCAATGACCAGTGTAATTTCAGCTATGAAAAGATCAGACTTCGTATATGAAACCTCTCAGCGAAGACTCAAATATATAAAAGGTCTGGACCAAAATCAATGACGTAGTACTTTTCAAGGATCTAGACAGGATCTGGACTGAAAATACAGGACTCCAAAGCAGCTGTAACCTGGCAGCCGTTTCCGGCCATCCAATCATCCAGTAATTCATCAGGTCCCACAGACATTTAATTTGTGATCAATCCTGAAATACACTTAGAGTATGTGGAGAAGAGGTGGCAAAAGATCGTTTTTATTCTATATTGTACCCCATATAGATCCATACTAATCGCCAAGCTTGAGAATAAATTAAGGGTCTCGAGTCTGACATCATATATGTTCACTGTAGTTTAGTGTGATCTAGCAAGAATATGTACAATGTAGCACAACACAATGCCTATATTCGATTGAAGAAAATTTCAAGACTTGAACTTGACTCCTCGTAGACTGCAGACTCCATGTCTTCACGTGGGGAACCTGGCTTCCCGTGGAACGAGCTTCGGATACTATAACAGCAGCTCGCTACAGCGAATAGCCATAAGTGTACCGAGAATCTTATGTCTTGATCAGATTCGAACCGAACCGAAACCCCATATTCTCTACCTGTGAAACCGGTTGTTCTCTCGGCTACAATGTGGGTATCTCTCATGACACAATTGATCTTCTCAAATGTCTTCTCAACCTGGCAGTCTGAATATGCATGAGCAAGCTCACACTCTCCACCCAAGCGGGACACATGGTATTTAGCGAGTAAGCCACATAATGGCTTCCGGCAATCTGCCGTCGATAGAATCGCTGGAAAAGACCTTCCGAGTCGCGTTAAAGTACAGCCAATAGTATACAACATACAGGTCAACTCCCCACTCCAATGTGATTTCTCCAAATGCACACCCTACTAGCTCAGTATTATATGACGCATTTATTAAAAGGAAGATTTGATTTGATACACGGAAAAAAAATATTTACATAAATGCCTATCAACACAGATCAACCAGCGACCTGTTCGTCGATATAGCGTCGCATGGTGTCGAATTCCGCTTTTCCTGTCTTTGAGCTCATTAGCAATCCAAGTTCTCACAACATAACCCTATACTAATTCATACCGAAATCAAGTATCTTATGTGTTGCTGTAGAGCAAGAAAAAAATGTAGTCAGTCAACTATTCACAAATATTAATCTTCCCATAAAACTAGAATATCAACCTACCACATCCGTTACATTGCGATGGCGCTCGAACTCATCACGCGCATATCTGTGCAGTTCAGTCCGCGTTGATGAGGGAGGAACCTCTGGCCATCCATGCCTGTTAGTGTCACATACATGGTCCGGGAATTGGGATAAGCGTATGTACTTATTAATGCTCGCACGATTTCCCGCCATAATGACAATACTCGCTGTCTCTGGATAAACTGGATGGTTCAATTAGTACATACATTACGTCAAACCAAGCTTGAGTTACTTACATGGTCTAGACTAATGGAAGGCTTTTTGAGCTTGGAAGGCTGGCTGCGCGAGACCGCGGCGAGAAACTGGGGTGAGGGACGCATCGGAACAGATTAAACCATTGCCTTATGGATGAATTATGAGATTGCACGTATGAACAAAGTTTTTATTCCTGATGATAGAGATGCCGATTAGCTTGTTGTAGGAGAAGGGATATAGGAGGCGGTGAGGCAGTGGATATTTCTGCCGCCATCAGTTCAAGGTCAGGTGATTGTCCTGCTATATCCATGGATGTGACGAAAGACTACTACCTAATTGGCTTCCTACGTAAATGACTGCAAATTAAAAGATATATAATAGGGCTTAGTCTGTAGTAAATACGCTGTGCAGAATCTTCAACAATAGACATGGGGGACATAAGAAAGAAGAAAGTTTTCATATAAGTGCGTGATAAGTTTAATCCTAGAAAGAGATGATATATATTTTGCAAAAATCATTCCTTGTCCAATTTTTTACTCCTGCAGAGGTGCACCCATGCCACCAAAAGTGATGCTCTTGATAGTCATGAACTCATCAATACCATACTTGCTGCCCTCACGGCCGAAGCCACTCTGCTTGACACCACCGAATCTATAGAAACGTTAGAGCTTGGTACACCAATTGTAGGGAGGTGTAAACTTACGGAGAGGCAACATCACTAATCAAACCAGTGTTGACACCAACCATGCCGACTTCCAGGGCCTCAGCAACACGGAAGATGCGACGAACATTACCACTGAAGAAGTAACCAGCAAGACCGACCTCAGCATGGTTAGCAAGGTCAACAACCTCCTTTTCGGTCTTGAAGGAGAAAAGACCAGCCACGGGGCCGAAAGTCTCCTCAGAAGCGAGAAGCATATCCTTGCTCATGCCGGTAAGAACAGTGGGGTGGTAGAAGTTAGGTCCGAGCGCAGTAGCCCGCTGGCCACCGATGACAATCTCGGCACCCTTGGACGTAGCATCCTGCACATGCTCGTGGGCCTTGTTGGCAGCGCGTTCGTGAATGACAGGTCCGTGGGTAATGCCAGCCTCGAAACCACCACCGAGCTTGAAGTCCTTAACCTTCTGGACAAAGCGCTTGGCAAACTCCTCATACACGCCTTCCTGGACATAGATCCGGTTGGCGCACACGCAAGTCTGGCCAGAGCTGCGGAACTTGGAGTTGATAGCACCGGTCACGGCAGCGTCAAGATCCTCGACATCATCGAAAACAATGAATGGCGCGTTACCGCCGAGTTCCCAGGAGACCTTCTTGAGTGTCGACGCAGACTGCTTCATAAGGATGCGACCGACGTTAGTTGAGCCGGTGAATGACACTTTACGCACCTCGGGGTGGGTGGTAATGAGCTCGCCTATTGCAGGGGTGTTCTTCGAGGAGGTAACAATGTTAACAACGCCCTTAGGGATTCCAGCCCGACGCGCAAGCTCAGCAATCGCGTTCGCTGTGAAGGGCGTCTCCTGCGGAGACTTGGCCACGACTGTGCAGCCCGCCGCCAGGGCAGGGCCAATCTTGCGCGTGATCATCGCCGCGGGGAAGTTCCATGGCGTAATCAAACCGCACACACCAACAGGCTCCTTAAGAGTCATAACCCGGTTTCCCGGGACGCTGGCGGGGATTGTGTCACCATATGTGCGGGGTGCCTCCTCACTGAACCACTCGAAGAAGCTGGCGGCATAGTTGACCTCGCCCTTTGCATCAGCGAAGGGCTTTCCATTCTCCCATGTAATCAGCTTAGCTAGATCATCCGCGTTCTCGATCATCAAGTCGTACCACCGGCGTAGCATGCGCGAGCGCTCGCGGCCAAGGGTTGTGCGGAATTTGGGGAAGGCCTCTGAGGCAGCCTGGATCGCCTTCTCGACATCGGATGTATCAAGTTCGGGGCATGTTCCGATCAGTTTGCCAGTAGCCGGATCTGAAGGAGATAGGGAAAAAAAAACATCAGTGACGCTCCTGAACCTTAATGTTGTGGTATTTACCGTGGACTTCGAATGTTTTGCCGGACTTCGCGTCGACCCACTCGCCGTTAATGTAGGCCTGCTCAATGAATAGCGACTGGTCTTTCAACTGCAACGGATCAGTATAGATACATAATTCCCATTCAACTGCGGATCTTACCTGCGGAGCGCTGTGTTTCATGCTGTATAGTCTCTGTGCGTGAGCAGTAGGAGGAATCGAAAAGGGATATCTCGGTCGGGATCGCAATAATTGGCGAGCAACAGGGCGGATGATGCGATCCATTATAAATGTAGGAGGGGAGATTTGTCAATATGGAGAAAGAGTTCTAGGATTGCGGGGAGGAGAGTTGGAGATGGCTTTTAAAGGGGAACAGGTCGAAATCGAGGTGGGGTATGGAATTGCTGGTGATTTGCTCTTTGTGGCCGAGAAGCACCGAGAATATGTGAGTAATAGGATAATGATAGAGGTACTTTTTTTTTTTTCAGACCCCGAGGTCAAGAGCTCAGAAGGGAAGCTCCATGCTTAAGCGGGGATCTGCGGAGTTGATGTCATCTTTATCTAGATCGGTATTGTTGTTTCTTTCTACTGTTCGTGTGTTTTGGTTTGGAATCCCAAGACTTCTACAATACATTTAACTTGTCTTTTTTCACATCTTAATGAGAAAATTCCAAGTAGATAGACAATACTAGAGAAATCTGTGTCTATAGGAAATCCTACATTTTCATAGTTTTTCATAGATCTGGTAATTTGCGTAATTCTGAAATAAATCTTACGTCCTTCGGATATTTCAACCAATCAAGGCCTCAGTCCTTAAAAGCTCGGGCCCTTTAGCCAATGACAATCAACTTAGCACCTCCGGCCTTGAGATAGTGTATTGGTAATACCCCGAGCTCATCTGGGGCATCCAGATGTCTTTTCCCCCGCAAATCACCGACCACACTTCATGTACGGTGTACGTACTGCAACAAGAAAAATATCTGCTCGATCTTATGTGTATTGTGCCATTCACCCAAAATGCCAAAGTAGTCCTGTAAACGTCACTTACCAAAAGAGCTCGGTATAGTCATGACTTTTGCATGAGTGATATCCTAGAGAGACAACAGACTGGAGTCTACCGGCAAGATCTAGGAACGACTATCTGTCTATAAATCTATCTGCTAGGCATCCAGACTAATATCCTATATCTACAAGGAGATGCGAGGAACCTGGGAACAATGTAGATGGTTGCACTACACCAAGAGCAACCTCTAATGATTGACCTCGTGCCTAGATCTAGAAACGCCGTGCCTTTGACATACGTCGTTATAATACTTCTTACCCTAATAGAGTCGTTTGCTGTCGTCGAGAATGGTTTACACATGAAGATTCAAAGATCACTAGTGACCTAGACAATGGTTGATAGGATATGAATGAAGTCAAGAGTAAATCAATACCCTTCTAAAAGAAATCACGTACGCGTCCATATCCCAATTGATCTGGCGTGCCTGATTTGAGGCAAATCAACAGCTATCATCCCTTGCTCTCCTTTACATCTCTTCTACTCATCTTCTTTCTTCACTTGCACCTTTGAGCGTCTATTCCTCTTCTTTGCTTTCTACTCATCCTCTGCCTTCACTTGCACCTTTAAGCACCTAGTCCTCTTCCTCGAAGCTCTTGCATACCCTCATTCTACTTCTCCGCATTACACCCCTACCTCTACGCGGGTCTTTTAGCGCCTCGTGCTTTTTCTTGAAGCTCCTGGACAGCCTCATTGCCTTGGTCTTACCCAAGAAAAATTGAGAACCATACAACCATTGCTGGTTCATCCCATTATCCAAGTCATCCACCATCCACCCCAGTCATACCTTTCAGTTTCCCAGAACCTACCCATTTGCTAGGTACAAGCTTGCTCGAGGAAGCCAACAGGCCCATTTTGATCTACATTGAAATTGGCTACACCATTATCCACCTCTAGCATCATGTCAAATACGTGGAATCCAACTGTGGCCATTGCAGAGCACATGGAGCGCCTCAGACTCCAAAACGAACAGGCTAGCGCGGGTGACAGAATATACCTTGGACGTCCTGTTCCTCTACCGACACTTTCCTTACCCCAAAATCGACCACCTCCCGCACCAGCTTACAGAGATCCATTCAAGCGAATTCCATGGTTTGTCCTCAAGTCCCACGGTTGCCAGACTTGCCAACACTCAATATTTTGCGCCAAGCTTCGCTGGGTGTCTATGGTTATTTGAATTGGGAAAACTCCAGCTTTTTCGCATGTCTTTTCGAGCTTTTGTTGAATCGCTCAAACATCAAGGAGGGTGTCCACCTTGATACAAAAATATTGATTCGCACATTGATTTACCTTCTGTGGAAAGAAGAGGCCATGGTGAACAAGAACATTTCTATGGACGGGAATCCACTGCCAGCCAGCTTTTCGGATGACAGAATATGTTCGGTCAACAAGTCAAAAAACATAGAGACCCCCGAGTAAAGGGTGGGAATCATTCCTCTTCCGCCCTCAACCCCACACAAGGTTCCATTGTATGTCTTGGCCCTTGTGGGACGACTCAGGAGAGATGCGCATGCTTTTTACCACAGCTGCATCGCACTGATCAGGTTGAGAAATGTGAAACATCTCACATACCCAAAGCGCGGTTGGCCAGGAAAGCGGAGACCTCATGGCACAAATTTCCACGGCCCGAAGCTACACTACGACATATTATTGGAGATGGTACCCTCATGGATTGAGGATCAACGTATCATTCAAGCACTCATCAAGCCAGTTATTTTCCCAGTGCTGCAGCGGGTGGTATGAGTGAAAAAGCTCGTGAAACCAGATCGCCTTTCTGAGAATCCCGCTGTATCGCTCGCCCTCATCCAGTTGGAAAACGGGGATTTACTGCAATTCTGGAAGCGCTTTGAAGGAGCATGGAGCTGTGAAATACGAGAAGCGCTCCCTTACCGCAACACGGCACTTGAGCAACTGATGTCGGTGCTTGAGTGGTTAGAAAATCGTCGGCCGCTCTACATACACAAACGGAAGTCGATAAATGAGTTTCTTGCCTGTTGTCCGAATATGCGTCAATGTCGCGCGAGGAGAAGGAAATTCCTGACTACTTGCTGAATCCAGAGACTCCAGGCTCTACATGGGCGCATGAGTGCGAGTTTGTTCCCCAATCTCGCATTCAAGAACTTGCGCTCCATGGAAGGTTCCGGAAATTTGGGGTATGCTTCTGGGGCCCGGACACGATGACCTGTCTTGGGATCATGGTTAAAAGGATGGCGAGTGATAGGGCTAAGATAGATGTTGTCTTTCGGTGGACTTCGCTGATGCAAAATGCGGACTACTTAGCCCTCAAGCGGCCTTTAAAGCAATGGGCTGTCCCGTATCCCTCCAAGTCACGTCCGATGCTGGCAGACAAAACAATCAAGTGGGCCACGATAGCAGAATTAGACCAATTTGCGACCTCAGTCGCCTGGGTCCGAAGGAACCATAGGCGGGCCCAGTCTGCCGAGTCAACACCATCAGACGAACTGGCATCAGATCAGTCGGAGAAGCCAGACCTCGAAGCAACCCCATGGATACGTCGAACCAATAGGCCAACCAGATAGGTCTGGTCGACTGTGAGTCTCGAATTCTCCATGCCAACACTGGCGTGTTCCCCGTTGAGAGGAACCAGATGCATACGCATTTTTTTTCGATTTTTTCAGATCTACGGCATACGAAAGTTTCATTTCAGACACTCATTTGGTTATTGCGAAAGAGGAAAGACAACAAAAATATAAAAAAAAGACATACATTCACACATGCATACAGGAGGATTGTGATGATTCCGTTGAAGAGACCATACAGACTATCATTGGAGACGGCAAAAAAAGAAAAGAACAAAAAGACATACATGTTGGAAGCATATGGAGGGAACTTACGGCAGGTTTTTGGTGCCATCGCGCCAACCGGGTTTTTGCCAGGCAGAAAATTAGTAATTAACAATACACCCGTGGACACCCAGCTGCGGGAGGTCCCAAGGTTAGGCCTCTGCAAAGCCTATAAATGGGCCGGGCTTCGAGGTCCTAACCCGCGGCCCATTGATGGGGGCCTTATGGGCCCCAATCAAAGCCCATTTTGCTGTATAAATATTATCTTGGTATATAACTATAAAGTAGCTGATTAATAACAGTATTTTACGCATGTTCCAACCTATATACTCAGTAAAATTTAATTATTATGGTGAGAAGTAGGAATTATACGAATATAACACTAATTCTAGTATCTTATTAATTGAATCAAATCATTTGAATTATTACTTTCTATAACTTTACTTGTTAATTTGTAAAGGAAGAAGAAGATGAAGAAGAGGAAGAATATAATGATTCACGTACAGCTTTATATATAGCCTGGATAGTAATCTCAATACCCCAAAAAACCAGCAAAAAATGTATTAATTATGCAGTTGCAATAGATTGGTATGTTTGTATAATTGGGGCCTATTATGGGCCTAAATGCGCCCTATGGGCTCAAGATATAAGCCCATAACCTATCGATGGGCCCGAAGGATGGGCCCAAAGCCTAACCTATTAGTGGGCTTTGCAGAGGCCTACAGGAGTATCAGGAGTATACAGATGAGAGCAAGGCGGTAAGATAGGCGGTAAATAAAATATATGGGTTGGCGCGATGGCACCAAAAACCTGCCGTAGGAACTGCCGTCGAGCTATTACCAGTGACGAAAACAAAAAAATAACAAAAAAAAGCATTCCAGCATATTTGCTCGGATGGGACAAACCAAGGCATTCACAATGTACAGAATTATTTATAGTATCCTATAATTTGGGCCTTTCACAACAGCTACATGCCAGCAATTTTGGCTTCCTTGGCTTTTGTAGCCCGAACTGGCATTTTCGCCGGCTACACAACTCGCCAACTGTACCTTAGATCGAATAGGGTATTAGGGTATTATCTTAATTCATGGATACAAATGTGGTTGGGAACATGCTCTGATCAAGCCGGCACTGATCCATGCAGATTGTACAATTCCGACTTCGCATTCACAACTAAGCTATTCGATAATGATAACTTGAGTATCCCGCTCAGCCGAGGCTTCATTCCCAGGATTAACTTGTATACCATGAGACTTTTTCAAATGTTGGTTGAGGTTCCATTTTCGCGAGAACCCATTCGTATGTCGATTGCAAGACCTGATAGGACAGATAATATCCACTTTCCGATGAGCACCCTTTCCAACGCCTGGTTTGACCGGCCTTGCTTCCTGGCCAGCAGCAGATTCTGTGTTTCCTGCAGTAGGTCTCGCTGATTCCGACAGCACCTCCGGGGCTGGAGATATGGACGCGGATGTAAGAACGACTGTAGGAGTCTTGCGTGACCTCGAGCGTTGCTGGCTTGGTGTCTTTGCCTTGGCGTCTGGCTCAAGTCCAGGTATGGTTTTGCGCTTGTGGCTTGGCCGGGGGGTTGGCTGAGAACTTGGTGGTGCCGAGTCACTGTCGCTCTCGCTTTCGGTGTAGACATATTGTTCTCGAGCATCTGCCGTTCTCCTCTTTTTGACTCTGCCTTCGGGCATTATCCGGAATTCCATGTCTTCGCCAAACAGGTCGGCACATCGCTTCGACGCGCGCATTACCGCAGAATCAGGGAGGCCCATCATTGACGCCAGTCCCATAACTTCACTCCAATCTCGCAATTTGAGTCGGCCTTTGGTGTGACGATTGCTACTGATACCAGTAGTGGATTCACGTGACTGCGCTCGGGTTTGGGAAACATCAGGTAAGTTTTCATCTTCCGTCTCCAGTCTAGTGGGTGTACGTGTGCTGTTGAGACGGCGCGATATTTCCTGTTCCTGAGACCCTCGTCGAACACTTCTCCGACCTCGTGATCGACTCCTGCTTCTTCGCTTGCGGCTCTCTCGAGTCTGGTCGTCTTCTTCGTCCGATTCACTCCATTGCTCGTCACCAGAGTCTTCCTCATACTTGCGACCCTTCATGGCGCAATGGAGCCCGAATAACAGTCGGTCTACCTGTGAGATGACATTGCGGACCAGCGGACGTAATTGGCGAAGGGATTGGTCATCGTCGAGTAGGACTGTCGGCCGGAGGATTCTTGCATCGACAGTCTCTTCTTCGTCGTCCTCCTTTTTGTCCAATTCATCCTCCATCACTTCATCGCCGTCGTCCATCTTCTTCCCAGAGTTATCTTCAATTTCTTCAAAATCCAACTCTCGAGCTTGGAAAGTCTCCTTGGACGTCTTCAGTATGAAAGCTGTGATGCATTCTTCTAATTCCGCACTGGGTCGGGAATCATGTTGCATTTGCATCCTACCAGGGGCATCCATGCGCTTCCGGATGATCTCGCTGGGGCGGGGAACTCTGGCTGCATGAACAGGCCATGCAGCCCATCGCTTGTTTATACGCAGTGGCGCGCTGTTAGGGACTTCAAGGGTTTTCCGAGCAGGGTCCCGCGCTCGCCTGCGAAACGCGTGGGCATTGTAAAGGTGAGCAGCCAAATCTCTGGTTCTGTGAGTAACCATCGCATTATAGGCTCCGATATCATCGGCGTTGAAGTTCCTCCACGTAGTAGCGCATCCTTCAAACAAATTGGGACGCTCAACCCCAGGTGGCAGGTCAAGACCTCGGTCAACTACGTAGTAAATTGGGTCAAGCTGAGACTGCTGCAATTGTCGCAATTTTTTGGAGCGTATGCGCCTTCTGCCACGCTCATCCCCCTCATAGCTTTCGTCATCAGAGTCATCCTGGAACGCCAAGGGCCGTTCCCGCATTATCATGTCAAATTCATTTTCGTCTTGGTCTAGCGCCTCATCCATGAGATCTGCTTCGGAAATAGGCTCTAGAGGGGATTCTTCCTGAATGGGGCCTCCAAAAATAGAACTTCTTGGCGGTTCGGGCTGAGAAGATGGTTGCAAACCGGCATCACTGCTTAGGCCTCCAAATAATAATGAGCGTGGTTGCGCAGATTGCGGCGGAGGCAGTTCTGGCCAGGGCACCTGGCTTCCATACAAAGATGACATGCTGGGAGGAAACTTTGGTCTCTTGCTCTTGTATGCGCGAAAGGTTCACCTGCAGTGCCTAAATGTCACATGGATGCGAATTTTTATTGCACAACACCCGATTTGAGGGCCAAGAAGATAGCTAATGTCAGAACTCTTTGTAACCGGTACTTTAAATGGCGAATTTGAACTTCTTGTCTGATAGTTTCACTGTTCTTGGGTGTTGAAGACGTCGAAAATTCCAGGCGGGTGGATCACAGTTAGTCACGTGATCGCTATACACGATCCTGTCCATAATATATACGCTAGTCCCAGACGGGCAGTATGTAAAGAAGATGGAAGGGAGGAGCAAAAAGAAAAAAGAAACAAAAAGAAAAACAAAAAGGAGGATGAGGTTTGTAAATGCGACTTCGACGGATCGAATCGGAACAGTCAGGTAGTGGAAGATCTTCGGCACTTCCCTCGTAGTACACACTGGCGTGCTACCACTAGGCCACCTGCTGTTATTAGCAAATGTTAACGTAACACCTCCTTTTCTCTTGCACTTCCCAAAGTTTTAAACACATTATGTCCAGGTACATTAGACTTATATGTATGTCTAAGTGAATGGGATATGACATTACATGGAGTATTCCAAGGCTCAACTTCTTGATTACATTTCCAAGACTATGAGTATTCGGATGCAACAAAGTCGAGTACAATAGAAGCGATAATTCTCCATGGCTATAGCTTCAAAATGCTTCCTCTCAAAGAACAAGGCCTTCCACTGTATTTTTCGTTTCAGACTCGTATTAAAGCAATAACGAGTTATCAATTGAAGTAGACCTATGTTTCTACACCTTCACACTCCTCTAACTCTCGGTTGGCCACTACTTCTGTGGCTTTATCATAGTTCAGAATACTAAAGATACTAGCCAATCACGAAGATTATTGTCAACAGAGCGTGAAATATATATAGCACCCCACTCACAAGTAATTCGACATCCATCAGTTCTAGATATTTACTCCACAACCTGGACAACACCCAGGATCAAAATAAGCATAACAGTATAGAGCGTGCGCATTTGTCTTATCCAGTTAATCAGTTTCTAACCTAACTAGTTCAAGCTCTCGGGGTTAGTTTCTAGGTGGGGTTTAGCGGGTCCCCACAACTCTAACAAAACACCAATCGACGTTATTCTCCCAACTTGATTCTAGAATTTACTTGACCTTTGAATATGTACATATGTAGATTAAAACACAACTTCCAGATGTGCATGATATCTTGGTAGAAAGACTTGTGTTATCATCGGAAGGAAAGTAATGATGCCATTTTCATAGTAGTATAGACAGACGGCTCTATCTAATTATCGAAAACGAATGGAAAGTCACAAAACCAATTGTCAGGAAACAAAGCAAAACCACCCTAATTTTATATTTTCAAGTCGAATTTTAGAACCAGTCGTTAGGAAGGAACAGGGGCATAGAATCTTCCCAGATGGAGTTGGTCAAAGGACGCTTATTGGATCCATCCGAGTCCATGATCATGATCTGACCGTATGGCTGGAAGGTCTCATCGTACAAAGCACACTCATACTGGAACCCGTACATGCCGGAGGACCACATGATTTTTCCATCCTGACGCCAAACAGCATGGGCGTCGTTGGCGCCGCTGGAAGTCAGAATACGGAGATCGGTGCCGTCAGGGCGGATGGTGCAGACCTCGTAGTTAGTTGCAGAAATCTTGCGGGTAAAGACTATCAATTCCCCGTCCGGCGAGTAAGAAGGAAGATTATCCCAGCTGCTGGTAAGCTGAGTGATCTCCCTGGTCTCAATATCAATAATGCGTAAACCAATATCCCTCGCCTCACCGTACTGGGCAGTGTCGGCACCCCAGACGCGGTACACGACCTTCCTGCCATCATGAGAGAAGCTAGGAAAGCCGGTATTTAGGTCCTTGGTCTGATTTATAAAGAGGTTGCTGGAAGTGAGGACCTCGCTGTAGCTGCCATTTGCGGTGGAGCGTACAATCCAGCCTCCCCGCCAATCACGCGCTTCGAACCAGGCGCCAACTCCGAAGACGATCCATTCACTATCTGGGGACCAGCTGGGATTGAAAGCCCCGGCCAGGCCTTCTGGAATCAGCGCAGTATCGAGAAGACTGCTGTCATTTGGTTTGTAGACTAAGGAGAGCTGCCTATTCTCCAGGTCAAAAGTGGCAATGGAAGAGTTTCCAAGTTGCTTTTTAGTCATCGCCACGCGGTCATTTGAAGAGATTTGGGGGAATACATCAGTGAATCGATATTCCCAGTCGCTGTCCCAGCTGTAAAGCTCCTTGAAAAGAGGGCGGATAGACCAGCCAGTCTTCTCGTAAACCACGTACTTTCCATCGGGAGACCACGACGGAGAACGGATAGTGGTATTATAGTAGGTACCATCTGTGAGGTACAAGCCTTCCTTATCGCCACCCTTCAGATGGTACCCAATAGTAGAATTCGTGACGTATTGAGGAAAGGTTTTTACACCAGCACCACCAACCTCCGTGCGACGGTTTTTACCATCGATCCCAATAGAAATAATTGTGGAATTGGCAGCTGCCACCGTCTCAGGTCGATGTGCATCCCATGTTGCATTACGAGTCATCTCGTAGAATATGAGGCGCTTACCATCAGGCGACCACTTGGGGGACCCAAGGCAGTGGTTAGTGCGGTGAACGACACGGCGAAGATCTGAGCCATCAGGACGAATAATGTAAATCCCGAGTTCTTGGGTGTGCTCCCAGCCGTGAAGACCGAGGAAGGTATGGTTTCCATGACCATCCCATCTTGTATTGCGATCTGAGGAAAATGCAAGCCAATTTCCATCTGGTGACCAAGCTGGGCGGAAGTGACCATGCATCATGTGCTCATCTGGTCGGTTAACCGGGATATCGGTGATGTTCCACTCGGCACCGGTCTCCAAATCCTTTACCCAAATGTTAGCGATGTAGGTGTCGGCTGTTGAAACATATGCTGCCAATGTGCCATTGGGCGAGATTACAACACTGTCTTCAGCTGCTGGGGATGTCACAATCGGTTGTAGGTCAGAGCCATCTGGGCGCACACGCCAGATATCGGAGTTTCCATCACCGTTGCGCTCACTGGTGAAGCTAATCCATCCACCATCGGGAGAGAACTCGGCGTGATATTCATAACCAGGATCTTTCAATAAAGGACGCTCGTTGGTGCCGTCCGCGTTGGCGATGTATAGTTCTGAGGTGCCGGGGGCAATGCGGTTCATCAACAGCAGACCTTTTTTTTCTGCCCCTGCAGATGGGGTAGGAGATGCGACACCTGTGGTTGACTTGCTGAGAATGGTATCGCGAGGCAAGTGAGAATGATGGTTAGCACTGTTGTCAACCTCGGTACCCGCATCTCTGGCATAAGGACAGTTAGCTAACGCAGGGGCAATGACAAGGCCCACAATAGTAGCAATACTAAAACGCATTGTAAAGAATGTGGACGACTTTGGAAAGACAAGAGCCTCGGGTCAACGAAACAATCTCCAGGGATCTTCCAATATTACGAAAAGGAGTTGTCAACAACAGTACCTAAGTACCCACATAGGGAATATGGACTGCAGGAATAGAAAACCGGAAGGTGCTACCTACGTACATTCTTATAGCCATAATTTTGGAGATTTACTTGGACATCCTATCGAGTCATTTGCCTACAATGAACTGTCCATAATGAATGTTTTGATAGAGAATATTTCAGGTCAAAATTCGTCATCGGGCAACTTATTACACATCTTACACATCCTGTATATCTCACTGGTCCGCGCTGTTCTCCCATCATTCCACAATAATCCCTTAAAAGATTAGCAGACTTTAATGACAGTTGCCTCAAGGTATTGGTATATAGCATCCACGAGAGGTATGGCCTGAGAGCTGAGTGGTTGTTTTTAATCCGCTTAATAGAGCTCTGGGAATTTTAGGTCCACCTACTAAGCAGTTCCCGGCGAATCGGAGCTAAACTACCATGACTGTCAAAATGAGCGGGATCAGTCTGGAATGGGGCCTGAAACAACCTTGGAAAGGTAGACGCTGTATACTTCCCAGGGTAGCCCTAACCACACCATCACTTTGCTATGTCAGGGGCGTGCAAGCCATCAAATAATAATCAAAAGAAACATAATGGTATTTATTTACTCCCCGCCATATACGGGTGACATTACAAATAACTACCGTGATATGAAACAATGCATAACGACTACAGAAGCTACAATGAAACTGTAAGACATGCCCAATCGGAGTCAGCAAAGTGCTACCAGACTAGGCCAGCCCAGTCTCTTGTCGCATGTAGTACAGTCAAAAGATATTGATCATGATTTTCCAAAAGTTAATGTGATGTGGAAGCAGATATATATTCACACAAGCCGAGCCTAATCTAAGTTTTTCGGTACACGAAAAGTACGCAGGACCACTAAGAGTTCCACAGGGTTCCCAGCAATCCAAGCTGACACTGAACACGACGGCCAGCGCCCGGTGCCGATGCTGCTGAGCTCGGGGTAAAACTCTCTAGCTGTCTAGCACTATCCTAGGTCCGACTACTGGTATTGTTACTAATACACAACCTAGCAAACCCATCTCGAAAGTTGAAGAAGTTGAGCTAGCAGCGAGTTTATCTTTATTTTTTCTAGCAATTGATTGCGAGATAGGAATCTTGGAAGTGTTTTTTGAAATTCAATCTCCATATGCCCAGATGGTAACTTCGAAATCTTGGCATATATGTAACCTTGGAATCACTCGGGTATAAATGTGGGGCAGATCGTGGTCTTTGAGAGTCGGAGATCGGGCTCATACGGACGTAAGCCATTTATTTCGCCATTTTCTGCGTTTTTGGATTGGTAGATTCCTATGCTAAGAAATGCGAAACATAATACCGTCAGACCAAAAAAGCACTAGGAACAGGAGCACGCACTCTCTCTAATCTATCCGTGTACGTATCGCGATCATTCAACAAGCAAATCAAAGTCTTCCACTTTCTCCCAAAGCCGATTCCACAACAATTCTCGAGTCCTGATCAAATGTCACTATAAAAGTCTTCCATCTTGCCTGTCCGACTTCTGTTCTCTCTTGGCCGATAACAGAGCTCAAAAATCCGCCATGTGTAACAACGACAATGTCCGGTCTTCCGCTGTCCTTTAGTTCTTTGAAGTTCTCTTCCAATCTCCCCTGGATTCGTGCTCCACGCAGTTCCAGGCTCTCTGAATCACTGGCATAAATCCCTTCCTTTGCCGGGAATATAGGATCCAAATCCAAGATTTCCCATGGGAGATCGTAAAACTCCGAGCGTAAAACAGCGATGTCTGAGCCAGTATCACATGGTCGAGCGGAGTGTGCCTGCACATCTGGCTCTAAAACAAGGCGCGCACCATTCTGAACTCCTACCCCGGAGCCTTGGGCGTAATACTTTTCATCGATAGTTTTTTGGAAGCCCAAACGGGCTGTTTGAAGAGTGCGTCGGAGTGGAGATGCCAGCACTAGACCAACACTATCCTTGAACGGAAATTCTTGACAGAGTTTAAGGCACTGTTCGATTCCTTTTTCTGTCAATGGCGGATCTAGAATGGTTGTGTCGTGGGCGGGATTGTGGGTTCCCTCTGCGTGTCGGATGAGATGTAACCGGAACGACATCTTGGAGACGGTTGGACAGTGAGTTTGTGACCGAATTGAGAGGTACAATAAAGAGATCAAAGTGAAGAGAATAATAATTATGAATCTCATATTTTCATTCCCGGGATTCAATGATCGGTACGAGTACGGGGCACCGAAGCTTATATCCGACCCCGGGAGCTTAATCGGACCTCTCTGCCAACTTGGGACATATCAGCCGGAGTACATGGACGAGTGGAAACCGGAACTTCCCCGAATGATGAATTTTGTCCAATAAGAATATATGCTGGAGCCTGATCTCTGTTTGGGATATAGTAATCGCATGATCTCATTCTAGAAGTTGAGGGCGATAAAGCCACTGTGATGATATTCTAATGGAGATGACGGGCTGGAATCTGCTAAGTATTAAAGTATTCAAAAAGAGATGTAACAGCCGCTGTCAAAAATAGTAATGAAAGAACACCGGTGTTCTTAGGACAGTTTGAAATTTCATATGTGATGATTCCAACTTTAGACTCGGGATCCCGAAATTTCCGTGAGCCGTGGAAACGTCCACGGGTACTATTGGGAAGAACCATCTTCTTTTCTGGTGTCTCGTTCCTTTACAAAGGTATTCTCAAAGTCAAGGCCAGCATCTTGACGTATGATACCGTACCCAGACGATGAATCCAAAGGCCGGCCGCCATGTGCATCCGAGAACTCCCTCGCCCGTACCATATTTTCTAGTGCCACCTCAGCAACTTTTAGTCTCGCACCGACACCTTGGGCGCAACTGATGCCATGCTGAACATCCTTGATACCGAGATTCAGGTTGGACCAAGGGGATTGACCTGGATCATATAATCAGCAAACTAGAATATCGAGCATTCTCAATTGACGTCATGTTATATTCATACCTTCCTCTGGCAGATAAACACCCTGCGTCATGCGCCTGGAACTGGAATGCATCAAACCTCCAAAATTGAGCTCGAGCAACTTTTCAAGCATCTCCGTGCCAAGGTCGCTTTTCTCCGCCAGCACCTGGGCTTCTCCCACAATCTCCATTGTTGCTGCGGTAATAAAATTACTAACTACTGTCAGTGTGCCTGGCATGGTACGGTATGTTGGTTGCAATCTCACCCCAAAGTTTTCATAAGAGTGGCTTTCTCGGGCTCATCTGACACGATCATCACCTCCCGAGCAAGGACGCCTTTTCCGAAAGGTGCAATTTTATCAAGGGCTTCGCTTGGGCCGGCCATCGCCATCAGCAGCTTACCACTTTCCGCAACTGGGGTTGCCCCAAAGACAGGTGCTAGTGAAATACATGAGAAACCGCAACTTATGACTAATGGGGGTTCACTTACCAGCAACGAAGGATGCATTTCGGTTCTTTAGTTTTTCATCTGACTTTTTGGTCGTATTAGGATGTACAGTGGTGGTGTCCACGAACAACTTGCCGTCAATATCTTTGACAGCCAATATTTGGTCGATGATACTATTTAAAGCTGCATCATCGCTGGTCTGTAGGTCAACGTCAGTCGCAAAGCTTCATTCTAGATCTGGGGGATCTGTAAAAGGTCTCCATAAAATGAAGTGCTAATTCATATACTCACAGATATGAATATCAAGTCACATTCGGTGACAAGCTGGGCGATAGACTCGCATCCAATAGCCCCAAGTAATTCAAGTTGCGCACCGCGAGATGCTGTCCGATTCCAGAATCTTAATTGGGATTTTATGTCTTGTTGGATGAACCTTTGGACATTTTGGGCCATTGCAAGTCCCATACTTCCGAGTCCTAGAGGGATTAGAAATGTCAAGCTCAATCATATTGTTCTTCATTGTCGTACCTATCCATCCCACAATTTGCGGTTTGTTTGATGCCATTGTTGGTGATTAGTTCGTTTACAGCTTGTAGTGTTGATATTGCTTGGTATGTGCAAGTAATTACTTGGCGTGTTCCAAGGCAAAAACATCAGCAAATATACGTGAGTTTTCGGATGTGACCCGAGGGATGACTCACCAATAATATGCCCCCGGGAGGGGCCCCGAAGACGAGGTCTGGGTGGCCAAGACATCCCCATATGGGGCTCTATAGGACGAAAGGAATACATACAGGAAGCTATTTGGATGTAAGGAGGAATACATTCCAAGACATAAATAAAATAAGCTTCCCGCTGATGAAGATCAAATATGACTAAAAAATCACAACATGGGATAGGCGCATTCCAATGTCAAACATCATGAGGGCTATTCACAACCTAGACGTACAGAATACCTGTTGCAACATGAGTTGCCAATAATTTTCTACGCCTGCAAATAGGTTGATCTGTTGAACTACACACTGTCTCAAGATGGCAAGGAACAAGATTTATACATATAACTGGGATGTTATCCCATAAATAGCATTAAAACTTCACAAATTTTTGAGGTGCCTATACATGGGACATATCCAAACCGCAACGCCCGGAGAAAGCACTATTTAACATGCACAAACGACCCGAGCTTTAGTTCTTTTCGGTCTTCTCACCCTTCGCGCCCTTCTCAAGCTTGCGTCTCTTCGAGCGAAGCTTGGCGGACTCGTCAGCGGTCTTCTTGTTCGAGTACATCATCTTCTCAAGCAGCTTGCGCTTCTTGCGGCTCATCATCATCTTCTGTCTCTCGAGCTCCTCATCCTCGCTACGCTTCTTGGCGGCAAGCTTCTTGGACTTGGAAGACTTCTTCTTGGCAGCTTCCTCAGCGGCGGGGTTAGAGGTGAAAGGCAGACCAGCGGCTTCAGCCTCGAGCTCCTTCTGGTGCTGAGTGCGGGCAGCCTCGTCGTCATCTTCGGACTCGGACGCGGCTTCCTCTTCAAATCCACCGAAGTCTTCGACTTCCTCCTCGGACTCCTCATCGCTCTCATCATCAGTGCCGGCGACATCCATGCCTCCGTCAACGGACTCTTCATCAGACTCCTCGGCAGTAGGCTCAGTCTCAGCCACGGGCTCGTCCTCCATCTCCTCGTCGCTGTCGGAGGCCTCGGCGGCAATCTCGGCTTCATCTTCCTCCTCCTGATCGGCGAGGGAGGCGCGCGGGTCGTAAGCACCGCGAGAAGCCTTAACCCAAGGGCTCAAGTGGGGTGGGAGAGTGGCACCAGGTGCGTAGAGATCAGCTCGGAGAAGCTTGCCCTCATTAATACAATCCCACACCCACTGGGGCTGGACGTAGGTACGGCCAGGGATGCGGGATCCAGGCTGGACCTTCTGAACGGCGTTCGCATCAGCAGCGGGAATGGCAGGAAGAGACTCCTGGGGAAGCTGTGGGCGATCGACAATTTGGTGAGTGATGCGGGGGTCGGTCTCATCGTGAGTGAAGGCTCCACCGCCTAGCACGGAGGCCCATCCAACGCGCTTGCAGCCGAACGAGCGTAGAATGAACTCGAGGGGAGCCTTGGGAGCTTCACGGGAAATGTAGAACACGAAGGGGGCGAACAGAGCAGCGGCCTCGTTGCCGCTCATTCCAGGCTGGGGGAGGGTATCGGCCTCAGGAGCGGCGGGCTCGAAGCGGTCGAATGCATCGGTTTCCTCATCAGGAGTGTCGACCATCTCTTCATCCGCAGTCTGATCCAAACCGGCCTTCTTAATCACCTTGTCAACCTTGGCTTGAAGTTCCTTGGAAACTTCCTTGTTGGAGTTGCCGTTGCTCTGAGCCTTGCTAGCCTCAAGAGCCTTGGGCACCTCACCCACTGACCGGCCCTCAAGAGTGAAAGCCGCCAACTCGGCACCGTTCTCGTCGCTGCGGGTATCGAACTTAGGGGGGTATCTCAATCCAATTGAGGAGTACAAGCGGAAGTTGACGAATCCAAGCAGGGTGGTGTAAAACTCGACAAATGTACCCATGATACGGTAATCGACATCGCCATTGACACGCTGGACGAAACGGTATGGCACGAGCCACATAATATCTTGGCCCTGAATCGTGGCCTGGTAGTAGATACCCTTGATGGAAAGGAAGGATCTGCGCAGAGAGTTGGTCATGATCAGGTAGTGCTGGAACTCGTGGCAAAGGCGCTGGCAGAGCGCAACGGTCTTAGAAGGAACATGGTCGGTGGAGGGAAGTGTGGCGAAGAGGAAGAGAAGAGACAAAGCGTCATCGAGATCACGGAGGGCATCGATAAAGGTCGGGTAACGCTCTTTGATGACATGGTCCAAGGTGAGTTTCGGGGCGTGGTTCTTTTCTAAACGGGAGGCATCGCTGACTTCTCCACGGCCGAGAGAGCGGGCAATCTTCTTCGCTAGTGCCTTCTGATCACGGAACTTATTGAGCAGCGGCTCGTGTAGCAGATACTGGATGTCCTTGGTGTAATAGAAGGTGGTGTTGGGCGTAGACGTCTTAGAAGCCTTCTTCTTGCTACGGGGCTCACGAGGGTAGATACCTGATATCGGACACCTTGTTAGTCTTGCGATTCATATAGAAGATCCATAGAAGAGGCAATTACCCTTGAAGATGCATAGTCGGCGGAAATCCGGCAAAGAGATCTGAAGTTTGCGCACGGCCTGAGTTCTGGTAATGTAGTTCTTGGCTGCGCCAGAGGTACCTGAAGGAACTGTCAGTAAATTCAATTGAAGTCCCCGGTTCATTTCAGTATACCTCTCTTCTTAACTTTGCCCATGATGAAAAGTGGTTGTCAAAAGATCTAAACGGACTGCTGATAAGAAGGAAAAAATTTCTCGATATCTTTTTTTCTTACCGCAACAACGGTGGTCCGTGCACCGAAGGCGGAGAGAGAGCGCTGGGTTCATAGGGACCAGGTGGAATCAACAACTAAACATTCACCTCCGTCATGGCTGTAGACCGACGGAAGATTGCCGTGTTTGGCGTGGCTTTCATCCTGCGTCTACTTCTTACATGTCTTTTCCCTTCATTACCTGATTTGTTAACGGGGAGAGTCGAAATCTCAACACCCGTTAATAGCTTCAAACGCCGTACGTGTCTCCGACCATTGACTCCGCATTCTGTAAACTAATTATGTGTAGTGCAAGAAGGCCTATTTTTGTACACAAGAAATGTGTCGCCTTATGACGGTGGCGTCTTCCACCAGGTTTGTGGATCTAGATCACTCCGAACCCGTTCCCTAAATTGACAATTTGTTCCGATGATTTAGGCACCGCTTCTGTTACCTCTGTTCGCCCTACTCCCGGATGCGAAGAGCTCGCCTTTGCCAACAGCAATCTTCTATTTCCTTGTCGACCTCTTGAACGCGCACGCATTGGTAGCCATCTCTACCTCGGGCCAATCGGTCAAATCGAAGCTACATTCAGCGGTCCGAAAACATGTCCAATGGGATGGAGTGTCCGTTGCAGCATGGTATGCTTCTTCTTGCCTGTCCGATCATATTTATATACTTATGAAAGGATAGGTTTTTGTTCAATCCTTTCACTATTGCGACATGTCTAGCGCGGTCAACCAGTGTGTTTACAACATCTGGAATCCTCTTCGCCGTTTCGAATGCAGTCGGGGGAAATAGCATCAATGCGATGCTAGCCCTGGGCTTTGCCTCATACCTGTCTCTATACCCGGCGCTGCTATTTATCCCGTTGGTCCTGCTATGCTATGACCGACGCTCGGAAGGACCAAGCCCACCCAATTTTGGGTCGTTCATTGCTCAACACGCTGCCATACTGCTGACGAGCGTGGCAGGCTTGCTCGGTCTCTCCTGTTTGATCACCGGCAACTTCTGGGAGTTTATCTCGGCAACCTATGGCTTCCATCTCTTAGTTCCAGACTTGACTCCCAATGTGGGGCTATGGTGGTACTTTTTTATTGAGATGTTCGACTCATTTCGAGAGTTCTTCCTCGGTGTTTTCTGGCTTCACTTGGCCAGCTATGTTGGGGGTCTCACAGCTCGCTTCCGCAGCCAGCCCCTTTTCATCATTACCGCACTCTTGGGTGTCTTCGCCATCTTCAAGCCATATCCTAGTATCTCGGATGCGTCGCTGTTCTTCGCCTTGCTGCCATTATATCGCCACCTTTTCCCATGTGAGTATTTCCCAACATTGAGTATATCTCAAAATCATATTGACTAACTTGGCACAGTGATGCGTTATACCTTTTTTGCGGGCTCGGCAATCTTGTACTCCAGTCTCCTCGGTCCGGCTTTCTACCACCTTTGGATCTACGCAGGGTCCGGAAATGCCAATTTCTTCTACGCCATTACGCTGGTATGGAGTTTGGGGCTCTCCATTGTGCTGGCCGACAGCGTCTTCGCCGCTCTGCGAGACGAGTGGGAGCAAGAACACCCAGAACAGGTGGGCACAGAGGTGCGACAGGTGTAATGTATATTAACTTTTGCATATTCGGTATTGTCATATCAACCATTAGCATTCAAAATCATAACAGTGAGATATCCAGCTATTCCAATTTCAACGTTTTCGACAAGATCAAATAGTCCACGTCCTTGATAGTCCCATTGCGCAATCTGCGCGGCTGGGGCGAATACTCATCAACCTCGTAACCAAGCCGCTCATAGAACCGCCGAGCAATCTCATTCGACTTGAAAACCGTCAGCATAGACTTCTCTAAGCCGACAGCACGACCGATTCCCTCCATCTGGTCCATAAGCAATTTCCCGATGCCCCGTCCCCGGGCCGCTGGCGACAAGTGGATCTCGTAACAGTAAACAACCTCCTTTCCATCCTCGTAGGTAACCATAAATGATAAAAAGCCAAGCACATTGGGAAAACGGGTGCGACACGATGAGATAGACTCATCGGTTTCCCGCGGAGACGGAGATGGGGCATTATTGTCAGCGATATCTCTCTCCTTCTCTCTCGGAACTTGCACATTAGAATCGCCAGAATCATTAGGCGTGTCCCGCAAAATCAAATACTTCATGTCGGGCAACTTCATCTCTTTCCGCTTCTTGATGCGCGACCAGCCTGTGCTCGACGCGATGTAGGCTTCACTTGAGGTTTGCTCGATTAGATCCAGACATGCTTCTAGATCACCCGCGGATATTGTTGCCGCGGAGTAGACATCCACGCGTGGTGTGGGGGTAATATCCTGCTGCAGCTGATCTTGAAATAGATGCGGTTGATTAATCGCATCATTTTCAGCCGAATCTCCTGCTTGCGAAGGTGGAGTCACGTATTGAGCGATGAAGTCGCCAATGGATAATGCATTAGTCTGTTCGACCAGCGGGACTGGGCGATCGTTAGCACGCGTCACTCATTAAATATGGTCGAATCAAGCAAATCAAGAAAACAATATTTAAGGCTGAACCACGCTTGCGAGAGTGATATTTACCCACTTTTGCTCGAGACGCGTCGGGTTGTTGTTGGAGGTTTTTTGGCTTTGAATTTCCTGACTCGGCCTTCTTTCACTGACGGCATAGCTAATTCGAGAATATCTGAAAGGATGTTGAATAAGTTTAAAATCAAGTAAGTGCAACTTGAATATAAGGATTTTGGGTTGATAGTTGAAGAACGCTGTTTTGAGTCATCGGCAACTTTGACCGCAGGAAGTATATAGTGTGAACATCAAAGCCTGTTCTTTTTCCTTTTTTTTCCCACTCTTAACATGGTTCTATCCCTTCTACAGCTGGAAATAAATCTCCTTTTGGACCTTCATCTTCCTTGCCTGTTTAAATATCACACTTCACATTTTGTCTCATTTCTGAAGCCAAGAACGATTCCTTCCTCCCGTCTGTGGATAGTATATCCTTTTCTCTTCTTCTTCAACTAAGCCACCATGCAGCGCTACCAGCTAAACCCAATCACCTTATTACTGTCCCATTGTATCTAGCTAGGGAATCACACTCTGAAATGACCAACCGCTTGTTTCTCGGCCGATGTGCCCCAGGACTGATCAGTGGCGAGTCAGCGTCTCAGCGAAATTTACATTTCCTAATCCGATGTTCCTGGTGCTAAAAGGCCTCACGATCTGAAAAAGGTATATCATAGAATCTTCGAGGGCAATTGCTCTTATCTTGACTAATTTAGAGCTGTTTTGTGCTTTAATATGCTGTTCCGCATATCGTTCAGTGTCAGAAGCTCTTAGGTATATAGCTCTTTAGACATCAACATCCTAACGAAAAGGATATACATACATGTCCTCTAAGGAATCAAAAGGATCCGGCTGGAAAGATCACGAATGGGCTTCTATCTGGTGAAAAAGATCAGGAACCCACTTCTAACCCGTCGCTTTCCGCACAAGAAATTATCAACATCAGCATCCCCAGAACAAAGCATGAGTGGCAGGCCAGATATATTGGTCCATTAAAAGCCGTGCATTGTATACGGAGTAATTTATATCCTATTGAAGAAAATACAGCAGTGACTTACCTCTTTCTTAATAATCCTTTCGTCACCACTTGGGTGGATCTTTCGCCCAAAGGAGGCATATTTACGTCAACCTTGGGACCTCGGCGATATAAAGTATCCTCACCCCCGCCATAATTGTTTTGTCCTACGCTGTGTACTTTTTCTTTCTTGAAGATAGTAATTCATTTCATATTGTAAAATGTCTCCCTCCACTATGAAACAATGGGTCGTTCAAGACCAGGAGCACGGCTTCGACGGTCTTGTTTACAAGGACGCTGCTGTTCCGAAAGTCGGTGAAAATGAAGTCTTGGTGAAGCTTCATGCTGCGTCGCTGAACTATCGCGACCTTACTATTCCCAAGGTATGGCCTTGTGAGAGAAAAGCGGATATTTTCAACCTCAATGGAATTGTCTGCGCCAGACTGTTACATTTCCATAACTAACTTCTTAACTTCTCTCCCACAGGGCATCTATCCATTTGCTCTCAGTCTCCCTGTAGTACCAGGCTCTGATGGTGCTGGTGAAGTTGTCGAAGTGGGATCCAAGGTCATTGAGTTCAAGAAGGGCGACCAAGTTGCGACTCTCTTCAATCAAGGCCACCAATACGCCGAGATCGACACATACGCGGCTGGCACTGGCCTAGGAGGTGTTATCGATGGTACCCTGCGTGAATATGGCGTATTCAGCGAACAGGGTCTTGTCAAGGCACCAAGCAACCTAGATGCCCGCGAGGCCAGCACTCTACCATGCGCAGCGCTCACCAGCTGGAATGCACTGTATGGTCTGAAGCCTTTGAAGCCCGGCCAAATCGTTCTCGTGCAAGGAACTGGTGGTGTCAGTATTTTTGCCTTGCAGGTCAGTACCGAACTCATCTACACTTCATAAGAATGGATTTGGCTAACGCACCTTGTTTTATAGTTCGCCAAAGCCGCTGGCGCGACAGTTATCGCGACAACTTCTTCTGCCGAGAAGGCCGAAAAGCTCAAGAAGCTCGGCGCTGATCATGTCATCAACTATAAGACTGAACCTAACTGGGGTGATGCTGCTCGCAAGCTGACTCCTAACGGATCTGGCGTTGACTACATCATCGAAGTGGGTGGTAGCGGAACTCTCAAGGAGAGCTTCAAGTGCATCAAGTTGGAGGGTATCATCAGTGTTATTGGCTTCCTTTCAGGCGTGGACCCGGCGACACAGCCGGCTGTTCTGGAGGCATTGACTCACATCTGCACCGTTCGTGGTGTCTATGTCGGTAGCAAAGCTCTCATGAAGGATATGATCCGAGCCATCGAGGCTAATGACATCCACCCTGTGGTGGATGACAAGGTGTTCAGCCTTGATCAGACACGGGAAGCATATGATTACATGGTAAGTTATTTCCATTGAGGAAAGAGGTCACATACTAACATATTGGCATTCAGTTGGCCCAAAACCACTTTGGAAAGTTGACTATCAAGATCAACTAAGAAGAATGGAAACAGGCCAGAAACTTGCTGGCATACGTTACTAAAAGCAATGGAACATGAGAAATTCCGAGGGAAATGCAGTGCTAAGGTAACATTTGCCAATAACAGCAGGTGGCCTAGTGAACATGACAGTGTGTACTACGAGAAGTGCCGAAGATCTTCCACTACCTGACTGCTCCTGTTTAGTCCTCCTCACGTCTACTTCCTCTTTTTTGTGCCCCTTATCTTTCTTTTCAATCTATAAATATCTCAAATAAACAATGATGTACGGTTTGATAGTGGATATCTGCAATACTTGAACGGCACCAGTGTCTCTATTAGGCGTCTTTCCGAAGTATCTTGCCATTTTGCTGAATTTCCTGAATGAATTTGACCTCAAGACTGGTAACTAGAAAATAATATGTCGATTTTTGAGAGTTAGGGTGAGCCTCATTCTGGTTGGTAGATGGTGCATATAGCTTCCCCGCCACTTCCCTCCCCTGCAGGAGTTAAAACCAACCACTTGCGAACTTCTTACTCTCTGTTACACTCAAGCACACATGGTTTTTTTTATAGTCTCTCCTGAAATAACTGCCAAATATACATTGTTTTGTTACTTATTTCCCCCTCTGAAATGCAGGTCAACAATAGAGATACCTCCTCAACCTTCCCAATTCAGGGTCCCAGCCAAACTCTTCGAGAGCCACAGGCACCATTTGCTCGTACAGCTCAAATGGCCATGTTTGCGCGGGTGACATCCTATCCCCCACTGGGACAAATCACTCGTCTCCAACCGGCGCAGAAGACACTAAGGTCCGAAGAAGATGCGGTGAGTGTTGCAAATATGATCATTTCTGATGTTCCGAACAAGACTCTGCTACAATTATTGCGGTTACTATAAAAGGCTATACTGACAGGCTCAATAGCTGCGTTTCACGGTTATCATAGAGTCCAGCAGCTCATTTCCTGAACAGCCATGGGAAGCGCAGATCTGGCATAACATCACTGGCCCCGAATGGACATATCTACCATTGCAGAGATGCAACACAAACCAAGCAGCTCTTTTGACCGGAAATAATAGCGAGTATCATTACCACCGCTATGTATTCTCGGAGGAGGTATCCCTGCCAGATGCAGGAGGTCATGCACAGTTCACAGTCCGATTCAGAACTAGCCCACACACGGAATGGCAGTGGGTTAATCAAAGAAACAACGTGAGCGACGGTGAAATTGTATATAGCGCACGCCAATCTGACCTTGACATGGCTATGTCCACGGACGTCGCTGCGCGAGCTCCCAAAGAACGACTGGAGAAGTACATCGATAATCTTCATGATGACTTGCAGATTGAGACACGGCTTAGTGAAGCTCCTGGATCGGTCCTCTGGGCTATTTCTGGTGATATACAAGTTGTTCGAAATGGATCTTCATCCATCAAACGACTTGCGCTTGGCACCCCTTCGTCAGTGGTAAAGTATTTCTCATTGGTACGTGTTTCAAGCCCATGGCTGGGTCCTAGACATGGTAAGAATAACTTCCGTCTTACTGAAGATGCGATATTCTGCTCTTTCCTGCGCGAAGATGGCGTGAATCTTGTCTTACTGGCTGTTTCGGGAGTCAATGATGTTTTGACTATGTTTCAGTCAGGCGAAAACGGTGAAGTTGTGATCTCGGCAAAGAGTGACAACTCCGAGGCATCCAAATTCCATGTGCTTGTAAGCGCCGCGGAGAACTTTGAAGTTGCCATGTCTGCGGTAGTTTATGAAGCACGGAAAGTGGTCAGGCCATTTTCTGATGCGAGTCATCAGAATCCAGAAGATTCAGTTCCATTATCTCCCCCTGGCGATGATATTGTCCTTGTTGAGAAAGACCCAAGTGCACAGTGGCTTTCCGAATGGTTTGACGGCCTCACATATTGTACTTGGAATGGACTGGGACAGGACCTGACCGAAGAGAAGATATTACATGCGTTGGACTCATTGAAGACTAATGGGATCAACATTGTTAATCTTATTATCGACGATGGCTGGCAGACAAACGACAATGAAGGAGAGTCTCAGTTCAAGCAAGGGTGGAAGGAGTTTGAGGCTCATTCCAAAGGATTTCCTAAAGGATTGAAACATACCGTGGAAGCCATACGCCGGGCACATCCCAATGTTGAACACGTTGCGGTCTGGCATGCCCTGTTTGGTTACTGGGGAGGTATCTCGCCTGATGGTGATCTGGCTCAAAAGTTCAAAACAAAGCAAGTGAAGATCAAAGAATCCACCGCCAATGGTCCCATTGTGGGGAACCTTCCAGACGGAACAATCGTTGCCATTGATCCCGATGATATTAAGCGATTCTATGATGAGTTCTATACCTACCTTGCATCTGTCGGTGTAGACTCGGTCAAGACGGATGCACAATTCTACCTTGATCTTCTTGAAGATGCAGAGGATCGTCAGCGTTTTATGACTTCTTATCAAGATGCATGGTCTATTGCATCACTCAGGCACTTTAGCACTAGAGCAATTTCTTGTGGATCAATGACTCCTCAAATAATCTTCCATTCCCAAATGCCCACCAACAAACCTGCACTTCCATTGCGAAACTCCGACGACTTCTTTCCTGATGTTGCTGCCTCTCACCCGTGGCATGTATTCTGCAATGCTCACAATGCATTGCTCACCCGCTATTTGAACGTATTGCCAGACTGGGATATGTTCCAGACAAGTCACCCATACGCATCATTCCACGCCGCAGCACGATGTGTATCGGGAGGACCGATCTACATCACTGATGAGCCTGGTAAACATGACCTGACCGTGCTTGATCAGATGACCGCACCTACCGTTAAAGGGTTCACGGTGATCTTGCGTCCTAGTGTCATCGGGCGCACGATAGACATATACCATGACTACAACGAAGGACATGTCCTGCGTATTGGAAGCTATACTGGCTGGGCTAAAACCGGAAGTGGAATCTTGGGCCTTTTCAACATTCAATCCGCCGAGGCCTCGATTATAGTCTCTCTGATGGATTTCCCAGGAATTCACGAGGACTCCCAAGGCGAGTATATCGTGCGTGCACACAGCAGCGGTAAGGTCTCGCCGCGCATGCGGCTATTGACTCAAGACTCCTTGGTATCAGTTGTTCTGGAGCCAAAGGGCTGGGAGATTCTCACTGCGTACCCAACTCAGGCGTTCACGCTGACGGGAAGCCATGGCGGCAACTCTTCTGGTGATAGTGTGACACATGTGGCCGTGCTGGGCCTTTTAGGAAAAATGACTGGCGCTGCGGCTGTGGTGACTTCGGATATATCTGTTGTTGAGAATGGCCGTTTACGAATTGATATCAGCTTGAAAGCGCTGGGGACTCTGGGGATTTATTTCTCAGATCTTCAACATAGAAGCATTGCACAGAACTTCATGGTCATGATTTTGGGGCGGCCAATTCCGCAGAATACAGTCTGGAAGCAGGGTGGAGAGAATGCTAATGTACTGGCAATTGATGTATTGGCAGCATGGAAATCTATGAAGTTGGACAGTGGATGGAGTAACGAGGCCTTTGTACAGGTTTTTTTGGGTTAAGCTAACACCTTAAAGCGTTCTTCTTTGGAATTTGTGGTCGTTTTCTTGACAGAGACAGCATTATTCCAATACGGCATCTTTTCTCTTCAATATATACATTTCTGGCCCTAAGCCCTACATACAGTCCAGATTTGGAAATAAATCAACATGTCAGAGATAAGGGCCGCATTATTAATGTTCCGGACTTATCGAAAGAATCTCGGACATCTGGAGCTATTGATCGTGTCTAGGCCCAAGTTCATTGCGAACCATTTCGTTAATATTCGCAACCCCAAACCGGTCCAATGCGCCCACAGTCGACATCGCTCGGCCTAAGGCCATGCCGTAACCTCCTCACCCCCCGTCGGATCCCGTGCGGAGCGCGCAGCTTTGTCGCAACAACAGCGATTCCGCTCCGCCGTAGCAGTAACCGGCCAGTATTGTCCGCTTCGCAGTCTGCGACATGCTTCCAACAGCAGAGATGGATCACATTAAAACATATCCAACGTATGAAGGACGGGGAGAAGGAGTGGGCTGGATTCGCGAAGGAGATCAAGGCTGGGAACAGGAAGAACTTTGCGCAACACCTGGAGGAGCGAGGCTTAATTCATGATGTTGTCGGGTATGTTAAACTTGGAAGCAATGAATTCAATGTCATTGACTGCGAGAGAATTTTCGAATGGCGCGCTAATCGTTCCTTCGGCTTACAGTGAGCGGGACTTGTTGCATAAGGTTTTAACAGAGAAGCGGGCTGGAATATACGTTGGAATCGACCCGACTGCACCCTCAATGCACGTTGGACACATGCTTCCTTTCATGGTTCTGGCCTGGGGATACGTCTGGGGCTTACCTGTAACCTTCCTAGTAAGTTGCCTGCAACTTCGCGTTCCATTGAATGCCAGAACTAACACTCTATAGCTCGGCGGTGCTACTTCTAGAGTCGGCGACCCAAGCGGGCGTCTCAAGGGCCGAGACGCAGTGCATTCCTCAATCCGAAAAGCAAACATGGCTAGTATGCACATGCAATTGAAGAAATTAGGCTCGAGCATTGAGCAGTACGGCAGGAGACATGGATACGAGAAGCGCCCGATGTGGAAGCGGGCGTTGACGAACAACAACACTTGGTGGAACTCGATGCCTTTCCTTGAAGTGTTGCGAGATCTTGGCGCTTTCATGCGACTTGGTCCTATGCTCGGTAGAGATACGTAAGTTTTGGCAGATCTGACAGCGCTATTGGGCTATTGTCGCGAGTTTACTGACCGTTTCTACCAGCGTCAAGACGCGATTGAACCAAGGAGATGGCATGTCATTCGCTGAATTTTCCTACCCTATTCTCCAAGCCTGGGATTGGTGGACGCTGTTCCAAAAAGGCACTCAAATCCAAGTCGGTGGTGCCGACCAATATGGAAACATCTTGTTTGGCATGGAGGCTGTTAAGTCTATCAGCCGTAACACTGCCGACGAACAAATCCGCAACCCATTAGAATCAGAACTAGATCGGCCTATCGGTTTCACAACACCGCTATTGACAGCTCCGTCCGGTGAGAAGTTTGGCAAATCCGCTGGAAACGCTGTCTGGCTCGATAAGGACCTGACTTCTACATTCGAACTTTACCAGTTCTTTGTGCGCACACCTGATGATGCTGTCGAACATTACCTCAAGCTGTTCACTTTCATCCCCTTGCCTGAAATCACCACCATCATGGAAGAGCAGAACAAGGATCCATCCAAGCGCGTTGCGCAACACAAGCTCGCCCATGAGTTTGTCGAGCTTGTTCATGGCAAGGTCGAAGCTGATGCTGTGGCTCTCCAACACCGCCAGCTTTTCCGTCCCCGATCCTCAACTGCAGAGCCCACTCCTCTTATGAAGTCATCATCTATCGCCTCTGGCAACCCGCAATCTCCTACCGCTGGCTTCCAGACTCCTCAATCTGGGAATCCATATGCCCCCCAAACAAACTGGGCCAACATGGGCGATATCAAGGTCATCCTTCCAGAATCCCTTGTTTTCAACCAGCCCTTCAATAAAATTCTGTGGTCAGCTGGCCTTGTTTCGTCCAAGAGCGAGGGGCACCGAGTCATTGTCAACAACGGTGCCAAGGTCGGAAGCCGTCCTGGTGACAGTGGTCCCATGACGGACCAATTGTCTTTCACGCCCATCCGACCATGGGAGGCAGAGAAAACAAAGGAGTTTGTTCTGAATGACAACCTTTTAATGCTAAAATTGGGCAAGTGGAAGCTCAAGGCTGTTCACATTGTGACTGATGAAGAATTCCGCGCGCAAGGGCTCACAGCTCCTGGATGGGAGGAGACCGAGTCAATTGAGCCGACAGAGCCGACCAAGTCGGACTAAGGTAAAATTTCCACGAGATCTGTAATTCTACAATATCCAATCTGTACAATAGTATAAATATTATAAAGCCATCCTCACTTTTTAAGACAAATAAAATCCGAATACTCCGTACGGAGCAATAATAATGAGAAAGGACAATCTTGCGGGTGTCGATCAATGGACAGGTCGAGTCTCGGAGAAAGTGCTTTACGCGTCGACGCGATCCGCGCTTTATCTCCTCCCGCCCCCAGTTCCCTCACAACTCCCCTACCATGTTGAGTTGAGATTGTATCGTCATTTAGTGTCAATTGCTTTTATTCTATAAAATATGGCAAAACCATCGGCCTCGTCACCGTCCGCCGCGTCATCCCCCGCGCTCAAGCGAGCAACTCCAAGCACCCAGAATATGCGAAGCCAGAGGTCAATTCTTGGTTTCTTCCAAAAGTCCTCACCAGCGACTCCCTCGAATAATCGAATGCGAGAACCAGCGTCCTCCCCCGCACAGAGAGCCTCCGAAAAGCGCACAGAGAGCGCTGTCAAGCCCACACCGAAGGAACAAAAGCGAAGCTTCTCAAGCTTTGCGCAGGATCTGAGTCCTGTACCGAGCAGCGATCTTCCAGTACCAGAGAACGAAAATGAAAATAGAAGTCCATTGAAGGTATATCGATCTGGAGTGTGCTGTTTGTTTTATTCCTCCACCCTGACTGAACTCTTCACTCCTTAGACCACCAAAGAACTAGAACAGGACTCCAATATGTCGCCTTCACGTCGAGTATGTGTACCATCTGATTGCTCAACTCGGCTATTTTGCTGACTTATTTGACTAGGCAAAAAAGAAGGTCAGCTACAAGGAGTCCGACTCCGAGGGCGAGGATGATGATGAGGTTATCTTCCGTCCTAACCGCAAGGACCGTGTCTCAGGCCGTGCGGCCAAGAGAAGACGAACTGAACCGGACAGCGAAGATGAGTTCAAAGAGGCCGGACAAGATGGGGAATACTCGGACCTTGGTATGGTGTTATGTTCCTAGTTTATTTTACTCGTACATGACTAACCCGGTTATAGAACTCGACGATTTTATCGTTCCAGATGATTCCGATGAAGAGATAGCAACGTCTTCTAACAGGCGGAAAAGACCGTCCACGCAATCGGCACGCAAGCCTAGCTCCAAATCTTCCTCCGTCCCTGTTCCTCCCCCACCCGCTGATGACATCGATCTTGATATCCCGGAGGGAGAAGGCTCAGCGGGAACCGCGATGAGATGGGCGTTTGATCCGGAGAACAAAGAACCTCGGAAAGAAAGAGCTGATGCGGTGTCTACCAAGACAGCATCTAACACGAGAAAAGAAAAGGCCCACACCAAGGAACCTGAGCAGCGTTACCCATGGCTTGCTACTCTCAAGGACATGGACGGCAACCCTAAGGGCCACCCTGATTACGATCCTCGAACTGTCTACATCCCTCCGCTTGCATGGACCAGATTTTCACCTTTCGAGAAACAATACTGGGAGATCAAGCAGAAATTCTTTGATACTGTCGTTTTCTTCAAGAAGGGCAAGTTCTATGAACTTTACGAGAATGATGCCACCATTGGTCACCAACTTTTTGATCTCAAGCTCACCGACAGAGTGAACATGCGCATGGTCGGTGTTCCTGAGATGAGCTTAGATCACTGGGCAAACCAGTTCGTGGCCAAGGGCTTCAAGATTGCCCGAGTAGATCAATCTGAATCCGCGCTGGGCAAAGAGATGCGTGAGAGAGAGGGAAAGAAGCCCACCAAAGAAGATAAGATCATCAAGCGAGAGCTGGCATGTGTCCTTACTGCGGGTACACTAGTCGAGGGCTCCATGCTTCAAGATGATATGTCTACATACTGTGTTGCGATCAAGGAAGCGATTGTTGATGGACTTCCCGCATTCGGTATCGCATTTGTCGATACTGCTACGGGTCAATTCTTCTTGTCTGAGTTTGTGGATGATGTTGACATGACCAAATTCGAGACTTTTGTCGCGCAAACCCGCCCCCGGGAGTTGCTGCTGGAGAAATCTTGCGTTTCACAAAAAGCCATGCGCATTCTAAAAAATAACACCGGACCCACCACTATTTGGAATCTCATGAAACCTGGTAAGGAGTTTTGGGAATCCGATATTACAATTCGAGAGCTTGATGCAAGCGAGTATTTCGTCTCCGTGGACGACGATAATCTCACTGCCTGGCCCGAGACCCTGCGTCAAGCCCGCGAGAAGGAGTTGCTGATGTGTGCATTCGGTGCTCTGGTTCAATATCTGCGAATGCTGAAGATTGAGCGTGATTTGATTACCATTGGTAACTTCACGTGGTACGATCCTATTAAGAAGGCTACAAGTCTTGTACTTGATGGCCAGACCCTGATTAACATGGAGATCTTTGCCAATTCCTTCGATGGCGGGTCCGAGGGTACTCTCTTCCAGTTGCTAAACCGCTGCATCACGCCCTTCGGCAAGCGCATGTTCAAGCAGTGGGTATGCCACCCCTTAATTGATTCAAAGAAAATCAACGCAAGATTGGATGCTGTTGATTCACTCAACGCGGATCCCAGTGCTCGAGACCAGTTCTCCTCCCAGTTGACAAAGATGCCGGATCTCGAACGACTGATCTCACGTATTCACGCTGGCAACTGCAAGGCTCAAGATTTTGTTCGTGTACTGGAAGGATTTGAACAGATCGATTATATCATGGGTCTTCTCAAGGAAAGTGAGACTGGCTCAGGAGACAGCATTATTGGTCAATTGACAGCTGCGATGCCCGATCTCGCCTCCCTACTGGGATACTGGAAGACCGCATTCGATCGTCCCAAGGCGAAGGAGAGTGGAATCCTTGTTCCGGAGTCCGGTGTCGAGGAAGACTTCGATAATTCCCAAGAAATCATTGAGCAACTCCACCGGGACCTCGACACCTTGCTGAAGAAAGCTCGCCGGGATTTGGGATCGTCTGCTATCTGCTACCGGGATAATGGCAAGGAAATCTATCAACTCGAAGTTCCCATCAAGGTGAAGAACATCCCCAAGGATTGGAACCAGATGTCTGCGACCAAGCAGGTGAAGCGATACTACTTCCCTGAGCTTCGAAGCCTCATTCGCAAGTTGCAAGAGGCCCAGGAAACTCACAGTCAAATCGTTAAGGAGGTTGCTGGACGGTTCCATGCCCGTTTCGATGAAAATTACAGCACATGGCTGGCCGCCGTCAGAATTATATCGCAGCTCGACTGCCTCATCAGTTTGGCTAAGGCTTCCGGGGCTATTGGTCATCCTAGTTGCCGACCAGTGTTTGTGGATGCTGAACGAAGTGTCCTCGAGTTTGAAGAGCTCCGTCACCCTTGTCTTCTTTCTTCTGTGGAGGACTTTATTCCCAATGATATTCAGCTTGGTGGAAATCATGCTAGCATTGACTTGTTGACTGGTGCTAACGCGGCCGGAAAGTCTACTGTTCTCCGAATGGTGTGTTCACCCCGTTCCCCCCTTGTTTGAATGATGTCGCTAACAAGTATAGACCTGTGTTGCTGTCATTATGGCCCAAATTGGTTGCTACCTTCCCTGCCAGTCAGCCCGACTGACCCCAGTCGACCGGATCATGTCTCGACTCGGCGCAAACGACAACATCTTCGCTGCGCAGTCAACATTCTTTGTTGAGCTTTCCGAAACAAAGAAGATTCTTTCGGAGGCTACACCACGCTCACTCGTCATCCTTGACGAACTTGGCCGCGGAACTAGCTCTTATGACGGTGTCGCTGTGGCCCAGGCCGTACTCCATCACATTGCTACTCATATTGGAGCCCTGGGCTTCTTTGCCACCCACTACCACTCGCTTGCTGCCGAGTTTGAAAACCATCCTGAGATCGCCCCCAAGCGTATGGCCATCCATGTAGACGATGTCGAGCGCCGTGTGACATTCCTGTACAAGCTTGAGAAGGGTGTTGCGGAAGGCAGTTTCGGTATGCACTGCGCCTCCATGTGCGGGATTCCAAGCAAGGTCATTGAATGTGCGGAGAATGCTGCCCAACAGTGGGAGCACACTAGTCGGCTCAAGGAGAGCCTCGAGCGCCGTAAGGGCGGCGGTTTGGTCGGTCTGGGCTGGTGGAGTGATGTGGCCTGGGCCCTGCGTGAGTCTGTCACAGATGAAGACTCGAAATCAGGCGATGTCTCTGATCGTGGCTTGGATGTCTTGATGAAAGCAATTGAGGCACTTTAGTTACTCAGGTACTTGTTCGATGGTGCTTCGCTTGTTCTTCTGTTCATTTTCATAATGTGGGTCTATCGATATACTCTCTCTTTCTTTCATTTCAACTGGCCGGTCGTGTCAGCTCTCATTCTCTTTTTTTACATGTTTTTTCAAACGGCGTCTCTGGATGTGTTCGGTTATCTCGTCAGGTTTCCCGAATCTAGTCTCCTATCTCTATGAATATGCATTACCATAGCAAATCATGTTTTCCATTCCTATCGGCTTTGAATCCATCATCAACCCTATCAAACTAGGTCACAAATATCACTGCTCCTTTTTTTCTTGTTCCTCTGCGTTCAAAAGAGACCCTTCTAATCGAGCAAAACATCCAACACAATAGAAAATATCGCCACAAATACGCAGTCCAACAATTCAACAATTTAATCATAGTCCATGCCTACATGTAGATACCCGCTTCCCCTTCTGGCAAGCGCGATAGCACCAATCAATTCAGACATGAGTTTCAGGCCCTTCAGATTATTCGGGTTCCTCTGGGTCCTTATCTTCCTCGTACATAGAGTCACCCCTTTCATCATCCTCTGTGGTCCTCACGGCACGGTCATCTTCCTTCGATGCATCTTCTTCCAGAGTAAGGCCATCCATAGCTCCTCTAACGAGGTCTTTATCTGGGGATTCAGCAAGTTCATTGGTTTTGTCAAGCTTCTTGCGGTTCCGGGTCTGGGACTTCGTCTTGACTTTCGGTGCACCCGCTGCCAGAGTAAGACCATCCATAGCTCCTCCAACTGGGTCTCCAACCGGCAACTCAGTGAGCCCATTGGGCTTGTCACGGTTTTTTGCGATTTCTCAGTCTGAGACCTGTTCTTAACTGAAGTGGACTTGATATATGCTCGAGCAGTTCGGTGTTCGAATTCTTCCTCCCTGCCACTATCGTTATCGGAAACATCAGCCAGTCTACTGGGCTTCTCGGATCGCTTGCGCTTGAGTCTATCATGGCTTTCACGTGAAGAAGAGGCGTTTATCTCTGCACCGGATGCCTCGTCTGCGCTTTCTTCTGTAGATCCATAATGGTAATTATATGGGTCTCTATCACGCTTCCCACCACGCTTGCGCTGGATATTCTGGTGGCCTGCGCGGAAAAATGAGGACTTGATTCCCGTCTGGGAAGAACCGCCTCTACCCTTTCCCACTTCATGGCTTGTAGGGTATTTGGTGTGTCTGTTGTGCTTCGTAACTTTTTGCTTGATTTTATTGTGTTCGATATTCGTTGGGAGTTTGAGGTTCGCCAGAAAAGACCTCTCGCCCTCGACTTCGCTGTCGAGAATCGTGGCCTTGCCTTTCTGCTTGGCGTTCTGATCATGGCCCTTTGGCTGAGAATCGTCGATCTCTGCTTCAGAAGACTTGTCAGGCAAAGGCTCTGACTTCTTGTGCTTTGAAGACTCTTCTGCTCCGTCATCGGATGTCTCTTCTTCACTGTCGTCATCCGTAACCATCGGTATCAACTACGGATCGTAAACAAGCAATTTGCGTAATTCTTTCTGAGCACCAACGTATGCCTTTCTAGCATACCGGCAGCTAACATTTGTAAGACGCGCCAGATGAACCTCGTCCATTTTCTAAAGAATGTGTTTAGCAAGTACGGGCTAATATTGAGAGCAAGTAGGCAATAACCTGTACACCGTAGCAAAGATTTGCAAGAATTAGGAACTTGACATCGGCCCTAAAAAGACCCACCCATTTAGGCCTCCTATTTCGTTGTCGATGAAGCATAATTTGTTGGTAGATAGACTTAGCTATTGACTTGATGAACTAGAATCAAAGCCTGAATGAAAGAATACAGGTGTCGAAGGAACACAAAGGACAAAGGAGCGGGGAGAGGCAATTTATACCATAAAGTCAGACATGGATAATGCGTGCGCATATTGCCAGCCATATCATTTTGTTGTGCAATGTGATTTTTTCCATTGGGCAAACCTATGGTGTGGCCATTCTCATTCGAGAGGGCAAACTAGATACACCCAAGATACACCCATTCTGTTATGTACTTCCAGTCAAATCAACATCTCAGATACTCAGATCCCATGAAAGTTTCTGCGAGAAGTTGCCAGTCAATATCCTAGGGGGAGACAGAGAGCACATTAAATTCCCCAGTCTTAGCTCGCATTTCATGTCGAACGTGATGACATATTTGGACTGCTTAGTCAATAGGTTCAGGCTTGATGACAATATCGGCTTCACTCTTCTCCGGAATCTCGATTTCGTCTTCAGATTTGGCCTCAAGCTTGACGGGAGTCTCAATACTTTCTCCAGACTTCGCCTCGGTCTTGGTCTCAAGTTCGAGGTTCGGCTCTTGTTCCACAACTTTCTCGCGACGCTTTGCTCGGCTCTTGGCAGGAGAAGGTTTGCCCTGCATGGGGGACTCGGGCTGGTCGTCTAGCATGTCGAGCTTGTCCTCGAAAATCTTTTCAAGCTTGCGTTTCAGAGTTGGGAACCGGCTGGCTGCCGACTTTCTCTTCATGTCAGTCAGCTTGCCGAGTTTCTCGGTATCAAGCTAATTTATAGATACTGTCAGCTGGATCCATGGTTTGAAGGCTGGCATATAGAGTGTGCTTACCTTTCCGTTGGTGCACAGAATACTGGCCATAAGCAGCTTGACTTCAGCGCCTGTCAGATCACCCATGTAATCAGATTTCTTTTTACCGGGTGTGCTCGACATTTTTTCGGTTGGTAGTATGTGTAGTGGTGTGTCTTTGTATGACTGATGAGGCAGAGGGTGTTGAGCTGTGCAAAGACAGAAATATGTGTTGTGGTGAAGTGATGATGGTACGGAACATGAGCTGTTATGTGATAAAGAGGAAGGAGATTTGCTTTTACTTTATTCGTGGAAATAAGAAAATTGTGATATGCGGCTCGAGGACCACAGGCTATATGTATTATATCTCTCGAGTCTAGCAGTACATGCTTCACTACCATTTCAAGTATGAATCTTCAGATTCTGGATGATTCATCGCGAATGAGGTTTTATCCTACAATTAACTTGACCAACATATGTAGACTTTCTGGAACCTTAAGTGTCGGTAAAAGTCACCAATCCGACCGCTGATTTTAGCCTGACCGCTGGTAGACCTAATTTCATCCTAACTATCAGTATCCTCGACATGTCTCGCCTTCACAGCCCCCTCATTGTCTTGGAGTTATTCCCATCCTCAGCTCGCTCAGCTTTCTTGGTAGTCATACCAGCGGTCCTCTTCTTTTCCCATTTCTCGAGGCTACATCGGTCCTTAGTGAAGGTGGCTCTAGCAGAGTCAGGCGTGGCGTTGCTAAATACCCCGAGCTTCTTCCAATTAACCTGCCCAGAACATTCATCTTAAGCTCAAATACTATGAACACAATCTCTCACTTACCTTGGATCTTTGTATGCCCAGATATCCTAGCAGGAGATGGTCCATCTGGCTTTGGTTGAACCCTGAGCACTTCGACAGTAACGTACAAAGCTATGGAGTGGGGGACATAGCTCAAATAATTGATACAAATAACGTTTAGCTAGCATTCTTTTATCGTCCAAGTGATGTTGTCGTCTAATTAACGTCCACCAAGCACCTCATCCACATTTATTCTTTCAACACAATGCAGCTCCAAAGCAGGGACAAACAGGGACCCAACGCCAATAACGTCCTGCATGAAATCCCCAATTACCAACCTTGGAATGTGTTTGTACATGTATTATGCGCTTATGCATGTAGCCCGCGGGCTTCTGGAACGTGAAAATGCAATATCCACTGTGCTTAATTTGGAGTGCTTCATCACTCGTGAAACAAACTCCCAGTAGATACATATGTTTTTCTTCCCTCAAGAGCATTCATAATCCCCTAGAAAGCCTCCTTGCAATCTCCTAATATCCTGCTCCTAGCCATCTGCTAAAAAGAAAACCAGCGATTCTCAAATTTGTTCCATCTCATGCTCTTGGAAGTTACTGGACCTGGAATTAATTCTCGTCCTGTTCCTCATCATGTGCTTCGTGCTCGTAAGTTTCATCATCGTCTTTTCCAGGCAATGGGGACTCAGGGAGGTGCTGGTTCACAGCCAGATCAAGGACAATCTCGTCGGTCTTGTCTTCCACATGATGCCTCTCCTCCTTTTGCTTAGTCCGGAGCTTGTTGGCCTCACCAGTGGCGACGGGCTCGGCGATGGGATCGGTGGCGGTCTCAGAGATAGTGGTCTCGTGGCTGGTATCTTCAGCTTGTTTGACAGTGGTCTCGATGGTAAGACTGAGCTCGGGATCGATGGGCATTTGGTCTCCACTCTCCTCGGACTTGATAACAACCTTACCACGCTTGGGGTTGCTGGTCGCCTTGGTTGCATTGGGGGTCTTTGGAGCCTTTGGAGTCTTGGGGGTCTTGGGGGTCCTTGGAGTGCGAGGCTTGGCCTTCGCATTGGACTTTCCACGCTTGGAGGGAGTCTCCTCGGGCGACAGGTCAGCCTGGGCACCGCTGCCATCGGCATCAGCATTGTCATCGCCGTACAGCTTGTCAAGCTTTCGCTTGGCATTTCGGAAAAGGGTCTGCGCGGAAGAGGACTTGATGCCAGCGTTCAAAGCAAGCTTGTCATAGTCGATCTTAACGGTCCAGTGCGTTAGCAGGAATACTTTAGTGAGCAAACTCGGGGACCAAATGACCTACCTTGTCATTCTTCAAGCAGACATTGGCAAGCACCAGGAGCTTAGTCTCAGTGGCAGAAATGCCGGGGAACAGCTTGTCCTTGGCGGCAGTTGGGGACGACATTTCAGCTGAATTTGATGGAATTTTACTTAAATGGGGTGATGAGAGTCGCGTCTCAAAACAGATTTGAGCTGATAGCACGAGTGTGGGTTGGAAGAAGGAGGTTGAATGAGGTGTGAAAGTGAAAGATAAAAGCACAAACCGTGTGTATCTTGGGAGGAAAGATGAGAAAGAGCACAAGTTGAGACCAGTTATGGAAATGAGGGCTATTTAACTGTTTTCAAACGATCAATCACGAGAAATGCAAGGATGAATAGGATTTCTTAGAAGGCCTTCGAATCACCACAGAATTGCCTACGATGAGAGCTAAGTGAGACCTCGAGCACAAATATGAGGCTACATGAACAGACTCGATTTTCCCTAAAAACTCGGGCCAATGACTTGCTAGCAACTGACTTCACTACGATACTACATGGGGTGTCAAAAGTCTGTTAACACACCCTCGATCACTAACAAAATCGCCATTTTTTGGCTTTTATTCTTTCCACAAAGCTATAGGACAGGCTGTTTTTGGAATTTTCTTTTATTTTAATAGATTCAAAAATCAGGATATAAATAATACAGAATTCTTCTGTGGGATTATTCTACATCGACTTGTTCATCGAAATTCGGGAACCTCGTTTTTGTCCAAATTCACAATGTTTTTACTATGGGGCGCCATAGTGAAGCGCTGATTATAGAGACATATATATAATATATCTAATACCGAGTTTTACCTTAGATATATTGACAAAATAGTTGTCGTACAAATTTGGTGAGAAACGAGAGTTTAAAGATCGGCATTTTAGGTTAGCATTTGTATGCGCATATAGAGTCAACACGTTCGACACTCTATATATAGTTACTATAAGTTAATCACTACCTACTTAGACATTCATTATTAACATCCAATAAGGCCTAAGTAACGTTCGAGTAACGTCTAAGTACCGCGAAATCTAGAATTCTACGGCTGGTTGACATATTTAATGTCTAATAACGTCCGAGTAACGTGAAATCTAGAATTCTACGGCTGGTTGACATATTGAATGTCCAATAACTTCTATATAACGTTCAAGTAACGTCTAAGTAGCGCGAAATTTAGAAATCATACCAGCAGTTGAGAAGTAGGCATCAGCATTATTGTGACTAACCAATTCGCAGATAGATATTTAAGCAATAAGGCTATGGCTTGGCCTTTTGAATTTGCTGGTAGATTCCATTCCACAATTCCGGAAAGAAAGCTGATGTCTGTTTCCCCGGTTTGCTGTGGGTTCCAGTATAGAACTGGGTTGGAGCTCTGCCCTGCCACCATCGTTGTGGCGATGGATTCAGATTCTTGAATGTGACTGGCCGGAGGGTATCTTTGAACGGAACGAGATCTCCAACACGAACAGCCGTTTGCTTGGGAATGGTGTTGAATCGCATGCTAGTGAGATATAGCACGGCCGTGGGAGGGAGGTCTTTCGCATACTGCACAGCAGCTTCACGGGACTTCCTCGCAAAGGCGGGCAGCGCCAGATGGATAAAGTTCACGTACGGTGCAGCAGTATAGGAGACGAAAATCATTGGAAGGGCGCCGGCGGCAATCACTAATCAAAATTAGCATGGACGCTCAGGTGGTGGAATATCCAAGTTATGTAGCTTACCCGCAGGCGTGCTGTACCAGGGGTAATCAGCCACGGAGCATGCAGGTGCAACAATTAGACATGCTGCGCCGAATAGAAGCACTGTAGTGATTCGCAGTGTTCCCAGAAAGACAGCTCTACCTGTCCCTCCGTAATAGACTAAGATTCGTTCAGGTGGTCCTAAAACGCTAGCTCAGCATATGTCCTTAATATCCGGTGGGCAGGGTTCACAATACCTGTCCTAGTGGTTGTCTTTGAAGGTGTGAGCGTTCTTGTGACTGGAGAACGTGTAGCTGGAAGGGTTTCCTTTGATTTTGGTAATGGTGAAAGATGCTTTTGAGACGGCCGAGGGATCTGTGACTTGAAGCGGACCCAGACGCTCCTCTGGAGACTGCGCTGGGCACATTGTGGCAGAGTTTTGCGTAATTGAGGGTGAAGTAGAATCTGTAGTCGCATTGTGTCTTTGTAATGTAGTTGGCTTGCAATTTGGACGTTGATTGACCCCAATACATCGGCGCGCCGCGACGCCGATTGCTCGGCAAAAAGGTCACCGCCTTAGCTTCCGCTCTATTTGGATTGCTGCACGAGCCGACCCCTGCCAGCATTTGACACGTTCCCCTTTGATCTCATATTCTATGACACTGTTGAGTACCTGGCTGGACTCGACTTGCAATCTATCTGATAATTGCTTGGATGCAGGTCATGAGCAGTTAGCGTGAGCTTTCCTTCAACGCCATGTCTCCGGCTTATCATATCCCACCTGGCATTGTGTCACTCTGGCTAGGCCTCCTTATAGTGCTTTTCACATGTGTAGATGCATATGAGGAAATCTCAGATAATACGCTGAGCGGACTCCTGCGGCCCAATAATGACTTCGATATCCACAACGGCGCCCTATTGTCACCTATACTAAGGACCCGTGTCCCTGGCACACCTGGCTCTACCGCAGTGCTCAATCACTTCGCCGACTTTTTTCGAACTACACTGCCCAAATGGACCATTGAGTTTCACAATTCTACAGCCAAAACCCCATTATCAAATGGGAAGGATGTACCTTTCCGAAACTTCATCGCTACTCGCGATCCTCCTTGGGCCTCCGTTGGTGACGTTGGCCGGCTCACTCTTGTCGCCCATTATGACAGTAAAATAGCACCTGAAGGGTTCATCGGAGGAATCGACAGTGCTGCGCCATGTGCAATGATTATGCATGCCATGCGCAGCATTGATGCCGCACTGGAGAAGAAATGGTCCGCGTTGAAGGAACAGGAACTCTATGGCTACCTCGAAGAGGAGCGGGGTCTCCAAGTTATATTCTTGGATGGTGAAGAAGCCTTCAAGGAATGGACCGCCACCGATTCTCTCTACGGATCTCGTGCCTTGGCTACACATTGGGATGACCAAGTATATCCCGCGATGTCGGAATTCAAGGGACCCTTGTCTTCTATATCTCTTTTTGTCCTTTTGGATCTTCTGGGCTCTAAATCCCCAACAATTCAATCTTACTATGAGACCACCCACTGGGCTTATCAACGCTTGGGTGCCCTTGAAAAACGGTTCAAGTCATTGAAGCACTTCAAGTCTAACTCGGCTGATTCGTGGTTCATTGACACCGAAAACGACGGTCACCGGCTCGCGCCTATGGGTGGCATCCAGGATGATCACCTTCCTTTCCTCGCAAAGGGGGTTGAGATCCTTCATCTCATTGACTATTCTCCGTTCAAGGGATTCCCTCCTGTTTGGCATACAATCGACGATGACGGGGAGCATTTAGATTTGGATACCGTCGAGGACTGGAGCATGCTAGTTACTGCCTTTGTTGCGGAATGGATGGAGTTGGAAGGATTCTTTGATCGTCCATCCTCCCCTAGTCCACGCAATGACGAGTCTGCTGAGTTGGAAGCGCTTCGCCTGAGCAGGAAGACTGAGTTGTAAGCCATTCTTCCATTTACTTACCTCTTGATGTTTTTGGTCTCCTGTCTAGCCTTTTCCCCTCTGCTATATACCCAATGCATTTCTTTACGGACCAATGGCATAATATCCTCAGTTGAACCGACTATGTAGATATTCCATGGCATTGTCTCCTTTGCTAATCAAACCTGGGATGCAGCTCATGAGATATCCGAACTTCCATCTTTTTGGACTTTCCTCGCATCGTCATGCACCGATTTCAACCCTACTCCCCCAAGAAGACGCCCAAGTTCGACGAAGCTAATGAAGAATTCAATGTCTATAATTTCTTATCATATTCCCATTAAATGAGGTTGCCCAGCATGTATCCACCCATTGTTATCAGTCCCCAAGTTGGTTGTAGGACTGTTCGCAAAATTGCAGGGCCTGGGCAGACCCCTTTCAGTCCCCAGGCTATCCCAAACGTCGCAGCACCCGCAACAAACCGCCAATCTATGTCACTCACTGTGGCTGTTGACAGTTGCCATTTCTCAGCAAGGGTAGGCTTTGCAACAGGCTTTCCCTTTTCAACTGCTTGGCCTGGTTTCTTAGTCAGGAAAGTGTACAGGGATGGTCCAATTCCAAACAGAATGATCAACACCAGCGACGGATCGAATCGGGATAGGTCAGTCAGGAAGGCAAAGAACCCGAGCACCTTGGCTGGAGCCGCCATTCCGGATATTAAAAGACCCAGACCAAATTCCAACCCTGCCACATAGGAATAACCAACCCTAGATTCCTCCGACCGAGGGATCATCCGCGGGACAATGATGAAATTTGTTATGGTCGCCAGCAGCACTGCACCAGCCATGAATCCCAACTCTGGCCCAGATGGATACACTGGTGTATAGCACGGGGTGGTACCACAAGACGGGATGTTGGATCCGCCCCCGACAAAGTTTGCCGTGAGCAATGCAGTTGTGAAGAAAACGGCGGTTGCAATAAACGAGCGGGGCGAGAGACGCGAAAGGCCACACAGCATGTGTCCGGAGGTACAGCCTCGACCGTTCTGCATTTACTTAGTCAATCTGTTCCTCGTTCTCTGATCATGGTGGATACTCCTCACCTTTGTTCCCCATCCCAATAGGAAGCCCACTCCCAATGTTCCTGCAGCAGAAGCCCAGGAATATGGAGGTGCGGGATAGTTTGGGATCAGTGATGGTGCCAGCAAGTACACTGGCACAATGCTGGACACCAAACCTGCGATAATGGGCACATTATCACGACTCGGGTTGAAGGCGCACCCGGATAGAAGAGAGGATATGCCGAAGACGGCACCGTTGTGTATGAGCAGGCCGGATGACCCGTGAAATAGTAACAGTGCGCCCAGTGTGGTGTGAATTGGGGTGAACATGATTTTGATGCTCTGTCGATTTCTTTTTATTAAAGTTTTCTTCCTGATGTCATTGCGGGAAGTGTTGGTCTGGCGTTTGATAGGAAGATTATGACAGCTGCATAGAACATCCAAAGAAGGTAGGAAAAGAGATCTATAATCGGGGAATTTCTGGAACACAATGTGTTAAAAATAAATCCAAAAAACAAAGGAGCCCATATAGGGTTTCCATATATTCTGACATCTCAAGAAATTTCCGGATCGGGGACCATTGACGTCGCCGTTATGGTGGTCCCCGATCATTTTCTGTCGGCATCTCTCGGTAGTCAGCTAGACCATTAGGGGTTTATTGGTTGACTATTCGAACTTTCACTCTAAATTTCATCATTTCAAGCGCTGTCATGTACTAATTTATCCGCATTGGTCCCTGCATACAGTAGCATGACACCACAACTCGAGTAACTTATGTTTGGATAAACATCTTCAGTCAGTCAGGAGACCTCCTGAGTATTAGCAATGAATGTGACAATCGTGACATATGTAACAACTGTGACACCGAGGAAATGAGACATCGGAGTGAACAGCTGGCCCAATTAGGGCTCTCCGTCTCGTGAAGCAATCGCAATACAACCCCTTCTACATGTTCCATCTGTTATTCCAAAACCCTTCTCTCGCAAATGGTATCTTCTAATTGAGCATATTAGGCTTAATTCTCAATTTTGATTCGTATTCAAGAATGGGGAACACATCCAGCGTTGTGGGCCGTGAGTGCTTCATGGCCGCCGTGGGTGGAGACACTAATATGGCTACCTTCCGCGGAGATCTGCTGTATGAATTTCGGGCTCTACCATCGTATAACTTGGCCATTCCTGTCCATCCTGATGTGATCACATATCCGAATACTACGACTCAAGTCGCTGAAATTGTGCGTTGTGCCGTTGAGGGAAACTACCAGGTGCAAGCTTACAGTGGAGGTCACAGCTATGGCAACTATGGTAACTATGGTATCTTTTTGGTCTAAATCCTTCCCTTGCTAAGCCAACCGTACTATGATAGGACTGGGAGGGGCCGATGGTCATGTCGTCGTCGACTTAAAACATTTCCAGAACTTCTCTATGGACCCTGACACTCATATTGCCACGATTGGCGCCGGTACAAACCTGGGTGATCTCCAAGACCGACTTCTGCATGCAGGTGGTAGAGCAATGGCCCATGGATCTTGTCCACAAGTCGGCGTTGGTGGTCATTTCACCATTGGTGGTCTCGGTCTGATGTCGCGACAATGGGGAACTGCGCTGGATCATGTGCTGGAGGCTGAAGTAGTCCTAGCCAATTCCAGCATTGTGACAGCATCAGAAACCCAGCACCAGGATATTTTCTGGGCTATCAAAGGTGCAGCCGCCAGCTTTGGCATCGTCACTCAGTTCAAAGTCCGCACTCAGGAAGTTCCCAAGGGTGCCGTGCAGTACACGTATACATTTAGCCAGGGGAACGTACTCGACAAGGTCAAACTTTTCCAAGCCTGGCAGTCCGCTGTGGCAAAGCCTAATATTACGCGCGATTACTCTACAGAGCTCACAATCTTTGGGGACGGTATTGTGATAACGGGCAGTTTCTTTGGGACCAGAGAGGAGTTCCATGAATTTGAGCAGGAAAACAATCTCCCAATTCAAAACATGGGCAATGTGGCATACATCACGAACTGGCTAGCCTTAGTAGCCCACGCGGCTGAGAATTACCTGGTCTCGATCGGCGGAGCCTTACTCACTTCGTTCTACTCCAAGTCAGTATCATTCACAGTTGACGAACTATTCACCGAGCACGCACTAGTCGCCTTGTTCACATACCTCGACACCGCACCGAAGGGCACTCCGAACTGGTGGATTATTTTCGACCTGGAAGGTGGCGCAACCAACGATGTGCCGATGAATGCCACGGCCTATATTCACCGCGATGCTGTTATGTGGATGCAATCTTATGCTGTTATCGGATTTGAGCCTCCTGCATTTGTTTCCAGGAGGTTCCTCGATCGCTTGCATCAAGTTGTGATAGATAATCGACCACCTGGTCCTCTGCGTTCCTATCCGGGATATGTTGACCCTTACCTAAAGCATGGTCAGGTGGCTTACTGGGGATCTAATCTTGAACAGCTGCAGAGAATCAAGACTCGCGTGGATCCGAAGGATGTCTTCCACAACCCGCAGAGTGTGGCTGTTAATCCCATTATCGATTCTCATGGCTTGGTTTACTGACATACCAGCGGGCACTGTTACATAGTTTTGTTGTTATTTACTTTGTTATATTTATGTAGGCATGTAGTATCAAATTGGAACAAATTTGGGGTTCAAACATTTCTCATGAGAAGTATAGTTGTGGTTCCAAAATATATAAGCTGTAAATGGCGGACGTGATTTGACAGTTAAGAAACGAACATCAAAAACAGTACTCCGTACATGTAGTCGCCACCTGTCTGTCCCACTAAACAGAAATTTCCCAGAAAACTAAGAATTACGTACCTTTTATATAGCATGTATACAAAAGGTACATGTTTTTGATATCAGATATGGAGAATTGAAGACCATATGTAAGAGATATGCTCCGTATATAGAAACATAAATGTTCCAACACTTATGCTATAGTTATGTACTTGATATTTCTTTTCAAAGCCATCATTAAATGAAAAGGTATTTACATAGGGATTACGGAGTACTATATTCTCCCTAATTATTCCATAGATAGAAAAAATCCCTAACATGAATATATCATGTCTAAGTAGCTTTTGTATAGAAATCCTATATAAAAGGTACATAAGTTGGAATTTGTGTTAAATTTCTGTATTCTGGGACGGACCTATACCTGGTAAAGTATGTTGTGGCGGAGTAGGAAGATGGGGGCTTTCCATTGAGGAAGCCCACCCGGGATTTATCCTTCAACATAAATACTACTATAAAAATTGATTATGCTTGCCTTATTAAAGATTAATGTCCAACAATGTAGGATGGCTATATTGTAATTTTTGTAAACAAACATGTGAGGGCCGGTTCTACAAACTATATATACAGAGTACTACTAAGACTATTTCGGCAAAGTATTACATGTTCATGCCGTGATGTGTTTCGGAGCATCCATCTTACCCTTTCAAAAAATCTCACATTTCCATCTAGCATCACTTTCCCTTATTACACCGACCTTTTACCAGCGCTGTGTGAAAGATGGTACCTTTATACCTTCAGCTCGAAAGTCGCTACCGTGACCTAGAGGAGATTCGTGAATCCCTTTGGAACTTGGACGGCGAAGTTCTCACTTATGAGATGGTTGAGCACCTCAGTATCGATTTTCATCACGTAGATATCGATACCGGTGCGACATCCGATTCAGTGACCCCTTACTTCCTTCCACGATCATCATTTCCTAGTTGTCGTGATATGAGTGGGGATCTCATGGACTGGATGTTCGACGCGGGACAGGACCGGGCCACTTACGGGAAAGCATTGAACCCACCTATCATACCGAGATTCTTTCCAGCGGCCCTACAATTAACACATGAAAATTACGCGTGTGAGATGAGTGAAGATTTATACGACCTTATCTCCAATTGGAAGTAAGCTAATCCCTATACTAAGCCCTATACCGCTCTAGAGCTATCTACTAATAACTAATATACAATTCCAGAATTGTACACCATGGTTGGGTGAGAGATAGGTAAGTATCCTTTGCTATATGCTTCAAAAACAATAGAAATTATATACTAAAAACTGGTTTAGAACCTTTTGGAAGGAACACGTACCAGGGCGTCCTCATCATTTTAGCCGCGAAATCAGATATATGACCGTTAACGAGGAGAAGAAAGGAGTTCCCTCCCTTAGCCACCATATTCTATCACCACAGTCCTCGAGTCATTGTATGACTGATGCTATCATCTTTGATTGCCATAAGGGACTACCTTCAATCAGTGAAGTGGCTGCAGTGGTCGAGGAAATCCTAGATGCAATGAGGGCACAAAGGAATGAACTCCGAAGTATGACGGATGAGCAAAGCCTAACAACATTTCATCATATATTACCGGTTTGCAGCGTTTATATCCATTCCACAAATAAAACCACTAATTATAGGTTCTAGAGAATGGTCCGACTATACGATTTGTATGGGCATTGTCGCCTACTCTATGCTTATTTTGATGGTAGGTTGAGGGTTCAGTTTACCGAGGTCCTGGATTTTACGCCATTTGCAGTCGAGCCCCCACCTGAGAAAGACTACCTTGATATTATCGACTTGCCTAAATACTATGACACGATGGATAAATGGATCAAATGGGCGTGGCCAGTTCAACAAGGGGATACCAGCAAAAGGAGGCTTGAAGAATGTCAAAACTTGTTGGATGATCCTATTAATGCTTGATTGTCTAGGCTTATTTGCTTGTGGACTGAGCAATTTGATTGTCAGTCTTGAGGGTATAAATACCATGCTTTTGCTAGATTGAATGGATCATAATTCTTGCTTCTCTTTCGTTGGCTATACCAAATTTGGAAGTCAAGCCGCTTGTTACTAAGCCATCTGCGACGTCCCTCGGGACATCAACTCATCTTTCCATACTATACAGGTAATAATACATGAATTGAATCATCCAAATGATGTATGCTATGGCTGTAACTCTTGCTTGACACTGGCTGCGATACACCTCTAGCCCGACATTTAAAGCTCCAATCATGAAACGCGTCTGCAGCCCAGATACCAACCCAGATACCAACCCAGATACCAACCCAGAAACCAGCCCAGAGCATGAGCCGAGAATGGAAATCCCGATAGATGATCAGCGCCCAATTCTCTTAAGCCTAAATGCCCCCGTCTCTCCCCCGCGGAAAAGGTCATGCATTAACCGGGCCAAGGATGGAGATGGAGGAGACGGTATCCCGCTGAACGCATCACAGCTAAACACTTCATCCAGCCTCGCTGCCATCGAAGCAGGTCAGGTTGAAGTGACCGACCATCTGAGCACAATCTCTAAAAAGCTCAAACAATGCGTTCGCTCACTTTCACAACAACCAATCCCGCGGCTACCGATCAAGGAATGGATGGAGCTGTACAGGCGAAACGAACACCCAGAAGGACGCCATTTCGTCATTCATCAGCATGATCATCCCATCGCAGGGCCCCATTATGATCTCCGCCTCCAGTTCTCAGAGACAAGCTCTGTCAGTTGGTCGGTCATGTATGGGATGCCTGGAGATCCGAATAGCCAGCGATTAAATCGGAATGCGACTGAAACTCGGATCCATTGTTTATGGGTTGGTAATCTGGAATGGGATGATATAATATCAATTTACTTACATCTTCACAGAATCACCTCATTGAAACAGCTTCCCATAAAACGGGGAGCTTGATTATCTGGGATACCGGAGAATATGAAGTTCTACCTTATCAGATGGACCGATCTGGTCCCGATACGGACGATCCTCGATCAGAGATCTCTGAAGATGGTCACGGCCCACCGGAAGAGCAGATCTCAGATAGTGCGAAGTTGCAGGAAGCTTTCAAGAATGTAGGTATATCCTTGTACAACGCGGAGATAATGGCTTTTTCTAACGCCGCACCAAGCGCAAAATCCGACTCCGACTGCATGGAACCCGCTTACCAAAAGACTACACTATCATTTTGCGGATGGACAAAAAAACCAATTTCGCGAGGCCGATCCGCGAAGGCCCCAAACGGCGTCGTCGGCACCTATCCAGGCCAACGGTGCCACGAGCGCTGTCTACCTCGGACTCCGGATCGCTTTCGCCGCCCCCTGGTAAACTAGAATCAAGGGGGGAACCGACACCGCAACAATCTCAAACCGGATCTCAAACCAGCCCGGCTAAGCGTGCACATGCAGACAATGCCTACACCGCCGCTGACATTGAAATCCAAAGAAACAACGCCTACCCAGGATCCAGTAACACGATCGGCTCAATCCACCAACGGCGCTGGTACCTCAGTTTAGACCGGGAGTCGTCTGGATTTGAGCCGACCACAGTGAGAGGAAATCGAAATGAGGGATTGAAAGAAACAAGTAGAAAAAGGACGTGGACTCCCATGACCGTCGGAAAAGGATTCGAGCCGTTTTACGTGCACGGGCCGCAGGCTGAGCGAAGCGTTATCACCGCGCGTTTGGGGGGCGATGTCTTGAATGATGAGGGCGTGGAAGAATTTGTGCCGAGACGCGGGTGGAGGCCGGTCCTGCATTAGATGGACATTAGTTGGATACAAGCTAATTTTTATACAACCTTGGCAGTAGGAAACATGTTATGCGTTCTTCAATTTTCCGAGTTGAATATGTTGTCTTAAGTGCTTAGCGCTTACAGGACATAGTGTGCCGCACTCCGTGTGGAGATGGAGTACGACTTTCTATTGGAAGGGACAGTATCTCTGATCTCGGACTCTCGGAGTTAACAATCTATAGGGGATGTGCAGTGTCCAAATGTGGGTTCTTGGCCGCAGAGTATGTACAGAGTACATAGTAGGTCAATTATTGCTCGGACACGAGGGCTGTATAATATGCATGCGTGTGACTCAATACACAGCCCTGGAAGGAAATTGATCTGACACTAATATAGAGTATGGATGCGAGGTCTCTGAGTCACTTGCGGTCTAAGGTCGGTCTATTCCTTCTTTTGCTCCCCGCTCGATGTGACATAGCTTGCGCTAGCAGGGATGTGTGGATTCGCTATAGTCGGGGCTGATAACGCGGCGATGTTTCTTTTTGTCTTTTCTTTTCTTTTTTTTTCATTCCTTTTTCATGTTCCCCGAAGAATATGGCTTACTTGGCGACAGCTACGTATCTAGCTTTGTCGCTAGTTGCTCTGGATAGTATACCTGCTATCCAGAGTATCGCCTATCGCATTGGCCGCAAAGGGGAGTATGAGCCATCCCAACTAGCCAAAGATGCCTACTGCGATCAAGATGGAGAAGCGACTGAGGAATCCCTCCGAGCCTTCTCTGATAAATGGCAAAGAATCGCCATCGCGCTGTTCTCCATCTCCGGCTTTCTGGTGACCCTTGCATTGGCTGTTCGCGCGACATTGAGATTTAACATTGCCAACTCCATGTTGATATGGCTACAGTTTGGAGTCTGGGTGCGTAAACTCCGACAAAGAGCACGAAACCCTTTGATTTAGAAGTTAATACTCAATTCTTATTTTCTAGATTCTGCTCGCTATTCAAGCTATTGCGTTCTTCACCGAGCCCCGACCGACAAGCCGATATGTTCTCGGCCACTTCGCTTTCTGGGGGAGTTTATTTACCATTGCGGTTCCAGGTATCGAATTGGGAGTTCTGATATTCTCTCAACTCGGCATGCCCCATGGACGAGTTTGGATCGGTCTGCAGTTGGCCCAAATTGCTAGCGCTGCTCTTCGTGCCATATTCTGTGTTATGCTACCGCGCCGTCCAGATATTTACCATGAAGACAAACTGGTTGAACAGGAGCTTTCGGTCTCTCTACTCAGCCGCTTCACTTTTAGCTGGGCCAATCACTTGCTAAACCAAGCAGTGAAGCACAAGACCATGGAACTCGATGATATACCCAAGCTTACAGCATCGAATCGTGCTGATGTGCTTCGTGAGAAATTCGAAATTGCCAGAAAGGGCCGCAAATTATGGCGAGCGATTATCTCTGCGCATTTGTGGCCACTGATCACCCAGACCACACTTAGTCTAGTGATTTGCTTCCTGGGCTTTGGGCCGCAGGTCGCCCTGTTTAACATCTTAAAAACACTCGAACTGCGCGATACCCCATACTGGAATCCTGGAGCATCTTATATCTGGGTCCTGGCATTGGGCGGGTTGTTGTTCCTTTGCTCAAGCGTGGAGGCATGGCTGTACTGGGTGGTCTACTCGAAACTTGGAGTTCCGACCTACGCAGAGTTGTCAGCGGTCATATTTGCCAAGGCCATGCGTCGGAAGGATGTGAAGCATACAAAAAAGTCCAACACGCCAGATGAACCCAAAACTTCCAGCAAAGCATCGGAGGCCGACGAAGATGATGAGGATGCATTGAAGAAAAGCCGTCAGAGTATTATCAACCATGTGGCCGTGGATGCTCGGCGTGTTTCTGACTTTGCCTCTTTCAACTACATCATTCCACAGGCAATCTTCAGAATCACGATTGGTGCCGCCTTTCTGGTCCAAATCCTCGGCTGGCGCAGTGCCTTTGCAGGTCTTTCGATCTCTCTTCTTGTGACACCACTGAATATATACGCAGCCAGAAAATATTCAAATGCACAGGACCGATTGATGAAATTCCGTGACCAGAAGCTGGCAATCGTTACTGAAGTACTGCAGGGAATCAGGCAGATCAAATTCTCGGCTTTGGAGGAGCAATGGCAGAAGCGTGTCCAGGACACGCGGGAAACTGAACTTGGCGCATTGTGGGCTGCTTTTGTTGCTGATATCGGCCTTCTTGCGATCTGGGTTCTTGGACCTGTCGGACTATCCGCCGTTTCGTTGACTACATACGCCATTCTTCACGGTACTTTGTCACCTTCTGTGGCATTCACAGCTATGGCGATCTTCAATTCTCTTGAGATGGCACTCGCTATTATACCAGAGCTCATGTCGATGGGTCTGGAGGCGAAGGTTAGCGCAGATCGTATCGACGAATTTTTGGCTACCGCCGAAAATGTTGTCAATACTGTCCCCGCTGATTATATCGGTTTTGAAAATGCCTCTGTTGCGTGGCCTGCGGAGGAAGAAGATATCCAAGAGTCCGAGGATCGTTTCATTTTACGTGACATGACTTTGAAATTCCCGACCAAGAGTCTAAGCGTGATATCGGGTAGAACTGGCTCTGGGAAGAGCCTGCTTCTCTCGTCGATTCTGGGTGAATGTGATGTGCTCGCCGGCACGATCAAGGTACCCATTCCGCTTCCTATTAAAGACCGATTTGATCACCTTGCGACAAAGGAAAATTGGATTATCGACTCGGCTATTGCCTATGTTGCGCAGATGCCATGGATCGAAAATGCGACAATCAAAGCGAACATTCTCTTTGGACTCCCAGACGACGCAGTGCGCTACCAACAGGTCATTCTTGCTTGCGCTCTGGTAAAAGATTTCGAGATGCTGCCAGATGGCGATATGACAGATATCGGTGCAAATGGTGTTAATCTGAGTGGTGGCCAACGCTGGCGTGTATCCTTTGCCCGTGCATTGTACTCCAGGGCTGGCATACTTATCATGGATGACATTTTCAGCGCTCTCGATGCCCACACAGGCCGTCACATCTTCGAGAACGCTCTCACCGGGGAACTCGGTCGGAATCGAACTCGCATTTTGGTCACTCATCATGTTGCACTGTGCCTTCCTCGCACGGACTACTCCGTGCTATTGGAGAATGGCTGTATAAAATACGCAGGCACCATTGATGACCTGAAGCAAACACATCATCTAGAGGATATCCTTCGTGAGGAACAAGCCACAGAACAAGCGGATCTTGTAGCAGATGCAGAGAACCGTGAATTACTCAATGATGAGGAGACGACTCTCCAAAAGGTGATATCGAATACATCCTACCAAAAAGCAAGCACAGCTGGAGGTGGCCAGGCCTCCAACGGAAATGGAATTGCTGCTGCAGAACCGACGCCTACACCGAAGAAGTTTGTTGAAGACGAAAAGCGAGAAATTGGTTCGGTGCGACTATCGGTTTACCTTGCTTTCTTGGGCAAAGGTGGCTCCGTGGTCTATTGGTTGGTGACGCTCTGTGTCTATCTATTGTTCTCGACCCTCTTGGTTGGACGAGTAAGTGCATAATACCCCAAGACCGTCCCATTGTTTATATCCCTACATGTGACTTATTTCATCTAACCTTGGCTTGCAATAGTCTTGGTGGATCAATATTTGGACCGGTTCATCCTCTAATACTCGGGCCCATCCCGAGCAATACCATGCCCTATTGCAGCACACCATGCAACCAACTGCACCGGTCCCACAACATGATGAGCTATTTATGTACCTTGGAATTTACGTTGCTATCTCGATCACTGCCTGTATAGCTGGTACACTCCGTTATTACTGTATTCTTTCTGCATCAGTCAGAGCCTCGAGGAACCTGTTTAATGGCTTGATTTATGCTATCCTCCGGGCGCCACTCCGGTGGCTGGACACTGTCCCATTGGGGCGAATTCTAAACCGCTTCACAGCTGACTTCCACTCAATCGATTCACGAATCGGATACGATATTGGGTTCTTCGTAAGCAAGATCCTCGATGTTTTGGCAATCATGGTTGCGGGCATGCTTGTCGACTGGACGATCATCTTGCTCGCCATAGTCTTGTTGCTCGTATGTCTAAAACTAGCCGTCTCCTATTTGGGAGGTGCCCGTCAAATCAAACGTCTCGAGAGCACTGCAAAAAGCCCTGTGTTTGAGCAGTTTGGGTCTAGTCTCGCTGGCCTAATCACCATTCGTGCCTTCAGCAAACCAGATACCTACATCGATATCATGTATAACAAGATCAATCGTCATGCGCAAGCATGGTGGACCTTGTGGCTTTTCAACCGCTGGCTCTCATTCCGTATGAGCATCGTTGGCGCTATCTTCTCAACCGTCACTGCTGGGCTCGTGGTCTATTTGCCAGGTATCAGCGCTTCACTTGCGGGTTTCGCTCTCAGTTTTGGGTTGCAGTATAACGCTGCGATCACCATGGCACTGCGGCAATACGCTAATATTGAATTGAATATGAACGCCACAGAGCGTGTCATCGAGTATTCTAATATTGAGATCGAGAACCAAGGCGGAGTCGATGCACCTGCCGCTTGGCCTACAGAGGGTAATCTCGAAGTCCACGATCTTGTGGTGGGTTATGCACCTGATCTCCCACCAGTATTGAAAGGGCTCAGCTTCTCGGTGGAGAACAACCAGCGCGTAGGCGTCGTTGGACGCACAGGGGCAGGAAAGTCTTCTTTAACACTTGCACTCTTCCGATTCCTTGAGGCACGCTCAGGCCAGATCTTCATCGACGGAATCGATGTGTCCAAGATCAAACTGCACCACCTCCGCAGCCGACTTGCAATCATCCCACAAGACCCAGTGCTCTTCTCTGGCACGGTACGATCAAACCTAGACCCGTTCGAGGAATATAGCGATACGGAGCTCTACGATGCGCTAGCACGCGTGCACCTAATCTCCAAGGCCGAAGACGACGAGCTAACCCTCACATCGCGGACTGCCACGCCCCGCCAGCCCAGCGAAACGGGTGCCTCGACACCAGCGACTGTCCAGAAGAACAACGCTAACGCTTTCACGTCTCTCTCTGCGACTATCTCCGAGGGCGGCCTCAACCTCTCGCAAGGTCAGCGCCAGCTCCTCTGTCTCGCCCGTGCTATCGTCGCGCGGCCCAAGATTATGGTACTCGATGAGGCGACCTCGGCGGTCGATATGGAGACCGACGCATTAATTCAGCAGTCTATCCGCGCGGAATTCGGCCGTAATGCTACCACGCTGCTAGTCATTGCGCACCGGCTTAGCACCATTGCGGATTTCGATCGCATTCTTGTCATGGATGCTGGAAAGGCGGCTGAATTTGGCAGACCTAGGGATCTTATGGAGATTGAAGGAGGTATCTTCAAGAACCTCGTTGAGAATAGTGGGGAGAAGGAAGTGTTGGAGAAAATGATCTTTGCGTGAAAAGGGTTCTAGAGAGATGATATAGAAGATTAGGGGATTATATTTTTGTTTTTGTTATATAGATTACCCCAGATTGGGGAAAATTAGCATATGAAATATATTGATGCGGTTCAACATCTAAATTGCACGAAGAGAAGAGCCGATGCATACAAACATATCAGATTAGGCACTATTTGAATTCAAACATACGCGAGGAAGTGTTGATTATCGTGATTAAGAGTTTGTGATCAAGTCATATGTATTTGTTAAAAGACCTGGTCTCTGCTCATTGGTGGGTTTATAGAGAGTCAACAGCACGAATATACGTCGAGAAAATTGACTGCTATAAGCCCAACTACTGCAAGATCCTGGACCTAGGTACAAGTTCCCAAGAGGGCTGGAGTATAGGTAGCGATGAATATAATAACCGAAAGAGAGGACCTCTGACATATAGACGTCGTTGCCAACACCTGTCCAACATCCATCTCTTCCAGCTTCGAGAAACCCTCAAACTATGGCCCAAGGCCAATGGTTACACCTTCAAGTCTTGTAAATGGATCAGAGATGCCTTCATCGCGTCCGTCATGTAAACAAGGTTGGTATGCCGAACGCATATATCACATACCCTACCCTCGATTCGTACAGCCCTTAAGCTCTCCGAAGAGAGAGAGCCGCACGTCTCAGAGGGCAGAGACTGTCTCATATATAACACACTAGGCTTTCATCATTCTGGGAAACAGTCAGTATAAAGATCAAAAAATTCAATGCCCATTGAAAGGGCTGGGAACAAGAATACTCACAAGTTAAAAACTTGGAAGGATGAAGAAGAAAGAGAATCGGCCAAGCGAAAATCCCGCGGTTTTTATTTCTGCGGGCGCTAGTCCGCTTCTAGGGCGGGGTGGCTTTCTGCCGGTTTTAATGGTCAGACTGTCAGGGCATGACTTGCTTTCTTTTGATTTGGCTGCAATTGCGTTCACGACAATTGAAATATGCCAATTGCTGCCCTGCAGCTCCGCAATTTGCGGTTAAGATCTAGTTACTTTGAGATCTCGAATCTCCTGCGGGGTCGATCAGTCGCTCGGCCCAGACGATGCTATAGCCCCATTCAGGTACCGCGGCAGTTCCATGCTCGCGCTTGTCTGCGACAGGAGGAGCCTCCTAAACAGCTTCCTGCTTTTCTGGAGGCTTACAAGCGAGCTGGTATGTCAATAACCTCCGCTGAAAGGCTTAGCTTTCCCTATTTTGAGAGGTTTTGACTAACAACATACGATGTCTTACAGTGGGCTTCCCACCTGCCACCCATGACTTCGAAACATTCTTTGCACAGGCCGAGCCAAACAAAGAAGTAGTACTGCATGGGTACCTTGGGGCCCGCGCAGACCTATCCAAGAAACTATCCTTCGTACGCCTATCCGATCCCACCCTGCAGCACAGCCTACAAGTTGTAGCATTCGCCAAGAACGATGCCTTCGAGCAGCTAAAGACCGTGAACACGAACAGCCCCGTCGCTGTGCGTGGGATAGTCCAACAGAAAAAGGCCAAGCCATCAGAGGCAGAGAACATACCAATCCAAGACCTATGGGAGCTCGCATTGGAAGAAATCCACCCTCTTAATGACTTTCCAAAAGATATTATCATGACGCCTGAAACGGTGTTTCCGCCTGAGCAACGGTACCTCCAACTGCGCTCGGATGTAGAGCTGCGCGAAGCACTGCGCTTCCGCGCCCGCGCGCACAATTTTTGCAAGAAAGAGCTGGAGGAGCAGTGCCGGCCACCGTTTGTGGAGATTGAGACTCCGCTGCTGTTCAAGTCTACGCCGGAAGGCGCACGGGAGTTTATTGTGCCTACGCGGAGGGAAGGGCTGGCTTATGCCTTGCCGCAGAGCCCGCAGCAGTATAAACAGATTCTCATGGCTAGTGGCTTGCCAAGGTATTATCAGTTCGCGCGCTGCTTCCGGGATGAGGATTTGCGCGCAGATCGTCAGCCCGAGTTTACTCAGGTATGGATTTGTATTGTTTGGTTAGGTGATGGGTGATATATGCTAATTGAATATCTACAGCTTGACATGGAGATGTCTTTCGCGACAGGCGACGATGTCATGCGCACCGTGGAAGGAGTTATTCGCCGACTTTGGTCGTCGTTGATGAAAGACCCTGCCCCGGAGGGCCCATTCCGTAAAGTACCCTATCAGGAAGTCATGGCTAAGTATGGCTCTGATAAGCCGGATACGAGATACGGCATGGAAATCATTCGACTTGATCATGTTCTCCCCGTGGATCTAGTCGGCAAGATTTCCGACCTGACTAATCCCATTGTCGAAGCTTTCAAAGTTGAGGGAAATGACAATGATCCCGCGGAGACCCACAAGTTCATTACTCAGTTCCTCGACTCCCCTGCGGGTGCGCCATTCAACAATAATCCGGATGGTGGCCCGGGCGTCTTTATCTACAATGGCAAGCAGCCGCTATGTGGACTACAGCCCTTCGGCTTCGAAGCCGCCGAACAGGTTGAGGAACTGCTGGACCCTGACCACGGTGACCTGATCGTTCTGCAGGCACGCCCTCGTGCTCCTTTCTCCGGGGGTTCAACCCCCGTTGGCGATCTCCGCCGTGCACTTCACGCTGCCTCGGTCTCAGCAGGCTTCAAGCCCGCCCCGACCGGATTCGACTTCCTCTGGGTTGTTGACTTCCCCCTCTTCTCCCCCTCCTCAGACTCAGAGCCCGGCCAGGGCGGCGCAGCAGGCCTCTCCTCCACACACCACCCATTCACCGCACCCAAGACCCCCGCCGACGTTGACCTCCTTCTCACAGACCCCACCCAGGCGGTGGCTGACCACTACGACCTCGTCGTCAATGGCGTCGAGCTAGGCGGTGGTAGTCGCCGTATTCATGACGCAGCAGTGCAGGAATTCATCTTCCGTGATATCCTGAAAATGCCAGCTGAGCGGTTGACAGACTTCTCGCATTTGCTTGATGCCCTCCGCTCTGGTTGTCCGCCGCACGCTGGACTTGCGCTGGGCTTTGACAGACTTGTTGCTGTTATGCTCGGCAAAGAATCTGTGCGTGATGTGATCGCATTCCCGAAAACTGGCAAAGGGGGCGATGATGCCATGGTTGGAGCCCCCAGTCCCATGACTGAGGAGGCATTGAAGACGTATCACTTGAAGTTGAGGAATTAGATGCTGGCCGGTACCACTGGCCATTGTATATCACATTGTCCTTGTGGACGATCCATTTTGTACCATACTGATGTACAATACCCGAGATTTCATTGGCATTTATCGTCTAGGAAATTCTGTAACATAATTCTCTTCTTGGAATCAACTGCATCACAACATACTCTGTACAATCTTAACATATCAGGGGGCTGTGCCTGACCTCTCTCATCAGTGGGGTATGCTGCCTGAGATACTACCCTGAGCATCGACCTCTACGAAGAGTTTACGAACCCCTGATATGATCCCTAAGAGTTGTATTATTGACACGTTGTGGCAGTTTTTTAGCTAGATCACACCCATTCGGGGTCCAGCGGCCACACTTCCCCATTTGGCTCTACTCATTTTTCAGACCTTGCTTTGTCTCAAACCCTAAGATCCCGTAGGTTTCGGGACTTTTGTGCTAGATCTATCAGATGTTCACACATTGTGCATATAGATACCTCGGCTGCATATTCTCGGACATGGTGATTATATAGAGTAGAGCTATGTTTTAAAATACGTGGGGTTTTTATATGACGATCATGTTGATATTGATGTACAGGCGGCAGAGGGCGCGATTGAAGATCATTTGGAGGGCTACTCCATATATATACATCACGGTTCGAGATTCATGAAGAGGAGCGAACAATGCTCTCTGAATATCTTTCAGCCTAGGAGGTACAGGCTGCAGATGAAGTGAGAACACAGCAGCAAATTGCCGTTGGTCCAATAAGTGATGATGCGAGGATCAGGGACCTTCTACAGCAGCGTCACAAGGCTTATCTGCAAATGCACTTGGTAAAAGACCCCTAAGAAGTATAACTGAGAATACAGAGGGTAGTCACGAGGATGATAGTGAAGCGACGCTTCTGCCAAAAATATAACACGAGGTTGCTTGAGGGATATGAAACTTGAGTATATAGTTCATTCGTTAAATTCATCTTTTCAATTCACCTGTTCCGATTCATGTGTTTACTTGAAAGTCCTTCAAAGTCGTTGAATCTACGAAGTAAACCTACAAATGCTGTGAGTAAGATACCCGAAAATGTAGATAAAATCTACAAATTTATTCATCGCACAACATGTTAGTGTTTACGGTATTTTACGACCTTGAGGTTCGAGCCGTCGCCCTGGGAGTCGAGCCGCACCATCAACGACCCCCTCATGGAGAGTTAGGATCAGGACTCTCGACCCAACACCCTCCTTGGTCCACGTCGCGGCCCCGGTCGTCAGGGTGACCCGCAGGTTGTGGTGAGGGGAGATCACTCCGGGAATGAGAATTATGGCGGAACAGTCTCCCCTTCGAGTGTGTATATTGTATAGTACAAGGAGAAGAATCCACTGGCGACGAACGCATACATATGTGGCCAACTTGCCCGATAGAGCGTGCGGATAGGGCTAAAGGAAAGATGCGGGGATCCACGCAGGTCCCCACCACGTCGGGGAGTCTCCGCCGTCAACGCGTCGCTGGGCGTCTCGGGATGTCAGAAATCAGGGGAATAGCGTCCAGAGGTCCCATCGAAACATGAGTTCGACGTAAAAAGGTCGGAGCGGTGAATTGCGCAGGTACTTATATGTAGTCGCTGTATGGTCTGCTTCTGTTCGCTTTCCGTAGATGTTACAGGCATAGATTTTTTTTTCTTTATTGAACTTGTTTCTTTTTCCAAGTGTTCATTATGCCAGAGACATTCGATGTAGAGCATGTCCTAGCGAACATAAGCGAGCAGGACAAGATCGCTCTTTTATCCGGTAACATAGAGAGGGTGAAAGTTAGAGAGCCATCCGCTGACAAAGGCAGGAATTGATTTCTGGCACACACATCCTATCCCCGAATTCAACGTTCCCTCGATTCGCGCCACCGACGGTCCCAATGGTATCCGGGGCACGAAATTCTTTGCCGGCATCCCCGCAGCATGTTTACCCTGTGGCACAGCTCTGGGTGCCACCTGGGACCGAGATCTGATATACCAAGCGGGCAAGCTACTGGGAGACGAATGCATCGCGAAAGGAGCGCAATGTTGGCTAGGTCCAACAATCAACATGCAGCGTGCTCCTCTCGGTGGCCGCGGGTTCGAATCTTTTGCGGAAGATCCTCATCTCTCGGGTATTCTGGCCAAATCAATCATCCTCGGATGTGAAAGCAAAGGGGTCGTTTCTTCGGTTAAGCATTTTGTGGGCAACGACCAGGAACATGAGCGCCGTGCAGTGGATGTCCTTGTCACCCAGCGAGCCTTGCGCGAGATCTACCTAAGACCGTTCCAGATTGTGGCGAGAGATGCGAAACCCGGCGCACTCATGACCTCATATAATAAGATCAATGGGAAGCATGTGGTGGAAGGTCCACAGATGCTCAATCTGATCCGCGAGGAGTGGAAGTGGAATCCGCTGGTCATGAGCGACTGGTACGGGACCTACACAACCATCGATTCCATGAATGCGGGCCTCGACCTGGAAATGCCGGGGGTATCTAGATATCGGGGAAAGTTTATTGAGTCCGCTGTGCAGGCTCGATTGATCAAGCAATCGACTATAGATGCACGAGCACGAAAGGTGTTGGAATTCGTGAAGCAAGCGAGTCAAGTCCAAGTGTCAGAAGTGGAGCGAGGACGGGATTCCCCAGAGGATAGAGCGTTGAATCGCAAAATCTGTGCGAATAGCATCGTCCTACTCAAGAACGAAGACATCTTGCCCCTTCCAAGGGAGATCAAAAAGATCGCCCTAATCGGATCTCATATGAAGACTCCCGCAATATCGGGTGGTGGCAGTGCGTCGCTTGAGCCATATTACTCTGTTTCATTATACGATGCCTGTAGGGAAGCACTTCCCAACGCGGAGGTGCTCTATGAAGCGGGTGCCTACGCCCATAGGATGCTCCCCGTGATAGACCGTCTCCTGAGAAATGCTGTCATTCAGTTCTACAACGAACCGATGGGAAAGGAACGGAGTTTGATCAGCACTGAGCCTGTATCGGTGACGGCCTTCCAATTTATGGACTACTATGCTCCAGGCCTCAACCGTGGGCTTTTCTGGGCCACACTGATTGGAGACTTCACACCCGACGCCTCCGGGCTTTGGGATTTTGGCCTGAGTGTTTTTGGTACCGCAAACCTCTACATTGACGACGAAATGGTGATCGATAACACTACGAGTCAGACGCGCGGAACGGCATTCTTCGGCAAAGGAACCGTTGAGGAGCTGGGATCGAAGGAGTTAGTTGCTGGGACTACATACAAAATTCGGATTGAATTCGGCTCTGCCAACACTACCACAATGAAAACGGTGGGAATGGTAAATTTCGGTGGCGGCGCCGCAAATCTGGGGGCCTGTCTACACATGAACCGGGATGAAATGATCGAGAATGCCGTGAAAGCTGCCGCAGAGGCTGACTATACCATTCTTTGCACCGGGCTCAACAAGGACTGGGAATCTGAAGGGTTCGATCGTACACATATGGATCTGCCACAGGGAGTTGATCGGTTGATCTCAAAGGTGTTGAAGGCCGCCGCAGACAAGACCGTCATCGTGAATCAGTCCGGTACACCAGTCACCATGCCGTGGGCTGATGAGGCCCGGTGCATCGTGCAGGCCTGGTATGGAGGTAACGAGACGGGTCATGGAATTGCCGATGTCCTCTTCGGAGAGGTCAATCCATGCGCAAAGCTGCCCTTGTCCTGGCCGGTGGACGTGAAACACAACCCGGCCTACCTGAACTACGCCAGTGTGGGTGGCCGGGTGCTGTATGGCGAGGACATCTATGTAGGTTATCGATTTTACGAGAAGACCGGACGAGAAGTCCTCTTTCCCTTTGGGTGAGTTAATCCCTTTGTCTCTTATTCTCGTATAACTATATCTCATTTAACCGTATTGCAGTCACGGTTTGTCATACACGACCTTCAAGGTTTCACCGAGTGTTACTGTCGCCCCGGAGATCTTCAGCATGGACCGTCCTGCGGTCGCCACCGTACAAATCAAAAATATAGGCAAGCTAGCGGGCGCCCAGGTTCTCCAACTGTACATCTCTGCCCCCGAATCCCCAACCCCGCGCCCAAACAAGGAACTACACGGTTTCGAAAAAGTATTCCTGCAGCCTGGGGAAGAAAAAACGATTGACATCCAGCTCGACCGATATGCGACCAGCTTCTGGGACGAAATCGAGGACATGTGGAAGAGCGAGCAAGGGACGTATGAAGTGTTGATTGCAACCTCTAGCCAGGAAGTGGTGGCCCGAGGCAAGTTCCAAGTGGATCACACCACACATTGGCGGGGACTCTAGTGAGTCATCCGGCTTTGTTTGGGTGGGTTGCCCAGCTAAATGAGGCCGTCGTGTCTTGATTGGAGGGATGATTCAGCCATCGTTCGCCTAGCCCATCCATCACCAATCACCGACATCCTCGTTTTTTTCTCCTGGCTTCTACCCTGCTTTTCTGCGTATCCCGTATCCGACTGCAGGAAGCCCCAGCAGGAAGAATGGACCCTCCGTCAACGACGCGACCTCGCAGGAATACTCGGGTGCTCACCGCATGCGATGCCTGTCGTCTCAGCAAGACTCGATGCGATTCGGCACGGCCAGTGTGTGCCAAATGTATCCAGCGGGGTGTAGCTTGCGTGTATCCAGAGACGGATGCCATCTCAGTGTCGGTTCCCATAGTGCTTTTTCCATTAGTTGAGCCATCTAATAACAACCAATTTTATTCAAAGTCTAAATACATGGGGCGCAAGAATCCTAGACGCAGTAGAACGTCAAGGGAGGCTTCTGTCAGAGAGCCTGCCTTTGAACCAGGGGCCTCCTCTTTTTTCAAAACAGGCGTCGCCATCCCCAGTGGACGAAGTAGATCCCGAGGCAATTTCACGCAATGATGCACCCAAAACGCCTATTACTGGGTCGGACATGATTCTTAGCTGGCCTATTTTTCCGAAAGAGAAGCCTGTGTCGACTTTTCCAATGGCAGCGTATTCCGAGAAACCAGATCCCTTTCAGACGGGTATGGTCTTCTCAACGCACCATATCCCAGGATCCGATACTAACCGGCAGTTACAGCTCTACCGAGCTTAGATCCCCAAAGGCTCCTCGAACTACGCGAGATCTTCATGACCAAGATTTGGACGAAGAACCCGATCGTTGACCCGGAGCAGCTGGACTTTTATATCGCTCAAGTGCTGGAAAATGGCATTGACTGGTCAGCCTCGTCGTGCTTGGTGCTACTTATCTTTGCTCTTGCGGCCATCTGGGGGAATTACCCTGATGACGAAACTCGTGAGGTGTCGTACAATGAACCATCATTTAGTCCACCGGTCACTTACATGACGATGTTGGTTCCGGAGCACCGAATGAAGGAATCGTTGGCCTTCCTCTCCATGGCGCGTAAACGCATCTCCACTGCGTATCTCGACGATACTTTACTGGGTGTGCAATGTTTCTGTATATTCGGGTGAGCTCCTTACTCTCAATTGCCTTGAGATACGGATTTCTAACTGCCGCGTAGAATCTGGTATCAGTATAACATCGAACCGATCCCGGGTTGGAAAATGTTTCGGACAGCATCCATGCTGTGGCAAACATATCGTTTGAAGCACCGCGAGGGAAAGACGATGAGAAGTGCGCAGGAAGAAAGTAGGTGATTTAATCTGTCCATTGCGGATATGTCTAACTCCACCAGGTCTGGAGCAGCGACTATACTGGACATGCCTAAAATCCGAATGGTATATAACATATCATACACCACAGACCTCAAAATCTTTACACACTTTGCTGACATACGATAGTGAGGTTCGATATGAACTTACAGATCTCCCGCCTTGCGATCTCAGTCTCTCTGACTTTCCCCATTCTCTCCCGAGCTTCCCCATGAGACAGCCATCTAATGAGACCCCTGGGTCGATGTTTTCCAGTCCCTCGTCTACAGACCTCGAAGCAGCATCTTCCTACTATTACCTGGCCGAGATCTTCTTGCGCAGGCTTCTCAACCGGGCCCGCAATGCGGTCCGCGTGCTCTCTCCAGATATCGATCTGCCGACCATCAAGGTTCTGGCAGAAACTCTCACGCAGCTGGAAGGTCAACTCCAGCAGTGGATAGACTGTCTCCCACATACACTCCGGTTCAATATGCCTCTCGAATCCGCCCCCGGACCGAAGGAAGGTGAGCTCATGAAGCTAAGCCGTGAGCGATACGTGGAGGTGCGCGAACTGCTCTGCCGCGCATATCTATACTTGTGCATCCATGTACCACTTGACCCAGGGATGGCGGCACTGTACGGGGTCAAAGCAAGCGAGGCGCTACTTCTGGCAATTTATCGCATCCAGACCGAGGTGCCATTCTTCCGGCATCCGGGGTCATGGGGAGCATGTCGAGTTCGGTTCAACCATGCGCTTTGCCTGATTGCGGGATTCCGCGCAAAGCTAAAACAGCGCCCGTCGGCTGAATATGTGAGCATTCCTCCCGACTGGGCGGATTATGTGCGGGTGGTGATTGAGCGGTTGAAGATCTGGGGCGAGGAGGGTGGCGGGATCAAAGAGTTAAGTGTGCTGCTGGAGTGGCTGATGCATGGCAATTTGGAATTTTAGAACAGAACAAAAGACGCTCAACCTTTGTAACAGATCACAGGATTTCCGTACATGCTAGTACTGACGGAAACAATTGAAGGAGTTGATTGAAGAACTACGTATCCTGGAGATCATTGTTAAGAGCGTCTCATAGCCTGGAAGACTACTAATAGAGTGTTGCAACGCGAGTATTCTGAGGTAACCTGGTTCCCCCTAAAAAACCATATGGAGGAGTGGGTAGTCGCTAAAATATTTCACAAGCAAACAGCAAAAATACCATATAGTAAATGCGGTATATGCTACACTTATATCTCAAAAACGAACGTTTCTTTCATATTATTTTATTTGCCGACAGCCATTTATCAGCACTTTTATAGCGTATCTCAATTTGGGATAGATTTAAAACTTGCATTATTATAATATCGAAAATTCCATCTCCAACTTGGATGTAAATGCACACAAGTATAAATATATGTATCTCAATCATGAATTCTTGAATTCCCTGAAACTCCACACAGTAGCAGGGTTTTATATAAAAAAGTATCCGGCCATAAGGAAAGGTTCAGGTAGGCAAGTAGGGTTGAGACAAATAGTTGTAATCTACCGCATTTACTATGTGTATCGGACTGGGAAGCTCGCATGTGAAATAATTACCATTTAACGTTAAATCAACAAGCTCTTGTAGGTAGAATGCTACCTCTCTGCTCAACAGTTTGTCTCAGTTAGATTTCTCCATACAGAAGAGCTGCGACAGCTCCGTTTCTATTCGAGTATCTATCCCCAATGCACCTCCCACACTAGCGAAATAGTGGCGACCGCCGTCTTACTCTTGGCCCCAAGCTCTCGGGGAGACTCCGCGAGATCCCTGCAACCTTGTTTAGGCTAAGATGAAGTGCCAAGTCTCTGGTGAGATTGGTGTCGAGCAACCATGTAGTACATCCAAAACCTTGTAAGCCAGAATCCTGGCCTTCGTTCCCCCGCCTCCAGCTACCCCGTGGGGTTGTGAAACTATAATTCCTCCAGCGGGGATCATACCCGGATTTTCTTCATCTATACGAGAGCATGAAGCCTTCCAGCCCGTCTGTGCATGGTCTGATGTGTCAGACGGATCATGGCTGCTTGGGACTGGGCTAACGTGCCGGGCCAGGGGTCTCGTGCTCGATAAAGAGCATAGAACAGACAGGGTATATAACCATTATTCGGTCCCAGCGACTCTTCAGGGGTCCTCAGATCAGCACTGTTGTGAGCATCCAAACATCAGCCTTTCAACATGGTCATAGTTGGAAAGCAGCGCGAGGAGAATGTTGCCGAGCCTGTGCTGGCTAACTTGCTGGCCAATGATCGTACGCCTTGGTACAAGAAGCCGAACCTGAGACGACTCTATTTCATCTTGTTTCCGGCGTGTATGGGTATCGAGATTACGTCGGGATTCGACTCGCAAATTATCAACACGGTCCAGATTGTGTATACTTGGAACAAGTGCATGTCTTCTCGATCCAGGGGGAACTCTACAGGAGGCTAATGGCGTGATATAGATTTCGGTCATGCAACCGGGAAAGTCGTAGATGGACGCAACGAGTACGGGATCGAGGCGAACCTCAAGGGCTTTCTGGGCGCTGCGTACTCCCTCGGAGCTATTCTCTCCCTGCCCTTTGTCCCATACGTCAACCAGCGAGTCGGACGACGATGGACGATTGTATTTGGTTCATGCGTGAGCTTGGTCGGGGCCCTCATCCAGGGCTTCTCTAATGGAGGTATTCACTCCTTTCTTTCTCTTTTCTATGACATTTCTGATGAGCCCCAGTCGCAATGTATATTGTCGCGCGTATCCTTCTAGGATTTGGAATTCCGTTCTGCATCGTTGCCGGGTCATCTTTGCTGGGGGAGCTGGGTTACCCCAAGGAACGACCTATTCTCACCTCGCTGTTCAACTCCTCCTACTTTATCGGCCAGGTCATCGCGGCAGCCGTGGGCCTAGGGACGGTTACCATTTCGTCTAACTGGGCATGGCGAATTCCCTCTCTGCTTCAGATTGCACCCGCCACGGTCCAGCTTATGACAGTGATGTAGGGCGCTCCCCGCCGCTATCCCAGCTGAACCCACTAACATACACTCAGGTTCCTCCCCGAAAGTCCCCGATACCTGATTAGCAAAGACCGCTACGAGGAGGCATTCGAGATTCTCACCAAGTACCACGCGGAGGGCGACCGCAGCTCGGTCATTGTCAAAGCCGAACTGGCGCAGATCGAACAAACCATCAAAATAGAGCTCGAAGAGTCAAAACAATCCTGGTGGGACATGTTCCGTACGGCCGGTATGCGTCGTCGACTGTTCATCTCCGCTTTTCTCGGCCTGTTCACGCAGTGGTCTGGCAACTCGCTCATCACGTAAGCATCTAACTGTGGCATCTGCGCTAGAAGCCTTTTACCTTCGCTAATCCATGCAATAGATACTATCTCAGCGACCTCCTGAACATGATCGGAATCACTGACAGCATGACCAAGTCCAAGATCAACATCGGCCTCGCCTGCTGGGGTCTCGTCTGTGGCACTGCACTGGCGCTGACGGCGCCGCGCTTTAAGCGTCGGCCGATGTACCTGACCTGCGCATGCTGCCTACTGTGCGTGTACATCGCATGGACCATCTCCATGGAGCGCTTCCTGAGCACAAAGGCTCAATCCGCAGCCATTCTGACCATCTTTTTCATTTTCGCCTACCAACCCGCCTACAACCTCGGTTATAACGCCCTAACCTACAGTGCGTGTCCCTTCCCCTTCGTAGAGAGTGCATATATTGACATGAAAAAGCGTACCTGGTCGAGCTGTTCCCTTACGTGGGCCGCTCACGCGGTCTCTCCTGGTTCCAGTTCTATGGCCGCGGCGCAGGCTTCTTTGCCACCTACGTGAACCCCGTTGGTCTGGCACGCATCGCCTGGAAGTGGCTTCTAGTGTACTGCTGCTGGCTGGTATTTGAGGTGATTTTTATCTACTTCTTCTTCCCCGAAACTTCGGGCCGCACTCTTGAGGAGCTGTCATTCTGTGAGTTGTTTCTCTGCTATGCTGCAAGAGGCAGAGCTAATGTAAACAGTGTTCGAGGACAAAGACAAGACCAATGAGGTTGCTGCAGCCGTTCACAAACAGCTCGATGAGGATGATGAGAAGAAAAATGTCACAGCACATGTGGAGGTCCAAGTGGCTAAGAATGCTGTTTGATGGGGTCATGATGACTCTTATATAAGGATGGTAGGATAAACGTGTGGAAGAAATTTATGTGCTAGGTACATAGTCGCACATGGAAGTCTGAATATTGTGCCTCTTTAGACTCATGGGCCGAATGTATCATGGATGAAATACACAGAACAGAATGTAAATTATATACTGCACGCTTTCTAGTAATGTTCCGCAAAGCCCATAAATGGGCCCGGGGTTCGGGCCCAAAGCCAAACCAGCAGTGGGCTGTGGGCCTAACCTTCGAAGCCCAACCCAACCCACCCCCATTCGTAGGGGCCCATAAGGCCCTCATTAAAGCCCATTGAGGGGGGTTCAACCGATATCTTGTAATCGCTATACAATATTGTATCGAAACCCTTCTGCTATTCGTCAGGAGTTTAGATTTAGAATTTAGAATTTTATTTGACGGGTAGAGGTCGAGATATTACGAAACAGGTCAACATTAATGTTTTGATACTCGATATATATTTTGGATTTGTAGGACTACTAGTAACTACCAGTACGTCGCTGCAAATTAAGTAGTCATTGGCCCCTGCCTCTTGGCTCAGGGGCCAAATCCAAGGCTGATCCGATGTTGCTATAGAAGTTCTCTTGCCCTGATTATCAGAACTCCGAATGGTGCGAGAAGGCCGAACCCGCATATTATACGTGGATTATCCTCGACTTGTGCCCTTCTCAGGAGTTCCTTGGCACAAAGCTACTAATGTAGCAGGAACCGCTTATCCAAAAAGCAGCATCGACATCCCGATTTTATTTTTCTCTCTTTTCATTCCAGTCATAGGTTACAAGGCCGCCGTCGTCCTGGGGTTGGTCCCGCAGCTGATTTCTGTCGCCGTCGTCTGCAACTTCCCCAGCGCAGCCAACAAAGACGAGATGTACTCGTCCTTTGCTTCATCCTGAGGTCAGACACTTGTGAATTTCCAAGCTCTGAGCCCCGGCGTCCCGTGCCCGACTCTCACAACAGGTCAAAGCTACTGTGGTTTTGGCACTGTCACGGACGAGCCAGGGACCGCAACGTCTAAGACCACACTGTCCACGACAAACAAGACCTCCTCTTTTCAGTACGAGACAACCCAGCCTGGCTTTTCGTTCAACTATGGCGGTTTCCATCTCATCGTATCCGGCGACCAATGCGGTATGATCGAGGCCAAGTACGGTATCACCGATGCCCAATTCAGGGCCTGGGATTCTAGCATTGACAGCCGTATGTTTACAACTGTTAAATAACTTTCTCTTCTCTATGTAGCCATTCACTGACGCATTTATATTAGAATGTTACGTCGGCGTGCATATCCCAAGCGCCACAACAATCACCCTGACTCCACAGCCGACATCCACGGGACCCCAGCCACAAATGCCTGGTATCGTAAGCAAGTGCAAGACCTTTTACAAGATCAAGGCTGGCGATAGCTGTTACACCATCAACACGGTTACGATATCACGCTTGCCCAGTTCCGCTCCTGGAAGTAACAGATTGATACCACTTGTACTAACTTGTGGGTGAACTACTATGTCTGCACTGGAGTAGAGTGAATATGGGTTACCAGTCACTTTTGTTCCTTGGATAATGCTATCTAAGGCGACATTTCCATCATTCAAATGGCGAAAAGGGGAGGGGACTATTGAAGGTACTGAGATATATGTTGTAGTAGTTCCTTTTTAAAAATCCATAGTACATGCAGAGTTTTCTCAATATATATTTTCTAGAGCTAAGCGGAAAGGGGTGAGCACTAAAATAGAAAAGGAAAGCCATGTCGCGAGTGCCAAAATCCAATGTATTATACTATACGGGGTACTGCCCAAACCACAAATATTCACCCAATAGCATCCTACTAGGTAGGACTTCGTAAGGTGAAACAGGGTCCCGTTTCACTTGACCGTCAGTTTGAGACATTCCAAGCATGCGATTTTCCCGAGGTCTTCCCGAATATGCGTGCCACTTCAGCAGAGGAGTACCAAATACAAGTAGAGATCTGACTATATATAGACACACTGAATTATCCCTCTCTAGTCTTCTATTCATTCACTCGTTTTACACTGCTGGCCAACTGGTCTCTCAGATCCATTCTTTATATGAATCCCTTTGTTTCAATATGAAGTCTACTATCATCCTTGCCCTGGCTAGTATTGCCATCACGGCTCCTACCCGCACTATCGAGAACCGCCAGCTGCCCAGTTTCGGCTCTAGCAGTACGACTGGCAGTGGATTGGATGCCCCGAAAGCGTTCATCCCAGGACGTTCCGACAGATCGTCAGGTAGTGGGCTCAGTATACCCGGTTTGGGTAATATCCCCCACAACCCCACTCTAGTATCAGAAAAACCAATACTAAAAGTCGGTTGCTAGGCTCGGGTACTTCAATCGAGAACGGCGTGACCGAGAGCGACAGCTGCAAGGATTTCACATTCATCTTTGCACGCGGAACTACCGAGATTGGTAATATGGGAACCGTCGTTGGACCTCTAGTCGCCACACAGTTGGAGTCCCTGACAGGTTCCGAGGTCACCGTGCAGGGTGTGACATATGCGGCGGATGTAGTGGTATGAGAAAAATTTCCTTCTCTTCAGCACTTGACTTGGCATTGCAAACTGTTGTCGAGATCAACAAATCGATTTGTCAACTAACACTTTGTTCGAACAGGGCAACGGACTCATGGGCGCAAGCGGCGGCCCCGTGATGGTCAAGCTCGTTGAGCAGGCTCTTAGCCAGTGCCCGAAGACTAAGATCTTGTTGGGGGGATACTCCCAGGGTGCAATGGTTGTCCACAACGCTGCCAGAAGCCTCACTACTGACCAGGTTGCCGCTGCGGTCCTTTTCGGCGATCCACTCAAGGCACAGTCTGTTGGTAAGCTTGCAAGTGATAAGGTCAAGGAGTTCTGTCACCTTGGAGACCCGATCTGCCTGAACGGAGGAAATGCCATGGCGCATATTACATATGGAATTGATGCCGAGGCGGCTGCGCGGTTTTTGGTTGAAGCTGCTAGAATTTCCAATTCTTCATAGCTTCATGGTACCTGTGAATGGTTGTTTGGGGTAATAGATGGTGATAATGCGGAGTCGGTGGCTCTAATAATCCTTGGACAGTTTGGGTTGTATATTTGGGAGAATCATTGTCAGTTCATCAACCAATTGAGTGGTTGTGATTCAAGAACTACACTTAGGAATGTGTAAGCCTGCAGATTTGCGTCCAAGGTAAGTAGCTTGTGGATTATTGGTGCCATAAAAGTGCAGAACAAAAAGAAAAGATATAAAAGAGACAAGAATGAAAAGGTCTGTATGGATTCCATATAGGACAGGTGTTATACAAAGTCAAAAAAGAAAAACGCCAATCCAAACCGCTGTATAAGACAAAACCAGGACCAAAATGTAATTCGAATAGATGAGAGAAACTTGAAGATATCCAGCACGAGGCTGGTGGTTCAACTACACTCATGCAGTGGACAAAGTACTTGTCCGGATTGATTGCACACGGGATGATGCAGGGTCTTGGACCTTAGTCTTCTCGCCTTCAAGCTCTTCTTCTTCATCCTCGTAGTACAAATACTCGTCATCCTCTTCGTCGGCTTGCCCGAATATATTCCTCCAAACGCCATCCCAGAGTCCCTTCTTGGTAACTAGGCCACCGACCAGGAGAATAGGCAGTTGCCAGATACTGGCCCAGAAAAGGCCACGTGCACTGCCGTTTGCACCCTGATGTTGCCAGAAGCGGAAAGCCTCGCGGACCAGCCAGCCATTGGCGACAGTGCTACCAACAAGGAAACCATGGCCGACGACATCGTACCACCAAAGACCAATGGAGATGGGGAACATTAGAATCGAGTAGCGCAGAGCAACCCGAGCATTGCGGGCTGGGTTCACCCAGCATAGCATCCTGTAGCCGGCTGCTTTGTACTCATCGCGGATCAGATGGGACAGGGCGTTGAAGTGCGGGAATTGCCAGGCGAACAAGATTCCGCCTAGGAGCCATCCTCCAATACTCTGTTCGCTGAAGAGCATGTCACGCCATGTGTCATGACCAATCGTTGCCGTCTGGCCTGCTGCGGCGATCCACCCCATGAGCGGGGGGATACCACCAACCACTGCGCCAACCCAGGTATTGATTACGTGGATCCGCTTCAATGGGGTGTATACAAAGGCATATAGGAAGATATTGGCAGCGGATAGGGCGGTGGTAGTCGGGTTAGTTCCGATATAAAGGAGCGAGAGTCCTGTGATGGCGGTGCCAATCGCAAAGAGCAGAGCTCCTCGGCCCGAGACAAGTCCGCGAACCAGAGGACGGTTACGCGTCCGGGACATGAGTGCGTCGTATTTCGGTTCGAACATCATGTTCAGTGTATTGGCGCTGCAGCAAGACAAGAAGGTGCCCACCGTCAGGTATATGAAGGTCAGGGTCGAGGTCGAAAGTGTAGGGAGTGGGGTCATGGCCGGGTCGAGGGCAAGCAGGGACGAGATTGGGTACATCCCGTATGCAGAGGTGGTGGTTAGGACAATCAGGAATGACAGCCGCGGTTTCGTCAGGGCGAGATATGCAGCCAACTTGCGGCGGAGGGATGTAGTGGGGAGTGTGGATGAGAAGTTCGACAATTGCGCCGAGGCATCCAGCGGTAGGCTAGGTTCTAGTTCTTGGGCTATTTTGCTTTCTTCCTTCAAGCGCTTCCGCCGCCGATGTGGCAGTTCCTCTGGTGTTGCTGCTGTCGCAATCGCAGCGGGCGATGCTGTTGCAGACGAATTGACCTGACTAACGTACGCATCGCTGGGAGATGAAGAAGCAGTTGAATTGCTTTTCGCATTGGAGGACGCAAGTGAAGACAGCAAGCCGCCTTTGCTATTTGACCCGTCGTAGAATCGATTGGCCGAGAAATATGATTTGTGGAATACCGAAGGGGACTGGTCATCCGCAATCCCGGTCCGCCGTTTCGAGGACGATAGGAACCCCCGAATGGCCTCGGGGCGCACATAACGAGGCCCGAAGAGACATTGTGAGCATACAAGCGCCTCTCGAGGCCTCCGTAGAATGGATGGCCGCAGAGGGATCATGGCGGGTCGGTCATGCAGAAGGAAGAAAAGTAAACGGGAGAAGTTGAATTTCCCCGGTGGTGCACGGGCCACATCCGTTCAACTTGGAATGTCAACAATTGTTCTTCTTGGGCATTGCCTGATCTCCAACTCCGTTCAATCTTTTCTGGGGATTATTCAATACTAAAAATGGATACCATTCAGAAGTCAGTGATTACGCCTCTTCAGCCTTATTTGGCGCCTATTGTGTCAGCCATCCCCGAGCCAGTACATGATGCCGTTGTGTCCTTGATTGGAAAATCTTGCCACGGCGCACTGTTGGTCGACCTCGATGTCACTAAGGACCCCGCCTGCACATCACTCGCCATCTCCAAGGCTCTCGGCATTGCCATCGTTGGTGCTAGTGCAGTTGTGAAAATCCCACAGATTCTGAAGCTGATCAACTCCCGCTCATCGGCCGGTGTCTCATTCGTCTCCTACGCCCTCGAAACCGCCAGCTTGCTCATCACTCTTTCGTACAGCGTGCGGAACCAGTTCCCATTCAGCACCTATGGTGAGACTGCTCTCATCGCTGTCCAGGATATTGCCATCGGTGTTTTGGTCCTGAACTATGCCGGACGCTCCGCCGCCGCGGCAGCTTTCATTGCCGTCGTAGCTGCCAACGTTTATGCGCTATTGTTCGACCAGACTCTTATAGATGCACAGACTATGTCCTACCTGCAGGCTGGTGCGGGTGCTTTGGGTGTTGCTAGCAAGGCCCCTCAAATCTATACCATCTGGAGCAATGGAGGTACCGGGCAGCTTAGCGCATTCACGGTAAGATCTTCTTTGCCTCTTAAATATCAATACAGATACTAACTGCTTCTTCTAATCAGGTCTTCAACTACCTCATCGGATCCTTGTCCCGAATCTTTACCACCCTTCAAGAAGTCGACGACAAGTTTATTCTCTACGGATTCATTGGTGGCTTCTCACTGAACGTAATCCTCGCAATCCAGATGCTTTGGTACTGGAACGCCGCCCCGGCACCTAAGCAGAAAGCTGCTCCTCGCACAAAGCCAGTTGAGATAGCACCCTCAGCCCAGAGCACGGGAGCGTCCCCCAGGCCTAGCGTGAAGACGCCCACCACCCGCCGACGGGGTTAGATAGCTCAGCTGTTGCTTACCTTTGATTTTTTTTTCGGTTCGGTTAAAATAGTAATACTAATCCCGTGTTTTTGGAAACATATAATTAGAGGAACGAGCTACGAGGGGTAGTGGAAAACACAGACCACATGCCCCTAGTCAAGTTCATCAAATATCTAAAGATTGTAAGACTAAGGCATGCGCCCAGTAGTCATATGTCTCAAAATAAGATCCAGCGGCACGAACGGCTGCACAGGATGCGGGTGATGAGAAGCAATCTTAAACTCCAACTCAGCAGCACCAGGCTTCCGATGAACGCCGATAACATCCATTTCCTCCTTATCTCCCTCCTCCCCCTCGCTCTCCTCCTCTGAACCATCATCATCCTCCAACTGTCTCCTCAGCCCAGTAACAACATTCTCTATGCCAGCCTCGCGTTCCTCAAGGGTATAATTACCACCCCAGTTTCTCCGCCGCGCTTCCTGGTTCGCCTCCAGCGGCGCCCATTCCCACAAGTGCGCGAGCTCTGCTTCACTCAGTGGTTTGTGCGCGGCGTCAGGGTCGGAGGCGAAATTGGAGGACGGCCCCACGGCGGGCTCAGTACCGGCTGCGCGGCCGCGCGCAACCCAGTCTTCGACGCGGGGATCGAGTTTTGTACGGAGAAGTTGTTCAAGGGTGTTTGCTTGTGTTCGGCCCGGGTATTCTGGACCGGGGTAGGCGACTAGGTTGGAGAGGAGGTCGCGTTGGTCGGAGAGTTGCTCGGAGACGCTGATAAGGTTGTTGGAGATAATGCTTGCTTGGGATTGGAGGGAAGTCCTATTTTTAGGTTAGTTTGGCTATTTTGAATACTCATTGCATCTGCCTGTTTGGGTCTGGCAATGGGATTGGCTGGAGGGGATGGGCACGGTAGGTCTTACCAGGGTGGAAGAGGGTCGCTTTGATTTAGACTTGCGATGAGCGAGCCTAGTGAGCGAGTGAGCTGCACGAGACGCTGTCGCGACTGCTCGAGCACTTTGATTTGTTCTTGGGTGAGGTTGGACATGGCTAGTTGAAAGCTTTGAAAGGTCAAAGAGCTCGAACGTGAGGGGATAAGATAAAATGTAGATCCCGGCCTTTAAAGTTGACTTCCCTCACCTCGATTTTCTTCAATCTTTGCTTCGATTTTGTCTTCAATTACTATATTCTCAATGCAATTCCAATTCTTCCAATTTCACATTTGGTAAGAATGTTTCTACCTAAATGCAGGTGCCAGGCGAGTGACAGCGGTCAAGTTGAATACCCCGTACCCCCAGTACTAAGCACTACGGAGTAAGCACTCGAACCCCTAAAGTCAAAAGTCCATGAATCCAAAAATAACCTCACGATCGAATATTCCACCCCCCATTGGACCCTTGGACCCTTGGCGGTGTGTGCTGAAACACCTGTAGGGCAGCCAACCAATCTGCATCGCCGCTGGAACACAAGGCTGTTCGCCCAGAGATTATATAGCCGATCTTCTCGTATTATCTGACAGGCTTGCTTGCGTAGGTTTGGCTTGTCCTGTTGCTGGCATTGCTGGGCGGCTTGTCAATGCTATTTCGGGATGTTATGTGTGTCAATGTACTAGGTGGTAAAGCGGTTAGGGACGAGTTAATACATAAGTCGTCTGCCACCCTCCCTGGTGGTCTTCTGTGTCTCCCTCTCACACTTCTATTTCGGGTACATCTATTGTGCTTTGCTAAGAATTTTTGATGGACACTTTTTCTTCACTTGACTATTGACTATACTACTAAGACATGCAGACATAGCAAGATGTCGGGGATATATATAGGTTCGATCCTGGAGCAGAACAACTCCGTAAAAACAAAAGGCCAAACATGCGGAAACGCCATCAACAATGAGGTGAGCTGATATCCTGATCTCATTATGTCCAATTCACCAACTAACTCTGCTATTCACAGACATTTCACCAATGCCATACAACAACAAGGCATACACAACCACGTAGTTGTCTAAGCAACCACTACCACTGAGGATCCTTTTGCTTTTGATCTGGGTCAAATATCTGAGAGCGATCAACTGGAACATGCTGCTGTTGCTGCTCTTGCTGTTGTTGTTGTTGCTGCTGCTGCTGCTGCTGCTGCTGCTGATACTGCTGTTGAGCATACTGCTGCTGCTGGTACTGCTGTTGGTCAGGCTGTTCGATAATATCCTGCGAGACACCTGACTTATCCTGACCCTGGAAGTGCTGCTGGTACTGTTGGCTTTGATAATGTTGGTCTTGGCCATGGCCATACGGAAGCTCCTGTCCGCGGCCATCGTTGTCAACGAACGCAAAGCCTGACCCATGCCCATACTTGCCAGAGTTATACATCTGCTGCTCAGCCCAGGCTTGCTGCTGCTGCTGCGCATTGCTGGGTGAGGATGCTTCATTCCAACGGTAAGGTTGGGACAACTGGCGATTGCGATGGGTCTTCTTGCGTCGGTGCCGGATAAAGAAGAAGCAACACATCGCGAGCGAGGAGACAATGATCAGGAATCCTACGATTGGCACAGCAATCACCACACCCAGATTCAGGTTTGAGGATTTTGCGGTGGGTGTTGTAAGTGACAGGCTTGAGGGGAGTAGGGATTGGCTGAAGATTCTGGTTGGGGCTATGTTGAACTGCTTGCCCGTTTCTGTCTTGAAATGGCAGTTGTAGCGGATGGACTCGAGGACTGGATTTGGATGATGGTTAGTTGTGATTTCCTTTCAAATTTTGGGCTTGGGATTGGCTGATATCATGTGGACACAGGAATGGGTTTCAGGGCATACATACAATTTGCCATGTAAATTTGTGTGCTTGTCAAGTTGTAGCAGAACTCGCAGGTGTCGACGACGTTATCTGCGAACGACGGAGTTTCACACCACGAGTTCAGATTCGATACGTCTGGGTTCTCAAGGTGGGTTCTGACTGCTAAACGCACGCCATCGCATGCAACTGGGCACGGTGATGAGACATTTGAGATCGAATCTGGGAATCCAAACACACAAGTCGAAAAAGAGTAGCGCAAGTTATCTGGCTCAGTTGGTTAGATCTGAGCGGCAAAGAACAATCTGCGATCTTTGGAGGGTGGTATAACATACAGAGGCCCCAGTTCACATCCGATTCTCCAGTATCCACATCATGGAACTCGCTGTCCAACTGGCAGGAGATGCATTTTTGGAAACTTTTTCCTACTGATGTTTGATTGTACGATAGATCCAAACATGCAATCTCGGAAGATGTAGTGTTGGTCGTTGTACCACACACATCTGCGCAAGGTGAACCTGATGTGGTTTTCAATCCCAAGACCAGAGATGGGCTATTCAGGGAAATCACAGCGAGGACAAAATTCAGCATCCCGGAGGACCTTAAACTGCCGTCGCTTCGCCCAAGCATGATGAGCCGGAGTGAACAGAGATGCCAACAGCTTCTGTTCTTACAGCGACCGCCAAAGAGGAGGTTGGAGGAGAGTAGGCAGAGTGCCGAATAGAGCGATCCCACGTTTGCATGAGAAACGGTAAATTGTAACTCAGGATTGGGAGAATTTGCTCAAGGCGGGAAAGCTTCTTTTTTTCACTCCCAGCAGCTCTCAGTCCGTTCTGTATGGATGTGATTGCTAGGTGGAGTAATTCAGTCAACCCAGCTAGCAGGGCAGGGAAGTGCCGCACAATCCAAGCACCTGCAGAGCTGCTAATGCTTGGGCGAACCAACGGGAAGGATTCGCGGGTCGAATCAAGCACAATCACTTATTCCCAGTGTTGGTCTTCGGCGCTTAGACGAGGCTTCCTACAGGCTGGTTTGTGACTGCACTTTGGCTGGGCAATCGAGGAACGGTTGGTGGGGATGGAGTGATCACCCCATCGTCCTGCTTCCAGTGGACATGCTGCAGGTGTACAGAGTGTGACGAACCCAGACGCCTGATTGGTGACGGGACAAGTTGTGACTGTGATACGAGCTGCATAATGCACGGGCGCGTACACTCACCCCCTCATCTGAGGAAAATCGCAAAATCCGGTCAGGACTTGTTCGAAGACGGGGGTCGGCATCCTTGGACTGGAAAAGAGAAAAAAAAAATTGTTGAAGTTTTAATCTGCCAAGGGAAACCCCTCTTGCTAGGGCCGGGAGAAGATAGGGCTCTGGGGTTTGAAGTACGCGCGTACTTGGTAGGGATGTATAGGTGTACGGACGTACGGATGTAAACTTCCTTGTCATTATGCTCAAATAACTATCTCAAATAACTAAAATTGCAAACAAAAGCCGCCATAATGCAAAATTAATAAAAAAAAAAAAAATCGAATCCAGTCCAACGTCCAACAGGCCTTCTGAACAAGACTGCTGATCTGGGACACAAGAATAACAAATAAAAAACACCACATGTAAACTTCTAGTCGAAGATAGTTCGGGACATATCAACCATAGAGTTCATCATAGGAAGGCACCATTTCCTGTCGACGTGCAGACTCAGGTTCTCGACTTTTTGAACGGGGAGGATATCTTTTCTCTGGGAAGGGAGGTTGCTTTGGGGTGTTGTGCGCAACGCGAGGTGTAGATGGTGGCATAGAAGGGGCGGAGACAGAGGAGGCAGCAGTAAAGCTCGTTCGTCTCGAGTTTGTGCCACCAGATATAGATGCTGTGGGTTCTGTTGCACAGCTTTGGAGACTGCAACGGCGCATGCGCGAGGTCACAGAGAGCGGAGGAGACTTGGCTGGGATATCAAAGTCTTCGGGATTGTCGCGTGGTATGTGCGACACATCTTCCATATTGTAGCCATATTCTCGGGGGCTTAATTCAACCCGTGGGCCAAGAGTATCTCGTTCTTCCTCTTCCTCTTCTTCTTCTTCATCGCAAGACTCATCGGTAGTGCACTCGTCATTGATAATGGAACTCGGGGGTCGGCAATTTGGCCCACGTTTAAGATCACCGAGGCCGAGTCCTTTACTCGGTGGTGTATGAGCTGGTGGTGTGTGGGCATCTCCCACGCGGTGTCGAATATTTTGATCGAAATATCCAGTGGGAAATGGTGTAGGGTTTTCCTCTTGATCTCCTCGGGTGCCTATGCTTCCAGATCGTCTGCTCGAGGCACCAGAACTCGGCTGGCGTAATGGGCCAGCCGGGAGATATTGTTGATTTTCTTCAGAATGTACGCCTGCCCTGGCGGGTGGAGTGGCGACGAAACCTGGAGGTTGATTCCACTGGTTCCAGGACCCTTGTGTGGGATAGGTGATAGAAACATCACCCCAGCGAGAGTGAAGCTCCGTGGACACTCTGCGCTTCCGTTTGAATTTCTTCATGAAAGCTGACATGGCCTTTAAACAACCTGTCATTGGAGCTAGAAGGGTGAGGCGTTCAGGTTCAAATGCACAGAAGGGAGGACAAATCACTCCCTGGCGCGGTGCTCATCTCAGAACTTATCAAACTCCCCACAGAGAGCATGGGTTCTCTCCTCGGGGCGACAACACAAGCACAGCAGACAGAGGAACAGAGAGAGACAGGGAGAAGGTGACCAGGGCAGGTGGATCGCCCGCGTGTGTTGAAGTTATATCAAAACGAGACGTCCATGGAGGCGCACTAGCCAACCATTGCATATCCGTTGGTTGACCAAAAAGAGCGAAGATCTTCTGAATGAAGTGCTTGACGGGGATGGTGGTGGGAGCCAACTGACCCAGCGAGTGATTAGAGACCCGGGAGAAAACCCGGTAGTCTGGTACAAGCCCTCTGGTGGTGACCCCGGGGGCGTAATCTAAGAATCGAGACAGTACGGAGTACTTTCCCTCGTAGAAACAACAGCGCTTCGGGAAAAATAATAAAAAAGAGCGAACTGCAGGGCTAACAGTTGACCGGCTGAAGGATCTAGGCGGGTCGCCGTAAACGAGAGGCTCTCATAGTTGCAGCGTGCGTGGAAAATGCATGTGGGAGGGGTAGAATTTCCAATCCCTGCCTCCCTGGTCATTCTGAGCGAGATAGATAGTCAGAGGTGAGTTGCGGCGCAGTCAACTTGCGTTTGACGGATTTGACGCGGGTCAGCCATAGGCTGCAAGTAGTCTGTCTGTATCAACACATCCTCGTCGTTCGTCGTCTTGGCATGGCGCTTGTCTAGGGATCTACACTCACAAGAACAAAGGCCCCCGATAGAGGATCCAATTTGGAGCTAGGTAATTCGACTGGCAGATTTAGCTCCGCCATTCAGGGGCCATGATTCAACAGGTGTGATAGACACAATGAAGGAGCTTCTGCTCGACCAGTCATTACTGGCAATGACGAGAAAGGGAAGACATTGGGACAGGGATCAAATGAGGGGGAAGGACCCCCTCTCAACGCGAAAAAGCGCAAAAAAGCACTGTTTCACTGTGACGCAGCTGAACCCCTGCAATGAAGTGGAGTTGAAGGATCAGTATTCACAGTCGAGTCCGCGTAAACGGGTGAATTGTACAGAGTACACAAAATACCTCAAAGATTCTGAAGTATTCGAAAAAAGAATTATTAGGATGCCACCAAAGTCTCTGGGACGATCATTCCGCCACCCTCGCGGGGTTTGAGCCGGTTGGAATACTTCATTCTACAACTATTGTAGGCGCGAAGAGAGAGAAAGGGGAGGTCTTGGGATGATCGATGGTGATCATGGCACAGACCAGGTGTCTGTCAATGATCTACCTACAAAGTACTCCGTACACAACATTTAGGTATTACACTTAGATCCTTTCACAAATTATATGTTTTGATTTTTGGATAAAATTTGAGTAAATGAAATAAAATAAATGAAAAATAAATGAAAAATAGCCCCCCCGCCAGTCAAATTTTCCAAAAAGAAAAACGCCATGTCGTGATAGTCGTAAAAACAAGAAACAAGCCCAAGCCACTGTCACGATATCAACGGAAATTGGTGATCAGCCGCGACAAGACGGGCTTAGGCTGTTTTGGGGCGGCCTGAGCCGACAGCATTGACTCAGATGCACTTCTTTCCCTCCTATCCCTGCGCTCCTGCCTGGTGTTCTGCTCCGGTGGAGGTTGGATAGTTGCCTGGCGCCTCGAACTAGTTGGGACAGGTACGGGACCAATTGGAGGGCCGTATTCGGCCATCGACACTGGCCGGGAGGTGGCTAATCTGGCATCGCCGTAGTGCACTGCACTCAAGCGGGAAGAGGGACCAGGATGTGGATTGGCATGATTGGCGGGGTTATAGGTATGGGTGTGGGCATTAATATCGCCCACCATGGACGTCGGCCTAATAGGCTGATATCGTGATGGGTCATACGCTGGTAGTGTGGGGTATGATGGAGGTTGTTCGTAGGAAGGGCGAGAGAGTTGCTGTTGGTATTGTTGTGCATACTGGGCCTGGCGACTGTAGTCCGGCGCAAAGGAAGATAACGGCCGGGGTTGGGAGTGGAGACCTCTGGGCGTGCCTAGTTCGTCGGTTTTATAGGCTGGTGGCGGTTCAAGAGGAGAAAAGTCCTCTTGGTGGGCATTTCTCCTTCGGGCCCGTTCTTTGCGCGAAAAGAGATATAGTAAGCTTCCAGCCACTGGTTTAGGTTAGCTTGCGTCTGGAGGGGATTGCGGCTCGGGCTGCATACTTGCTAGGAAGACAAGGCTGCCAGCTATTGCACCAATGATAATGACTGGGGTACAAGAAGAAGATTTGTTATTAGACCGGGTGTCGACAGAGGAATTAATTGACATAGCCCAATATTCGAAGGATGGTTCAACGGGGATGTGTTTGCTAGGGCGAGGACATCCAGGGTATAGATATCCAAACTGTACAAGGAACTGGAGTGAAGATAACTTCGACCTCCACCGCTATCTTATGTTAAGGTCAGTGAGACTCTTAAAGTTGAGCCTCAATCCTGTGAGATGATGCTAAAAGTAATCCATGCTTTGAATCTGCGAAGATATAGATATATAAGACCCTGAAACGGATCAACGAAGCTTAGTCCCATCCTGACACACGGTCCCTGTTTCAAGATATTTTGAGCGACTCGCGGGGGAAATAAAGATAGTATCAATTAGCTATAGATAGATCAAAATGCCACATAATTAGCCAGCATTAGTTCAATTTACCTGCATAAGCGCACTAATCCGGCGGGCTAGACTCGTGTAAATGCGCCCTAATTTCTAAATTAAAACTGCTGCATCTGTGAAGTTACTATCACATTAATGTATTTGCCGCCACCAACAATGTTGCTGTACGTTGACTGGTTCATCAAAAGCGCCTCACAGTCAGAAAATGGTATCCCCAGTTTAATCCAACACTCTACTTCGAGCTGGTATAAATGAAAAAGGGCATCACCGCTTGTTTGCCCGGGATTATAAAAGTTCTGCAAGGTCTGTAAGGTGTGATGAGTATTGCTGAGCTTTTAGGACCTATGGCCCTCTACACCTTGACTTTATGTGTCTCTTGCCCGATATAGAAAGCTCACAGTTAGGGCTTCGATGCCTGCATACAACAATATGAGACAACGCAAAGTCTATCTCAATATTCCAATCCCAATATTCAAAACACATGTAGGTATACTCTTTTTTGAACTATCGTACAATTTGCACCTATTGCCTCTATTGCTTGCTTCCATCGCAAAAATGACTCACTGAAAAATCCCCACCTGACTCTCTTACTCCGCATACGCCCGATAAACAGCCATGCCCTTGTCAGTCACGAAATCCAGCGCAATACCCTGCCCCACAAAGAAAACATATCCCTCCTTAATCTCAGCGGTCTGATTACCAGGGAATTTCATTTGACCACAACCTTTCGTAACAATCATCAAGCTCGGCCCGAGAATGGCTTTGTGCGTCTCATTCTCCCCAGCGCCAAGAGTAGTGCACAGTACAGAGAATTCACTGATAGGCGGTGCATAAACATCTGTCTTACCATTCATTCCCTTCTCGCTCTTTCTACGCGGCAGGAGCGCATCCTTTGCATTATGCGGTACAAAACTCAGAGCCTGCCCAAACAATTCGACGCTGTCGCGCTCTGCAGCTGGACAGAACCCCGTGTTAATGACATTGTCCGATCGCGCCATGCATTCGACGATATCACCTTCTAGATAGGCATGAATGCTGTCTGCGGGGACGAAGACAGAGTCACCTGGACCCAGGATCAAGTAGTTCATCAGCAGGGCAGCGACAAGGTTCCCGTTGTCGCCTTGGCCGTATTGTTTTGCCAGACGGCCGAGTAGGCTAGGGATGTAGGTGTGTGCGCCAAACTGGGATTCTGGGATGGCTTGCAGGTCTTTCATTGTCTGTGCGACTTCTTTTGCCGGCGCGCTGAGTAGATTCTTGCATACTTGGCGTAAGGTCTCATCATTAAATTGACCTGATCTGGGGATGTACTTTGCCAGGTGATTCAACTTGAACAGCGCTTGGACGTCTTCGAGGGGCTTCCACCCGGCAAAGAGCTCGAATTTTGAGAGCGCAATCGCAATCTCTGGCTTGTGCATTGTGTCACCATACTTCGAGGGGTCTTCTTTGTGCAGTTGTGCAGCGAGCTTCAGGTCTGGATGAATCTGTAGGGGCAGAGCCTTGCTGAAAGATAGAATCTGCATCCATGTTAGTTATCTACATCACTAAGCCTATAATTCTTGGCTTATGCGCCTACCTTAGGCAAAAAGGGAATCTCCGGACCCCATCGGTCATGGACGGACTTTCCCACTAGCTCGGGATGCTTCTTCAGGTATTCCCCGAGGTGTTCACCCGTTGAAAGTAGATAAGAAGGGTTTGAAGGGTATGTGCCCATCCACATCTGTTCGAAAGTCAACATGACTGGGCTTATAGTAGTCAATAATTCTTGACGAGAAGCTTACTTCTGAATAATGCTTGGATTCATCAATCGCTGCATTTTTTGGGGTTTTGGACCATAGCTGAGCTACAATCGATTCCGTTCCTTTCTTCCCCCAGTCGTCGTTCTATTAATCCATGATAAATCAGTATTGACGTAGAATATTTAGCCGGAATATACTTGCCTTGACACCGCACCGAAGTTGGACTACTGCGTCAGCCATTGTAGACAAGATGATACTAAGATAACAAGTTTCTATTGGTAAATGCCAATGCTCAATTCGACACTTAAATTGCTTCAAATTGTCGCTCCTACGTGACATTTTCTATTGGCTGGGGCAAAAGACGTTGATATGCCGTCATGGTGATATATCAAAGACTATCGCCCCAGGCGTTAAAATGCATGGCAATCACCCGCAATCACCCAGGCCAAGACATGCATTCTACTAGAATGGTGAAAAATTCCACCAATTGGAATGCTATGAAGAAGTGCTTGGGATATATGCCACCGGGGGGCTGAGATTGAACCAGACATAAATTCCAAGCCCGAATACTGCACAAATCAAGTAGATAGTATAGCCAAGCTTTGAATAAAATTTATGAAAGCTACTCCTATCAAGTGAAAAGGAAAATAAATGGTTTCATTCTGAGGCGCTATTAAAGGGCCGATGACCACCAAAAAAAAACTTTAACGCCGTTCAATGATGCTCAATAAAATCAAAAGGCATCCCATAAAAGCTGAAATACAGATAGATCCATTACTCATAGAGGTCATCAGGATCGGGAACCATCGCCAATGTCATAGGCTTGGAGGTTAAGGAACCCCTGCGATCTGCCGGAACAAAGGGTGGTGTCCGCCGTCTAGGCGGCAGCCCATAATTTCGCCGAGAACCAGAACTTTCCGAGTTATCACGAATGCTAGAGTGGAGGCTGTGACGATCGTCCTCGTAGGTGCTCCCTCGGACGGACGGAGTATAATCGCAATCGCGACCGCTGTATCGCCGATCACTCGATTCAGGCAACGAGCCGCGCCGCGAGTGGGGGCTGCGGGGCGGACTCACAGATTGGCTACGTGGAGTCGCAGAGCCTGAGCTTTGAGGGTACCGCGGGTTGGTCGGAATGTACTTGAAGCGATTGTTGGGTTGAGTAGTTTTTTCGACTACTTCGGAGGTGTAGTCATGTTGAATTGGTCGATAGGCAAACTCATTTCTCTTTTGCTCGGAGCGCTGGGCATCTCTTTTCATTTGTGATTGGCCCCGCAGATGCTTGGGACGCGAGGCGAGGCGCACTGAGAGCCGGCCCGGTCGCAGGCCTGCTAGAGATAGTGAGCTCCGCCGCGAGCCCGATGAAGCTTCGCTGCAGACGCTTCTATCATCATCGTCTAGGTCGGCCTCTTTCACTGGGCGAGGGTTCCGGTCTTGCGGAGAGCAGTCCGGCACATAGCCTGGCCCGTAGGCTGATCTCTCTTTAATGGGCCGATGGGGATTATCGTACTGATTCCATGAGCCATCTGTGGGCACAGAGATGGACACATCACCCCATCGTGCATGGAGAGGTTTTGAAGAGTCCGACTTGCGGAAGAGAGAAAGAGGCCCATTGACAATGCCTGCCATGATTTTTATGAAAAGGTTGTGTGATGTCCGCTCGCACTTCTCTTATATCGCACCCAAGCAGAATCAAAAGGTGACATTCGTCTGGCGGGGGAGGAGGATGATAATTGAGCGGGGGGAAATATAGGACAGGGTTGATATTAATGCGCTCTAACAAGAACCAGCAAGCAACTGATGACGAGGACCAGCCGATAAATCTGCAAGTGGGTAGAGCAACAGGATTTTGGTGACTTTTACTCCAAATCTCCTGTTTTCTGCAATGATCCAGAAACAAACAGTGGGAAAACTGCGGATTGGGTAGTAGCCAGGATGACGGCGAACAAGGGTCTTGAGGGGCAATAGAGGGGTGACCAATAGACCGAATTCTTGGAAAGAGGCACACTGATAATAAACGAAAGAAAAAAAAAACAAAAGCAATCAAAGCAAGAGTCCACCAGGGACTTTGGTCAAGCCAGTTGAAACTGAAATAAAAAAGACCTTCATTTCAGCGGAAGGCGTCCGGATATAAAGCTTGGTCTCAGAATTGGGCCAATTTCTGAGATGACTGAAGCGCTTTGTTCCAGCTCCTGGAGATCTCCTTCGTTGTAGTTGTTGACGCCAACAACCAATAGGGCTTATGCGTTACCGCCGAGTAGTGATGCAGGCGGGATGCGGGTGGAGATCTGCAGTCTGGTCTGAGCTTGACAAGGGCTATTGTTCCTTAATTAGTATGCATATCGGCCCCTTTGGATCTTAAAATAGATGTTAATTAGCTGCAATTTGCATTTCTAGCATGCAGCTTGCAGCATGGATGCAGAAAGTACTCCATACCATCGGATAGTATTCGTCCATGCTTCCGATATCCCTTACTGAATCTCTGCATATTTCCTATTGTTTATGAATAAAATATATAGTATCCAACTATCTTCCCTTCGAGGCAAATATAGAAAACTCCGTTTAGTTGGGTTTCTTTTGCGTTTCTTTTGTTTTATGTTGAGCAAGTACTTCCGCGACACTAACATATATGTAACACTCCGTGGTGGGTCTTTCCTATTGGAGTTGCCGCCGCTGTGAGAGTGCTTAGGCTCACACTTACAGCAGATCTCACGACGGGCTTATGTTAGTGATCATACTCGGGACCGGTACATTCATACGTACCGGATAATGTCTGGCACTCGAAACCTTTCCTTTTCCGTTTCAGTGCTCACCCCTTGCCACTTTTTGATTACTGGGGGAAAACTGAGCACGTCCCGGCCCAGGGGAGTATCCTGGCTTGATCACGGGCCATGGTATAATCAATGTGATCTGCTCACTGCTCGTCATCTGAGCGTGATTTGCTCACTGAGTGCTCACTGGGTGTAGGGAGGAGCAGTCTGAGTAATAAGCTACATCAATAAAATGCGAAACGCTAATCCGGAATATCTATACCTTCTGGAAAATCCCAAAGCTACCAAAACTACAACTGAGGGCTTAACAACAGGACTGTGCTACCGATTGTTATCCGTTGACACTGCTTTAGGGAGACTATTATCAGCATTGGGTCGATCAGAACCTAGCAGACTCAGTTATAAATTCCAACATCGATTTCGATTAGAAACTTGGAGTAATGGAGACGCAGGTGTTATCTTCCAGGACACCCTCAGAGAATAGACCGAACACTCGGCTATCGATACCATGCACGAATCGGACGGAGATCGTCTTGATTTCTTAGGGGACATAGAAGTACGACTATTGACAGAACCGCTGCTCAAGTTTGAAAACACCATATATACGACGACGGAACTCTCTGCGTCTTATACAAAATTTGGAGCTCTCAAGATTGAAACTCAGGATCGAGTGATAAGAGGCTTGTACAGTACTGGCCCGGACGCCCAGAAGGACAAACACTTACAGCGTCGCTTCTGTCGATCCGAAAGAGAGAGTGGAAAGATGATACCTATGCGTATGAAACCTTTGACGACCGTCCTTCGCTCACCATTGAGCAAGTATATTATATGGCTGTATATATTCTCGATAGAGCCTCGCGCACAACGTCCTAGGTTTGTATCATTTGATCCTGACGTATAGGCATCCTTTTGCCCTCTGGTTCTAAACTGTCGGACCAACCTTTCTCCTGCTTGGGATATTGCTGGCTTTCAGTCAGCAACTTGGGTGGGGTATAGAAGATGCCTCTAATTAGTCTTCCGCACGACACAGTAATAGGTCTGGGTCGAACTGGGTAACCCAGTACTGGGTCTGGGGCCTCAAACATACTAAGGATTCCAACTGTATAACTTATATTTTCTTAATAGTAATTTTGGGTGTTTGCTTTACTTGATTAGATCCAATCCTGATTATACAAAGGGTGAAAGAGAGGCGTTTTATTTACTTATAGGTAAGGACTAGGATATGGTTAAATGTAGGGATATATACTTGCACCATGTGGGTCTTAGATAGATCAATCAAAGTAAAAGGAGTTCTACGATACTGCTGCGAATGAATGACACTAGTACCGCTTGTATTCAAACTGAACTTTGAGCTTCTAATACTTGCTCCGAGTTCTACTAGTAGAGTTGTGCGCGGATAAGCGAGATCACATAACTCTCCGTGCCTTACTTCCACGGGTCGTATATTACAGTATAGATCTACATGTACATACTTCGAGTCCTGCGATCCTCGTTGGAAGAGGTCGTGACATTACCTCCATTCTTTTATGGATGTCCTCCTCGGCATGCTCTCCTGCCTTTGACATGGCATAGTGGCGACCACCAAGGCTTGGGGAATCAGTTGGGTAAGTAGGGGGGGATATACCGATCGAAGATAACGAGAGACGAATAGAGAGAGGCAAACAAGAACATCGCTTACAGGTCAAAAACGCCTTCCATTTCTACCCAGCTTCCCACACCGCGGATGGAAGTAATGACTGCCTCTGCACCTGTTGAAGTCGCACTCGAATCGCGAAGTCCACCGCGAGGTCGACAAAGCCCATCAGCGAGAGCACCTGGCCCGCCAAACCAGAAATCATGATATTGATCCCAAGATCTCTTAGGCTGGTGTTAGACATCCCGGCAGTGGACGCGATCGCACCGCCCACAGGATGCAAGATCAAACAGACAACATCGCAGGCGATAAAGATCTTCGACCATGTGCCGGGCTGCAGTAGGGACAGCGATGTCTGTCTTTCACGTGAGGCACCAATTCGCGCATTGTACTTACTCACCACACGACCAAAACAGAAGTAGATTCCAGCGCAAATGAAGGCAGTGGCGATGGTGAGTCAAATCAGGTACTGCAGGAAGGCGTTAAAGGAGAATGGGTCATATTCAAGCCTCATTCGACCGGTATAACCTATAATTTCCAGGAGCAGACCACCGGCAATCAAGTAGGAGTAGGTGCGTACCACACAGCCAGGAACAGATGAATTACCGCCGCAATGCCGAAGAGCGCGAGAAACAGAGCATTCCCGGCCAGTGTGGGAACATAATGGATCATAGCATGGTCGAGAGTACAGGTCTGGGGGTGCATTGGAATGCTCTATTTATGACCGACATGGTGGGCGATCTCGACCAATGGGATCACCCAATGGTAGGTGCGTTAAACTAGTCCGAGGGGGAAGCAATGTAAACGAAGGTATGCCAAAGGTATAACAGTAAGGCAAAACAAGTAAAGTTTTGTGAATCGTACAATGGAAGGATTGAAGTGAGTGGCAATCGACTGGAAAACAATTTCCAATAAAGGAGTGTAGATGTGATGAGATAGGTGCTCGCCAGATTCCCAAAGTATGTCGGCTGAAACAGAGGATAGATTCAGAATCTCAGTCACTCTCTCAAAGGGCCAAAATCCACTAGTCATACTCATCTACGCTTGTGATGCGCAAGCCAGTCACGTTTAGCTTAATTTGTTTATAGTCAGACGCTAACGGTCCACGGGTAGCTAGGAACTGTGGAATTAAAAAAGTTGCGGTAGAGAGTGCTAAGAATACATGTCTTCCACACGACCCTGTAAAACCCAGTCTGGGCTAGGTTATGCGGAAGACCAGCTATATATTTCTTATGCAGCCTATGTAGTCTGTCGCACAACCCGGGTTTGGGTCGAGATATCCAACCGGGACCTAACCTATAGGACTCAGCAAAACCCAACTTTGTATAAAATCAACCTTGGACACTCTTGGTGTTTATAAAGCTGCTAAATCATCAATATATAAACTTACCATTTTTCTATGTTTAAGATCGAACACATATAAATTAACTTATTCGATGTCTAACAGAGATAAATAAACAAAAATACATATTGCTTTGCCGTATAAACCAGAACAGATATTTAGGTAGAAAGATCAGGATTTAACTTCAATAACTATGCAGCCTTGAGAAAAAGATCATGCTAGGCTCTAAGTTGAGTTTCACTAAGGCCCCTCAGCTTTGAGTCATATGGAAGTCTACATATAGTTTTGCAATAGCAGGTCCCTTTTGCCGGCATAGGAAATTGATTTAAGAGGTAAAGGCAAACGTAATTCACCACGCGAGTACATCCCGATTTCCCAGATCTTTCTGACGGCCTCCTAGATGCATTTCAGCCAGCTCTGATGCCGACATTGTCTCCGACAATCGCTCGTCACAGAGCGACTGGAACACGGCCTTGCCAAACTTCTTGTACGCTGCCGCGAGTCCCCTTTGCTGGATTAAGGCCAACTCCATCTCATCAAGCACGAACGAGTACGACCGCCCGCCCACGGTGACCAGTCGGCGGGGAAGGTTGATCTCAATATCAACTCCAGTTTGGGTCGATGCATAGAAGTCGTCGTCGGTGATGGTGAGGCCTAAGAGACCGATAGTTGGCTGATTGCGCCCATATATGAAGGAGAAGGAACGTGCAATCACACATTTCACGCCGAGACCTGTGGTTCATGCCTGTTAGATCAAAGTCCTTTTCTGGGGATTCGACCACGAGCGGTGATCACATACCTTTCAAAGCACGTGGCGCTTCTTCACGCGATGAACCGCAGCCGAAGGCTTTGCCGGCGACAACCACATCCCAACCAGCCCGAACCTGGTCGCGAAACTCGGGGTTGGTTAACTCCAGGCAGTGGCTGCCAAGTAGGGCGTTGGTTGGACTCTCCATAATGAATCCCGCGGGAATTATCTGGATCACACCTGGTTAGCCATTGCTATTCCGGCGGTTGAGAAAAGAGAAAGAAAGCCCGGGCAACTCACCGCGTCTGTGTCCACAAAATCACCCAAAGCAGAGACCTTGCTACAAATAGTCTCGAATTCGGCGCTACTGATTTCCTCATTCACCCGCTCCTGTCTCGGCTTCTTCGTCTCGGGGGCTGCAACGCCGCGAAAGGACAAGTAAGGCTCAGGCGCTGGAGGCATTGCTGACGGGATCGACGCTTTCCTCTGTACCTCACACGCTTTGAAAGGACCTCCAGACTTCCGAGGCGGCTCTGCCTTCTTTCGTCGACAACTCGCAAGCAAAGTGTGATATCTCTCGACCGACACCTGGCCGAGAAGATAACGAGGGTCGGTTAGTTGCATACTAAAAGATGAGGCAGCGACTACAGCGGCGGAGCAAATATGTCCAATGGATCCTGTGCGGAGACCAGGTCAGCCAGTCGTCGTTTGACATGGGTCAATTATCTAGAGAAGAAGGCTAACCTGGACCCATTCGGTTCTTGAAGTTGCGATTCTGTGACGAAAGCCAATTCTCGCCAGCCCCTGCGCGGTCGGCTCCCATCCCCAGGCACATGCTGCAGCTCACAGCTGGCTGTTGAAACCCGGCCTGGGAATAGATATCCAACAGACCCAAGTCGCGCAAATTTTTGACAATTGGTAAGCTTCCAGGGACAACTATTCGCTTCCCGGCAGCCAGCGGCAGCCCCCTCTGAAGACCCGCCTCCAGGACTAAGGCGCCTAAGATCAGATCTTCTTCCGTGGTGGTACAAGCACCGATGAAGCAACCCTCGAAAGCCATGTCCAGTTTCTCAGCCACCTCCACTACGTTGTCAGGGGAGGGATAGAGCGCAATGAAGGACTTGACCTCATCGAGATTAATCTGAAAGGTAGCGGCGTACGAGGCATCTGCGTCCGGCTGAAAGTACAGAGATTGTGACTTGTAGCGGCTTTGAGGGCGATCCGAGATGAATTGGCTAGTGATCCGGTCTGGGACGAAGATACCAGTAATGGCGCCCAATTCCTATTATCATTCTTTTGCGTGAGTTACTGCTTGGGATGGGGCTAGATCAGAAACAAAGTCGCCTACCGTGCACATATTACAGATTGCGAACCGGGCATCGCAGGAAAGGTAGCGCGCGCCTGGTCCCCCAAACTCTACAATTCGATCAGCAGCATGTGTATTGCGCTTCAGAATTTTCAGGATGTAGAGGATCACATCTTTGCCCCGGATGTACCAGGCAGGCTCGCCGCTGAACTCCACCCGGATTGACTCGGGGGTTTTGATCCATGTCTCACCGGTGGCCAGGGCCGCCATCACATCGGCCGCCCCGAGTCCAATAGCGAGCGAACTGACGGCACCTGCCGAACAGGTGTGGGAATCCGAACCAAGAACGAGCATGCCCGGTTCGGCTCGCTCCCGCACAAATTCGGTGTGGAGGATGGTATACTGGGGAATGGGTTTGATCATCAGCAACGAGTCCGGGTGAAAGTCAAAAATGGGATTTGGCAGGAGCTGACATTTGAGCCTTGGTTTTCCGTCATCTTGAATTTCGTCTTTGCATCTTTCATGCCGTCAATAAGCTCCCGGACCCGCGGTTGGTGATACGTACGGGGATCAACCGTGTGATCTCCCGCCAGCCAAAACCGGTCATTTCTCCAGACCGTAGGCTCCTCGCCTATGCTGGTCATACTGTGCTTCATACCCTATAGAATAGATAAATTTACCGGATATTTTCTAAGATGCGTAATCTTCACTCTGGAAGGCTTCATCAACTGAGAGGGGGATGATAAAATGACCTACCACCCAAGATATCTCACTGGCAACAATCCAATCGACCGAGGTTCGAACAAAGTCACCACTTTTAAGACCATGTGCAGATGGCAGCGAAAATGCATGATGCGCAAGAATCTTCTCCGCCAACGTCATGGGCCTTGTGGCAGAAGCCTTAACGGATAGCGGTGCGGGTAGACATCTGCTTAATTCGGCGGAGTTTAGAGACTCCAGCCATGCCTCCAGGAGATCCTGCAGGTCCTGAAGTTGCATCTGACTGAGCGACCAGTCGATGCATCGTGCCTCTGAGAATCCCAAACCACCGCGCTCGGTCTCCGTGTGGCACAAGTCGAGTACATATCGTAGCGTAGATGCGTCTGCAGGACTGCCACCGGCGTCGAGCTCATTGCTGAGATGGGCAATAAAATCGTCGATGTTGGTCACTATTGAGCAACCGGGGCCTAGAGGGCTGATATGAGATTCTTGGGTCAGGTACAGGAGGGTCTGGCTTGGATTTTTGTCTTCAATGCTACATTCCTCCAATCGAATCCCACGGGTGCCTTCTAGAATCTTCACCACTGCGTGAATGAAGGCCCTCGCATCTCTGGTGAGACTGTGGTCAAAGCTATAGGCAATTGATGCTCTTGGCATTTTGTTGGTTCAAAATTTTGGACAAATTTTGTAGCGTCACAAGGTGGGGTTGGGCTATTCATATGCGCGAGACAGGCGTCCGCGTTGAGGTCCATCCACATGCCTAGATCTTCGGTTGATTCAACTGTATTGATTTTATCGCAGTAGTACAAGCGACTAAGTATACCACCCGGGAATTAATTATTATTGGCCTATACTACCTGTCCGCTTTTACTACCGCCTCCTCGAAGCATTGATGTTAGCCAGAAAGGTGACGATCTGGAATCTGACTGCAGGGTATATAAACAGGATTTCTATCTAATGCAACTGCCTTTAGAGTTTATATTGATTGGATATACCTTTTTCGTATCGTCCTATTCCTATATTTATCGCTTTACAGTTAGGAGCTTATCTGGGCACTTATTGCTAGTTTGGATGCCTATAAGGCCATTGTAACGTATTTCCCGGGCGAGCTACATATTCCAAAATATATAGTAAATACAATAAATTACAGCTTGATATCAGGGGCCTATTGGGGCTTTGAATTTAGACCTAATACTTTTTATATTATATCTAGCCCCTTTAGGGCGTTTTAGGAGATTGAATAAATCAGTGACTGAGAATATTAGGTATATTTCTATACTTCAGCGATAGTATAAGTTTTCGGTTTGGTCAAAATTGATATATAATACTAAAAATACTTATCGAAAGCTATTGGCTTATAATCAAATCCAATAGAATTGTAGTTATTAAGATATCAAGTTGTAATTTATTGTATTTACTATATATTCCGGACTGCGTATCTCGCTTGGGAAATACGTTATAGTTCAGCCCAATACTCAATCTAAATATACACTCGTTTTACCTATTGCTCTGTACCAGTAAGACTTCGGTATTAGTTTAGCCCTCTATGATATATATAATCAAGTATTTCAATTTTTACCAGTCTGAAATAAGACAGGTTCGACTTTTGGGTGACTAAAATACTGCCTGCCAATATCAACCAATAATAATCAAGTCCCGGGTGGTATACTTAGTTGCCCCTAGCAGTACGTTATGTAGTAAAGGTGATTATGCTTTTTATTCCTTCGGCCAATAAAGATGTGCTTATTACTCCTGGCATAGAGTAACCTTGGAATCCAGCCCATTTTTCCTCCCCACATCGGGCCGCTTCTCATACCTAAATAGCACACGTTCTTTTTATCTTTTTATATGCTTAATAATGGATTTATTACAATACTAATATTCGCAATACTAATATTCGCAGATGACAGGAATGGTCATTCCCCTCATGCATGATCCTTTAAACAAGCTACGACTGCGTCACCGAACTCCGTTGTTGAAGCCGTTCCACCGATATCTCTCGTCCGGCAACCCCGCTCAATGACCTCCCTGACGGCGGTTTCGACAGCAACTGCAGCGGCAGGCATCCCAAGTGAGTAGCGAAGCATCATAGCTATGGATAGAATCATCCCAGTGGGGTTGATAATACCCTTCCCGGCAATGTCGGGTGCGGATCCTAAACAGAAATGTATTAACCATGCGATTCCTTCATACAGCGGGACGAAGCCGTCTTATGAACATAGGAAGAACAAAAATCACGTCACTAACCATGCACAGGCTCGTAGATGCCACGCACTACGGTCCCATCAGCATCGTCAGGAATCCCGCAGAGACTCGCGCTAGGCAGTAGACCAAGACTGCCAGGAATGGCACTAGCCTCGTCGCTGATGATGTCGCCAAACATGTTGCTGGTCAAGACGATTCCATTGAGCGTCGTCGGTCGAAGAGCTATGGTCATGGCCGCCGTATCGATTAGCATATGCTGAAGTGTCAGATCTGGAAACTCTGAGGCAATAGTTTCCGTCACCACGCCACGCCACAGCCGGCCACACGCCGCCAGCAGATTAGCTTTGTCTAAGCTAGTTATCGGCAGAGGAGGATTCTTCGACCGGGAAAGCCAGGCTGCTAACCGCGTAATGCGCTGGATTGTGCTTCCGTCATAGTGATCGAGATCCGAGGCAGCGTTGAATGTGCCGTCATGTTCCCGACGATCTCCATAATATATGCCGCCGCTGAGCTCACGCACAATGACGATATCTGTCCCCGAGCACACCCGCTCTTTTAGGCTGGATGATTCGATCAACACGGGGGCAATGAAATTGATCGGTCGAATGTTTCCAAATGCGTCCATGGCCTTGCGCAGCCTTCCCAACCCCGATTCGACGGGGATCGGGCTTCCCTGCCAAGCCTGTGAAGGTCCTTCCGTCAGCCCGATGCCCTATTCATTTCATCCTCGAAACCGATATCCTCTCACGTACCGGACCACCAACGGCGCTAAGAAGTACCGCTGAGGCTTCTTTGGCATCAGAAAGGGCCTCTTCAGTCACAGGAGTGCCATGAACATCGAATGCGGACTGTCCAATCACCACGATCGTTAGTTGTCTCGACAGGCGGCCGTAGGGATGGAATTGGAGAGTACATACTCCGCCAATGAGATGGTATTTGAGGTTTAGTGTGACGTCTGTTTGATACTGTCTTTGGATCTCGTGTAGCACCTAAATTTGCTTTTAGTCGTATTGATTTGCAGTTGGCCGTTGGTACAATTACTTTCAGGCCTTCAGCCATTACCTCAGGGCCTCCATAGTCGCCTGGGAACACCACAATATCATGTGTCTTGACCATAGCGCCAATAGGTAATTATTGCTTGTGGGGGAAGAATTGTATGAAAATTGGAGTAAAAATGGCAACCAGAAGCAAGGTAAATGACTACGGTTCGCATCGTATTATGAAGGAGAGTTTTATAGAAATGCTTGCACTTATAAATCTCTTCAATACGTGGAATATTTTGTCCTTTCTTATCCTTTAGTTCATTTTCTTCATTGCGTACGTACAACCACCTATGGGGTACCATCTGGACCCTGTATTAGTTAGTTACCTTAATGTACACCTCGCCCAGACACAGACTGAGATTATTAAAAACCGTGATTTCATTGTATCCATATACCTGAGAGACATAGGATTGTATTTATGAGCTTACTAACGGCTGGATGACGAGTGGTGTAGCCTACAGAGGAAGAAGCTGTGCTGACGAAGCATATATGCTGGTGGCCATCAGACATAGTACAAACACGTGATGGATTAGAAATATAGAGGAACTAACTATGTTACTATGTATAAGTGAGCTGTCCTGTAAGGGACCCTTTTTCTCCCCCTTTAATCCTCGGGATCCTTGTACATCTATGCATGAACCTCGGGATTGCTCGGTCACCCTGTCCGGCTTAGCCTACAACGCACAGCGTTCAAAGATCACAGGGACTAATATAAGCACCATAACTCCCGTTCTGCCCATTTTTCCTCTTGAATAGGTTAATTAGCGTATCAAGATCTGGGCTTTCGTATTGTGTGGCTCTGAGCGTGTGTAGAAAGAAAATAACCACGCTCCCCACTGGTAAGTAGAAGAAAAGAACCCCCCTTCCTTGAGATTCTTGGGCTTACAAGGCAAAGGAAAAAAGGCAAATAAGATAAATGCCAACAATATGTGCAGGCGGCCAAAGCCTACAGAGCAAATATGGCGGCCGCGATCCTCCCAATATCAATCTGCCAGACCGACATTGGCCATCGAAGAAGTTGACGAAGTCCCCCACTTGGCTGTCGACTGATCTACGGGATGGCAACCAAGCTCTCCCCAATCCCATGGTACGCATGAAGCCACCCACCCTTGAGGGGAAGAAGAGCTAATGTAATCGCTAATGCGATGCAGACAATAGCCCAAAAATGGCAGATGTTTCGCCTGCTGGTGGCCATTGGGTTCAAAGAGATTGAGATATCCTACCCCTGTGCCTCGGACACCGAATTCAACTTCACGCGGGAGCTCGTGAGCACCCCAGGTGCCGTTCCACCGGATGTCAGTCTGGAGGTGTTGACTCCCTGCCGGAAAGAGACCCTCAAGCGCGCAGTAGAGAGCCTCAAGGGGGCAAAGAAGGCCATCCTCTATACCTACCTCGCGACCAGCGACAACTACCGCGAGACTATTATGCAACAACCATCAGAGTCAGATTTGTTGGCGCACCTCACTGCCTGTATCGAATATGCGCGATCCATCACCAAAGAAGATGCGGAGGCGCAGACAACCGAGTGGACGTTAGGGTTCGGCTTCGAGGACTTTGCTAACACCCGTCCAGAGACTGCCTTACGCCTAGCAGAGGCAGTCCAGACTGTTTGGGAACCCACCAGTGAAAAGCCCGTCATCTTCGGACTCGCGTCCAGTGTCGAGGCCACCAGCGTCAACGTGTTCGCGGACCAGGTTGAATACTTTGCTCGACATCTGCGTAACCGCGACACAGTCTGCATCTCCATTCATACCCACAATGACCGTGGAGGCGCCGTGGCCGCCGCGGAGCTTGCGTGCTTGGCTGGTGGGGATCGCATCGAAGGATGTCTCTTTGGCAACGGCGAGCGTGCGGGCAACCTGGATCTTGTCACGGCCGCCATGAATTATTTCACGCGAGGTATTGAGACCGGGTTGGATTTCTCAAACTTGCCCGCCATTCGAGAAGTGTATGAGAAGATCACTCAACTCCCTGTGCATCCAAGAACGCCGTACTCAGGCGACTATTACTTTCGTGCTTTCTCCGGGGCCCATCAAGATGCGATTCGGAAGGGGTTGAACAAACGGGCCATTAGCCTGTCGGATAGTGCATGGCGGGTGCCTTACTTGCCCCTCGATCCTGCCGACTTGGGCATCTCGTTTGATAACGTAATTGGGGTTAACAGTCAGAGCGGGAAAGGGGGAGTGGCCTGGGTTATCCAGCAAGGGCTCGGCTTGAGTCTTCCCAATCAGTTGGCCGCTGCTTTCAGCCGTATTATCAAAGAGAAATCGATGGCCTGGGAAAGAGGACTGGCTGCTGAGGAAATTTGTGCCCTTTTCCTGGAATGTTACGATCACAGCTCTTATTATCGCTCGCTAGTACTCGGAAAACAGCACACCAGCAATCCTTTTCAGCAACCTGCCTTCCCGCAATCTCTAGAAGTGATTACAGATCAGGCAAATCTGATGGCCACCTTCATGGGTCAGACATTGCAGTTCCCATTTCAGTGCATTATGGCGACATCTCATCCCCTTACTGATCAGCAGAAACAAGACCTGTTTGTCACATTCGCACAATGCTCTATCGGAGACGGGGCCAACCCCGTCTGGGGCATTGGGATCGGTATAAGCAAGGATGAGGCTACCTATAGTGCACTCCTGTCTAGTATTCAGGTAAGATGGTCGGTCTCCCGGTGATAGGAGTCGCCTGACTTCGATTGTACTAATGCCTTATTGCACAGAAACATTGTGTATCACTCACTGATGAGCCTTTGTTAGACGCTGATCAGATTAATAAGTTAGACAACTTTGCATTGCCACCAAACTTGAAGATGGCTTCTGTCACACCTCTTTCATTGCCTGATGAAGTATAATGCTCCTGCGGGGGACTTGGAAGATAGAGAATTGCTATGAACACCACACTATTAGGCGATCATTTTCTGTTTCCAAAGATAATAAACATGATTCAACCGACTTTTTTTGCCCCGAAACTATTCACTTAGCAATTTGGGGAAGAAATTATCTCATGTATCATCCAGAACTCTGTTTGCCTTCGGAAGCATAGAGAAGGCTACAATCTAGGATGAACAGGAATAAATTGATAATATAACAAAGACACAAGGAAACAGAAAACTATCTAACAATCTTTGTTCATGGCAGCCTTTCCCCCTTCTCACCTCCACCTGCCCCAGCAAGGTGTTAGTTATAAGTAGACCTGCGCAAAGCCCATAAATGGGCCCGGACCTCGGGCCCAAGGCCCAACCAGCAGTGGGCTATGGGCTTAATCTTCGAAGCCCAACCCAACCCACAGCCCATTCGTGGGGGCCCATCAGGCCCCCATTATAGCCCATTAAGGAGGTTCAACTAGGATCTTGTAATCGCTGTATTCTGACCCTTCTACTAATTGCATAGACTTTAAATTTGGGGTATATAATTGCAATTACTATATAAGGGTATACTTTAGTTTAAATAAAATCCAACTAGTGGACGTCGAAAAAAGGTCAATAACTATATACTTTCATATTAGATATATCTTTTAGATCTACAAGGGAGCGCTACCACTTTCTTAGTGAAATTAGAATTTATAAATTTTCTAAACCGCGCGTTTTCTCGCGTTTTTAAACGTGATTAATATATTTCACTATTAATTTGATATATATCAATTATAATAATAAAATATTACCCCTAGACAAAGGCGAGAAACGGGTCTATACATCTAGTAATTAAAAAAGTCACGTTCTTCGGAATATTTGTATTGTTTGGTGCTTTTTGGGCCATAATGGGCCCCCATTCAAAGCCCAGTAGGCTTTCACCCCGGGCCCATAGCCCAGCCCATTAGTGGGTTGGGGCGGGTTGGGTTTTGGGCTTTGGGCTTTGTGGGCTTTGCGGAGGTCTAGTTATAAGTACAAACCAGCTTCGATAATAGTATAGTACTCCGTAGTGTTTTATACAGTGTCGAAAAACACAATCATCATACAATAAAAGATCGAACCCCACTTTCTCCCCTAATTTACGGAATATATAATTGATTGATATATACATAAAATAAGAGAAGTTGAAATTAGTATACAAATTGAAATTGGTATGTATGCTTAGTGAAGGCGGTGATAAACCGCGGTCAGGTAATATCTAATGAGAGAGTTGTGTCCAGGTGGCTCATTAGTCGCCCGTAGGCGTGTTTCGAATCGTTCCCCATGTGGGTAGAGTTCTTGGCGGACGGGCCTTGTTGCCAAGCCCTGGGAGTCAACACGAATAGGCCCCGCTACCAGATTCTGCATAGCTTCTAGAAGTTGGGGCGCTTTCTCCCCTTCGTGCGAGAGTGATCTTGGGGCAAACCTCACTACCAAGGTGGCAATTCTATGGTCGCCCTCTAATTCTGGCCGGCCATAGTACGGGTTGTAACGGTCACTGTCATATACCAGAAAACTCTTTCTCCACCTTCATGTATCAGGCACAGCGGGGTTGCAACCCTGTTCTGTTTCTTCAAACAGGCTTTAGAGTAACAACGGGATTTCATCTAGAACCGACGTAGCAGCAACAGCAGAGCGAGGGATGTGAGAAATCCGCATTCCCACTGCGGACCTGTCTTGCCTACCTGGGAATATAAAGAAACATCAAACGAATACGGAATATAAGGAGCATAAGAAGCAAGAAAAACGGAGGAAGGAAATCTTTGTCTCCCTATATCTACCTCTTTCAGGCCGAACACGTAAAAGTCCCGTTTTCGGCTACCTATCCAGATAAGAGAATTGCTGGATCAGCATCTCAAGATGAACTACCTACATAGGTACATAGCTCATGGCATCTACAGAGAATTCGTGTGACGTAGGAGCCAAATTGAATCCCTCACTTGGCGAGGATTGACGGGGCTCGAGAGTTCTTGGGTCTTACAACATACTTACTAGCAGGGGAGATATGCATATCCATATAAGGACTAAGGTCTTCCTACCTCGGAATCTGGGCTTTATACCCTCTCACACGCAGGATTACAAACGAGAAGAGTGGTGGAAATGAAAGTGCTTACTATCGTACGATTCCATACAGTCTGATTTTATCGTCGCTTACTGCAGACGCCGTTAGAGCATAGGTTCCGAAGTATCGAACGCCAATGCTAGACCTGGCAGTGACCCTCCGGGTGGTCCATGATCTTGGACCCTTCACCTGACCCTCCACGACCCGCAGCGATCCTCCGATATGCACATAAATCGATCGCGCTAAGCCTAATTAGGATATACAAATATGCTTATATAATCGAATATATATGATTATTTACATGAAGGATATTTATATCATAAAATTTACTTGTTTGCCTTGTTTGATGACCCTCCGAGGGTCGTGAGGGTCACCTGCAGTGGTCACAGCCAGGTCTAGCTAACGCTATAGGCTTACTGTGGACCTACAGGTGGCCAGTGATTATGCGACCAGAGTCTCGCTGGAACGGCCGTCAAGTATGGCGATGAGATAACGGGACGGAGTAATTCGCCAACATTTTTTTCACTAGACCAGCTCGGTAACGCTGGCCGTGAGAATTCCTCTCGGAGTTAGCATTGCTCCTGTTACAACCTGCCCCTGGAGTGGCGAGTTACACACTAGGCCAAAAAGACCAATATCTGAGCATTCCTCAGATATTCTAGGCTTCGATATATGTAGTGCAACACAACATTATCTCCCCTTTTCTCCAGGGTATGACCCCATACCCAACTAGGGGTGGTATAACTCAGAGATAGGTGAACCACTTCTACGTGTTTATATGATTCAGAAGTATTTCATCAATGTGTTCAGATCATAAGCATAAACGTTGAACTGATTAAATTCAGCACCTTGTCAGCTAGATAGACGACCGAAAAAGGACTTCTCTGAACCGATTCGAACGCCCCGACCGGTAATGCTCAGATATAGTTACAACCTGCCCCTGGAGTGGCGAGTTACACAATAGGCCAAAAAGAATATCTGAGCATATATCTGAGCATTACACTCAGACATGCGCAAGGTCGGTCTCTCTACTCTACCACGGGAATGGATCTAGTAGAGGGCTCGTATGCGACCCCAGAAGCCTCCCAGCTCCAGCTGTCAATAGGAGGCAAGCGGGACTGTGTTGATATCGTGTTCATGGACTGGCTGTGCGTGGACTTCCGTGAGAGAGTTCTGGATGCACTGGCGAGCTCCCGTGACAGTACTTTCATTAAATTGAAGCATTCAGCCAAAAAAAACATACTCGACATTCTAGACTGCATCAGCTCTCTTTCTGTCTCGGAGAAGGAGAAAGTGAAAGAGACAGCAGAAGGTCTTCCAGATACACCCCGAAGCAGCCTCGATACAATCCCAGTGGATAGTCCACCCGAATATTTGGGGATCCATGGGGACTCACCGCCGACGGAACTTTTTCAACATCTGAACGACATCGGCCTCAGGTCTCTTGGCCTGTCGCTCTCCACGACATCCGCAGAACCTGGGGCGACGGGTGAGTGGCCAATCCTGTCACCTAGAGTCTTAATCCCCACCAACGAGGCGCTGCTGCGGAGTGGCGACTCTGGCGACTGCGATAGGATACACATTGCAGGCAGGGATGAAATGCAGTGGTGGTCCTTGCAGGGTGACTTTAATGATACCCCTGCCCGAATGAGTCCAAAGACACCGAGCAATATGCCTCTCTGGCCAGCGGGCCAGAGTGAAGATCCAACTCAAATGCCGACTCCTGCGGTTTTAGACTTTATGGATTTGGATGTACTGGTGGAACAACAAGAGATGTATAGCCCCACCAATCACTCCAACCCGAAAGAGGGTGCAGTGCTACCTGTGTCCGCGACACAGATGGGGCATAATGATATGCAACTAGAAGAGGTCCGAGAGGGCCTTGTCGCACAATTGACCCGGTCACCGGCACCAGATCAAAGTGTTGGATCTATCCTAGATCCCCAACGATGGAGTACCCACTCTCCGGTGCCAAATAGAACTGGTGGACTTATCATAAGTCCGCAGGGACGAGGCAGACTCTCTCCAGCTCCCAACTCCCCGGCAATATTCACACAGCAGCCTACTCCCTCCGTAGCCCGAGCCCAAAGCTCAGCTGCCTGGGACTCCCGCGTAAACCGCGCGGTTTCCCACAATATCCTGACTTTGTCCCCTGCTACCGTTGGTGGTGCACAGGTCATCCGAGCGCATCCCACACCTCAAATGCCTGGGAGTGAGTCCGAGGGTGCCGAGGAGACTGCAGTGGCAGCAGCACCCTGCAATAAGGTAGCGGAAGAGGGTACGGAGGCTATAGCTCCCTACGCAACTGAGATCTCATCGCTGGTGGGGTTGGATTGCACCCCGGTTCATTTGCCGTCGGCCAGTCAGGTCTTTGCGGCGTTTAGCCACCATCTCTCAGAAAGCAAGCGCTCTGTGGCACAGCTCCTGACCTGTCTCTTTTACGCGGTTGGGAGTCCTGACGCTTTGAGTCAATTACGCCATGCACTCCAATTCGCACGGGAGACCTCCGTGATTCCGGTGGTACAATCCGGCCTTCAAAACGACCTCGCAACCACTGTGCAAGCCCTTGACCGACTCGACTCCATTACTGCCCTCTCACACATCCTCCGGCGATATTACCTTGTTCGTCTCTCAGCCCATCGCACCAGACTGGAACAAGATCATATTGCTACCAAACTTGCTGGGCGAGGATCCAAGCGCATGCTCAAATATGACTGCTCTCGCCTACAGCTGATCCAAGACAGCGGGAAGAGTGGAGCTCGTTCAGCCGACAGAAGTGATCGACGTGTGAGCAAGGCTCGGCCCAAGAACCGGTCCAAGACGCAGGCTCTGACGGATCTAATGCAAATCCTATACCCGGGGCTCACTCCCCCTCCCGTAGGAGAGAGTCGTAAGAACAACGACTGCATGTATACTAGAAAGTTAACCCAGCTGCGTAACCGCTTATCATGCGCGCGCAACTGGTATACTTTTGAACATACCTTTCCCGGAGCAATTCTGGCCTTGATACCTTGCGCCGGGCGATACTCCATCAGTATTGATCAGTAAGTTTGACTTCCACAACCAAGGATAAGACAAGGACTGACTGAATTTCTCTCGCATCTAGGGTGGAAAAATTATCAAGTGATACCATCCGGCTCTTCTTGACATACCTGCAAGAACATCGGGGCGCGTACTTGCGGAGCCTGAGCCAGGCTCTATCTAAAGAGGTGTTTGACGTGCTGGGCGGAGTAGATCTTTCGCAAAAATTTGTGTTTGAGACGGCCGACATAGCGTCCCTCGGCGAATACTTATACGACACAGAAGATTTGCTTCAACTGTGCAAGGCAGTAGTTTAACCCACTTACTGTCCCCTTTGGGGCTCCGGTCTAGACCAGAATGGGTCTCAGGCTCGAGCCAAAACCAAGTCACAAGAACAGACATGACTATTCAGCCCATGGATCGTCCGTTTTGTATATCGTATACAGCAACTAGGGGTTTTCCACATAAAGTCTTTCCACATCTACTGATGATTATCCATTTCCCCTGATTTGTTTTCTTTTGTCAATATGATTGTGAAAGATGCTTTTTTTATAGATGAGCCCTTGGAATTTAGCCTCCTTGCTCACAGTCGAATAAGATGATACGGCAAGCAAACTCTGTTTTATGTATGTAAAGAAAGTACCACCATCGTTTGATACTCCATCAGAAGCACAGTGTAACTATGAGCGAAAAATAGAATAGAATTAATTATGTACGGCTAGATTTAGAGAGGGTGTACTTTGTTACCCGACATGACGTACAATTCCCCCATGACCAGCGCTCCTATGTCCTCGCCAGGGCGACAACAAGACTGCTGCACTAGATGATTCTGTTCTACAAAATTCCAATCTGAATGCTGAAAATTGGCCTGGCAGTGAGCCGACCATTTACAAAATTTACGTGGACAAGACGTAGCGCGTGTCATTTTTTGTCTTCTTTGTGCTTTGTTCCGGCTTCGCTTTTGGCTTGTTGTTCTCCCGTCAGTCGACGTGTGACCTTCTTTCCGCTTTGTTTATACTCATACGCAAGCATCCTAAGCTGCTTCTCTGGGCCTTCTCATGGTGCATGTGCGCCCTAGGATGTGAAAGCTAGCGGGCCCTGACTTGGGAAATATGATTATATACACTGTAACAAAAGCTTCAATGGAATTTAAAAAATCACGTATACTGAACCTTATAAAACACACTTCGAACATACTGCATCAGGGTCTCCCGAAAATGATGCAACTTCCACATCGAAAGAATTGACGGGCAGCGTGAATGCACCATTGACCCACCGTTGAATGGGCCTCAGGGAAGCCATCACATTGCACTTCGCAGATTGCCCTGCATCCAAGTCGATGATTTTAAAGCCCATCAGCAGACGAGTGGGGAAATCCGACATGCCAGGTAGACCGTAGACCTGCGCGACATACCGTCCCGCCCTGGTCCCAGTATTCGTGGTTGTGAATTTAACCGAAATGTACTCCTCAGGGTTGAATTTGGATAGAGATCCCTCGCTCGGAATAGACTCAACAAGGATATTAGACACGGCAAACTTGGTATAAGATAGTCCTGCACCGAAAGGGAATGCGGCATCAACGCCGAGCTTATCTAGCAGATGTTGGCCAAACCAACGATCATAACAGATTGATGTGGCATTACGGTCGAAAAAGGGCAAATGAGCCTCGTCCCGTGGAATAGAAAATGGCAAACGACCACTAGCATCGACATTACCCAGGAGGATGTCAGCCAAACCGTGACCACCTTCTGAGCCGCCATACCAGCTCATTAAAATAGCAGGGACTTTGCTTTCCCATGACTCCATAATCACCGCACCAGCAGCCACAATTGATACCACTGTTCGAGGATTGCTTTCGACCACAGCGGTAATCAGAGCTTCGTCCTGTGCTCTTAGGCGCAAAGTTTTCCGATCACCCCCCGCGCCTACCTCCAACCCTGTTTCTATGCTTTGATCAGCCCCTGTGGGCTTACCTTGGAGAAGTGCAAGCATTTCCAACTCTTCGGGTGTGACAGCGGGTGGGAAGACTTTACATAGGACGGGGTCTTCTCGCAATGCGGGAACGACATACTCTCCCTCGTCCGCATGATCATAACCAACAATGCAGATTGTCAGATCAGCTTCGGAGGCCACTTTCATCGCTTCCGCTACGCTGTCCGTGTCTGAGATTAAGAACTCAACTGAGGGCATAGCAGCCTGTAATCCTTGTAGTGGGGTTACCACGCTTGGAGGAAATACTTGCGACGAGCCTTTGTCACCAGTATTGGCGACGTTGGATAGCCGTCCCACCACAGCGATTTTGGTGATATTTTTGGGTTCCAATGGAAGAACGGACTGACCGTCGATAGCCTCATTCTTAAGGAGTACAATAGATCGTGCGGCAGCCTCTCGGGCGAGGGCTCGGTGATCATCACAGAACGCCACCGATATTTCAGGCTGACTGTGTGCATTGCGAGCAGCGAATTCTAGTTCTTTGCTCAGGATCCTCAAACACGAACGATCCACATCGGCGAGATCCAGCTGACCAGTTTCCAATTCCCGGCCGAGCGCTAAGCCTCGCTGCTGGATAAATGGAGCTTCAATGTCAAGCCCATTTTGGAGAGATATGATAGGATCGCGTAGACCAAAGATGAAGTCGGATAGGACAAAGCCCTCGAACCCCCACTTCCCACGAAGAATATCGGTCAGTAGATTACGGTTGTGGCCAGCCCATTCACCATTGACCGAGTTATAAGCCGACATGACGGAGGCAACGCCTCCCTCCACGATCCGCCGAAAGTGAGCCAGGTAAACTTCATGCAGCACGTCCTCATCAACCTGCACGTCCACACGGAATCGGGCATTCTCCATTGAGTTAAGCGCAAAATGCTTGACGCAGGCCATGATATGATTCTGTACTCCTTCTGTGAGAGCCAGGCCAAATTCCCCCAGCATTAGGGGGTTCTCGCTATAGGTCTCCTGTATGCGACCCCAGGCTGGGTGTCGGGGTAGATTAACACACACGCCGGCGAAGTAGTTGGCACCCTGTGCCTTGGCTTCTCGTCCGATAGCATCACCAATTCGTCGTTCGAGGTCTACATCCCAGGTAGCTCCACGGGCCATGGCGACAGGGAATGCAGTGGACGAGCCCATGACCACGCCACGAGGCCCGTCTGTGAATCGGATTCCGGGAATCCCTAAGCGAGGTATACTACCATGAACAAATGGCACCTCATTGTAGCGATGACATAGAACGGTTCGTAACCCATCCCAGAAGGGGACGTCCCCATCCAGAAGAGAAAGACGTTCATGTGTTGTCAACTGCGACAGCAGCTGATCGACGACTTGAGAGAGTACCTTGCCATCATAGATTGAATTTATCGCATTTTCAAAAGTATACTCTGGGTTCAGGCTTGACATTTTGTCGGTAGGGATTCAATTTTGAATGAAGATCGAATTTCGAGCAAAGTAGCTACAGGCTACTTAAACATATATTTTGTTTCTCCTCCCGATATTCCGCCATGATACGTGGCAGCCACATGTGAGTCGACCGGTTAAATGAAATGAAATTGGTGAGCAATACCCTGGACATGCAGAATGCAGTTAACAATCTCTTTATCCGTCTCGGCTGTACTCAAGTGGTAATTTTCCGGTGTCTCATACTCTCATATCATCCCGAAACTCCCCGTTAGCTGACAACTACCCTAATAAGGGTCACTTTTAGCATTGACGTGCAATCCTTTAGATCTTTCTTGCATGTTCCCCCGCTTACACCCCGCAAACTCCAATATTGCATATTCTTAGTGTTAAATTAAGTCATGAATATGCAGTCAATAACATAGAACCTCGAGATATAATTGAGATCTAGGCACGATATGCGTACACAGGTGATAAAAGTGTTACATTGGATACGATAATGCAGAGAGACCAAGCTCATCTTCAGGGCTACAATGCACGTTCAAAGGAACAAATTCTTGCATGAGATTTAGAAATAACAGTCCCTTCGAACAAGCCCAAATAATTCCAAGCCTTCTCACTCATACTTCCCACTGCGGTGATCTCGGCAACATAGATTAAGTCCACGGGCTCGACCAAATCAGCGGTTTCTGTCACCCATATCAACCTCCACGTTCCATCACAAGTAACAGCCAACCGAATAAGGCGTGGGTGGATCTCGGAAGCATGGCCCTGAGGAAATCTCTGAGGCATATATAGAGTACAAACATGTAGTTAGAAAGCTAGAAAATTAAATTAGACAGTAGCCCCTGACAAACAGGGGTATATTGCTCAAGTTTACAATGTGTCCAGACATGGGGACTCTGTGACTACTATAGGGGATTTGTATGTGTCGTCATCTTTGGACTACCCAGGTATATCGCTGTGAAACTACATATCATCCTCGCAAATCGAGTGAGAGTGATAGAATCGTGAGGTGCAATTCGAAAGATTCATTTTGTTGCCAGATGAGCTAGTCCACGCCTTCTGGATCGTAGAGGGTAGCTGTGGTCAATCCAACGAGGCGTCTTAGCTCTGAGTGGCACTCTATATAGAAGTCGCCTCGAGATGGGCGAGGTCACTCATTTCGGTATCCTTGGTAGTACGTTCAGTTCATGCCCTCCATATCAGCAAGATCACTCATTTTAGTTTCCTCCACATCCGCATCCTCAGCGTTCGGGCGGTATCTGAAAACTTGCTTGCTGCGGTAGAGTTCCTACTGGGTTTAGCACCTTGCTTCTTGCTGTGCCAGATGTGATTCAGAAAGGATCGCATCTCTCCACTCAGCTCTTTTTTCATCCCCGAAACCTCAGGAGAGGATTAGAGGGGTTTGCACCCCGGACAAGAGCGATCCGCCGGGCAGGGGGATTACTAGTCTCTGGACAGAACGAACACTTGTCGCCACTGGACGAATGGCTGAAACTCGCACAGGCCGAGTTCCACTGAATAACGGGCTAGGCAGCATCCAGAACATGAACAACACGGCAGTGCTCAAACAGACCGTCCCTATTAGCACAGCTGTCACACTCACCACCGACAGGGGTCTGCGTACCACACAGGTGTCCGATCACAGAGCGAAGGGCGGGACCGACATGGGCCGAGCGGTTGGCATCAGGGCGCCCGGAGCGCCAGTCAACGGAGGTGCGGGCCGGCAACATCCAGGCGAACAGGTCATCATCGGCACCGGTGCGGTTCATGTTGACAAGGTATAGCAGGCCGTTGATATCCATATTTGCGTGGGCGGCTATACATAAAGTCAGCCTGGAAGAGAACAGAAGCGGAAGCCTACTTACGGTCGAGGACTTGTGCGAGCCTATACGCCATGAAATCCGTAGCGGACCGCATCGAGGTGGCAGGACCCACGTCAGCACCAGCGGGGAGAACGGGAGGAGGAGCGGCCACAACACCGGCACCGCCCGGGGCAGGACCGGTGCCACCGTCACCGTGGGCCACGCCTAAGGCCCACCTTCTTTAAGCCATGTTTTTGTTGAAGGCGAGTCAACCGCATGCGGCAGGTTGCCTTTTCTATGCCCAGTTTCTGAGCAGCAACCTGGTGGTCGGACTTTAGTGGGCTTTGATTAGTATGGTATAACTCCGATCGTTGGGTATCAAGTGAGAGATAACTGACCTTGGTGGTATCTAGCAAGGTGAGTGAAATCTCCACATCGCTCGCCTTGTCCTTGGTCGGGGCTGAGGCCTTGTCCTTGGGCTCACTGTCTGCCAGAGCCATAGTTGAAAGGATTTGTTCGAAAGGGTGCCAGATGGCGTAAGTGGGTGAAGCAATGACTTGGTAATTTGGATCAAAGTCCTGAGTAAAAGAGTAAAGGTTCCTTTCATTGTCTTTCTTCCGCATCATCTGGTCCTGTTCTCGTTTTCGAAACCAAGGAGGGGAGAGATACCACGGCCGTGGATAATGTACTAAGCATCGTACTTCTCAGTGGCCCCCTCCGTATTGGTATCCTCCAGATCGGCCAGGTCGCTCATTTCGGTATCGTCGGCAGTAGACTGAGTTGTATCTGGCTCGTTAGAGGTCCAGCCGCCCAGTGAGGTAGATGTTTTATTACCTTTTACTATGTGGGCTGCCCGTCGGTCCCACCTTCTTTATGCCATACCTCTGCTGCAGCCGAAGGAGCCGTATACGGTAGGCAGACTTTTGAATACCCAGATTTTGGGCAGTCAACTTGTAGTCCATCTATAGTGAGCTTTAGTTAGTATAATGTATAATCCATCCGTTGGGGTATTGAGTGCGAGAAAACTGACTTGGGCTCTGTCTAACAGAGTCAATAGAAACTCGATATTATCGACCTTTTCTTTGGCCGGGCCTGGGGCGGGTGCCGTTCCCTTCGACTTGGTGAATTTCTGGGCCAACAGTAAAACTTCATTCCATTCCCATAATTGGGCAGCTGAAGTTATTCTGCATCATTTAGTCTTGTTCTCTTTTCACTTATTGATGGAATATCACACCTGTGGGCAATCCACGAGGCATCTTAGTTCCCAACTGGTTCCTCCACATCGGTATCCTCCAGATCGGTCAGGTCGCTTATTTCGGTATCATTGATAGTAGACTCAGTAATATTCGGCTCGTTGGAGATATCGACACCCTTCGCCGGGTAGACTTCTTACTGGCTCCAGTATATCACCCTTCTTAGTGTGTGGGCCGCTAGACCCCACCTTGTTCAAATCATACTTTTGCTACAGGCGAAGGAGTCTCATATGGGACTTTTCTTTATTGATACTGGGAGTATCAGTAGTAGAATCCTAATCGACCTATAGTGAGTTTTAGTTATTATAATTAACAATCCAGGTGTTGAGTATCAAGTGAGAGATAACTTACTTTGATATCGTCGTCAAGAATTAGGAACTTAACTCCGCGGAGCTTGGGAATCTCAGTCCTCTTCAACACTTTGGCCTTTGGATTTACCTTGACTTTGGCCTGTGGCTTTTTTCTTGTTGGGGCCATGATTGAGGATGTTTGCTTGGCTTTGATGGTTGATATAGTGGTGGTCAGAGATATGATGAAATTTTTTGTGTAGTTGGATGAGAATTCAAAATGAATATGCATAGAAGAGCAGAAAGAAACAAATAAGACAAAGGGGTTGTATACCCTTCAGATTCTAGTGTGTCCCATTATCTTTTGTGACGACCTAGGTGAATATCACTTATTTATGGCACTACAAAATTACAATTCAATGGTTTCAGGAAATCCAAGTGAGACTGAGAGATTTGTGAGATAAAAACAAGCTTTATTTCACCGATTGCAAGGTTACCATTATGTGGCAACCAAATTCATTCCTTGTCAGGTATCTTGGTCATTATCGTTTGAATCATAATCAACGCCCTAGTTCTTGACGGGCTCCTCTAGATCGGTAACCTCAGCGGTGTTCCCAGTGATATCTTGGTGGTCAGAGGCGTCTGGGGACTTGGTTCCTTGTGTAGGGCTCTTGGTGCTGGTCACTCCCTTCTTGGCGCGTGGGCCACGCTTTTGTCCAACCTTCTTCAAGCCATGTTTTTGTTGGAGCCGAGTCAACCGCATACGGCAGGTCCCCTTTTGTATAACGAGTTTCTGAGCGGCAGCCTGGTAGTCGACCTGTAGTGAGCTTTGGTTAGCATAATCTATAATCCAACAATTATGTATCAAGTGAGAGATAACTGATTGGGGTACCATCTAGGAGCGAGCGTGAGTAGAAATTTGGTATCATCGACCTCTGCGTCTTGACTTTTACCAAAGCTATGATGGAGTTTTGTTTGATAATGATGTAAAGATTGTTAGAGACATGATAGAATCGTCGAGTAGGTAAATGGAAGTTCAAAAGGAATATGTGTAGAAGAGAAGAACGTAACAAACAAGATGAAGAGCTTATAAATCTGTGGCTTCTAGGTAGCAAACCTAGGGAGGTGGGGGAAAGAATCTTTGTCTACAGGTTCTGTGTCCTATCATCTTTTGTGACAACCTAGGCAAATATCAATTATCTGCAGCACTATGAAAGTATGATTCAATCTGATCTTAGAAAGTCAAGTGAGACTGAGGGAATTGTGAGGTAAAAACAAGCTTCCTTTCATACGTTGTCACATAGAGGTAGGATCAGTAATTCTACAGCATTGGTTCCTTGGTTCTTGATAGGCTCCTCCAGATCAGTCGACCCCAGATTGGTAAGGTCACTGCTTCTATTCTCGTCGGCGGTGGGCTCAGTAGCAGCTGGCTCGTTGGAAATATTAAGCAACTCCCTTGCTATGGTAGACTTCTTACTGGTTTTTACACCTTGTTTCTTGCTATGTGGGCCACGCGTCGGTCCCACCTTCTTCATGCCATACCTCTGCTGCAGCCGAAGGAGCCGCATACGGCAGGTGGATTTTTCAATGCCCAGGGTTTGGGCAGTCAACTTGTAATCGATCTGTAGTGAGCTTTAGTTAGTATAATGTATAATCCATCCGTTGGGGTATTGAGTGAGAGAAAACTGACTTGGACTCTGTCCAATAGAGTCAGCAAGAACTCGACATCGTCCACCTTTCTTTTGGCCGGTCCTGCGGCGGGGGCTGTGCCCTGCGACTTGGCTTTTGTCAAAGCCATGATAAATTTTGTTTGTTAATGATGCAGTGGTGTGTTGTCGTGTAGTTAGATGAAAGTCCTAAGTGTGGATGAAATATCTGAAGGATGTGTGAGGAAGAGAAGAAAGGAACAGCAAGGAATAAACCAGATGGAGAGTTTTTATAGCTGTGGGTTTCGAGCAAACAGGGGAGATCAAAATAACGAGGACTCAATTGTTAATCCTGCACCAATACTACAGACTACCTAATACGGGATATGTTAGAGACCCGGAGAACAATTACCTTCATACGACTATATGTATCTTGAATACGCAAAAAGAACCACTCAGGATTGGGACCTATAACAGCGCAGGTGACATCAGCCGAGGAGAGCCAGGTTAGCTGCTCGAGACACTGACTTCTGTTGGGGACTTGACTAGAGCTGCTGACCCTCACTTTCCTATTGACCCTTTCAGTGAGACATGGCAGGCGACGGGCCCATTCTTTCTCTATTTAATGGACTAGCTAACATGACGTCCAGATTGCAGGTATTCTCGCTCGCCCTACCCTAGAGCCCTTATACTTTCGAACCTGACGTCGTGAGTGCCGCATGGAATTAGCCCCCAAGAACGGAAGAGATCCGAATTGACACAGAGAATCTATGATTGAGGGTATGGGAATATCAACAACAAGTTTCAGTCTCTTGGATGATTGCCGAACCCAACCTAATGAACTCTAGGCAGGGAATACATGATGAGAGCACTGGCTTTTGTGATACTTTCCGCTATTCACTAAGATCTGACCCTTGGGGTTTCCCCTGAATAACATGCTCGATTCCAACGCCCTGTTTCTTCTCTGCAGCTTCAAGGCCGGAGTTACATTCGTTCACAGTGACCGTGGTGTGTCAAGAAGCTCCGGTGGATCAACGCCATGTCGACAGAGGATCTCTGATATCTCATCTTTCTCCTCGGGACTAGGTTATGAATCAAATCTATAGAGCTGGGACAGATAAATTCTTTGGGACACTATAGTCAGCATAGTCCTCACTGTGACGGCATGTAGAGTTTCAAGACGAACCTGATGAACAGAGTCGGAGGTCACTTCAGCTCACTAGTGACTAGAGACTTGGCAGGATCTTATAGTGGCCTGCATCCATATCTCAATACTATATGAATAAAATTTGGGACACTTTTTACAACTAGAATATGAGGACCTGTGGAAAGGACGCCGAAAATGACCACTTTTGGCGCCAGAAACAGCCGTCTTTCCATCCGTAACTTTAGAGAGCGGGCGTTTCATGGGCACTATCGGCCGTGATGTTTGGCGCCCGTTCAACAGTCATTCCCTTAGATTCCACCTGCCACCAAAACGACGCGAGAGGCAGCTAGAAAAGACCATTTCCAAAATGCGCCCGTATTAGAAGCCGATAGGTACTATATAAAGCAACTTCTCTGCGAGTCTGATAAAATCTCTGATAACGAGGACTTTAGTAGTGAAAGCTAGGAACTGCCAATCCTAAGTTATATACTTGCCGAACGGGCACGTTTAGTGGGGAACTTTTACGAGCCCGACTTTGACGAGGACAAGTTACTTATTCGACGCTTCTAGGTTACCAAGGACATGGTTGCGCTATTATGGCTTTGCAAACCGAGTCAATTGCAATATTAACGATCAAGATGAATTGCTTGGCTAGCCAGAAGACTCGCCGGCTCCCGAGGAAGACACTATAAAATGCCCAACGAAGGTTTACATCATTTTTTGTGGTCTATCTCGCTAATCATCATCGAATTTTTGTATAGATTTCCTTTCAAGCGAGAGGATCCTCTTCGTCGCCACTTAATTGATACGCACCTTGTCTATCCGCGCGACGGAATCAGCTGCAATTGGGAAGCCTATCGCAACCTCCCCAATTCAGCAAGATCACCGAATTTTTGGCCCATGTTTCCACTGCACATTTCTATGATGTTAATCCCAAATTGTGTCATCCCCCGCAGCTATCACAAACTGACTGCAGCGACATCTCATCCAGAAAAGTGTCTTTGGAATCAGAGAATTGACAAAGAACTGAGACTCCTCCGTCGAGCTCGAGATGGGAAATATCGACCCACGCCTATTGGAGGCCCATCCTATTCCTATCATGAAGATTTCGCCATGCTATTCAAATGCTGAATTAACCGGATAAACGTGTTTTCCATAATTCCTATCTCCCTAAACACGTCCTAGGAGCAGGCCCCAATGCATGTCTTTCTACAAGCTTACAAAGACTGAGTGGATGACCGAGCTTCCGCTCGAGTGAAGGTAGAGCTAGAAGTTTGGTAAGAAATAAGAGCCATACGGAGTACTGAGTAGAGATGGAAATCAATTTCACCATTTTCAAGTCTATTTTTAGTAACTCCAGGCCTCTAATTTAGTCGATACTCGCCTTTTTCTTATTGGACAGTCCAAGAGCGAAAAGGGTCCAACCAAGATTTAAGGAGCCAAAGAGAATGAAAGTTTGGTGAAACAGATTTGGAGTGGACCCCATCTTGGAGGCTCTTAGCTCACAATAACAATGTCCTGCAAAATCCTCGGATTTTCAAACGCTAGCGTGACCTTGTCCCCTTTTCTCTTCTTCAACTCTTCATTCCAACTCATAATCCCTCCAAGATCGTTTATCTGGGGATCTCCATTGTGACTTTCCCGCTGTTGTTGGGAAATCCTTTCTTATCACTCCTGAACCTACCCACCACATCCTCTCCGCGGTGTGCTCCCCACCTCCCCACCTCTCTCTCCTATACTCTGATCTCCGAGCCCTCGTAATTTATTTTCAATAACCACTCGAGATGGATCGCAACCCCGTGCACGGGGCCGACCAGAACCCGATTCCTGAAATCGATTTCTCATTGCACACAATGGAGGATGGCACGCAAGTGTCGACTCTCGAACGAGTGGTAAAAGGTAATTCCACGAACGACCCGGTCGCTCTGACTTCACGGCCATAGAATTAATGAGAATGTGGAAGCTAGAGGTTCAAGCGCCGGCCATGACCACCCCATCGGATGAATCATTTTGGTCCCTCGAAGACCCCTCAAAGCCGAACCTCCAGTTCCTCAAGCAGCACCTGTATCGGGAGGGCCGACTCACTGAGGGCCAGGCGCTTTGGATACTCAACGCAGGTAGTGAGATCCTACGCTCGGAGCCAAATCTTCTAGAGATAGATGCTCCCGTAACAGTTTGCGGCGATATCCACGGCCAGTACTACGACTTAATGAAGCTATTTGAGGTTGGCGGCGACCCTTCTGAGACACGATACTTATTCTTGGGCGACTATGTTGATCGAGGTTATTTTAGCATTGAAGTGCGTATAAGCTCTGGCTGATATGGGTGGTTCTAACAATCCTCTAGTGTGTTCTATATCTCTGGGCATTGAAGATCTGGTATCCGCATTCGTTTTGGCTGCTGCGCGGCAACCACGAATGTAGTCATCTGACAGAATACTTTACCTTCAAGCTCGAGTGCAAACATAAGTACAGTGAGCGCATATATGAGGCCTGTATGGAATCTTTCTGCTCTCTACCGCTAGCGGCGGTTATGAACAAGCAATTTCTCTGTGTCCACGGTGGTCTCAGCCCAGAGCTGCATACTCTCCAAGATATCATGACGGTATGTAACTATGAGTTATAAAGGTCTTTATAGTCTCTAACAGTCAGTAGATCAACCGGTTCCGCGAACCCCCAACCCACGGTCTTATGTGCGATCTCCTTTGGGCCGATCCTTTGGAGGAATTCGGCCAAGAAAAGACAGGCGATTTTTTCACTCACAATAGCGTTCGCGGTTGCTCTTATTCCTTCTCGTATTCGGCTGCATGCGCATTCCTCGAGAAGAATAACCTGCTTTCCATAATTCGAGCACACGAAGCCCAAGATGCTGGATACCGTATGTATAGAAAGACACGGACGACCGGCTTCCCTAGTGTTATGACCATTTTCAGCGCGCCCAACTACCTTGATAGGTACAATAATAAGGCCGCTATTTTAAAATACGAGAACAACGTCATGAATATCCGGCAATTCAACTACTCCCCGCACCCGTTCTGGCTATCTAACTTTATGGATGTCTTCACCTGGTCCCTACCGTTCGTCGGTGAGAAAATCACCGACATGCTGATCGCTATTCTCAACACCTGCTCAAAAGAAGAGTTGGAGGAGGACAATACTCCTTCAACTGCTACGGTCAGTCCCGCCTCACCTTCCTTGGCCATAGATACCGATCCCACCGGCGAACCCGGTGAGAATAAGCAACGAGCTATCAGAAACAAGATTCTTGCAATCGGCCGTCTCTCCCGTGTCTTCAGGGTGCTCCGTGAACAATCTGAAGGTATCAGTGAGCTGAAAGCAGTAACTGCTGGCCGTATGCCCCCTGGTACTCTCATGCTGGGGGCTGCAGGCATTAAGCAAGCCATTCACAACTTTGAGGAGGCCCGAGAGGTCGACCTACAGAACGAGCGTCTGCCGCCTACCCACGAAGAAGTTACCAAGCGAAGCGAACAGGCTCGTCGCTCTGCTCTGGAGCGTGCTGAGCAGGAGGCTGCCAACGACGCCGATTTGGCCACTGTTGCGCACAGAATTAGCCAGTAAGTGAGCAACGCTTGTGTGCTCGTTGACAAATCTAACATCACAATAGGCCTGCGGGCTCATATCGCAACCATAATGCCGCGTCGAGGGAAGCCTAAGGCCCTGGGTTTGGCTGACCATATTATGCAGCGATCTATGGACTTTCCGCTTCCATTGCATGCTTTGCCGTACAATGGGCCGAACCATTATCTAGAGCGATATAAGACAGTGTCATTATTTCGTCGATCCCGGATATGGATAATTTAGCAGCCAAAGGATCAAGGCCTCTTTGTAGATGCTTCAATATCCGCGATTCAGATGCCTAGCCACTTTTGGTTTTATCGGGTATTTTACATTTCTATTCTCACGCACAGGAATAAAATGCTGCCTCGTTTGCACCTGACCATAATAGGCTTTACCGTGGCCGTTGAGATAATTTTTGTATAAAATATGGAAGCCAATATCGAACATGTGTGTACCAGATACTGCCCACGTGTTGCAAGATGGAATTGCGCTCTCTCGTATATTTCAGAGCTCTACGGATGCTGTAGCCTTCAAAGAGTCCTTAGAATTAAAAGCATGTATTGGGCCGAACTGGGTGTGGTATGAACAAGGCCCAACATGGGTTTCATCATCGCTCCGTTGCTGAGCAAACAGACACTCTGGTTTGTGTTTCTATTACAACTTGCTCCCAATATGCACACCTGTCGTCGGGAATCCGGTGTCACTCAATGCCTACGCGCTTTGATCGTTTCTCGAAACCTCATATTAAGGGAGAATAACATTCTGTAGGCAGCGTACAAAACCGTTTCAATTGAAAAATATTCCGTAACCTCACAATAGAAAAGCTATCGTATCAATTGCGCTGCTCGTGCTGTGCTGCTAAATCACGTACAATTTGTTTTCAATTTCAATGCAACAATTTGGTCCTAAAATTCGTGAGACATTATCGTCCTATCCCTTCTTGTTTGTGAGTTCATCTTTAATGTCTACTTGGTGAAGTAGAGGGCTCTTCTCAGGACTCGCAATTTTCCTATACTTATCTTGGTTGGCATCTTCGTCGACGTTACTAGAGGCTGGAATAGAGGCATAAGGGTGCGAGATGCTTTCCCGATGAGGATGAGCTCTGCCCGTTTGAACAGCGCCGTTGTCGGTCTCGCGATCAGCGGCAGAAAGAGCGAAATCGCCAGAGTCAAAGTATGTCCGTTCCTGCCAGTTTTTAGTTAGCGAGCGTCATAAGAAACTGTATTCTAAGTATCTTGCCTTCTGGGCTAGTAAGCCTCTACGCGGCAGCTTTCCGTACTTTTTGAGGAGACGGTTCTCGGATTTAGACAATGGCTAAGAGGATTATTAGTGTTGCTGGTTTCAGGAAGGGCGGGACCTACTTCAGGGTCTGGTCCTCCTGACTGCATTCTGAGAGATTCCTGTGTTTTCTTATGGTTTTCCAAGCCTGCGATGGGAACATTTGAACAAGGATATTCTAAGATTCTCGAGCCAAATGTTCATGACGTTATTTGTCCTGTCGCCTGATCCAATCCCGATTAGTCAGCTAGAACAGCGCCCCGGGGCCGTTACACACCACATCCATGGATCGTGCCCTTGAGGCTCTTCCAAGGTCGCATTTCATCTGCAAGCCATCCCCACTTGTGCTCCACTTTTAACCTTAATTCCACAAGTGATCCATGGACACTTCAAGGCTTTTTACCTGCTTTCTTAACCTTAGTTCTTCCAATGTTCCAAGATTAGCCCCAAGAAAATCGAATATATATACACAAAAGGTGAGAGAGCAGGGAGATCTAGACAAAAAAAACACCTAGAGAAAAAACATTCAAGACCTAGAACGAACGACAGACCAACTACGTTAAAAAACAAAAAAGGAGATAATTCCCTTGGGCATTAGTTAAGCATGTAACTAACGCCGAAGGGCATGGAATATTAGCACTTGAGCTTGATTTTAAGGGAATCAGACGCCCAAAAAGTAGCAGTCAATACAGAAGGTCTCTATGAAGCAAATAAAGGCAATCTATTTTGTACAACATATTTCGTCCCAATCAACACCAGAGGATAAATACGCTCACATTTTGGTGGAAATAATTTGATACTTATCAAAGCATACTCGTAAATCTGGCGTTCAAAGTATTTTGCTTTTCAACCACTGTTGTGTGATCTTTTACACCTGCTTCTTATTAGTTCTGTGGTGTATTTGAGAGGCTTTTCATATTAGCATACCTAGTACAACATAATGGTAGGAAGGAACGATCAACTACATGTGTGTATGGAGGAGAGGGGAAGGCGGACAAACAAATAACGGCCTGATATGCACCCATACATGGAGCTACATACCTGCGATATTTTCGGCAAAGGAGTATGTAGGATTGTTTATTCTGATGGGCAAGACGTTGCTAGTGACTTTGACTTTGTTGGCCACTCCATTATAGTTAAAAATGTGTATAATGCTAGATGAACAACTCCCGTACATAGCCAAAAGTTTTAAACACTACAAGATCCCAACCATACATACTATGAGTATATGTGTATAAAACGCTTTCTGATAGGGAATATGCTCTGTGATTATATCCTCTCGCCTCTTATCAATATTCACTGTTGTTATACAAATGGGCGAACTACATACGAATGTGTTTACAGATAACCATGATAATCATGCTCTACACAACAACATTGATAGCTCGAACGAGTATCTTCCAATCTGGAAAAATATATTCAAATCTAAAAACTAGCAAAAGGGCCTGCGTGTAACTCATAACAAATAACAAATCGTGTCGCCGACCCGAACCTAACAAAGAAAGACATTCCCACCAATATATACCATGACCCGTAACCCATATATCCTGTATAATATACTGTACCGGGAACTTGAGTCAATCAATCCCAATACACCAAACCATCACCTCCACTGTACAATATGTGCGAATCGCGAACGCTCTATTGCATGCGATATCGATTCATATCCAAGGCTCAAGACTATGCTCAGCGTCGCAGGAGCACCCAGCCGCTCAAGTAATCAATATTTACTGAGCAATAGGAGAGGGCGATGGAGCAGGGAAGCCAGTAGAAGACTCCTGGTGCTTCTCAAATGGGAAGGAGAAGGGCAGATCGGTAGGGAAACCAGTTGGGAATGCACTCAAGATGCTGCTTGGGATAGAGAATGGAAGGTCTGTGGGGAACTGGCGCTTCTCAAACCCGCTAGGAATGCCGGTGGGCGTGGGGAAGCCCGACGAAGGAGAGCCGGTGGGAGTTGGGAATTCGCTGAATGGCGGGGGTCCCCCGTGACCGGGTCCGTGGTGGAACTGGCGCTTGCCGAAGGGGAGACCGGTGGGCGTGGGGAACTCAGTGTGGAAGCCACTGGGAGTGGAGCAGGGGAATGAGGAAGGCAGGTCGGTAGGGAAACCCTGACGCTTCTCGAGAGGAAGAGGGACGGGGAAATCAGTAGGGAAACCGGTAGGAATGCCGCTAGAAGAACCGCTAGGAGTGCCGGAGGGAGGACCAGTGGGAGTCGGCAAGTCGCTGGGAGGAGGGCCATGATGGCCGGGTCCGTGAGGGAACTGGCGCTTGTCGAAGGGGAGAGCAGTTGGAATACCGGTGGGAGTGCTGCTGGGGAAAGAGCTGGATGGGGTGGGCGCATCACTGGGGGCACCAGGGAAGCCGGGGAAGCCAGGGAAATCAGGGGGACCAGGAGGGCCATGAGGGCCAGGAGGACCCTGTGGTAGGGCGAGGGCACAGCCCATCAAGCCCATAGCAGCGAGGCCGGTGTACATCATTGTGATTGGTATAGCTCAAGGAAATTATATCAAAGTAGAGAATGGAGGAGTTTGGATCGGAAATCAGACTCAGATATAGGTGCTATATCAAAGACAGATCTTATGGCTTAGAGAAAAATATCAGAGGGCCGAGGATGGGTTTATAAGGCTGCCGATTTATCAGGCTTGCTGATCGGGAGCTTCGTCCTAGACCGAAGTGGATTCCGTGATCGGGCCATGACTTCAGTTTTGTCGCCTCGGAGGCTGGACAGGCTAGAAGGTGGGCTGGCCGGACGACAATACTCAGAACGGCAGAGGTGGGTTCGTCGATCTTTCCTCGAGGGTCCTTCGAGTCGTCAGGGACTAGACCTAAGGCACGGGCAGAGACAAGGCTGGGGCTGAGGTATTTTCCTAGAAGCTTTCGCTGGCCCGCCAACGCGCCAAAAACGGTAAAAAGTGGTTCTGCTGCCCCCACGAGGCAAGTATCGACGATACCGTTGGGTTATAGACGCCACAGCCAGGTACCAAACAATAGTGCGACGATCATCTTCCGCGTGCAGAATAGTATCAAAGACAAATCGATGGTTGTCTGGGTGGGGTCTAACCGTATCAAATGCTTCTCTTCGAATCCTTTGTACCTTTCTCGCAACGGCGGCCGAGAGAAACTATTTCTCAGCCAGCTTCAACACGCCTGGAGCAACCCCTGTTTTGAGGCTCCAGCACATCATGTCAGGAATAATGTGCTCATTGTTCCATTTTCCGGCGTCATCTAGACTTTGTCTGTAACAGAATGGCTGGTCAATTGTTTCATGTGTATTGGTTTCGCCACACCATGCCTTTTAGGAAGGCTGGTACACAGCCTGTGTAGGATGTGCGGGCTATCAACGGAGTACCCACGGGCGAGGGTGGACTCAAGGTGGCTGGAAAGGATTGGCAGAGCCACTGATTGATAAGTGAGGCCCAATGGTTACTGAGTGATCGGCAAGGTGGAAGACTCCTGCTCCAATATTGGAGCACTAGGCTGATGTTTCGGCACTGGATACGCCCTCAAAAACACTCGATAATAGCCTTCATAGTTGAGCTGTGATATGTCCCACCTATAGAAAGCGTCGTCAATTTTTGCAGAAGTTCCAGAAGATAGCGATATTCAGTACACGGCAACCTTGGGAATGGCCTAGAATACCAGTAGCCGAGTCGTCGTCAGCCCTGAAGTGAATTGGGGGACTAGTGACCCACAGTGGACCCTGTTGCCATAGGATCGACGTTGGTGGACACTTTCACCTTTTTCCCTTGAACACTTGCAATTTGGATATCACAATGGATATGCTTCGTGTTCAGCTTCAACATGGATTCCAAGGACACGTAAAGCACAGCCATGAACCATGATCCTAACCGCCAAATGGTGAAGTATTCACTGCCGATTATTTCCTGATATTGATTTGCCTCTAAACTCCACTATGTACTAGCTTCTTTCTACTTGGCTGTACGCCAAGGGCGCCAAGCATTTATTTCTGGCATATTAAGCTCATTCAGCAACTTCCAAGGTTGTTCTCGGGCCTTGTGCTATGAATCAGCTTAGCTTCAGGGCTATACTAGCGATGCCGAGCCTCGTGTCAAGATTGCGATGTACAATAATATACCCTTATGTAACTTAAAATCCGGCCGCTTAAAGGTCTAAACCCAAAACTCCATTTTATCTGGCGACTCAAAGCCCCATGGCATGTGCTTGAAATATTCCCCGCTATATACAGGAACCCGCCGTATGCATGTCATATATTGTAGATAGCTAAAACGGAACGGAAAGCAAAGAAGCAAAACCGCAAATCCAGCGGAATTGATGGACCAAAAACCGAAAGCCGAAACCCAAAGAGCGATGCCCAAGAGATGGTCTAGTATGAGAATGGTGGGTTGCATAGACGAACACTCCCTTTATAAATGCAGCAATCTGGAGACGATTATAGACAAGAGAGGAAATATATCCGAGCCAGAGAGAAGTAGTGACATGATCACGGAGTCGACAAGGATGAGATAGCCCCTCAGTCCCAGTGTCCGTCAAGAGATTACTTTGATTTGATAGGCGAGCGTATATGTGTCAAAGAAACTGGAGCCTACAGCCCGCGACTCCTCGAGATGCGAAGAACGAAGTAGGGTGTATAATTCATCGTATATTTTCCAATGCCGCTATTTGCGCGTTTGGGGGTCAGGCGAGCTCGGATGAACTGTTGGCGTTGGAGTCATGCTGAGCAGATGGCGGGACGAAGGTGCTACAGTCATGGAGAAGTCACGAGCCGCCAACGCATGAGCCTGCTTTGGGGAACTTCGACGAGCCGTGGCGGAAGAATTGTACGCCGGACCAGAAGAAAATGAGGATCGGCGGGATCGGACGGGGCTACGAAGTCCGCTGTTCGCACGTGCTCCGCCGAATGAAGATGACTCCGAAGACGCTCGGTGACCTGCGAGCCTAGGACGGAGCATGTACGATCGTTCGAGCTCATCCTCACTGCTTGACCCGATGTCGAATATCGCTCCATTGGTGAAGGATACTGAGGATGTACCGCGCTCGGTCCTTGGTCGGTTTGACATGGGGATTGACTCGCTTGACTGCGAGATAGGCGGATTTTCTAGTGAAACTGTGCTTCGCGCCTTTCTCAGTTCCCGAGATGCTCGGCGCCGTGCTTGTCCGCTCGAGTGCCTCTTTTCCAGCTCGTGGCTGTGGGATCCTGTTCGCCTGTCGCGATACCGCCCCCTTCCACTATCTCCCGAGTCAATCGAGTGACGGTTGAAGTTTGGCGTACGTAGATCAACCTGGGTCGGACTGAAGGCTACCCGGGCCCGCATGTTTTGAATCGCATTATCGAGAGCCAGCTCAATGGCGCAGTGGTTTCGAATGCGGCTTAGTCTCGGCCATGTTGCCCGCTCGCCACTTAGACATGTTGAAAGCATGAATTCTGTTGTCGGATTCTCCAAGAGCCGTGGGAAGTTGGAAATAAGTTCCGGGTATATGTTAATGTCTCCATGATACTTCTGGTTTACAATAGAGGCGAACTTAGTCATTGAATTTGGGAAGACTCCAAGGTCGGAGAGGACGTTCACTCGATGCAGAATCTCGTCCTTAGCAAGGTGTGTCATCGTGCTCATCCATCGAGGAATGAACGAAGGGCCGTCGTTTGTCTCGCCATGTGGGCCTGTTTCCTTTGGAAGGAATGGCATCACATGAGGGTTCACTTGAGAGACAATGAAATGATTCACGTTAAACATCTCTGCTAACCGTGTCATGGGCAGATCTCCATCGACAGAGCCATCAATATACTGTTTGTCAAGATCATTCCACGGGACTGGTTCTCCTGTCAACGGATCTTTGGCCATCAATGTGAATGGCCTAAAGACAAAGGGAACAGAGCACGATACAGCTCTTAATAGACGTTAGAAATAGGTTGAGAGGGTGAAAATGGGAGAACTTACACAGCAGACCAAATCAAGACATTGGGCGCCGAAATATAGTTCAACAGCCGCGGAAGCTCATACATGCCGGCACTCGACACACAGATATTCAGAATTCTGCGAGTGCGGTTATATGCTTCCTGGAAGGTCATATCTCCCAGCCAGTTCCTGATAGTCTTCGCAAGGTGGGATATGTCAAGAAATGATCCAAACTTCAAAAAACGAGTCATCTTCTGCAGGATATTTTCTTCTCGGCCCTTCTCATTAAAGACGGCAAAATCCCCATGTACATAGGTATCTAGGAGCGCCGGCAGCTCTTCATCTGTGCGCGTGCAAAACACGGCGCACACAATGCTACCAGCAGACGCACCTGAGATAATTCGCGGGATCATTTTTGTCTCGTAAAGGGACTTGAGAACCCCGATATGGGCCATTCCAAAAGTTGCGCCACCGGAGAAGAGAAGCGCACTGCGACCGAATCCCTGCCGAGCTGCCAGCAGCTGGTCCAAGATATACTTCAGCTCCAGCCCATCGCAGCGATCATGCACCGACAAATCCACCAGTGTGGCAATGGTCTCCACAGCCGTGGTAATATATCTATCAATCAAGTCCTTGGTGCCGATATGCGAATGTCGATAGAGAGAGGCATTGCTCATGTGCGCCAGGTCCCGACTCAGCGCAGTCCGCACCAGAAACAGCATTCGGCTTACATCACAGCTGATGCGAGCCTCTTCCAATTGTCGCAATCGATCCTGTACCAAGTGAGGATCATATTCGGTGCACTCGAGTCTCTGCTTCCAGGCATTGTTGTCCTCTAGTTCATCCAGTTCACTGGCGCAACTTCGCCATTCCTCGTACGACACAGCCTGCAGACTAAAGGTTAGAAAGTGTCACTCTGCAGATGCGATCGCCCGCTCCAGGTACACAGCATGTGCTTACATTCTTTATTTTCAGGTATAGGACTTGTTTGCGGTCCTCGATGTCCGCCCTTTGTTTCCGCTGTTCCTTGGAGAGACCATCACGATAGGTGTACAGAGTATCACCGGCCCAATTCCACGAATCCTTCACGAGTGATGATACGGCTGGGATGGAGATCGCTTTATGGAGCGCTCGCGGAGGTGAGTGTTGGGACGACGGATGTTCTTGGGACTGTTTGCGCCCATGATGGCACTGAACTAATGTGGGGTCGCCCAACACCGACATGGCAGGCCTGTGCATCGGGCAAGCAAGCCATCCAGCCAGGGGTCTGTAGATGCGGAGATCTGCTAAATTTAATAAAATTATAATATGAACAAAACTGCCAAGTAAGTGAGTTGGGAGAGGAAATCCTACAGATTTTCAAGTCAAGTTTGGCGGTGGCCTAACAAACGTCACGAGGGCCAATGGTGGCCACCTGGGCAGTTTCCTCTGGGATGACCACTTTTCTTTTTATGACGATTTCACTATTATTGGATTATTTTACTATATCACACAACACTAAGTGATCATAAATTATGTATCGAAAACAGCTTCTTCAAACACCATTCTAGTCGTTCTACCTGCCGTTATTTACCAAAATCTTACATTCTCATTGAATTCCCATATGATCTGACATGATCACTTTTAACATGTGCTCAGCTCCTGTCGGACCCCGGGGCCCCGCGCGCTCCACGATCTCCGCAAAGAGCCGACAGCCAAGCTCACGCAGCTGAGGCCCAAGTCTTAGCACCAACGAATGTAAGAACAGTACAGAGTAGAACAAAGAGCCTTGGGAGGTATCCAGTCCTATTTTTAGAACTCAAACCAAGGAAAGCGAGATATAATTCAATACCAGGCTTGAGTCGAGTACAGAGATGATAGGTGCAAAGAGTCTTCGTAATATAGTCAATAATATTATACAGAAATGTTGATGTAGAATAGTTTGTAGAATAAAAACTAACTCGTGACCGCTAACCTATGCATAAGATCACCTGGGAAAGCTTATATTAAATCCTTATTCCAATTTGACAAAGGAGGAGTACTGTATGTACATTTCTCTCTTGCGCGACATAATCGAGCAATGACTCGCACAATCCACCTTGTCATATCCTCTAATGGCCGGAAACCTGCTCACTTCGCCATCTTTGTCCCCATTAAAGATCAGGGGCTGACAGGAAAACTCATCCATGTGACCGGAAATCCAGCCACGGGGTTCTTTCTCGAGTTCCAGCGGAATCACGATATTAAGGCGATCCACGAGGACGCTCAAGAGCCGTATCAAGTCCTTCCTGTTGCACAAATCGGTGGTAGATACATCATCGATACGCCCTACGAGGGCACTACTGTGGTGAGGGACACTACTGCTCGTGATCGGCTGGAATCCGCCGCTCTGTCGATTCCACCTCCTGGCCGCAGTCCCAATCCCTTCGATCCATCGGTATGCTTTCCTCATAACTTCCCATTCATCCATCCATGAATAGATTAATGACCAGCTTAATAATACTTATTAAAAATTTCATTAGGCGCCTAACTGCCAGAACTGGGCCAGGGATTATATCAATGGCCTAGTTCAAGCAGGTTTTATTGCCAGTAGCGCAATCGCAGTCATCGAAAGCGCCCCCAAAGTGATATAACAATCTTTCAGGAATAGTTTACAAGTCGTGTCTTATGGTTTTCTCTTTGGTCACCTTGTCAATATTCCTAGGTTCCTCTTTCCTATTATTTACATCATAGCTTTGGCCCTGTTCTACCCGGCTTCTTTTGTTGAATTTAATAGTTGCATGCTGGGAGCGTGGCTTGTTTGAACCATCGATGAATTACGCCTAGTACTTATATCTACTTTCAGAATATGAGTAGGGAGAATGAAGGATGAGAGGACGAGTACACACAATGAATCCAACCGTCGCGATAATTGATTTCCAGGAGAAAGATACACGTTCAAAGACGTTAAATCGATACCTATGGACCTATAGTCATTGTATGATAGTCCCATACATCTAGGGTACCAGGGCGTCAGTCCAAAATCAACGGCAAATACCGTTGCGGCCATTCTGGTATCCACCAGGCTGTATATTAAGCTTTTCGAGTCTCCCAATATGCAGAAAACCACCCCGACTGCTCTCAGTCGATGATGCCACAAACATGATAAGTGGGAGTTGCGATACTATTGTTGCGATGCAAAACATCGTGGGTAAAGACAATGTCGCTATTATCGCCTCGAACTTTCCTCTTTTCCAATCATTCGATCATCTATTATATGTAATCTTCTTAAAACTATGTACTTTGTGCTTAAACCCCATGTGTATCAGCCCCATGGGGCCACGGCCAGAACTTCTTCACATGCAAATAGCATGTGATTTCTCCAGGTTGATTTTCGCTTTTATATGTCATCCTTCAATATTCTGTCGCTACAATGTACATATAGGTATATAGGCAGTGCTGGATATTTTTAAACAGCTAAATTACCCAAAGTAGAAGATTATCATATCTGACAGAGCCACTCCCTCAGCGCATGTCTTGCCCGCATCTCGACCCCATTCTCGCGCCAAAAGTGGCCCGCACCATCTATCATCCTAGACTGAAACTGACTGTGTGGTATGTGCACCATCTCGTCTGCCCACCTCCGCAGTTTCCCAGCAGATGTGAAGGTATCCTGGTCCCCAAAGAGCGCCAGGGTGTGGTGTGTGCTCTGTTGGTCTGCTGGGCGTGGGCAGGGAATGTGGGGGCCTTTGGGGGTCTCTGTTTTCAAATTCAGGGATAACGTCGAGAATACAGTTAGGAATTGGCTAATCGGAGGTAATAGCGGAGACACAAGAAGATAGGAGATGGATGTCATCAATGCATGAAGATCTGGGGCATCAGCCAGACAGTGACTTCTTTGAAGTCGCTCTAGGGATAATCCGGCTAAATGTTTTGCTGTGCTCCTAATCTCATGTATAGGTGTTTCTTCATTTGCAGAGGTTGTCATTGGCGCGGATTGGAAGAGGTCAAGCATAGTATCGAGAGTCGGTACATGTGAGGCAATCAAAGACCCATATGAATAGCCACCAAGGATGAGACGTATATCTGGGCTGCTTGGTTCTTCCCCGGTGGGTTTGCGAAGGTTTGAGTCTCCCTGGTCCTCCGGGGCCAATGCAAGTTTCAGGAAGTGCAGATATTGCAACATGAATCCGTAGAACGACACATAATCACCGAGTTCAGGCTTTGCAGTCCAGCTTGTTCGTCCTTCAGAGTCACCAGCTCCGCTATATTGTCTCTTCATTAGCAATTTGGTCATAGCAGAGTGCCCAGGTGTTAGCAATGGATGATTATACCGAAAGTTAAAGGTCCCCACGACACAGCCAGCTTGTAGGAGCTCACTACCGATGACACTGACCACTGGATCATCGTAGCATCCTCCCAGGGTTGCGTATGGATGCGCGACAATGGCACCACGGTTGAGCCAGATTGTTGCTGATTCTATATTTTGGAGCGCGAGCGGGAGATAAACGCGGCATTCGAGCTTGTTGCCATCGTAAATAGATGGGAGGAAAAAAGAGAAGCTTGCTGATGGAAGATCCATGGCCGGATCTAATTTATTTCATACTTCTTCGTTTTGAAACGTTGCTGCAGCACTTATATTTTGCTGTTAATAGGAAGAGGTCGAGGGTGCGGCGAGATTTCGTTGGTCCGTCCACCCCCAATAATTCAGAGAACCACCTGGGCAACCAGACACAATTTGAACATCACCTCTTCAGTCAAGTGGCCTATAGCAATCCGATTTATCGAGAAATTTAATAGATTAATACTAGAAATACACTTCTATGGCGAGTAGATAAAATTATCACTCGGTTGGAAGACGTTTTGTAGATCGGGTAGATATGAGAATTATTGTTTATTCACTTATGTACTAACGAAAGGCACTAATCAGGTCAGCCAGGACGGATCTGGCTCATCATCTTCTTCCGACCTAGTATCCGAATGATGGGGATCTGTATCCTTGAGTAGATCCGCTGGAGGTTCTGGGTCATCATTTTCTAGCGGACTTGCGCGCAAGTCCTCATGGGCCCTCTCCAAGCCGTGGTCTACCAGGAGAGAAGCTCTGGGAGAAGTAGAGTGCAGGGGTGCATCGTCTTCAGGTCCCGGGAGGCCGAAGGCGGGAAGAAGCAAGCCCCTTGCTTCTCGCAGGGCCTCTAGCTCGGCTGCAATGCAGCAAACTAATAGCTTCCAGTCCTTGTCTTCGGCGAGCTCTAGATGTGATTGGACCCGGTGAGTGGTTTTATCCAAGTCATCCAGAATACTTCGCACAAGCCCGTCTTTGTAACCTGTCGGTGTGGATCCTCCGGACTCGGTCGTTGCTGTGGTCATCTCAACATAATGTCGCATGTTGGCTTGTAAGCGCTTCTCGAAGCCAGTGACATCAGACACCGCTTGTTTCCATACTCCGCCTCCTTCCTCCAGTGCCAGTATTTCAGCATCCACTTTCTGTTGCCTATTGTGTAAACTGACTTGTTCGGTATTCCAATGATCCTGGGCCATGTCAAGTGTGCGACGTTTGGGGTTCAAAGAGTGAAAGGTAGATTCGCCTGAACTTCGCGACAACGGTTGGAGAGGAGGGTCGCGGAGGTAGTTTCGGATGTCAGACTCGAGCAAAGACAAAGATTCGGTATAAGAGGAAAGCTTGGCGTCGACCGAGTTGCTGATGTTTGATATCTCATTCAAAAGGTGTCGATGTTTAGCTTTCATCTCATACAGCCTGGTCTCCAATTCATGCATGTCAGCCTCGAGGTCCCGAGCCTCTTCTTCTAGTTGCTTTGAACGTCGGCTCTCTTCGTCTCCATGTATAGTGTTAATGGCCTCTTCTAGACCATTTCTTCTTGAGAGGAAGCTTTCGATATCATGCAGCGCGTTGTCTCTTTCGTTGGTCTGAGATGTGAGGATCTCTCGTTCTTCTTCTCGTAACTTCAGTAGATCATATATTGATTGAAATATGCCCTCTCGCGCAGCCCGAAGTCCAATTTTCTTGGGTGGAGGCTGCCTAGTAGGCACCGTGGATGAGGACTGTGATCGACTTGCATTTGAGGACAACGTTGGAGTCAAACTTCCGGTTGAGATATGATCGCTTTGAGGCCCACCGAGAACAGAGAGAAGGCCATCGCTTTGGGCATCTATCAGGACTTGGAGATTGCGCTGTATGTGTCTTGTTTGACGCTCAACATATAAAAGAGGGTCATGGTGGTACACAGAAGCCCCAGCCGGTACTGGTGGTAGCCTTTTACCACGAAAGGATTGTTGAAGAAGTGTTGACATGATCGCGAAAGAGCGTGGATAGTCAAGCTTCAACTAGGGGAAGAATTGAACCTTTGTCGCGGAAGCCCAGGATAGAAAGACTATCTAGTAGTTTCAGTACAAGCTGTAATCAGCCTTTGAAATAATCATTGGATCGGAAACAAATAATTCATTCGCCGACTGATCGTGTGAGCTGTTTACCGCGGACTTGGGCCGCTCGCAGCTGACCGAGCGCTATCCACGTGATCCTTCATGTACAGTCAGCTCCGCTCAGGCGTTGACGTTGCTCTCGCGCCAGCAAAGCTTCTGACAACTGCTCCCAGCTTCCATTCGTACGTGCACTTCATCCCTTTTGTCTCTTTCATTTGATCGATTTTTATCTTTCTTGTCATATTCTCATTATCTGGGGTGACTGATTCCCCCTTGACACCTTGTTCTGCGCTGGACTGATTCGCTGTTTCAAGCTCTCTCCGATTGACGTTGCTTCATCACAACAGCAACAAAGCACCTATCGTTCCTCAAATTCCATTCACCAAATCGTGACGCGAATCGTTTCTCAATAAAGATGGTCGGACTCGTATCGGCCGCCGGTTTGGTTGGCTTCCTCTCCGAGCCTGACCCAGAACTCAAGGTCTTTGCTTTAAAGACATTAGATTCTCAGATCGATCATCTCTGGACAGAGGTTGTCAACTCGGTTCCTGAAATGTGAGTTTTTTCTTATGAAACTTGTGAAAATGAGCTTCATCTCGATTGTTGCGTCATTCCTCCCGAGTCCGACCGGCTGCTGACTATCCATCTAGTGAGGCTCTCTACGAAGATGAATCATTTCCAGAACGCGGCCTTGCGGCGTTAGTCGCATCAAAGGTATATTATCATCTGCAGGAATATAACGAGAGCATGGTTCTTGCTCTAGGCGCTGGAAAGCTGTTCAAGTTGGAAAACGCCGGCGAGTATGAGGAGACCATCATCGGTATGTTGAAGAAGATTCCTGGCATTGGCTTTTATTGAGACTGACATGCTTCCTCATTCAGCGAAATGTGTCGATACCTTCATCTCTCTATCTGCCTCCCAACGACCTACCGCGGGTGATCAACCAGCCAATCTGAACACTGCATTCCCAGCATCTGGCGACGGCGCCACCAGCACATCCGCCAGCCTCACTTCTCCTATCACACCTTTCTCCAAGTCCGCACTGCCCTCGAAATCATTGCTTTCCCGCGCGGAGGTTCCCGGCGTGGACGCCGCACACCCTGGTGGCGATGACACTAGCGTTCAGCACGAGGAAAACTCCCTTGTGTTGAAGCGCGGTGTTCAGGGTCAATTGCAGACCGTCATTGAGCGATTGATTGAAGCATGCTTCCGACAAAAGCGATATCGTCAGGTCATTGGAATTGCCATCGAGGCAAAGAACCTGGATGTACTTCGTCTGGCCATCCTTCGTGCCAGCAGCGATGAGAAACAGGAGGAGGGTGACTCCCGTGGCAGCGAGGAGCTCATGGAATATGTCCTGGACATCTGCATGGGCGTTGTTCAAGAACGAGCCTTCCGCAGCGAGGTTCGCATTTCCCAAAGATTTCGTCACTATTCACCCGAGTTGGCTAACCAAGGCTTAATTTTCTAGATCCTTAAACTCATTTTGGAACTTCTTAATGAAATCCCGGCACCCGACTTCTTCTCGATCGCCAAATGCGTTGTCTATCTTAATGAGCACTCAATGGCCTCCGTTATTCTTCGCCAGCTGGTTGAGAAGGGCGATGCGCGATCCCTTGCCGTTGCTTATCAAATTTCTTTCGACCTTTATGACAACAGCACCCAGGAGTTCCTTCAGAAAGTTCGACAAGAGATTGCTGAGCTTGTTCCTGAAGATGAGGCCGATAAAGAGAACAATGAAGAGTACAGGCAGCCAAGAGAGTCCGACGCATTGCTCGAAGACCAGGGAAGCTCTTCCCGGCCGTCGAATCAACAATCAGATCTCTCAGAGGATGCGGTGACTGCATTCAAGAACATCCTCTCAATTCTAGATGGAATCAAGACCATCCAGTTGAATCTGGAATTCTTATACCGGAACAACAAGGCTGACATCGCGATTCTGAACAAGATTCGTGACAGCCTTGAAGCCCGCAATTCGATCTTCCACACTGCTGTGACACTTTCAAATGCATTCATGCATGCAGGAACAACCCACGATAAGTTCTTCCGTGACAACTTAGAGTGGCTCGGCAAGGCCGTGAATTGGTCCAAGTTCACAGCCACTGCTGCATTGGGCTGTATCCACCGCGGCAACCTCAGCCAGGGTCAGAAGCTCCTCCAGCCTTACCTCCCCCGCGAACACATCGCTGGAGTTGGAGGCTCGGGGTCTGTTTACAGCCAGGGTGGCTCTCTTTACGCCTTTGGTCTCATCTACGCCAATCACGGTGGCATGGCGGTTGACATCATTCGCGACCACTTCAAGAAGGCCACGGAAGAGGTGGTTCAGCATGGTGGTGCTCTCGGCCTCGGTGTTGCGGGTATGGCAACAGGCGACGAAGGCATTTACGAAGACCTGCGGAGCGTTCTTTACACTGATTCCGCTCTCAATGGCGAGGCGGTCGGTCTCGCCATGGGTCTCATTATGCTTGGCACCGGTAACATGAAGGCTCTTGAAGACATGATCCAGTACGCACACGACACGCAGCACGAGAAGATCGTTCGCGGCCTGGCTATGGGTATGGCTTTGATCATGTTCGGTCGCCAGGAAGCTGCCGACGAGCTCATCAACGGTCTGCTCGGCGACCCTGACCCAACCCTCCGCTACGGTGGTATCATGACCATTGCCCTGGCTTACTGTGGCACTGGCAGCAACAAGGCCGTCCGCAAGCTCCTGCACGTCGCCGTCAGTGATGTTAACGACGACGTGCGCCGAGTTGCCGTGCTCAGCTTGGGATTCATCTTGTTCCGCAAGCACCAGAGTGTTCCTCGCATGGTCGAGCTGCTTTCTGAGTCATACAACCCTCACGTCCGATACGGTGCCGCCATGGCGCTCGGTATCTCCTGCGCCGGCACTGGCTTGGATGAAGCTATCGACCTCCTGGAGCCTATGCTTAAGGACTCAACCGACTTTGTTCGTCAGGGTGCTTTGATCTCTCTTGCCATGGTTCTCGTCCAGCAGAACGAGGCCATGAACCCCCGTGTAACCAGCCTTCGCAAAGCCATGATGAAGATGCTCGGTGACCGTCACGAGGATGCTATGGCCAAGTTTGGTTGTGCAATTGCTCTCGGTATCATTGATGCTGGTGGCCGAAACTGCACCATTAGCTTGCAGACGCAGACGGGTAACCTCAACATGCCCGGTATCGTTGGTGTTGCGGTCTTCGTGCAGTACTGGTACTGGTTCCCTCTCACACACTTCTTGTCGCTTAGCTTCACCCCGACATCCGTGATCGGTGTTGACCAGAAGCTCGAAGTCCCACACTTCAAGTTCCACAGCAACACCCGACCTAGTCTATTCGACTACCCCCCTGAGCAACAGGTGAAGACTGAGGAGGCTCCGGAGAAGGTGAAGACTGCAGTTCTTTCTACCACAGCCCAGGCCAAGCGTCGCGCGCAGCGTAGGGAGAAGCAAGCGCGCCGTGAGAGCATGGACATCGACCAAGCACCCACAACACCCAAGGCTACTGATCAGCTGCTGGATGCAATGGACACAGACGATGTTCCTAAGGAGGATGGAGAAGAAGGCAAAGAGACAGAGAAGGCTGCTGCAGAGGTGCAGAAGAAGAAGGCAGAGCGGGAGAAGGTCGGATACGAGCTGGACAACCTGTCTAGGGTACTTCCAGCTCAGCTTAAGTACCTTACTTTCCCCGACCCGCGATATGAGCCGGTCAAGAGGGTATGTCCATTCCTATTTACCCCAATCAATTCAATACTAACAAAATTGCAGCCCACTGGTGGTGTTGTTGTCGTTCTCGATAAGCAGCCCGACGAGCCTCGCGAGGTAATTGAATTAAAGGCCAGCAAAGAGGCTCGCCAACCGCCTCCTGCCACGGAAACCCTCCAGGACCGCCTACAGGCCGCCATTGGAACCGCTGCTCTGCAGACCCCTCAACGGGCCGATGCTCGGGCTGCTCTATCTGCTGCAACCTCAAGTGGTGCTGGTGCTGCCGCTGGTGCTGGTGTGCTGACGGCTGTGGATGAGGACGAAGAAGGCGTGGAAGACGCACCTGTCCCTGACGAGTTCTCGTACGAGTCAGATGGTGAAGAACAGTAGAGTGTTGTTGCGGCATAGAATCTGGATGCTGGATGTATTACTAGACTAATCAGGCTGTCTACGCCGACGTGATCTATTTGGGGGCTAGTATAGCTTTCCGTCACTGTGATTGATAAGAAAGTTCCTATGTTACTTTTAAATTACTCTGCATTCTTGTCGTATGCTTTGCACTTAGTCAGAAGGATCACCCACAGCTTGATGCAAGGGTTTTCGGAAGTAGTGCTGACACATGCCAGAGGTACATGGTGGCGAAATCACGAACCAGACTTAATTGTACAAAGTCACTATTCTCCGATATGAGAGTTGCATTACATAGCTATATCGAGATATCTGTCACATAATTGTAGCACGGAATAATCCAATTGCACATCTGCCGATACTCATACACGTTCACATGCTGCCCGCAATCGGTTCTGACTCAGCAATCCACTGTCCCCTGGGCAGTTATGCCTCGGCAATTTATCAAACGGCACGAGCCAATAAACTGATTGTCAACGGCGATGACCGAAACCGATCGCAGCCAATAAAACACCCGTGGGCTGCTACAATGTAAGGTCCCAAGGTCGTGGACTTTATGCTGAAGCATGTGAACTGGTACTGGCATGCTCCGAGGCCCCTTTTCGTGCAGCTTCATGTCCATACTTGGAATATCGCCCGAACTTCGCGGAAATTGTTTCTTGCCCCATAAATCATATATTCTCCAGCTTCCCCGGACTTGAATTTTTCTTCTTTCCCCAACTATTCTTTGATCTTAACATAATTTTTTTTTTGCACACCTTTTTCCCTCATACCTTATCTCCTCGCCGCCATGGCAAAGACATTTAGCAAAGAGGACGTCGCCTCGCATAGCAAGGGCGACAGTCCCTGGATCATTATCGACGAAGATGTTTACGATGTTTCCATGTTTCAAGATGAGCACCCTGGTAGGTGAATTCATGCGTACATATGCATGGAAATCACATGTTGACAATTGCTTGTTTGAACAGGTGGAAAAAAGAGTACGTTGATCCGAGAGCATCCGCTACATCTGATAAATCCATACTGATAATGTATGTCTAGTTCTTCAGCGAGTAGCTGGAAAGGACGCCTCAAAACAGTTCTGGAAGTACCACAACGAGGGCATTTTGAAGAAGTACAAGAGTCTACAGATCGGTTCGCTGGATACGAAGAAGGCGGCACCGGCACCAGCACCGGCACCCGTTCCAGCCCCGAAAAAAACCCCCTCCGAGCCGAAGCCCGCGGCTTCTTCGTCTTCCGTGACACCGCCTGCCACTGGCGCGCCACAGGACCCTTACGGAGAGCTGATTCCCTTCGCCGACCCTTCATGGTACCAGGGTGTAAGTATTGCCATCTGCCACAGATCTGTGGGGTTTACGGTTGCACGGAAGCTAATCTATATGTCGCTCATAGTATGCATCCCCTTACTTTAATGAATCCCACGCCGCACTGCGGGACGAGGTCCGCCAGTGGGTCGAGTCCGAGATCGAACCATATGTGACCGAATGGGACGAGGCCAAGGAAGTGCCTGCGAAAATCTACAAGCAGATGGGTGAGCGGGGCTACCTGGCCGGACTGCTGGGTGTTCACTTCCCCGAGAAGCACACTCCGTACCACGTGAAGTCTGTGTCACCAGAACGCTGGGATTTGTTCCACGAGATGCTCCTGACCGACGAGCTGTCGCGTGTTGGCAGCGGTGGTCTAGTGTGGAACCTGATCGGTGGTTACGGAATTGGCTGCCCGCCACTGGTGAAGTTCGGCAAGAAGGCGCTGGTCGACCGAATCCTGCCGGGTATCTTGGCCGGCGACAAGCGCATCTGCCTCGCCATCACCGAGCCCGATGCGGGCAGTGACGTCGCAAACTTGGGTTGTGAGGCTAAGCTCACCGAGGACGGCAAGCACTACATCGTCAACGGCGAAAAGAAGTGGATCACTAACGGTATTTACTCCGATTACTTCACAACCGCCGTTCGCACCGGCAAGGATGGCATGAACGGCCTCAGTGTGCTGCTTATCGAGCGCGAAGCTGGTGGTGTTAGCACCCGCCGCATGGACTGCCAGGGTGTGTGGTCTAGCGGTACAACTTATGTCACCTTCGAGGACGTCAAGGTACCCGTGGAGAACTTGATCGGCAAGGAGAACCAGGGCTTCAAGGTTATTATGACAAACTTCAATCACGAGCGTATCGGCATCGTGATTCAGTGCGTGCGCTTCTCGCGCGTCTGCTACGAGGAGTCTATGAAATACGCGCACAAGCGCAAGACCTTCGGAAAGCGCCTCATCGACCACCCGGTTATTCGCATGAAGCTCGCCCACATGGCCCGCCAGATCGAGGCCACCTACAATTGGCTCGAGAACATCATCTACCAGTGCCAGTCCATGGAGGAGACCGAGGCTATGCTTAAACTCGGCGGTGCCATTGCTGGACTGAAGGCGCAATCTACGCAATGCTTTGAGTTCTGCGCTCGCGAGGCTAGTCAGATCTTTGGTGGTTTGAGTTACAGCCGTGGCGGCCAGGGCGGCAAGATTGAGAGACTGTACCGTGATGTGCGTGCCTATGCTATCCCCGGTGGCAGTGAGGAGATTATGCTTGACCTGAGTATGCGCCAGAGTTTGCGTGTCCACGGCATGTTTGGCATGAAGCTATAAAGCATTTTTGGGGGTGTTTTTGATTGCGGCGGTAGAGCATGCGCATTTTGATTCATTTTATTTTGCTACTTTTGGCTAGATATCCTGTCGTCTGTGACGGCATCTCTTTTATTCTGCTATGATCTGCCTTGTACGATAACATTACATTGGCTTCTTTTGTATATTTCATGATTTATGGCAGACGTCACCGCCTTCTTGGATATTCGCTACATATACTTGATTTTGATTCATAACTAAACCCGCAGCGTCTCGATAATTTACGATATTAGATACATAGCTACTAACTATGTTGGCAAGAAGAATCAGGGCCACGACCGACAACGCAACGCCAAATCCAAAGACCATCAAATAAAGAGAATCTCAAACATCCCTTCTTTGTTTTCAACTATGCTCGAAGACCAAATTCCGCCATTCAGCCCACCGTACTTCTTTCGATCTTAGTCCTTTATGGCCACTTTCTTTGATGGGAGTCGAGCCATGATTAGGCAAACCTTGAGAACTGTTACGATTGCGTCCGAAGCTCTTTGATACCGATCTATTATTAGGCAAAAGTTGTGATCTGGCTTCCTTTTAAAACAAAAGCCGGAAATTCAATGTGAAAATACAGCCCTGAAGCGTGCCCGCTGCCTATTTAGGACCCTCGAGACAAGTCATTTGTATCTACGCCTTTCCTTGAACATTATCTACCAACTCATTCACGATGTCTCTAATCAACGATGATGGATGTGACCTTGCAAGTGATATCGATGGAATGATTCAAGTTGTGTCTGATGAGCACTCCGCCACATCACTCATCCTTGCCAATTTGGTAGCCCGACGGATGCGCGAATTCCAGGATAACGGAGACGATTTCACCGGCCCTGATACTGCACCACCAGATCTCCTAGAAAGTCTTAGCTCAGAAAATATCGACGATGTGAGCCACGAGTCCTTGCAAGATATAGCCTATTCCATGGATCTCACGACCATGCCTAACGACTTGTTGCTTCTGGTTCTCTCTATGCTGCTGCATGTTGATACAAGACTTCCAATCCCGGAGGACCTTCATGCTCTGCATGAATTTGCCGAAGCATCGTTAATGCACCGAAAGCATGTGGAAACATGGTTGAGATCTGAGCCGGCTCAAGGCACACTTGAACAAGTGTTCAAGCCATGGATGAACTACTACGGCTTCAAACCTGCCTACCAATGCAGAGAGGATATTGCGGCCTATAAAGCTAGTCGTGGTGGTGCTGGATTTAACTATGGGTATGAGTTCGTGAAAGAATGTCAATGTACAAGCTGCCTCGCACTTCTCGGGAATCTTGGGTTGGTCGATTACAGGAACTACGACCAAAATGGGAGGAGCTTTTTCCATGCAGTAATTGAGGGCGGAGACGCCGAAAGTGTGATGTTCATTGTCGCTATCTTGCTGGAAGGAGGCTTAGATCCTCGGCACTTTCCCACGTCTATCGATGGGATGTCTATTCCCCACCATGTCGCTTTGATGCACGACAATGATATCTTTAGGGGTGTCGTGGAGTTTCTAGAGGAAGCCGGCTACCCTCTATCTGTGTGGAACGATGATGGCCTCAAGCTCGAATTGTGCAGCTTCATCACGGCCGAAATGGCCGAACAGCTCCTGTCGAAAGGATTCAATATTACCAAGCTCCCCAGAAATACACTTCCAATGTATCTGCCCGAGCAGAACGATGAGTCATCGTCAGATGAGGAGCTGAACCGCGATGCAGAATATGGCGATCCGATCATCAGGGACGAAGAATTCGACCCCGAAAATGACACGCTTGACCCAGCATCGATTCAATATGATCCTGTTGGGATCAATCCCATCGAACTTGATCCTACCTCTCGCACCATTTGGCACAGGGCAATCGAGAACCCCGAAGGTCCACGAATCCTTGACTGGCTGTTGGATCACTCGTATACCCAACCAGGGTGTCGGAACAACTTCGACCGAGACTCCGGTGAGACTGCTCTGGTAGCCGGCGCAAGAGGAGACGAGCCGGCTGGCATTGATTGGTTCTGTCAACACTGTGATCCCATGGCAGGGCGGGTCCGAAATTCCCAGGACACCGAGGCAGATGAGAGCATAGGTGCTTATGCGTTACAAGTAGCAGCTCACAACTTGCGGCCAAATTGTGACATCATTTTCAAAAAGCTTTTGCGTCATGTGAACGCCCAATTTTACTGGGATGTTTCTATAGTCAAGGGTTTGTATTGGTTGATTATCAAGAATTATCGAGATATGTACCAAAGGTTGGAAGATCACAGCGAGCCAGGACGGGAGAGAGCTCAGCAAATGGCTCTCCTGCGCGCTCTTACTTCATCTAAAACGCGAGCGCTGAATACTAGACTGGAGCCTTTCTGGGATACCTGGGGGCCCTCTGAACAGCGAAATTGGCTCATTCAGTACTGTACGATTCTTAGATTGAACTTCCTTGTGAAAGATTTATGTGCAGATGATTAGGATGATTCTGATTAGAAGTTTCAAGGGGATAAGGTATTAGATATGTTGGTAGGAGTATTAGCAACCAAACAATACAATAATGAGGGTTGACTTTGGACGCTGATTCCGACTCCTTGGATACATATATGATGCTTTTACTACTCTTTCATCGTGTTTATTCTTTCTCTGAGGTTGTTGTCAAACTTTGCTTGATTTGCCTCTTCGTGTCTCCTTGTCCGATGAATTAAGTCTTCAGTACTATGTATAGCATTGGAAGTTTGATTGTGTGTTGGCCCAAGGGCAGGAATAATATAGATTAGTTGGGACATTTGTTCGCACCAGTGGAATTGTGAGGGCATTCTAGTTTCTCCTAGCTCTCCGATCAACCCTATCTGAAAATTTATACCAAATTAGGGTAGATCAATGTACCTGGGTGGAATCAGAACATTGGAAGCTTCTTTGTCCTCAATGCAGTGCAAAGGATGGAAGTTGAGAAACGCCAGACTGAAAGGAGGCCAAGTACGGCGTGTCACAAAGACCACTTACGCAAGTATTATGCCTCTGGGCAACTCGACCTCTACCCTCCGACACTTCAATTCCTCATTTGCCCTTTCTCAAATTACCCCTTACGAGTAGTGCATAAATTGCACCTGCGTTGTGTTGCGGTTTCTTCTTCTTCAACCAACCCCGAGATCTCTATTACGATCCGTGTTCCTTGTAGGCGGTCGCGGAACTCGGTGATTGCCCGCACAGCTCGACTGTCTGCTGTGCTCCCCCTCAACTCTCCAGTCACTTTTCCCTCGTTTGGATCAACCTCATTTGACTTGACTTGACGTGCTTGGAATTGGCTGTCTATCGGAAAATACAAGACAGTCTGCACCCGGACATCTACGTCTTGTTTCTCAACCCGCAAGTTGTAGCGCGGTTTCCTTGAATAGGGTTAGTCTTGCTTCTCGCATGTTATTTTGTTATTCCAGTTGCTCATTCTCCTCGTGATTGATAGAAATCTCGCTATATCTCAACTCCAAATTACGACTTGCTAAAAGTGGCGCGACCAGATCATCTGCAATAGCCCGAGACACTACCTGCCAAAATGTCAAACTTTCTCAACCAGGACTTCGGGTCCGATGATGAGGAGGATGAGTTCAACCCTGCTCCTCAAGAGGAGTCCGACGCCGAGGAGCAGGAAGCGAAGGTTGGTCTACAGACACCTGTCAAGCTTGATGGACAAACCGCTAACAAGCGAGTGTGAAACAGCAAACCAAGAAAGGACACACAAGTGGCGATGGCGCTAATGATGAGGATGATGTGAAGTACTCACGCGATGTACATGCACATGAGGAGGAAGATGCCAAGGATGTTCAAGATGACGACGAGGAGAATGAGTTGGACGATGACGACGAGGAGGAAGAAGAAGAAGACGAGGAAGAGGATGTGGTATGTTCTCCATGGGGACCTGGTAATGCACGAGAACTCTGTTAACTCATAGTTTCTATTTCAGGCTCGTCCGCAAAAGCGAGCAAAGCGCGTTGCCAATCCCTTCATCGAAGATGAGGCCGGCGTCGATGACGAGGAGGACGAAGGCGATGATGAGGAAGATGAGCTCGCCGAATATGGCATGGAAATGCATCCGGACGATCTTGATGCGCTACCCCAAGGCACTGAGACAGACGACCGCCGCCATCGACAACTCGATCGCCAGCGCGAGATTGATGCCAGCATGGACGCAGAGAAGCAGGCCCAGATGCTTAAGGAACGATATGGACGCAACCGTGCTGCTGCAACAGATTCCCTTGTGGTTCCAAAACGACTCCTGCTTCCCAGCGTGGAAGACCCCAGCATTTGGGGTGGCCGCTGCAAGCCTGGCAAGGAGAAGGAGGTCGTTTATTCGATTCAGAAACGAATTGAAGAGCGCCCAGCAGGCTCTCGCAACCCCATTCGGATTATCTCGGCCTTCGAGCGCGGAAACATTATGCAGGGCTGGTTCTACTGTGAAGCGCGCAGACAGGCCGATGTCATCGAAGGCTTGGAGGCCATTAACTTCTACTACCCATCCCAGAAGCTGACTCTGGTTCCAGTGAAGGAGATGCCAGATCTTCTTCGCGTTCAGAAATCGGAAGAACTTTTGCCTGGTGGCTGGATTCGTATCAAGCGTGGCAAATACTTGGGCGATCTGGCCCAGATTGAGGAGGTCGAAACTAATGGTCTAAATGTCACTGTGCGACTTGTTCCTCGACTGGACTACGGCATGAATGACGATACTTTTGGTGCCCCTACCGATGCTAAGCGCAAACGGGGTGCTGTGAATACTGTCCGCCCTCCCCAGCGCCTGTTCAGTGAGACAGAAGCGAAAAAGAAGCACGCCAAATATCTATCGTCTACTTCTGGTCTAGGCGGAAAATCATGGAACTACTTGGGCGACAACTACGTGGATGGGTTCCTCATCAAGGATATGCGTGTCCAGCACTTGAATGCTAAGAATGTTAACCCCCGGCTAGAGGAGGTTACCATGTTCGCGCGTGGAGGAGAAGATGGAACTGCCAATTTGGATCTGGCCTCGCTGGCTGAGACTCTGAAGAACTCCACCGCTGAAGACTCATACCAACCGGGTGATCCAGTAGAGGTTTACCGGGGTGAACAGCAGGGTCTTATCGGTCGCACAGTGTCAACTCGAGGTGACATTATTTCATTGCAAGTCACCGAGGGCGAGCTGGCCGGTCAGACAATTGACGCGCCTGTTCGAACTCTCCGTAAACGATTCCGTGAGGGTGATCACGTCAAAGTTATCGGCGGCAGTCGGTACCAGAATGAACTGGGCATGGTCGTGCAGGTTAAGGACGACACCGTCACTCTGCTCAGCGATATGAGTATGCAGGAGATCACGATTTTCAGCAAAGATCTTCGACTTTCTGCTGAGATGGCTGCCGATGGGCAACTCGGCATCTACGATGTCCATGATCTCGTCCAGCTTGATGCCGCCACTGTCGCTTGTGTTATCAAAGTGGACCGAGAGTCCCTCCGCGTGGTGGACCAGAATGGCTCTATCCGCAACATTCTTCCTACGCAAATCGCAAGCAAGATTGCTCCCCGTCGCGATGCCGTGGCTACTGATCGCAATGGCGCAGAGATTCGGGGTGGCGATACTGTTCGCGAGGTTTATGGAGAGCAGCGCAGTGGAGTAATTCGCCATATCCACCGTTCGTTCCTTTTCTTGCATAATAAGGCGCAAGCCGAGAACGCGGGTATCTCTGTGGTGCGGACAACGAATGTTGTTACCGTATCAGCCAGAGGTGGCCGGCCCACTGGACCCGATCTTACCAAGATGAACCCTGCCCTGGCGATGAAAACTCCTGGAGGCGGTGCTGCAATGCCACCACCTCGTCGCGGCCGTGACCAGCTTATTGGAAAGACTGTGACTATTCGCAAGGGTCGTTATAAGGGTCTCGTCGGTATCGTCCGTGACGCAGACGACAGTTCTGCCCAAGTTGAGCTTTATACATCTAACAAGCCCGTACACATCGCGCGTGATATTCTGACACCTAAAGAGTATGTTCTCCCTCTGTTGTATTTGACCCACAATCTTTCTAACCTTTCACAGTCCTATTTCCAAACAGCCCCTCTCCATGGGCCGTGGAAGAGGAGGTGGTGGCCCTCAAGGGCGAACTCCTTACACTTCTTCGGGCGGTCCTGGGAGAGATAGTTGGGCCGGTGGTCGAACACCTATTGCCGCCGCCGATTCGTCCAGAACTCCCGCTTGGAATGGCGCGTCTGCGAGAAGTAAGTACACTGATCTTAGAAGAGTTGACGAAGATGCTAATCATCCTCTAGCTCCTGCTTGGGGTGGCGTGAGTAGTGGCGTGAGTGGTGGCCGTACTCCGGCCTGGAAGAACGACGGCTCTCGTACCGCGAACCCTTACGAAGGAAACCGCACCGCATATGGAGGAGTTGGCAGCCGTACCCCGTCCTGGACCTCGGGATCCAAGACACCATACGACTCCAGCTCCGGTTTCGACGCCTTCGCCTCTGGATCCCGCACTCCTGGATGGAATGCCGGTGGCGCAAACACAGGAAGCCGCACTCCCGGCTGGAATGCTATGTCCAGCAACAGAGACCAGCGTGATTTCGACGATGCTCCAACTCCTGGCGGAAATTACTCTGCTCCTACGCCCGGCGCATACGCTGCTCCGACCCCTGGCGCACCAACTCCTGGCGGATGGCCCGAAAGTGCCCCAACCCCTGGTGGAGCTTTCAGCGCGCCCACTCCCGGTGGCCCCTCAAAGCGAGACTATGACGCTCCAACCCCTGCGGCATTCGATGCGCCAACTCCGGCGATGGGCGGAATGGCTGCTACGCCTGGTGCTGGGTATGGTGGCAATGACGGCGGGCCACGGTACGACGATAGCCCCAGTCCTTAGTTCCTGTTCTCTTTTTTTTCCAAGTACCAAAAGTGTCCTTCCCACACACCATTAAGATATCAAACGGGATAGGACCGGTTTCACATATGTATTCTACCTTTTGAATTTAATTTCTTGCAGAACATGGCGCCAAATGATATCTCCTGGTCACTGAAGTCGTATGATCTTGAACACTGTTTTTCTAAAATACAGCAAAACTAAACTAATCTGACTTGCTTATGCATGATGGGGCTGATACCCCTGAGTATCCTGAGCGCAGCGATGCATCCAAACTTCCACCTGGGAAGACCTATGAGGGTGGGCAAATCGCCGTCAACTATGTAAAGCATCCCATTATTCCTTGCCATAAACGGCCAATGCTCGGTCGATGATATCCGCTGCCCATAGACACTTCTCATCTTGGAAACGCGGCGTGACGACCTGGATAGCGCATGGAGCGCCGTCTACCTCATCAGGGCGATCTAGTATCTGTCAGCAATCTATTCAATAAAAGAGACGGGCTAACTGACAGTCCGGTTGCGCATCATCGGCTGTTTTCATAGGCTCAGGGTCAAGTTCTTTGGACGCTTTGCCATATGGAATAATGCATGCGGGATACTGGATTGGCAGAAGTTAGTATATGTCCAGAAGATTGATGGCCAAAATAGCAGGATCCAAAAAAAAAAAAAACTTACATCCAAAACATTCCATAGCACCGTATAAGAAGGCCATCCATACATATCATGGGCCACCGCTGTACTCTGAGCTCCAGGAGCGAGGACAACATCAAGCTTCTGATCGACCCACGTCTGCCTCCAGGCCTCATGAATCCGTAGGCGAGCCTCATGCAACGCCAGGATACTCTCAAATGGTCCTAGACCTTGCTGGGCAATGGGCGGACCAGAGCCCATCGGCGACGCATTCTTAGCAAGCGAAGTTATCTTAGGTTCGCCACTAGCCTCAATAATAGCTTTCTGTGGGCCATAGGTAAAATATTGGAAGGCAAGGCGCGACGCATATGCCAGGCTCTGTGCTTCATCTTCACCACCAAGTCGGATAATACGATGTCCTGCGCGCTTCAAGGCCTCAACGGCCCGCTCTAGGGCCCTCTTTACAGGCGGGTGGAGCAAGAAATACTTATCCTCAGCAAGCACACCAATAGTTAAGCTTCCACTGGCGTTGATACCAGACGGGACAGCTTGCCACGGGACCCCAACGGCAGAAAAATCGTACTTCCACGCTTGGCCGTCGGCGACGACAGAGCTCATCAGTAGCTTGAGATCGGCGATACTATGGGCCAGCGGACCTGCTGCTGGACTAAGTCCTGGGATCCCCTTCACGGCGCCGGAGACCTGTCCGCCGAAGGGGATACGGTCGTTTGTTGGCTTGAAGCCGTATACGCCGCAGCATAGTGCGGGGATGCGAATTGAGCCGGCGATGTCGGTGCCCACGCCCAACACCGATCCTCGGAATGCTACTAGTGCACCCTCGCCGCCGCTGGATCCGCCAGCTCCTAGGATTGTGTTGTGTGGGTTGAGGGTGCGGCCGAAGATGTTGTTCTCCGAGTCTGCTGTCTGGGTGTGATCGTTAGCTTCACGTTCTCAATGGATCCTGAGTCATTGGTATTTTTACCATCATTGTCTGGGGAATGTTCGTCTTCACGTATAGCACTGCGCCAAGCTCCAGTAGCATGCTCACTAATCCTGAGTTTTTCTTCGCGGGTTCGTTCTCGAGAAATGCGACAAATCCAATTGTTGTCTGCACACCCTCCACACAGAAACTGTCTTTTAGACTGATCGGTAGACCGTGTAGGGGCCCAATGGGCTTTCCCTCCCTCTGGAGGTACTCATCCAGGTACTTCGCACGCTCCAGCGCCTGGGGGAAGAAGGTCTCCGTAAGACATGAGATCTACACAAAACATCTGTTAAGATCGTTCCTCTTTTATCTGGCCAGGGAGACGTTATACTCACAACCTGCTGCGCAATAGCAGCCCTCTTACAAAACGCAGTTGTAACAGCCAACGAGCTAGTCTGCCCTGATGCTAACTTGACCAATAGCTGACTTGCGGTATAGTTTTCCGTGATATCCAATTCGATCTCGGAGAGCAGACCACTGCGACGAGGAAGATCAATATCGAGTAGACGCGGGGATTCCTGCGCAAATGCCAGCTGGTCTGCACTCAGACGCCAATCCGAGGGTATCTTCTGTTCGCATTCATGACGTTTGATGGCGACGAGGTCTTGCCAGTTACTGGGTGATTCAGATGCCATTTTGAAGATGGGATTGTTGTGGTTCCATGCTTGTGACCATCGTCCTTTTTATGTACTTGTTGTGCTCGGCACGACGGCAATTGCATATCAGAAGATGTGACCATCTCCACTTTACGTACTTGTCTAACCCCTCACTTGGTGTGGTTGGTGAGGTTGGAGTGTGTGTCCGCCTGCCACTTTGGGATAGCTTAGGTCCGGGAGGAGTTCGCGATAGCGCTCGGGTTGTATAGAGGGGTACATATCTTGTTGAATATCCACAATAATCGCTTTACTTCATTACTGTTGCTCTTGTAGGGCTCTCTTATCACATATTAGAAGGATAACGATCTAGAAAGAACGGCCGCTATAGTGGACTCTAAAATATACAACTCTCTAGCCGACACAGTAACCCCTCTATCTACTACCGGTTATCAAACCCCTCTCCAACCTCAAATTTATTGATTATAATGACTTAGCTACCGCCCATGGATATCTTGGCTTGATATCGGAGGGAAATTGGTCATACTACGCATCGACCTAGATCTCCTCTTCCTCACAGCACGTAGCACCGAACGAAACACACCAACACATTCGATTGTATAGAGCAGGCCCAGCCTCGAGGCGCGAAGATCGCTGCCTCTTCCTAAGACATTCTCGCCTCTTGAACGATCCTTACATCGTCCTCGACGATCTTGGCATACCTTGTTCCTGGAACAGGGTCGTATAGCCTTATAGACGCGAATGAACGGACGGTGTGCAACGGGTGTCTAGAGTCGTGGGGGATGAGGTAGTTAGATGATAAGCAGATCAAGATTGAGCATATGAACGAGAAAAGTACGAGGATTCCTCACATGTACTCCCTTCATCATATGTATTGTTGTCCAGTCTGTGTTTCCTGGGGATAGATATCATAACATGAGAGTGAAATGAAGAAAACATAAAAGGGCTAGCCAGTGTACTCTAATGATATGTATTTTCAAAATCCCCGCAATCTCCAAAATCTCCAAAATCCCAAAGCAGAAGGTTGACCCACCGGTGCGTTATCTTTGAACTCTATCAGCACCTCGGCAGGTGTGGGATCCACGGGAATGAAAACCTTAGAAAAGAGATTAGCTCATCATCTATGTCGGTATCTGAGTGTGTAAAATGGATGCATGTGTGTATGGGGTCTGTTTAGTCTTGTTTAGTGTTATTTAGTGTATGCAGTCAACCGTGGAAGTGGTATACCTACCAGAGTAGGTAAGTCCAACAGGCGACTTCTTATTTGCGATCTGATATTAGGCCTGGCCTGACTACTTCAGCCTCGTGTTTTTATTTTCTTTTTAATTCTCCCACGTATCTTGTCAGTCTCGCGTAAGACCCTGCCCCTTTCCTATTTATCTACCACACATCTCTCTTCTTTGACTTCCTTTCAATTAAAACAACATTCTACCCTGTACCATAGCTCTGAAATTTCAGCAACCATGCCCTTCGCTACAGATATTCTGAGTGACCCTTCGGTCCCAGCCTCTGCTAGACAGCAAGCTCTCAACCGCATCCATTCCGACCCAGGCATCCCCCAGACTTTGACGACCTCGTCCTTCTGGACTCTGTCTCCACACGACTTCAGCCAGGGAGCTGCAAAGTTTCTACCCAAGGAAGCTGATATTGTTATTATCGGATCTGGTGTTACAGGAGCATCCATTGCACGAACCTTGCTCCAGAACCGCGCTTCAAACTCCTCTTCTGGCTCCCATCCATCTATTGTCATGCTCGAGGCTCGCACAGTTTGCAGTGGTGCAACCGGCCGCAATGGAGGTCACATCCTGGAGACAGCAGATGAGTATTGCGAATTCGCTGATGTCTTTGGCGATGATGCCGCGCGTAAGCTTCTCCGCTTCCGACTGGGCCATCTGGAGGAGATGCTCGCTGTCGCAGAAGAGCTTGGAATCACTACAGAGGCGCAAGCACGGAAGGTCCAGTTCCTGAGCGTTTACTTCGGCGAAGAGCCTTGGAAGGCGGCGTTAGAGCGAATGCACCGTTTCAAGGAAGGGATGCCAGAGGAAGCTGCTGAGTGGAAGTCCTACGAGGGAGACGATGTCCTAAGTGTTCGTTGATATCTTATCATCACCATCCAAAACGCTAATTCTAACATTCTTGCTAGGACTTCCATTTGGCTCGTGCCCGAGGCGTCATCGCCGGCCCCGCAGGCGCCCTTTGGCCCTACAAATTCGTTACCGGTGTCCTCAATCGTCTCCTTGAAGACTTCCAGGATGATTTCCGCGTCGAGGAAAATACACCCGTGACCGCTATCCACGACGAGACTTCCACCACCGGTCCGAGATACAAGGTCGAAACAAGCAGAGGCACTATCACCGCCCGCCACGTTATCCACTGCACGAATGCCCATGTCAGCCACCTGGTACCCGGCTTCCGGGGTCGAATCTTCCCCGTGCGCGGACAGATGTCCGCTCAAACTCCCGGTGACAACTTCCCCAACCAAGCAGCGGATCATTCCTGGCTATTTAACTACGACCGCGGGTTTGACTACATGACCCAGCTACCGGCGGGGCAAATGATGCTCGGCGGAGGATTTGCGCAGGCCGAAGCCGGCGGTCTAGCGGATCTAGGCGTCTCAACGGACTGCGATCTTAGTCTCTACATTGACATCCACTTGTCTGGGGCCCTGCGTGCTATCTTCGGAGGCAAAGACTGGGGCAGCGTGCAAGGCGACGCAGTGCAGGCGATGTGGACTGGTAATATGGCGTTCAGCTCCGATGGGTTCCCCTGGGTAGGACAGTTGCCTGGAGCTGTGACAGGTCGGTCCGAGCATGGGTCTGAAGGGGCCGAGTGGGTTTGTGCTGCATTTGGTGGGGAAGGTATGGTTCAGGCTTGGCTTAGTGGTAAAGCGGTGGCGACTATGTTGCTAGCGCAGGATGCTTCGCTGAGTGAGAATGTCAGTGCGGATCTTTCGTGGTTCCCTGAGCAGCTGCTCGTATCGGAGGCGAGGTTTGCTGAGGCTGTTTTGCCGAAAGAAGTCAATGATGACGTGCATAAGGCGAATCTTTAGATTGCTTCTTAGGCTTTTGTGCATTAGATTTGCATATTCTTTTGACTCGTCTGACTACGCGGCATTTCTTTTCTTAGTCTATTGTCTTTGATGGTTGAACGAAATACAACATTTGTTTTTACGCAATTTTGTATTCTTTTTCTTGGTACTTCGTTGCATGAGTTAGGGCTAGGTTTTTCTCATATGCCGGCTATTTTATTCAAATCAGGCTTCCATGTTCTCTCAAGGCTTAACGAGAGATGTGAAACCTATCACTAATAACCATTGGCGAAAGGAACATGCCTTGTACCCGTGTCATGTACCCTATCAAGGAATAGCAAAGCTACTGTACCATTTCGTACCACCTCAGTGATATCTTAGGAAAGACATTCAATCCCGCGATCTCATGGTCATGATATGGCAATAAGCACGGGCCATCATTTTTGAGATTATCCAATGAAAGTCCTAACCACCAATATATCTGCTTTGAAAGAAATCCCGCGGAGGTATAGGCAGATATCACCCGACCCATCAACAACAATATCTCATCCAAGGCAGCCAAATTCCACCAATTTCCAGTAAAAATCCCCCACTACCAAGAGAAAAACATGTAGCCGAAAGTCAGGCCATGACGCAAACATGTAAGAAGCTCAAGCAGCACGGCCACGCTCTACGATATCGCGATATCGACCTGCCGTTGCACGCCGAGCAGCCTTGCCCCAAAGGACCATTGGAATAATCGATCCAGTAATGGCAAGGCTCAGAGCCCCGCACACGATGAACATGTTCTGTATGCCATTGCGCTCGATCCATGGATAGATTGCGAATGGAATGCCAATACTGACCGCGTTGCGCATGAACGCCACAGCGGTGAAAGCATCACCGGTAATCTAGAAATGGGTATTAGTAAAAGTGGCTCAACTGAAACAAAAGAAGTGTCATGTAGAGTGTGATGTATCACGAATCTTGAAACGAGATAGGTTGAATAGCAACCAATCATACCTCTGTATAACTGTCCATGACTAACACCAATGCAGCATCACTAATACTGCCCAGGCCAAACCCGAAGAAGGCACTTGCAACGTTAGGCCAGATCCAATGCATTCCCTATAATAGAAAAACAGCATGTTAGTATTCACTCATCAACAGAGCCTCAGCCCGAATGCAAACTTGACTTGTACATAGTGTTGCCTTACTCTATAAATTGTTGCACCGAACATCACAAGGCCACCTGCCATGAAAATGGCCGGCAAGTGTAAGATGTACAACCGCATCTCAGGCTCGTAATAACCCTTGTTACGTTTTGCGTAGTACAAAATCGACCGATCACCAAGGTATCCACCATATATTGCTCCAATAATGCTCCCGATTAGTGGACCAGCACTAGTGTATCCGATTTGGGCAGGTGAGAAGAGGTATGGTGGCTCTGGGAATGTGATTGACAGGACATTTGATGTTACCGTCAGCCAGGCTACCGCCGCTGCGTATTGAAGTGCTGAAAAGGCCACAGCGGGAAACATGAGGATGCAGAAGGGGCGGTAGAAATGCGGCCATATCGGTTCTGGTGTTGGCGTTACCAGAGCGAGTCGCTTGCGCCATGAGTTCTGCGGTATGGTGAGGTCCAGAACGTGATGTGAACGAGCCTGTTCAATGACAGAAGGGCTTTTGGCTGTAGAGCCCGAGTCAAATAGGTCCGGTCCGTCATTTTTGATTGGGGCGGATAGGTCATTTTCTTCAGTGGTAGCTCTAGCTTGCCCAGTGAACATAGGGATGTATTTCGTTTCTTCGTAAAGGAAGATAAAGAGGACTAAAAGTATGCCGTTGAATATTCCCATGGTGTGATAGCACATGCGCCAACCATTCTGTGTGGCTTGTGCCCCTGCAGCCATGGGAGTCAAGAAGCTCTATACAAGGTTTCATCAGTTACCTGCATAAATTTCAAAACGACGGATTTGAGATACATACACCAAACATGACACATGTCAGGTATAGTCCATTCATACTTCCCCGATGATGCACGAAGAACAGGTCGGCAATCTGTACAACATTAATAGTGTACCTTACTATCGGCCCAACAATATAACTCACTGTAATCTCAGCTATTGACTCGTTGGTTGCACCAGCCAACCCCTGAAGCAAGTTGGTCACATACAGCTCTGTCAACCCGTTTATTTTGGCTGTCCAAAATGACGTTGCCAACATCAGTGCGGTTGAGACGATATAAACTGGCCGTCGGCCGTACTTTTTCGCAAATGGAATAAAGAGGACGCAACCAGTTGCGAGACCAACATAGTTCACCGCCATGGCATTGTTCAATTCATTGTAGGTGACATCCAAATCAATGGTCATCTGCTGCCAAAAGATGGATTGGATGGACAGCCTGATATGAGAGGGATGTCACTAGTCTGGCTCATGTAACATAATTTTGCTCACTTACGCTGTGAATATGATGATTGTCATGGCCAAAACAATTGTGAAATTGACGGATTTTCGCATGGTACTCCAGTTCTATATCGTTGGGATTAGCTCACCAATAACGTAGATATGAATTGAGTACTAGCTCACTAGGGGCTCATTCGGGTCGGATGAGGGAATCGGGTCAAGATAGATAATGGATTGCCCATTCTCATCTGTCTCATCATCTGGAGTAGGATAGCTGTCAATAATCCATTCAACTCAGCAAAGAAAAGGAGCATCACCTCGAATTAGTTTGAATGTGCCCGGGGGCTGGTCCATTTCATCCTCGAAAGATGATACCACCTGGGGATTGGCCATCTCGTGAGTTAAAGACGTGCGTATGGTTGAGCAGTATGTTCCGAAGATAAAGGTGTGTACCAGCAGAGATGCACGTCTAGATGATCCTCAAAAGGTGAAGTGGTCAAGCCCTTGATATATAGCCAAATAGCCAAATCTCAGTTCACCTGAAAAGCCCGGTGGCTGCACATGCTAGAGATTGATATTTCTACCCCAGTGCCACCGATGCCACAGATACGAGAGTCCAGGCAGAGAGATAAGCCATGTGTTCTGTGACCCGGATATTATCCAGGGTTTCCACATCCATTGGAGATGCGGGGAGAAAGGCGATCTGGAATGGGTTCTGGCGGTCAAAGAGCTGATTTCGGGATGAGGTTCGGCTTATCTTCTGTTCCTTTTAACGAAACCTTCCAACCTTTGGTTATCCGTTGCGTCAGCCTTCCTGATTGGGAATAGCGTTCATTTATATTTATATCGAAAGAAAACACCAATTAGTAGGAATAGAATGGATTAGGAGAGTAGATATTCAATTCATAAAATCAACTGGGGACTGTACTGTAGATGTACGGCGATTGTATATCCAGGCCAGTCTAGGTAATTAGTATGTAACTATGATTTGTTTGAACCGTACCAGGTGACATACATGTAGTTGTAATGCATAACTTGGCTTCTCAACATTTACACTATCCTTTCTAACTCCCGAGGTCTTACCCCGCTAAATCTGTCAGTATAAAGTATCAAAACAGGGCTAGTATTGATCCTCCCGTGTAATAGAAAGAAGCAACTAATCAAAGTAAGCGTTAGCCTAAAGCAAGGTTATCTCGTATGCCACCGGGCCAGCCAGATTGGCTGGAATACAAGTATCGACTGGCCGCGCCCGTTGGTGCCGATAACCCGGGTCTTGACTGTATACGGTAGGTGGACGCATTCAAGAACTAATCTATCTCGATATAAAAATCCGCCTGTACTTTCCAACTTGGGGAGAATTCTGTAGTGCTGATAACTATGTGTCTTTCTTGTTTCTTTTCTTGCTATTCATACCCCTTTCTGCAACAACTCTCAGAAACTGGGGGAAATGCCTGCCAAATCCCTGGTCAAGGTTGACCTTTTTGCTGTTCACAAAGGTACGGATTTTCTCTTCCTCGGCCTCTCTTCACTAGGCACAGACTACACTTGTGGCAGTAGTGACCATCCAAACTGATACAATATCAATAATGCAGAGTATCTTATTCCCGCCATCGCGCGAACGATTCAACTTGCTTTCTCTTCTGATCCTTTGATCCAATGGCTGAGGCCGAATGCTGCATCATGGGCTGAACAGGATACAGGCAGATGGAGCTGGCAATATCGACGTATCCAACGTATAATATTCGAGGGCGAGGTATTCAAATCTGCCAACATTAGACAAATGATCGACGATTATCCGAGAAATAGAGATCAATTATCGACAGATACTCCCGTCCCTGATATTGACGCATTGCCAGAGAAGGATCCTGGAACACCTTTGCACGAAAACGATGACGCCGGTGCTGTGGTCCTTCTGTTCCCACCGCCGGGGCGACGTCCCTGGTCCCTATCGCGCATATGGTCCGCATGCAAGTTGTGGTTATTGAACCGGCTTACACCAGCGCGCGATAATGGAGCGAGAGACAAGGTAAGCAAAGCACTAACTTTTGTCCTGGTGTAGTATTGACTCGACTATCTCAGCGCGTTGAATTACTCCTCAGCAGACATGAAGCCAGTGTGAAGTTATTGGAGGCAAACTACTGTCGACAAAAGCTATGGTATCTTGAGGTTATTGCTGTTCATCCTTCACTGCAATCACGCGGCTTGGGTGGGGGCGTGATGAGATGGATCTTAGAATACGTACACAATGAGCCGTTATACCTTGAATGTACCCGAGCGGAAAACGTGGCGTTCTACGAGAACTTTGGGTTTCAAGTTGCTGAAGAGGTTGAACTAGTAGATGGCGCGAGCCAAACCGGAGAGCATGTGTTCAAACACTGGGTCATGGTGCATCCGGGAAATTCAACATTATAAAAGAATTATTATATGGCAATATAAGCATTATTTTGCTACATCTTGGTGTCATTGTGAGATTTAATGGTCATATTGATATATAGTTGTAGCAGATTTGCAATTATGTTCATTCATAAATCATATCAAGCCCATCTCCAGACCTCTTTGTCGAGCCAACTCATGCACACTCAGGTTTGGATCTTCCTTCTGCCATAACTCTTCCAGCAGACTAAGAAGGATTTCACTCTGATGCGAGTCTATCAAAGTCTTCCTAATAATTTCTTGCCATTCAGGCTTGCGGCACATGATACTGACTTCCAATCCGGCGACAAACATAGGAAACAGGGTTGCATTCGTGATGTAGACATCTTCCGTCGGGCGCTCAATTAACGCGAGACGGAGAGCATCAAGGCTAGCCAAGATTCGTGCAACAAGAACATATGTCTCTGCCGAGCACTTGCCAGGATGTCGCCATGCCGAAATCTTGTTATCAGGAATAGGAGAAGAAGTGTTGGCTTGTTTTCTGACGGTCAGGATACCAGCCAATCGATGCGCCTCCCACAAGTAACACTGCAAAAAGCTCCCTGGCTCGCCTGGCCAGTCCCATAAAGTCTGCTCCGTAGTCTCTGCGCCAATCCCAGAAAAGATGTCCAGTAGTGTACGAGGAATACCGCTGACAGGCTCAATACCATACCTGGGTGCCGTCGGCTGGCAATACCGACGCCAGATACCAATCTCTGGGGCCTGGCGGCCGACAGAAAAGCAAGTCAGGTCCATTACCCCCATCACCTCGAGGAGGTAGAGACGAAAGTGAGTTGGCGTAGAGTGGTGGTGAAACCCATCAAGGCCCTGGCTCTGCAGGATATTGTGCATACCTTCTAAATGCATAATCCAGGGCAGGCCATGCATTAGCTAGACGGGATCAAATCAGTGTCAGGGCCTTAAGCCAGATAATAACTGAAATCAGAAGTTTGAGGTTACGCACGCCAATGCTACACAGCAGCAGCCCCGAAATCAACGTCCCATCAGATAGGGTTATGCTGTGCGCCAGTTCTGATCGAAAGGTCCTCAATGCAGTGTCGAAGTATTCACAGAACTGAGAGGAGACCGTGCTCGATAGTGCGAGTTGGAATGCAATGCAGATAGAATACAAGGCGCTTGATTCTTGACAAAGCTGCGGGAGACGCGGAAGAAGCATGATATCTCTTGCTGTTGTCGAATGAAGCATATTAATGCCATTGCTCATAACTACTCGAAATCAGTATCAGTATGCAACCCATGCCTGAATGACTTCCTGCTGCAAACTCACATTCATTGAAAAGAACCTCGTCCTCGACCTCCCTCCGCGAAACCGCCAGCTCCAACTCCCGACTCCCATCCGAAACTACATACCAATTAGTATTAAAAAACTACATCATTCCATAAATCAAACTGACCCGAATCCCCCTCCAATTCAATCCGCCTTCTCCTCTCCTTACTAAGATCTCTCTGCCTCCCTTTCTGCCTCGGCGGCACAGAATTCTTAACTGGTTTATCAGCACCAGTAAAGCGACCGCGAGACGCAATCCCCGTACCCCATCTTAGCCGAACCTCATAGCCCTCACACGTGGCTCCGCGCTCGGTGCAATTTTGGCACGAAGGGCGTGCTTTGTCGCAGCGACGCCGCCGCCGTTTACATGTCCAGCAACCCTGATGTGAGCGGGTCGACATGCCGGATTCGGGGAGCTGGTCTTGGAAGCGTTATGCAGAAATGTGAATGGCCAGGGGCTCTTTAATGTCAAAATGCGGGGGTTAGCTCCTGCGGGTTCTCGATAGCGGGTCTGGCTGCCTATTGGGGTTACCTTGTTTTATGTAGTTCGGATATATGAGGTCTCGCTCAAAAAGTATTTCAACTTGACCTCAAGTCTGAATCCTGTATGAAGTTCTAATTCAAGTTTCCTTGCAATATCCTTTCTCTAGATTCAGTATCTCCATCCCCGGTCTAGAGTGTAGCATAGAATAATTAGATTGCTGTGATAGATGCACTTGTAAATAAACGACTTTCGTAACACGTGGATGGGATAAGCCTGCTGTAGATAGTCAGAGATATCGTGAGATATACATGAGGTTCAACAGTGGCATAGGCATGGAGCCCAGAGTCTACAGAATTGGCCTATTTAGGCTACTTTTCTTGATGGAACATTTGCACAGGGTGTATTCAGTCAAATCACGATCAAAAGTGATGAATCGGGACAGTCCCTTGTAGAGAAACAACACAGCACCCATGCACGCTCTCTATTGCAGTGCGTACTTTTTTTTAACCAAACCAGAAGAAAACCATATCTGCAGTGAAGCACAAACTAAACCCCAATAAAGCCTAGATCAGAAAAATACATAATACAAAGCGGCAGAGACCATCATCGTGGTACCGCTCGAGCCAGCAGACGAATATTATCCACAAAGCCCTTGACGAGGTCCTCGTACTGATTCTTGGGATCGCCCGACATAGCAAGCTGGCCCTGACGACGAATTTCCTCAGCCGAAACTTCAATTTCAAGCTCGTGCTCGAACTCATTCTTGCCCGGTTGTTGCTGTGATATGGTCAGAAGACTGTTTTTTGAGGGTAACACAGAACATTTGAACAAACTTACATCGGATTTGGCTACTTGGGTCAAGTCCACCTGGTAGGCCAAGTGGCGGTAGCTCATGCGATCTTTGATGCGATCGCCTCGTGCGCCTTTTGTGACCGCTGTATCTATCACTGGGAGATTGCTGAGGTCGCCTGTGTATTCCATTTCCAGATTGACACTGACGCGCCAGTCCACATTGGTCTGTGGACTACAGACGTCCATGTCGGCAACTCGACATTTGACAATTTTTGCGAGAATTTCACCGGTTCGTTCATCGGTTGTCACCCGGACTTTGGGTTTGTGTCTCGGTTTCAAGATTTTATGGATCACTTCAGGCAAATCAGATGTTTGAATCTCATAAAAGGTGTCGCGTTCTTTCTTGTGAACGTATGCAAGTGGGATTCGGGTGGATTTGGGCTGGGGCATTGACGCTTTCACGGCCTCATTCAGGAAATTATTCATGGCTCGGTGTTGTTCCTATGGATCGTGGTAAGTAAAGTCCATCTGGATCGAGGCATCTTCGCTAGGTCATTGGGGAACCAACTTACCACAGTCATTGAACTCTCAAACGATGTCCGAACCCGTGCATTCTCCCGATTGAGGACACTCTCGGTTAAAATTGGGAGATGGAGCCGGTCTCTGCTGTCCTGGTCGATGATATGACCCAATTTTGCCTCAATCTCAACGATGGTCCCATGGCCAGCAGCAGCAGCGTCTGCTAGTGCAGCATTCACATCCTTTCTCAGGATCGCATGGTGAAACAAGAAATCACAAATAGTTTTTGTGAGCTCCTCGTGTGGAATGAAGCCAGTAATGGACGGCTCCCAAGGGCCCAGTGAGCCTACCGCCTGCGAAGTACTCGGCGGACGAAGTAATGGAGCTGGCGGAACTGGCGGAGCTTGCACGCGAGGCTTACTTGCGCTTGGTGGAGCAACAGCAGGTGCTCGTGTAACTCGTGCCACGGCGGGTGTGACGGCCATTATTGAGGAAGACCGCCTGCGAGCAGCCCACGAGGGATCCGGCTGGGTCTGTCGCGCATGTTTTGGAACTGGGGGACGGGGATTTGGGATAATTGGGCGTCTGCTTGTGTTGCGGGGCGTCAACTGAGCATAGATCGGAGGCTCGTTGTACCTCCTTCTTTTTTGCTTCGGTTGTTGGGCATTGACGCGTGGTTCGTGGTCGAATTCCATGTCCGCGGCATGGGCGCTTCCACGAGCACCTGAGGGTGAACTGTTCATTTGACGGCCTGGTGCCGATGGAGAGGTTAAGAAATCTGCAGCGTACTTTTGTGCAGTGGGACTCTCAACCAGCATTCGGTCTTCGGAGGAGCGAATTTGGCCAGTAGTCGCTGACTCGGAGACTGTGACGATGCTATTATGACGGGAGACGGATTGGGGACTGGCGCTCCCGGTTGGTTCTTGCTTGAAGCCGCCCGAGGGGAGGTGAATCGACTCAGAGGGTTGAGAGCTATGCGGGGAGAACTGTCGCTGAGTCACAGGTGACTGCGTTGGAACCTGATCTCGTATCGGGGCCTCCTGTGTGGGCCTCGGGCTAGATAGGGGATTGCCGGGGGAATCGTGTCCGGAGGATGGCGGGCGGGCAGTCGATGGCGACTGGCGAGTGGCAAAGGCAGGAGGAGGACCTAGAGGAGTTCCGGGAACAGATCGGTGTGCAGTGGGAGAGAAGTGCTGTGATGGAAGAGGTTGCGATGGAAGAGGCTGCGATGGAAGAGGCTGCGATGCAACAGGAGGGCTGCGAAAGGATTCGATTGGAGCTTGGGGCGTTGTCATCACCGATTGAAGTGATTGAGAACGCTGTTGAGAACGCTGCTGGGCGAAATATGACTGTTGTTCTGGATGCTGCGGTCCCGCACTCATCGGCTGTGGTGTGTATGGCGAAACCAGAGGACCACCCGGGTGTTGAGGATGCGACCCGTATGCCGGCGCGCCAAATGGATCACGCGTGCCGAGACCATACGGTGTCGAAACGTGTGGAGGTGTCTGACTCCGCTGAGATCTCACCGCTGTATTAACCACTGGGCCCGAGTTGAATTGTTGGTATGGCGATTGAACAGATGCGTAAGGTGAGCTTCGTTCAGGCGAAGCGTGCTGCGGGTGTTGCAACGGGGGAGGTTGGAGCGGACGTGTAGGATATTCTGAGTAAGAAGCAGCCTTCTTCGGGCGCTTTTGGGGGGTTTGATCGGATATGGGAGAACTCGCAGAGTTGCTTGGAGGTGGAGGATTGGAGGCGCCGCCGTCGGTGTTCATGATCGTGCGCAAATCCATCGTGACAGCACCCACTTCAGGACCACTTCGACCACACGAGCACTTTTATCAAGAAATGCACGCGATAGGCGATCGCGACATTCAAGTCGTATCGCAAGATGTCGGGGAGCAGAAAGAAGGCGGCGGGACAATGAGCGTGGATGGACAAAGAGGAAGGGAGAAGTTCTCGAACTGCGGAATTGCGCGAATCAGGGAGCTGAGAGGATCGTCGCCGCTTTAGGGAACTTGCGACATCAAGGTCCAATAGTCTCTATTGTATGCCAATTTATATCGATCATAGAGATGTCTAAGTTCTACGTTGGGAGCTTTGGAGCTCAAAAATGTCCAGCTCAGCTCCCGTTTCCACGGGAGCTCTTGAAGTATGATGCTTTCGGAGAGCTTAGTAGAGCCAGCTATGAAACATGTCTATTCTCTTTTGAAAATCGCTCAATTCATACAATTTTTTAACAGACTTTGACGTGATATACCTGTTTTAACCTCTTGATTCCTCTGTGATGGTAAAAAAGGCCACGGTTGTGATCTCGAGATGTCTTGGCATCAACACCTGAGGCATATGACCCTGAGCTAAGCTGTCTTGGGAACTATAAACTGTTCTTCTATCAATGAGTTGACCTTGGTCACAACGTCAGTCAAACTTAGTGTAGAAAAGACAGATAGCTCTGCAATGCACAGGTATTACCAAGTAGATGTAAACAATCGCAGATCTCTAATGAAATACGCCGATGGCTTTATTGGCTTTATTGGCTCTATCACCTACGAAGCCACTTTACACTTCGATATCCCATCTTTCCATATGTCTTCTTATTTACCTATACCTAAATTTGTTTGTTGAGGGCCTCTTTTCTCAGGCCAATGTGTAATATATATAGCTTGCAAATATCCTGTCTCTAGAAACTCAATCCATCTTTCTTTCCCTCCCCTTCTCTCTGAGGCATCCTTCTAGGTGTCCTAGAAATCCCTTTTCAGCCAATTACCACTGCTATAGCGCCGAACCTACTTCAACTCGACCCAAGCAGCATGGCCCAATGTACTCTGTCAAATGTTACAAATCTTTTCTTGGGTGACAAATCGCTAGCAAAAGACATCAGTGGTATAATTGCTGTTTGTGAGGATCTACGTGAGATTCGTGCTCGTGTGGCATATGATATCAAGAAGCTGTCTAAATTTACTGGAGACGGTGGGTCGAAGGGAGAGACTGCTCAGGATAACGAGCCCAACCTTTTTTACGATTCTGATTTTGAGTACGGTCATAATGATGCTAGTTTAGCACATGCCCCATCTGAGAATGTTGATTCTGTCAATTTTGATTCTCTCAGTGCTGGTTCTGTCGATCTAAATTCTGATGATGCTATCGACGAAAAAAATAGATCCGAAATGTAGAGAAATCATATGAAAAATTCTACTATTAATCCATATAGATTCAACCTTGGAGGAAGTAGCGTAGGATCGCCAACAACTCAATAGGAAATGATCGAAACACATGTAGATATATAATTGGTATTGGCCTGGTGCTGTCGGACACCTTGAGAACATATCCATAGATACACATATATATGTACATATGTACGGAGTATATAGATGCATAATTTATCTATATAAATCAAGTTTGGTGCCAAGTGTTTTTTTTATGTAGAAGCACCTTCTGAATGCGGTTTAACGAAAACGGCAATCGATCGGCCCCTCTGCCTTGTACTTTAATCTCCTCGACTCTCTTGATTCTTCGACTCTCCTTAAGTCTCCTTGGCTCTTTAATTTCCCATTTCATCTCCATACCTAATCTTTTGATCTTTCGCCATTTCCAGTGGCGGTGAACCACCTCTTCCTGCTGACGTATTTGCCCGAATTCGCCGACCTCAACCCGCATCACCGTGCTTTATCGCAACTCGCTGGACGAGCGAAGTGTCCAGTTCCTTCTGTCGACTTTCTCAATACCCTATACTGGCCTAAATGCTTCCCTTTGCCTATTGTCGCGGGTAAATTAAGGCTCTTGTCCCACCGGGCATGCCCACTTGCGATCGACCGGCCTACAGAACCTAACAATATGACATCCCACTTCGAAGATCGGGCGACCACCTCGGCCTCCGATATCCCTTTGAAAGATCTCGAATCTGCCTCCTCGGAATCCTACTCGACTATCACATCCCGTTGGAATGGCTTTTCTCAATTTCACCCCTCAAACATCCTCGCGCATCCCGAGGGACTGGCGCCGAAGATGTCACAAGAAGATTGGCTGGCATATTCTGAAGACACATGGCATAGGTTGGCACTCGCACTCACACCAAGTTTCCTACAACACTGGGTGGGCACCTCGCCACCCCAACCTTCGAAGCTCCATGCTATTGCAGCCCTGGATGGGCTACGTGGCTGGGCCTGTCTACTGGTCTTCAACTTCCATTTCCTTTTCACCTACACATGGAAGGTCGCGATAGGATGGGGATTTGGCGGAGAAAACTTTGGAATTCACCAGCTGCCCGTCTTTCATATGCTGATCTCTGGTCACATTATGGTGGCCATCTTCTTCGTCCTCTCCGGCTACGTTCTGTCATATAAACCGCTGAAAACGATTCGGAGCAGGTCCTTCGATCAAACTTTCACCGTGCTCGCATCAGGAACCTTCCGCCGAGCTTTTCGTCTATATATCCCCGCAATTGCTGGAATTGTTTGCGTCTTCGTGGCCGTTCGCCTCGGGCTGTACAATTACTCCATTGGCGTCATCAAGGAGGGACACACAATCCTCGGCACTAACGAGCAACATCCACATGTGTATAAATCCTTCGCAAAACAAAGCGATGACTTGTGGGCCACGCTGGCAACCTTGATGAATCCATTTGACTATGGGCTCTACTACAACTATTACAACCCGCATCTTTGGACAATTCCCCTCGAATTCCGCTCCTCACTCATCCTATTCATTGTCATCATGGGGACATCACGTCTAGTGGCACCTGTGCGCATGACAGTAGTCTCTGGGTTGACTTGGCTCTGCATACGCTATGGTCGCTGGGAGATCGTCTTATTCCTCTTTGGCATGCTAATGGCCGAAGTGGATCTCATCAATGGAACCTGGGAGCCATCCACACGACCAGCGGTAGAAGACGACAAAACGACCATTCGCCTCAGTCCCGGCAGCAAAACCACCATCAGAGTATCCCGCCGCGGGCTATGGATCTCACTCTTCGTGGTCGGTCTCTACTTCGGCTCATGTCCCAATATCGGGTTCAAATGGACGCCTTTCTACGGCTGGATGTGGCACATCACCCCCAAAACCTACCCAGAGCCGCACCGCTTCGCCCAGACCATAGGAGCCGTCCTCATTGTCTTCTCTATCAACCACTCCCCTGACATCCAGAAACTCTTTACGAATTCCTTCTCTCAATACCTCGGCAATATCTCCTTTGCATTCTACGTCGTCCATGGCCCCGTCCTCCATTGTCTGGGATATTCCATCATGCCCACCATCTGGAACCTCACCGGCAAAGAGACAAACTTCCAATACTGTCTCGGTTTCCTCATTGGCTGGCTGATCTGTCTCCCTGTCGCCATCTGGCTAGGCGATGTGTTCTGGCGCGCCGTAGATATTCCTAGCGTCAAGTTTGCGCGCTCACTTGAAGATCGCCTCATCTCCAAGGGTCCGACTTTCAGTCGACCAAGCCTGGCTACTCGTGCAGAGTGAAATTGCTCGTTGGCTTGGCATGAACTTGTTTATATTAGACTGCGATTGGTCAGCGGTTGCTGGCTCTGTCTTGCTACACCTGTACTCCTTATGATACCTGCTCGCTGGGCGAGTCATTTTCGTTATTTTCTCTTGCATTGAACTGTCGGACTGTCCATGCTCCTGTTACTTAAACTCGTGATTGAACCAAGACTATCACGTCATACCATCCTTCAACAGAAAACCAAAGTATATAGATATCCTATACAAACAGTAAAACGAAAAATTCAATAGACCACCAATTTATACGCACTTTCTGTTCGTGGCGTCAAATACTTAGTGCGGACTTGACCCTGGGAGGAATTCTAGTTGTTCCATGGGGGCGTTTCCAGCTTGGATTGTTGAGATCACAATGATATACGTAGAATAGGTGGCCCAAGGCCATTCTTCACTAATAGCAAATGATACATATCCAATGTGTAGTTCATTCATTCATTCAGTCGTACCAAACAAGTCAGAAGTATGGTCACCATCATCCCCAATCAATAGACACAAGAGTAGCCCATGCAGATCACCGGGTTCTCACTCGACCTATGCAAAGAGCGTACCGAGTCAGATACATATAAACCGACCGGTACTGGAGAGGCACACAAACGGCGAAGCAGAGTAAAACAGATGCTGTGCGCACACGAGGCAAGAAATCGCGGCAAACAGAAACAAATATCAGATAGATTGGACCATCTAATGCAAGAGCCATCCATAGTTATTGGAAGGCTCATGGGAAGAAAAGAAAGGACGTATAGAAATCAAGACCTCTTTTTTGATTGGCTCATAACGCGACACCTGTTAGTCCTCGTCCACCGCACACTCCCAGCCATTCCCGTGGTTGGCCGGCGTGGTTGGGCCCACCCTGGGGGGACCAGCTAATGTTAGACACTTCGTATTCGCTCTGCCAGACGCCGGCTGGGCCGCGCTCCGAGGTTGTGGAAGGCGGTGCTCCGGGGGTGGCAGTGGGAGGGGAAGCGACTGGTGCAGCATTGTGCTGGTTGATGAGGTCCCAGAGGAGAACCATGCTATCGTCGCCGCCGGATGCGAGGATACCGCGACGGCTTGGAGACCACTCTACGCAGTTCAAGGCAGCCGAGTGGCCCTTCAGTTCCAATAGGGCTTGGCCTGGTTGTCGGACGTCGAGAACGCGAACAACACTGGAGTCCTGTGAGAATGTTGCCAGGAGATGGGCATCATGGGGGGATGCTGGGAGATTGTGTTAGCTTGTGATTATACTTTAAGTTCTGGTTATGTCGTCCATACCTGCGATTCTCAACAAAGGCGGAGGGTAGAGGCCGGGCTGCGATTGGCCAGGAGGGCTGGAGCTCCCGGGGGTCATCACTGCTAAAGATGCTGTCAGTATTCGCGGCACATATTCATATTCTTGCAGATACTTACGCTTTTCATTCTTATCAGTCGGCTCGTAAATGATTGTGCTATGCTCAAGGCTTCGCAGGTCAAACATTCGCACGCTGCCATCAGCACCACAGCTTACAAAAACATCGACACTGTTAGCGCAGAACCGAACGTCATACACCTCCTTGTCGTGGGCAATGAGTTGTGTCTTCGCTGTCAATGTGGGAATATCCCAAATGGTGCAAGTTGTGTCAATGCTTGAAGTAATAATAAGACTTGGAGAAATTGTGTTCCAGTCAAGGGAAGTGATGGGAGCAGTGTGCTCGGGGGATTTTGAGTTAGACAACAAAGCCAGCGGGGAAAGCTTGGACGTGGCTGCCTCCCGCTGGTTCATGGTACGAGTGATCGAGTTCGAGCTTTGGAGAGGCTGAGAATTCGGCAGTGACCATAGGCGAAGGTGGTCTCCTGATGTGGCCAGCAAATCAGTCGATTGCTTCTGAGATGAGGGAGGCTCCCAGAGGATGCGGGTAACCGGGTAAGAGTGTGTCGCCTCGGCCGTTTTCACATATTCCAGTTTGATCTCTCCCGCAGCCGCATCTGGAGTGTCAGCATCTGGTTGTGTCCAGTGTGCATCGAGGATTTGAATCTGTCGACAGGTTAGCACAAACACATTAATTCATAGGGCGGGTCCAAATACATAGTTGTGACTGTCTTCTAAATAGCTTCCCATTGCTAGCTTTCCACCAAAGCCCGAGTTTCCTGTGATGGGCCATTTGCACCAATCCACTGCGTATATAGGCCATGGCGCCACATAATTGCTGTTGGTCGGCACCTGGTTCTGGTTGTCTCCGTTATTGTAGGGCATCGATGACGATCCGGGGTTCATAAGTGCCTCGCTCAACATGTGCTCACCGGATGGCCTGATATCGGCAAGACCAAGGGGAGAGTACTTGGAGCTTTGTGGGGTCTGAGGCGGAAATGCCCCAGGAGAACTAGGATATTTGGAGCCATCGGGCGCAGCATGTTGTTTATACATGGATTGCTCGAATCCGGCCGGGCTAGATCGCGAATGTCCGTGTGAATTAATCATACTGGCTCGGTGATTGCTTTGCGATGATGACTGCGACATGGTAGGGACGACTGATGGGGCGGTATTTATTGATACCGCAGCCGGGCGGTTCTGATTCCCTGGCTGCAGGGCTCCTGGGAGGGCAGTGCTGCTGTTGTTTCCGTCACCGCCGTACTGAGAGCTCTGATGTACGTTGATTGAGGGCAGTCGAGCACCCGCGTCTGGTGTGGTGGAATAGTCGTGCGTGGAGGATTGGCGGGACAAGTTTGAATTGATTGGCCCGGTTGACGGAATGTGAAGCTCCTCCGGCTGGCGACTGAACACAGCTGACCGCCGGTGAGCATCATAGGAGGCGGGATTCGACATGATGTGGTCTATGCTGAATAGGGAGAGCGACTTCTATGCAGGGGATGGGTGCGATGGATCTTAGTTGGAGGATGAGCTCCACTGTCGATCGAGATCAGTGAAGGAGGCTGGGAGATGCACTAAGTCGGGGATGTAGCGGGCTTCGAGGGAGCTCCAACCAGAGGACCGTATCAGCCAGATTTCATTCCAGCTTATCAGGTCACTTGGCTCACAATGGCATCCTCATCTCAATCAGAGAGGAGTAGTGGAGGACAGAGGGCGGTCGTCATGGATCCATCCCACGAGAACAGCTGACTCATCCGGGTACCCCAGCTACAATGAGGATAGCCCTGGAGATCCGATCACTTCTTCAGGGATGTTAGTTCTTTTTGCTTCAGTGATTTCAGTGATTTCTTGATTTTTCTGTTTCTATTGTTGATATACTATCTCTTGACTTGAGTATTCACCCCAGTGACTGTTACTGTAGCTGTATATTCTTCACACCATGGCTTCTGATCATTCCAATTCACCCTCGGCTTTACTACTTCTTCCCCCGCCTCCAGCCTTTTCTTTTGCAGAAGTCAAAGATACCTTTGAGCCATCTTTAGTGGATGTTTACACTAAACTCTCAAATGCCTTGATTGGATCCAGTGGATCCAACGGTACAGCTATTCTGGATATTGCTCTGGCCATTCCAGATCTTCTTTCCCCGAGTTGCCAACCTCGGGCCAAAGTGTTCGCGCAACTCCAACATTACCTGACCAGCGTGTATACCCTGGTCGTTGCGGTCTGTGCAACACAAAACATTGAGTTGGACTCCCCAGGTGGCATTGATACCCGGGTGGTATTTATTGATGCAAGTGAGAGCACATCGGCCACCCAGGCCTCTGGTGATTCTCAGTTTGGGCCCATTCTGGACATCCAATCACTAGCAAATTCAGAGCGCTGTTGGAACTATGTTTTCTATTTGTCCAACACAACTGGCCAGACTCTGGCGAATTCCTTTACCAACAGTGTTGGTAGCCAGCCTCGGGACGGCACAGCGGCAAGCATGCAAGCCATCACAAGCAAGCCTGACTGGGCGGTCCCTGACCGCCTATTAATTGCTGACGACCAACATTCATCCACTCCATACTATTCCGTGGTTGTTGGTGGCACATTTGATCACCTTCATGTTGGTCACAAGCTTCTGCTCACAGCAGTTGCATTGGTCCTGGGACCGCTGGACCGAGAGCATGAGGGCCGCCTGACCATCGGAGTGACCGGGGATGCACTATTGGTCAACAAAAAATATGCCGATTTTCTCGAGAGTTGGGAGGAGCGTTGGCAGAGTACTGCAGCTTTTCTAACAGCCATTATGGATTTCTCGCCTGGGAAGAAATCACCGCAGATCGAACGTGCTTTTGCGCCAGGTCCCAATGGCAAGACTGTCCTCGTAAGGATCCAACCCAACCTGGCATTTGAGTTTGTGGAGATCTCCGATCCATTTGGGCCTACGATTACCGAGGAGAATCTTGGAGCAATTGTTGTTTCAAAGGAGACACACTCAGGAGGGGCGGCCGTCAACGAGGAGCGGGTGAAGAAGGGATGGAAAGGCCTTGCCGTATTCGAGGTGGATGTACTCCAATCTGGAGAAGCAACCACGACCACTGATGTCGAGGGCTTTGAATCCAAAATCAGCAGCACGGATATCAGACGGCGCCGAGTCCATCTCGCGAAGGTCTGATAGGTACACATGGCACGTAATGATATATGGACAGATCGGATAACTAGTAGATAATCTCTCAAACACTTGTACACTTGTACATACATTAGTTCATCTTGATTTCGGCCATTATCCCCCAATACTCTTGGGCAGATGCATAATCCACACGCATGATCCATCACTCTGCATGATGTGACGACTTCCCGGCGGGGTCTGCATTGGCCCCCTCCAACAACGACTCGCTCTCCTTGAATGGCCTTGCCTGCAGGTTCGCGCTGGCTGGCCGCAGAGTCAATCAATCATGTGATTCATGTGTGGCAGCGTCACCAATGAAACCAAGCGGATCGGGTGTGCGATCCCGGCTTGTCAGTGCAAAGGGCGCTAAATCAGGCATTTGGTGATCGTCCCCGGTCGCGAAATCAATCGTTAGGGCGAGAGCTCTCGCCATGCGGCCATGGTGAGACAAGTCAACTGTCCTACTAGTATCTGCAGGAGAACTACAAGTATTTGATATCTTTTTATTTTATTTTATTTATTTCCCCATTTTTCCCCCTCTTCTCAATTCCCTCCGTGACTTGTCTCTCCGGTCTTGGAGACAGGTCAAAAGCGTCGATTTTCCCTCAATTCCTTCATATTTCCATGTTGCTGCTACTTCACCAAGCAGCCGATGGTTCGGCTGCGCGCGCAGATCATGGCTCAGCCACGTCACATTCATGATCTCGCTGATGAGCTACTGAGCGAGGTCCTGTCCTTTCTTCTCGAACCCACACCTCGAATCCTGAACGGTAGATCCAATGGTAATGGACATACTACTTCCAAACATGGCGACCACGGACATGGTGAAGTGTCCGATCTTGATCACTTTCGACTCGTCTGCAAGCGTTTCATGCGGATCGGCACCCCTTATAAGTTCAATAGATTCACTCTACGATTCTCTGATCATGGCTTCCGGCGCCTAGATGAACTGGTAGACATGCAGCTAGCCTACTATGTCAAGACCATCACGTACATGGTGCGACCCTTTTATCAAGGAAGCGGTACCAGCTCTTCAGTCTCTCCAATACAAGCAAACAACCCGACTAATAGTATAAAATACAGGATGGGCCCGGACACTACGAACTTTGGGTTCAGAGAATCCCGAACTATCCCAACTACACAGCCGCCGACTACGTGAACAAACCAATCTAACTGAAACGAACAACGACCGAACCCGCCTCCGCCGAGCAATTTCATCATTCTCAGCTCTACAGGAAATAAAACTCCTAAGACTCCAAGACGAAGCAGACGAGTACCTCATCGACTTTATACGCGACCACTCACTAGGAACCAGCACAACCGGAATCCGCTTCGACTGGGAAACCGCCTGCTCGCGCGCAGTGACAACCCTCAGCATCGCCCTCCTCGATTCAAAATGCAGCTCCATCCGCTTCACAGGGCCCCAAATCAGCCCCGAAGCAACCCTCCAGCTCCTCCGCACCCCATCCACAACCCTCGCCGCCATGGGCGGCCGCCTCACAAGCCTCGACATAAACTTCCACTCGGCAACCGACATCACCACAACCATGGCGCATCTCTCAAGCGTCTTTCGCCGCTTCTTCATCGCAGCCAAAAACCTCATCGCGATCCACATCGGCTTCCTAAGCAAAACACCCCTAGACCTTGACCTCGAGCTACTCTTCCACCACATCCGCTGGAAAACCCTCCGCAAACTCAGCATCCAAGGCTGGCGTCTCGGCGCAGACGAGATCATCGCCCTGGCACGGCGCCATAGCGCCCAGCTACGCGATTTCCGTCTCGTCAGCATCTACCTCCGACCTGGCGGCTTGTGGCGCGATGTGCTGGCTGTGCTGCGTGAGGAAATGGAGCAGCTGGAGCGGCTGGTTCTGAAGGATATCGATTACGCTGCACACTTTGATTCGGTTGCTATCTCGAATGGTGTCGAGGTGTTTGATGATTATCTTGCTGGCCCTGTGCCTTCTTCTCTTACTGTTGCGGCTGGTACGTCGTCGGGTCTTCAGTCGCCGACTACTACCCCGATCGTGCCTAATAGCCTCCCTCATTTGGTGAAGGGGAGACGCCTGCCGTTGAGACGGACTTCGCTGGAGAGACTGCGTGCTTTGTCTAGTGAGGACTTGGGGGATGATGGTGTGCATGTCCTGCGTGAGCAGATGCCTCTTTGGGAGGCGTGGGTCCTTTCTGCTCCACATCAAGTTAAAAGGAACGGTCGGTCACATTGGAGTATGTAAAAGGAGGGGAGAATGTGGAGGTAAAGAGAAGTTTAAAAGGGGGTACTATTTGTGATGAATTCTTTTTTTTTTCTGGGAGTTGGTGGCTGTTTGAATTACTTTTTTTGATGACTTGCATGCGTTGGAGCCGTTCGAATTATATATTTGGTTGCAATTATATTGTTTTTTTTAAGATACACATGTTTGTGGTAAGAATGTACCGCATTGCCACTGGCCAAAAAATTAAGGATATGTAAGGATGCAATTTGTAGATCGTTGAACACAGGTATGTGTTAAAGGAAAACCGACTCTGCATCGAGTATGTCGGAAATCCTTTACTCGTAGCACTTGTCCCAGTCACCGCCGGCGCGGGCGTAGCTGAGACCCTTGATGAAGTCGCGACGGCGGCAGCGACCAAGCTTGTCAGCGTTGCAACCGTGGAGGGGAACAACACGGTCGTTAACGATGGCGCGCACGAGGGGCTCGGGGTCACGGCCACACTGCATCATCTCGATGTAAGCGCGGGCAGCGAAGCTGACAGTCCAGCCGGTGGTCAGTCCGTCAGCGTCACTAGCAGACTGGATGTGGTCGAGAGGGAGGGGCTTGGTGCCGTTGTACAGACCCAGAGCGGTGTAGATAGGAAGCATTCCGTTGTCGTGGGTGAAGTCGGCGTACATGCTGTAGTTGAGGGGGAATGTGGCGGCGCCGGGGGCATCCAGAGTGGTGTTGGTGCTGGTGCTGTCGACGACGGGGGTCTTGGTGAGACGAGCGATCAGCTCGTTGACGAAGCCAACACCCTGGGTGGCACCGAGGGAGTTGCCGGAGCCGTAGCCGTAGTACTTGCTCAGGGTCTGGAGGTAGTCGTACTGGCTCCACTCGGCGGAAGTGAAGAGGTCGCAGAAGGGAGAGAGCTCGGAGCCATCCTCGGTCAGAGCGACGGTCTCGAAGGGGCAAAGATCCATCAGGCTGACAACATCGAGGTTTGTGAAAGTGACGCCGGGGAGGTTGGCCTGGAGACGGGCGCGGATGGGGGGAACGAAGAGATCCATGTACTCTTCCTCAACCTCATCGCCGAGGGTATCCTCCTCGAACTTGGGGCAGGTGTTGTGGTTCAGGGTGTTGTTAGCACCAGCCTCCTCAGAGATGATGACATTGGTCTTGGGGCTGGGAAGCTTGCGGTTGGCACGCTTATCCTGTGACTTGGCCTTCTGGAAGCCCTGAATGAAGTCGACTCCGGAAGCGACAACACGCTCGGAGTCAGAGGAGCGAATGAAGGGCACAGACTTGCGAACCAAGTCGGCATAACGGTTGTAGAACTTGGTACCCTGGTTAATCATCTGGTTGATACCGAAGGGCACAAGATCATCACCACCCATGATGTACTTGTAGTCGCGGAGGAATGCGGTGTTGCCCTTGTAAGCAGTAGCGTTGGCCTGGATGACCTCCATGAGCGCAGCATAGGACTTGCTCTTCTTGGCAGATGCGAAACGAGCACCATGGCGGGAGATCGTCTGGACAAAGGTGATGTGGCAACCACGGGGGACCTCATCTTTGATGCCCTTCTTCTCGACAACGGAGTAGTAAGGCGAGTACTGACCCCACTTGCGCGAGATCTCGGTGTTGCACTGATAACCGGTCTCAACAGTGTTGCAGACAGGCTTGGGCTTGTTGTGACCACCGTTGTTACCGTGCTGGAAAGATCTCTTGGACTTGTCGTCAAGGGTAGCAACCACGGGCAGCTCAGACTGGGCTGGGACATGCGAGGCAGAGTTGCACTGAATAGCGGGCACGAAGTACACCGCCAGGGCGAAAAGGCCGAGCACGGACATGGCGGTCAATGCAATCCATTTCTTGTTGGATTGACCTTGCTTGCGAGTCTCTTGACCAACAATGAGGCCCTCCTCCTCGAGGTGCTGCTTGGAGAATGCTGCCATTGTAGTAAATAATAGAGAACTTGTGAGTTCAATTGTATGTACAACGTGAAGCCTGCAAGAATTAAGAACAAGAGGGGAGTCAGTCCATTTTTAAATGTTTACTTGACTCTATAGCATTTTGTTCAACCTGGAGACCCTTGCGGAAGTTGTGCTCGTGAGTGTTTTTGTGTTGTTGATTGGTCGGTCGCCCTGGAATTGAAACGGAAACACGTGGGAGCTGCCTTACCCGTGACTTGACAGAATACATTCAAAGTACCTTGGTCTAGTACATTTTAGTATGTAAAGTGGAGGTCACTAAAGGTATCCATTTTATATGCTAGCCCAACCGAGGGTTTGACGTATAGTACTTCCCGAGATATCCCCACTCCCTCGGACAATTTTATATTTGTTTTTTTTTTGTACTCATATTCATATTCACATCAACATTGGAATCCGATATTTTAATATCAGCCCATGTCCCACCTCGCTTCTAGAAGGATGCATAGAGTTCTTGTGGCTTTCCTTTAGCCTGGAACCTGCAGCAAAGCTACGAGGTATGTAATCATATACCCACGTGCGCATTTTAACAACCTCGAGTATACGGGTTCTCATTTCCGGCAAAGTCTTGGACAAGATATCGCGCGGAAGCACCGGCAATATATGCATAGATGCATTGTACATCGAAAGTACGACATACTATGTTGTACTGATTTATGCTTTTACCACTTTACACATGTGCATGCGGAATACAAAAAGACATCTGAAAAGGGCATCGGGGAAACATCGGTATAATGCCCCTTTCACTACCATCTTTGGGTCAATGGTTTAGATGTATAGATTTATATTTCGACAAGGACAAATGCGGCATATCGAGAGTTCCAGGCATTTAACACTATCACAAATCGGCAATCGCTTTTAGACTCGAAATGTACATAACCAGGCCGAAATGGAAAGCTGCGCCCTTCTGTATGTTGCATATTTCTATTCATATCAGATAGGATACAAGTTCAAACAGAAGTGCTACGACCCAGACGACGTCTTACGACTAAAAGATTAATCCGCCAACTACAGGAAGCCAAGGAATGAATTAAAGGACTTTGAAATGAATACGAGGGATATTAGGAGAACAGAAATGACCTATGTACGCCTATCCTTGGCTGAATTCAACATGTCACTTTTGGTTGTGTTTTCTTTCCACATGGTACAACCTACGGACAGAAAAATAACTCACCTACTAAATTGTACCTAATTGTATAGATTATACGACTCGATTAAAAGTCATTAGTTAATCCCCTGTTGCTGCAGTTCAAAGATTAAGGCCTGATCATCCGTTTCAAAATCAGTAGATATATGTTAGTGTAGGTTGTAGACCAATTAAAGTCCTTATTACCAAGAGCACATAAGCCGGTCACAGCCGTGCTAAGCGTATCAACCCCCCACTGCCCAGTACTGTTGTGTCTCGGCAAATACAGAATTTTGAATAGATACCAAATTTATAAGTTATATATGTATTTCTTGTATGGATTGAAGATCCAAAACATAGAATCCAACCCTGTTCAACTTGAAAGAACGTCGGAGAGCAAATAGTCCAAAACTGATGGGGATTTCTTCCAACTAGTGCCGGGTCTTGGCATTTAAGGTTAGGCGCCCCGCCGCCATTGTATCTCATTTTGGGGACAAAATCGGCAGATTTGAGACTAAAAAGGCGGGAAATATGTGAAATATAGCCAATAGAATCGACAAAACTCTTATGGTCGCGTGGACAATACGTCTACCTAGGTCTAGGCACCATCTGGGCACTTTAGAAAGGAAATTCGATAGTATAGACGAGGACTAGACCCAATTAGGTAGTTTTGGCCTTAACTATGGAATCCGGGAGCGACCTCGGGGAAATTCATCGAACATCGTCTACTCCCTACGGAGTTCAAAAAAATGAGGCCGAATTTCATGGGACTAGACTGTACGGAGTACTTCGGCATATCATACCCTAGTATAAAATTTATCGACCTTCAAGATACATAACCAAAGTCTATTGACAACACTGACAGTATCGCGATTTTCAGCTTTCTTTTTCTGTTCATAGTCCATGCTACGGCTATTTATTTGGTATTCTGGTATTTCAATAATATATTCAAAAGATAAGGTATGAGGCATATGAGATTTCTTGGATTTTCCCCATCGGCTTTTTTATATCAAAATTCGGGAAATTCGTTATTGTCCGATTTAACGCCGATTTTACTATGGAGCACCATAGTAAACCGATGAAGTGCTGCCCTTCTTTGCACCTAATTATTATTCATTGAGCACGAAAGATATATTTGATAGAGGCAAATACACGGCACATCTAATATCGAATTGTAAACTAAAAAATATTGAAAATTTATTATCATATCAATTTGCCGATAAACTACGTTGAACATAGTATTCTTAGTAGCGTTTATATGGACAGGATGTGTCAACAGACCTTTGGCGCCCTATGAAGTTAGAATATATGTATGAAGATATATATGTCGTAAGAACGTCTGTTTCGGACATTGCTAAGGAACATTAACTATATTGAAAGAAAGAATCTATGGTGTATATGCATTTATGTGTCTACTTGCACTTTTTTTGTATACATATGTATACATATGTATATATATAACCATGTCGTGCTGGTTTTTGAATATTGTCCTCTATCCTTTCATCAGATTAAACATATAGGATTACTGCTAGTATATTGGAGCAATTGAGCTAGACTTATGTTATATATTAGCATATTTCTCTTATTTGGTTACTCTATTGTGAGGGTTGAGCAAATTTACCTGGTACCTAAGTATCCTTTGTATGGGAAAGTCATACAAAATATACCTAGATCCTAGAATATTTGTCTAGGGAATTTTGTGCCTACTAGAATGCATGAACACTGAATGATAGTTCGTTTTATAGCATGGTTGAAATTATTCTAAGAAAATATAGTGAAATAGTAAAATATCAACCATCTAGATAGGTAGAACTAGAGAATAACAAGTTGAACAATCCAATTCTGTGTAGTTTGGCTGTGTGGGGGGCAACCAATCAGAATTCCCGGGGTTGCCGAGACGCGCCCGACCCAAACATTTCGACTTTGCTCCAAAACAAACCAGCTCCAATCTTTAACTTGACCCTTGTCCTCTTAGAATGCCTCCAATTAACAGAAATTCTGGGTTGAACGACGATTCATTTTCGCTCACCAATTTGGATGACGAAATAATGGGCACTTCGACACGACGTGTCGACGAGGAGCTGGACTACGATATCAACACATCAACACTTGACCGTGCTTTCCCCGAATTTTCGCAAATACAGACCTCCGAAGAGGAGGAACAGGAGCTAGGCGACGATCTTTCACATAGCGATCTCGACATGTCCGTTGAGTTGGGACGCGCAGCTACCAAACCAGTACGCGACGACTCGCGCAGCTCTATGATGAGCTTTGAGAACAGTGTACGCTCATCTTCGCCCGCAATCCGCGTTGAATACCCGACACCACAAAAGCCAGTTGCTGCCACGCGTCCTTCGCGTCGCGCAGTCAGTGAAAACCTACGAAAGAACGCCCAAGTGCGACGAGCGACCCAAGCACAGAAAGAAACTATGAGCCCCCAAGTCTCGAAGGCTCAACGCGACCAGCGCCGGACATTCTCTGATATGCATGCGAAAGTGCGTGACAGTTACGAGGGCTCATTTTTGGGAGACGAACGACCTGCCCCTATCGCGACGAAGACGCGTTCGACGCGTTTTGGAAACGTGAACACCTCACAGGAGATCGCAGACGCAATTGAGCGAGCGTCTCGGGACGCCTACGCAAAGGAAATGCGCAAATCAACTTCTAACTCTGCAGGGACTCCCCGCAAAAGCAGTGCAAATGCAGCCAACACCAACACTATTGGTGATACCATGACCCATCAATCATTCCTTCTTCCCGACCTTCCTAACATTTCTGAACTCGTCTCCGGTGTGTACGAAGATGGCACACCCGTCTACTCGCGACAGGGAAAGATGCGCTCCACCCGATTTGTTTCTCCACTTCATGATCACACAGACGTGTCTCTCCCCCACGATCACATGCCGCTGGATGCAGTGCCCGTCCCCGAAGATGAAAAGGCCTTGTTTGTTCATTTAAGACTACTTCAGGATAAGGTGGCAGAACTGGAGATGTTCAAGGCCGAGGCAGAGAGGAGAATGGAAAGCTATCGCCAGGAGAATTCATCTTTGAAGGCGAACAGACCTCGCCAGTCCTCAGCGAAGTACGAATCAGAGGATAATGCGCATAGAAAGGGGTCTAAGCGCCTGGAAAATGAGAACCAGAAGCTAGACGCAGCCAATATCGCTTTACAAAACCAGTTGGACATTGCCGATCGAAAGGCCCAGGTCCAAGAATCTGCTATCAAGCGCTTGAACCATGAGAGAGAGTCGGCTATCTCACAACTTGGAGCTGCTTATCTCGAAACTCGGGAGCTGAAGGCCGAGAACGAGGAATTGCGACAGGAGAATGCGGATCTCAAGTCACAGATCAGTCGATCCTCGGGCCACAAGGCTCGCGAACAGGACACTGCCGAGTCTGAAGCTAGTTCAGCTGTGTCTGATGATGTCGATGACAGCCAACTTTACACCGAGCGTAGCGGAGACTATAGTCGGAGCACCAGAGACACTACATCGAAAAGCAACCGTTCCACCACGAGGGCCAGACGCCAGGATGACTCCCGCTCCAAGGTATCTACTCAAGTGGATAACGAAATTTCTCGCCTCGAAAAGGAACGTGCCGATGAGGCTCTCTTCTCTATTGAGATGCGCAAATCAACTTCTAAGTCATCAAAGTCAGCTGTGCCTCGCTCTTCCGAATCAAAGACCTCCCGGAAACAACCCAACACGAGCAAACAGCGCGTGAAGCGAGTGGTAGTTGAAGAAGTGACTGGACCGGAGGTGTCCGAGCAGACCAAAGCTTCATCTGAAACAGAACTTACGTTGTTGAGTATTATTGATGAACATGAGATCTCTCGTCTACGCAAGACATTGGAAGAAGAAAGAATTATGCGCAAACAACGACGTTCGAGTGCCCCCAAGGAATCTAATCCTGCAGAGACTATCAACTCGACCAGACAGAGCATTTTGAAAACTTCTGCCCCTCGCAAGTCGTCTCTTCGCGAACCCAAAGCAGAAATCCCTCGCCCAGCCTCGGCTACTGGAGATATTACCACCGCCTCAAAGGCAAATACCGATAGAGATATTAGTCTCACAGTACCAATTGCAGAGCGCTCCCGGCGCCATTCCGAAAATTCGTTGTCCGCAACATCCCAGCGCAAAAAGCTGCGAAATTTCACTGACATGACCTCCGCTTTCATCCTTCCTGACATCACCCTCCACCACGTCGACTTGGCAGCGGCTGATCCATCCAAGTTGTCGCAAGCCACCCAGAAAGCATTGGACAGCATTGCTCGACACAATGGACAGAACTGCACAGTTTGCAATGGCCACTCTACTGACGGTACCTGCAACCACGAATCCGTGAAGGTCACCAAACCTATTCCCGTCTCAGACCGTATGCCCAAGCCATCCGTCTGGAATGAAGAACCAACTATGCGCCCCTCGCAACCCCCTGCCATTGCTCTTGCTATTGTTCTTAAGGGTCTGGAGGACGAGCTTTCTCACCTGAAGATGCAGCTGGCCACATACCAGAGCGCCTATAACAAGCTTGATGCATCGCTCGGCAAGCGCCCGCGCAAGGCTCTGCAAGAAAAGATTGATAAAATATTCAAAGACATCGATATGAAGTCTGATCAAATTTACGCTCTCTATGATGTCCTGGAGGGCCAAAAGCAAGATGGTCGTGAGATGACCGAGCACGAAATGGAAGCGACTCTTGAGTCAATTGGAATTGATGTTGGCATGTCCCAGGCACCTGATATCACTGGTACTACCGATAAGTCTTCCCGTCACGGTCAGATTGACCTGGATGACGAGGAGGATTTGCCCTGGGAGGGTATTGAGAGCACTGGTGAGATGACTGGTCACCTTTCTTTGGGTGGTCACTGAGTTGATGTTTATTGCATCGCGTTGCATGTGTTCATATCATTCTGGTTACTTTGCTGCTACTTTGGCGCTGTTTCATGGAGTCTGGTTCCATCTGTATGTTTAGTTCATTGATTTGGGTGATCGATTGTTGGTTAGGTAGTTCTTGATACTCAAATGTCATTGCGGGTGTACCGCGGCCTTGGAAATAACGTTTTCTATCTGTCTTTATGTAGCGTAGCTCTTCTCTTTCAGATCATTTATTATTTTGTGCTGTCTGTAGATATCAATCTCAACATCTTTGTCAATTTCTTTAGATGATGGAAAATATCATATGCAGTGGCTGGGATACCCCACGCGAACCAAAACAAAACGCCATCGCTAGTATGCTCAGTAGTCCATAAAACAATCCAAATACCATGCAAGTCCCAAAGTCATTGCGAGCCAAGTCGAAGTAGCATTCAGACAGTGCTCTCCCCACTTTCCACGGCCATAGCAGCACCCTCTGTAGCCGTCGACTTCGAAATATTAGCCGCATCCCGCTGTGAAATTTCCTCCCCAACAAAGCAGCTCAACCCAGCAAAAGCCTCAAGCAGGGTGCGCGAGTAGTATTCACGCAAATCATAACCACCAGCCAGCATCCGCACATCATTGCGAATATGATCCAGATACTGCGACGGATAATACGACTGCAGAGAATAGTAATCGCGCTTGTCGGGCACATACCCCATAAACGGATCGTATGGCTTTTCCGGCTCGGGCGTGACAATCTTGCGCAGACCCTTGACAAGCCCCGTATCCGCGGCACCAGCATGCTCCGCCGTAGCAAGATTCGACCCGCGCTTGGTCTCCAACCGCAGCGCAGCCTGTTTCTGTCGAATGCGTTCTTCTTCGCTGCGGCGCGCGGACGACTTCTTGAGCAGCACTTTGTGTCCTTCGCGCGCGATGGCTGCGGCATCTGTCGACGAGCCGGACGCAAGTCTTGAGAGGAAATCCTCGCGTCCGGCTTGGATCTCGCGTCGCTCGGTCTCGTATTCCTGGCGTACGGCTTGGCGGCGCATGCGGGCTTCTTCTTGTTCGAGGGTCATGCGGGCTTGGAATGAGGAGGCTTCCTCGGCTTCTATGGCTTGGTTTGTGCGGATTGACTGCATGTTTTCTGCTGCGTATTTTTGGAGCTGGGCTTCGGTTTTGGCCACGTCGATCCGGTTTACTAGGTTTGCGATTATGTCTTCTCTTTGTTCGAGGAAGTCGTCATAGGCTCGTTTTGAGTCGAACTCTTCTTCGCGGCGGTTTAGACTGATTGGGATATACTGTTAGTCCTTGTGTATTATAGGGTGTTTCGGGGTACTTGGAAAGAGACGTACATGTGCATCACACGCCGCCGGATATCTACTTCTCTCTCAACCCCGATATCTTCGAATGTCTGCTTGCGGAACCGATTTTTGCGCAGCGTCTTGCGACACCCAGCTACAGGGCAGTTTGCGGGACCGGATGAAAAAATGCGGTCCACGCACGACTCGCACATCTTGTGGTAGCATTCGGGGTTGATGAGAAAGCGCATGTCTGGGTTGAGGTATCGTGACGATTTGCAGACAGGGCAAACCTCTGTGAGAAATGTCGTTAGCATTATACATCACGATACATTCAAACAAATGCTTACCGTCTTCATCGCGGCGAGAAGCCGCATCGGAGGCCATTGTGAGAATAAAGTGACGATGGAGAGATGGACCACGGACTGAGTTGAGGCTGATAAGCAACCTATGTGCACGGACCACATCCTCGTCACCTTTTTTTATGACTTTTTCTTTTTGCCTCCGGCAACCCCTCTTTGCTCCGTTTCATTCAGTTAACATAGTCAGTGCGAAGCTGCCACTGCGCTTTCTCTTTTCACAACAATGGGTGTACCGAACCCCAATCTCGACGCTCTCGAGGAGCAGCGCCTCGCGCTCGAAGAAAACATCCTCCAACTTCAGAAATCGCTTTACCACTGGCGAACCTGGGAAGCGGAATACGATGGACTCCGCGAGGAGATTACCAACCTAGAAGATGATGCTAGCACAGATGATTTCCTTGCCGTGGCCCTGGAATTTGGCGGTACGCTGGTAGATCAGAAGGAAATGAAGACAATACTTGGTTCGCAAGGCGTGACGCGGTCTCGCGGGCAAGTTGTTGATCTTCTTGGAAGACGCATCGACTACGTGCAGCAAAATGTTGCGACCATGGAGAAGAGGCTTTCGAAGGCTCAAAATGAGCTGGACGCTTTGGTCTTGAATGATCAGCCACCGGTGCAGGACGGTGCGCATTTCCCGATGCAGGAGATTATGGAGGAGCTTGATGAGGATGGAAATGTCATCTCGAGCAAGATCAATACGCCTGGGAATGATGCTTCGGAATTGCTGGATGTGCTGAAGAAGGCTGGTGTTAAGGATATTCCGGAGACTGGCGGATCGGAGGAAACTGTTGCAACTCCCGCCGATGCTACAGATGAAGGCACGGTCGATGAGCCAGCCAGCTCAGAAGCTGCAGATCAGCAGAACGGTTTCTCAAGCGGCGAAACTGTAACCACACTGCCAAATGGCGCATCCCTGAAATTCTCTCAACCCCAGTCTGTGGTGACTGCCGAAGATCGCATGCAGCCGCCTGTCACGGACGTGAACGAATCTGCAGAAGAAGCAAGACTTCGCCGTGAAATGCTCGATTACGGGATCAACGAGGTGGGGGCTATCGTGGCAGAGTTAGAGATGGATGAGTCTGGCAGTGAAATTTCCTTTGATGAAGACTACGATTACGATTATGACGCGGAAGATAACGAAGACGAACACGGCCGCTCTCACACCCACCTCTCAGCGGAATACCACCAGCAGATGATGGAATTGGAGGCTAGGCTCAATGCCCGAGGCTTGATGAACATGGGCAAGGATACCACGACGTTCCCAGAGGAAGTGCAGCAAGAGATAGCAACACCTGCTGAGGTTGAAACTTCTACTACAGAGAGGAAGAAACCTAGGAAACGTGTTGCATTTGCCGATGAGCTTGATATCGCACCAGCTCCCACACCCTCGGTTGCAGCCGAGAAGGCTCCTGTTCCTATTGCACCGGCCGCACCTCAGGTGCTCGCTGATTCAATTGTTGAACGGACCAGCCATGTCCCGGAACCCTCTCCAGCCACCCCCGCTGTGCCCAAGAAGGCATCGCGGTTCAAAAGTGCTCGGGCCGCTGCCCCAGGTACTGTTAGTGAGTCTGTTACTACCGGGGCTACAGTCGCAAATCCGTCAGAAGTCACCGAATCTCGCCTTCGCAAACAAGCCAACACAGCTCCATCAGTGGTACCGCCTGTCCTCTTCCCTGCGACGCCAAAAGAGCCTAAACCCTTCTCCACACCGATCACTGATATCCCCAATGTCACCGAGAAACCTTCTGCACCTCAATTCCCACTTGACCGAACTCTAGCCGAAAAGGTCTTTGAGCGGCAGGTCAAGCCGGGGGCCGCTGTGGCCCCTGAACTGGACATCTACGACGAAGAGCTTCACCAAAAGCAGATTGCGTCGGAGTTCTTCAAAATGCAAAACCGCATGAACGGCCCACCCAAGGACGACGAGGAACAGTATACTCTCCCTCCTGAGGAAGCTGAACCCAAACGGGTGAGCAAGTTCAAAGCTTCCCGAATGGGATAGTTCTGTAAGAGTTGTTTTGCTATGTATGTAGGCACATGTGTATGTATTGGAAAGAACGACTGTTTGTTTAGTTTGTCTCGCCTGTTCCTTCCTTCCTGCTGCCCCCCCGGGTTTCTATAAAAGCCTCCCTCCTCCCCCCTCTCTTCTTCTTTTCTTCTTTCCCCATACCAACGGACTCAACTTTCTTCAGGGTTCGCCCTCAAGGAATACCTAGGTGCATATCTGCTCTCCCGCACTAGATGGGACAGTATGGTATCACGAAAAACTGACGTCCAAGATCAAAAGAGGGCTTCTCTGGCTGCACTCCTTCAATTCAACTACAACCAAGAAGGAGGGAAATCGTATGCTACTCACTAAGAGCAACTACGAAAGTACTGAATTCTTGGGGATTGGCAAATGGAGTTGTGGTTTATTTATTCCTTCTGACATCCCACATACATAGCTTAACTTGTAGTGAATGCATCCGTGTCTCGATTGTTTCCATCTGTCTCCTATGTCCTGTTTCTGTGCTTTACCTTACCACGTAGTCCCATCCCACTCTTGACGTCTCTTCGTCGTATCTCCACTCCAAGTTTAGATTAATGTAGCTTCTATCCAAACATATATGACTGCATGTCTATGAGACAAGGATTAAACTCTCAGTATGACCATATGAAATCTCATTCTCTATCATAAAATCAACATCTACGCACGACAGAACAAACCAAGCTGCACCATGATTCCCAGCATATCAATAAACAAAGGACGACATGGTCTCAGAAACAGGATGTGACGCCTGGTGCAATCTTCCCCAATCTGGTGACCAACTTTTTGAAAAATGCTTCCTGGATCATAATTCCCTTTCCATCAATTACGATACAAGATGGACTACCAACTGACTTGGTTTTCCTAAACAGACACCAACAACTGACCAACCTGTGAATGCGACAGTTCGTCAGATACTGCCCATTGCTTTTCTCATCGGCCGTGATTGAATGTACCCAAGCACGACTGCCCTCCTCCGTACTGCGTCCCAGCAGCTATTCACCAACGCGGATACCAAGTCTACCCGCAGAGATCGCCTTCGAGATAAGGGAGTTGGATGAAGATGTTGGAGTACACCGTTGACGAGACACCCTCTAGAGTCGAAAGCAATGACATGACTCTGTCCTGCTATATCGAATTTGTTTGTACGAAAGAACAAGACAATACTATCATTGTCTAGGGCCCTGAACTAGTGTTCAATAGATGCTTTTCTTGAAGCTTGGATCTAATGTATTAATACCGCCAAATAACAGACCAGACCAGGATGGAGATAATATCTTCGCTTCGCATAGCCCTTTTTTAATACTCCGCTTGAATGTCTAGACTCATTTGTGGAAATGCCCGAAAATCGAAATCGCCTCTTTCCTGCGAACTATGTCGCATGAGGAAGTAAGCATGTATCATGAGCTCTCCAGGTTGTGAAAATCCCAAGCATTCCAGCCCAGTAGCCGTCTACAAGAAGACAAGTGGATGGTTTCCTCGCACAATCTATGGTTTTCTCCTAGCTGCAATGGTAATCTGCCTTAATCTATATGTGCGTCTCGAATATCATACGACAGTTTTTATAGACGAGAGCGCAGACCAAGGCTTTGTTTCGAGAGAGATCGTCGCACTGAAAACTGCTAACAGGGTTGGGCTGCTAATGGCCATCGTTCGTCAGAATCCTGCATTGCGTCACTGGCGCTGGACTTGGTGGCCCGTAAAGTGGCTGGGCGTCAGGCCACGAGGCTGGGCACACGGATGGATGTTCCCGGGCTGAGCTGGGAGGTACCTTACATGGGGCTAATGCCGGAAATGATTGATGGGTCTGAGACACTGGATTGGGTAAGCCCTTTCATGGAGACTGAGCCGATTGTAAACAATATCTGACTATATTTCCAGAATTTCGCCCTTGAGGTGCCTCACTTAGACCCGGGAAAATGAGATGAGTGGGTTATTTACAGATGTTCCTGGGGTACTTGACCCCCATATGTATTCCTTAGCTACAGCAAAGTAGCAGTTTTAGACATAAGGAAGCAAAGCTGCCCGACTCCTTGTACTTTACCAAAATGCTACATTCACTACATTTTTGGTCCTGGAATTTGCTGTGCAAAATCAAATTCATACTTTTTGTACGTTGCATGAGGGTAGCCGCTTGTCTCCCTCCATGCATGCAATAAAATATATCATCAACCCGTTGAAAATTGACAGGGGCATCATCGTGATAGTGTCGTGTGGACGTACGTACATTGAAAGGGCCGAAAAAGACCGAAAAAGAGATGCAAGGCATACTAACTAGCGTATTCGCAAATTCATATCTGTTCAGCGCCAGATACATAGGGCATCTAGGCGGAAACTCAACCCGACGACCAGTAGGTGTAGAAAGATGGCAAGGGCCTGAGCCCGAATGCTGTGGGTTGTTAAAGTAAATGCTGCAGAAAGGAGAAGAGGGTAAAGAATCCAGGGGTTGACGGCCAGCGGCGAGCATGGATGAAGAAGGGATGCGATTTTGATGAGGAAGAAAGTAAGTTGTAAGACAGGCGAGGAGAGGAGTGGGTCCAAAGATGCTAGGGAATTCAAGACGGGGAAGCGGCTCGGTGGAGGTGGAAGAAGATGATCTTGACGGACTGGTTGAGGCTCGGGGTGGGGTTCGAGGGGTGATGATGATTCACGAGGAGGTTGGGCTGGAGATGACGGTGACGAATTAGATTGGCGACGCCGGACGATCATGTCTCGCTCTTGGCTCAAAGAAGAGCCCTCCTCTGGATTTGTGTCAGACACAGGCGCCGGATTGCTTCGGAAATGACTCGAGTCAGATACCGAGTCACGCCTGAAGGATGTTGGGCTTCGGCGCAGGTTTTTGGTGGGAGAGAGTGTTCGCTCTACTGACGGTTGTTGGCTCGCCACTGGGCGGATTCGATTTCCAGGCAGATCGGAGCTTCCCGTGCTGGCTTTCCTGAAGCGAAAATTTTCATTTGAATTGGCACCAACTTGGATGCCATTTAACACCTCGTCGGCTGAGGGTCGTCGGCTGGGATCAACCGAGAGCAAGCGCTCTAGGAACCTATATAGCTTTTCGGGGAGGTCGGAGCGGATAGCTCGTGCGTGGTCAAATCCAGCCCAGCTGGTGATCTCTGCACGGAGCTGCTCCAAGTCCTCTTTTTCTTCGTTTATGAGATCGGCATTTGCGTATGGAAGAGCTGCAAAACATAGAAAGTAAAGAATCATTCCGAGGGAGAAGATATCAGACTTGAACGTAAAATTGCCGAATGGTCCGTCAGGATATTCTTGGCGAAGAACTTCAGGCGCACAGTATGAAAGAGTACCGGTTGCACCAGTCGATTGGCGCATTGCACTTTGAGTCTGCACCTCACCGAAATCGCTGACCAAAACTCTGATGCCATCACCCGTCTCGTGGAGCAGGCAGTTGTGTGGTTTCAGGTCTCGATGGATGTATCCATTGGCGTGAAGATAACGGAGTCCAGAGGTAATATCACGAAAGAAGGAATAGATTTCATCTAGCTGAAGTGTGCGAGGTCCTCCCAGTGTTGTTCGAGGCTCCGGTTCGCCTTTGGATTTGCGGCGCAGGCGGTCCTTCAATTGCTGCGCAGTGGTCGAGGTTTCAACAGAGGCACAGATGTAATCATGCAAATCACCGGCATTGCAGTATTGCTGTAGAATAAATGCGCAAGGCACACTCGGGCCGAAAGTGCTTATCTTCGCATTTTCCAGCCAGACATGACGGTACGAGACAAGATTCTGGTGCGAGAGGTGCTGTAACAGCTGCACTTCACCTAGAACCTTTTCTAGCCACTCATGATCGTCACCGACAGGAACACGTTTGCAGGCATAGTGGCCAAGGGACACACTATCCAGCACATGCTTCACTAGTAGCACCACACCTTTTCCACCTTTGCCCAACACTCGTTCCTCCACAAAGAACCTCTTGAAGTAATCTGGACTGAATGCCGCAGAGGAAATTCCCTGTGGTGATGGGTGTGGCGAGGAGGTAGGTCGGACGGGGGTATTATTGAAAGGCCCACCGGGGAGGGCGGGATGAACAAGGCGGTGGTGCGGAGAAGGAGGAGTGGAGGAGGTTGCGGAGCCGGGAACGCTATTGTTGAGCATGTGAAAGTAATTTGGGTTAATGAATTCGCCTTCGGGTTCAGTATCCCCACAATGTTGTTCTCTATTATTATCGCGCATTGGGCGATGGCAGAATGGGCAGTTAGCTAGCTCCATATTGTCAATGTCCGTATCGGAGGTATTGCGGAGAACGAGCTGCTGGGAATCATGATCAAAGACAACCACGGAGTCATTGTGCCGCCTGTTCACAATTAGATAGTGTAGTATCACAGATTTGAAGATCACTTACAAAACGACATCAAGGTTTCCCCCATTGTAGGGGACCATAGACATATCGGTGGGCATTCTGGTATTGATGGGGGAAAGCGACGATGGCGAGATGTCGATGACGATGTAGACCTGGGGGCGGTGAGGCTACCGCAGTCGATAGTGACTACCTTGCACATGGAACATTCCTTGCATTCTTATATTCTTCACTTTCTTTACATTCCTTGTTTGTACTCTTTTATAGATAATGAGATAAAAATGAGTTTAATTATGCCCTACCCTAAGAAAACCCAAAGTTGCAGCCCAATAGAGACCAAATCGGCGTACCCCGAGAACTGAAACAGCTGAAACAGCGTAACGAGGATCTATGAGTGGGGTATGTTGTACAGCTCACCCCATGGACAACCCACACAGCCCTTGATCGCCTCAAATAATATACACAAACCCAACTTCAGCCTGGTTTGAATTCAAATGGACCCGATTTCCATCACCGGTCTTGTGATAGAGGTCAGCCGTGTGCTATCGAGCCTGATCAGATATGCCAAAACGGTGCAGGCCGCGAAGTCCGAAATTCGAAAACTCAGCGAAGAGCTATTTGCCCTAAAGGGGATTTTGGAACACCTGGCAGCACAAATAGATGATGTCCCAAAATGGCAAGAATCAGAAACATGCCCATTTGACCGCGACGTCATGGCGAGAGTGTTGCGTACAACAGATGAGTTTCTCCAATCCCTACTCATGGATTTGAAAACGGCTGAGTCCAAGTTTGAGCGCCTTAAGCAAACTCTGAAATGGCCCTTCACACAGACGGAAGTTAGCGAGCATCTGATTCGTCTGGAACGAGTCAAATCATGGCTGATACTGGTTCTCATTGCAGACCATAAGTCGGTGGATCGGGAGATGCAACACGAGATTCGTGATCTGACAAACACATTGAAGGAAGACTTGCAGATTCGATTCCAAGAGCGGAACAAATTGGCCAACAGGGAGCTTTTGAAATGGATAGCTCCTGTGAACCCCGAAAGCTCTCATCTGCGGGCGTCAAAAAAGCAAAGAAATGGGACTGGTAGATGGTTTGTCGACGGCCATCTGAAGACGTTTCTTAGCCAAGACGAAAATCGGGCTTTCTTCCTCTTTGGAAAATGTATGTATCCTTTGCAATTTTCAAGACATTTTACTAATATAGCTCTGAAGCTGGAACCGGAAAAACTACGTTGTTGTAAGTTCCATTTGGCAATCGGATTGCTTCTCATATCTGACGCTTCACTAGTGCGCAAGCTGCTGATGAACTTACTTATATGACTTCTCAAAGTCAACATATGGGGTTTGCTTATTTTTATTGCACAATTAGCGATTTTGCCTCCCAGAATGCAGGAAATGTTCTAGGATCACTTGTGGCACAGCTGTCAGGCACATTTCCTTCAATATTGGACGAGATTCGATCTATCTACAATAAAGGCCCAAGCAATCAGGCGCGTAGATTTCCTATCGAATTATCTGTTCTTGAAGCTGCTATCGTCAAGACTGCTTCCGAAAAGACAAAAATTGTCCTCTTGGTTGATGCAATCAATGAAAGCCATGATATGCAGCTTCTTGAAGCGTCCCTTCTCAGGCTTGCCAGTCTGTCAACGAACGTCCGCGTGCTTATAACCACTACAAACATGAATCACATCAAGCACCACAATGCATCTGTCTTGAACATAAGCGGGAATTCGCGAGGAGACATTGGTGCCTTTATCAAATACCGGCTTGAGACTGATGATATGTTGAGAACTTTGGCACCGGAATTCCAAGCGGAGATTGAATATACTCTTCGTCGAAATGCCGATGGATCGTCAGTATAGTACCCCTCATATTATTCTTTCTGTGGTCTAATTATTTCTTCGCAGATTCCGCTGGCTCCAGCTCTCATTGGACAACCTGAGCACGCAACGATCTGTAAGGGCAATGCGACAGGCCTTGAAGAACCTCCCAAGTACTTTACGCGAGACGTATGCAAATATGTTGGAAAGAATTGCCCCTGACGATTGGAAAATTGCTCGTGAGGCCCTCTTTTGGCTCAGTTTTGCCAAACTGCCCCTTACTTTAAATTCTCTCAACGAAATCGTGGTCACAGACGAGACAAGCACGACACTCGATGAGGATATGATGCTCGTCCCTCCACATATACTTCTCGAAATTTGTCAAGGTCTCATCACTGAGGACCAAGATGGCTGTCTGAATCTTGCGCATGCGTCTGTCAAGGATTTCCTAACGTCTGATTGGATTCGCTCATCTCGAGTCCAATATTTTAGCCTGGATCCTACAACTGCAGACCTGAAAGCCATGCATGGTTGCCTCACATACCTCGGTCTGGACAATTTTGCACAAGGATACCTGACATCCCCGAAAGACCCAGCCAAATTACGAAAGAACCATCCTTTCCTGACTTACGCCGCAAACTTCTGGCCCCAACATGGTGCTTCTTGCGGCTATGGGGATCCCAAGCAAGAAATGATCCATAAATTCTTCGCGACAAGGTCTCTCCCTGGCCGGGGCAATTATGGCACGTGGATACAGGTGTTACTCCGAACAACCGCTAATTCATACACGGAGGATACTGTAGTTATTGACGGAACATATCCTCTATACTACGCTGCCTCGTTTGGGATGGCTCCAGTCGTCAAGACTATTCTTGCTTCTGAGCCAGACATCGACATCAATGCTCCTGGAGGCCGTAGTGGCGCTACAGCAGTGTGGATTGCCAGTCTTCGGTTCTATTTTGAAGTTGTGGATATTCTCATACGTGCTGGAGCTGATCCATCCATTCGGGACCCCGGTACTGGGCTTAATGTGCTTGATCTTTCGAGGATGGCGCCGACTCGTTATCGAAACAACCTTGGTCTCCGACCCATTTTAGCTCGTCCAGCACCTTGGAATGAGAAACTTGGAAAGTGAAGTGGAACTCGGCAATTTTGTTACAACCTGGCTGGTTCATTTAGATTTGACATGTCGCTATTTTCTGCTACTCTTCCCCGTCCGAGATGCATGCGAGCAATAATAGAATAAAATGGAATACGATTTCCATATTTCTTGCGCTGAGAAATAAAAATACACCGAATTTGAGGCCTGTTTTCACCTGTGCAATTGCTTATGTCCACGTATACATCATACTTTAATCAGGTAAGACATGTTGGCACTCCATGAAAACAAGAAGAGTGGGAAGAACCACAACTAATCTCATCTGAAGCTTTTAGTCTCCACAGTGGCTACGCAATTGGATTATAAAGCAACATGTACGATAAAAACTACAATTGATCTGAATAAGAAATGATTAAAGTGAGAATTATTTCCATTCATTTTGATTCCTCATCGAATCGGGTATCTGAGTTGAAGCCGGTGACTGAAAAACACCAAAACTCCAAGGGTTGTACAAATAAAGTACAGGGATGCTCACGCTTAACCACGCGGCTTTTGGATGACAGGCGCTCTTCAGGCCTGGGCGACATGTCGCGAGGCAGCCTTCAGACTTCTGTGCGATAAAAGCACATGCCGGATGCCTTGTGGGGAGCCAAATCCGCCCAATACGGACATGGGGAGGAATGGCTCGGCTAGAAGCTCTGTTTCAAGAGCGAGCATGGCCGATCTCATGGCGGCAGACTGTCTATTTTTTTCGTAGGGCAGAATGGGGATGACACTTCGAGTGCTGTAGAAAACACCGATAGATCAATCACTCCTCCTCGCCACTCTCCACGTCGCTGACCTCCAAGTTGGCGATCGAATCATTGTCGCTGTCCTCGGGATCGACGGTCTCGTCCTGGGCAGACTCAGACTCGGCCTCGGTCTCGGCTTCCTTTGCAGCAGGCTCGTTGTTTTCATCCAACTTGCGCTTGCGGGGCATCTCGCCGAGTGCACCTTCACGGCCCTTGACACCAGCCTCATCCTTCTCGCCATTCTCACCCTTGCCAGCACCCTTGGGTGGGGGTGTGTACCAGGGGATCTTTCCACGAAGGAAATCGTTGATCACCATCTTGGCGACACCATCCAGATCGGCCTCACCTCCCTTGAGGAGACGACCACCCTGGCGAGCAAGAAGCGCAAGCCAGTCCAGGTAGTTTTCCTGGCACTTGATACCGTAGGTGCGCTCCAGGTGGCGGGGCAGGACACGGCGGAGAACAGCTGGAATGTATTGCTCTGGGTTGTGAACGTTCTCCACTCTGCAGACTCCACGGAGAAGAATGTCCTCCTCGGTGTCATTGACATTGGGTGGAACCACACCAGGGCAATCAATGAGATAGATTCTCTTCATAAGGGTGATGTACTGCCACACCTTGGTCTCACCCGGAATGGGAGCAACTGTGCAGACCTTCTTGGCTCGCAGAGTGTTGATGATGGAAGACTTGCCCGTGTTGGGGTAGCCGATCAAGCCAACAGACACTTGCTTGCGATCAGAGTGAAGGGACGAGAACTGGCGAAGCAGCGAGATCAATGAGCCCTTGCCGAAAGAGTTGTTGATATTGGCATGGAAAGCAAGACAAGGGTAATCCTTAGAAAGATGACGAACCCAAGCGGCCTAGTCAAAGATGCAAAGTTAGCAATCAGTCACCAGCAATGAATGAACTATTGTGTAAAAGTAGAATGTGTGGGATGTTACTAAGAAATTCTGCCACAATGCCACCAAAAAAAGGCAGAAGCAGACTTCTACTCAAAAACAAAACACAGCTGGCCCTTGCGACAGGCTTTCAAGACGAAAGCAAGTCAACCTAGGTTCATAACGAAATTCGGTGCGGGCCAGTGTTAATATACCAAAGCTGTAACAGACGGAATTCCATTGAAACAAGCACGACCGGAGTCATGCACGACCGAAGTCGCAGGAAGAGGCCTTGACTTAGCGATGGAACAGGGGGAAGGGGAAAACGCAGGATAGAAATAAAAGCAATAACCAAGTAATAGAAAGGGATAGCGAAGGGGAAACGGTGAAACTTACAGCAACGCCAGTAGGGACGAGATCGCACTTGTTCAAAACGAAGATCAAGTGCTTGTGTGGTGCCTCCTCGCGAACGTATTTCTCAACACTTCTGCAGCGAGTACCATCGGGATCACGGGAATCCAGGACATGGATGATGACATCGGAAGAATCGATGACCTTGTAGAGTTCGTTCCAGATACGCTTACTCTGTCCCTTGTTAAAGATAGCTTCACGGGAGGTAGTGAGTAGACCAAGGTCTTCGACTGCAGCAGTATCATCACCGCGAACAATCGCACTCCCATCGGCGTGGATTCCCTCATCGTTCTTCTCAATGTAGGAGTTCTGCAACTTGGCTGTCTCGCCAGCGAGGTCTTCGAGAGACGACACACCAAGCTTGACACGCTTGCGCTGAGCCTTGGGGCCGAAGGTATCATTGAAAGGAGACGTCTCAATAGCCATCTTAGCTTGGTGTTGCTTCAGACCGTTGACCTTATCATTATCCCGAATCAAGCTCATAGGGAGCTTGTTGGTCTTGAGAAGAACTTGATATGGGTCGGCAGCACGCTCAGCAACAGCATCACGGAACGAGGTCAGAGCCTCTTGTGAAATAACGCGAGAGTTAGCAAACCATTTACGGTTTGGCTCGATGCGGGCTGTTGGCAACTCTTTGGATTGATAACTAGCGGCGACTGTGATATCACCCTGTGCGTTACGGCGAGGCGTGCCATCCTTGAACATGTTCAAGGTCTTAAGTTTCTTGGCATCGCTGGGAGGGAAGTCAGTATTGGATTTTTTAGAATAACAGGGTCTTTGGCTGAGGCTGCACATACCGGTAAAAATTTTCACCTTTGGTCTTGACATTGGCCATGCCATCGTTGGGCTTTCCCTGCCGCACTTTACGAGCGGCCTCCTTCTTTCCTGTACCCATGATAGCGGTTGTGGGTTGAAATATGAAAGGAGAAGTAAGTGCCAGACGAAAAAAAAATCGAAGGCAAGACCAAACACAGAGAGTGGCAGAGTGCAAAGAGAAGAGGAAGAAAAATAAAAGGCGGCGAAGGAATTATTTTTTTTTGGCGCCAAGATATTACCGTGCACGGACCAGGGGAAAATCGCTTCTTGTTTCTTCCGACTTACTCGACCGCGTATCCTCCCTATTATACAGTAATCAACCTCAGGCTACATCCCGGCTTAATTGAAGGTCGTGTCATTGGCCTTTGATTCGATAATTTACTTTGCAATAACCCCCTACCTGTTTTATCACTCCACGGAGTGACAGGGTTGAATTGCGCCGCATGTCTGTCCTCCGCAATAGCCGGACTGCCACTGTGCAGGTCCGTGGATTTGCTTCCTCCTCCAATCTTCGAGTCGGGCCAGAATCCCCTCACTTCATCGATGTGCCGAAGATTATCCAACCCACCAACCCCCGCAAACCTCATGTCAGGGGTACACTACCCGTACCTCGCGAGCTCTTCCCGGCCCGCCGAGCGGACAAGCCCCGGATACAATACCTCAATGCCGCCACACAGCTCCCCAAGTCAGAACGCGTAGTGAGCCCCGACAGTAGCAATCCCGAGAAGCAGGAATGGAAGCACAAGATGGCGGATCTGCGGAGACAGAACCTGCGGGACGGTCTGCGAGACCTGTACTCGCGCAAGAGGTCCGCAGATTCCAAGGTTTTCAGCCGCAGTCTTGAGAGCCAGAATCGGCGGGACCGCATTCTTCAGCAACCCGAGCGTGAGGACGAGCGCCTCACTCGACCATCCACCATCGAGGCAATGGTGCCTCGCAAACAGCCAATTCTGCCCGACCCCAACCGGGAGGAACGCCTTGCGCTCTCTCGGGCACGCCTGGAAGCCAAGCAAGCACAGAAAGAGACAGAGCGGAAGGAGAACCTCCAGTCGTTGTATGTGAATGCTCGCACTTTCATTACAACAGACGAGCAGCTCAATGCTGAAATCGACCGGGTATTCCCCGAGGGCGAGAACCCGGCGTGGCGCAACGATCACCAGCCCGGCGAGAATATCTGGAACCTGGGCAACCCTCCCAATGTGTTCAATCTTGCCCACAAGACCCGCAATAACGAGGCTGTTCGCTGGGATGTCTCTCAGGATCGTGTTAAGAAACTTGCTGAGGCACTTACTGGAGGTAAGATGCGAGAGTAATCGGTTGTTGGTTTTTTTTTTGGCATCATGTACAATATTTATCAAGCTATCGCATTTCAAAACTCAAATCTAGAGATTCTTTGAGATCCTTTCATTTCCTCAAGTCAAGTTCCTAACGTGCTCCAATGCCAGCGCAAGTAAGATCCGTCTAACAGAGAAGACGACTGAACAGTGAGATTATGCGAAAACAAGAAGAAGGCTCACCAAGCTCTTCAGTCCTATCAAAAATATGCATCATAACGTCGTACCCTAGATGTTAACTTGGCAGGGCGGCCACATTTCTCACGGCATCCGTAGTCCTTCGACCATATTTGACAAATGTTGTGGGAAAGCTACTCTAGACCGGGCCAGCATAGGGCGAGTCCTCGCAGGAGCAGCCTATTGGACTTTTCTTTAGGCAAAGCTTTCATCTCATTTTCAACTTTTCAACTTTCGTTTTTCACTCGCTAATTTGGGATGTCGATGTGGGTGACACTTTTAACTAATTCGGGTATGGTTGATGTTGCTGAGTGATTATATACAACATGTACCAGTCGAATCGTTACTTAGAATCCCAATACACAGATAATACATATAGTCTTCGATAATCAAGTGTCCGTATTGCGGTATCTCCTTACAAGATCACCTAGGCAGCGAATGCAGTTTAGTGAAGATTCTCTATTGTAGTTCTAAATAATAACAAGATGGTTCTAAGAGAAGTTCACAGAAAGCATAGAGATGCGTGATGCGATGTAAGCTTGATTATGGAAGAGTTGGGAAAGCCAAGTGCTAGACTATGTACGAAATTTGACATGAGGACTTGCTTAGTTTCACCATAAAGGCTACTC